GATCCCTTTCTCTTTTTAACGAGTGTAAATTTAAATTCTTTTTAATTTTTACGGAGCGTAACATTCCTTTTTATATTTAATTCGTGAGTTTAAATAGTGTATTATTCCTCGGTTCCATCCTTTTGTTTATATTTATAATTTTAAACCCTTTTATTAAGTTTTTAATATTTAATACATTTATAATACGGTATTCCCCCGTTATAAATTCGGCGTTAAAATCGATATATATCATATTCGTTTCCGTTATTATCGTTAATGTTACTTTTATTAATATTATTTTTATTCAAATAACTTTTTTAATTATCGGGTTTCGGAGGGTTTTTTAAATTAAATATAAAATATCTTCGTTTAATAAGTTTATTTTAATTAATATAAATATAATCGACCCTTTTTCGTATATATAATCCGTAAAAACGTAATTTATTATAAAAATATATATTATATCTTTAATAATAATATAAATCTTTAAATTTAAATTTTATATATAAATTACCGTATTTTTCGTAAAATTAATATAAGGTTTTATTATTATAATTTAATCGTTCACGTTATATATATTAAATATATCGTTCCTTTTTAAAAAGGTAACGATCTTTTTTTTTAATTATAACTTTTAAACGATTAATTTTAACCCGTATATAATTTTAAATAAAAACATTTCGGGTAATTTATATATATTTTTCGAGTTTTTTTTTTTTATAAATAAATCTTTAAATTTATTTTTATATCGGTAACCCTTTTTTTTACATTATATATATATATTATTAAATGTTTTTTAAATATATATAATTAAAATAATATAATATTTTTAATATAAAAAGTTATTAAATAAATAATTAAAATAAATTTCTTTTATTATTAATTTTATTTTACTTTTCGCCTTTTTTTTCGGTTAATTAAATATACGTTTAATTTTCTTTTTTTTAAACGTAAATAAAGTTATAATTTTAAATAAATCATCGTTTAATAAAATAATTATTATTAAATAATTTAAATCTTTATTATACCGGTGGTTATCCGTATCCGGTTTTATAAATTATTTTTTAATATTAATAAATTTTTATAATAAAAAGAACCGGGATTTTATACCGTTTTTTATAATAACTTTAATAAAGTATTTAAATATAACGCGAGGTTATTTTATTTTTTTATCGTTTAATTCGTTATCCCCGTTTATTCCGTTTAAATCCGCGGTGTTTATTTAATAATAATTAATTATATTACTTAAAAAAAACGTTAAACTTTTATTAAAATCTTCCGTAAAAAAATTTAAAATAATATTATTATTATATAATACGCGTTATTTTAAAAGTCGTTATAAATCGGTATTAATTTTAAAAGTTTAATTTTTATTCGGTGTAACGTTATAATAATTATTATCGTTATCGGATATTTCAAAATTAAAATCGTTAATATTTAACGAATCTTTTTCAGAGTTTTTTTCCGTATCGGATTTTAATAATATATTAAATATTAATACTCGATTAAAATATAAAAAAGCGTTATATAAATCGTTTATTTTTATTCCGTCGTTGATTCTCGCGATATTAACTCGAAACACCCAATGTTTCTTTTCCGAGAAGATTTTATATATAAATTTAAATTCGTAATTAACGAAGTAACCGAATTAACCTCGTTCGTTATAAAATTTAAATAAATTATCACGTTTTATTTTTAAAATTAATATAATATATATATAATTTATAAAAATACTCTTTTATTAAAGATTTAATTTTTATTTATAAAATACTTTTTAAAGCGTTAATTTGTTTTTAAACGCTTTTAATAAACTTTTATTTTTATATTAAACCGTATATTTAAATATTTTAAATTATAAGTTTTTTAAAATGGTTAAATTTTATAATAAGTTTATAAACTTTTTAATAAAAAGTTAAATAAACCTTTTTATTATTTCCGATTCGCGTATTATAAAGTTAACTTTATTTTTTATAATTCGTATTTTTTTTTAAAGATTCCGGTTATATTATATTTATAAAAGATAATAAATTCCGTTTTAAAGTAACGTTTTTTTATAAATCGGTTAACTTTATTAATTTAAAACTCTTTATTTATATAATACGCACGTATAATAATTTTATAACTCTTTTTAATTTTTTTATATATAACTTTAAAAATAAACGGTATATATACCTTTTTAATATACGTTTTTATTTATATAAATTATATTTTATCGTTTATTATAAATAAAATATATCGGGAGTTATTAAACTTTAAAATAAAGTATAAACTTTAAAAGTTTATATAAATAAAATCTCTTTTATTTTTTATTTAACGCTTTATTAATTTATATAAAATACGATTAATTACTTTAATTACGGTATAAATTAAATAAATTTAATTTATTATTCTTTTAATTTATTTATTTATAAAATTATAACCGTTATATATCTTTAAAAGTAATTTTATATTTTATTAATTTATATATTTTAACCGTTAATACCATCGTTAAATATCGTTTTTTAAATTAATAACGACCGCCGTTATATTTATAACGTTATTAAGATTTATTATTAAATTTAAAAGATATAAACCGTTGTATTTTTTAATTTAATTAAAATAATAACCGTTTTTTATTAAAATAACGAATTATTAAACGTTTTATATATTATAAAAGCCGGTTCTTTTAATAAATAACGTTAATAATAATAAATTATAATATATATTTAACGTATATATTACTTTAAAAAAGATAAAAACGTTAATTATATCGTTTTATCTTTAAAATCGTAATTTTATAATATTATTATCGATAATATAAAACTTAATATTTTTATTCGCCGTTTAAATAACGTATTTAAAAAGTATAAAATTTATAAATCGTAATTTATTATTAATAAAAGTAATGTTTATTTTATTATTTATTATTTAAATATACGTAAAAACATTTTTTATTTTAATCGCGATTATTATTAATATATAATTTATTTAAAATTATTTAAATAATAAATTAAACATTCTTTTTTTTATAAATAACCTTTTTTTATATATAACTTTTAAACGTCTTTTTTTAAAAAAATTTTATATAAAAGTGTTAATAAATTATATAAAATTATTTATAAAAAAAAGGTTATATTTAACGGATAATTTTAAACCGGGTTATTAAGTTTATTAATTATAATAATATTAAACCCGTTATTATTATATTAAATATATTCGTTATATAATTAATTATCGATTATTATATTTATAAAATTTTAAAATATATTTATTAATAAGTTTTTAATAAAAAAGGTGTTTAATTTTTCCGAATAAAAGTTAATAAAGTTTTAATTATAAACGTTAAAAATATTTAATACTGTAGATTCTTTTATTTTAATCCGTTAACGATAAATTACGAAGGCTTTTACCGTAATTTTTAAATAACGGGTGGTGGGAAAAGGAAGAAATTAAGTAAATAATAAATTTTATATATATTAAAAGTGTTAAATAAGTGTTTAAACGGTTTCCGTATATTTATTTTTAATATAACCGGGATAATCGTTAAAATGATTTTAAAAATATAATTATTAATAATTAAAATGCGTATAATCGTTGAATAAATTATAAAAATAACTTTATTAATTTTAAATTTAATTTAATTACCGTAATTTAATTATTTATAATATAAATATTTTAATATAAAAAAGGTTTTTAAATATATCGATAACGTTTAATTTATTATAATTAATTATTACCGCGTTTCCGTTAATAACTTTATTATTTTATAAATCGCGGGTTTTTCGAAGTTTATTATAAAAGTTATTTACGTTAATAAAAGTTATTATAACCACTTTTCGTCCGGTTTTACGGTTTTTATTTATCGTTTTTTACGTATTAATATCGTTATAATTTCGAATAATAATAAATATAACCGATTCCCTTTTTTTAATCTTTTTAAGTTTTTTTTTAAAATATATAATTTAATATTTATCGGTTATATACCCGACCGGGTTAAAATAATTAAAGTATATATACTTTTTAATAAAATTATTATTTTAATTTTAACGTTTATTACGATTATTATTAACATTTTTAATTCGAATAATTTTTATTTTATAAATAAATAATTAATTTTTAAAGAAATAAAAGTTAAAAGGGTCGTTTATATATTAAATACGGTATTAATTTTATAAAACACGGAAACCGATATAATCGACGTTTAAATTTATTAAAATGTTAATAATTATATTTATATTTATATAATTTACGTTATATTATTTAAAATTAAGTTTAAATTTAATATATTAATTAAAGTATTTTATAACCGACGAACATTTTTATAATTTATAATTAACGATTTGTTTTTTAATTTAAAACCGAATTCGTTTATTAGTAATACCGTAACTTCGTTTAAAATACGTAACTGTTTTAATAAAATCTTTAATATTTTAAATTTTAATAAAAATGGTTTCGGAAACCGATTTATAAAGTAATTTAATAATTAATCTTGTTTTTATTTTATTAAACTCTTATTATTTATACGCGGTTTAATACTTTAAAAGGCTTTTATTAATATCGATGTTTAATTTATTTTCGTGGGTAATTATAACACGTTTTTTAATATAATTAACGGATGTAATAAAGAAGTTAACGTAATAATCCTTTTCGCGAGGTTCTTTTTTAATTATATATTTAACGCCGTTTAAAAGGGTTTAATAATCGAGATTTTTAACGGTGCGATTTAAATGTTAACGTTATTTGAAATAATTATATTAATTATAAAAAGGGTGTTTCTCCACGTCGAAGAAGTTTATATCCGTTATATTAACGGTTAGTTTTATTTATAAAAGGTTTAAATGTGGAGTGTAACGTATAATATTTATAAGTTTATAATCTCACTTAATTTTAATCACTTTTCCGTGTTATTTAAGCGTTTCCGAGGAAATTTTTAGGTAAAGGGATTTATAACCAGTTAAAGAGAGTAAAAAGTGAAAGATTTAAATTATAAAATACTGTCTAAGGTGGAGGATTAAATATTCCATTTAAACTCTCTACCTAGTTTACAATCCTATAAGTAAACAAAGCCTATACAAGGTAATAAGGGAGCGTAGGTCCAGAGGGTTCTGGCATCCAAAGACAACTAATTCAACCTCGCTTGTTCCGTGACCAGCGCACACTACTGATAGTGCCAAGGTAGAAGCCGACGAGTCTCCCACGAAAGTAGTCGTATACCTCGTGTAACGCTCTACTGCAGATAAGTAGAAGAATTGGATAGTTATCAGTTCGAAATTGCTGAGAAAGAGGCAACGGTAAGCTCCGTCTTCGCCTGGCTCGGCGATGGAGACGGCAATGTCGTACGAAATGCTGTATGTCGTGCCTGTGACAATTGGGAGAGTCTGTAAAATGCTGGCGCTGGAACCATTTCGTTCGCCAACGCTAACATACAAGCGCGCAGCGCTGGATGATTCGCTGCCAGGATGTATGAGGCCGGCAACCGTGGTATCGCCCATGGTTTGGTTGCCTGTAGTGATGGTGAACCACGGCGGGAGGGAGCCATCAACTTCTTCGAAGCCGGAGTTTTGTACAATGTTTGCGAGAATGGGGCTACAATAAGATTGTTAGAAGGAGGATTAAAACCTGGATATGATCTTACCTGGTAATTGTGGTTGTGCTTGAGCTTGTTGATGTTGTACTCGAGGTTAATGTTGCGGTTGTCTGGGTGGACAATTGGAAGCTTGTGGATGACACACTGTACAAAGACTTAGTAAGTAATCCCCTGATAGAAAGCCCGTTAAGGCATCATAGATCACTTGGACGCAACGTTTGGGTTATCCCCTTACTTAGTGCTTTCAGTGCTTGAATGGGGAATCGTATTGGTCTTGGCTGGGTACTCAATAGGGTATCTACCACTCTCTGAGCACAGTCTCGCAGAGACTACACCAAGCCAGATAACCGCAGCAATTAGTGACTTTCGCATCTTGTATATCTCCTCTCTCATGTAAGAAAGTGACTGATGAAGAGCACTAGCGTGACAGCTGATACGGGGAAATCCGAAAGTTTTTACAGCGCTTGATAGCATGAAGCGTATTTATATATACAAGCTAAAGCGCCGCATATGAACAGTAGCTGAGACCTTCTAGTGAACTTTGATGGCCAGATCTAGCTAACGATGAACCACGACATAGAGCTGCCTATGGTGTGCGCTCATTTCCAGCCACGGCTGCCACAGTTCACTTCAGCCGCAAAAGCGGCAACACAATCTGGTGAGGCTAGGCATTTCTAGGGCACGGTCTTGAGAGACATATGAGCCTAAGGTCTTATTAATGTGGCCTGCACAATCCCATCGATGTGCAAGGCATCATATCGCTGGAGCTACATATTGACTTGGTCAAGGTGCTAGCAAAACGGCTAGGAAGTACGCCCAACGATTTTGATACGTAGGTAGTTTAGTTAAGGTATCTATTTATAAGGCATCCTCTCTTAGCACTAATTCAGCCTAGTTTCCTTTTTAAATAGGTCAACATCTTCAGCACGTCTTCAGGGTCTCCCAGCAGTTTGCAGGACAATTTCAAGACTCAAATTGCAGCTCAGGGTGATTCTTGGTGTGAATCGCTCGTAAAATTGTACCTAGAGGGTACCTATGCACTTATCAGCAAGCGGATCTAGTCTATAGGGTCAGCAGTCTGGAAGGGCCAACACTAAGCTACCAGGTAAAACTGAATAGGCTCGGGATCATACTTCAATGATAAACAACGTTGATGGTTTGCTCAGGTCATCGTATAGTGCTGCAAGGATGAATGATGGCATTGTGATCCACAAAACCCCCCTTTCGTAGCCACAACAACTGGCTGCGGCTGATATGGTCTGGCTCTCCGGCGGTGGGACAAAAGGGGCATCGGCAACTCTAGGGGTTTCTACATGGGCACTTAAAATTAAAGTGGGACAAGAGCGTGAACGCGTTCGGCTCTGAACAGTCTCGTTTAGTGACCAGTGACCGAAAGTAATAACTTGTGCAAACAAAAGCGAAGTCATAACAAAAGCGACTCCCAAAATTACTAATGGAGGTTTTGCTATTGTGTTCAACGTGCATCTGTTTCCACTTCCCCTGGTGTGCACATCAAATGCAGGGACAATGGATACCGGGTTGAACACCGATCCCGCTTTTCTCATTGACTCCGAATCAGACCATGGCCTGGATTCAGATTCCTCAACAGACTCCGAACACGGTCAAGGGACCATCGAGTACTGGAAGCAGCAATTTTCAAGGCAACTTGACGGCATAAAAACGGTGGGCAACTTTGCGGCCTCGAAGCAGTATTCCGCCTTCGCCAATCCTGGACTTGAAGTAGCTGGGTCCTTGATACCGCTGCCTCTTTATATCTCGCGATGCCGAGACGCTGAAGGGTGTCTGTCGGCAGGCACCGTTCGGGCGCGGGGACGAGACTCTGGTCGATGAGAACGTCCGCAAGACCTGGGAGCTCAGCAACGACCAGTTTAAGCTCGCGAATCCGGCATGGCCTGGGTTCTTCGAGACCGTGTGCCAAGGCGCGTCGGCAAGCCTGGGGATTCCAGGGGTACGGTTCGAGCCCTATAAGTTACTGCTCTACGAGGAGGGATCTTTCTTCAAGCGTCACAAGGACTCCGAGAAGATGCCGGGCATGATCGGGACGCTCGTCGTGTGCCTCCCCTCGCAACACGAGGGCGGCGATGTTCATCTGGGGCTTGGCGACAAGCAGAGGACGTTTTCCACAAGCTCCGCTTCAGCATTCGATATCACATCCCTTGTGTGGTTCTCAGATGTCACTCACGAAGTTACAAGGTTAACTTCGGGCTACCGTCTTGTCCTTACGTATAACATTGTCAAGAACCGCTCAAGTGTGCCATCACCTCGGGCCGTCGTCAAGCAGCAAGAGGACGTAGGCGGGTTTCTCAGCTCATTGAGTGAACAGTTCAAGGAAGTCGATCACCTGGTTTACCCGTTGGAACATAAGTATACCGAGTCAAGTCTGTCTCTTCGGAACATGAAGGGGCGTGACCAAGCGGTGTGCAATTGTCTAGAACGGCAGAGCTCCAAGCATGGGTGCTACATTCTCCTAGCTAACTTGACGAAGACACATGAGCCAGGCGATATGTATTACGATGAGGAAGACGAACGCGAGACCAGCTTGACGCTCGATTGCGTCGTTTCATGCGACGGCGACCTAGTTGCGAGCGATGTTGATATCGAAATGGCCGACATACTCGGCCATATCCGGTACGCGCATCGAGACGCGGATAGCGAGGACGAGGGCGAGTTCACAGGCAACGACAGCATGCCGTCCAAATACCGTTACCATGACTCGGTAAGTTGTGAACGGCTTGCTGACTGGGTTTCCAGCTTGCCACTGCTAACACATGCTTCAGGTCGTGGTGATAATTCCAACAACGCGCTTCCATACGCTGCTTGGTACCTATCGCTCTGACTCGGAGACTAGGAACATGCTCAAAGTCATTGAAGATGACTTACTAAAGCACCCGGAGGATCAAAGGACCCGGAAGTTTGCACTTGAGTTCTTGGCGAAACAGCTCACCATTGCAACGTCCCTGGGTGGTGCAACACTGGCCTTGATCGCGCAGTGGGCTGTGAAACTGGGTCATCAACATCTCTTACACAGTGCCATCCGCCAATCGGTTCACATACGGGCTTGGGACCATGTGTTCCTAGCTATTGCTGCCATTATTAACGATGGTTTCCGTCAAAACTCGGGGCTTCCTGAGTGGAGTGTATGGTGAGAAAGCTACTCCCAGTCCATACCTTTTTCACGGTCCAGTCTCTGACAACGACTTCAGGCTCAATGAATTTGTGAAAGCGTCTCGGAGCCTTACAGAGCTAGGCAGCATATTGCTGAGCCTTGACTTGCAGCTTAGTGAAGGCCTGCGGCCAAGTTTCAAGGCTTGGCAGAGTTTGCAAGAGGAAAGACAGCTGGAACAGAAGCCAACTCTCGTCCTCTCTGACCTTAATCTCGTGGCGAAGATGATAGAGACTCATTCTGGTGACATAAATTGGGTGAAATCCAAGTAAGATTTATTTCCCCCTTCCTATACCGTATTGCCGGTCCTTCAAGCTAACTTATCTTGTCAACTCGCAGGTTGGCACCTAGTCTAACTGGATGAGGAGAGAAAAACCTCATTATCGCTGTCGCGAACCAGCTGCTCAAAAAGAGTCAAGAAGGCATAAACCAGGCCGAAAGGGACATGGCCCGTGAGATGGCTGAAGTGATCCTGGAGAGCACAGTCTCCAAACTACCCCTGAAACTCGCCGAGATAGCTACTTGTGGTGGCTGGGATTTTGCGCAAGCGCCTACCACTCCGAAGTTCCTTATCAAACAGGAAGCTTTGAGATACCCCACCAATTTCCTGCTCCTCGTCGATTCTTGTTTCCGCCACCCACACCAGCTCCGTAATATGGCCAAGGAGCTCCTGGAATCGACATGTGCGCCGCTGGTCGAATCTCAGCGCCACTGGCCGGACCGGATCGGCTCCGTCGACGAGTTCCTAAGCACCATCATGTTGGTTTATAACAGAAATACGCAGTCGCTTTCGCCGACTGTGAAGACCTTCTGGGCGGCTGTGTTTCGCACGTACGTGATCGGGGCCGTGCCCGCCTATCCCAAACAGCTCCCGGGCCTGCAGCACAGGGCTCGCGGTTGCAGTGATGCGTCTTGCCGCGATTGCCGCGACTTGGACGAGTTCCTGCTCTCAACCACCCAGCGGACGTTTGAGCTGAAAGCCAACGAGAAGAGCAGACGCCACGTCGCGGATCGCCTCCCCGGTGGGTTGTACAGCAATATTGTGTTCAAGATCGAGACAAACACTCGATCCAAGTCGCCCTATACCCTCATAGTCACCAAGATGCCCAGCAAGGAGTTTCAGCATGACCTCGCTAGCTACCGCCGCCAGGTCGCAGTCATCAGGGACAAGGTCGAGCCCTACCGGCAAGACTACATCAACAAACTCCTCGGGGACGACATGTACGGCGAGCTCATAATGCTGAACCAGATCCGGGATGTGCCAGCGTCGACCACTTCGGGCGTGGAGAGGAAGGCTCTCGACGAGCTACCGAACTTGTCTTCTTCGCGAATGCGGTTCGGCTAGGTCACCAGCCACAGCTCAAGGTCCATATCCATTACGTTGCGTAGACATACGAATATCTTAGCTGGCTAAATTGATGATATCTGCGAAGCAATGCACGCAGCGTGAAGTGACAGTGGTGTTACTATTGAAACCCACCCCACTTCCCAGATAGTCAAGTCTCTGTATATAAATAAGATTCGCTGTCCTCACCTAGAGCGCACACGCTGGCGACAAATACAACTGTCCCATCTTATGTCACATGAATCATCAATCAACGCTGTATGAAGGCAGCTGCCGTTCCATTTTTCTCCATAATCTCTGCTTTCAGCTTTCGGAAAAGAATACATCGCATCGTCCTCAGATCACAGACGGAGGATCAAAGTGCTACGCTCAGATTGAACAACGAGGTAGCAATGCATAATATTATGGTATCATCAAGAAGTGAACCGAAATCTGCCACCCCTCCTCAAAAACATGTCTGGCTTTGTCTATTGAGTCTAACATCATAACCATCTCCCCTGATAGGCTGACTGCGCTTGTCGTTTACATGACAACCTATAGCAAATGTCAGTCTCTGGCACAACGACTGTCTGAAATGGCGGGATAGGTCTGTAACTTACACAATCGTCATCCTTCTTTGCTTTGGGGATGCCCATCTCTTCGAAGGTGGCGGGGCCCTGTTTGACAGGGGCTGCGGGTGCCGTGGCCGCGGAGTTGGTGGTGCTGGCGCTGGGAGCCGGCGAAGCGTTCATCGGCCGTGACTGGTTAGGAGGCGCGCTTGCACGTCCAGCTCCACTATCCTTCAGCTGGACAGGCGGCCTTGTGCTGACGGGCCGACCGGCGCCAGGTCCACCAACGGGCAGCCCCGGGCCGTGAGAATCGTGACGTGGTGGTCCCATCCCACCAGACATGGCCGGCGAGCCCAGACTGGGAGCAGCCGACGCACGACCGCCGTAGGGGTCATGAGCGGCACTGGATGGCCGCGATGACGTACGAGCTCCGTACTCGCGGCCAGGTTGCGATGGGGTAGGACCAGGGCCATAACCTCCCATGGGATATTGTCCAGGAGACGGCCCTCCCTTTGGTGGTACAGCCGGGTTAGGGTTGGTCTTTGTCAGACGGTTGTGAGCTGGATTGGCAGAAACAGGCCCGCCCGGCGCACCAGAGAGTCGAGGATCATAATGAGAGGATCCAGGGCGGGCAGAGTCTTGGTAGCCAGGCCCAGGACTTGACCGTCTGTAATCGTTGTTGTATCCACCGGGTACTTGGGGCTGCCACCCAGCAGACACGGGGCGACCACGAGGATCAGCTCCAGCAGGTGGAATGCCAAGACTACCTCCCGCATGTGAAGCCCGCATCCCGGCACTGGGAGGCCCTTGGCGACCAGGGGAATCCGTCCGAACACCAAAAGCACTCCCAGCACGTCCACCTGCGGAGGGCGGGATATTGGGGTTGTAATGAGGTGATAGCGGGGGTCGGCCCACCGTGTCGTCCTCGGGATACGGCGCTGCTGATTTGGGCCGTGCTGCGAGGTTAAGCGGTGCGGGCCGCTCATCATCTGGGTACGGGGCGGCCGATTGCGGGCGACCACCTGCCGTCCTGTCGGGCAGATTGACGGTGAAGGCCGGTGCCCTGCCCCCGCTTACCTTGCTAGGGTCTGGCATATCGGTGCTGGGGAAGTCTGAACCGCGCGGCGAAGGCTGAGGGGAGTTTCTCTCTGACTCTGCCAGAGCTGGCATGGCATTGACCTGCTTGAAGCGGTCGGGTCTCTTGCCGCGCTGCGAGCCGTGCTGGGACTTGATCCTGGTAAGAGTTGTGCTCTCGTGGTCCTGCTTGGAGAGAACCTTAGACTGGGAAAGTCCATCCAGACGTCCCACAGCGTCCTTGTTGCCGTGCTCGGCAGCAAGCTCATACCACTTCCGCGCCTCTCGAATATCCTTCTCGACGAATATGCCAATCTCGTGGTAGTAGCCCATGGCAAACTCGCCGGTGGGGAGCTTAGCCGCCGCGGCAAGCTGCGCATACTTGTAGGCCAGCTGCTCGTTCTTGGCAAACGAGGTCTCGTAACCAAACAAAAACCATCTGCTGACGCCGAGACATGCTTCAGGCTGACCCTGTCGAGCTGCCAACCCGTAGTAGTGGAGGGAGAGGGCGGGGTTGAAGTCGCAGCCGAGCTGGCAGAGCTCGTATGCTTGTCCCATCTTCAGCTGAGCTTTCGCAAAACCCAGGTAAGCTGCCTTTTCAATATACTGTCTAGCAACAGTGATGTCCAAGGAGAGCATGGACTCGGGAACGGCCACATCAGGCAGGTCTCTAGCGATGATCATGCCGTAGACAAAAGCTCCCTGAGGCGCGTCTTCATCGGCAGTATCGGCAGCGGCCTGAATAAGATCCAGTCCGCGGGACACGTCCTTGCGCTGGCCATGCTGCCCCATCAGGCTGATCATACCGAGCCGATAGGATGCGGCCGAGTCATTCAATGCCAGTCCAGAGTGGTAGTGTCGCAGGGCCTTGTCGACGTCGTTAGAATTCTCGTAGAGCATGCCGATTCTGTACTCGGCGCGACCCCATCCTTGCGACGCTGCCGCGACATAGCCATTGTAGGCCTCTTTCTTGTCCTGTCTCTTGCCAAATTTGCCAAACTCCAGCCACTTGCTCCTGATGAAGGCCGCTTCCGGGTGTCCCTGGTCCGCAAGGTATATGATGATGTTGGTGGCATCGTTCCGGAGCTCATGCTCGAGCCGTGGGGTCTGAGGCCGCCCATAGTCCCGGTCGCCAGGCTTACGGGCCGTCTCGTACTCGCGTGTGGCGGCCTCAGCCGAGATCTCAACATAAGCCAGGACGTCGCGAGCCCAGCAGATCTGCATGTTGGGGTCGTTTGAGTGCAGGACGAGCTCCCGACTCTCGGCCAGAACGGTTTCTTTCTCCTCGTCGCTTGGCGGAATGTGTTCGCCCTGCACCTTCGGGAAGGGCGAGAACGAAGGCTTGTCTGGCTTGTTCATCTTCCTGTCATAGTGCGAGGACGTGTCCGCGCTCTCGTGGAAAGGGCTGTAGTTGGAGGCTGGGCTGTAGTCGGCGTGGTCGGCCGCGGCCTTCTGGTACTGATGGCCGTACGTGCCCACGTTGGTGTTCAAGACATGGGACAATGAGGGTTCGCGGCCGTGAGCAGGCCTGCCTCCGTGTTGCGAGTGCGAGCCAGGTCGGTTCGGGTCGATTGATCGCGCCTCCAGTTCCATGCGCTGTAGGTCTTGCTGCATGTTCTGGGGCACTTCAGGCATCACCCTTTGTTTGCGAAAGAGTCAATGTCAGCAAAGAGAACAACGGAGCAAACTGGGCTTTTCTTTGAAGGAGCGCCGGAATCGCGGGCTCGGCCGCGCGAGCTAGGCGCAGGACAATGCAGGGGAGCCCGCTAAGAGCAGCACGGCACGGCAGTAAGCAGAACAAAGCAAGCAAACGCAGCGTCTTACCTCTGAGGGGCGGGCGCGATGACTTCAGGCATGTAGTAATCGTCTACGCCGCCTGGGTAGAAGGTGGCACCAAACTGAGGCATGTCGGAAGAAGCGTTTCTCAGGTGCTGCGGGCCTGCATAAATCCCAGGAAAGGGACAAATCGTCAGCGCCGGAGTCCTCAGCCAATGGACCAGCCCAAAACGTCAGCCCAGGAGCGCTGCGAATATTCCTTGCAACGCGCAGCCTTGGAACCCCCCCGCGAATGTCTGGCGGTGGCGGGGCTCGGGTTTGATCAGGGTGGGATTTGCAGATGATTTGGGCCCCTGGTCGTCTCTCTCCCCTCTCTCTCTCTCTCTCGGCGGGTGTCTCGTCCAGCAGCTCCGCCTTTGCGCGCGCGCGCTCGCTTTCCCTGTTCTCCCTCTCGGTCTCTCGACGGAACTCCACACGGCTACTCCACTCGGGTTGATCTGGGCTGCAGCGAGGACTCCGAAAAAGCCGAAAACGCCAGCGGGGGTGTGAGGTATGTGTGCTGGATGTTGAGTGTTTGCGGATGTTCGGGTTGTGAAGCAGCTAAAAGCTGTTCTCAAATGGGTGTGCCGCGTCCGGCTACAGTTGCAGTAGGCTCATTAAACGCTTTGGATAGCTAACGGGGCCTCATTAGACAGGCTGGGACTTTCTTGTCTAAAAAAGGCGCCCAAGACAATCCAGCGATGCGGTCCAGCAGGCCGGTCTTTACTTGAAATCGCTAGGGGCAAGTCAAGGCGGGCTATGCAATTGCCCCAGAAATCCGAGAGGGTCTCGTTGTGGAAAAGGAGGATTCTGTGGAGACTTTGGGCTTCTGGCCGTTATGGAGCTACCTAGGAGCTGACAATACCGGATCGCAGTGCCATGGGTGGCTTGCATGGCTTCCAAGCAACAAGCTGGAGCAGAGACCGAGAGACGCTATGCAGGTTGCACTGTTGCGCAATTCGAATCGCACCCGTAGGTGTAGGTGACATCCGGCAGATGGCGGCAGGGGTCATGTAAAGAGACGGATGACCTCATCCGTCTGTGAGCCGCCCCTATGCAACAACCCACATTCAGCGGTGGTGAATGCATGTGAAATACGTGTGTATTGGACGGGCCCGGATGTTGCTTAAAATGGACGGGCATGCCGAAGCAGAACGGCTGTCCCCTTGAGCTCCTCTGGCCGGAGGCTGCAGCCTTCAAGTGACCCGTGTTTCGTGCCGATAGGGCGCCTTGAACAGGTTGACAGCCGAAGGATCTAGTTGGGAGGCAGCTGAACTATGCAGCAGCAAGCCAACAGCCAAGTGCTGACGCGAGAGAACAGCGGCAGAGCAAGAGAGGAGAGTAGCGAGCGACCAGGCTAGTCCAGCATATCCCACCCCACTCACAAGACTCGCCCGTGGATTGCATGTCATGCACGGCATACTCGCACCTAATTGAACACTTGGGGGGCGTCGGTGTTGGAGGGCTCGCCTTACCTGATGGGTTCGCAGCCGTAGCCGTAGCCATGGCCGTCGAAGTTGCAGCAGACTGGGGGCCGTTGGCGGCCGCCGTGGAGAGAGCCGCACTGCCGCCGCCTGGCCGCGCGTATGGTGGGTTGGACTGGGTCGTCATTTCACCTGCGAAGTCGCGTCCATATGTGCGCCGATCGTCTACCAGATTTCTGCAGCGCTCTGGGCGGAGGCGGAGGCCAGTCGTCGAGGTGTGAGATTGCGGCGGAGATTCAATGCTGAGTAGCAGACGTAATCATGGCAAAGGGGCCAGGCAGCATGATATTGATACCGTGGTAGTAGTGCCATGGGTTGCACGCCCCTCTGCAGAGGTATGAAAGCGGTGGAATCCCCGCTGAGCAATAATAGATTTCACACAGTAAGTTGCCAGAGCTGGAATCCACCGTGGAGAGTAGACTCGAAATGCTCGAAGGAGAAGCCAGGAAGTTGCGCAGGACATGCGCCTACGTAGATATTTATTGCTTCGTCAAACACAGTCCGCCGTGCCCACCCATCTGTCGATTCCCCAACCTAGCATGGACGGGGTTGAGACGGACCAACCCAAAAGGCACGAAGGAGCACCGACTCATTTCGGGCTTCAGGGTGTAGTGGTGTAGTTTGCTGGGTTTGAGGCATCGTGGCACCGTGCCGCTGCATACCATGGATACCACTCGTCACAAACTCCGGGGGTACATGACCACGTCGAAGTAACACAGCCCTCAGCGGGGTGAACAGTGCAGCAAACAGGGGGGACGGCTTCTGCTACGCCGTGTCGGGTTGTCGGGCAAGTATCCAATGTTTCTCTCGAGAACGCAACGCAGGTGATGGCGTCGCGATTCAGGGTCCTTACTCCAGAACGGCTGGCAACGACTCTAGCGCCATTGAGCACCGCCCTCGTGGGTTTCTATTTAAGGTTTCTTGGCAAGCCGCCCTGTACTATGCACCGCGGCTAAGCTCTGCCCACCATGGGCTACCAGGTCACTTCTTGCTTACTATTCATTGTACTGTTACTAAGTGGCTGCAGAAGTGACCAGACGTCAAAGTGTAGCAGCTGAAGTCGGGTCGGTGCTGGGATCGCCTCTTGCCAGGCTCGCGGCCCATCGTTTCAAGTGCCAGAGCATTACCTCGTACTGATGGCACGTTGCTGGGCAAGGGAGGAAGGTTGGGCGATCATCAAGGGTTCCGACGGGACGATCCGCAATACGCATTGCTGGGAATCGCCTGTTGAAGAATAGAGACTGGAGAACCAACTCCTGCGAGGGATACTTTGGGCAACAGGTCTCATTTCAGCCAAAGAATGTGATTGCGCAGGAAGCTGCCTGTGACGACAACTATAGCCACATGTACATTCTTCAAGCGCGAGGCGGAACCGGCGTGCAATACCGCCCTGCCCGTGTGACCAGCGTCCAGTGAGCGCCTGACTGGTGCCAACTCACAGGTGATCCTGACTGATAAGAGATGGCGGGTCACAGTAGCTGGGCAGTCAAGCTGGTAGACTGGGTGCAAACGGGAGACGTATATTTCGTTGGTTTCTGTGACCATGGAGCACTTTGGAGGAGGATCATCTGTCTCTGGCATAGCTGTGTACCTGCACAGAAGAAGAAGATGCGATTCTTCTGGAAGAAAGACAAGCGGGAGCCACCGGCTGGTCGATCGGCGTTGAGGCCAAGCCAAGCCCCGGCCAGCGCAAATGCAGCCCACGCCACAGCTGGCAGCCACTGTGGCCCAAGCTCGATGTCGTCGGCATCGGCGCCTGGCCAGGGGCTGGGGGACGGCGGGCGCAAGGCCAAGGCTAAAGGCAGGAGGCCCAGTAGCTCCAGCTCCACGTCCGGGCCCCAGTCCAGGTCCAGGTCCAGGTCCAGGTGGTTCGTCAGCCTCTCAGCCTGGCGGCGCCTTGTCCGACCAGAGTCAACATCGCAAAGAACATCATCACCGTCGCCATCACCATCACCATCTCCACCACAGCAAACGGCCAGCGAACCAGTGACCCACAGAGCGTCTGTCCCGGATTTAGGAGACCGACTCGAGCACGGCACCCCAAGAACATTCCCCAACAAGGAAACACTGCCGCCCGCCCAAACAATCGCAACACCACCCTCACAGTCGGCCGAGCCCGTATCGTCACTCTCACCACCTCCGCTGGCACCACCGGCATCACCGCCGCCCGCACCAGCCGCCCGAAACATCGCGTGCATCCCACACACCGCCGCCATGGCCGAACGCACGGTGCAGCAGATCATAACACAGCTCAAGGGCAACCCCAAGCTGCCCTACGACCAGGCCTCGCAGCTGCTGTCCAAGGCCAAGCTGGCCCTGCTGCAGCTCAAGGCCCTGACCCCGACCGCCGGCGCCCCGCCCAACCTGCTGGCCCTGGCCCGCGACGTCTACGAGCACGGCGCCCTGGCCTCCATCCGCGCCCGCAACCCGGACGCCTTCACCCGCTACGTCTCCCAGCTGCAGCCCTTCTACGAGCTGCCCGCCACCCAGCTCAAGCCCAACCCCGACGCCCGGAATAAGGTCACCGGCCTGTACCTGCTCCTGCTCCTGACCCAGGGCCGCTACGACATCTTCCACAGCGAGCTCGAGGGCCTCAGCACCCAGCTGGGCAACGACGGCATCGAGGCCGACCGCTACCTGGGCTACCCTATCAAGCTCGAGCGCTGGCTCATGGAGGGCAGCTACGACCGCGTGTGGAAAGCCATGAAGAAGGGCGAGGTCCCCAGCGAGGAGTACGGCGTCTTCTCCCAGGTATGTCATCGCATTCCGACGTCTACGTAGAAACTTCTCCTTATATGCTAACACACCGCGACAACACAGATTCTCACATCCCAGATCCGCTCAGAGATCGCCTCCTCCTCCGAACGCGCATACCCTTCCTTGCCTCTCAGCAGTACCAAGTCGCTCCTGTTCCTGGAGTCTGAAGGCGCCGTAGTGGAGTTTGCTCGCCAGCGCGGCTGGGTCATCCGCGACGGCCAGATCTACTTCCCCGCGGCCGAGGCCGAGGATGCCGAGGAGAAGGATATCTCACAGATGGTCATTGAGAACACGCTGGGATACGCCAGGGAACTGGAGACCATCGTCTAAGATGCTGGTTGCAGGGAATGTGGGGATCACTACTGCTCGACGAGACGAATGAAAGCGAGCAGAGCCTTGGGGCGGCATTGTGTCCGCCGCGCCGGACGAGAAGGAGCGTAACGGCCTGATTCTGTGTAATGATATGACCCAAAACATGTGCCCCTAGACGGCAGACTACGCCGCGGTAGCTGCTGAGAATAGAGATATCCGTTCTTAAGGGATCGAGGCGTCTCCATGCCTGCTGACCGCTCAGAAGCCCATGCATGGCACGTCTTTGTCATAAGCCTTCAACCACCATCACACTGTGCCTCTCTAACCACTGTTCCTCTTCAACAATTTCCATTGGAGATAATGATTACGCTCCCTCGCCTAGATAAATCCCTGCTCGGGTCATCTCCACCACACTTCAACATGTATCACATCCTAAATCGCCGTTTTTGTTGCATGCTGCCTCCCCGGTCCCCAAGCCTCATCCTGCACCATGTCCCGACCATATGGATCCAGACCGAGGGCCCCGGGAGGGATTCTTGCTCCTCTGCCAGGTCACCGAACACGCGTATACACCACGCCAGGACATCCGGTCTTGTTCGCCCCCTCAACCGTGACCCCCATGGGGGAAATTCATAGTAAGTTCCGGAGTCAGGAAACCGCCTTCCCCCTTGCATCTCCAGCTTCCGGTCTAGCAGCGAGTCTGGCGTCTCTGATCTGATTCTCATGCTCGCGCCAACGGGTCTTACAGCCGGGGAATCCTACCAAGTCGGTGAGGAACCTCTGGTAGCGATATGCGTGCATGCTCTCGAGACGTTTTCGAGCCCAGGGGTCCGCGCCGCTGCAGCCACGGTCCCAGGGCCAGCAGCCCACTCCGCCGCCGCGGCACAGCAGCAGCGAACAAGCAGGAGAGCTGCGTGTTACGCCATGGTATCTTTGAATATTAATTTCTATTTCTGTTTCGTAACAACCCGCGCTTTCGTGATTCATCTATCAGCCTCCAGATCAAAACCGTGCCGGTCCAAACTTGTGGCATCATGTGCAAACGCACGTATAGAAAGGCAAAATAGAGCAACGAGGTCTAAAATACTCATTCGAATCCCAGCTCAGTCCAGGCTGTGCCGAAGGGTCGGATGGTGATAGGATCGCTTGTCCGGCACACACTCTGGCTCACTGTGCCACGTGCATGAACGGAATGAGGTGTCATTGTGAATTCAGCTCCCACGGCACACGCAGTATACCACGTCTCTGAGCTTGCTCTGGGCTTTAGACTACACGGTCCCTCAGGCTGATATCTTGGTTGAAAACTTGAGTTTGCAGTCAAGCTCCTACACAGCTGTTTGTCTGTCGTGACGACGTAGAGCGGAATGTATCGGCACACCCTTCTTCAAGGAGGAATGAAGCATAACGTCAGCTAATCATGTTGTCCCTCGACATGCATCCAGTGTCTACCCATGATATGCGAAAATCTGAAGGTCGTAGATGTGGCTCATATGCTTCCGTGTGAGCGTTGATCCTGTGCTATCAGATATGCTACACTCACCAACAGCACAATATCATAAGTGCAAACAACAGACCGAGTTAGCTCCCAGTCGATGTCAAATCATCTGGCATGAAAAAAGAGTCATTTTGATTCCGCATACTAATGCTCAGCACCACTACATGTCACCTCGTATGGCTAGCTCGACCTAGCGCCCCGTCGAGCCGGCCTGTTGGCCGGCTCTCGCTTTCTATCTCTACGTTTTATGTTTTGGAGACCGCCTGTGCCCAACCCGCAAAAAAGGACTCCTTGACGCGTTGTTCTCGTTGCGGACATTCAGCTCAAAACCTCCTGCCTGCTTATGCTGGGCACCTGCCGCATAGGCTATTATAGAGGCTCACGGAGAGCCCCACTTTTGGCCCCCTTCAGCGGTACGGTGATTCGTGATCCGCTCAGCACAGGAGCGCTATATCAACGGCGTTCCAGCTGTCTAGGCGAAGAATTTCAGGCCGCTGCCATTCTTGCCAACTTCGCACACCTCGCATATCGTGCAGACGGTACCCTTGTACTTGGAGTGGTACTTGGATCCGTCAAAGGCACAGACCTCAAACGGCGTACCGCTGTAAATCGGTGTGTAGGAAGCAGCGCAGATCTCGAACTCAGCAAACTGGTCGTACTCGATCTCTACAGCATCGTGTGGGTTGCGCTCAGCCTGAGCCTTGACTTTCTTGGCCTGCACGAACATGGTTAGATATGAATTGGATAAAGGTCTTACAGGTCAACTTACGTTTTCTAGTAATCTGGGGGCACCACCGTTGGCCAGCATCCTGTTTGCAAAACTCAATGCAGAGCTCAAGTTCTTGCTTCTGCTAGCCAGGTTCATGGCATTAAGCAGAGCAAGCTGTCGGTGCGGAACCTCGATCTTGGGGATGGTGAAGTATGCCGAGAGCTCGAGGCTGCGCTTCGTGAGTTCGGGGCTGGCGTTGACGACATCGGGTGTGCCAAGCCGGCGACGTGTCACCTCAATCGACATGGCTAGCGCGTACTCCGCGGCAGATGTGATGAGCTTCTTCGCCTCGGCGACTTCTCCTTCAGCTGAGACAGCATTCACCAAAAGCGCACGTAGGATGCCCTTGAAGATTTGAACACCATCCTCGAGCTTGTTGCTCTTCATCGAGTCGTAACCCTTCTGAAGGTCATTTGATGCAAGGTGTTCTAGATCTCTGGGAATAATGGGGAGAACCTGGCGAGGATCTGTCTCGTCGACCGTCCGGCGCACATAGTTGACGAGGGGCGACAAGCCAGCGGATGCCGGTAGGTAAGTTTTTGACGCCTGGTAGATTTCGAGGAATCTGGGCTTCAGAGGGGCGAAGTTGACGGCACCCACTTGGCGGTTCAAGAGGTTCATTGCTGATTCAAAGGAGCCACCTGCCACATGATCGGCTGCCAGTGGCGAGTTGCGAGCCCAGAGATCTGCCTCGCTGCTTCCGGCACCACCAGCTTCGGTGCTGTCGACGTTGACAAAGTCGTGGTCAGCTTCCGGGACAATGTCATCACCCAGATCCCAGCCGGCAGCGTCGTCATCGTCTTCCACCTCAAGAGCGGCGGTCTTCTTGGTGAGGATATCTTCATCGCCAAGCTCGTCAAAACCATTAGTGGCTGCTGCTGGCTCCTCCTCGAGGCTGAGGCCTTCCAATTGACCTGCGAGAGCCTTCTCAAAGAACGACTGCGAGCTAGCCTTGGTGGGCCAGTTGGCCTTATACGTAGGCACGACGGGCTGCGGCTGCTTGAGCGGCTCACCGAATTCGGGCAGGGTCAATTGGTCCTCCGTAATACCGGTTACCTCAAGGATGGACTGGCACTCCTCTTCCAATCCATGGGCCTTGGCAGTCATGTACGCGAGCGGATCTGATGGCTGCATTAGCAGGGTGAATTGATTTAGAGCGAGGCGCGTTCGACTTACAGAGGTCAATCTCCTTGAACATTTGTATCCTGTCCTCGACCTCACCGAGGTACAGGGCATTTTGGAATCGGGCAGTGAAATCACCACGGTGTTCAGCAATCTTGGCCATTCTAGCCAGCTTGCTGTGGTCGCCAGTCGATAGGTACAGGAAGGAAAGCTTCTCAAACTGCTTGAGCTTCTGGTACGCCATCTCCACAACCTGGTGGTTACCATGGGACAAAGCTTCGTCGCCGACGCGCTTCCACAGGGCTGGGCGATCAAGCTCCTTGGCGACCTCGACGGCGACGTCAAGGTTGCCGCACTCAATAGCAAGCTCGAATCTCGTAGCCGGGTCCTGAACGAACTGCAGAGCAATCTCGGGGTAGCCCTTCTTCTGCAGGTAGGATATAATAGACTGGCCGACCAAGCTGGAGGTCTTAATAATGTGCAACATCTCCTCGTAGTTGCGCTTCACCAAGGACAGCTTGAATCGATACTCGGTAGGGTCGATGCTGATGACCTTGGGCTTGGCGGCCCTGTCAAGACAGTATACATTTCGCCCCTTGACTCGGACGAGGTACACGGTCTGATCCAGAGTCCGCACGATGCCGTTATCGCCGTTCATCAGAGTGTACTTGATGTGGTTGAGGGTCGAGTAGAGAAGCACACCAGCGTCATCCCAGGTTGCGCTCTTGATCCGGATTGTCTCGTGGAGAGTGCTGACCTGCTCGAGAGTCTTTGTGACGATTGTGACGTTGTGCTTGCTCAACAGGGCGGCGTGGAGGCCGTCGTTGGACCAAACAACGTACTTGACACCGTTCACTGCCAACTCGGCGATGCTCTTCTTCTGCTGGATATCGTACAGGTGAACCGCGGTGGGCGTAATAATCAGAAGGTTTCCAGTGCCACCAAAGTAGATGTCGGTAGTGCCGACCGGGGGCTTGAAGGAACGCGCGGTGTTGTTGGAGAGGTCCTTGATATCGACAGTCTGCGAGGCAGTGTTGAGCACGGCGAATCGGTTTCGGGCAACAAAGATGGCAGAGTTGCCCTGTCCGCGCTTCGAATCGGTAGCCTCCAGAGCGCCGGAGCCATCCCGCGGCAGGTTGATCAGCTCATATGAACCGCCGTCGGCGGGCGAGGTGACCAAGACCGACCTCTCAGCAGGGTTGTACGACAGGGTTCGGGGAGGGACCCAGGCACTACCCAGTCTCTTCAGCGACAGCAGGGTCGGGCTCTCGGAGTTCTTCTGGAAGTCGTAGGAGCGGACGTGCTTCTCCTTGGTGATGAAGAACAGATTGTTCTGGTGCACCGTCGAGGCGGGCCTCTCCCTCTCGAGCTTGAAGACCATGACACCGTTGTCGTGGCCGGCAGCGAACAGGTTGATCTCCGGGTGGGCAGCGATAACCCAGAACCGGTCGTTTTCCCTCTTGAAGGACTGGACTGCGGTGCGCTTCTGCGAGTCCCAGACGCGGATGGTCTTGTCCTCGCCGCAGGACAGGATCAGGTCCTGGTGGGGGTGGAACAGGCAGCCGGTGGCGTTCTGGAAGTGGCCGCGGCAGGTGTCGACCTCCCAGGCCTTGGTCTCGCTGAAGCGCCACAGCTTGACGAGACGGTCGTCGCCGGCCGAGACGATGTGTGGTGCGGTGGGGTGGAAGGCGACCCAGTTGACGCCGCGGTCGTGGCCCTCGAGAACAAACTTGACCATGGCGTCGGTGTTACCGAACATGTCGGTCTGCTGCTGGTTCTGGCGGGCGACCTGGTCCTCGAAGGACATGGAGGTCGGGGCCGAGTGCTTCTTGCGCAGGCCCGAGATGTCCCAGACGCGGACGGACTGGTCGAGGGAGGCCGAGACGACGAGGTCCTCCTTGGGGTGGAACTGGGCGCACATGACATAGTGGTTGTGGCCGGTCATGGTGCAGATCAGCGAGCGGTTCTGCCAGTTCCATATGCGGATGGTCTGGTCGTCGGAGCACGAGATGATCCAGGGGAGCTCGTGGTGGAAGAAGACGGTGCGCACGTAGTCGAGATGGCCGTTGAGGGTGAACAGGCATCTCCTCGTCTGGTAGGACCAGACCTTGATCTTGTAGTCATCGCCGGCCGAGACGAACAGGGGCTGGGTCTTGTGGAAGTCGATGCCGCGGACGGGGCCGTCGTGCTCCTCGAAGCGGTCGATCAGGGTGCCCATGCGGTAGTCCCACAGCTGGATGGTCGACGAGTGGAGAGAGACGAGAATCCATGGCCTGGATTGGTGGGGTTTGTGGTCAGCACGGGAACGGCAGTGAGGATATTCAGGTAGTGTGAGGGGCGGTAGGTGGTGATCGTGGTGGGTGGTGTGGTGGCTTGTCGTCCCCCGGGGGGGTAATTCTTACCTCTTGGGGTGGAAGGCAATGCCCTTTGCCCTCGAGGACTTGGACTCGAACTAGATAACGATGACGGTCAGCTGGGAGCGCGCCGACAGGGCCGGGCGGGCGCGAGGAGAGGCGCACCTTGGTGAGCATGCCGGAGGAGGCCATTCTGGCGGTGATGGGTGGGTAGCCCCTAAGAACAGGTCATCAACGGGCGACGAGTCGCAACGGCGGTTGGGCTCCTGGCGGCGACAGGCAGCTCCAATGGACGGGGTAAATCGAGAACGGGGGTTGTGGTGTGTCAGATGGGAGGCATCAGAGGACGGCAACGACCGGTCTGGCAGCGCTGTCGTTGGTGTTTTGGGGATGGGGGATGGGGGATGGGGGATGCACGTCGTTCCCAGGCTGGAGTCTGCGTCTGCGTCTACGGGACGGGAGACGGGAGACGGGGGACGGGGGGCAGCTCGCATTCACCTCGCCGAATGTCAATTCAGATGTCGTGGCCAAGTCGGTCGCTGGGGTGCGGCCAGGTTCCAATTGCGGCCAGATTGCCCCCGGTGTTTTTCCGCTCCGGCGTCTGACGCTCCAGGGGTCCAAGGACAGCACTGGCCCTGGGCAGAACAGGAGGCTCTGTGGTTAAGTTATGTAGCAGAGCCAACCAGCCAACCCGCCATCCAGCCATCCAGCCAACCAGCCATCTGGCCCGGGGGAGTCTGTGGGTCAGGCTGAGCCCCCGCAGCCCCTGAAGCCAGACTGCCAGACCTCCAGCTCCAGGCTAGACCCGCGGCGAGGGGCAGCACGGAGGCCAGGGCCTTGGGGCCCAGGCGTGACACTTTTTCAGCCTGGGCTTCCATCAGCTCCAATTGAGCCCCTCCACCCACCTGCCCTGCACTGACTGCCCCCCTGCTGGCCCCTGGAGAGCTCTACCTGCCGCTAAGCCCATTCGGTACAGCTTTGAGGCAATGTGTTCATTGTCCACGCTGCAGCCGACTTACACGGCCAACATCCAGGGTGTCCTTACTAGACGGGTATACCCTCGTAGGTGTCTCAGACGAACGTAGCCTTGCGGATTGAGCCCTTCATACTGCGTTGGCGCCCAGCGATTTCCCTACTGTGATTAAGACAACCTGACGCCAGTTTGCATCGAAGGATAGATTACAGCTGAGCGAGCGCCTTGTGTCCATCCAGTTCCCTGTCAGCCAGAGGCAGGGGCCCCCTCCGAGGAAGGACTACGGATCCCCGGGTTTACAGGTCCACGCCGCCTGCTCGCCAGCCTCTATGATCGCATCAGAATAGTCCGCCGGCGGATCAATCCCTCTTGCAGAGCAGTTTCGCGCCTCCTGAGTCCTCCTGTGGCCATGATACGCCTCCTCCAGCTGCCCAGCGGCCTAGCTGCCGCTTTGCTGGCCGCCGTGTGTTTCAATGCCGGCCATGCGACAGCCGCTCCGTCGGTCGATGTGGCCATGAAGGCTGCCTTTCCTTCACCACCCTACCTCCTAGAGCTCCTGTAAGTTGCTACGGCGGCCAAGTGACCCTTCAGGCCTTTCTCCTAACACATGTATTCGTAGTGAGACCGCTGCGGGCGAGAATGCGACAACCTACTTCCCCCTTCTCGACCGGATCGCCGACGGGTCCTTCGCCGATGCGACAACAGACCAAGCCTTGTATGAGAAGTTCCTCGAGGTGCTACAGCAGGATGGGCACATGGCAGATCCCGAGGCTCTGTCCACCTTCAAGCTGGCTCTGGCCATGAGATCGGCAGCTCCCAGGATAGAAGCCCACTACCAGTACTATGACACGGCGGTAAAGCCTACTGTCCAGGGCTCCAGCGACGACTGTGCCGATTGGATATTGCTCGAGGGCAGGCAATACTGCTCTGCATCATTATCAAACGCTGAAGGGCCAATCAGTAGCGTCTCGTAAGACCCCCGACTTCCCACCAGAGTATCCAATCTGACAAGTACTAGGCAATCGCGACTTTTACCCTTTGACCGCACCCTAGGCAGAGGGCCAGAGGCCGTGCTCTATGCCGACATCACCAAACCGAGCTTCGCCTCGTTCCATCATACTCTCTCCGACCTGGCTCGGAAAGGCGAGATTTCATACCGTCTCCGATACCGCCTGGATGACAGAGACCATCTTGCGCGGCTGCCCATCAGCGGCTATGGAGTGGAGTTGCAGCTGAAGAGAACTGATTACATCGTCATTGACGATCGCGAGGCCGAGTCCACGACCGACGGCTCTAAGTCGACGAATTCTGGGGTGGATCTGAATGCCGACGACGACGTCGCAGACTTGAAGCCGCTTTCCAGCTCGGAACTTGCCAACCTTGGCGTCAAGGCTGCCTCATTCATCATGCAGAGCGAGAACCCATTCGATTCCCTCCTCAGACTAACTCAGGATTTCCCCAAGTACTCTACATCCATCGCCGTCCACAATGAGTCGCAGGATTTTCTACGAGAACACTACGCCAACCGAGCCCAGTTGGTTCCCGCGGGCATGAACGTCCTGTGGATGAACGGCGTTCAAATGATCGAAAGGCAGATTGACCCGTACACTCTGGTTGATCTACTGAGGAGGGAGCGAAAGCTCATCAAGGGCGTCACAGATCTGGGTCTGACTGGGAAGCAGGCAGTGTCCTTGCTGGGACACCGCGAAGTCACCGTGGCTAAATCCAACGACGAGATCCTCCGCTTCGACTGGAGAGATGAGATCGAGGACGGCCGCGTGATAGTCTGGCTCAATAATATTGAGAAAGACAAGCGGTACGCAGAATACCCAACTAGCCTCATGGCTGTAAGTATAACCTCCTCGAATATGTGGACTACCCAGCTGATCATCGGCTAGCTCATGCAACGAACCTACCCCGGTCAAATACCGCCGGTCAGAAAGGACCTCTTCAATCTCATTGTTCCTGTAGATTTCACAGACCCCGAAGACTTGATGTTGGTTGTTGACCAGCTGAGAGGCTTCATCACCAGACTTCTCCCGATCCGTTTTGGTCTCGTTCCCCTGACTTCAACTCCCGAAGCTGAACAGCAGGCCAAGATTGTGTATTACTTGCTCGAGAACCATGGTCTTGCTTCGCTTATGGCATACCTAGACGCTTGCAATACTGGCAAGCAGCTACAGAAGGTAGAGCAGTCCAAGTTCGAGAAGGCAATCAAGGACCGGCCTCTGAGGGAAGAAGCAACGCAATTGTCCTTCTCCGAGATTTTCGATTCCGACTACTACGCTAAACAAATCGAGCATGCCAAACATTGGGTTGACAGACTGAATGCTGGCACAGCTATTCCTCCCGTCTTCATCAATGGCCAGGCTATTCCCCGTGACAAGAACTGGCTTCAAGAGATGAGCATGAAGCTTGGAACGGATTTGCAGATGATCCAGCAAGGAATTTACATGGGCCAAGTCGACGAGGATATGTGGGTTCCCAATCTGTTTCTCGAAGGGGCCCCGACACGACGCAACGTTTATATCTTCCCGGACACTGAAAACCAGCTCACTGTCCTAGATGTCAACAAGGTCTATACGGAGCACGACGACCTGTTCAGCCTCGCCCCGGTCATCGAAGCAAGCCCGGATTCGAGCAAGGAGACGTGGGCAGTCCTGACAGTGGTCGCCGATTTCACCAACAAAGCTGGCTTGAAGCTGCTTCTGGCGGCTTTGGAGTTTCGTCGTAATGATCCCGGTGTACGACTGGATATTATCCACAGCCCTTCAACTTTGGAGGACGGGTTCAGGGTCAATTCTCTCTTGAAAAACGACGTGGCCAAGTTGTTGGAAATTGAAAATTTGGAGACCTTGGAAGTCCTCGTCACGGGCAAGGCAAACGATGAATCTGATAACGCAAAATACGACATGGCTTTGGCGAGATTCCTGGCTGCTGCCGGATTCCAACCCGGAGCTCAGCTTCTTTTGCTTAATGGCCGTGTGGTGGGTCCCATTGCGACTGAAGCAGACTTCAAGGAGGATGACTTCCAGCAATTGCTCGAATTTGAACAGGCAAACCGCATCTTACCCGTCTACCAGGCGATTGAGTCTCTCAACCTCGTCGATAAGATGTCTGGACCTCTAGCAGCTGCCAAGATGACCTCTATCACTGCACTCTCCACAATCTCTGACCTGCCGGAGGGGATCTTTGAGTCAACACCAACCTTGAGAACTGCAGTCTTCGACGAATGGGGGTCTAACCACACTATGATTTCAGTGGGAGATGAGTCCACTGCAAACATCCACCTGGTGGCCGTCGTAAATCCAGCAAGTGAGCAAGGCCAGAAGTGGGCTCCTATTCTCAAAGTTTTGTCAGAGTTGGATGGAGTCTACCTACGAATTTTCCTGAACCCCAGAGAAAGGCTGGACGAACTTCCGGTCAAGCGTTTCTACCGATATGTGCTTGACTCGGCACCATCTTTCGATGAGTCTGGCAAGGTCCGTTCCCTCAATGCTCACTTCAAGGGCATTCCCTCCGAAGCCTTGCTCAATCTTGGCATGGATGTGCAACCTGCATGGCTCGTCGCTGCGAAAGAGTCGGTCCACGACCTTGATAACCTGAAGTTGAGCTCGATCAACTCAGACGTCGAAGCAATTTACGAGCTCGAGAACATCTTGATCGAGGGGCACTCCAGGGAATCCACAGGTAGTCCTCCACGAGGTGTACAGCTGCTCCTGGGTACTGAATCTGACCCTCATTTTGCTGATACCCTGATCATGGCCAACATTGGCTACTTCCAGTTCAAGGCGAACCCAGGCTACTACAACATTCAGCTCAAGGAGGGAAGGAGTTCTGATATCTTCACCATCACGAGCATCGGCGCCAAGGGGTTCAACCCTGCTGCCGGTGATGATGGCACTGACGTAGCTTTGATGGACTTCCAGGGCACAACATTGTACCCGCGCCTGAAGCGCAAGCCTGGCATGGAAACTGAGGATGTCCTCGAGGAGTCGGACGCGGGTGGCGATCTCCTTTCACGAGGCCTCAAGTTTGCCGAGGGTATTCTGGGGGGCTCCAAGTCAAAGACCAAGTCCGTCTCGGATACGGAGCATGCCGAGATCAACATTTTCTCCGTCGCCAGTGGTCACTTGTACGAGCGAATGCTGAACATCATGATGGTGTCCGTCATGAAAAACACGAAGCACACCGTCAAGTTCTGGTTCATTGAGCAGTTCCTTTCCCCATCGTTCAAGGAGACTATCCCGCATCTCGCAGCCGAGTACGGCTTCAAGTATGAGATGGTCACCTACAAGTGGCCCCACTGGCTGCGGCAGCAAAAGGAAAAGCAACGCGAGATCTGGGGCTACAAGATCCTTTTCCTCGATGTCCTGTTCCCCCTTTCACTCGACAAGGTCATCTTTGTCGACGCCGACCAGATCGTGCGCACCGACATGATCGACCTTGTCAACCACGACCTGCAGGGCGCCCCGTACGGCTTCACGCCCATGTGCGACTCGCGCACCGAGATGGAGGGCTTCCGCTTCTGGAAGCAGGGCTACTGGGCCAATTATCTGCGCGGGCTGCCGTACCACATCTCGGCACTGTACGTGGTGGACCTGCGGCGATTCCGCGAGCTGGCGGCCGGCGACCGCCTGCGCCAGCAGTACCACACGCTGTCGGCGGACCCGCAGAGCCTGAGCAACCTGGACCAGGACCTGCCCAACCACATGCAGTTCCACATCCCCATCCACAGCCTGCCCCAGGAGTGGCTGTGGTGCGAGACGTGGTGCAGCGACGAGAGTCAGGCCGCCGCCCGCACCATCGACCTCTGCAACAACCCCCAGACCAAGGAGCCCAAACTCGACCGCGCCCGCCGCCAGGTCCCCGAGTGGACCGTCTACGACGATGAGATCGCCGGCCTCGCCCGCAAGTTCAAGACCGGCGCCCTGACCGGCGAGGAGCAGCAGAGCGTCCTCGGTGGCGGTGGCAGTTCTGCGGCTGGGGAGAAGAGCGATGTCGAGGCCGAGAAGAACACCAAGAGCCGGCGCTTCGAGGAGGAGGCCGAGACTAAGACTAAGGAGCATACCAAGGACGAGTTGTAGTAGATATGTAGAGATGTAGAGAAATTTACTAGATCAGTTACAGTACGTCGATGTGTATGTGTTCTGCTAGGGCTCATTGTCTTGCGTGTCAGTGACTACGCATAGAACCTTCATCCAACTGATGCCCGAAGTCCAAGCATAGCAGTTATTTCCTGCCGGCGTGACCAAAGTCTCGTTCGTCCAAACGGGCACTGTACGATAACGCGCCAAAGCAGCAAGGCATGGCTCCGTATGCTATGTCCATATCAGATGAAGTGCGACGCAATAACCGACACGTACCTAATCTACAGGACTAGGAGCAGGTCAGTCCTGGGCACTGGTCGCCTCAGAAATTCGAGTCCGTGGGAGCAATCGAGACTGAGGCGTGGACTTTCCATATCAATCACCCTTATCACCACCACTTCCCGGCCAACCACACCACCCGAGCAAACAAACGCCGGGCCTAGCGAGGAAGCCACCAGCTGATCGACAACTTCTATGCAAACGAAGACGTCTCAACCCGACGGGTTGAAAATTTTCGGTATTGCAGCAACAAACTTCACATCAACGCTCACTTTTCCCCTTCACTCACGCTTCGGCCTTCGCTCAAGACAATTAATGCACGCAAAGAGAAGCTGCAGCACCGCTATCACAATACTTCGCAGCCCCATCATTGCAACTACTTCCACAGTCAACCTCAGGGCCTCACGTTTCATTCATCATGGGTCGCTCTAGAAGTGGAGGTAAGCTACGTGCAAGGCTTGAGAAAGAGCTGAAGAGCGCTAGGACTGCACAGGAGCGCCAAACCATCACGGCTCGGTTGACGCAACACCTACGCAAGATGGACGTAAAGAGCCAGAAACAGCAGGAAAGACGCCTCAAGAGGACCGAAGAATCCAAGGCCATCTTGCCAGATGAAGAGAGATTCGCCGCTCAGCCTTACACGGGTGGCGGAGTGTATCAAGATCCGGATGGCGTGCCCGTCGTTGCCAAGCAAGCCCGCACTCTGTCGACATGGAAAGGTCGCAATGATGCCCTCCTGGGGGCTTCTCCCATTTTTTCCTTCCATTTTCTCCCATCCATGAATGTGTCTGAGTGAGTTCAATGCGCCGGCCCTTCTACTCTTTGCTTCGCTAACAGCGCTATCCATCAGTGTGCATATTCATGACTTGGTCGCCCGGGGCACATCTGTCTCCATGTTTCTCGAGGACTTCCGCGCCGGTTCTTACTGCAGCCCGTCTGCCGCTGACATAACCGACGATGGCGTTCATGAGCTGGCCAAGGCATGCAGCAGGCTCAAGCAAGTCAGCCTGGAAGGCGCTTGGCAGCTCACAAGCGCAGCGGTATCCGTTCTATTCCAGTCATGCCCCGATTTGGAGTATCTTTGCATCACAGGCACCAAGGACAACACCGGATCAATCACGGGACAGTCACTCGCCAAACTTGCAGATCTCTTCACAGGAGCCAGAAAACTGCGATGCCTTGTCTTGCTCCGGCAGCGCAACTTGAGGGGACCATGCCTTACCACCTTAAGCCATCTGCGACCCGACCTCGAGATCCGCCATAGCGTTGGGCCGAAGGTCAGGACTTACTTCAAGGGCGATAGGCTATATGGAAACATGTCGCAAACCTCAGCGGTCAAGCAGGCGGATGTTCCGAGCACCAACAACAACAATAGTGCTAAGATGACTCTACCCATGCGAGCCAAGACCACGGCGACCACTTCGGCGACCGCTGCTGATCGTCAGGTGGTTGTCTTGAGCGATGAGAGCGACGAGAGCGATGGCGACGATGGCGATAAAGATATACGACAAGGAGCTTATCCAAAGGCGACCGAAGGTTCTCTGGCAAGGTGCAACGGTACGCCGGTAGTGGTCCTCAGTGAGGATGAAGAGACAGTGGTAGAGCCATGCCAAGGAGGCGGCAGTGACATCGAGGGAGGAGAAGATGACGCAAATGCGGACTACATTCTAGATGTTGGTATAGAGGTGCCTGGTGGAGTTGCACTTGGTTGAGAACGGTATGCCTGATGGCTTGTGAAGTAGTAGTCTCGAACACCCAGAGAACTGTTCCGGAAAAGGACGCGCCGTGCTTCAGCAAGAGGGATTACATAGTTGCCGTACGGACACAAAACTTTCCATAGCTCGTACTTGCTCCATAAGCGCCTGTGTTATAGTACTGTGCAGTGTCTTACGAGAGGATTATGTCTGACTTTCATGGTATTTTCTTTCCCAAATTCAGAACGCAAAGTCTAACAGGAAATTTGCTAGTAACCGCAGATGCAAGTGTATTAACCCGAGATACGTGGACTGCCCCTCTCAGCCTTTCCACTCTATGATGACAGAAAAGGTGGCATCCCGCATAAACTGCGCCTCATTCGGATCACCAATTTACTTGGTTCAGAGCCTCGTCATTCATGTCCTTGTTCCCGAATCCCCGAAACTAGTTCTGTCGCCTCTCCGAGCAGGCTACCGTAGGGGGCGAACTATACAGGCAGCTGGCCCAAGTAGCTGCTAGTTCCTCAGGATTGAACCCCCACCGGTTCACGAGCCTTCATAGCGGTACCAGTACAGAATATGAATCAGTGTCTGGTGGCTTCAAGTTAAAGCAACATAAGAGATTCCACCTTGCGATATACAATTGTCCACAGTGGGTGAAAGACCATAGGTGTGACAAAGTTCCAGCACTGGAGGATTCTACATGGGGTGGCAAAGATCAAGTGGCCCCTCCGTAGTACTTGTGCTGCCCACAGCCCGGTGAGCTCTCATGCGAGAATAAAGCCCACCTTGGCAAGGACTTCTACCGCCTCTCATCGACAGTTTCTTCTCCGCACGGCGGCACCTACGGTGCTCTTTCGATGTGCTCATTTCATAGCAACCCTTCTATCTGAACGTAGGATCTGAAGCACTAGACACGCGTCGAGTGCGATCAGTTTTGGTCACTTTAACACTTGCCTATTGATGACTCTACCGCCAACCGCTCGGGCTGCGCATCATCACTCTGACAAGCTGGTACCTGAAGCCTAGAAGCCGATTGTAGATGGTGGAAGCGGACGAGAAACGACAACATGTATCATCCAAACAAGAGACGTAAAACCAACTACTATTCATCACAAAACGAGGAGGTGAGTTTGGTCGAGCTCGGACAATACAACCATGGCAATCAAAAGGAATCGAGTCAGTTCAACGGTCAAGGCCTCAACAATCACCATAGTAATCTTGACATTGGACGAGACCTCATCATAAACAATCATCAACCAAATCATACAGATAACGATAAACTGCACAAGGCCAGAGAATCCGTCTTTACATCTCTATGCTTTGATCAGATGGATGCTCGTCAACTCGATGTCAGGATTGCGCATAATGACACATGCCAATGGTTTCTCCAGACGCCCCAATACATCAACTGGCTGAATATGGAAACCCCTGGAGACCAAGACCGATTCCTATGGATTAAAGGAAACCCAGGTGCTGGAAAGTCCACGCTGATGCGCTTCGTGCTCGATGAGACTCGCCGATCCATGGAAAGCCGCAAGGTTCTCGTAGCCTCCTTCTTCTTCAACGCCCGGGGGTTTGAACTGGAAAGGTCTACAAGCGGTTTATACCGATCGCTACTAGTCCAAATACTCGAAGCACGTTCCGATTTGTGGCAGATTTTGGATTTCATCAGGCCTGGACACCAATGGAAAATCGCCTCGCTACAATCCTTGTTGGCGCTGGCAATAAAACGACTGGAACATCCTTTCATATGCTTCATTGATGCTTTGGATGAATGCGAACAAACACATATTCGGGATTTGGTTTCCTTCTTGCATCAAGTCTCCAATGATAGGACGAGCCAGGTATATACTTGCTTCGCGAGCAGATACTACCCTAATATCACAGTTTCGAAAGGAGTGGACTTTCATCTCGACCGTCAATATGAACATGGACAGGATATAGATCGCTATCTGAACGATGTGCTGTGTATTGGGAACGATTTTACACTTGCTGAGCAGATTCGACGCGAGATTCAGCATAAGGCTTCGGGCATTTTCCTGTGGGTTGTTCTCGTCGTGAGAGTTCTTAATGCCGAGTATGACGCAGGTCGCAAGCATCTACTCCATCAAAGACTCAGAGAAGCCCCCGAAAACATTCATGAAGTTTTTTACGACATGCTTTCTCGGAAAAAAGACGACTTAGAAGGACTTCAAGTCTGCCTTGGTTTGGTGCTATTCGCCAGGCGTCCTCTCTCCCTGATGGAGCTATATTTTGCAATCATTTCCAAGCTAGAGCCCCAGCAGTTGGCTTTTTGCCATTCGACAAGGATATCAGTAGATGATGCTCAGAGGTATATCCTGGATAAGTCCGGTGGATTCGTTGAGACTACAAGAGCGCCTAACCGAACCGTTCAGTTTATACACCAATCGTTCAGGGACTTCTTGACCAAAGAAAGTACGCTGAGCAGTATTTGGCCACATGGAGCCGGAAACTTTGAGGGGCAAAGCCACGACACTCTTAAAAGATCCTGTCAAACCTATATTGATATGATGGGTCCTTCATTGAAGCGTTTATCCCCAGATGAAACTCTTGGGTCATCATCCCGCGAGGCAAGACAATTCCTCGAGAACGTGGACATCATGTTCCCATTTATTAAATATGCCAACAACAACCTTTTCTACCACGCTGATCGAGCAGAGTGCCTCGGGATCAGTCAACGAGCCTTCTTGAGTCAGATTTCTACTGAAGAGTGGGCGCGACAATATGCTAGACTTTCCGGACAAGCACTGTCCTACCCCACCAAGGTTAGCTTGCTATACATTTTGGCTTCGCGCAAACTGGCATCTCTGATTCGAGTCCACACGTGCGGTCAGTCTTGCTTCGAAATTGAAGACGCATTTTATGGTGCCCCCATATTCGCAGAACTAGTGGGAGATGATAGGCTTCTGAGCTACGAAAAACTTGTGGTGTACGGAAGTCCTAAGTAAGAGGTCAGCCACAAGCAAAAATCCGTGATAGACCAACTTAAAACTGTTCAGGCCTTGCTGGACATGGAAAATAATCAGATGGACGCCACCCTTCATCTAGACTTCCAAAAGCGACTGCAGGACCGGAAGAACTGGTGGAAGACAATTCCAACTTGGGAGTTCCCCCTGTTGAGAGCTACGCGGCCGCTGTCGCTTCTCGCAAAATATGGGCTATATTGGATAATTCCCTATTACTTCGCTATTCAGAAGAATGTTGGCGAATTGATTGACCACAAAACTGACGATGGCCTGACACCATTGTTTCTAGCGGTGAAGGGCGGACATCTTAGCACGTCGCAGCTGCTCTTAGAAAAAGGTGCCAATATCAACCTTGCCAATAAGGATGGGTGCACACCACTACACGTCGCTGCTGAGCATGGACACTCACAATTGGTTCGGCTACTGATAGAATGCGGCGGAAACCTCCATGTTACTAGAAAGGATGGAACTACACCTCTCTTATCGGCTTCAAAGAACCGTCACCCTCAAGTGGCTAAAATGCTGGCTGAGCGCGGTGCTGACCCGAATTCCCGCTCTGGCTGTGAAGGTGGAGGGACTGCCTTGCAACTGGAAGTTCGAAACGGATGTTTAGAGACGGTAACACTGCTTATTCACTATGGTGCTAACGTGAATACTGCAGATAGTCTTGGTGTGACGCCTTTACACATGGCATCACGTCATCCATCTACCACAATAGCGCGACTGGTTATCGAGCATGGTGCTTATGTAAGCTCTAAGACCAACAAGGGACGGACGGCTTTGCACTATGCTATAGAAGGCCGAAATCCAGGAGTAACAAAATTGCTGCTAGAGAACAAAGCCAATGTCAATGAGACTGACAATGATGGGTTGGCACCCCTACACCTGGCGTCTGAACAAGGGAACGCCGTAATTGCTCAGCTACTCATAGACCACGGTGCTAAGCTCAATGATTCGTGCCAAAACGGGCGGACACCGATATCCCTGGCTTCAGAGCGTGCCAATTTCCTCTTAGCTAAGCTTCTTGTGGAGAACGGTGCGAATTTGTACGCCGCTCGAAAATACTCGTGGGATCTTCTCAACTGGGCGTACGTGCACGGGCATTTTGAGATGGCTAAGATGCTTGTTAAGCATGGTGCTGATCTTAACGCCACCGACGACCATGGGAATACCCTCATCTACTCGATGGCTTCGTGTGGGCATGCTGGAGTGGTAAGGTTGCTCATCGAACATGGCGCTGACGTCAATATCCTTGGCAAGGATGGGAGAAGACCTCTCTACCGAGCGACAGCCAATGGACACTCGGAACTACCCATGTTACTCAAGCAGCATGGTGCCCAACGTTGGTAATTGACTTGGAAAGACTTCTTCGGACACAGTGGCGTACCAAGTCCTTGGTATTAGTGAACATAGGTCGAATGAAGGGGATACAGTCCAACAGCAATCTGTGTCGGTCAGTGTTGGAGATACTGTGAAGCAGACAGCATGTAGCTTTTCCCCATGCTTAATAAACATTGTGAAGGGGATAAGGCTATTCACCTTGTGGTTATAATTCAATATATATTAATTAATTGATGTGCATGTCTCTTCCCACGCTGAAGCTACCGCCTAGATTCTGAACTCCTCGACCGGTGAAATTAGCATAACTATTCACTTTGCTTGCTGTATCAGAATACCTCAAGCTGCGCTCTTCGCTGTCTCCGGTAATTACAGGGTCCAGATAAGCCAAGAGCTCCTTGGTACACGCAGCCGCTACGGCAGCTGCATAGTACTGCCAAACATCGTTCTTGTGCGAGTCTGCGTAATCACAGATGCCCCGAATGATAATGTAAGAGGATTCGGTAGCTAAACCTGCGGCTTCCATATCGAAGCAGAGAATATCTCTTATACTCTGCGCCAATGAGTTCCTCCTAGCTGCGCTCCTCATTACACCATTACCCGATGCGATCAGCCCGTAGTGGACTTCGGGACCGCTGTCCTCACGTGGATCTCTTGGAACGATTCGTGTCTTGTCGCAGTGCTCACATGGCTCTCCATCAACGGCATGTGGGTAGTTTCCATCAAATAGAGCATCTGTTTCGGCAGCCGGTTGCATATAGACCTTGAATCGTCTGCTTTTCTGTATCATGTCCGAAACAAATTGGGCCACCTTGCTACCATTCTTTCGATGATCTGACTGCATTCTTCCCACAGCGGTTCTGAGGCGGGGTGGGGGCGTCGATAGAAACCCTTTTAATTTGAAGCCGTTGTCGGTGTCTTTGCCTAAGTCGTACTGCACTACTCCGCCGTGGGTTCCTTTTGGCATGCTAACAACGACGTCACCTAGGCGGATGTCGTGCTTAATACTTGGGACACCGCCGCCAATTCCCGCCAGGAAGTGCCATTGTATATTTGGGAAGGTCCGGTCGAGATTTGTAGTGACGATGGCGGCAGCACTGTTCCCTTGAGTCCCTGGAAGCCAAGCGAGCACGATGTCGTGGCCACTTAATTCGCCAAGGATATAATCATTCGGATCTCCCGATTTACTCGACAGGCTCGGGTGCTCTTGATCGAGCATATAGCGCAGAGCGCTCATCTCGAACTCGATTGCGAATACCACTGCCACGGTATAATCCTGATACGTCTTCATATTTGAGGGTTGACCTTCCATGATCCTTGCAGTAATAAGACGGTTCTTGAATGAACCTAGCGAATTTGCCGAGATCTGCGTCAGCTTGGTCTTATAAATCTAGAGGGCGGGCGTACTTGCAGGGATTGAGGCAGTGCACTTTTTACATCTGTACATGCAAGGCGCTGCGGCCAAGGCGCAGCAGCTCCAAATCTGCATTGATGCATGTTGCATCGAGCATGGGTGGACTTTTATCTATTATAAGAAACCAAACCCCCTATAAAGCCCTTACCAATTTGCGGGCGCACTTAAGAGCATCTTCCTTGCCAGTGCAGCTCACCAGACCATAGCAGCATGCACACCCATGCCATAGGGAGATTCCGGGTTTTGTTCTACAAAAATGGGCTAAACCATTGGTGTCTTCTTGTCGTTATTGAAACCTCAAGGTGCTCTGTTTCCAATTACTCAGTTCCCATGGCCTTCTCAGAACCTGGTCCTCATGCCCTGTCCCCTCTTCCACGTCACCACGTTAATTACGTCGACGGGTGTCATTGCAGAATCGTTGGATGTCATAATGATCTAGGCCAGAACTCACGTTTGACAACGGTATTGAGCACTGCCAGTGTGTTAGAAATAAACTGTCCCAACGCAAGTATTTAGCCGGAACCCCACTCAAAATCTGAGATACGTCTTTGGCAGATTCCATATACTTCCTGGAATAGTAGAGAGATCCACATACACACAACACAGAGTTAACGCGTAAGGGTGCAAAAGACCCAAAAACATGTGATCAGTCACATCTCTACCAGCCATAGTATGGTGTATCATCTGTTCATCGAACTGCTCTTGCTATTAAATGATTTCAATGAAGTAATTGTTGCTCCCATCTGCACCTGTTGTGACTTCGGCAAATTCATGCCTCCGACCCGTGCCTACGCTGTCACACTCCGCTAAAATACCTCTCAAAACATGAAACGGGGAGTTTTTGAAGATGACCCAATGACCAATTCTCTTATACGTGCACTTCATGTGGTTTGAACCAAGAGATGGTGATATGACGAGACCAACACAACGAAAAACAGATGGTCGGGGAGGGCGATCTTCTAGACCATGCATGATAGGTAGAAGATAAACGGTATGCGGCTGGTTCTTCGACGCTTCATTGGTCTTGACATCGTCCAACTGATCATCGATTTCGTTATATAGTATGAAAGACAAATTGTCGTCCATAAGACAGGTCTGATAGCGCCGATCACTCGGATCATTTGTCTTGCTTGCTTGTATCATGGTCACTCTCCATAAACATTCGCACCGAAGACGAAGGCGTGCAAAGTGAACCGCTCCGAACCTTTCGTCATCAGATGCGAATTGAAAAGATGTTTGATCTGCTTTGACGCATGTGTCATATCCCATTTTCCAGTGCCGGACATTGACAGCCCCATTGATCGACATCCATGACCAAGTCGGAGCTAAAGGGGGAATTTCCCTTGAGTTTGCATGGCCGTCGGAAGTCCAGCAAAGTTGCCTTTCAAGATTCTTCAGCCACATGCCGCAGACATATTCAGACTTGAGCGCCGTTTCGAATTTTCTTGCAATGCCTGCAAGGGCAACGAAGAGGTCGCTTCGCTTCGTCAACTTGCTCTTGGAGTATTCAGATACCACTTCCGTCCATCTGTGGAAATCGAACGGCTTCCTTATTCTGCGGAAATCTTGATAGCCGAGCACCTTGGAATGTTCAAATGTTGGGTAGCCATCCGGAAAGATCTCGCACGCAGCATTTCCGTCACATTCCCAGAAAATCTGTTCGTCGGTGAAGTGCAGCATTCGGCGAGCCAGGTAACGCTCTTGGACGACCCAGCCTCGTGATCCGAGCGGATCCTCTCGGCTTCCCGTCAAGCCCGGGCAGATGTCGAATAACTCACCAGTCTGCGGATCCGGACAGATTTGGCATCGCCATAAACCGGATCGCTCAAAGAAACAACCTACGGTGCCATCCTTAGCAGAAGTCGCAGCGATATTGATTTCAGCATTTCCGTAGACATCAGCCATGAGTGCCGACTCTCTTTTCCAGTCATGTGCGCTATCCTGCATGATGCACATAGAATCGATCCAAATATATTCAAGTCCGAGAGCTCTTGTAATCTGCACAGCGTGCTTGAACGTTTTTGTCAATGCGTCCACCGGTATCTCGTTGAGAAACGAACTAAGGTTACCAGTAGTTAGAGTTGTGAATTTTCTCAGACCCCAGCAGTGGCTCAAGGTAGCATATTGAGATTGTTGTGGAATATGCTCGGTAATGCATAGCTTGAGGCACGAGCCTCCAATGTAAATCAATCGAGTTGGCAGTGGGCCAGGTGAGGCAACCTGGCAAGTTGGATGATTGGATTGACATGCCTGTAACCATTTCTTGCATAAGAAGAGGGCATCTTTTGTGCAAGATAAGTTTCCGGAAATGTAGTCAAGGACTATCACCGGACATTATAGAGTTAAATGCTGTTACGGAAAGTATAGTCGCGAGGAATTAGTGCGTACCTGGCTTCAAAGCTGGGACAATAGTGAGAGTAGAGTACGCAACTCTTTTGTAGCTCTCATCATTGCGGTCATCCTTCCGTCCAGAAAGATCAATATTCCAACCTCCCCTGTGAATCTCATCCCTGGGCACTTCATAACTGAGCCAGATTGAATGAGGCGAGTTCGGGCTGTCAATATCGACTGTCAATATGCCCGACTTGGCATCACGTTGCCGGATTGGGTCCTTGTATCCGAGACCTTGAATAAGTTGGTAGCAGAGTGAACATTCATCGATGGCGGATGCATGAACCACCGCTAGAGTCTGGTGATGAGGAGACACAACTTTCTGAGGCGTAGCAGATTTGTTGCGCGAGGCGGTGCAGCGCGCAGTGTACCACTCAGCCACAAACGTGGAACATTTCTCACACAATTTCGCCATAGTGTGTTCTTAACCAGGGCCTTATAGCTGTGCTGCGTGATGATATGTGCGGGCTCTTCAGGGTTGTGATTGCTTCACCACCAAACACGACAATGAGGGGACAGGGCAACCATTATCAAAAGGCTGTGAGGCTGTCTTAGCGGATTAGGCATCATTGAATAGATCAGCTGGTGTGATGGACTGGCTGTTGTAGGTGGTTACCTGGTGGTCCGTGCCACAAATGTACAAATACCTAAGGGGCAAACGCGCTGCCGCCAGCTTCAGCTATTCACAATATGACAGGTTTGCACCTTAGTAGAGCCCCCATCCACTGGTGATGCGGTGACATTTTCCGCTTTGAACATTAACATCGGCTTTTGATTGCTATGTACAAACTAGTAAGACACCTCGCGTCGGATAATAATAATAATCAGATTCACTGTAAAAATGAGCCAGACAATGTCGCCTGTTTTAGGTACATTGCTTGAGCTGAGACGCTAAAGCTTAGTCTCTCTCAGGAGACTGCCTATATCCACACCAGAACGAGGCTGGAAATGAACGTCGAAATCTTTGGCATGTGCTACTAGTGCTGACTTCGCCTCATTGTAATCTACAGGGTCCGTGTTGGGTGGCCGGGTTTTGCTGTTGCGAATTTGGAAGCAACATATAGTACGTAAAATAGCTGTGTACAACATCCGGTTGGCTATCCCAGCGCCGACACAATTCCGCGCCCCTGCTCCAAAGGCGAGATGCTGAAGGCCAGTCGCTGGTCTGTCCGTCCAATTGTTCCTTTTCGGGTCTTTCGTCTCTAACCAGCGAAGGGGATCGAAGCGATTAGCGGTTGACCCATATTGTTTGATGTCTAGATGATAACAAGATGAGCGCTGGTGATGTATTACGATGGCACGGGATTTGACGATACGTACCATGGTTAGCTGCTTGAGCATTCACGAGTATGATGGTGTTCTTGGGAATCACCGCATCGTTCCAGCTAATATCCGAGGCGGTAAGGTGAGGGGGGATCATCGGTGTTACCGTGAACTGTCTCAATGTCTCTTTGATCAGAGCATTGATATATGGAATCTGCTCCTCCCGATGACTGCTGCTCCAAGCCGCTTCAACCGTTGAATAATAGTTGATAATACTCTGATAGGCCTGTTCTTGGAAGGCCTGCCCTTCTTCCGTTCCCAAGGAGGCGATGCACATCATAAATGTTGCTGGAACACTCTCAAATCCACCAGATATCATGGACAGGCATATAGAACCGATTTCCATCTTGGTCAAAGTTGTTTCCTCGCCCTTGAGAACAGCAGAAGACACACATGGGATGTCAATCCCGTCACGGATCTGCTCTCTGGCTGCGTCCATAGAGAGTTTCACATATTGGTCTCGTCTTGCTCTTAAGTCGATGCCTTGCTGTCTCTTTCGATTGGGGAGCCATCTGAGCAAAGGAACGTAGTCTTGATAGTTTTCCGATGCTGACCGGAGCAAAGAAATTCCCGAACCGACGTCAAGTATCTCTTGCAGTAGCTCATCTTTCCACGAATCGATTCTTATGCCATAGGATAGCGTAAGGCTCACGCTCAGAGCGAATCGTCTCACAAAGGGCTTGACACTTATTTCGATGCGCCCTTGGCTGCTGGCTTTGTAGAGGTCGCGGACCAGACATGAGGACTCTAGATCGATCATGGGAGCATGCGTCTTCATAGAAGACTTGCTTAGCATCTCAGCTGCGACTTTACGTCTTCGGCGACATGATTCGTCCCAGGGACTTGATCCAATGCTAAATCCTTGCGTGGAAGAGATGAGGCCGTGAAAGGTGTATAGCTGGGGTCGATCTAAAGTTGCGTTGGAGCAGCCTTGCAATATACGCTTGCTGTCTTGGAACGAATTGAAGACAATTGCTTTGGTGCTTCCCAGGCGTACTTGGTAGACATCAGAACCATAGCGACTGGAGAACTTCCGATATGCCGTTGCATGATCCTCTCCAAGCCATGGGAGATGTCCAACCAAGGGGAACGCGTATGGTATCTTGGGTATCCCGCTATTCTTGGTGTTCACAAAATGTTGGACAATTATCTAAATTAGACAGAAAAATGTCAGATAAATAGTCCACTGGCTCAAGAAATGATGATGATGTATACCGTTATCAATCCGCTTATAAATATACCAACAAGAAGCAATTTGGTCTTTTCTTCGAAACGAAGAAAAAACATGTGCTGAGAATATTCCATTTTCAGAATTGGAGGGGTTATGATTGCTCTGAGAGCCACAGAGGAGGTAATTAGAACTCAGACGGGATCGGAGAAGACAGGACTAGGTAGTTAGGCCTCCAAGTAAGCAGTGAGGAAATTTTTCTGAAATGCGTGTTGCCTACTAGTCTAGTAGATCCAGATACTTGTATTACCCCTCAGTTCCCGAATGTCGCTTACTTTGTTATGTATTTGTCATACAACATCGGGAAATAAGCAGAATTATGCTTTTTGGCACCCCGCGTATGGGAGGCGGATCAGCAGAGCGTCACCGCACTTAATCCGTCTGCCTCAAAAAACCCTGACCAAGGGATCGAAATCCTCTAGTTCACAAGATGGTCTTGTCACTGCCTTGAACTACAATTATTTCTTTGACTTTGTTTAGGCAGCTAACTGAAACATATTTAAAACCATCTTCATTGTTTCTTATGTGTGCTCTTTTAATTCTCTTCTGCTTCATGATATAGCTAGCCGTCGAGAGCAATGAATGTGTTACAAATAAACTTTTCCAGAATTTTGCTCAATACAAAAGCTTCGTCATTCTCTGTTGAAATTGTAGAGCCGTGATTTCATCATATGCAGCCGGGTTTGACTCTGTGACAAAGTATGGCAATGATCCGGCTGAGGTATCTCTATGGGCCTTGAAGAAAAAGATCCCCGAGTACCTGTCCGGACAATTCCCTTTGGTCACATCTTTCATCGATAGTGGAACTGAAACTTGGTGAGTTCCAGCTCTGATAACGTTATTGGTCCATCGCTGGAAGGTGTCACTGATGTTTACTACCATTTCTGATGGACCATCTGCGGAGCCAGGCAATACTGGCACAAAAGTACCAGGGTTCTTGCGATCTTCAAGCTCAAGGCCGCCAACTGAATCTTGGAACAGGAGCGTAATGATTCCAAAGTCAGTATGAGGCCAAGTGCGTTTGACTTGGCCTCCCGCGAGCAATTCGATGCTGGTCGGTGGGTAATGGTTGAGACGCATTTCACTCGACGCTGGTTTACATCTGGCTACCAGCGACTCGGGCTGTAAGCCCAAACCCACTTCCATGGCGCTCATAATTTGCAGACAAGTCTGCTGAAACAAGTCATAACAACTTTCCATCAAGGGCTGAAATCCCGGAATCTCAGTTTCCAGGGGCCACTTATTTGGAAAATCGCTATCCCCCGGCGGGCCAGCATCAAAGTGTTCCTTATATTCCAGATCAGTGTTGGCTCTCTCAATGCACGAAATTTAACTCACGCGAGCATCATTTAGTTTATCCACATCGGATCTTCCAAGTGTGTTCTCTTTTCTCAGCTTTGATGTTTGCTCCGCACCAACCCAACTATAGCCCCGTTGGGGAGTCGGTCCTTTCACATTGGCAACTCTCATCTTAGACTCTTCAGGCAGGGCGAAGAAACTTGTCGCCTATTCTTTAGGTCAGCGAAGGCGTACATTCATCGCGAGATGGGATTATAGTAGGTGCTACAAACAGCTTGCATATATTTAGTAACAGTCTCTTCAGGAAGTCCATGGTTAATGAGCTTCACGAAGCCATGGTCCTTGAAAGCTTGGACAAGAGCCTCTGAAAGTGTCACTCGTTGCTTGTCCGTGCCATGAGTGAAATGAGAAAAGTCCAACGTTGGCAAATCCATGTTATTCTTCCGAAAATGTGAATGAATGATGGCCTGCCTATAGAGGACAACAGGAGTGATACCCGGTCTCGACTATATGCTTAGGGGAAGTTCTGCCAATCAGTCCAGACGATCGTGATGACATCTTCATGCATATCACACTTGTTCCTTTCAATTCTGAGGGGTCTAGACGCAAGTGATCTTCAGCAGATTACGATGTCACGATGCAATGCGTGTAAGATTCTGCGCGATAGTTTGAGGTAATTATAAGCCGAAAAAGGTCCTTTTAGCAACTCCGGGTATGCACTTCACAGTCTGAGCGCACGTCTGGGCGCCTCTGCCGATATCAAGAACGAATGATATGCGATGATTAAGTCACATGCATACTGTTGTTGGGATGAAGACGCCTTCTTCAGCCGATCGTAAGATGACGACAGCATATTGCATAAAAAAAACCCGTTCATTTCCTTGCAGTCCTACTCGTACCCTGCAGTTGCAAGGATCCATGCGGAAATCCCGGAATGCTTGCCGGAGGCAGTGGACATGCCAGGGTCTGGCAGTCATACAGGGTTGAGCCGCTAAACGAGCTCGTAATATGAGCCTCTCCTATTGCAAAATTATATGGCGCGGCCTATGGCCTTGGAAGAAAAAGATGTGGGGATTTTTCTCAATGTATGAGCTTCGTTCAGGCACCGCAAGTTTCAATAGTCTCAGAGTCCGATTTTACTCATCAATAAACGCGTATTTCGCATGGATACTTCAACGCTACTTTGAATTAACCCAATGAATTTGTTAAGACCAGAAGATGAGTCGAGGCCGGCCTTTGGTCCTCGAACTTGGGATAAGGCCCATGAAGCTGCTCAGCGTCAATCTTGGCCGGTAGTTTAGACCGAGCGAAGGCATATTTTCCACCTTCACAGCGTCGACCTCATGCATATTCCTAGAGTTGAACATGCATAAGGCACCAACTGTGGGCTCACAATATGCTTTACGCGCCCCTACTGCGATTGACCTGTCATAGCCGTAACTCTCAGGGTCACGATACTTCAATGCTTCCTTCGTCCATTGCACGTCATGCACAGTCTGTAGCCATATCAGTCAAGATGCTGTAAATTGGCAACTTCGGAATATAAGTGGGGCGGCATAAAACAGGTGCTGTTTAGTCTGCTTGCATATGAACTTACCGTTATGCCACCTTTCACAGGCGCAAGATATAGATTGAAGACGGCCTGACATTCGACTGAGTTGATGATCCAGTCTTCGGTCGAACTGTCGTATGGCGAGAAGTCAACGTGAAGATGAGTTGCGTCATTCAAAGCTCTGAATATGCCTGAGAAGTATGTCTTGCCATGCCTCTCTGAAGCGACCTGAACATCCCAGTCCGGAAACATGGTAGTGATCTTGTCAAAGACCCTAAACCAAGCATCCAAACCATGTTCAGTCCGTAGTCGACTATGGAAGTCCAACCATTGTGAGGCGTCTTGAAAATATTGATCTTGCTCTAATGCACATAAAGCGACAGGTCAACTCGGAAACTCGTGGATCTAGCAAGGCTACTTCGTGAACGTACCATTAGTCCTGGAATTGAAGTCATCATTCCTCTGAGCCTGATACTCGAACTAACATAGGTTAGTTAGTTATATTGAGCAGGATACTTCGGAGGACTACTCACTTGCGCAACGCCGATCTTCCTGAGAAGTGGGCCTGTGTTGTATTTGTACGGCTCTAGCAACGGACTTAAGAGCTTCTCGTACTTCCAGCACTCGTCAGGGCTCAGAAAGCCCGGTGATTTTATCAAGGGGGTCTCTCCATATAGGAGTGCAAGAAAGCTTTCCCTCGAAAGAGGAACAGCTTCCGTAGTTTTCCAATGTGATTTTCCATTTCCTGGAATCAAAGGAGCTCGTGGAGAAGATGTATTGTATGATAGAGCTGTGCTATAAGCTCTTGCGTATGACCGTCTAAAGACGTTGGGAGCAATGAAGGTTCGGTTCATGTTCATGAAAAATCGCTATAAAGAGCTCAACTTGTCAAAATGGTAGCAAATCTTGCGCCGCAATCATGTATTAAGCAGTCGGCCGTGCTCAACGCTCTTCACTAAATTCAGTGGCCCAGCGTTGGAACATTGCCAAGGAGTTATCTGGAAACCCCAAAACCTTGAAGGCATGCATATAATGTTGCCACCGTCCTGACCGCGTGACGATTTGTACTCACATTAGTTCCGTTTGTGATAACCTAAACTAGATATCTGTCCGTGCATCATGTCATACCGCCTCGAGCTTGCATGCAGAAGCATTATGCTGGTGTCAGCAAAACGTGCGCAAATTGATCACTCTGATACGACTTATATACGATGATTTAAGTAAGACGGCCACGTATGCAACCGTAGACGCCCTGTGCACGCCCGCCAATTTTGCAAGGTTCGTTGTTCTGCATATTCTACCCTTGAGGCACACGTCTAGGAAAGAAACTTTCCTATAATGTGATAATTCCGACTGTATGGCAATTAAGACTTTTCGGGAAAATACATAATGCCTTGATGCTTACATTGACATGGATAACCCAATATTGGCCGGGCCGCTTGTACAAACGAGAGTGTATGATGGATGTGACATTACGTGACACTAGCCACCGGGAGCTCGTGCCTCCCATTTGGAAGATACAGCTTCCCTGAGATAGTCTTAATAAGTACAGATGTTTTCTTACATGTGGTTTTCCATCTGCCTTCGTTTGCAATACTCTCTTCTCGACGTAATTTGGACCTCTAAACATCAAGCAAAGACTGCTCCGCAAGAAGCTGACAAGATGAGCCCTTCACTTCAGTCTGATCGACTTACCTGGGAGAACGAGGAACTCGCGTCAGTTGAAGCTGGAACTAAGTTCCAAGTCTCAGCCTTTGACTTTCGGAGTAAGTTGTCCGCGTTCTGGCGTGAACCAGGATTGCAATACTAATTTTTCTGGTAGGCGATATTACGACATCGACGTCCGGCAGGCAATTTCAAGCTATACTTGGCGTGAGCTCGAATGATGGGTGGACTGCCAGCGGAAGCAAGGTCTTTGAGGATAAGATGGCAGACCTTGCAGGACGAGCAGCATCCCTATTCATGATCTCCAGCACGATGAGTAACCAGGTGGCCATCCGGACCCACCTGAACCGGCCACCCAACGGCATCATTTGTGATGCGCGAAGTCACATCATGCACCAAGAGGTTGGCGCCATAGGTCAGCTCTCAGGTGCTCTGCCCCTGGCGATATATCCCCAAAACGGGTTGTACCTCACCCTTGAGGACATTGAGGAGAATATCGTCCTCTCGGATGGCACCGACACGTGCACATGCCCCACCCGCTTGCTACATCTCGAGAATCCTCTAGGGGGTGTCGTGATGCCCGTCGAAGAAATGAAACGCATAAAGCAATATGCTGATAAACACAGTCTCACGGTGCATATGGATGGGGCCAGGTTATGGGAGGCAGTAGCTTGCGGTGCGGGGAACCTGGAGGCATTCTGCAGCCAAGTCCACAGCCTTAATCTGTGTCTGACCAAGGGCCTAGGCGGATCTGTCGGAAGTTTCCTCGTTGGGGACAGCGAGTTCATACGACACGCGAAATGGGTTCGAAAAAGCCTTGGCGGGAGCATGCGGCAGCCGGGATGGGTCGCCGCCGCCGGCTGGGCCGCTGTGGGGGAAGTGTTCGGTCAAGACCCGAGTGGTCAAGATGCCTGGCGCCTAAGGCGGACCCATGACCTTGCAAGAAGGCTAGCCAAGCATTGGGAGGACCTTGGTGGAAGGCTTGTCGTACCGCAACAGACCAATATGGTCTGGCTCGATCTTGATGCTGCTGGCATCGACGAGGATTCGTGGGAGTCAGGTGGCCAGGAGCGGGGGATCTTGCTGCATTGCTCCCGGCTGGTGACCCACTACCGTGCGTATGCTTCCGGTCCCTGCAGAAGCCAGCTAACAGAGATGTACCAGAAATCAGCGACGAGGCGGTGGTCTGCCTAGAACAGTACATGGCCGACATGATGCAGAATCTGCAGCAAAGACGACGGTTGCAGACACGAATCCCTCGCCCCGAAGCTGTGGCCCGACTGGCTAAGACTATGCGACGTGGCCTAGAGCTAGCACGCCTGCAAGGTTATAGGAAGTAAGCGTAGCTTAGCCTCGAGACCGGTAGTGTCCGGGAGGGTACATAGTATATGACATCCGTTAGGCTCTGCCTGCTGCATGGAGCTAGACATGGTTTTGGTTGCTTATTTGGACGTTCGTGGGGCTAAGTTAGTCTCATCCATAGCAAAGCACTATAATCCAGTAACCCGTTTTGCTCAACGGTCGTTCAATCAGATTACAAAGTTGCTCACTATAGCCCCATCAAAATAATGGAAATCCAGCGGCGTGCACTAGTTAAACCCAATAAGCGCATTTTCCGCCGTCGCTCTGAGGCACATGGAGTCCAAGCTAGTCGCAATCTCCGTTGTGGCCCGCAGAATCGTTCAGACAATTTTCAAAATAACCATTGTGACAACTGTGCAGATCCTAAACTTGGACCCCGCATGGTTCTGATGCAGGCGTGATTTTCGTATCTTTTCCTGCGGGTTGCTGTCGTCAGCTCACCCCTACCAAGGCGTTTGTGCCATCGTATAAGATGCGTGCCAAGAATTTCTCACGACGAAAAACAAGGGGACAAGAATCTGGCCTTCGCCTATGTCTTTGAATTTTTCAGAAGGATCTAGAACCCTGCGTATAACCCCAGACTATATTCTGACATAGCTTTAGCACCAATGGAGATTTGCCCCGAAGACGTGATCCAACCGAAGGGCACGTTGGTCTCACGTCGAGTGCGTCGGGGCTTCTTGATTTGATGTAGGGCTATATGCAAGTTGTGTAAGAGCATGTCAGCGCCATTGCAAATATGTTCACTTTCATGGCACAGTGCTACTTTTCGGTGACAAATTAAGCGACTCGTTGCAGAAAGCGCTTAGGCAGCGCTTTGAGCAAGTTAATTACCAGCTTGTTTGCATGTGGCACTTTTGGTCGGCGCCGATCCGATTCTAGACTGGCTCGACTAATACCAATGGCGCGAGACTTGGATCCGTGAACATGGCAGTGATTCCATTGACGACATACGGAGCTCGGTGGCATTCATCGTAGGCAAACGGTGCAGCATTCACAGGGGCAGATTGTCGTTGCTCGGGATCTTACACGTCTGGCCTATGGGCCATAAGCGAAATTCGGGACAGCGAAGTCGCGAGTTCTTAGGCCGTTCTAGAAGGACAAAAAAGAGACATGATGGAAGTCCCCAGGTTTAACGTCTATCATAATCAGATACCTTACAATTACACTTTACACCACTGAAAAAGTATCTTATTCATGTAACAAGCACTAGTTTCGCTCTGAAAACTGCTTAATGGGGGTTTTCATCTTTCATGGTGTACTTTCCTGAGACAACGGGTGTTCTACTACTTAATACTAATCAATTGTAATAAATCCATCTTTCTGTCCTCGTAGTAGAACGTTAAGAATTATCTCCAGATGTTATTTCCTATCTCCAACTTTCACGCCACCTTTACAATGGAGGCTGCTAGCTTCGCAGCGTATGTGATATTGATATTCGTAGTCTCCTCATTAGTATGTTGGTTTCTGAGCTTTTCTTTCACAAACCCTATTATGGATATGCTCACCTCCTCAAGTTTCCAAAAATTAGCCACATTGCTTTGCGTACACGCAACAAGTTGCACGCCAACAAAATACGCATAGACGAGATTATGCAAATCGATTCCCTGGATGACTTCAATTGGAAAAATACTCAGCCCATGAAGGTCTATTCATTCAAGCCTCGGTATTTCTTAACCATGGGTACGTCGAAGATTAAGGCTAGGCGATGGACCAGTTACGCTGAAGCTGCCAATTCTTATACAGGTCTACAGCGAACCAGCATTTCGGAACTGATCAACATTGATCAAGACTACTTTACCAGGCTGGCGCGGCGTGAGGAGATACTAAGAGATGCGCCGGAACTCACAGCGCGGTCTACTCCCGCCGGAGCTGATGCCGTCTACGAGCTTTACCAGTTCCTTGTAAGAGTTTATCTTCCACGTCGATACCCAACACTTTTCCAGATCATGCCACGAGTTCTGCAAAACATGGTTTCCGGCCAGCAGTACCCGTTAGACTCAGCCTCAAGCGCAACGTTGGCCTTGAAAAGTATAGCAACTCTCGTAGATGAGGACTTTATCATATTGTTGCCCTCTAGCTCCAGCGCCGAGTACGAGGTCCATGCTTACTTGATCTGTTTTGCAAGTGGCTTTAATTTGCCGAACTTACTCAATTCTAATATCAGCGAACTTCACAAGCCTCTTCCCGGATATGCTGAAAAGCTGCAGCGCAGCATGAACAGATGGTTCCAGCGACTTGAGGTGGGAACAGTCGTGCGACGATCCAACGTTAGTTTTTCAAGTTGGTTTCAAACCCACTTTGCGCCTAACTTGACTTAGTGGACAGTATCCCTCCATGGTGAATTGAAAAGGAAAACAAGAGAAAACAACCTGGCTCACCTCAATCATAAAGCCACAAACTCAAATGACTTAGGGCAGGTTGATGTATCAAATGTACGGCATTCCCAACAAACATTGTCGACTATACTGACAGCCAATCGCAGGCCCACCTTCGTGCCGAACTCCAACATCTCCATCGCCTGCCGAAGACCAAAGCTATTGTCCTCACCTTTAAGACCTATATGTACCCACTTTCAGTGTTGAAACAAGAAGGCGAGGGAGAGAATCTTGCACAGGCTATAGAAGGGCTAAGTAAAGGAAATGTGCCGGAGATGAGCGAGTACAAGGGATCGCATCTCTGGGGCCGTGCGGTTTGCAACTACCTAAGGTCATAGGTTTAGTGAGTCAAACGTCGGTTTCAGAGAGAAAGACTTCAGTTGAAAAGTGAGATAAGAGTTTTCTATTGCTTGAGTGTGCTATGTGATTTAGAGTTCAGCATGTCTTTGCCCTTTCTTATTCCAGTTCATATCTAAACTCTTCCAGAGTCTTGTTTGCCAGTCTTAGACACTCTTTTCTAGACTTCTTTGAAACAACAGAAATGTACGCTAGATACGATAGCTCACTGGCAGATGGGCCAAAGAGTCTATCGCCACCTTTGATGACCGTGTTGTAGTCAACAATTGCCTCTCTCACATCATCATGTCTTTCCATTAGATCTTTCACGGTATCTGGGGTCTTCATTACCCCAACTCCCTCCTCAGGAACCAATAGAAGGGCCAGGTACCACTGCGGTCCATTGCGGAAGGGCTCAGACAAGCTCGAATATCGGCTCATATCGCCGAGTGAAAACACTAGCTGTAACGCGTAGTAATCAACTCCCCAGGTCACATTCGTCGCAACTGACTCCAGATAACCTGCAGGGCGGGCATTGATCTCATGAAGGTAAACCTTGGGCGGTGCGTTCTGCTTCTCTGTCGAGTACAGGTCTCCAAGTCTGCGATCTTTCAATTCAAAGGCCATTGAAGAATTCTCAATACGAGCTTCGCAGTGAAACGTGCCATTGACAAAGCCCATACGGAGAATACTTTGATGAACGTGGTCACGTACGAGCGCCAGTTCGGATTCTGGAAGACCGCACGGTAGCAAGTTGGCGGTCTCCTGGAAGTTGTCCACAGCGCTAGCATCGGGGAAGTCGCCACGACTTGGGTAATCGTCGGCTACCTCGTAGAAGACAACCTTGCCATCCTGAAGCGCGAAGTTGATATCTACTTCTGGGCCGTCCACATATCTTTCTATTAAGAAATCTGCGCGACGCTGGGGCGAGTTGGCGTGTCTATTAGATGCTTTCTGAGCGGCAACGACCAGTTCCTTGTCGTTGGAAACTTTGCTGATGCATTCGCTACCCCAGCCAATACATGGTTTGACTATGACGGGGTATTGCAGACCATCAAGTAGGCCCCCTGGCCCGAGCTGCTTCTCCAATGCGGCAACGCTTTCGAAAGCGTAAGCACCACTGGTATCAGGCTCAAGCATCCTTGTCTTCGCTTTGTCGCCAGCTATGGCATAGGCAGATGCTGGCGACGTTGGAAGACCTAGAATGTCACACACCTCGGCCACACCTTGGAGGCGGGCATCGCTAACGGTCATGACCCCGTCGATGGGTTTATCGTAAGCGCGAACAGCGCTGAGGATCCGCTCAACAAATCCCTCGTCGGCAGCTATGCGCACAGGAATAAACGCCTCACGTAAGTAGGCATATGCTCCAGCGTTATCCTCAAGCCAGTGTCCCGGGTTGTCGATGATCACTAACGTGATGCCTAGAGCATACGCTGCTTTGTACATGCCCAAGCTCACATTGATATCCTTCCTACCCTCAACCCATACTAGTCTTCTTCGAGGAATCGGCACCTCAGAAATCCAGCGTGATGGTAGGCGGTTCTTCAGTTCGCTAAGGAGCTCATTCAAGGTCGTTTTTGTCTTCAAGATCATTCCAGCAATGGATGATTCAAGTAGACTGGAGATGTCATTCGTTGATGGGGTGTGCACGTATTGGAGTGGCTGAAGAAAACTTGACACTTCCTGTACTAGGTCGCAACCATATAGGCGCCTGTCTAGGAAGTCGGACCGGATGATATATCCAACTCTTTTTGGTATGAGATATATCAAGTTTGTATCAGTTCTCGTCTGGTTTCTGCCAACCGCATCCTGTAAGAAAGAGAGGAATGCATGAGGTATGCGAGTTGACGAGGTATCGATAACTTGAACACTACCTTCTAGCTCGTGGGATGCTTTTGTTGACGGTTTCAGGATCAGATGCAGTATGCTCAAAGATTCTGCATTGTCGTGTTCATTGACCAACGGGTGGAGGCTCCATCGACAGGCAATGGCGTCTGGTAAAGGGGTCAGTGACTATAGCCCAATGATGCTTTTCATCCTCCACGCTGACGATGAAGCGACATTGTACTTACCAGACTGAGCCAGTCCTGCCAACACATAACATTCACCTGAAGCCATGGGGAAATTTTCAAAGGTTTAGACGGCGTTACTGAAAGGCAGAGATTCGTAGTGGGATCAAGCCTGGGTTTAGAGACCCAAGCGAATAGCATTACATACATAGGTACTTGCTTGATCACTCTCTTACTATCACAAAATACATCTTGATCCGCTGCTTAATCTGATCTTGTTGTGGGACCGGAAATCTCTTCGGGCGCCGGGATGTAACCGAAGACGGACAGTCAAGGGACCCTGGCAGTACATGCATGCTCAGCCAAACAACAAACCATGCACTCATTCTCTGACGCAGCTCAATATGCTGTGTCACATAAGCTGACTCACAGTTGCGCAAATTACGAGAGCTTTTGATCAAGGGCTTAATAGCATGGGAACATGGTCATCAAGGTTGAATCACGTTACATGATAGTATTGCACTAAGAAGGCGGGTGGTTGAATATGCGTTTACGCAGATGCGAACAAAATCATTGTGGCGGTGGGCTTTTAAGCTGGAAAGTTGAATTTCTCCCTTGCCAGCAGAGTGTTTTCCACAAGCCTTCATCTCGCTCGGAATGCATTCGGAAGAGCGAAATTGACCGACAACTAGTGAAGACCGGCCACCTCCTTCGACGCGATGACCTCACCTGAAAAACTGGCAATTGTGCCTGAAGATAATCTACCGGTACTAGATCATGGGCCGAGCATTACAGAAGACAAGCAGACCGCTGTCCGATCAGAAAAGCGTTCGCGCGAAGATGAAAGAGCCGTCGCACAACAAATCCCGCCTGGGGATGACGCCAGCTTGACGGATCACCTTCCACGCGTAACAGATCACCTTCCAGCGTCAGTTATTATAGCATTGTTCATTGGCGCAGCAGAACGCTTCACATATTACGCCTTGACAACACCTTGGCGTACGAGAACCCTAACTCTGCTACCAATACCAGTAGTTCCGCACCAGATTAGAAATTGTAAACTAACTTTGCATTGCTTCCCTCAGAGAACTATATGCAAAATGCCCGTAATCAGGCCACACCTGGAGCTCTCGGTCTCGGCCAATCAACAGCGACCAACATCTCTAATGCCTATCTATTCTTCTCCTTCTTGTGTCCGATGCCTTTCGCCATACTGTCAGATACCTGGCTGGGGAGATATAAGACACTGCTGTTGAGCTTGGGGTGAGCATACGAGCGCTTGGGACTTGATATTGAGTGTAGATTGACAATGACAATGTGCAGAATATATATGATCGGGTGCTTGGTGTTCTTTTTGACATCAATTCCCAAATCGCTCGAGGCAGGAGCCGGCGTTGGCGGTCTGGCGAGTGGAATGATCCTGATTGGTCTCGGCCAGGGCGGCGTCAAAGCCACTTTCTCTCCGTTTTTAGGTGCGAATTTTCCAATATACCTCATCCAAGATACATTGTCCAATGTTTCATTTGCTTGGAAACTAACGTCTTGCGCAGGAGACCAGTATAACCAGAAGGATGCGCCAGGCGTTTCGACGACAAAGACTGGGAAGCGTGTGATCAAGGATAGCGCCTTGACCTTACATTATATCTACAATCTCTTTTACTGGTTGGTGAACCGTTTAATAGAAAAGATATGAAGGTTGGCGCTGACAAAAGTAGGGCCACTAATGTTGCGTCGTTATCGTCAGTCCCTTCGACATTTCTAGAGAAAGACTTCGACTTCTGGGTTGCATATCTCTTTGCTGCATGCTCTCTGCTCATCTCAGTTGGGCTTCTTGTTATATTTCGCTCAAAACTCGGTTAGTACTCATTGCCCGCTTTCATATCCCCTAGTTCCAAGCTGAGTAGATCATAGTCAAAGTTTCTCCCCAGGGTAACAGATTACCTACTGCAGCGAAGGTGATTCTTTGTGCCATGAGAAACGGCTGGAAGATGAACAATGCCAAGCCTTCACATCAGTTGAGCGTCTACGGTAAAGTGGTATCTTGGGATGATGAGTTCGTAGATGAGTTGGTGATGGGGTTGTCAACTTGTCGAGTTCTGTGAGTCTTCTTCAGATCTTCCTTCACGATGAGAACATGGAGGCTTACATGGCGAGCCATCCAGGCTGTCTTTCGCAATCTTTTACCTATGCATCAACCAGATGTATAACAATCTAATATCACAAGCGGGACAGATGGAGCTGCATGGAGTACCTAACGATATGATCCAGGCTCTGGCCGGAATCGCCTGTGTTCTACTCGGACCCGCCATCCAGTGGATGAACGACGCCATCGCACACCGCAATTTGTTCTTTGGTCCTATGCTACGCATAACGCTCGCATTCGTCTTCTGTAGCGGTGCTATGGCGTTCTCCGCCGGGCTTCAGAACCTGATATATGATGCACCGCCGTGCTACAACGCGCCACGGGCGTGTGGCTTCGAGGGGCCCAACTACATCAATGTCTGGATTCAAACTCCCGTGTATTTCATTCTTGCAGCGGCTGAAATATTAGGGTTTGTAACGGCTAGCGAATACTCGTACCGAAAAGCACCCCGAGATATGAAGTCCATCATTCAAGCGTTTGTCCAGTTGACGGCGGCGTTTGGGAGTGCTCTGGGCATGGCTATCAGCCCTGTTGCAAAGGATCCTTATCTGGTAATCATGTATTCGTCATTGGCAGCAGCCATGGCGATCTGTGGAATAATCTTTTGGTTATGCTTCAGGTCCTATGATAAAGCTGAGAAGGCGGCTAGCCATATGGCTAGGAGTAGTGGTGTTGTTGAAAACCAAGAATAGAAGACGACGTATGACCTGTTGGTAGTTATACCTTAGTTGATTCAAACTCCAAGCTGCATACAGATGGCAAATATGGCTGAAAACCGTGATCAATTGGCACACTCCGCCGGGTATGTGCCCGTTGGAAGCGCTTTACCATTGGAGAACGCTGCATCCCTATATCATGGCACGACGCAGTATTGCAGCTGCCACAGTGTGTATCTACTGCATAAAAGGGTAGTAGTTTGCGCGGGGACCAATGTTGCTCTAATATATACTGCCTAAAATGGTACCGGGAATATGCGGTAAGCCCGACGCCGCGTCGTCTAGTTCCGCGGAGTGCTGCATCACATTGACGGTGCGATGTATCACGTCTTTTATTATTCCACACGCGGATACTCTCACTCTCAAAGGATTGAATTGTTGCAGTATGGGTTGGAACTGGCGTAGCAGCCCGGTTTCACATCTGGTCACGGCCTTCAGGATCCGGGATTGGCATATCCTGCAGCTTGAGCACATTTGAGGCCGTTCCCCCGAAGCCGCCTGGGAACCGTGATAGGACGGATTGGTACACTCCGAACCGTGTTAGGCACAGACTTTTACTTCCCCATGCACCAGAAACTTATGTCCTAATTGTAAAAACAAGAACTAATTGGTACAAGACCCGAGTTGGCGGCCCAGTTTTGCAAACTCCACGATTTCCCACTATCCGCACACATTCAACTACCAAGCCTACAAGTCGACAACATGGACGGAATGGACTGTGACCCCAGTGTGGCCGACCTGCCACTGAGTGACCCGGTATGTGTCAAGGCAATGGAGTGCTGTACAGCGTTCTATGCCGGCGAGAACGCATCTCAAACAGCTACCCCGTTCGCTGGGCAGAGTGAATACGGCCGGTGGACCACGTACTACTGGGTCGTCCTGTTGGCTCTGGTAGCTGTCTACCACGCCATTATCACCATTCTGGATCGACGTACCCGCCGCCGCGGTCGCTCCAGTGACGCGGGTTTGTTTGAGAAAGCTCAGGCTCTGGGCCGCACGGTAACCTACAGAGCAACACGAGGGACACCACTTGCCTTGGTTTCCTGGCCGCGCACTGGTTCCATTGCAGCCGTGCTTCTTCTGTCCATCGTCGTTATTACAGCGTTTGTTTTCGCTGAACGTCCGTATTATCGTCCTCAATTTGGGTTCGGCTCACCCCCGATTGCCATCCGCTCTGGCTTTATAGCGTTCGCTTGCGTCCCCATCTTGGTTGCGCTTGCTGGCAAGGCCAACGCAATCACTTTTCTCACCGGTATTGGACACGAGAAACTAGTTGTGGCCCATCAGTGGGTCGCGTGGATATCCTTTGTGTTGAGCTTGATCCACACCATCCCCTTTTTCATTGCGAGCTTTTACGAGCCTGGAGATGGAGGTTACGAGAGAGTGAAGTCGGAGTTCTACCGTAAAGGCAGTGCTGCCTCCTTGACAGAAGTTCGTTAACCCCAAATATGTTAGCAGGGTTGAACTAACCATACCACTTCCGTTGTTAGTATTCGGGAGTTCCACCGTTAGCGATCTTGTTCGGCTTGTGTATACTGTCCCTCCCGCCAATACGGCATCGATTTTATGAAAGCTTCTATGCTGTCCATATACTACTTGCGATTACCTATGTTGGCCTTCTCTTTTGGCACGCTGGCGATGAGCTCGATTCTTGGGCATACCTATGGGCGACTGTAGCAATTTGGCTTGCTTCATGGTTTGCGCGGCTATTTTGGTTCAACCAATCCCTGCACGTACGTGGCGAATGGTTCAAAACTCTCCCAGCCACGCTCACAGTACTTCCCGGAGATCTTGTCCGTATCGAAGTTGAACGTCCTCGGGACATGCACTTTCAGCCGGCACAGCACTGTTTTCTTCGTATTCCTACTATCTCTTGGAGTGATAATCATCCCTTTACAATAGCATCAGCCGCCTGTTCCGACGCGCCCAGAAGAGGCAGTGACAGGATGCTGTTCTTGGTCAAAGCACGCGATGGATTTACACGAAAGCTTCGAGACCATGGTGCAGTAGACAAATCCGTCGATGTGTCAGTCTGTCTGGAGGGTCCGTACGGGGGGCTGGCCCGACCTCTTCTTGCGAAGCGCTACGACAAGGTCTTGCTAATAGCAGGGGGCAGCGGAATTTCGGCCTGCCTTTCATGGCTGTCCCAACTGGCATCGTCCGCTGAAGCTAGCCGGCTCCAGCAGGTGACACTTCTTTGGGCCATCCGCGACGAACATAGCATTGCATGGGTTTCTAATGAGCTTCGTGAAGCAAAATTCAACGGCAGGGTAGAGGTGGATATCCTTATCCATATAACCGGGCTTGCAGCGTCACCACAAGTTGAACACGATGAAAAGGCGCAGATTGATGGTCCGTTCGATCAGTCCTCCATGATTTTCACAACCAGCACAGGGAGGCCAGATCTATCAACAGCTGTGTTGGAGTCAACTGGGAGGCAACAGAGCACCTGCGTATTCGTCTGTGGACCAGAAGGCATGAATGTAGACGCATCCAACGCATGCTCGTCTGCACAGAAGCTAGTCCTTGGGGGGAAAGCACGAAGTATTTCCTTGCACGTTGAGACTTTTGGTTGGTAATTTTGTGAGTAGTAGTTTGTGGTCATGAAAGCTTGAACTACGGTCTAGCCAGTCCAGCAATGAGTAGCAAGGTTAGTGGCGAAGGTACCTACCTAAGGTTGGGTAATGCGCTGTCCAGCATGGGGGCCCTTCGGGACGCCCAAATCTATAGGGCGCGTAGATAACTCATGAAGCTTTGGGCGCCTAACGTGTTGAAAGAGTTTGGGCTGACGTGGATAGGCATTCGGATTGGGTTTTCCAGGAGAATGACCTCGCCCGTCAACGTCTATGGCAGTTTAGCGAGTCACCAAGCACGGGACCTTGATCACGCGACAAGACACGCCAATAGGAATTTCCGTAGCGGGGTACACAACCTCCAAATCAAGTGCACTTTTCGCCATCATATAAACAGGTTTGGAATGAAATATAAAAACATATTTGCTCTTGAGTCGAAAATGGCCTACCATACTGGATCTAAGAGTGCTGTCTTTCCAATGAAATCTACATACGGCCGTATACTGAAATCATCGGTGCTTGAGCTTTAAGCATATCACTATTAGTGAACGCTAATAATCCCACAGCTCTTCCCTGATTTACTTTTTGTGGGGTGAGCCTAGTTGCACTGAGTACATCGTAGACCATTCAGCTTTCCTAGGCGGTGCGACATATTGCGCCTGGTGTGCCTAGTTCCATGCACTGCGCCCCGCCTGATCCCCCACCCTCACAGCCCTACATAGTATTACCAGCAATCCCGGCTCCCAAGCATTCATCCCATTTTCCAACAAACTCTGCTTTCATCATGCTCTCAACTCGCAATCAGCAGCTCATGTGCGCCAACCTGAAAGTGGTGAGATTGAAGGCTGGTATGGGAGCTGCACTCTCAGAGAAGCTAGGTGTGTTGCTAACATCAGCGCGGATAGGCGCTCAGGATTGGGATTGCGCCAGTGTATCTCTGCACAGTGAAATTAGCGAAGACAGTGGCATGCACATCTTGGCACCAGACGATTACGTCGTCAACATCGTGTAGGTATTCACACCTCTATAGCCGCAGAGTCAAGATTTACATCTGCTTGAAGATTTGCCTCGGCCGACAGAATACGCCAGTGCCAAACGTGTCGCAACTATTTCGCCAACGTCTTACATCAGCCTGCGCTATGGTGGGATGACTACTGGGACGAGCAAGGCGACGGTTACCAGCGAAGAATATCAAATGGCTATTTCGGTTGCCAGGACATCGTGAATGCCGACGATGATCTAGATGGACATGGTAGGTCTCAGTGGATATTGACATGTATAACCAGCTAACCCAGACCAGTATCTTGGATGCGCGCGCTTGTCAAACAGATAATTGAAAAGGGCAGTCACATAGAGTATGGATGGCATAAGCTGAACTTCTTCGCATATTGGTCTCGCTCCACCAAGCAGCTTGTGCTGGTAGTTTTCGATGCCAGCAGAGAGTTTGCAGACAAGATCTCACGCGCAGTATTGAAAGAAGTTGACATCCCCCAGCTCCAAGATCCTTTTTGGATCTACCCTATACTGCTAGACCTGGTGGTCCGTCTACAAAATCAGGCCGTATGGGCCGTTCGAGGCTCGGTGAGGATGTTGGAGAAACATCGGGCCTACTCTGACCGACCACAGCCAAACTACGTGCGTATGCACGATATAGCAAGACATGCGATCCACGTATCTGAGACACTGGATGTAACTTTGAAAACAGCGAGTATGATCCTATTCCAGCACAAGTATTTCGTCACCCACGAAATGGGACCGGAGAAGGCTTTGCGGAGGACCTCAAAGCACATAATGGACAGACTGTCATATTTGGAACATGTGCTTTTCAGCCTACGCGCACGTTCGGCTTCCAACAAGGAGAGGCTATCCAACGAGATCAGTCTTGCTTTCAATACTGTCGCTCAGTACGACTCACGCGTGTCGGTAAACATTGGCCGCGCTGCGCAATCGGACAGTAGTGCCATGAAGACTGTTGCCTTCCTTACACTCGCATTTCTTCCCGGGACATTTATCTGTGCAGTTTTCAGCATGTCTTTCTTTAATTATGACTCTATTACGGGAGACTGGCAAGTTTCGGATAAGTTCTGGTTGTATTGGGCTGTGGCAATACCCGTGACCATCATGACGATGCTATGCTGGTACATCTGGTCAATGAGGGGTTCGCCGAATCGCTTTAGTGAGCAGCCTCCGGGGGGGAAGGAGATACAGCAAACGACTATTTGAGAAGCCTTCGAATACATTCATACAATCGGCCAGTGTGATTAGATAGCCGGTCCATTGGGCATATTGTGCAGTCCTGGGATTCTAAAACGCGTAATCAGAGTGGCGCTCCGTACTAGATCCAACTGAAAGATCCATGCCAATCTAGGCCAATCATGTCAGAGGTGAATAATCATGTTACATTATCTAACCTGACCAGCTTGAGTACCCTTTCATAAGCAGTTCCAAACTTGTGAGAGATCAGCGTACAAATGATCGTTGACGTCTAATTGCATCGATGCTATATATGCCGTATCAGGTGAAGAGCGTGAATGAATCAATTCACCCACTGCATCCCTCAATTTAAATTCCAATGCTCCCAATACATTGATTAACATTGGGTAATTCAAAATCAATTGAACCTTGTTTTGAAACAGAAACGATTCGAGTCTTTGCGCCGTTGGTTTGGAAATTCATAGTTGTTAAGGGTCATGCTGATCATGACTAAAAAGTGGTTTGGTTTTAGGCTACTAATAGAGTACAGAGCTGCCTTTCATAGACCCAGTTATACTATCCCCCCTGAAGCAAGGATCATTTCGTCTCTATATGCCCCAGCTCAGGCAATTCCTGAAGCGCCTTGCAAGCCGCTTCCCATGAGAGATCCTCTTCATAGAACTGACTTCGCAGATAGGCCCACGTGATCCTGAGCACAGCTTGCAGTCTCTCGGGGCTCTCATCTTGAGTCTCTCCAGCATCCCATCCGCTAATACCCCCAAACCCGTGGTGTCCGCCTTTCACCATGAATGAAGCCTTGGGGCCTGGCGAGAGACTGTAAGGGTCGGCATGCCAATCGGCGCCGCGACTTGACAGATGAGGGCTCACATCGATATCGCCCCACACGATGAGCGCAGGTTTGTCCATCTGACTGAAGTCCGGGCCGGCAAATGGGATAAGGCTCCGTCCAGACTCAGAGAGATCCGCGCCAGCGTTACCGATGCCACCGAAAACAACACCAGTTTTAATACGGTTTTCGACAAGTCGAGACACTGTGCCGTCGCGAGGGTCCGTATTGGTGGCACCGAGTAGTGCGCTCGCCGTCAGGCCGCCGAGAGAGTGCCCTATAACAGCAACTCTGTCCCTATCAAGCCGCCCACTCAGCAGCGGCACGGCCGACTCAATGGCATCGAGCTCATCCAGTACTCTGGTCATATCTCGCGCGCGGGAGTCAAGGAAAAGGTCCCGGTGGTTCTCGGCGTCCAGCTGGATTCCCAGTGACTTCGAGCTCAAATGGGTCGGTTGAATCACTGCAAATCCATGCCCAGCCAAGAAGTCTGCCAGAGGCCCGTATCCTTCTAGCGAGGAGAGGTAGTTGCTTCTGCCGTGGCCGTGGGAGAGGAGGACAATGGGGAGAGCATTGCCAGTCGGCGGGAAAGACACGCGTAGCTGCAAATCTACATGCCGATCTGAACTTGGAAGAACAACTGGGCTGAATGAAATGACGGGATTCGACTCGCTGATGGGGATTTCAGCTGCTGAGCCGACGAGAGAATGGTTGCGAAACTGCATTGTTTTTGGGTTGTGAGGTGAAATTGGGATTGGGATGTTATAATATTAGAGTAACATGAAATCTGATACAGGAAAATCAAAATAAGTGATATGAGCGAGCCGGCCAGACGTATATATACTAAGTAGTAGTCAATTACACATCCTGTCGAGAGGCTATTCAGGCCCCCCCAGTTTGCTGTTAGCCAATCAAAAAGCGATTGCCCAAAACGGCATGGACTATTCAGCTAGCATTGCGTGAGCTTTTTGACTGGTTCTACGCCTGAGATCGGAGATTGGGTGGGGCCACTCACCGGAAGGAAAGGCTTAACGCCGCCGACGGCTTACATATGGACTATTCCAATTGTCCGAATGCAGCTGTGGCCAACGGCTTTGTAACATATTCGCCCACCTTGGAAACTACAGGAGCTCACCTAACGTCCATCAATTGCATGATATCATGTATGTATCTGTGGCTCCTGGTGCAGGGAATTAATTGCCTGCTTCCTTGGGCAAACCCAAACTGAAAACCCCGAGACCAGTCGACACCGACACCGCCACTATCATCAAAACAGTCAATATTCCCTCGTTGTTGCCAGTTATAACATATCTTTCATCTCGAATATTTAAAGATTATAGCTTTCTAATTGTTATACGAAGATGTTGTATAAGACTGCAGACCATTAAACTTGCCGATGATGCAGATAGTACCAAAATTTGTCCAGAATACCGTCACAAACAGCACCCGCCTCCCCACTCTGTGTGCCACTACAAGGTCATGCCTCGCCTTGGGCCTTGGAATTTCTGCCTCCGGTAATGCCGTCCCCGTCACCCTTTTTGCCCGATACCTCTAACTCGGAGATGGGTTTCCCGCCGTCATAGGCCTCAATGACATCGACTAAGTGATCGGCAGGTACCCCGTTGAATCGCTGGTCGATCTGTTCGAGGGTGAGAGACTTGGTCTCAATGTAGGTGAAGAAAATTACGACAGCTATGAAAGTGTTCCACACAACACCCACGATATAGAATCTCCATCCAATATCTGCAAGACCGACAGGTATGACGTATTGATTGAAGAACCCGGTGGAAGAGACAAATATGCTGTAGAATGCCATACCCTTGGCCCGGATGGTAAAGTTCAGGATCTCTGCACAGTATGAGAAGGAAAGAGGCGTCCAGGTCGAAGAGTAGGCAATCTGGAACAGGAAGACCATGGCAATTATGGCGTTCTGACCAGCGACCAACCCCGTGGCTTTGGCCGTCAGACCTGCCATGGCCGCCAAGATAGCTGCGCACGCCGCCGTGCCACCCACGAGCATCGGGACACGGCCCAGTCGATCGACAAGGCAAATACCTGTGAGCGCGGCGGCGAAGGCTACCGCGTATTGGCCAAGGTTTATGGCAAATTGCTCCTTTTCCGAGGTTACGTTAGCTAGCTTCAGAACACTGCTGAGATAGAATGTAATGATGCTGGAGCCGACAGTTTGCTCGAATACCCCCAGGGTAATCAAGATAAAACCTCGGTACAGGTTTGCCTTTGAACTCTTGAAATCTTTCCACCACGACCTGAACGAAGTATACTGATTCTCTTGCTCAAATTGAATGGTCTCTTTGATCTCGCGGAACTCGCCAACAACCAGTGGGTCATTTTCGTCGCCACCGCCGTGAAAACGGGCCAAGACGGCGAGCGCCTCGGCTTCGCGACCTCGTGAGATCATCCATCGTGGCGACTCCGGGATGAATGGCAGAGTGGCAATGCACCCAAGGGCAGGTCCGGCCATGGCGATACAGATGATGCGCCAGCTCCAGTCGCCACCAACACCCCGTGCTGCGTAGCCTACGGCGGAGGATATTATGGCACCCAAGAGCCAGCAAGTCCAGTACAAGCCGCCGACCAAGCCACGCTTGCCCGGTGGCGCAAGTTCGGCGAGGTAGGTAGGAACGGCGGCGATGTCGACCGACTTTGCGATCCCGACTAGGATGCGGCCGACAAAGAACTGAGGCAGCGTGGTTGACGTGGCATGGATAGCTGTGGCAATCAGGACGATGACTGCAGCGGCCAAGATACCTCCCTTTCGACCCCAGCGATCAACAATGTGGCCAGCAAAGAAGCCACCTGCGATTCCGCCTAAGTTCTGAACGGCGGTCAAGAGCCCCTTCATATGCGCATCTATGCCGAATTTAATCTGAAACGAGCTCTGTTGCTTGTGTGTAAGTCCTACTGTCAAGCGGGCTCATCCGTGGCTAGAATGACATACCAAGATATTGATAGAAGACATCATACTGGAGTCATAACCGACACTGGCGCAGTTCAAGGCTGCGACCAGGCAGATGATAAACATGGCGCGGCTGAAGCCAGCCATGGTGACTCAAGGTTGGATTTAGTGGCAGTGGTATCAACGAGGGTGTGCTAGAGGCTATATGTAGACAAGTAAAGAAGGGAGGATCGAGGATTGCTAGTGTCCCAGTAAGAGGTGTGTCGACAGTCCCCGAGATTATAAACTTGGCCATCTAGCAGTAGCGCCTGGCAATCGACGCAATATTGATGTCTCAAGAGATAAGCCTCGGATCCGGGGCCCTGTCTTCCCTTGCCATTCAATACACCGGAGTGGTCTTCATGCTACTTGTGACTTGGCATTGGGAGCAGCCATTCGCCTAGAGGCCAAAAGACTACCAGTGACCACGGACCTAGTAGCCCCTGGGAATGCGGGGAATGATAGACATGACTTGCAATATACCAGTTCCCTGGGCCGACGACCGATAGCGCTAGAAGTCGGTGGAGCCGTACGCAGATAGCGGCCCCATTAATGGTTAGGCTCTACGTGTCGGGTGTAATAGCGCCAATCATGTCGGACAGGCCGACGAAGCATTAAGAGGTTCACCAGGCATAAATGAACCATGTTTCTATACCCCTCTGAAGGCTTCGGGAGTGCATTGCTACAGATTTGTCCCGGTAATACACCAGAGTCGATCACCCTCCTCCAACTTACCAGCCTGACTCCTTCTGAAAATCCAAGCAGTGCCAATTGTGATACCATGCCGAGCACCCTGGAGAGTTGGCCAGCATGGCCTGAATTCGGGGTTCAGCTCGAGGACACCAAGCGGGATCCCTGGTTTGCGAGAGCCAAAGCCGAGATCATTTCGGAGTATGGGGAGGAAGCTATCCGGCAAGGATGGCTGAAGGCATGTAAAAGCCTGGAGGAAGTGACCCAAGAATTGGGCTCGCTTGGGACTAGCGCTATTCCCATTTTCGAGATGCACTCCATCCTGGACAATAAGGGCTTCACCGAGGAACAGAAGGACCTGATGAAGTCACGTGGCTGTTGCATCGTGAAGAGCGTGCTCTCCGAAGAGGAGGCTACTGCCAAGTACTGTGATCTGAAGGAATACATTGCGCAGAACAAGGACAGCATCATGGGCTGGCCTGCAGGTTCGCCATCCATCTTCAACCTGTATAACTCGAGTACCCAAGTATCGGTGCGAACGCATCCCAATCAAATTCTCCTCCAGAAAATACTTAACTCACTCTACCACGACACCACAGCGCAAACCAGCCCGGAACCTTTAAGCTACACAGACGCTGCTCGCGTTCGGCCGCCGGGACAGGAGTTCCTTGGCCTTGGGCCACATATTGATGCAGGAAGTCTAGCCCGTTGGGCGGACTACGCCTATCGCAAGGCCTACCACCATGTGTTTTCCGGATTCCCTGAAAAACATGATGTCTATGATCTCGGATCCCGCAAGGACGCCAACCAGCATAAGTTCCCGGCCCGCGCACATTCCTGTGTATTCCGGTCCTTCCAGGGCTGGACTGCGCTGACGCCAGCGTCACCATCATGCGGCACACTCATGCTGTATCCTAACGTCTCTAACGTTATCGCGTACGTGCTGCTCCGACCTTTCTTCGCCCCGCCAGCCGACGAGAAAGATGTCATGGATGCGAGCAAGTGGACATTCGACCCCACCTTGGACTACTTTCCTGGCACGATGGTGGACCAGAGCCAGAGACTAAGCATCTCATCACACCCTCATCTCCGTCTTCAAGATACCTTGATATACATCCCCAAGATCAACCCCGGAGACACGGTTTGGTGGCACACTGATGTAGGTGGTCTATATGCCCCCCAGGTCTCCCCGCTCTAGCTATTCGTCCATAAGAGCTTACATTTCTTCATCGCTAGATGTGTCACGCCGTCGATCCGATGCACAACGGAACCATAGATGCTAGCGTGGTTTACGTACCAGCCTGCCCTACCACCAACATCAACAAAGGCTACGTAAAAAGGCAGCTCGAAAACGCGCTGAATGGGTTACCCCCTCCTGATAGGATTGGCGTGGAGCTGGACGAAAGAAAACTGAATGGTTACAAGGGCTTTGACGACGTGTCGGAAGAGGGCAAGGCCGCATTGGGCTTTGCTTTGTTATAGTTTGAATACACTAGACTGTACTTAGCTCTGCTGGAACTCTTGCAAGATATGTATTGTGCATAATTGAAAGAACAGCATTCCTTGATATGATTCAAACAGTTGCACTCCTCAGCCCTTGGGTGGACTCTGAATTATACTCCAGCCATTCGTGTCTGATCAGGTTGGCATGGACTTCTCTCAATACGCAATTACCAAGCAGTTTTGACTTGCTTCTCGACTCAAGTACTGGAACTCATATTCGTGGTAAGAACTGAGCTGGGGCCGATATATGATGCCATGATATTATGGCGATTTATTGGGTTCACAGGAGATCAGAAGTGGAACCTCACAGGGTCCAATATATATGCTTCCTATTGTCTCCTTACTTGTGAGAGGGACAAGTATGTATAAACCACGTAAATGAGACATATCCATGTCTAAATGCTCCAGCAATCTCAGAATATTTTTTCATCTTGACACTGATCTTGAACATCACAAGAACTGCACAGATATCTGCATTATTATCTTCGATTCATCTTTTTGACAACTATACTTATGTCTCTGTACCTTGCGAAGGTGAAGAAAATAACTTCCTTCTTAAGAGTTCATCACTCTTTATAGTGATCTTTCGTCCTCTCATTGGCCTGATGCAAGCACTCGGTCATCATTGCCTCGTCACGAGGAATTAATTTGACTTTGAACTCCCTCGGTATAGCTACCAATGCCGTCTTGAACTGATTATAGTCTACATAATCAGTATTCGGTGGCTCGGTCTCGCTAGCCACAATCTTGTACGACGACAGCAGGCGGATGAGAGCAGCGTTCAAGAGACGGCTGGCTATGTATTGGCCCGAGCATGCGCGAGACCCTGTGCCGAAGCTAAGATGAGGTAGGCCTTGAATTTCGGCCTCCACAGGGGGCTCGACGCTAGACAGCCACCGCTCAGGGTCAAACTTTCCGCCGTCCTTGCCAAAATGATCGGTATCTGCGAAGCAAGGTTAGAATAATAGGCGTCGTCGATCTTGAACGAAGGAAGGGTGCATTAATATTCCTTACCGTGATTGCCAGCCTGTGCATTGATCAGGATCATCGTTTTGGGCGGAATAATCGCACCGTTCCAATTGACTTCCGTGACTGTCTTTCTGGGCAGACTCATAGCACTGACCGTATAATACCGACCGGCCTCTTTGATAATGGCGTTTACGTATGGCACCTTCTCTTCCGTAAAGCTTTGTTGCCAAGCGTTGCGGATATCGGGATAGTGGCGCTTGATGTCCTCATACGCGCGATCCTGCCAGATCTGGCCCTCGGGGGTGGAGAGCGACCCGATGCAGGAGGTCAACGTCCCGGGGATGGTTTCGAACCCACCCGAAACGAGAGATAAGCAGATGGAAGAAACTTCAACGCCTGTCAGCTTGGTCTCCTGGTCCTTGAGTATGGCGGCCGAGATGCACGGCTTGTCGGTGCCTTCCTTGATCATGTCGCGGACCTTATTGAGGAGGTGGTCCAGATACTTGTCGCGTCTGTCACGCAGCTCCTTACTGCGTGCATTCTTCTCGTTGTTGGGCAAGTACCGGAGGATCGGAACGTAATCCTGGAGATTCTCAGAAGCACTACGTAAGAGAGAAATTGCTGAACCGACGTGTAAAATCTCACGCAGTAAGTCGTCATAGACAGCGTCCATCCGGATGCCGTAGCAGAGGGTCAGTGTTGTGTTAAGCGCGTATCGTTGAATGTACGGGCGCACATCGAGTTCCAACTCTCCATTCCGACTGTCCTTATGTATATCTCGCAAGATACAGTAGCTCTCAAGATCGAACATGGGGTGGTAGTTGCGCAATGCAGGGCGACCAAGCGCTGTGCCTGCAGCCTTGCGCTTCTTTTTGCAGGACTCGTCCCAGGGCGATGATCCTATCGTGAACCCCTGTGTGCTGCTAATAACGCCGTGGAAGGTATACAGTTTGGGACGGTCAATGACGGCATTCTGATTACCCAGTAGCATCTTCTTGCAGTCCTCAAAGGAGTTTACCACAACCGCCCGAGTGTTTCCAAGCTTGATTTGGAAGACGGACTGGTTATACTGCCGCCACCATTTCTCGCAGACAGTGGCATGGTCCTCCCCAAGCTTGAGCAGATGTCCAAAGATGGGAGATGCGCCCGGAATCTCGGGCAGCCCTTTGATGTATGGAATATCAGTAGCGAACGCAACCTGGATGGAGTCAGCATAATGGCTATGACAATACGTCTTGTGGGGGTATCTCTCACATGGTAAATTGTTGCGGTGATGAGCACAGCTGCAATAGCGATCACGACTGGTATCAAACCCTGTGTGTCCTGGGCTCTTTGCGCCCAGGCAAGGAGGGGTAGCATGTACGCGTCTTTGGGCATTGCGTTTGGGGTTGATACGGGGCCGTGACTGACGACAGCGAGGCCACTACGAAGTTGAACGTTCTGACCTTACTTGTCAACAAGCTCGGCCACAGTTTGAATCCCTTTCCGTGGTCTAGAAGTATATTTTAATATACGTAATGGTTAAATCGATGGCATGTGGTAGGTGTCTAGTCCTAACATCATCCGCGCGCGAGATACTCGGCTGCGATTCAAAGTCGGTCGGTCGGTCCAACCGACACTTTGATAATAGGAAAACTAGCCAAGGCGTGTGCAACTGCATGTCGCAATCGGTTCGGCCGACAGCAGCTAGCATCACTGCGCTATATCGTAAAAATCTGTCCTAAAATTCCGAGCTAGGTGGCCGGGGCTCTTGTGCCTCCTTATCTCCGGGATCTTATAATCGCTCCAGATGCGTCGGCTTGAGTCCGAAGCATTTGGACGGGGCAAGGGAGGTAAGCCGCAACTCTGTTACTTCGTGAGTTCTCTGCTGTGGAGGAACATGTAACGCAAAGGTCTGGAAAGTTCATGGTTTATTATGATCCCTGTATCTTTTATGGCCAAAATAATCCCGAACCTTACAATTTTGCGACAGCCTTTACACCATAGGACACTCGAAAGTACTCCACAGAGCCTGTCGCTATCAAAGAATGTAACCAGCGTCGACAACAATGTTGACTCCTGTCATGCTTTTGGATTTAGCAAGGGTTAAGACTTGCTGGGCTACGTCCTAGGCGGGCAGATAGATTAGCGATTGGAGCTTTAGTCCGCGGGCTCAAATTTTGTACCTCTGCTGTACAAACCGTTTTAGTTTGGTCTTTTGTCTATGAGCCTCTTGAGCCGCGGGAGGGAATCGTTCAGCCCATTCCTTGACGAACGTGTCAGCAAGATGAGACTAAAAGCCCTGTCTTTCAGAATCGAGGGACGAAGAACGGCGCTACCTACCGTCTGTAAAAGACCTGGCGAGACACTGTTCACTCTGATTTTGGGTCCCGCCATGCATGCAAGTCCTCTTATCATGTGTAACTGTGCGGCTTTGGTGACGGAATATGCCTATGAGAGTATTCTAGTCGGTTATCAGCCTGGGATGAGCTAGGTGCTTACCAGAGAACTCCCATTATGTCCCATACCCGACACAGAGGCTGTGCTAATAAAGCATCCCTCCGTAGCATCCAATTGTGCTCTTGCAGCATATAACAGCCAAAGATGCGACTTTACATTCATCTTGAAGGCCCTATCCCACTCTTCCTCGATCATGTTGTCCTCGATGCTCTCCATGTCCCGAGGTTTCGTCCACCCGCCGTTAGAGAAGACCACATCTAGGCGACCCATCTTCAAGTAGGCTTGGGTAACCAGTCTCTCAACATCACCACGGGACTCCAAATCGGCCTGTACGCAGATGTGTGTGTCATTCGTGGCATGGGATTGCCTTGGCAGATTACTGAGAAGTCTTGCGGCCTTGTCGGCGCTCGAACGATAATTGATGACAACTCGGAATCCGTTCTCCGCGAAGCAATGCGCGACCGCAGCCCCGAGACCTGCCGAACCGGCAGTGACGAGGATCACTGGTGGTGAAGACATCTTGGAAACATATGAGAATTTGTTGTAACATCAATTGCATTATCCGACCCTGCAGGGTGCCAGCGTTTATCCCCTATTCGGCCCCGACGAAATTGATTGCGGTTGGGGCGTTCAGAGTCAATAACTGAAGCATAGTGAGCTAGCGGCCCCTCCGACGCCTAGCGGATTCCCTGAACGGTGCGGCCAAGGGCGGGGGTAGAAAGGTGGTACTGAAGCATTTTAGCGGGAGCAGACCTTGATAAGGAACATAATCAATGAACGTAACATAGCTAGGTCCGCAGGCAAATCACGGGCTAAGCTCGACACCGAGACAGACTTGACAAGATCTATCCCCGATGCGAAGACCCGATGCCCATCTGAGTCCGAACCTTCTAACGATTCACGAAAGATGGCGTCCCTACGGATTAATGAGCTTTTCGGGGTGAAGGGTCGTATAGCGTTGGTCACAGGAGGGAGCAGCGGATTAGGGCTCATGATTTGTATGGTAAGTCGATTACTGGGATAGGCCAAGCAGCTCTTTGAGAAATTTGACATGTGAACCGTTCTTGGTCATAGGGTCTGGTCTCCAACGGTGCTAAGGTTTACCTCGTTGCTTTACCATCGGATCCAATCGCCGAGAAAGTACATGAATTGAATGAAATTGGTGCATCGACAGGAGGCAGCGCCGAAGGGTAACTTATGCCACAAATCCCTATATAGTTTCTTGAGAGCATATTGAAGACAAGCTTCTGACACAGAACAGAATTCCCTGCGACCTCTCTTCCAAAGACGCCATTGGTAATCTGGCTAGGACTGTAAGCCAAAAGGAAAAGCATCTAGATCTGCTCGTGTCTAATGCCGGCATCCGACGTGATCCCCCATTGTCTTGTGATGTTTTGACAGCGTCACTTGACGAGCTTGCAGGTTCCATGTGGTCTTCTACAGCTTCCGACTGGGATGATACGTTCCGTATCAACACGACAGCGCATTATTACCTAGCGGTTGCCTTTTCACCGCTGCTGGCTGCCGCCTCGCAGCTTTCTATTGGCAATGGAATGCTGGGGAAGAGTGAGGGTCGGGGTGTTATCATTGTGACAAGCTCTTGTGCTAGCATGCACAACGCGACAAATATCGACCTGACGAGTTATGCCACCAGCAAGGCCGCCACTGACCATCTCGTCAAGCTACTTGCTGCAAAATTCAGCAGGTTTTATGTTCGTGTCGTGGGCATCAATCCCGGATGTAAGTCTTCCTCCTGCCCTATGCCAAGTCTGAAACACGAATGGAACAGAGGCTAACCGGGCGAAGTTGTGCCCAGCAACATGAACCCAGTTGGTGAAGATGGAAATATGTTTAGTAATCTATTCGATCAAGTCCCGGCTAAACGGGCAGGAGATGCGCACGATATAGCTGGAGCAGTGCTTTATCTTGCAAGCAAAGCTGCGGTAAACACACCGAATCCCTCCCTAAAGCCTATCAGAACCAATCCAACTTAGAAATATTTCCTTCGTTTGTTTTGTTTTATTCTAATTTGTACATCCACTGACATTACATAGTCCTATATCGATGGTGTTTCTCTGTGTATTGATGGTGGGAGGGTTCTCTTTGCAAACGGGCAGCAATAGCAGGCATAGCCTAGAGCCAGGATGGAATTATTGTTTGATAGGACAATTAATCTATTGACAGTCTGGGAACTTGCAATCCGAACATGATCATTTCCTCCACATCAGAAAACATCGCTTGAAAATGATGAGCGTAGTACCTTCCTACTGTTGGCATATTGAATAATGCCAAGAAGTGAAATTGATTCGATGTGTTATGAGGCTTTATTAAATGTAACTATTGCAACATATCAAGGCTAGAATCAATGGTCGCAGTGTGGTGGCTCGACGAACAGACACATAGGTGGGCCTATCTTCCTTTGGCGCCTGATATGATGATATGGAAGATGAGATACTAGTCCGTAATTGGTATCGGCGAACCCGATGCTGGAGCGACCCTATATATTGTCACATCACGATCCAGGAAGACAATTACCTCCTAGACCCATCGACCTACATCTACCCTAGGTTTTCCAACCTTGCCTGCTAGACTAATTGATTCATCCCGATCGGTGCTGCATGGCACGTGATCGACCAAAATGTCCATCATTGCGCTTACAGAGGATCCAGAGTAAGCCTCACTATTATTGTCTTTTTACTAAATTTCTCGGATATAATATTGATGTAAGACCAAAGCAGTTGCCGAATGAATATTGAGGATTTGTATCAGCTATCAGCACAACTTGGGTTCAAGATAGAGCCGCACGATGCCAAGGATTATCTGCTGCTGCTGAGATCTTTCGCGGCCGTCATGCAGCAGGTGAAAGATGGCTCTGACTACATCCATCCCGCCCTCCAACCGCACCCTTGTATTGGCGTGCGAGACTTCTGGTCTCCAGAGCCCGGGCAGAACCCATTCAATGCTTGGAGCCATCGATGCGAGCTGAAGTCGGCCAGTCCCGTCAACAATCTGCTCCAAGGACGCACAGTAACAATCAAGGACAACATAGCGATTGGCGGACTACCCACCACGATGGGTACGTCTCCGCATATCCTAAGGCGCAGCGGTGTTTTGCCTAGGTCTTCGATTGACGCTACCGTGGTATCTCGCATTCTGGCTGCTGGCGGCGTTGTGAAAGGATCTTCAACGTGTGAGAGCTTCTGCGCTTCCCCGTTAGCCTTCACGTCCGGAATAGGTCCAGTGCATAATCCCCTCCTTCACGGGTTCACGACAGGCGGAAGCAGCAGTGGTTCATGTGCCCTGGTGGCTGCGTGTGCTCTGAGAAAGTGTAGAAATGATAGTCAGAACCTCCACCTAGGAGCCGTGGCCGAGGTAGCAGTGGGAAGCGATCAAGCCGGCTCCGTAAGGATCCCAGCATCTTACACCGGGCTTTACGGGCTCAAGCCGACGTTCGGTCTCATCCCTTATACAGGTGCTGCATCTATGACACCCATGATTGACCATCTTGGGCCCATTGCGTCGAGTCTTGAAGACATCGCAGTATTGTTGAAAGTTATGTCTGGTTATGATGGACTGGACCCTCGGATGACACCCGAATCGCCGCTCTTGGACCAGGTTGAAGACTATCCCGACATACTAAAAGATGCGAGGCAAAAGCTCTCGAGCAACGACGCCAGCAAGTTAAATGAGACTAAGACTTTGCGTGTTGGTCTGTTGGAAGAATCTTTTTTCGTCTCAGGAGTCTCGCCTGAGGTAAGAGAGACAGTTCGAGATGCAGCAAAATTGTTTTTCACCTCAGCTGGCGCCGAGGTAGTCAACATCTCTGTGCCTATGCATAAGGAAGGCGCTGTCATTTGGACGGCCGCCACACGCCCTTCCATGTCAGACTGGCTGTGCCAGGGTCGCAGTACAGGCCATCTTTCGTTCCCACCAGCTCACATGGGCATGGAATGGCCTCCAACACAAGAAGTCTATGAACGACTAACAGCGTTGAACCCAGCTGTGGTGAACATTATGCTAAGCAAGTTGCTCTCAGACCGAGAGTTTGGCCCAAGTGTTGAAGCAAAGGCTCATCGGAAGGTATACGAGCTGCGGGCCGCATACGATGCTGCGCTGGATGAGGTGGATGTCCTGATCACGCCCTGCGCGCCGACGGTCGCGATGCCTCATCCGAAACTCAAAACAGAGGACGGAAGCAGTTCTACGATACTAGAGAAGCTGAAAACAGCGGTTGGTGTGACGACCAATACTTGCCCATTCAACGTGACGGGTCATCCGGCTATATCTGTGCCTTGTGGCACTGCGGCAGCCGCTGATCACCCTGACATTCAACTGCCGATCGGTATGCAGATCATAGGACGGAGGTGGCACGATGCGGATATTCTCGTGGCGGCGGCTATGTTCGAAGAAGGTCAACGGAAATCGAAAGAACATACTGCTGAAGGTCTGAAAACGTCCGGTGACCAAGAGTAAAATCTCGTTCGCTTTCTTGTTGCTGCTAGTGCCTAGTGGGGTCACTTCCGGAAAAGAAAAGGGCAGTGTGGGGGACAAATTTGTATTCCTAACTGAGTGTCAGAAGAAATAATGCTATTTTCTGGTCCATCCAGAGATTGTCCACCTTGTTAGCCCCTGCGCCAGCTATATGCCCCCAGACTGAAGGGATGACCTCCAGCACCGCGTTGGGGATCATCTCGCACTCCTTCGCACTGGCCTCCCACCGGAAATACTGGTCGCTGCGGCATGGCATCAATAGCACCCGCGCCTTGATTTTGAGCAGTGTATCTTGAAGCGAAGCCGCGCTTTCCGACTTCAACCTAGTCACATCTCCTCTTTGCCACATTCCCAGTTTCGCCAACAGATCGTCTGGATGCCAGCTCAAATAATTTGCACCCGATACAGCCTTGTCCCAAGATTCGAGACTATCGTAGCCCAGCGACTTGTAAAGCTCTTGGTCAAACCATTCGGCACTGGTCAGCCAGGCAGAATATGCCTTTCCAAACGCTTGTAGGCCCTTGTTTGGTCTGGCATCATCAGAAACTAACATAGAATTTCCTCGTCTATAGTCGACAGAATTAAGAAGTGCAGTCTTGGGCCCTTCGAGGAACTGATAGTTATGCCGGCTAGTACGCGCTGACGAGCAGATGATGACAGCAGCGGACATGAAATCAGGATACATAAGCAGCCAATGATATGTACACTGCCCGCCCATCGAGAAGCCTAACATGATGTTGACTGATTTCAAACCGAGCTTAAGAGTGAGAAGCTCGTGCTGAGCACGGACACAGTCTTCGTAGTGTAATGTTGCACCAGGAAAGTCGGCATCATTGGATGGACTTGAAGACTCTCCATTTCCAAACAAGGCCACAACAATCACTCGGTGGTCGTGTAGCGCCCCGCTGGTGAAGTTCAGAGTCGTGTGGAGGCGTCCACGGAAACATGTGAATACGACCGCAACTTTGGAAGAGCTCGGGTTAAGGTCGAGATAAGCCACCCGGGTAACAGACAGGCGGGTGCCATCGTGGAACGCAAAGTTGGGGACATGATAGTATTGAATGTCTGGGAGGGAGCTCTTGGAAGTCGTCATATCTGCCAGGAGCGTGGTTGATGTCGATAAACACGAAGTCTATGTAGTACTTGCAGTACCTTACGGTGGTGGGTTGCGATTTTCTCGGCGGGCAGCAGCTTCCACAAATGAGCCGCTAGTATTCTGATGGAGAGTGCAGGTCTGAGGCGTCGTTAGTGTGATGGTGATTTAGTCGCATGTTGGCAGCTCGGCATTACTAACATAGTATATTACGGCATCTACGTCGAGTCTAGCCCGCACCGAATGCGCCCGTAAAATGGTCCGCCAAGTATTTGCCCAAGCTACAGCAAGGGTGATATCAAGTCTGGGATAATGTGGTCATCTGACAGTGTCAAAGATCTGCGACTGAGCAAGCAGGCAGGGCAGCCGATCTTGACTGAGTGCTCAAAGTGGGTCTGTCGGGGGGTCCGACGCAGATATCACGGTCTCCACAATAGTCGAATGGCCCGAACGAGGCAGAAAATACTCGTACCCAGAGTATAACATGTGTTCGGAAAAGGGGGGATACTGACTAGCTATAATTAGAGGGATACGGAAGGACGTGATGTGAGAGCCATGCGACATTTTGCTAGTGACCACTGTATCGCGGCCGAGCCAACTTGCTTTCTCCATCAACCATCCCCACCACCATGTCTCCCAACGGAACAGCATTTGTCTACAACCCGGACTCGCCTGAGCCCGCGACGAGATATGCGCACGCCCGGGTTGCCCCGGCATCGGCCCATCGAACCATCTACGTCTCGGGCATTGCCTGCGTACAGCCAGACGGGACGTACGCGGGCGTAACCGAGAAGGCCGACGGAACGCACGAACTCGATGTGCGAGCCCAGACAGCAGCAGTTCTCAGAAGAATCGACGACATCATCAAGCAGGCGAGCGGCGGCAAGGGTGGAATCGAGAACGTGATCGATTCGGTCGTTTACCTTACCGACATGAAGAGCCAGTATGCCGGTATGAACGAGGAGTGGAACAAGGTCTTCAAAACCCGTGCCGTGGCGCCAGCAAGGGCCACGATTGGTGTCAATGAGTTGCCGGATCCAAGATTTATCGTAGAGGTCAAGGCAACTGCCGTAGTGGAGATGTGAGATGTGAGGTCATATGGAATCTGGGGGCCCTGTTCCTCTGTACACTATTCTTTTTCTCCCTCCTTTTTTCCCCCCAAATGAGATCCAGAGAAGTCAATGTGGGATCTAAAAGCGTAGTGTATGTGGCGTGGACATCAATCCTTCCAGTAGCCCATTGTGACCTGCTGTCGGCAACCATTCCGCTACTTGCAGCATCTTCCCGGGAGTATCCCTGTTGTTCCGGGTCCTTGGGATGGCGGGGTTCGCTAGATTCGTGCTACTGTACTATCGACTGTTGACTAAGTAGATAAACCCTGATTCCACTCCTGCTTGTCTGACTTTGTATCGTGAATGCCCCAGGCCACTGTTGTTCACAAGAATCACCTCGTCGTAATCGCCTTCCGGGCCTGTTGGATGTCAGCGCTCCTTATACCACCCGCCGCTCGAGCTCGGGCATCATGTGCTCGTTGTTATCGGCGGAAGAAGCGATGTGACCGGACTTTGCCAAGATGTACCAACTGCGACGCGGCTCGCGTGACTTGCAGTTTTATGTCAGACCACGACCAGAATGCTACTTACCCTATCGCGTAGGTTTCCCCTGTCCTGGGCCTCCTTGCTTTCGTAGTCGTCGGGCCAGTGCTAAACGGCCAAACGCAGATTCGTACGCGGCCTAGAAGGTAGGATACGCGATCCGGAGGGGAGACTAGCCGCATCGGCCACCAGCCCGGCTTCACGGATTGCTCCCTCGTCTTCTGCCATCGCGGGCAACGTTGAGGGCACGGCAGGAGATGCGGTTATGCCAGAAGCGCCACCTATGGGGTTTGCAACCACGCCTCTGGGAGGCCCGGCGGCTCCTGAACGTCAGCATCTGGGAGAGCGTCAGGATGAGCCGGCAGCCGACCTGCCGCCGCGTTCTGGACCTACCACTCCGTCGCAATGCCCGGCTGGCTATCAAACCCATTGCCAGCCCCAGCCCCAGCCCCGTGCTCACGGAATGCCTGGGTCTTTTGTGGAGCAGCTCAAGATCATCTCGCTCGAGGCCACAGCGGAGCGACACTTGGGCTCCTCCTCTGGGCTGTCTTTTGCGCGTCTCACGCATATGGTGCTCCGGCGATTGACACCCGACAAGGCAGACTTTGTGTTCGGCACTGGAGGAGACGAGGAGGAGGAGGATGAAGAAAGAATGGGCGAGTTTCGTCCTTCAAGTCAGTCTCAGCAGTCCAGCAATCTCGACCCACAGCTACAAACTGTGGACAGCGGCTTCGGGTCGGGAATGGGTGCCGGCTTGAACATCAACATGAATACCGACTTCACACACCCATCTCCATCCTTTTTCTTCAGTGATGCTCATTTCCCATTTGACTTGAACCTCCAGAGTCCAGGCTCTTCTGGACCAGCATTATTCGGTAGTATTGCGTTACATGATATCATGGATGATTCTGCAGGCGCCGTAGAAGGTCTCAGTCTCCCGGCGGACTCCGCTCACGTGGACTCGCTGGTGGATTTTTACTTTGCTCATTCCCACACGCTGTACCCTATCGTGCGGCGGTCTGAGATCATGTCACTCCTAGGTGATGCCCGCGCCGCAGCAATCGGCGGCGCAATTGCGCCTTCGCCGCCAGATCTATTCAAAGTATGGATGGTACTTGCTATTGGGTCAACGGCGTACTGTTCAGTCACTCTTGAAGATGAGTCGGAGTCAATGTTATACTACAATAAGGCTCTAACATATTTTGAGGCTGCCCTCGCGTATGGGGATACGGTGCGTGTTTCCTTATATTGTTTGTCAGGGTTGCGTTCACTGACTCGTCTGATCACATTGTCTACTCTATAGGCAGCACTAGAAGTTCTCACTCTCCAGGTGTCCTATTCGTTCTTCAACCAACTTGGCCCCAGTAAGTGGCTTGTACAAGACCAGAAATAAAAATTTTAATGACATTTGTGTAGATACTTGGTTCCTTGTGGGAATGGCCGCTCGAATAGCAATCGGTATGGGCATTCACTCGTCGTCGACTTATAAGGCTTTCACCGTAGACGAAGCAGAGCGTCGCAAGCGACTATTCTTCTCTATATACATGATGGACCGGTATGTCCCAATTCCCAGTTAACCTTTGAGCGGCATCTTGGATCGTTCACATGCGTCATGATTGACCCGGAATAGCGTTGTTTCAGTAGCACTTGGCAGGCCTTTTGCCTTACACGACGACGACATTGATGTTTCTGTGAGCTCACTACTCCTGTTTCCATCGAGCAGAGAGACCATGAAGCTGACATTCTCCTGTTAGCCCTTCGCAGACGTTGACGACGATGATATTACGCCCACCGGTATCCGGCCACGTCAAAGTCTCCAACTTTCACTGATGGCTGTGCCATTGCACATTCTCGCTTTGCGTCGCATAGCAAGCAAGATTGCTTCGCAGGTGTATTCTCCTCGGTTGTCTAGCTCACCCCCTAGCCCTTTAGAATGCGAAGCGACAGTCCGCACCCTGCACGAAGAACTGATCAGCTGGCGACGCAATATGCCTTTTCCCCTACCGACTGGGTCGGCCAGCTTCGCCCGCGTGCCTCATTTAAGCAATAGCTGGTACGACTTCAACTACTACACTCATGTAGCAATGCTCTACCGTCCTTCACCTCTCTTGCCGACGCCGTCACAGGAGCGAGTCCATACGCTACACGAAGCTACATCGATGGCCCTGAGAACGGCCATGAGTATGCACATGCAGCACCGGCTGGCGTACAACTGGCTTAATTTCCTTGGAGTGTACACGGCGACGCTGTCCCTGATATACAGCATCACGGCGCAACCGGACGATCTAGCTTTGGTCATCCAGCGAACTCGCGGCTGCGACGACTTGGAAGACGCAATCAAGTTGTTCGAGACCTTGTCTGTCAAGTTTCGCCCGGCAAAGCGTGTCAGCCGCATGGTGAAGGAAATTGTGGAAAGGTATAAAACTTTGTGTATGAATAATGATCAAATGAGCGGGAACTCGTGCATATGAGCAATACCGCTGCTGGTACGAAGGCTTTGATCAATCCAGCACCTTGGGGTAGGGTTAAAGAGGAAAGTAAAGAAGAGGCCCCTCAACAGTCTAGACTCGTCACATGAGGAACATGTCAGTCACCCATGTGTGACCAATTTATATTCATCGCCACGCAGTACCTAGTCTGCAGAAGTATAGATTACTTAGCTCTCGACAGCTCCGTGATTGCGTATGTCAAACCATCCATGTAATCCACGGACCGTTCTCCGTCTCTCCAAGCCAGTCGCACCATTGCTCCAACACCATCCAAGACCAAGTCGAGGGATTCTCCCTCTGCAGACAACGTGGAGCAGATGGCGGCAGGGAACAGCTTGATTGGCGATCTCTCACGCCAGCGTATCTGTGGGTGCCCATCGCTATCAGCCTCAATGGTCCACTCGTCGGATTTCTCAACCCATCGACCCTGCCAATCCTTCCAGTCTTTACGGATCGCGTGGTTGGGTAGTTTCAATGGCGTGACGAACGCCATGCTTTGGCTGGTTGTAGCCCCTTGGCGCCACCCCTTGAGGAAATTAATTGTTTGCAGGGCAGTGAATCCCGGAAGAATACCGGAGGATGAGTTCGTCATGATCACGATACCGCACTCCCCATTCGAAAAGCCCTCGCCTTGACCGGTAATATCTGCAATTCCCATAGCCACGCATCTGTAACCTGGGTCGTTTGATCCAGTATGCCCAAAGAAGGTGCCCGGGTCTTTTGGAGCGACCCACCCCAAACCCATTCCGCTTGATGCGACCTCCGTGAGCATCCTTTTTGTTGTATTCTGCTTTAAGAAAGCGCCGTCGCTTCCAGCTAGGGATCTTTGCACTGCATGCAAAACCTTACACAGGTCACTTGGAGTCGTCCAAAGTCCGGCAGCGGCCAACTCGGGGAAATAATGCCAGTGTGGGCTGGGCGTGACACCGGTCCAATACGGAGTTGCTAAATCTACTTCGTCACCCGGCGTTCCGTAGCTGGAGTCATTCATCTCCAGTGGCCGCAATACCAGCTCGTCCATCAGCTCGACGAATGGCTGGGAGGTGAGCTTTTCCAGCGCGAGCTGCAGAAGGCAGTACCCCCCACCCGAATATGACCATTGCCGGCCAGGTATTCCGATAGCTTGGACTGGCATAGAGTTGACAGGGCGCTCCCCAAGCACGACTTCAGTCGGACTTGGGTGGTCAACACCGCTATAGCCCTCGAAGCCTGAGGTCGTCAGCCCCGCGGTATGGCTCAAGATTTGTTCAATAGTAATCTCTTCGACCAAGGCAGCAGGCCCGAGATTCTCGACTATGTTCTTTGGCAAGAAGTGTGCAATTTTGTCCTCCAGCTTCAGCCGACCTTGGTCCACAAGTCTAATGACAGCCAAAGCAGTGACGGACTTAGATATACTGCAAGCCTGGAAGCGCGTGCTGGCATCGCCTCCAATCGTAGAATAGCATCGAGCTGTAATGTCGCCATGGTCAAGGACCGCAATTGATACGGAAGGTGAGCCGAGCGAAGCAAAGAACTGGCTGGGATCAACATACACATCCCTTTGGGAAGAGATGAGTTTGTCAAGCTCACTAAACAAAGTCATGGTTGGCTTTCTACTCTTTGGTGAAATGTGTTCTGGTGTATTGTAGCATAGACAGGCCCATGTAGTCCTTGTGAGTGGGTTGTTTTCCTGAGCCAGAACTTATAGTGCCTGGCTGCCTAGTCGATGAGCGGGCTGTCTCAGGTAAGCAGAGCCCTACTAGCGTGTTGCCCACCTTCTGTGTCGTCTACATGATGACTGCCACGCGTACTGAATTGCCCAGAAAATTGGAATCCACACACTCTTTTTTGATATTTGCGTATTACGCTGATGTCAATGTCATACTAGAGAAACCGGGTCCAACATTCGCTAAACACAAGTTGAGGGTCATAAGGGCCACCATGCTTGCGACTGGTCAAGAACAATGTAACTCAACTGGCCGTAGGCTGGGTCCAGTCTCGTTGTGTTAAATGAGATCATGTGATAATAACGTGAGAAAGTGCGACTTTGAAGGGAGAATATTGTCTGGTGCTCAGTAGTCTGTGGTCAGACCAAAGGTGCCTGGGTATGACTCCTAATGAGTAAGTATATAGGTGCTGTATTTGAAGATTGTCAGATTGGTGGGGTATTTAGGGAGGCCCCAACTTGTGAATAGGCAGCTCCGCCGCAACCCTTTGTACCAATGCCACCGCCAGCCATTGTTTATCGTCCTCATTTTAACCATTACAGTAAGTAAGTAGTATCTGATCAACCTTGCGTTGTCGATGCTGAGTCGACCAACGTACCCGTTTCACTTTACAGCTAGCAGCCAGCCAGTCAATGGTTCCAGCAGGCGGGCCTCAGCCCCACCACTGTGGATGGATTCATGATCGGATCGAAGCAGCACAACTTACATACACAAAGCAAAAAGATCTCTGCCGTCTGTCTCTGTGCGGATTGCCATGAATCTAGAACCAGGCAGATGAGGAGCCAGGAGAATACAAAAAGCGACGCAGACAGGATTCGAACCTGTGCCTCCGAAGAGAATAGATAGCGTATATGGATTAGAACCCAATCGATTCTAGTCTATCGCATTAGACCACTCTGCCACTGCGCCTTGTGGTTCTTGTTGGAGAATGTGGGCTTAACCGAGACTAGATCGTATGATCCGATCGGGGCAGACCCGACCCGCCAGCCCCACTTCCCGAGCGATGCAACCACCAAACAAGAATCATGATCCTTTGCCATGATATATCGTAGTATTCCTCCGTAGTGGAGTCGACGCGTTGACACTCCAACGCAAGATTTCGGCACTCGCTTTCTTGCTTACGGTTTTGGCGGTCTGGCGTCGAATACGAGGCAGGTGGAATTGGGGGTCCCTCTGCCGACTATGAAACGGCTCGCCAGCAGGTTTTCTAAGCATCTAAGCACTCAAATCTGGAATCACAACTGCAACGCTTCGTCCACTGCCGCCTGACACGCTCAGCCACTAATTCTCGGGATACCCTCATGAGTCCATGTCTCTAGAAACCTCGGTATCTGTCCTCTGCGGTGTTGCTCGGAGCAGCAGCGGCAACCCCTCCTCCCCTTCTCGGTCATGGAACTAGCGCGGTCGGTGGTGCCGCCCGAGGCGGCGCACACGCACACGGTCATCTTCCTGCACGGCCGGGGCGGGACGGCGCAGGAGCTGGCCGAGCGCCTGCTGATGCTCAAGGACTCGTCGCGCCGCTCGCTGGCCGACATGTTCCCGTCGGTGCGGTGGGTGTTCCCCCAGGCCGAGCTGCTGTTCTGCGAGCAGGACAACCAGGACTGGTCCCAGTGGTTCGACGTCTGGAACACGCTCGACTACACCGACAGAGAGGAGGTGCAGGCCCCCGGGCTCCGGCAGAGCGTCGAGGCCATCATCCGGCTCGTCCACCAGGAGGCCTACAAGGTCGGTGGCCTTGACAAGATCGTTCTGGCCGGCTTCAGTCAGGGCGGGTCCACGGCGATGCATGTCCTCCTAAATCTCCCTTCATGGAACGGGTCGAATCCAGACGACTATGTGACCCCTTCAGAACCCCCGAAAGTCCAACGCCTCGCCGGCCTCATGGGATTCAGCTGCAGGATGCCCTTCCCAGGTGGCACCTTGGCCGAGACTAGGGAAGTCCTTGCATTGGAGACGGAGCCAAGCGACGAGATTCTGCGGAACACCCCCGTCTTCCTGGCCCATTGTGCAGATGATCCAGTCACATTTGTTGAATACGGCCGGCAGCTGGCCAGCACGCTAGAGTCGTTCGGTGTTCAGGGCATATCGCGGGAATACCCCGAGGGAGGCCACCGGGTGCAGGTTCCGCAGGGAATTGATGATATTGTCATATTTCTAGAGGCCCAAGGCTTGGAGGCGGTACGTTCTTGATGGGACCGGCTTGCGAAGCATCCACCTTGTTGTCGAGGCATAACGAAGTGCCCATGCTCATTGCGTTGCAGGAACCTTTATCCAGAAAACTCTTTTCTTACTCTGAGCAGTGCACCTTATCACGGCATCCTCCAACGGGCACCATCTGGGACAGAGTACTTGATGTTAGCGGAAGACTAAGATAGCCAGAGAAGCGCAGCTTTTGCATGGGAAATGATTATCTACTATAACTGGCCTTGGGCTTGGCCTAAATTACCGGCATGTCACATGGTTCTGGTCTCATAATTCGCTTAATTAATCACATCAACTTGAAATTTGAAAGCATGACGGCCTTTCCCTTTGCGAACTACATCTGCTGTCACCTTGAACTTCCAGGTGAAATATGTTGTCCATGAACTTAGTTCCCTGCCAAAACAAACGCATCCCATCAACTAAAGCCACGAATCATCTATCAACCCTGATCATCCCCTCCGCTTATGGGTTTACCAGTGAACACGACGCTCCACCACTAGCTGGATCTGAGGTTTTCTCTGGTGGTCCTTGAAGAGCTCTTCCAAGCGCTTCCGAATATTCTTATGCGGTGATACAACGAGGTTGCAGTTACATCTCTCCTCGCCTTGGTGCGGTTTAAGTGAATGGGCCTGCACCCAGTCCTGGTAAGGGGCGAAGGCATCCGCATTCCAAGTAAGCTTCAACTCTCCGTTTCTGTCTCGAGGACAATCCCATGAGCGCGCAACAACGAGATATACGATCTTCAGCTCACGTGCGCGACCCAGAGTTTCAACGTCGAACATCGTTTGTGGGGGCTGCAAATAGAAAGGAAGACTGTCCCAGTTCATGACGAGTGGGAATGCCAATTTCTGCACTTTGAAGAACCAGTGTCCGTCCGGAAGAGGCGCCTGTTGGTTTCTTTTGTAGTTTGTCTTGAGAAAATCCAAGAGACACAGGTCGTTAGATTTGAAGGCAAAAACATCTCGCTCGAAGTTCATGTATACTGAAGTAGGATAAGGCTCGGGCTTGAGCACATGCCAATCTTCGATATCTTCGATATCAGTCAAATCACCGGAGTATACTTTGTGAAGGTTGTACCTGGTTCTGTCGTCCTCCGAGTCGTTGACAGCCATAATGCGGCCGGTCAGTCTGACCTTGTCGCTATCGAACCAGTCTGCGACGTCAATACGGTCTGCAAGGGCAGGAGCTTTGTGCCCAGCCGTCCGCTGTACCACGGTGTCCGTCTTCGTCTCCAGGCACGTGTAGATTCGGCAGCCTACGTTCACTAGTCGGTGGTCGTAGGCTCTGTCAAGGTAAAAGAGGTGTCGATGACTGGGTCGGGCTTCTTCCCATATCATCAGCTGCAGTTCCCGGGGCAGTCGTCCGAAGAGATGAAACTGTGGTTCAGCCATAGTCGCCGGCCTTCGATAATTTAAGAATTGTCGGAGATGAGGAGTTACGTCGAGAGTAGAGAGAAATATGAGGGACGGATATGGTGACGATGGACGGAGTGGAGTGTGAGATTGATTGTTTGAACAAATCCACGATACCTGTTCTTGTCAACGTGGATAGTTGAATATTGATTGTAGTGCAATCAACGTTGCCCTAGGTTCTTGAAACGAGCACCGTGTTGCAACTATGAATTCACTTGGGCAACCATCACTGGAGACGCGATTGTGCAAAATTTTGTTTCCCACTGGGTTTACTCTGGCAATCTGCAAGAGGCAAGAGCTTCTATTATTAAGTGAAGCCCCGTTTGTCGTCCTAGGTACCTACTCAATTTATGCTAATCGACTTCCTCAGGCAACACCTCAATCAGCTTCCCTCAAACACATTCAGCCCGCAAGCAGGAAGCAACGGAAAGAAAAAAAAATACCTTCCACTCAGATCCCCAATCGTACATATTCCATCTCATCACACCACATCGCAGGACCGTCAGTCACTATGGCGTTCCAGGATGCTGCAGCCCAGTTCCGCTACTTCTCCAGCCTGCCCACCGAAATCCAGCTGATGGTCTGGAAATATCACCGCGAGGCGGAACCCCCAGTGCGGCACTACTTCCAGAACCCTGTGAGACGTCGTGCCTGCATCTACAGTGCTGTAGACGCACGATCGGGCACGATCGTCCCCAACCTCGCGACAGAGAAGGATCCTCGTGTCACCTATGAGCTCGGGCCGCTGACCACGTCCGAGAAGAAGCAACTTCAAGGACCGCTTCTACACAACCCATCGGGTCGGGTACAGGATGCCATCCGGTGTGCTCAGCTCGTTGAGAAGCAGGAGCCCGTAATGGCCTACATGGATCTGTACCTCGACATTGTCATCTTCGAGGAACGCAACCTCAGGTCGTTGCGATTCGACGGAGACCACTACCAGCCCTATGAGGATTTCGTCCAGAGATACTGCCCACCTGACGTCCAGAGGATAGGTTTCGCCGGCGTTGATATGCTGCGACAGATATGGCTGGCCGGTGCCGGGTACGTGTCACGACGGGAGCCGCAAGACTTCCTCAAGCAGTTGATTGAGCAGCGTGTAGCACTGAGGACACTATACAATATGATTGTTCAACCAGATGTCAACTGCCCCTACGTGAGGAACAGATCTCCCCTGGAAGGCTGCCGTGCCGAGGCAGATGGCTTTATCGACTTCTACAATTACTACCTTATTCACCAGCGTTTCGAACCTCTCATCACTCGATCCCGATCGATGGCCCAGCGGGCGGTCAGATGCACCTGTTTGATAACGAGGGAGTACCATTTCGCGACTAAGGCACGCAATAACTTACTAGCATACCTGGAAACCACCGGACGAAACCTTGAGGTGAATATTGTAATCGAGGGTTCGCTCAGCTAGGCAAACATAACGGAAAGCATGCCATGACAGAAGTTATGAATTGGACAAAGACGCGCGGCGCAAAATGATTGTGGTGGATGGGATACGGAAGAACATTTGACGCAGGCTGACAAGCATTTCTGGATCAAACGGAATCCGGGTAGCTACAAGAAATGTACATGTGATCGCTAAAGTACTTGTCCCCATGAGCGACAATACACAGGGGCCAGGTGTTATTATATAATTACGAGCGCGAAGGTCATCACAGGGACATCATGATTCTCGGGGTGGTCATCAAAGTCTCAATTCATTGGTATCGCATCCGAAGCTTTTTATGAACGCCAGTCCACCATGCAGAAACAAGTACCTCATTACCTTAACCCCTCGAAAGAATATGCCCAAAGCCCAGAATCAGCAGCCGCGGAGAGAACTTAGTTCATCTGGCGGACGAGAGCGTTGATCTTGTCCTCACGGTTGCCAAGGTCACCACCCTCGATGAAGTGCTTGAACTTGCGGGTGCGGAAACCACCGTTGGGGTTGGAGAGCTTGAAGGGCCAGAGGAAGTTGGAGGCCTGCTTGAAGTTGGGGCCGACGGTGTAGATCTCGTGGATCAGATCCTCCATACAGACGATGCCGTACTTGCCGAGGTTCTCCTCGATGATGGTGTTGTCGGTGAGGGCAACGCGCTGCTTGTTGACCTTTCCGTAACCACGCTTGTAGACGAGCTCCTTGACGGTCTTGAGGTTGGGGTAACCGTAGGCGATCCAGGGCTCGACGATCTTGAGCATCTCGGTGGTGGCCTTGGTGACCTTGACGAAGACACCGTTGTTGATCTGGAGCAGACGCAGGAGCTGGAGGATCTTGCGGGGCTTGGGGGCGATCTTGTTGATACCCTTGATGCGGATGACGAAGATCAGCTTGTCCTCAGCAGGAACCTGGAAGGCACCATCCTGCTTGGCGATGCGGGCAAGGCGGACCTTCTCGCGCTCGGCGTCACGGTACTCCTTGACGTACTTCTCGGCACGCTTGAAGACGACCTGGCGCTTCTCCTTGTTGGACTGTGAGGAAATGGGAAGTCAGCACGGCGGTCATGACGAGACAATTCGTGGACAATATTCAAATTCTCCTCGGCGATCAGACCCGAAAGATGGTATTTTGCAACAGCATTGACCTTGGTCTAGTCGCAAAGGGTTTTTATGCATCATATCGACCTCCCCCCAAAACATCAAGACAGGAAAGCGACTTACGGTCTTCTTCTTGTCGGCCTCGGCGGACTTCTCGGCGCGAGCCTTCTCCTGGCTCTTGCGCTTCTTGAGGAGAGTCTCAGGGACCAAGATCTGGTCGTTGGTGGGGACGGTACTGTAGAGCAGAATCAGATTAGTACGATAGTCCACGAGCCAAGACATGCCAGAGCATGCATGGCAGAGCGCCGGTTGGAGAATTGCCGACTGAAGCGCGACATTCTCAGCGGTGGCTAACTCGATTCAAGATGAATTTGATCGGTGAGATAAGAGCAGTTTGGTAGGCCCGAAGCACCCAGCCAAGGGGTCGGGCCACGCGAACGTTCGACACTCATCCGACAACGCCTTGAATGCAATATTCAAGAGGGTATGCCCGCAATAGGCCAGTCTCGCGGGCCGCAGACATTTCTGTGCTGTAGCCAGGGAGAGCTAGATAGTGCGGCAGATGGATTTGAGAGAGAAGACAAGAGTCTTCATCTCCAACACCCCAGGCGACATCTCTCAGTCCGCAGGCTGTGTCTCAAGCCTGGGGTAAAGAGGAAGAAGCACCGGGAAAGATTCGAGCTGGTTTGCGGGAGCCGTCCACCTGCCTGACCATTGCTGCACACCATTCTCAGGTGTTACAGGTGGTCAAGACAGACAGAGGCGGATGCCATCCAGCCGAGAGGGACCACGACAATCTTGCAAAAAAATCCAGGACCGGGCATCGACCATGATGGTGACGACGGGGAATGTGAGGGCGGTCTTACGTGGGCTTGGTGGCGGCCATTGTGTCGGACTTGGACTGCTGTGATCGTGGGTAGATCGTTAGTAGAGACTTCGGGGGGCAGTTGAAAGACGGTCGAGTCGAAGCTGAGGTCGGAGTCGAAGAAAATAAGGGCGGCCCAAATTTTTCTCGTTCTCCGGGTGTGTGGAATTTCGGAAAAATCGGGGGTACAAGTGTGGGTGGAGTGGGCGCGGGAAAAAAAAAAGGGCAACCCAGGTACCCAGGTAGTGCGGAAAGCCTCTCTGAAGCCAGCAGGACCAGGCGCTGGCACTTATTAGTCAAGAGAGTCCCCGTCCGAAAAAATGTGTGAGCGGTTAGGGTTTCTGCTGCAGCGCGCTATCCCCGCTACGGACAAAGGCCCCCCCCAAAAGCTAGGTTCCAGGGCGGCCAACCCCCCCCAAGCTCCCAAGCCCCGACCGCCAGTTTCCTGCCGCCGCCCACCGCCTCGAAATTCACCAGCCGATTAATCCCACCGCCCCAAATTCCCAGCTCGTGATATCTGCCCGTTTCCCGACGTCAAGCCAAAGGTCAACTTCTTCCCTCAAGATCCAGTCCGCCAAACATCAGTCAAAATGCCCCCCAAGAAGGTCGCCCGTCCCGCCCAGGAGAACATCTCCCTCGGCCCCAACGTCCGCGAGGGTAAGTGAAGACAAGACAAGGGCCTGGTCCCACGGTCTTGAAAGAAGGAAGAAGAGGCCGCGAACATCGATCAAATGTGCTGACTTTCGCTCCTCGCAGGCGAGCTCGTCTTCGGCGTTGCCCGCATCTTCGCCTCCTTCAACGACACCTTCGTCCACGTCACCGATCTGTCCGGCCGTGAGACCATCTGCCGTGTCACCGGTGGCATGAAGGTCAAGGCCGACCGTGACGAGTCCTCCCCCTACGCCGCCATGTTGGCCGCCCAGGATGTCGCCACCCGCTGCAAGGAGCTCGGCATCAACGCCCTGCACATCAAGATCCGTGCCACCGGTGGTAACGGCACCAAGACCCCCGGCCCCGGTGCCCAGTCCGCCCTCCGTGCCCTGGCCCGTTCCGGCATGAAGATCGGCCGCATCGAGGACGTCACCCCCACCCCCTCCGACAGCACCCGCAGAAAGGGTGGTCGCCGTGGTCGTCGTCTCTGAGCGCACAACCACAGCAGCAGCATCACCAACAGACAGCCACTGCACCATTCTGTCTCGTCTGCACAGGGTTCAGTTGGTTGGTTGGCGCGTGGTTTGGCTCGGGACACTCCCCGGACGGAATGGAAAAAATGGGTTTACGACATGACGAGAGGAATTTTGGCATCATCTGGGCTGTTACGGCTCTTCTGTGAGGCGGCATTTGACAATTACGAGGAGAACGGCGGAGTGCGCTACGCGTCTCATCTGCCTGGTCTCCGTAGCTTAGTCTACTAGGAATCAAGATAATGAAGCTGGGCCCGACAGGGCCCCTTTCGTTGTCAACACGATGATTGCATTCCCCTCGCACTATGATGTGTCTTTTTTACACTGCAGAAGGAGCTATGATGGTCTTGTCGAGAGTGTCTTGGCTAGATGACTGTGTACACGTGCATGATCGAAATTCTGACTTAGCTACGCCCACGAGTACTCCATGGATAGCTTCTTTTGAGGGGTGCATGGAGTCCTGAGCTCCTGAGTCGAGCTCAGTCGTCTTGCACATGCATCTGTGATGCCCGCCCTGGTTGCTCGCTGATCCGTAAACACCACAAGCTGATCTGAGCATGGCAAATTTGTATTAAGGTCTTCGCATTCGTAATCTAGCATCACAGCTCGTGTGCTACGTAAGGTATCGCAACTACCTGTTCTAGAATACAGACCCCTTCCACCATGCTTGGGTGCCCATGCAGAGGAAATCTCGCCGTATCAGGTCATGCCATACTACCAGTGCCCAGTCGTCAATGGTATCTCAGAGAAAACAGCGCAGCCTCCAACGCCCATGCCATGCCTGTGAATAATGCACGTCTTCCGTCCGTGGCCCTGTGAACTAATTCAACGCACTTTTCTCCTTTATTCTTCGTTTTTCGTTTTCTTTCCTCAAGAAAGTCTAGTACGCGTTTACACATCAGACGCTCCCGCTCCGCATATCGTACAAGCCACTGCCACCAAGATTGGCCCCCTGCCCCCCGGATGAGGAGAGACAGACAAGAAAGGGCCGAGAAGACGAAGATGCTCAGGCATTCGCCTTGAGGCCCCATATGCCCCGCAGGCTGCCGCCCTTCTTCTCCATCTTGGCGACGCGGCCCAGGGCCGCCTTGAACTCGTCCGTCTGCTGCGACGTGATGCAGTACTGGTTGAAGTGGTCGACCAGCAGCTTGGTCGGCACCTGCCCGCCGTGCCGCCGGATGAAGTCCGGGATCATGCGCTCAAAGTCCCGCATCCGCATCGTCACGCTGGGCGCCGGCGCTGCCCCCGTCGGCGTGCCGCCCCGCGCCGACGACGCCCCGCTCGACGTGCCCCCGGAGCGGCCCGCTGGCGTCGAAGGTGCTGACAGGCCTTGCCGGTCCCGGAGGCCGGCGAGCACGGCGCTCGAGGACGGGCCAGCGCGGCCGCGGCGTACGCTGCTCGGGCCCTGCGATTGCGTGGGCAGGCTGAAGGTGGCGCCGCCGCGGGCGCGGCTGTTCTCGTCGAAGGGCGTCACGGTGCCGATGGGGATGTTGCGGGCCTGGTTGGCCGAGCGGCGCAGCAGCAGAGCGGCCTGGTTGGCGACGCGGTCGGCCTCGCGCTGGAGCATGGCGCGGTTGGCCTGCGGCTTGCCGCTGCTGTTGATGATGTTCTCGTGCTCCAGGGCCGAGTGCACGCCGGAGCGCGCAAAGATGCCTTCCATCATCCGGGCCTCCTCGGTCAGGGCAGGCTTGTCCTCGTCGTCGTCTCGATACAACTCGGTGCTGTTAACACCCTCGATGTTGCGCAGCTCAGCCTCATCGTCGGCGGTGGCAACTTCTTCCTCGCCGGCACCGTCTGCAGTGGCTTTGCCCTTTCCCTTGCCATTTGTGTTGACCGTGAGTGGGCCACTGGAAGCCGATGTGGCCAGACCAGCCTCGCCATTGCCAGCAGAGGCCGGTCCAAACTTGACCTCAGATCCTTGGAAAAGCTTGCCGGTCTCCGTCTGGTCCTCGTTGGCACTGCCAAGACTGAACAGGTCGTGAAGGTCGTGGTTAGCGAACCCGGTGCGCTGTGTCGGATCCTTGAGAACCTTGTTGCTCAGGAATTGCTTGTAGACTTGTCGATGGTAGATCTTCTCCTCGATGGTGCCGGCACTCATGAGTCTGTAGATGACAACCTCGCGCTTCTGACCCAGGCGCCAGGCTCTTTCACGAGCTTGAACATCGGTTGACGGGTTCCAGTCGGGGTCGTAGATGATGACACGATTCGCACCGGTCAGGTTCAGGCCTAGGCCGCCGACTTTGGTTGACAGCAAGAACAACTCGATCTCAGGGTTGTTGTTGAATCGGTCCACGAGCGTCTGTCTCTCCTTAATTGGAGTCTTGCCGTCCATTCTGAGAAAGCGAACGCCTCCCTGGCGCTGCACGAACGCTTCGAGAATGTCGAGCATCTGTGGGCCCTGACAGAAGAGAAGAGTCTTGTGTCCATACTTCTTCCAGGTCTGCAGCAGAGCCTTCACAACCTGCATCTTGCCGGACTTGTTAGCTGCACCCCACTTGTAACCAGGTTGATGTTTCAACCTTTCGTTGGTCAGATCAGGGTGATTGCAGATCTTGCGAAGGTGGCCGATGCCATACAAAGCCTGCCTAGATCGCTTGAAGATGGCCTCCATCTCGCCAGACCCAAGGAACTGCTCATATGCTTCACGCTGGGGAAGGGTCAGCTTGCAAAAGAGAACTTGCTCGGTTTTCTTGGGAAGATCGGCGGCGACGTCAACCTTGAGGCGCTGCAGGATATAGGGGCTGATGGTATCCTTGAGTGTTTGCGCACACTTCTCTGCAGTCATGATCTGCAGGTTCGTTGCATTCCCATAGCCGCCAAGCTTGATGTGAACCTCGAACTCTCTCTTGAAGTCCATGAGAGTACCGAGGCGCATGGGGAAGATGAAGTCGATGAGAGACCATAACTCTTGGAGGTTGTTCTGGACTGGCGTGCCAGACAGGATGATGCGATTGGGAGTCTGGAGTTCTTTACAATAGATGGTAATAGCAGTCTCAGGGTTGCGGATCTTGTGGCCCTCATCCAGAACAGCATACGCCCATTGTACAGGCACGAGAAGGTCACCGTAGGTCTGCAGTCCGGCATAAGTTGTGACAAGAACATGACCATGTTTGACAACGCGGTCGACAATCTTCTTCGCGGCCGGACTCGAGGTCTTCTGCGCGTTTCTATTATCGCCCCAGCGAAGTTCGTTTTCGACAAGACGGTCCTCGTTTTTGACGTTCACCATGCCGCTTCCTGAAGAATGGAGGATCGAGACACGCATAGGGGGCCACCATCGATGAAACTCATTGACCCACTGTGTCATGACCGTGGCAGGAGCAACGACGATGACAGGTCCAGTAAGCTGTTTGCTGTAATGCAACGCCGCAATGAAAGAAATGACTTGAACAGTCTTTCCAAGGCCCATCTCGTCTCCCACGATGCCGCCGACCTTCTGGTTCCAGAGCTCCGCAAGCCATTGCACGCCAACCTTCTGGTAGTCGAAAAGAGCAGGGTAGATGTCTCCAGGGAGCTTGAGACCGTACTCGAGAGGGTGATCGGGCTCCTCCGGATGCGGCATGTACTCTTCAGGCTCTTGATCCGTGGAGGCGCTGGCCGCAGCAGCAGCATGGTCACCGTCTTTGAGATGCTGTTGCACTCTTGCTCGGCTCCTTCGCTCAGACCAGTCAGCCAGTCTGCTCTGATAGTTGTTCTCATTGCCGTCGTCGATCTGGCTGATGTTGATCTTGCCATCTCCTTGGCCTTTGGCGGCCCTGGCGGGCTTCTTACGAGGGCGCTCCGTCAAGTCATAGTCATCCTCGGATTCACCATCGTCAATGAAGTCATCCGGTGCAGCAGTGCGTGAAGCCTGAGCTGCGGGAGTGTATTCGTCTGACGAATCTCCACTTGGATCTATTCTGCGCTTCTTGCGAGAGGGTGCGGGCTTTCGCGAGCGTAACGAGAACTCCGACCGGGCAGCGGCGGTAACAGCATTGAGGTCCTCGGCCTCAGCATCAGCAAACCCTGGAGCACGTAGATTCTGATGGGAACGGGGTGCGTTGGCATTGGTTTCCTCCAACTCCTCGGCGACTGCCTCTTCCTCAGCATCGACCAAGACGTTAGCCAGCTCGCCCTGGACACCAGCAGGTCGTGGACCTCCGATGTTGGCGAAGGGGGTGATCTTGCCGGTGCGGATGAGAAACTCGCGGTGAGACTCATTCGGCATTTTCTTACTGCCGCCATGAGCCAGGTCAGTGCCATCGGTCTGGGACTGGTGTCGCTGCTCGATGCGAGACTGGAAATCCACGATGTCCTTCGTCGCAAATTCGATCTCTGAATCGAGACGAGCAATCTCCTGGCGGATCTTGGCCTTGACCTCCGGCTTGCCGATGGCTCTGCGAAACTTGAGCTCCTGGACATCCTTCTGTGACTGGAAGTTTCTAATGTTGGCTCTCAGACGCTCGATACGTTTGTCGTCCTTCTTATCCTCAGCTTCAATGAGGGTGAGATTGGCCTGGTATGTGATGTCACGTTCAAGGTCGTCCTGGTCACGAACGTTGGAAGTAAGATCTCGCAACACAGCCTCCTCATCAAGTCCGTCAGGCATGGCATTGTTGCTGTGCTCATCATCTGAGTCTGCCATGGATGCTTGGAGGTCTGGGTTAGTATGGGTTTATTGATCATTCTGGGCTAGAAGCGGTACCTCCGAGATCTCCTGCACCTTCCGCACCTTGGTACGAGCCGGCTCCGGTGACTTCCGCCTCATCGGTGGCATTGTCAGCCATGATTGCGTTCCGGGATGGCTGGCACGGCTGGTGATGTTGACTTATACGTGATGACAGACCATGAGTGGGAAAGAGAGGAATTTGGTGAGCAGTCAAAAACCCGCAGAACAAATCATCTGCGAGAAAACGGCGCAGAGCCCAGGTCAGTGAATAAAATTGCAAACTTCGAGCATTTCAGACGCCCTGGGACCTGGCCCGCACATGCATTCTCATGAACATCCCTTTGTGACACTATGCTGCCTGCGACGGCGAGATGACGCATGGAATATCCGCTCTCAGCAGCGACTGACGTGATTGGCCGCTGCTCGACCCAGATGATCCGGTATTATTCCGACTTTCTCCACTCTATGTCCGAAAACGGAAATCGGATAATCAGATGATCCGGATGTGCCTTGTGGTCCCGAGGTCCTTCCAGGCCTGGACAGTGAATGGTGTTCAGGGTCCCTGTCACAAGTGTGCCCTCGGCTTGTGTTCACTGCAAGTTTGGTCAAGTGGCCCCGGCACCGTCTGAACCGCTTGACCGTCAGCGTGCAGGGTTGCACATTTCCTCACATTGTGCATCCCCTTTGTGCCTTCGAACGGCTGGCATCTGTCACTAATCTGAAAGGGGGAGCTGCCCGGCTGACTGTTTCCAAGCCAGACTGCGGCCGAGCCTTGATTTCACCAGCCCCAGTTTGCTACGCTAGACCCTTCTATTTATAGACTGCCCCGAGCGAATTCAAGTGTGTTCCTGTGCAGCTGCAACTGTTGACTGGCAAAGACTGAGGCCGTCCGTTCTGAATACCCTCATAGCGTTACGCCGAATGCTCGAGAAGCAGGCGCGTAAGTATCACGAGCGCGAGCGTATCCTAGGTAGCGAGAGCTGCGAGCCTGCTGTCCCTGTCTTCGGCTCGCTAGATGCAATCTCGACGTGCATGTCAGGTGGCACGAGGAGCCTCAACGTCGACCAGGGAAAGCCGTCAGCTGCAGCTCCGTGTTCCACGACCCCGGAGTAGAAGGATCTCGAGGACATTGAAAACGTCTCGGCGGCTGTCGCAACGACTTCCATACGGATGGAAAGGTCCCGACGACTCCCAGAGGAGACTGCTCACGACAGCCCTTTCAGACACCGCAAACGCTCGATATTTCCATGTCACGTCTCTTTTCTGTGACTCTCTTCATATCCCTCGCAACTACTACAATCACTTTTCTGCTTGGCTGCGCAAAATACCCACGCCCTGCCCCGTAGGAAAGTGACAGGACCGCAGCATGACACCTATTTCCCTTGCTTATGCCAGGAACTGCTCGGCCTTGCCTGAGCTGCAGGGCAAGCCTACAACTAGCACTTCTTTTCTTGCGGCGTTAGGGCACATTTGGTAAGGGGTAGACCATGTTTCGCTGATCCTTCTGTATGCGCCGTTTAGACGTGGCACAGCATGGCCAGGTGCCGTATTGTTTTCCAAGCTAGGAAGTAAGTCTAAACCCTTGCCCAATCACGCCTCAGTAGCGATCACCGGGTTGGTGATCCTGCGACCCGCTTGGAGCATGGGGGGTCTACACCCGCTTTTTGTATATGTAAGACGATGATCGTCTACGAGTCCAGGTTTTCGCCTGTCCAGTTGGGTTTATTTCTTCGGTTCCTTAGTAATTCCATAATATCCAGAGGAGTTGCAGAACAACATCCTCAACCATGTTGGTGTGCAACGCGGCGACCTGGATGGTCAAGCTATTCCCATTCCTACTACCTCTAACATGCCATGCTGCAACGAACAACCACCGTGTTGTGGTCTACTACCAAACTACAAACTACAATGGGTCGGCCACCGAGCACGTGTCTCTACTTCCACTGATCAACAGTGAAGCCAAAATTCCCGTCACCCACGTCCTGGTGTCTGCTCTGCACATTGACGATAAGGATGGTATTCACCTGAACGATTACCCACCGGACAACCCGATATTTGACGAGGTCTGGAGTGATGTTGCACAGCTGCAGGCCAAGGGCGTCGTGGTCACCGGAATGCTCGGTGGTGCGGCCCCGGGTTCGTTCACGCGCCTGGATGGCGACGATGCCCAGTTCGAGAAGTACTATGGTCCGCTGCACGACACTATCGGGCAATACAACCTCCAGGGTCTCGACCTGGACGTAGAAGAGAACATGTCCTTGAATGGCATCATCCGCCTGATCGACCGCCTGAGGAAAGACTTCGGCGATGACTTCGTCATTACCTTGGCGCCAGTAGCATCTGCCCTCCAGAAAGGCGGTGGCAACCTGAGCGGCTTCGACTACTTCAAGCTCGAAGCTCAGCGCGGAAGCGATATCGATTTCTACAACGGGCAGTTCTACTCGGGCTTCGGCAGCGCCGCGTCCACAAGCGACTACCAGGACATCATCGACGGCGGCTTTCCCGCCGAGAAGGTGGTCATGGGTCTCCTGACGAACAAGGCCAACGGGAACGGCTTCGTCGCCCTGGACACCTCGGCCGGCGTGATCAAGGAGCTGGTGGCCGAGTATCCCGACTTTGGTGGCGTCGCGGGCTGGGAGTACTTCAACAGCATGCCTGGCGGCCAGAAGGAGCCGTGGAAGTGGGCAAGCTGGGCTACCAATGCCTTGAGTGCCTCTTCGACGACCGATACGTCAAGCCCCAAGTTCATGGTCAAGAGAGCTGCTCACGATACTTGGCACGTGGTGAGGCGGTGGGGACGACAGACGTGGAGGTTCCTCAAGTAGAGTAGATCTAAGAACAGGGTATCATTTTACATCTATACACTAGAACGGAAGTCACATCATGATTACCATTTCTACTGACCGGCTGCTGACTCTTCGGCCTTCCTTCGCTCCTTTTCAACTTGGGCGGCTCGTAATCTTGCCATGGTCGATGCCCAGTCAGTCTTCCCGGCCGGGGCTGGGGCCGCGCCGTTGCTTGTAGGGGTTGCGGAAGGGGCGGGAGCGGCAAACGAAAACACCTTCTGATCGTCAGCCTGTGGTCCCGAGATACTGGGGTTTGAGATGGATTGTGGTCCATGGCTCGGTGAGGTCCTGCCGCCCTTGCGCGCTGCCTTCTGTGCTTTCTTGGCGGCCTTCTTCTGCCGTAACTCCTCAAGTTTCCGCTCCAGTGCTGCGATTTCGGGGTCGTCGTCCGCTGTACTTTTCGGTGGGATCTGCCCCGTGTCTGCCTTTGTGCCTGCTTCTGATCCCACCTTCGTCCCTGTTGTCGTTGCTGCTGCTGCCGCTGCCGCCGTGGGGGGTGGTGGTTGTTTTTGCGCCTGTGCCAGGCGTTCTCGCTCCTCGGCCTCGCGCATCAATCTCTTCCGCTCCTCCATGATCCTGTTGCCCTTCTGCAGCATGCTCTGGTACTCGGCCTGGCTCAGGCCCTCCTTCTGCGGGGTGCGCATCCGCTTGGGGTCCTCGCCGCGCTCGCGTGCCTCCAGGTCGGCGATGTCTGCCTGCCGCTTGGCAGTCATGGACCGCTTCTTCTCCTCCTGGATGAGCTTGGCGCTGCGCGCGCTGTCGTAGGCGGCCTTGGCGGCCGTGTCCATGAGGACATCGCGCACACGCTCCAGCAGCTGCCATTTCTCCGGGTCGAAGCGGTCGCCGAGCTTGTCGGGGTGGTACTTGATGGACTGCTTTCGGTAGGCGCGCTGGACTTGCTTCGGGTCCGCCGCTGTGATTGTGTCGATTCCCAAGAGTTCGTAAATGTCGTTTTGGCCCTTGGCGTACTCGTGCGCCAGGGCGAGGAGCTCTGACTTGTCCATTTTCGTTTCGGGCTGGTGGTGTTGTTTGAAGGAGTGAATGCGACAACCGTGAGAACTGATGGGAGAATGTTGGCAGCCCAGGCTGCAGTGGGGCTCTAAGTTCATCGCCCGAACTTGATTGGGGGTGGGGGCCAAGGTGGGCCCTTTTCTTATATGGCCAACCAGTCTGCACACAGTAGATTATTCCGTGGCATATAAGTACATGGTTCGATTACATTCAACCGCGCCTTTTCTGACGAGAAGCAAATGTCTGCATTATGTTCTATGACTTGCATATGTGAGTCTCATGGCCGAGCTTGCACTACGCCCTCAGTGCAACCACTCAGGGCGCTCCCTGGTTAAGGCACTCTATCCCTCACTGGTCGCATACTTAAAGCGACTGGAATAACCTCGGGTCGGTTGTTATAATGTCTACTCGAGGAACCCATAATATCACGGAGAATATCAGAATAGTTCAGTACGAAAAGGAAGAACTAACAGCCACGGGGAACTGTTTGAAAGCTAAATATCTGACGTTCAGAACATCCTAATGGCTCCAAGCCAGAAGTCCTTCGTCCAGGCTAATCCGACGTACTATGCAAATTCTGCTCCTTTGGCTTGAAGTGAATCGCCTCGATGTTATTTCCGAGAGGATCCAGCACGAAGGCTGCGTAGTACCCGTCGGCATACGGTCGCAAGCCTGGATCACCATTGGGAGCTCCTCCAGCCTTGCTTCGCACCACGGTATCAGTATTCACTCTTTGAACTGTGAGACACCAACTTACGTAGCAGCCGTGAAGAACTTATCGACAACTTCCCTGCTTTCGACGTCGAATGCAATGTGAGCCCGACCAGGTCGATTCTTCACATGTCCCTTCTCGTAGGCCGGTTGTTCACCATTGCCAACGTGGAGCCAGAAGTCCGGTTCCCCATTTTGAGGCCTCAGGCCCAGCATCTCGTCTTCCTTCTCGTAGTAGACAACATAATTAAGAGGAGTTAGAGCATCAAGGTAAAACGACCGCATGGCTTTCCACATGGAAGCGCCGGTGGCGAGCGACACGTGACTGATGGGCATGGCGAAGAAGGTTGTCAAGCCGTGAGGACAGATGCTCAATACGCGGCTCGGAATTTGCTTCAATTGGAACTCACTGAACTAGTGTCGAACTTAGTCCTGGCTTCAGGTACGCGATGCGGCTAGGCTGCTTATATGAGGTCGGGAAAACTGGAAGAACTTTACATAAGCACTTGCAGACCGCGGAGTTCCGAGTTCTGTAGGACTTTTGTGTAGCACATTGACCGAGGCCAATTATAACCGGTTCTGGATGATATCGTTGCTCTCACTGCACCTAAAATTTCTCAACTAAAGACTCTTGGACGTGAATCCGGCCAGATTGATCGCCTTAATGTCATTTGTTATACCAGACTGAGACGTCAGATGCAGTCGCGAGGCGCAAATCAGGCATATGGTTGTAACAGACCGAATTGAGCTCTTCTGCGAGAGTAGGAACCGTGGCAAGATTAATAGCCGACATCTATAGGTATAACCCCTCTTCTGAATCTAAAGCCCCTCCGTGAATTCACGTGGCATTGGCCAGCACACGCCATGATTACTTCTTCACCAGTTTCTTGAACTGCACCAGCGGAAGCAAGGTCCGTGTTAAGCAGAACAACATCAATGGGCACTATAGTTCCCAAGTACAAACCCATTCCATTGATGCATACTAGAATTGAACATTTGGCGCTTAGTATTAACAAAAAAAGGTCGTAATGAACTTAAATATACGTCATTTTACCTTGGCCAGTAAGGAGGGGCGTGGTGCATGAGGCGGTACATGCACCAACCAAAGACTGAGTCAAGTACGCCCTGTTATATCTCACCCGCATAAATCTGACTATGAAATGCTAAGGCTGCATAATTGCCTAATCAACGACTTTCAGAATTTATAACGTGAAAATGTTCCAGGTATTGTGCCACTGTCAAAGATTTCGTTCATGATCCTCGTAAAATATTTAAATACAATAAGATCGATTTAAAGTCTCTATTTACTTGTAAATACGAAGGTACAGCCAACTTCATTATGGTCAGTGGTACCGCGCCGACACCCGAAAATAGATCTAGCGTACCCAACGATGAACCAGTTGGTCAAGGAATGATATTTGGCATCCTTCATTGACTATCAGCATCTGAGCACCGACTAGAACGAATCCCAGTACCGGCACGTCCAGGAGAGAGGAAATCTCGATGTGGGCAGGCCTCCATTGCACAGCTGACCGGAAATGCGGCTGAACAACAGTATAGCCGAAGCATATAGGTAATGGGAATACACGATTCGTGCATCAATCACGTCACATTATAACCTGTGGCGCTCAGGTTGAGCTTAGTGATTTGCTAAAACTCGTAAAGCCAACCCGGTGGCTTGCGCAACCCCACTTTCAAATCCCAACTGACACAGCGTCGCCTGAAAGTGGACACAAGGACACGCGCGCTAAGCCGAACTGCAAAAGATGACGTAAATGACCCTTACAAGGCTTGATTATAGTATCTATATAGCATTTATATTATGAATAAGCGGAACTGGGTGCCGTGAGCAATCGTAGTGGAAGGTAGACTTTGAAATTGAGAGGGTCGCAAGCAGTGGATAACACTACTACCTCTCCACTCTCTATAACATTGTGTTGACTCACCCATAAGCTATAAGTTGGTGCCCATAGGCAGATCATCAGACTTAAAGTTACCTTCACAAAAGAGATGCTAGCATTTATCGAGGTAGGATAGCGATGACTATTGGTTAAGACTTCACGTTCCTCGGTAATGGGGAACTCCTTCAGAGTTCCGATTCGTCGACGTGGTCCCAGGTGCTACACTAAAATCCTTCGTTATGCCTAATACTCCATGATTCGGCGACCAGCCAAGAATTCTCTACTCCGCCAAGCACCACTAATCAAAGCCTCTGAGCACCGGATCGCGCGGGTGCGAAGGACTTCCTCGAAAAAGACGATATGGATTACACGAGGATCATACGGATATCGAGCTTTCGGCTTGGCAACACGAGCTCTATCTCACAAGATATTCATGTCTAGCCCGACGGTATGCGCTCTCAACAGATGAGCGACGATGAGCAATGATCTAGTGCTCTCAAAATGGAATATATAAAGGGTCTCAGTTCCTGGCAATTTCCCCCTTCTTCTACGACACAGCACAGCTTCTACAGCCTCCCAAGTTACATTCCTGCTTCAATTCCCATCAACTTCATCATGTTGCCCTCTTTCGCAGCCATCTTATCCTCCATGGCCATGGTGCCACTCGTCAAAGCCAATTTTGATCTCTACGAGACAATGCAGACGGTGGCATTCGGAGGCGAGGCTCTTACCGGATACAAAGTCTTCGAAGCAGAGCCCGACTGTGACCAAGTCAGAGCCGGTGGCTTCTACCAGGACGAGACAGACGTTAGCGGCGACAACACCGGCGTCAGGTGCGAAGGAGACTGTGCCGCGGCCGACCCAGCCGGTATCACCATCTTGGAGATGCACTTTAATAACAACCCACTGCACCACTGGAGTAAGTCCTGAGGGCACCAGCAGCTCGAGCCGTGAGAAAGTGACGCTAATATAAGCAATACAGCCATCTACAAGGACCGTAACTACGACATGATTGGCTTGGACGGAAACACCTACGGCAACTGCATCCTGTTTCCTGGGGACGACTTCTTCTGCTCCACTGCAGTGGAGACATTCTCGGGCAGAAGAAGGTTCCGCTGCCTCACCCAGTTTACTGCCCCCGAGATTGACGCCGGTGATGGTGGTGGTAACTAAGAGATTGGCCTGATGTTGGGCATAGCAGCGAGAGGTGCGGGAAATGCTTCCGGGGGTGGGACATCGTTGAGGAAGTGGATGCGAGTCGGCCCTGGCTTATTTCTGATGCGATGGTCTCTGTCAAATTCTATTCTCTAGTGTGCTGTTCAAGCACTTAGTTTCCATAGCTGACTCGTTGTTCAATATGTCACATAGGAGCATGATCAGGTGGGGAAATAAGACTGGTTGTAACTGCTTGTTCTAAGTTTGTGAGTACCGCTGCATTTGTTGCGCATACTGCTTTGTCTGTTCTTGTTGATCACTGGATGGCGTCCACCAATGAATCTTAAAAGCCCAGGCCATATTTTTCTATTGTCGAATCCCGCGTTATTGAGCAGGAGTCGCCCGAAGTCATTTTGTCATTGTCCAATCTCCCCAAGATAAAGCCTACCATGTCCGCTTGCGGGTAACCTTTAGTTGTATCTAGAACGGAAAGGGTATTTGATGGCATGAAGGAGGAGCACTAGTGAAGAGCGTACAGCCTTTAGGCGTAGCGTTGCGTTAAGTGACATGAGAAAAAGAATGTTATAAGTTGTTCGCATAGCTGCTAAGCATATTCTTGAGTATTATATCAGTATTATATCACTCGGGTGGAGTTGAAACAAAAAGCTGAGATGTATGAGATGGCTGTGGCTTAAAAAGCGAATCAAGATTTAATACGATCAGGGTCGTAGTCTGCAGCAAGTAGCGGCGCCCAGGTTGGGTTATGAATATCCGGTTTTGCAGTAATGTATAGTCTTGACTCTCTGGGGCTGGTGTGATTATACGCGATGCCAGTTGCGAATGACGCTGAGTACCATTGCCACAACCATCGTATAGGTCATTCCAGAGACAAAGAGTCGGGAGCTTGAGCTATACTCCTACCTATCCTCCAAGCCTGGGAAACAGTATTGAGTATTGAAGCAGTGGGATTGTACTTTTGTCAATAATAAAGTCTATGTCCAGTACATTCCTCCAAATTTTGGAGTACCTGTCAAAGCAAGATCCCTCTCGAAGCAGGCTAACGTCTATGCTCACCAGTACACAAGTGAGAGTACGTAATGAAGTCGATTTGAGACATTTTGAAATGAAGGTATGCAACGTAACTTACATACATATGGCCAGGTGTAAGTACTCTTGGTCAAGGGGGCACTGTGCGTCCTGAAAAGGCGGCAAGAGATATGCACTTAACGGGATCTTTAGACTTAGTGCCCCACGTCCTCACTCCACCCGCGTAACGCCTGGGCATCATGACAGCGAAGCGGCGCATTAGATCCGCTTCGTTCACAAGCTCAAGCTCGCCAAGCACATCAAGAGCTTGCTCAAACACTACTACCTACACAACCTGCTGCGCCAACTGGCCGTAGCAACGAGGTCTCACGATGGCCTCTCTTTCACTCACTCGAGCGCATTCTATGGAGCCTGACATTCGGCTGGAAGATTACCTGGACGACAAGCTTCAATCGACGGCGGATCTGGACAACCTCGAAACGCTCCTGGCAAGCGTTGAGGTGCAGCGCAGCCAGCTCCAGGCACAGCTTGACGATGCGACCCAGGAGCTAGAAGAGGTGCGCCGGTCGGCCGAGGACCGCCAGGGCGGCATTGCCAGACAGATCGACGAGTTCCAGAAGCTGCAGGAGAGCATCGACGTGCGCCTGCAGATCATTGCAGCCTCCGACGCCCCGGACGAAGCGATTCGACGCCTCGAGGGCCCCATGAAGCAACTACATCGCGTCGAGCTGGCCTACAACTACGTGTCGATGCTGCAAGATGTGGAGAGCATGAGGTCGGAGGCGAGATCGCACCTCCCCGCCAGTCCCAAGGCTGCCCTGCAGCCCTATACCAGGTTGAAGCAGCTGTCGGCCCGGCTCAGAGAGCTGCAGGGCCCTGCCGACGAGGCCGCCAGCCATCTGGTGAACTACGTGGAGCATATAACGGAGAGCCTGTGGGACGAGATGAAGAAGACCATGTCGGAGGAGATGGAGGCGGTACTCAAGAAGCGGAACTGGCCACAGGACGTTGACCCCAATGCTGAGATGGACGCCGAGTGGCTCGAGTGCTTTGAGAAGTCAATCGACCTCCAAATCCCCGAGATCCTCTATTCAGACGCACTCGTCAGTCTGCTGCCAATCGATGTCATGGTCAAGCCGTTCGTTCAGTGGTTCAAGTTCCAATTCATGGGTGACACCCCGACCAGCACGCCCCAAGCGTTCGGTACTTTTTGCGTGCCTGGCTTCGTCCAGCTCGCCGAGAAGTGGGAGGATTTCTTCCGCGAGAACCTGGGCCATCTCCTCAGGACACGGTTCGAGGGTACAAAAGCCCAAGACATATCTGTCTACGTGGATCCCGCCTGCGCTCTCATTACCTCCCTCTTGCCAGTCATGAGACAGAAGGTGGACAGCCTGGTCCAATATGGCCTCGGCAACCCTCAATATCTCAGCAGCCTCATGGACCAGATCATGACGTTCGACGATACCATACGGACCACCTTCGACTACCACGGGGTGGATTCCGAGAATGGCTGGCCCGGTCTGGCTTCAGAAGTCTTGGACAAGCATTTCAGAGAGTGGCTTCAGGCAGAGAAGGATTTTGCACTGGAGCGCTTTCATACAATTCTCAACTCGCCTGATGCACGTAACATTGACTACGACTACAGCGGTGCTGGCAAAATGAAGCCGACTTACGGGGCGGTCAGGGTCACCGATCTACTGAAGTCGGTTACGACACAGTACCAGCGTGTTCGGCGACTCCCTCACCAAGTGCGCTTTCTCATCGATATACAACAAGAGATCCTCGATCAGTACCATTCTCGTTTGCTCGACTCCTTGCAAGCTTACTCTACCTTGACTTCGACCAGTGCGAGACTGTTGCAGGGCGTTTCGAACGAGCAACTGGCCGCATTGGAGGGAACCGGAGCCTTCGAAACACTTTGCAAAGTACTAGGCAGTGCCGACCACATCGTCAACACGTTGAAGGCCTGGGGCAATGAAGATGTAAGTGGACACACCCAGGTTGATCCGGACACTGCTAACAACGATAGTTCTTCATGATATTATGGGAAAGTTTAAAGACGCGGGTGAAGCAGGTCGATGATCAGACCAACGTGGTCGGTGGAATGAGCTACGATCACGTCAAGGATAGCACTTCCTCTGAGATTGATTCTGATGGCAGTGGCTCAATCTTCGACGAAACCATCAACGTCTATAGCAAGCGCAAGGAGAGCGCCCAATCACTTTTGGTCAATGCTCTTGCCGACTCCCACTATACCGCCATTCGTCCGTATCTTTCCAAGTCCCAATGGTCCATCGTGACGGGTGACTCGACAGGTAAAGACCTACCTTGATGTTGGTAACACCAGGCGCTGACATGTCATCCAGATCCCTCCCAACTTAGCATTACGGCAGAACTCGACGAATTCTTGCGAGTAAGTAATCCACCCACTGATTAAAGGAGCCACAATGAGCTCACAACTCTAGATCCTGAAGCGCAACCTCACTTTCCTGGCCCCGGCTCTGAGTACCACCGTCTATCGCAAGGTCTGGCGTGACGCGCTGGACCGTCTGCAGGAAGAACTGTGGTCCAACATCCTCATCCGCCAAAGTTTCACAACCCTCGGGGCGAACCAGTTTGTCCGCGATTTGCAGGCCATCTTTGGTCTCATCGACCGGCACATCCCAGACGGTTCGATCGCTATGACACAGCTGCAGGAGGGCGCGCAGCTGCTCAGCCTCCCACTGGAGACCGGAGAGGGCGGCATCACGCTACAGCAGGCCAGCGATCGCATATTCACAGACAATAACGAAGCGAGGAAAGTGTTGGAAGAGCTGGGGATAGAAACGCTCGAGCCCGCCAATGCAAGACGCATCCTGCAATGTAGAGTAGAAAATAGCGTATAGCGAGATCCCAAACTAGAAGCCTCAAGAGATAACAAGACAGGATCTGGATCTCAATGATCCGCATTGAATTCTACCGCCGAAAAAGATAATATGATTGCTCGCATCGTAGATGCCCGTGTGTTGAACGCCTGTCTATGCCTTTTGCACATAAAACCCAAACTACCCCCTTTCCCGACTGCGCAAGTAAATATCCGAATGGGCTGTGGCCTAGTTGATGGCCCGCAACGTCAACTCGACCGTCGCAAAAGTACCCGCGCTCACGGGCATGGCCCTGAGCAAGGTCGGTCCGATACCCTTCCAGAAGCCCCTCAAGCCCTCGGCCCTGTAGGTCTTGGCGAAGCAGTCGCGCATGCTGGCGTACTTCTGGCCGGCGCCGAAGCCGTCGGTCTGCATCTTGCTCTTGATGACGTCGAGCGGGTAGCTGCCGAGCCACAGGGCCTCGCCGGCCAGGCCGCCGTAGAAGGCGACCAGGTAGCTGGGGATGTCCTTGCGCTCGATGCGGTTGCGGGCGGCGTGCTGGTTCATCATGTACTCGAAAGACAAGAACCACACGCCGTAGGCCTGGGCCTCGCGCAGCACCGTGACGGCCGAGCCGCGGTAGACGCCGCGCAGCACGCCCTGGTGCGCCGACAGCTTGCGCACGCAGTCGACGGGGCCCGCGTACAGGCGCGCGGCGCCGTGGGGCTGCGTCTGCAGCCGGATGCGCACGTGCTCGATGGGGCACGACAGCACCGTGTTGGCGACGCCGGCGAAGGCGCCCGCCCCGTAGTACTGCGCGTACGACAGGTCCGGGCGCCCGCGGCTGCCGGCGGCGTTCTGCGTCTCGAAGTAGCGCTTGGCCAGACCGAAACCGCCGAACTGCACTGACACGCAGGCGCCGATGCCCAGGAGAGGCGTCAGCGTGCCTTTATAGAAGGCCAGCGGGCCCTCCTTGGTCCAGATGGCTTTGGCGGCGCCGATTGCCGAGTTGGCCTCGGCGCTGGTCTGGAGGCGCACCTTGACGATGTCGAAGGGCTGGCCTGTACGAATGGTTAGCTTTCATGAGCTCATATATGGCTGTCTAGTCAATGAGATGAGGCCCGGTATCGCATCTCCCCGGGTTCGAGTACCGCAGAGCCATGTGTGATAGAGGAGAGTGGTTCGCCATTGGGAGCCACAACTCTCTTCAATGGGATAAGAGCCCCCGCCATATCGATCACTGCAGAATGCAGCGTATTCTCGATAATGTGACGGCTCTGTATTTCTCACGAGCGCGGAGACTGACTTGGCACTTGCGTGATCCCATTGTCCCCGTCCACTCGAGCGCCTCTGCTCAAGCGCATATCGAATTGGTGAAACCCAAAAGAGCCCAAAGTACAATGCACTCACCTAGCAAGACCTGTGCAATGCCTCCAGCAGCCCCGGAGAACAGGTCCTTCCAGACGGCACCACCCTTGGCCGTGATATCCTCGACTGCGTCCGCCATCCTGCCCCGCACTCGGCTTAACTGGGTATTTCTTGAAAACGGAGCTGGCTAGCTGGCTGGCTGGCTGGCTGCTGTCCGAGAGGCAAGATACCGAGTTCTCAAGCGCCAGGTCGTGGCGGATCCGAGGCGAGTGCTGAGGGAGATGGCCCAAGGAGCGAGAAGGGTCAATTCGAATGTTGGTGTGTTCGCCGAATTTCACCGCCGATCTAGGAGTTAGCGACTCAGCGCATCCCGAGCCCAGCCGCCTCGGTCTTATCAGCAACGCGATTAATGAAATTTTGGTGGGGCGGTCAGATTCGTTTGTCAGATGCAGGGACAAACCCGAATGACGTGCTCTGCCTGGGGCGACACTAAGTGAGGAGGCGGGCCAAGCTGGCTTGTCGAATAGAACGGATAGCTGCATGCGGCTCTGGTTAGCTTGAGGTCGGCATAGTGATCTGAGGAAGGTTGATATGCTTCAAGCCATAGCCCTGACGAATGCGGTAGGAATGCTCAAGCCTGTTATGAGTAGAAACATGAGTTTTCATGCATTGTCTGCATTTTCTGCTTCACTGCGGATACTATGAGATAGGACCCAGTTCTTCTGTCAAGCAACAGCGAATGAAACTATTTACAGGTAGTAGAGGGCTTCGAAACAGTGCATAGACATTCGGCCCTACCGACATTCGAAAGGTACAAGTACTAATCAAGTCTAGGACTAGAAAAACGGTTTTGATTGTCGTGGAAACATCTTTCGGCGCTGTTTAGTTTAGGGGTATTGGGGTATTGGCCCAGCCAGCGGACTGGGTTCACGGTCGATCAAGTAAAGAGACACTAAGCCTGGAATAGAAGAAAAATATGCGCCAAAGTATTTTCTCTGGGTTACAATTCCACGCAAAAATGTGCACCATTACAATTGTTCTTATGGACGTGACTTGGTATGCATGACAGAATTCTGATGCGAGGCCCATCTGTCCAGGTCGTCATTCGCAAGCGCGGTCGATCTCTGCGAAATTTGACCAATACCAAGTATACTTTCGTAAAACACAGGCTGTGGGGAAGCCCTCATCATAATTTCTCAGTGCACACTTATTAACACCAGCCTATGAATACCAAAGGTACAGGCAGGCAGGCATCTGTACCTCGACAGGGATGGTGCCATGATGAGTATGCGAGAAGGCCCTCCGCGGAGGAGCCGCGTGTTCTGAAACTGAGCATTGTTTTACGATAGAAAAGAGAAGGAAGAGCCAGAAGGCCTTCCGGTCCATATTAAGTTGAGGTGAATATTCGAAGAGAATAGAAGAGAGCAGAGGTAGAAGTTCGCGATGCCCAATCACGAAGCCATATATCGTAATCATATATCGTAATCATTAGCCCTCTTAAATGAGGAATACAATTCAAAGGTTTACATCTATTACTAGTAGCTTCTGAAGTCGCAATCTGCTGCAAAATAGAGAAGACAGTGTGGGCCAAGCAACGCCCGAAGTGGTGACCCGTACAAGCCAAGTTGACCGGTGGGCATATACGACTGGTGCACGGCGGGGATTCAATAGATTATTGCAAACCAAACGAACCTCTTCCCCCATGTAAACCGGGCGAGAAGTTGTCTCGAATCCCGAGACATACCCGGCACAACCTGTTGCCCGGGTCTAGCTACATGTACCCCGGAGGCATCTCTCCATAGTAGCCGGGCGAGACGGGCTCCACACATACCCGCAGGTCGACTGACCAGGGAACTTCGCCTCGAGGCAAGGGAGGAGGCCGTGCTTCTGCAGGGACGAAGTCAAAAATACACATCCCTGCTGCGGCTGCTGCACGAGAGCGATCGTTTTCTCGTGTATCTTTGATTAGCTGCTTCGGTTCGGGACGGCCAAGTTGAGATCTGATCTGATCTAGTATACACCCAATCCCCACCCCCTGATTTATGCCACTAGCGCGCTGCCACCCATAACCCACGCGGCTGGGTCCCGATGGCCTGGGTTTCGGTGACCATCTGCAGTTCACCTTGCCTTGGTCTTCTCCCCGCATTGTACACGTACATCCTACCTATCAGTGGGCGTTCGCGATTTACGTGTCTGCTTGCGCAAGACATGGTGTCTCGGCCCCCAAATCGTGTTGCACTTCACGAGTGTGGAGGTCGACGCACTTCTTATGGGATATTTGCGACGGAATGTTTCTCGAAATCTCAATTAACTGACTCTGAAAACTAGCTCACGTGTTGTCTCAATATGAATCCTTCTGGTAAACTCAAAACCGTCCCGCTTCGGCCACGGTTGAGAATGTCCACTACCACCGGGCCCGGCCACGGCCGGACGATGATAAGTTGGTCGAGTATCTGTCCGCATGAAGCAAGACCGCATGCAAAACACCATGCAGCATGGCGGCACAGTGGACAAGTCGGGCAATAAATGAGGGACATGTGCATGTACAAAAATCCCCTACCTCAGATAGTGCCATCCATCTCTGGCCCTTCCCCGCATCTGTTTTGGGTAGAGTGTGCCAGTCCTTCTCGCACGTGAAAGAGGGCCCGGGTATGCATGTACAGGCATGCCGTCCCATTGCCGTTTTCACGAACGCGGGCTGGGCCTGATGACCTTGTTGCTAGCTGGTCGAGGCGCCCATGGGACGGCCCGGCATGGGCGCAACACGTGCATTTCGCGCCAGTATTACGTTGGATGGATATATCATAGAGTTCGGACTTACCAGCTCGACTCATGGAGCATACTTCATGTGTTAGTACATATTGGTTCCTTGAGCCGTGCCATTGGTTGGAGTGGACTTGTGGAAGGAAATGCTGATACTGGCTGGGGGTTTCTTAACCCTTGTTGCTTACTGATGGGCAATGCTGCAGAATATGCCTGATCGTTAGTAGGAGAGGTTAGCGCTGGGTGAATCTGAGCGCTATTTAAGTGATTTGAATAGTTGCGTTTAGCTGATCAATCTAGGTATCATTGCCTCACCGACCTGGGATGCTAGTAAATTCAGGGGACTCTGTTACATCCCTAGCATCTGGATATGCAGAATTCCAACATAATAAAAAAGGAGATGGTCTGTGTGTCAATGAGCCGCCGCTCACCGAAAACCAGACAAGTCCCCTGAAGGGTACACGATAATCCAACGTCTAATTCAATCGGGAGTCTCCTCCAAGATCTCAGGCTGGAGATGGGTTTCTGAAAACGTAAGAACTCGGGAACTCAATGCGCGGTAAAGAGCTGTGTGTTTTGTCCTCGAGTATATCGTGAATTGTAGGACCTTGAAACGTAAATAAGGGGTATCTGGTTGGTCCTGTGTGCCCCATGTAACTGGCAAAAAGAATCCGGAAACCCGCTTTGCGGAGTTTCTCGTTGACTGTTGGAAAAGAAAGACGAGCAGTTGACCGATAATTGGGCGGAAGAAGACCGAAGTGAAAGGTCGAGAAGCCCGTGATTGATCACGGAATCCTATACTAAGCTGACTGGGATGGACCCAATCAGTATGAACGTTTCGATGGACATTAGTCCGAAGCCAGCCCTTGATGAGGCTGACCTGACGAGACACAAGTAACTCCATTGCGAATAGGAGCCTGAGTCTGAGCCTGGCATGATCTAGCGGCGCTTCTTGTTACTCTTCTTTGGGCGGCGAATTCTCCGCGCCCAGCATTCGTCGACTGCTCTAGAGACGGCTTCGAAATCCTCGCCGTAGATTCTGCCTATGAACAGGACGTTGATGTTGTGCTCTATGGTTACCAGCTTGGAGTAGTTGATACGAGACTCTGCAACGAGCGTCTCACCTTCCACATAAATCTCCATACGTACAGGGTCAAAGCCATGTTGGGGCTCGCCCCGAAGTCGTGTGGGAGGGCTCGGCGGCTCATACACGATTCCATGATTTTCCGCTCTGACACCAGGTTTGTTGCAGCCCCGACCCTCGTAGGTAAGGATTGGGCTGAGAAATCTTAGCCGGGGGGACCAAGGAGCGTCTTTTCTGACTTACACACAGATGCTGCTGCCACTCTCAGAAGCAGTGACAACAAAACGGCGGACTCCGGTATAGAACATTTCGCCGTCCACCCGTTTCTTGCCCGCTTCGGTAAACGGGGCCTCCGAGTTGCCAGCAAACTTCTTACTAGACTGGCCTCTTGGTTCGGCCCAGACAAGTTTAAACACCTGAGAGCCTGACGTTAATACGATACGCAATGAACTCAACTTTTGACTGCGCATACCTCACCAGGAACGAATAACCTTGATGGTTGGACGCTGAACCCTTGACGCGGTCAGTGCCGTGCGATGATGTTGATGTGTTGTACTCACTGTCGTCAAAAGCATAATTACTCGTACCAGAGATCAGCGGAGCTCTGTGCTGAGAGATCTGACTTGGGCCAGCCTGCGTTGGCGTATGGGTTCCATCATCTTGGTAATCTGACTTGTGGCTCAGTATTCTGATTCCGGTCACTCATGTGCATCCATACCGTCATCCTCCTGAGCAGTCAAGTAGTTCGAGCTCGAGCCAGTTCCGGAGTAATAGTCCGAAGAAGCCTGGCCGGTCTCGGGGTAATATTCGGACGAAGCCTGGCCAGCTCCTCCGTAATAGTTGGACGATTGCTGGTCAAAGCCTCCTGAGGCAGAGCTGGAAGATTCACCTGCAGTCGTTTGGCCGTAATATGTCTGTTTGCTAGCATGAAGAGCTTGTTCAAACTCAGGGTCGCCACCATCATCACTGGCAAGACCTGTACCTGGTTAGTCAGTTCTTGTACGTTGTTCCTCCCGCAGCCTTGGCCAGACCTACCGTAACTATCTGCATAGGCACTGGTATTGTAGGCAGAGGCCGTCGCGTCTTCATCTTCATAAGCAACAGGGTCGAAAGCGGATGTCGCGTCAGCGGGAAGCATTTCCGATCCTTCATCTCTGCTGTGGCTTTTCGCTTTGCCTTTCAGGTGCTGGTCATGGCTATAGGATGGATAATGAGAACCCCACGACGATGTCGAGCTTACGGATGAGCCACCAGCGCCAGGCTCGGCCCCAAGCGACATTCCACCCATGCCCCCTGCCAATTCATCATCTATGGCAGGTGCAGTCCTCGGTGTGTCTGTGCTATCACTCCAGCGCTGGTCAATGACCTTCCCTGAGAATTTACGATATGTCAACGCAGTGATAACGTTAAGGTAACACAGGAGGGTGGCAGACCTTTTGAATCATAGCCCAGTTGAAAGTTACTCTGATATTCGTCGGACCACTGCCAGTCCCCCCAATTTACAGCAGTAACGTCACGGTGGTGCTTTTTCTCATCTTTACTAAAGTGGTGTTTCTTATGGCCGGCCATGGTGACATCTTGCCAATGAAGCAAGTGGGCGCCGGGTAGGTCTGGGACACAGGGCGAGGCAGACGGCAAATCAACATCCAGGTGCACAAATGGACTTATCGGAATGAGGACGCCAGGTGCGGGCAGCCCAAGTGGGCGCCCTATTTCACTGCGACACGCAGCAATGCGGCTCTTCAGATTTATGGCCAAACTCCCGGGTTGAAATAGGACCGACAGACGGAGTGTATACTATGGTAGGGTGGGTGGGATCTGCATCGGGTTGTCGGGCCCAAGGATAAATCTGTGACAGTGATACCGAAGCGGAGTAACCCGGGATCATTGGCCACGAGACGGCCGCGTGACGAAGCAATCGACACAAAAAGGGAGGTCCTTGCCACAGGGTTGGCATCAACCGGGGGGGCCTTAGATTGCTACACAGCAGTGTTAGAGGCAAGAGAGGGTCTGTGATTCATCGATAGTGGGCATGCAGCCAGCACCCACACCCCTCCGCGGCTAGTCGAACTTGTGGAACGTACGGCAGGCCGTGGCAGGTATCTCCGTTGGTCCAGGTGGGCTGGGACTGTGGCGGCTTGGCGGCAGGTTCTCTGCATCAGTTCGAAGAAGCGGAATAGTAAGGCGTGCGTAAGGAAGCCTGGCTGCTCAATAGGGCCGCCAGCTGCGTGGTAGTTGCCAGCACGTGCAAGCACGTGGCACGGTGGAATTGGCAGCATTGACGACGTTCTCCAAGGCTGAATGGCGGGTGGTTGACCAAAGGGAATGCCGGCCGCCGCAATGTTGGCTCGACTGAACAGAGGCCCCCAGTCTTGTAGGTGTACCCAGTCGTAATCGTACTACCCATCACGCTGTGGTGGATCGGGGACAGACTTCGTACGTATGAACGGCAAGGATGTGTGAAAGGAGGGGAAGACGTATCACCTCGGGACGTTTCCACGAAAGAGACAGCGGAGGGTACATGAGCCCATGTGGCATGACAGCATGAGCAGCAAGACCCAAGTTGCTGCTGCTCTTACACACGGCATGAGGGATGGTGGGTCATGGCCTCGCCTAGGGCGCCTCTTCTGTCATGGGGTGGGCGTGAGCGTGGGAGGTCTTGGGGGGACGTTCGGGAGGGGAGGGGGGCAGGCAAGGCAGGGTACGAGGAAGCAAGCCGAGGGCACAGCAGAAGAAGGCAGACAGAGGCGGTAGCCAGAGCAGGCGGCCGGAAGACGGTTGATGGCTGATGGCTGATGGCAGATGGTACGACACGCACGCAGCTTGGAACTTTGGACGAACGGGGGGCGCTGGGACTGGGACAGCCTTATGGGGGGTGGAGTCACTTAGGCCAGCTAGTCCCGCCCGCTAAACCGCCTGGGAGTGAGAGGCCCCACTGCGGCCAGGGCCGTGGCCCGCGGGGAGCGTTTGGGCGGGTTCAGTGGGGACCGTGGGAGGAGCTTTTGGGGGCTGCCAGCACCCAGGTGGGTGGTGCAGCTAAACTGTTAGTGCTAAAAGGCTTCCAGAATCCAGGCTAGTGCCCGGCGTGCATTCGGCAGGCCCAACCTCGATTGAAGAGCAGCACTCTTTCATTTCCACCGTGTGAGGCTCTTGGGACGGATCGTCGTACAACTCCTTCTCCAATTCCCTTCGACTTGCATTAGGGGCATTCCCGCTCCCGTGTGCATCCTGGACTGCCAGACTGCCCAGACACCCTGGAGCGCCTGCACGACGGCTCGCTGACGCGCCTGGATCAATAATGATCCCTCCTGTCTTGATAGGCTGCTGCTCGTCCCAACCTCTCGCGTCCGTGGCTTGACTCTCCAGAGACAGAACTGGTTCCAGGTGGCACAGAGTTCCCATCCATCCATCTGGCCAACGCTGCAGCCCTACACTGAATCTTATGTACTAGTCACCGCGCAGCACAGGTCAAGGTACCCAGGGATGGACTGTCGGTCAATACAGTTCACCTGCCAGCACATTATCAGACCGCCTTGATCATGTCCCGCCGGCATGACAGATATAATGGTGACCGACTCTGGCGCCGGGGCCTCATCCAGCCTCGAGACTCGTCGCAGCACTGTCACTGCTGCTGATGTTGCTGCTGCCAAAGAACATGACACCCTGTTTGCTTTTGGTCGCACGATGGACAGCAGCATCAGCACCATCGAGAATGAGTACGCGTCCGATAACGCATCCAACTCGCACCCGCCCGACTTTGACGACGACGATGACAATACTGGCTATTCATCGTCTACCTCCTCAACCTCGGATATCTTTGACCACCACAGGAACGGCGTCGGCTTCGTGCCACTTCCTACTGCCTCCGCCGCCCACCCCAAGGTCCGACCGTACAGGTTCATGGCCAAGCTTGCGAGAATACGACAACGCAATGTGCCGTCGCTGGCAACCATGGACGCCGCTCGACCCGTTTCGGTGGCTGACAACCTCCCGCGGCTTATGCCCTCGAGCCTGTCATCTTCAACGTCTGGCTCGGGTGAAGACACAAATACATCCGAGGAGGGCCTGGTCGCCGGTATGACAGACCACTGGACAAGAATGAGAAAGCAACGTGTGCATGTGCACAATATACTCGACGAGATCCGGCCTAGACGCGTTCAGCTGCAGGAAATCAGACGGCAGAAGAATGAGGCCGACAGTGCAATATTTCAGGACCTCCGCCGCGGTCTCTTCCGAGATGACCCGGCGGCGATGGAGATGCGCCTACAGAGAATTGACCGCCTCCAACTCTCGACCCAGAACGCGGAGCAAACCCTAGAGGCCTTGATGGAAGATTTGGAGGTGGCCGAAAGAGAACTTGAGGTCTTGGAGCGGCGGTTCTACAGCCAATTTACCCTGGATGATAGTCCAGCATCCACGAGTGAGCGGGTCTCGCCTGCTCTGTCTCGCCGCCCGTCCAGAACCTCGCTGTTTGGCATCAGCCAGGAACGGGCAGAGCTTTCCCATCCACTGTACGTGGAGATGCGCGAGGCGTTCAAGAGCTTGCAGTTGGCGCGCGACCGGATCCACAACCTTAACTTCAGGCGCATGGCCATCGAGGCTGAGAACGCAAGATATAGTCGGTCAGAGCAGGAGTTCTTAAACAACTTTGCGGAATACGAAATGATGGCGCGGGATAGACTCGACCATTGGACCAAGGAGTTTGACCGGCTCCAAGCTCTATGTCGCGAGAAGCATGTCGTACCCATCAACACGCCATTTGTGGAGGACAACAATGGGTATCAGCCCATTCTTAGACACGAAGACGACAGGACATTGCAGCTTCAGCCAACGGAGAGGGCCTCGCCCAGCACCAGACCCAAGAACTTGGCACATCCCCGGTATCCTATTCTTCTGAGTAACCCAAAACACCTTGTGCAGCATCCGTTCCCTTACACGGCCAGAGGTGCCCTCAAGATGGCCGTCTCTACGCGAAAAGATCTACCCAACCGGGATCGCATCATATCCGAAGCGACCCAAGAATACGGAATTCATACTTTACTCTTTGATGCAAAACCCGAAGACAAGAATGACTTCATCAACCGGTGGCTTCTCCACAAGCTACGAACATCCGCCATGGAGGTCTTGGTGCTTTACTCAACCTTCCGCACTGTACTGAACTTTGTTGATATCGACCGCTGGCAGCGGGACATCCTGATGCACTGGTCCCGCGACGAGGCCGTGAAACCAGCCGGAGCCTCGCGACAGCCTTCCAGGTCTCGCAATTACATGATCGGCGACGACGTGTCGCAGGGCTACTACCAGCGTGATACCGTGAGTGAGCCTCTCGAGCTGCACCACATGGGCTCTTGGAACAATTCTGGACGGCAGACGCCGGTGAGCCAGGCTGCCCATAGCCGTGTCAACAAACACCCGCAGAAGCTCCGAATTCTGGACCTTGAAGACCGCCAAAGCTGGCAACAGGTCTCTTGACGAGGCCCCTGGATTACCGCTACTTCACCAAATATTCAGTCGAAAGTCATCCCTTTTGTTATGCAATCTAGATACCCGGCGCTGGATATTTTCCCCTCTACTACCTCTTAACTTGTACTGTACTCTTAGATGTTCTTGCTACTGCTACCTAAACTTCTTATGGCAAACAAGCATAGCGACTCGGGGTTTTGGAAAGCATCTTTATGGCGATTGGGTATTAGTTTATTGAGAGGTCTTTTCTATGTTTGAAACCTTTCTTCTTGGGTCTTGTAGATGTACTTGGGATATACGGTGACGTCTTTCCCTCGATGTAGCATATATACGCCAATTTGCTTGTTTCTTTCCTCCCACTCAATGACCCGGCCCTCAGCGCGTGTTTGGCCTTGAGCCACTGCTATCTTAGACGTGACAATAACTAGAATTCGAGGTATGGCCAGTAGAAAAATACATTACCTATCAACCGTCTGGTCCGCACCGGCCCCTCTCTTATTCAAGCCATACACCGCCAGGGCGGCCCTGCGGAAACGATTGGACGTCAGTGATCGTTCTGACCGACCAATCGTCGGTGAGTCAGAGACGTGCCATCATACCAGAGGGCTACCCAAAACAAACCCATTTTGGACAGCGGGGGGAAGCGAGCTATTTTAATCCAGGCTCCCGCGATATGGATCCTGCTTCACCGGAGAATATTGCTGCAGGTGAAGCATACAATGATGCACGAACCATCATCCCACCGTTCCGCGGACATGCACTTGTACCCCCATTCGTTCGGACCCCGACCGGGTCTTCCGTAGCTAATAGCCGTCCACACCTGTCCAGCGCGGTCCTCTCACCGAGCGGGCACAGGGCAAAAGCAGGATGTGTCCCGGTGCAGGCCAAGGTACACACGATTCTGACTTGGACGAATATGCTGGCACCCCGTTCCCCCCCTGAGGCGCAAGGCTTACACGCCTTCCGGGGGACGGATCCGAGATCCCACATAATCCCTGCTAAGAAGGGAAAGGATGTGATCCTATTTTCCCACCCCATGCCAATCCCACGCGGACGCGTTGGAATTTCCGCTTCTTGCAATTCCAGTGAGGCGACGTTTAGGGGCGCCCCCGCGCCCTGTGGCACCCAGCCATCGCGACTGGCTCGCAGCAGGCCAGTCTGGGAGGCTGATTGGACAAGGAGGGTAAGAGGAGAGAAACGCGTCAGGTATCTACGCGTACGGATCAAGCAGTGGCAGCCTCGAGGTCCAATACACATCGTGGAATATCGCAGCTATGCCAATGGCAGGTAGTTGGGGGGAAAATACGAGGCCACGACTGGCCGGATTGTAAGTGGTGAGTGGCTTGGCTCTACGAGACTCCACGTAGCTCGACGACTCAAGTATCATAGGACCGGCCAAGTGTATGACATGGGAGACCAACACGATCCACCAGTCTGGACAGAAAGATCCAGGACGTCCAATACAAGTTCATTATTCGTGACAATTACTTCTAGCTTGACAACTCAGCTACCGCCCGCCCTTCGCCCCGCCGCCGACCTCCTTCTGCGCCTGCGCGTTGATCTGGATGGCCTCCTTGAGCTTGCCCATGACCTCGGGCTGGCCGCCAAAGGCCGCCACCAGCCTGTCGTCGAGTTCCTTCTCGACGGCCGCCAGGGTCCTGGCGCCCTTCTTGCCGCTCCTGGCGGCGTTGATCAGACCGCCCCAGCGCTGCGTGAAGGCGTAGATGCTCTGGCGCAGCAGCTCGTCCAGCTTCTCGCTGGCGTCCTGGATCTGGTCGTTGCTCCCGGCGGCCGGCTTGCCGTTGGTGGCCGGGGCATTCGCCGCGGCAGGTGATGAGGACCAGAGGCCAAGGGACAGCGAACCACCCAGTATGCCGCGGAAGAGCCCCATCCAGTTTTGGGGGCTGAGAGTGTCCCAGATCTGACCGAAATGCTGCATGGCAGCGGCTTGGGACCGAACGTCGCCAATCTCCAAGGAAACAAGTTCGTTTTTGACTATTAGCAAATTCTTGATCATGAAAAGATCAGGATCGGGATCTGGGTTCGCCGATCTCGTAGACTTCATGCGGGTTTCGGCGCGCTGTAAGGCCAAGATCGTTTCATGCACTATGCGAAAGATCACAGGACTGGATTGCTGCTGTGATGCTGTTAGTTACAGTAATCCACATACGTGATAAATATACCCTTACACTTCGTTCCTTTGGCATGGCCTGATCATACATGCCGAGCAGCTCAAGAGCTTTCTTTGCGATGGGATGCGCGTTGGAAGAAGCGACGCCATTGACCACAGGGCCAATTCTCAATGTTTCGGGGGCGATGGCGTGGCGTGATATGGACTTGGTGATTTCGTTCTCGAAAGCCGTATCGGCAAAGGGCCAAAGGTGTTCCATGAGCAATCTTACCGTAAGACCCTGGCAATGCTGAGCATATCCCGATACCTCGTCGTCGTAGTCCAATAGGAGATATTCGTTGGTAACCCAGCCAAGAAGATTGCAGATGGTCTGGAGTTCGACCGACTGTAAGGCAGATTGAAGAGTGGTGGCAATGGGAGCCACGTTGGCAGCGTTTACCAAGGACTTTTGGTGAGTCTTGAGAGCAACGAATGCCGAATTGGCGTCGGCGCTATACTGGGGCTCTATGGCGAAGATCTTTGTGAACAGGGCTGCCTCGTCGTAGGAACGCTCGTAGCATTGCTTGACGTAATTACGCGATGCCGTCTCGGCACTGGCATCCTTGGTCTCCTTGGCGAATGTGTCAAGGTCTCGCTGGGTGACAGGTTTGAGATCGCGATCTCTAATGTTGGTGTACGAGGCAAAGATGTTGACAACGGTGTTGGAGTAGTAATCAAAATTCTGGCCGGGGATGGGATGTCCCAGCGGGTCGTAGCAGCAGGAAATGACTCTCTGGATGTTTGCGATCAATCCATCGGCCTCGAGGACAAGTTCCTCGAAGCGGCCGTAGGCCAGGGCATGGCGAGCAGCTTCAGACTGGGTAGAGGCAATCTGCTTCGATATCTCGGAAGAAATGCGCTCGAGGTGATTTGTGAAACCAGCTTCGACGAGATGGAGAGCCTTGGTAAGGGACGATTGGTATCGAGCCAGATAAGATTCGGCATCCCGGTAGGTAGACTTTGAAATGTGAGCTAGCGCACAGGTGACAGGAGTATAGGGTTGCAGGGGCCAGGGAAAGCTTACATGTTGGGCCATGAACTTGTTACAAGCATCCGTGTTGGTCAAGATCTCCGCAAAGTTCTCATGATCGACCAGACGACTCGCTCCTGGAGCATTGAGGCGCCGCGTGACGCCGTCCAGGTAGGCATAGTAATGCAGATCTGTGCCGACCTCGTCCGCCAGCTTCTGCAGCCGCTTTTCCTCGGATAGCAGGTCATCGCATTGGGCCTGGAAGGACGACGTCTGGGTTTCGACAGCACGGAAAGAGCTGGCCAGGGTCTCCAGTAGCTTCAGAGCGCCGTTGGTTTCGTTGACCAGAATATCAAGGTGCCGCTCGGTCATGTCCAGTTGATCCTGGTACAAGAGGTATTCCTGCTGGCTTGCCTCGAGCAATTGGGCCTCGAGAGGTTCACCTGAGGGTTCGCTCGGCCCCGGCATGTCGTCTTCTGGCTTTTCGACTCCCAATGCCTCAATGCTTCTGTCGTTCCGCTTCCTCCGCCTCTTCTTCTTGGCGTCCTTGGACAGCTGGGCCCGCACGACATGGTAGAAGTCGGAGTATGACTTGGCTCTGCGGGACAAGGTGGGCTCCGGCGGGTCGTTGGAGGTGTCGGGCTCCTCGTCGAGGGATCCTAAGGGCAGTACCGCTTCATTTGGGGTTGCGCCCTGGGGTCGTTATTAGCAAGGTGTGCAGAGCTGGGAAAGACGGGACAGGAGGGTGGAGGGGCAGAACAGGAACACACATTCGGTTGCTGCAGGAGAGACTCCCTTCGCCTGTGGCCGGCGGTTTGGCTGATGGACGCGCTCTTCTTGTGCGAGATATCGGGCACAAAACTGTACCAAGAGTCCTCGTACATCTTGGGTGGTCGTCGCCGGGGGGGTGCAAGGCTCCTGGGTTGTCCCTCCACGTATACTGAATGCAAGCGCGCCTCGTAGCCCGGGGACATGCCACGACAGACGTCAATTCGATATTCAGTAATCCGGGCGCTGGTGGGGCACGGGCAACACGGGCAACACGGGCTAACGTAGAGACACGGGTATAGCGATATAGTTGGTGATTTTGGTGACAACCTGAACCTAGGAAGTTCACATGGCGGCCCGGAGCTCGACTATGGCCGGCAGCCGCTGCAAGCTCTCCCTCAGTTAGCGGCCCCCAGGCCAGCACCGCCTGCAAAACCTGGGTGCTTGGGCATGGGGGGACCCCTGTAGCAGCCAGCAGCTCCCCCAAGGAGACCGTGCTGTGGGGCCAAAAGTTCAGAGCTTCTGCCAATGACCAACGGGCTATTTCATGACCTCACCACCTCGACCATTCGCCGCTTAGCTCGAGACACCACCTCGCTGTAGGGACTGTGACACCACCTGGGCTAGGTGCAGAGTAGTCTAATCATCATGGTGGAGGGGTAGTCGAGCTTCTGAGATCCGAGACTGCTTCCCTTTCCCATCGACCATCCATTCCAACCCCGCGACTGGAACGCATCACGATGCTCTCCTCGTCCCGAGCCGCCGTGCGCCAGGCGCAGCCCGTCTGCCGCGCTCTTCGATCCAACCCAACACTGCGTTGCCAGCCGGTGAGGTATGTAAGCTCGCAAGGAGGGCCACCGAGGCGAGGTGGTGCTGGAAAATTTCTGGCCGGTGCTGCCGTCGCTTTCGTAGGAGCAGGCGCTGCTGTTGCCCTGTGGTCGACTTCCCAGTCCGAGCCCCCAAAGCCTGTGCAGGCTACCATCCAGTACGAAAAGGTCCGCCCCGTGCCGCAGACCACCGAGGACAATAGGGATATCATCAGCAGTCAGCATCTGCAGGTGAAGGAGAGCTGGGAACACCCCGGAGTGTACGCTTGGGGATCCAATACCGGCCGCGTAGCAGCACCGGACTCGACAGAAAACGTTATCAAGACACCCCGGCGCTTGGCCTATTTCGACGGCCAATTGCTCCGGGATATCAAGCTGGACCGTGAATTCGGCGTTGCGCTCAACGAGAAGGGAGATCTTGTCCAATGGGGCACCGCCTTCTCCAAAGATGACCCGAAGCCAAAAACAACTTTAAAGGGCAAAGACCTCGTGAAGCTGGCTATATCTCGTGACCGCATCCTGGCTCTCAGCAAAAGCGGCACCGTTTATACACTCCCCGTCTCAAACTCCGATCAGGCCTCGAGTTCAAAGGAGCAGTCTTCCTCGTGGCTGGGCCTATGGTCCAACCCCTCGACTGCCGCCTACCGCAAACTTGACTTGCCGAATCTAGCCTGGGGTGAGAGCGTCACCGATGTCAGCTCGGGCTTGGAGCATGCCTTGTTCCTCACAAACAAGGGACGTGTATTCTCGGCTGCCTCTAGCAACCACGACTTCCCTTCCAAGGGGCAGCTTGGTGTGCCTGGGCTTACCTGGGAGACACGTCCCCAAGGACCCTACGACCAGCCGCACGAGATCCTCACGCTCAAGGGATTCCAGATTGCCAAGATCGCAACTGGCGATTACCACTCCCTGGCCCTGGACCAGGATGGCAAGGTTTTTGTCTTCGGAGACAACACTTCTGGCCAGCTTGGCTTCGAGGCTGAGCGCGAGATCCCTTACGTAGACGGCCCTATTCCTCTGCCCTTCACCAAGATATACAGCGGGAGCCACCAAAAGCCTCGTGTGACGTCTATTGCCGCTGGAGGCACCAATTCCTTCTTCACTGTCGATGCTACCCGCATCGCTGGCCAGCCTGGCAGCCAAAGAGAAAAGATGGAGGTGGCACCTGCACGCAATCTTGGCCAGGTCACGGCAGACACCTGGGCCTGCGGCTCGGGCATCTTGGGCAGCCTGGGCAATGGCAAATGGACTCATGTCAGTCTGGGCCCCTCCAAGATCAAGCCTCTCTCTGGCCTGTTCGAGTGGGACGAGAAGAACAACACGGTCATTCCTATTCGTTTGGCACGTCTGAGCGTTGGGTCCACGCACGCCGCAGCTGTCATGGACAACGTGACCTCGGTTGCTGCATCGGCCGCCTCCTCCACGGAGAATGACACAAACTGGGGCGCTGACATCGTCTGGTGGGGCGGCAACGAGTATTACCAGCTCGGCACTGGCAAGCGCAACAATGTGAACACGCCGACGTACATCGGGCCTCTGGATGGCGGACACGCTGACTCGGAGAAGGGACGAAGAGGCGAGGAGCACCGATTCCAGATTACCCCTCGAACCACCGTACGACTCGGCGAGGGAGGCAAAGGCAGGAAGGTTAGCGTTGAGCAGAGGGTCGAATGTGGTCGTTTCGTCACTGCAGTGTACTCTGGGACGTGAGAGTTAGGCGTCCCTTCTTGTATTATATAGTTGATCGAATGCCAGGCAGGCTTCTCGTGGAGAATACCTGTACATTCTCTTCGTGTGTATTATCAGATACCAACCACGCATTGGTTTGGGGCGCGGAAAAGGGCTTGGCTTGGCGTTGGTCTTCATGCTAGAAGGCACAAAAAAAAAGGCAGGTATTTGGGTATAAGGCCTGAGTTCGTCGGGGGTATATTGGAAACGCCCCGCTCAGCTGCCTTCAACAGCCTTTGAATAGTTTCAAGAATAAAAAAGCTTCTCATCTACACTCTGCATAACGCTCCATTAGTTTATATCACACCAGTGTGATTGTTCGTATATCGACCCCTCGTTCTATCAGAGCCTCTGGGGTAAGTCGAGGATCAGAGTTGATCACCTCTCCAGTCACCGTGTTCTGGTACCTGGTGCAATTTCTCGGGTCCTCCCGCGTTCTCCGGAATTCCACCGCTTCCCAGCCGGCGGGGAGGGGCACGTCCTGCAGGCGAGGGTCCTCTGCTACTATCACCTTTGAGTCGAGCGTGCAACACAAGGCCCGGTTCATGGGGAAGCCATCCGGATCTACAAAGGCTCGCATGACGTACGGCAGTTCCAACCGGCCTAGGAGGGCCTCACCGTCCATCAAACCGTGGACGAAGCACTCGCCAATCATCTGGTATCTGCCCGCCGTGTCGGGTCGTGCGATTACGGGCACTTCGCACCCGAGGACGACAAATACCTGGTCTCCTTGAAATGACTGCCTGTTAGCATTTCCACTGTCCGTGTCAGGTAAGCAGAAACATAGATACCTACCGGGCTGCAGATCCACCGAACAGACACCGATATAGCCTTCATCCGTGGCAAACCCACATCTTCCTCGAAGCTTAAGTCCAGAGATGATCTCACGCTCGTAGTAGGCGGTCAGCCTGTGCTCGAGGCCTTGGTCTGTGGCCTCGCGGAGCCGGAGCATCTCCTCTCTGAATGTGGCGAGCGGCGGGTACTCCACCCAGGGCTCCCTCTCGTCCGTCTTGCCCATCGTGAACGTGTGCAGGTAAGCGTCCAGCAAGGTCTCCCCCGTCGGGTACAAGGACGTCTGCATCCCGTCCAGGTCCAGGCTGCAGAGATACCTGGCGAAGTCGGCGAAGGACACAAAGTGCAGGCCCTGGACTTCGCGGATGGTGGCGCAGAGACGCCCGCTAACTTCCAACGTGCCCGGATCGCTGTACGCGAACCTGGCCGCCGAATTGCCCGCCGCGAACTTGGCGAAGAGGTAGCCGGGCTCGGCGTCGCGCGACCAGTCGGGCACCCAGGACGGCGAGCACGGCGCCGGGGTCCCGACGCGCTGGCCGCAGAACTTGAAGAGGTCCAGCCGCCTCGTGCGCTGCGCGTGGGCCAGGAACGCCTGCCTGTAGACCTCGCCCGGCGTCTGCGAGTAGTCGACACGGAGAGATCGTGCGACGGCCGGCGGCGCCAGGCTCGCCATGCCGTAGATCTTGTCCCGGGCGTCCTGGCACCGGCGCGTGTGGTGGCTGTGCAGGATGTCCTCGAAGATCATGTCCCGCGTCGGGCAGCATATCTGCGTGACGGCGTACACCTTGCCCAGCACGTTGGCCGGCACGATGTTCAGCTGCCTGCTGAGATGGCGCACGGCGCCGCAGAACCGGGCCCACGAGGCCTCGTTGTCGCCGCATTGGAGGATCGAGGCGTCGCTGGCTAGCTGTATCTCCTGCAGTACCCACAGCCTTCCGAACCAGGTGTGAGACAGCAGGTAAAGGATTGCATTCCATCCGTCCTCCGCGGGTGGAAATATGGGTATGGAATCGCCCGTGCTGTTTATCCCGGCGTCCGGGGAAGTGATGATGTGGTTGTCTCGGGTGACCTCGACCTGGCCTCCCAAATAGTCGAGAATGGAGAGGGCCAGCCTGCAGCCCGGGAAATCTGGCCCCAGCCAGGCCACGACGCGGGATGCAAGGGTGTATATATCTCTCATACGGACGACCTGCTGGATTCGTTCGGTCACGTCGTCTTGATTGATGCAAAGGGCATCAACCCAGATGGTTCGGGGCTGATCGGCATAACGTAAATGTTTCAACGCCTCGAAGAGGTTCAGACCGACATCTAGGTACTCGGGGTCCGATGTCCTCGACGAAAGTGAACTCCCTTTGACCACTAGTCTCGTGACTTTAGCGGGTAGGCCGTCCACAATCTCATCGCCGCGACCTACAGGAGGGCCCCATGTGTAAGAGAGAGCTTCATATTCTGGCGGAGCTGGGTCCGCTCTACGGGAAGGTATGGGGTCCAGAACTGGACAATCATATTCTGAGTCTGGGTGAGACCAGGAAGAGACATTGATCACATCATTGCGGTAAAGCATCCGGCCGCCGGTCGTCTCGAAAGCCCACCAGTCCGGCGGTAGCGACTTCCGTATCTCCCCTAACGACACACGAGAGTGTGAGATCTTTTCAGGGGGCGCAACAAGCGCCGTCCGTTCGATCTCAATCTCGATGGCATCGTCGGGCTTCCCAGGCAAGACTGTGACGAGACGTATATCTTCGGGGGTTTCCAGTGGGAAATATTGGTATAAACTCATTTCATAACCAAAACTTTACCTTCTCGAAAAGGTCGTCGCGATGCCCACGAAACGACTAGTCTTAGCGTAGGCTGAGCTGAAATGATTGATGCCTGAGGCATCTCTACAGATGTAGGCTTCTGTTTTCGACATCAGTATAAGCTGAAGGCAAGAATGCTCAGGTATAAGTGATGGGTGCTGTATCGGCGCAGCGCAAGTATGGCGGCAGATAACTTAACCTTGGCTTCACAGAGTCCTGTGGTGCCCTTCCAGGACTGTGGACAATGCAATGCGGCAGTAGTGTGGGCCACCCAATGCCGTAAACGTTGAAATGCAAGTGTAATGATACATAGGTGCAGGGGTCAGTTGTGTCGTATGATGCGTGCAGCGTCTATCTATGGCCGTCTTCTTGAGCGAATGCAGTAGTACAATATCGCACTTCGAAAGGGGCAATGGTGGTGTGGGCCAACTACTTCCGCCGGCACTTTGACATAGCATCCTGACCGCTACTGGTCTTCAATACATTGGGCAACGAAACGACTGCCTCAATCGTCATGATAATGAAGGTACAAATTTTGGGACGCTGGAACACCGGGAGCAGCCCTAGAGCTCTAGAGATGTCGAAGCTTGAAGTGGTGATTTCTGGGGCGGTTGTGTTTTGGTACATAGGACTGGGTGCACCCATTAACCACCACATACGACCATAGACGCTAGAAAACTCGGGATCCCGTCCGCTCTCCCATAGATAAACTGGCGATCGCTGGATTAGTAGTTGGGTGGGTGACCACCAGCGAATACCCGGTGTTGTATGTTTTTTGTCCGTCTTTTCCACCATGTGGGTTATCCTTTTTGGAGCCCGTGATGGGGCGTGAGCAGGGATCAAGTCGCCGGCGGCCTTGGCAAACCGTATCACAAATAAGAAGAGTAGCAAAGGAATATGAATGGAAATAATGTTCTACAGCTCATGGCCTTCAAAGCTCCCATCTACCTAAGCCCTGTCAAGCACTAAACAGCAAGAGTCTCGCTTTCGCTCCTAACTCCCCGAAACGCCGATAGCAAATGCAAGATCCGTCCTATGTTCGTGGGTCTATATCTATAACGTCGTCTGGCATACCTCTCTTGGGACATAAGACGTTTAATGTGAAATGTATTGGAACACGGCCGACACTTCCGGCTCGCCACATTCTTGCCGCAGTAGCAAGTCCTGAATTGGCTTGAGGTTTTCATTGATAAAGTGATTCCACGTACTGGTGTCGCCGTAGAGCATGGCGGGCGCTTTGATGTACTGCTTGCCATCTGGCTTGCATCTTTTGCACTTGAATGTATCGTGGGTATCACTCTTTGTATCTCCCCGGTACTGGAACAACTCTCGTAAGCTGTCAAGTGAAAAGTGGCGTTCGACGTCTTCAGCTTCGTCGACGACACATGAGGACAGTGATTGCTTGTGACTCTGACGCTGGAAGATCTTCTCCTCGATCGTGCCCGTTCCAATAAAACGGTAAACGAAACAGTCCTTCTTCTGACCATCACGCCAAACACGGGCCAGAGCTTGTTGGTCAGCAGCAGGGTTCCAATCGGGGTCGAAGAGAACCAGGCGGTTGGCACCAATCAAGTTGAGACCACAACCACCGGCTTTGCTGGACAACAAGAAGACGAACTCTTCGCCGTTGGGGTCATTGAACTTGTCGACAAGCTTTTGGCGTTTATTGACGTTCATGGTGCCGTCCAGGCGCAGACAGCCGTAGGCACGGTTGCGGCAAAGACGCTCGAAGAGATCTAGCGTTGATGTGTAATTGCTGATGAGGACAATCTTGTCAGTGGTGTCCTGGCGGATGCGTGCAAGCATACGATCCAGCACCTGCATCTTGCCAGAGTACCATGGCTTGATGTCGCGATCGCGGCCGCGTGCCTCCCTCGGCACGTAGTCCTCGGGCCAGTGCTGTTCCGAGCCGGGCAAGTCCTCACTCAGGTTGAGCAGATCGGGGTGATTGCATAGTTTCTTCAGTATGCCGATGGCCTTCAGAGGTTGACTTCCCTTTCCGCGCAGCAGTGCCTGAATGCTAGGACTGGTGATGAAGTAGTTGTACAGGTCAAGTTGGAAAGGGGCAAGGTTGCAGAAGACGACATGCTCATACTTGACAGGGAGATACTTGGAGAGAAGGTCGTTGGTGCGGCGAATGATGAACTTGTTGACGATACCCAGCAGCTCGGCCGTGGAGGCGTCACCTTTCTGACGATCGATCTCCAGTGCATCGGCGTCACGGCCTCGGAGGATGGGTATCTCGAATCGCTTTCGAAATTCTTGACGAGTGCCCAGCAAGTCGGGATTGGCGAAGCTGATCAGAGCAAAGTACTCAGACAAGTCGTTCTGAATAGGGGTACCAGAGAGGATGACGCGCCGGGTGACGTTGAGATTATTCAGTGCGCTGAACGTCTGGCTGTCACCGTTCTTCAGGCGATGTCCTTCGTCGCAAAGCATGAGGCCAATCTGAGTGTGCTTAAGCTCCTCAACATTCAGCCGCAGCGTCTCGTAGGAAACAATAATGACAGGACGAGTGACTGCTCGGCCACTTGCGATGGCCCATTGGCGCAATTGGCGGGTCAGCTCCTCCTTTGATGCCTTTCCGTCGATGGCAAAGGGAGTGATGGCATCAGGGCCAAGCCACTTCACAAGCTCATTGGCCCAGTTGCGGACCAGACTGGAAGGGCAGGCGACGATGGCCTTTTGAATGGTGGTCTTCCCGGCATCGGGTGACTGCTTCAAGAGGGTCCATAGGAGTGCAATGCATTGCAGCGTCTTGCCGAGACCCATCTCGTCTGCCATAATGCAGCCATTGGCCTTCTCGTCGATCATACCGGTGACGCATCTGTACATGAACTTGACACCTTCGATCTGATGTGGTCTCAGAACCTTGGCGAGTCTCGGATCGATGACTACAGGGACCCTCGGGTGCTCGCCTTGGACCTTCTTCTTGATACCCAAGATTTCCGACAGGCTCTTGTGAACGAGCGGTTCCTGGATCTTGACCTCGGGCTCCACGGCCTTTTCCGGCTCCGGCTTCTCCTTCGGCTTGTCGTCAACTGTTGGGTCATGGAGGACAATGGCAAACTCGCCGCTCGGGTCGTGCAATGGCTTGGCCACGAACACGGCACCTTGTCGCAGGCCCAAAGTTGGGGGCGGCCGGTTGGGGTTATAGTTGGCGGCCGACTTATTGACGAAGGGGACAGAGAATGCTTTTCTAAAGACCTTGTCCTTGTCCTTGGGCTGGAAGACAGGGAACCTGTTGACATCGCGGTTGGCGAGGGCGAGGCGGTCGGCGTTGGTGTATGGTTTGTCAGCGCCGTCGGTCTCACCATCAGCACCGCCATAGTCGACCCTGCGCTTCTTCCGAGCAGGGCGATCCGAAGCTGGGGTTCGGGTTGCCGAACCGGGGCATCTGAAGGGCTTGTGTAGGCGCTCGACCGAGTCGCTTGAACGGTATCGAGGGCCAGGAGGAGGCGGCTTCTTGGCCTGCGGAGTGGCTACCGTAGGAGTGGCCCTAGGCACGATGCAATGTCAGTACTGCGTCCGTCACGAACGCGACAGCCGTGGGCCCGACTTACATGTCACGAAGCCTGTGATCTGATGCGTGAGAGTTTCGCACAAGAAGACGACCTGTGAGTTCCGCAGGAAATTGGAAATGCGCAAGGCCAGCCAAACCACTTTGCCACCCGAGGATTTAGTCGCCAAGTAATATGTGGAAGGTCAATGGGGATGGATATGGATCATGGGCGAAGGGGGGCGAATGTGGTAGTTTGTTGACTATGTGCCAATGGTGGAAAGCGCGTCGCGCGACTTGGCCCCGACAAGCCCGAACAGGCAGCGACACGGGCTCACATGACACGACCCCCACAGGCCATTAGCAGTGCGACATGGATTCTAAGCATTTCTCTCTCTCAGTATTCCTATTCCTACCTAACTACATGACTCAAAAAGTGCACAGGTTATTCTTGCTTGTGTCGTTCAGAATCTGGCTTGACTTGCAGTAAAGCTATATTGCACTCGCCGTGTTGCCATTCAGGAACGAGAATGCCTTTCTAAGCAGACTGATTGAGTCCAAGAGCCAATTGCCCTGGCTCCACTGCGGAGAGCTACCATAGTATATGGCAGCTGGGCCCTGGCGTCTGCCCCTCACCAAGCTCGCCACGATGGCGGGGCTTGGATTTGCTCCCAATGAGTACTCCGTACACACCGTGCTCTGGCTGCTATACCTTGACCATTGCGCAGCTGCATCTTGCGGCTCAAGCTATAGTATTGAATAGCGCTCTTGGTTATTGGTTAACTCCACGACCATGCCGTTTTAAGGGTCTTTGCTGCCTTTCTTTAGTCAGGATAGCGATCATTCGCCAATCCCCATGACCTCACCCGACGACCAACCAGACCCCACTATCAAGTCGAATAACCGAGGCCTTCACTCTCCGGCTTGCGTGGAATATCAAAACCAGACATGTCGGCCGACTTCTGGGCCGGGTACATCAGCGGTGCCGTAGGGATCCTGATCGGCAACCCTCTGGATCTGATCAAAGTGCGTCTGCAAGCCAAGGACGCAATCGGGGCGCAGACAGCCACTGCCTATGCCCGCCAGTTCGAAGGCGCATCGTCCCTGATCACGGGTACAGCCGCCCCGGTGCTGGGCTACGGAGCACTTAACGCATTGCTGTTCGTATCATACAACCGGAGCGAGGCGGCCATCAACAATGCCTTGTCGCTGTCGCCCAACCTGTGGACGACATGGGTGGCCGGGGCCATTGGCGGCCTGGCGACGTGGGTGGTGAGCACCCCCACCGAGCTCATCAAATGCCGCGCGCAGCTGTCGTCGCCGCCGCAATCGAGCTGGGCCATCACGAAGCAGATCCTTCGCCGCGAGGGCGTAAGGGGCCTCTACTTTGGCGGCCTCGTCACCGCGCTGCGGGATAGCATCGGCTACGGCTTCTACTTCTGGTCGTATGAGCTGAGCCAGCAGCTCATGGTGAGCTCTACCAAAAAGGAGCCCTCGCTCGCGCAAGATGCTGCCAAGGTCCTCCTGTGTGGAGGCCTGGCTGGCGTTGTGACATGGGCGAGCATCTTTCCCCTCGACGTCATCAAGACTCGTGTACAGGCGCAGACACTAGACCCCGAGGCAAGGCCTTTGATAGAGAACCCGAGGAAGCCATATAGACGGCTTGGCGCCGTAGAAATAACGAAGGAGGCATATAAAGAGGGCGGGGCTCGGGTATTTTTCAGGGGGTTAACCATCTGTAGCATCCGAGCCTTTGCTGTGAACGCGATCCAGTGGGCTGTGTATGAATGGACGATGTACGAGCTCGGGGAAAGGAAGCAGCGAACGATACCAGATCCGCTATAGAAGTGTTTTCAAGTGGTCACCGATCACTTAATCGATGCAAAAATGTGTTCGTGGTGCCTAACGATGTGTACTGGATACCAGACCAGTAACATCCTCCTCCTCTGACAGAGCCTAATTAAGCTACCATAAGCCCTTTACCTTCCTTGCTATTGTGCTGAAATTTCTACCGAGACTCGTCCTGGATCAAAGCTTGAACGGCCATCACCATTGGGTCCGGGCGGTTATCTACACGGTCGTTGTTGTCCAGATAAAACTTGACTCCCACCGCGAGTTGTTGCGCATCCCCAATGTTACTGTCGGAAACGCTCGATGCCATGAAAGTAATGTTAGTCGTGAGTATCCCATCACAAGTACCCCATTTGGGACTCTGCAACCCATCTGTTGCAGTGAACTGAAGTCCTATGAGATATCCATCCTCAGCAAGCCAGACCCTGAGAGCCTGTAACCGCCGACCTTCCACCTGCCATGTTTCAAGGACATAATGCGGCGTCGACCGCATCCCGTGTCCTATTAGAGACTCTAGATCACACCAGCATTCGGATCCCTCGTTCGTGTCGGCAACTTCCGTCGAACTCAAAGATTTTCGAAACAGCTGTAGACCGACTGCTGTTGCCTCTGGTAGACAGGTCGTATCCTTATCCGCTAGAGTGAGATGTATTGCTGCCAGCGGCAGTCGCTGTTCCTGTCTTGCATGGCACCAAGTCACTGTCACCTCTTCCAATGGATGGCGGCAATCCAACCAGGATACGATTGCACCTGGGCCGGGGTATTTCCGTTTACAGGCTGACCATTCCTCACAAATCTCTCGTTGACCTAAGATGGTTCCAGATTCTACGACACCTTGAGGAAGCGGATTCGGCATCCAGTTGAAACCATTGCGGTCCTGGAGGGCTTCCGCGGCTGGATTCACGTCTACCGATTGACCAGGCAAGTAGAGATTGCCAAACGCCACAAGCCACTCTTCCGAGTACTGCCCGGAAATCCAATGCCCAAAGATCCCAGCGAGTATGCAGCCTTCGTCCTTAGACTCGAGGCTCGGGTACCGTTGCTCGAACTCTGATGGGAAGCCAACCACGAGCTGCCGGCCGCGGTTTGTGACAAAGCGACACGCAAGGGCAGATTCCGAGTTGGACCAGTATGCGCAGGTTACCCTCTCACCACCACGACCGTCAATGCTCAGATATTGCATCGCGTGCCGCCTTGGGCCGATGGACCGGGAGTTCCGCGTGGCATAACGAATCTCGAAGCTTTCCAGATGAGCATCGGCGCCAATGGAAACGATATCGCCTAGCTCGTCCTCACAGTCGCCGAACACCAGAGCCTCCATTGGGGTGGTCTCGACCGTCAGGTCTTCCACGTAGTAGCCTTTGCATAAGTCGGAGATCCGCAGCGCCAGCGGCGGCGGTTCGCCCTTCCAAAGGTACTGTCCTATTCGCTCGTTGTCGGGACTATTATAAAGAGAGAGGAACCTATACCGGGATCCGTATGGCAACTTGTCTCGAGGCTGCCCAAGCAGTGCCAGCTTGGCGATCGTACCATCTGAAGAAGTGTGGACCTTGAAACCCACCAGCGCCTGCTTTTGCGAGATCTCTAACAAGCGCTGGTCCCCCTCTGTCTTTCCAAAGCTAACATCATTGATTTGATGCCCGCCATGAATTCTGTGTCGACTGTCAAACAGAAAACGGATCCCGCACACGACGCGCTTAATCTCTTCTCCCTGGCTATCTCGCTTGGATGCCACTGAGGTTAGAACGACGCCCGACAGCCAATTATAATGGCCAAGCTGTATCTCGTTCCTGAGGGGCGATAAATGCTGTGGAGGTTCGCTCACAACTTCCAGGCTGGCCAATTCTCCATTCTCGGTCCAACGAACTAATATGACTGGGGTGCTGTGCATGATATCATGAGGAAGGTTGACGAGAGGTATATTCGATTCGGCTGTGTGCTCTGGTTCAGGAGAGACAAGCAGCGCCAACTCGGTTGATAGAGCGCCGTCCAGGATTTCAGGCTGCCTGCCATTCTCTATGTTGGACTTCCTTGCGCGATACACCGTGGCAATGTGTTCACATAAGCCCCATATTCGCCTGCGGTTGGCTAGAGCGTGTATCTTGCGGGTACTTGACGAATCACTGGCCTGGTATAAATCACTGTATACCCTGAACCAGTTCACGGTATCCAAAGAACTCCCATCTTGAGAGTCGACGGGGAAGTCGAACAGCCATGGCATGTCTTGAAACAGGCGATGTTTCCAAAAGGCGTTGTCAAGACCGATTTGCGCTGCTTGACGTGAAGCCTCTCTGAGGTGGTTGAAACTGTATATATCCAGGTGAGACATGATGATTAGCATTAACTCGGTCGGCATTCTTTCCAAGGGGGCGTTGCCGGTAGTCTTTCGGGGGCTCAATCCACGAGGTACTAGACTAGGCTCGTTCCGCTCAGGGAGGTGAGTATAGTATTCTCTGAGCCGTGGAATCGACAGCGGATGCGATACGAATTCCTCAGTTCCTCTCCGCACTTCCCAAAACTGGCCTTGCAATTCTTCGATCGCGCCGTAATTCAAAGTGAGTCGGCTCCCGGATGCGCTCAAAGAGTGGAATGTTTCGTAGAGGATGTCCATATCGTATCGATCTGGCTCAATCACTCTTTTCAGTAGCTCGTAGCATACTGCGTGGAATGGAACGGCGATGATGTCGCCGTCACCTGATCGATACCTGGGCGCGTTCTTGTCAGTACAACTACGTTTTTAGACAAATTCTGCCCGAATTAACTGACGCTGGCACATCCTCAGGCGAGTGACCTGACTCGGTCTCAATCTCAGACTCAGCATCCGACTCAGCACCCGACTCGGCATCCGACTCAGTACCAGACCCATACCAAGGATTAGACCAAGACTCGTCCGCAATTCGCAACCATCCGTATTCGTCTGCATTTGCTATTTTCGAGACGTAGACTCTACGTAAATAGTAAGTACACGGCGAGACAACACCTGGCTTGTCTAAGCGTACTGGGAGGCAGCTGGGCTATTTATATCCTTGCTCATGTACCGCAAGACCTCCAGCCACTTAGTGTCGTCTTGGGTAATAATATCAGGGTCGTATGAATCATCCGGGTCAGCAGATTCGTACGGAACGGTCGTGGCAGAGCCACACAATGCACAGTAAGTTTCCCACGCCATGGCGGTCGAGCTCAGGGAGATGATGAGCTATGCTCAAAGGCAGCAGAGGCAGGAGAAGGTTCAGGTAATGAAGCGGCAGACAAAGAGAAATTCGAGGGCGCAGTTATTTGAAAACCACTGCACTGCCAAGAGCGGTGGGTCGTTTTGTGGGGTGGAGACCGAAGGAGTCTGAAGTAGCAGGCTGCTGGACGGCCTCGACGCTGCCTAGCCCTGTAGCAATACTACCTATGGCGAAGATGTCTCGATATGGAAATGATTGCGAGTTCACCACTAATAGCAAACTCAACGACTCCTGAAGACATGTTAAAGGAGATTGACGGCAAAGGTTTCCTTTCGTGATTTCGGAGTGTTGGAGCTGCCATGCTATGAGCACGCCAGGCAGACAATTATAGTGGGGCTTCGACTTGTTCCCGGTCTTGGCCCTGCAAACGCCGTATATCTACAGCGAGGATGGTGTTGGTGGTGAGATTGTCGACACACCATGATTCAAGTAGCGCCAGTCAGTCCTCAAGGGCCTCCGATCCTACATGTGTATAAGAAGCATTTGCATGGCACTCGTGCTGGCCTTGAATGAATCCACAACATCTATGACCTGGTATCAACAGGCTTGATCTCTTCACTAAACTTTAACATAACGATGCATCTCAAGTAACTTCATTGTGGGAAGTACACTCTCGATGCATCCACTTCTGGTGCTATATCACTCGCGCAAGAGGCTCTTCCCACCCACCATGATGGACAGAATCCTGGTCCAAATGGTGGTGTACCTGTCAGTAGAATAAGAGAAGGCAAACATAAGAGCAATACAACACTACTTAGAGGGTAGGGAGTACAAGTGCCACTAGCCACCGGTCACAAATCTTCTCATCGTCTTGCTCAGCGAATGGGAATTAAAAGATATTTGATATGGGTCGTAGAATTCTACAACCACACGAATTTTCAAGTTCGGTGAAGGGGCCGCTTCTGGTGTCCCAGCTTTCTGTTTCCAAATCGTTTCAATTTCCTCAACTCTGATCATGTCCAATACCAGTCAATATATGATACATATTGAACTGGAGTGGTGCTCCTGGGCCATATTCCCCAAGTAACACAACCTCAGCCAACGCAGTTCTCCTCGTCAGTGCCGACGAATTGAACGTACATTGTTCGTGTGGTTAAAATGGACGTATAAATCGACGGTCGCCAAACCGAATCGTTATAAAATGAAGGCAAAAAGTGCGATGGTGTATTAAATTCTACGGAAAGGAAGGAAATTAAATAAGTGAAACGCGAAAAAGCACAGCCACTATTTCTCAGCCACAATTCTATACCACGTCTCACCAGCCCGAGCTCAATATGCAGAACGCCCGCCATCAGTACATGCTTTCAGCTCTAACGGCTTCCCCTAAATCACCCATCTCAACGTCATCCTGATAAGCGCTGACAATGTCCTCCACAGGCGATGAGTGGGCCGTGAGGTGCCGCCGACCGGTACGACTCGTGAAGAAGGGGACTGTCTCAACCTGAAATCGGTTAAGCACTCTATTTGCCCTCCACCACGACCGGTGAATCAGCAGTCCCAGTACTCCCAAGAGGACCAAAGCCAGAACTAGCGTTGTTAATAAGTAGCTCCATATACTTGGGGCAAAGGGAAGAATATCTCCATCCATGCTGAAGATGGCTGCAGTCACGCTTGGGGGAGATACCAACTGGTTCGTCAGCCAGAAGTCAGAAACATTGTTATGATATTATTTACCAGAGCCAAAATCGTAATGGCCTTGACATTCTCTCCCGTTCGAAGTTGTATCAGAGTTGACTTGTTATCTTCAAGTGCAAGGTGCAACTCGAGCTAAGCACTAGGGATAAGCATTGCATTTAAGTTGAATGTTGGTTGCACCACCTACCTCTCTAGCAATGTTATTGCAGAGACTTTCTTGATTCTGTAGCTCTTTGAGCAAGTTCCTCAACTCGTTTACATGTTTTCGAGTGGTCGAGATGGATATCGATACTATTTGTGCTTCTCTTTGTGCGTGGCCGTTGAGGAAATATCCCAGCTCGGTGTGATAAAACTCACTCCACGCATCCACGGTCTTGCTAAGTGTGTGAATAAGGTCCAGTAGTAGCCGAATAGTACTGTGCGTCCAATCGTAAAATCTTTGCAGCTTCTCCACTCGCTTATTGGTCTCCAGTGCTTCTTGAATATGCCTCGATAACGAGTATCCATGCGTCTAGAAAGATCATTGTTAGGTCCGGTATAGTTGTGAAGAAGACACAAGCCCATACCGATAACATAGTGTACTTTGGGTAGATTGACTCACATATGGATGCATCTTCTGTCTGATCATCGTCACAACATTGATCCACTCGTCCTTCACCATTTCCATTCTATATTCTAGCACCCGCAAGAAGTAGACCCGTGGTTGCCAGAAGGGGGGACTTGAAGGGATCTTGCCTCCGCTAGCTGGATCCATAGCTCTACTTCCAGGAGCGGTCGACTGGCTGTAGTAGGTGGATACACTTTCATCATTGTACGGCCCGTCCTGGTATGTGTCGAGAAAGCAATATGATACATACGACGAATTGTCCAACCCCGCCACGAGAAAGGAAACCTGAGCTTGGTATATATGCTCTTCACATGAGGAATGCTCATTCCCAGGGGGTTTCTCCTCAAAGAAGTCAATGCACCGGACCTGGCGTAAGCTTCTGCCGCTGTCATCCTTTCTGGAATCTACGAACGGCGCAGATCCTTTCCTCCAGGCGTAGAAGGGGAGATGAAATTCAAGAGCATACTTCGGAAACCCAGTCTAGCTCACAGCATTAGTCCTTGGGCACCATGGATTAGCCATTTAAAGACTTACTGCGATTATCACGCCAACCGAAGTGGTGAAGCTCAAATGGTTATAGACAAATCCTCGTAAAAACACAGCTTGGTTATAGGACGCAGTAGCCACGATGGCCAGTATAGACCATGCAGTGACGTCAGTGATGTATCTGACCGACATGAGTTCAATTCTAATATTATGCGTGAGCCTTCTTACATTATTCTCCTCTCGGCGTCAGGTAGTGAGAGGGAATCAATATTTGCGCTGGGACCTTGAGAGTCCCGTGACATATCAATCGGTGTGTACCGCTAGTCACTGTGGATTAAGAAGAGTACATGACTTTGCTTCAAGCATGAACATACCGGTTTTTGGAGTTCTAGGTAGAGTCCGTATGGGCCAAATGGACCCCTAGCTCGACGGCAAAGCCCCACTTCGCCAACTTCACCGTATAGATCTTGCTTTCTATCGTCCATCAAGGTATTGGGGCGCAGAATCTCAGGGTCGCTGCCACTTTCTAGTCGGGCGAGAGTCACATTCTCACAGAAATTCACCACCAGATCAGCTTGATTGGAGTACCTCTCTGCCTCTCGCGAGTCCTTCATAAATATCCTAATCAAGTTTCCGTTTCGGTCCGTGGATTCATACAATTCGCGTACGTGGTGTTCGTTTTCTCTCTGGTATGTGCTTGGCTTACACCGCTTAAAAAACCCGGGGTTCCATGCACACTCGACGGATGCAGTCGAAGGATTCAGCTGCCCAGAAAGTTCCATGACGAAAGCCAGCTCTACACTTTATAACCTCGAGCCTGTAAGAGAGTGTTGACAGGCCACCCCCCGAAGGTGTGCGTGGGTAATGCTAAGAGCGTACTGCAACGGAAATTGGTCATGATCAGGTGGGTTTTCTGATGATGTGCTCTTCAATTGTGCAGTAGGAACACCGCGGGGCTTGGCAATAGCCGTTGCAACACATGTGATCAGGTTCGCGATTCTGCGTTCCGCATTGGCACTTTCACTGTGTTAACTGACAATCACACAAGCTGTGGCACCGTACTCACACAGAACCAGAGGATTATTTTCCGACCTTTTTTTCCTTTGCCGGGCATCGTGCTGGCCGCACCGAAGCGACTGACTGCCCCGCGATTACTGGAACGGTGCGGGACTCTGCGTGGTTATGTATCAAGTTGCGCGCCCGGCTGCGGTAGAGATTCGCTTTTCTGGCGAGGCAAACTCGTCAGCCTTGAGCCGGAGGCCGATCAATCATGTTCTAGGCATGATATGTTGCGTCTCAATCCTGGTAGTCGGAGACAGATCAGGTAGTAGCGTGGTTGCTGCCTGAACGTTCTGCATCTGCAATTGGGCAAGCCGCTTCCACGTGACTTTCGCTACTGGCCCCCACAGGCGCCCGCGATCATCAGGGCTTGTCGCCTCTGAACACGACACGTTGCTATCTGCGAGTATATGGCTGCCAATCACAACTTGCTTGATACATTCTTCGCAGAACTATCTGCCAAATAGGTTGAACTACAAGCTGTTTTGGTTTCTGGAACTGACTGCATGTCACGTGATAAGCCTGTCTGAATGCTTTGAGGTTCCCTTCGACAGAAATGATAAGACATCTGTATCATTTGGGGAACCTCTCCAAAGCAACAAGCTCATTGAACTCCCTAGCTATGTGATCTCGGCCATAGTGTATAATGTGACGCAACAATGATTGTACAACGCATGCCCTACAATCCAAAGGGCCCTTCCCCAAGTGCAACCACCACAGACCGGTATCTCTTATGTACCTCCGTCGAACGACGGTAATATCTTTTCGCCACGTTTGAGCCTCACCGCCTTCGGGTTCGTGGCATTGTGGCTCCGAATGTATCACTTGAAACCGAAAATCAAATGCTGCATATCGAAAAGTATATCGTACGGGTTTTGCACTTATTCAAGTATGAAGATGAGTGAATCACGGGCCATCAACAAATCATACACTTCCCTGACTATGCACATATTGGTCCCGAAATTTTGTTCATAGCGGTCCAGTAGGCTGATATGAGCCTCAAACACGAATCAAGGCCAGAAGCAACCCTGAATGATGAGTTTCTCCAAGGTGTCTTCGATTACGATGAGGATGGGGATGCTGTTGACCGTGGGTGGAGATGCTAAAGGGAGCAATTGGTACCTAAGTGGTAGCCTGGCTTAAGTCAACCGTGTAAACTATTGGCCAATATGTCATTGCCAAAGTTCGCTTTGCAGACGTGGTCGGAGCCCTGAGACCCAGGGTGTAGCGTTCGTATTCCACATAATGTAACACGGGAAGCACCAGCGGTAATACGCAGTGACATGTCAAGTCGCGGCGTTAAAAGCGCCAGCGAAGACGGCCATCTGGGGATAGTGCAGAAACAAGCGCGACCAGTCATTCAGGACAAAGTTCTGGAATTCTAGTCACGTTGCAACCATCGCTGGTCATGAAGACTCCACTAAGAACGTCCTGGCGAAGAATGCTGAAATCCCAGACTACGTAGGTAATGGAAAGCCTGGCTGACCAATTACCGAAGCCTCATCATATTTGGCTGAATCAGAAGGGCGAAAACCAGGATTGGCAGGGCATTGCCTCTCAGCGGCGCGGTCACACTCAGCCCTCTCTGGATCAAATGACATACCGGAGGAGGGCAAAGCAGAGCACAGCCCGGCGACGTCTGTGCCACCGCCCGCGAGCTTATAATAGACGAGCAGGCATCACGGTATTGACCGCTCACGGAGACTCAAAACTACACTAAACCGAGTGGCGAGTGGCGGTTTGACGGATCGGGTGCCAAACCTCAATAATGGTATTGTGCTGCAGTTGCTTTCAACGGCGGAGTTCCATGAAAGATTGTCTACATCCTCAAACACTTACATACTTACCGCGGGTTGCCAGGATGACGAAGAAAGTTTGCCTTCAGGTATATGCCATGAAATCTGAGTGCAGTAAGCAAAGCCTCTCAATTCAATGCAGGCTAGCAGGCATTTGGGATTCTCCTAGTCAATCTTGGGACATTTAATATGGGAATACAGACTGGTCAAGGCCACTAGCCAATGGTTTCAAGAAACAATATGTAACGGTCACAATGATCTCGAACTAACTAGGATATCTAGTTGTAAGGAAACAATCGGAGGATGGCGCGTATGTGGTTCAAGAAGGGAAGAGGATCCGAAGGTCGGCTCAGAAGTTACAAGATGTCTTAGCTGGCGAGGGTGTCCCTGCGCTTCACATGCGGGCGTTCAACATCCTCAGGTACGAGAATGTCTCGGGCTTTCTAACCGATTAATTACGATTGCTCAGCCACCAGCCTCGCCGATCTATCGCGTACAAAGCTTGCTTTTTCACGGCGTTCATCCATCCTCCTAATTCACGCGGCTCTAGGGCTTATTTTGGTACTCCAGTCGAGACTCTGAAATATGGCATGGGAACATATTACCATCATTTCCAGGAACAGCTTACTTCACTCAACCGCATCATGTGGATCCGAAATATAGAGCCCCAAAATCAGCAAAGAGTGTACGCCAGGAATAGAACCATGGTGCTTGATAGCGATAGAGACCAGCAACCTGGTCTTGAAGTGTTGCAGGCCGAGCGTCATGACAGCCCTTTGCCACAGGTATCACCAGACCCAAGCGGATTGCACCCAGTACACCCTGAAAGCGAGACCAAGACGGCTGGGCTCCGACCCTCGTTGAACTTCAACAGAAAGAAGTGTGGGAAAAGGAAAAGGGGATACCTGATAGGAGCAACTTGCCTTCTGGTTGTAGTCGGCGTCACAATTGGCACTGTTCTTGGTACTCAGACCAAACGCTCTGGAGACAGTGGTGCTACCATGTAAGTCTTCCAAAATTGAACGCAACTTTTGAGGCAGGAAACTCAGCTTTAGCAGGCCACACAATGACAGCCAAGAAGTTGCAGCGGCTGAGATGACTGGCAGCCCGACGAGTGTGGCACCAGGGCTCGCACCTACCGCTATCTCCCATGGATACCCGCATCTTGAGATATTTGCAGTGACGAAGAACACGACGCATTCTATATACAGAAAGCATCGTAACTCTAACGCTACGGCGCTTACTGACTTTCTTCCGGCCGGCCGAGATTTGGAGTTGGTTGGCGGTACGATCGATGTTAGCAGAAAGCCGTCAATCGCTGTCAGTCGTAGAAATCACAAAGATACTATCGAAAGCGAAGGTACCAATAGAACTGAGTTGCATTTAAGTGGCACAGGAAACAACTACGGATACCGTAAATACCACGATAGCGATGAGTTGTGGCCGGGGGGCCCGAATAACTCAAAGGCATTCACGTCGGGACAATATCAATTTGCCAGTTCGCCTACACAGGTCGTGTACCACCCAAATGAGGACATGTTGAAGACCTTTGTTCTGTCGCAAGGCACTAGTGGTCTTTCAGTGTTTTATTATCAATGGCACCAAGAAGACAACAGTTGGTCAAGCGCCATACCGGTACAAAGTGGCGACATGCACCAATGGTCCACTCCGGTAGTTGTTGCTTGGGCTGGAGATGATACGCGCTTAGACGTATTTGTGATCGCGAGGGCAAACAATCATTTGCTGCACGCCTTCAAAGATTCTGATACAGACAGGTGGTCGGAGTACGAGGATCTGAAGGGGTTCGTGACCACTCCGCCAGTTGCCGTATCGAGAGCTTCGGGAACGCTGGACATCTTCGCCCGTGGCGGCGATGGTGGTTTGTGGCATCTCGCTTTCACAATTGACGGCCAATGGGCGAGTTGGAAACGCATCAGCGCGACAACGAAGATTCAGGGGCAGCCGGATGCCATCAGCGTATCTAGTCAAAGCATTGATGTGTTTGCGTGGGGCGAAGATGGAAGTATGTTACATAGAAGATATGACAGCAACGCGCAGCAATGGATGCCGACAGATGGGTTCGAAATACTGATAAACGAGACGCTGGCAGGCCCTCGAGGGCAATGACGGACGGAACTGGAGATATACACATCTTCGCATATAGCCACCGAGGCGAACTTTTATGGAAAACCCTCGACATAGATGCGGCGAGTAAGGGGGATGTACTATCGTTGGCTGACGTACCCTTGGTGGTCTAGCCAAATAGCAAGTGAATTATGCGATTAGTGTTTCAAAAATAAGGCAGGCACTCTATCTCCAGCTCAGAACTTCGCGCGCACATGAAATAGCTACACGACTGTGGCGGATGCTGCAGAGGCTAAGAATGATTCGTTACGGTGTCAGTGACACTACAAGATTAGTTGTGGGAAGGCTAATGACTGAGGCAGGCTTAACTGCACCAGATGTCGAATTCATCGAGGTCCTTAAAATCCTCAAACTGACTATAAGAGGTTTTCCAGCGCGATTGGTAGCAAACGACGAAGGGCCATTGACAGTAGTTGCTGCTAGTAGCAGGCAGTGTAGCCCCGAATCCATATGGAGTTAATTGCTCGACTGAGTCATGGGAAGGAGAAAAGAATCAACGAGTTGTTCGATCTTTCACGGGTGAATCCCAAACAATGACAGTTATTGTATCAGCCGTCGTGATGACTACTGCGCTGACTGTGGAGCCAACACAAGATTTTAAGGTATACGAGCCTGCATCTGTGGTGAATACCATGAAGGCCAAATATCTTGGGAGCAATGACGTACCGGACACTGTAGAATATCGCTGGCTTCCCACCATAAGGACTTTTCTCCATTCCATGGAGTATGCACCAGGCGCAATATCGAAATTAAGTTCACCAGAATGAGACTCTTCTTAAAGAAATAGCCAAATTAATTACCCGTGGCTGGCATGATATGCACTACTGTAACACATTCCTTGAATGTGAATCTTGGGGATCAAGACAGTGTTGCAAGGCGGTTTTCAGCCCCAGACTTAGGAGTTGCGACGATGATACAATCCTCGCACTCATCGGTATATTTACAAATCCTTTGTACCTTGAAATCTCCCTTATTTAGAAGTGCTTCCCATTCGATGGCGGTGCGCTCTTTAGCAGCGAGACATGTCATCATAGCCATGTCCAGCTGCGTGGCTCTCCAAGGCGCACCTTTCTCAGGGAGGACCATCTCATCAATGAAAAGTACGGAGTCTTCTTTCATCGCGCCTTTGAGATTCTCCAGGATCTCTATACACTTGTTGTCTGGCCAATCATGGAAAATATTTCGGAAATAATAGATGCGTGCCCCTAAGTCTCGTAATTAGTCGAGTTGAGGCCCTAGTATACATAGCTTCTACGTCAGGAAATTAGTCAATATACCTTGGATAGGCTGCGGCGTGAAGAAGTCGTATCTCATGGTTTCAACATTCTTGAATTCGGGAAGAGGGTGAGACTCGACTTGGTCAATGATAAACCCTTGTTCTTGAAGAATAACCCGGCCTTGAAGATCCTGATAACGCTTTCGTACCGCGATACATTGGTGGCCCAAGGCACCACCAACGTCAACGAATAAGGGAGTCGAATCGTTGGCCTTCTTCCAAAACTCGTCATTTACGTTCATCGTATCGAGAAAAATTGGCAAGCCTTCCCGTTGGGTTGCCATCCAAGGCAGAAAGTATTGCATGTGTTCCGGGTTGGCTCGGAGCCATGGAAAGGGATTCAAATCTGTGTTATGACCAAAATGCCAAGAACATTTGTTGGGATCTTCGGGGTTTTGATAACCGGTTTCTCGAATGAATTTGGGCAGAGCCCAAAAAGACTGAGAGATCATCTCGTGGCTGACGGTACAGAAGATTAATAGCAATACATCCATAAAGATTATGGAAAGACTTGGTTCGCTTGCAACGGAAACTTACAAATAGCTTATTCCAGAGCTTCCACTAGCACTAGAAAGAGCTTTGGTGACGTTGTTCGCCTTATAAGCGTCATTATTCGGCTGCGAAATCATGTCTTGAGACTGCCAGTAGCGTAATAGGCGCCCTAAACTAGCGTTAAGTCATCATTGGCGTTTAGTCATCATTGGCGTTTTATTTCGGAGTAAAGATATCATACGGCAGAGCACCGGATCGATCTGAGTCTGAGTCGCCAGATCGGCGCTAGTAAGTATGTCTCCTTTGGAGAGCAAGTCAAATATCCCCCTTTCTACACCAATGCGAGCCAAGGCAAGTTGGAGTGGCTGTTTATGATTAACTTTGCAATCCATGTAGGTGGAAAGTGGCACTTGCTGTATTGGAGATTCTGTGCACAGTGTCCCCTGGTGCCTCTACCGCGATACTCAGCTTCCGGCTTGCTTCCCGTAGCCTGCGCCGGAGTCCATCATCTTGCAGCCTGTTAATGGCCTCTGAGTTGCGAATGGCATCATCTAGCTTTGCAGCCAGGTCAAGAGCATCATTAAGTGTGTATTCCATCTTCTATGATGGCACTTCGAGTCGATTACAGGGAAGTTTCAAGGACAAAAATGACGCATGGTTGCGAAGTGAGGATGCTGGACAAAATGAGACAAGGCCAACTTTAAACACTTCGGAGAGGGGAGCTTTTGCCATTGCCTGGAAAATCAAAGCCTCTGCATCCTGTACTGTTACAACTGCATATTATAACACAACATGATTGGGACTCCAGGCAGTTGTGTGTGCTGCTCTTCTATCATTGGCCGTTCGTCACGTACCCCTCTTACCCTTGTGTGGGAGACATCCTTGTAACTTCACAAAGAGCTACATGGCGGTAATTGGTTAGTTGGTGTGCGACCTATGGTTGCTGATGCATATGCAGGATCTCCTTGGTATCATTATGTGCATCTTTGCACGATTTCAAGATGCAGGATACCCCTTGCATACATATGGGCCCATAGAAGAGTGGTGTTGGAGCACAATACATATGGCTTACGTTCAACAAAGTACCTACTCCATACCTAGAATGAAGACACCCACTGTTCTACGCCTTAGGATTCATTGTCAAGGATCTTACAACCAACACCTTCGACTTCCCCGCGGCGCCCAGCGCTTGGGCCTGTGGCAAATTCACGCAATTAACACATTTGAGAATGTAACGGTAGACCAGATTAAAGCCGACTGTTTGTACCCTTACATCGCGATGCCGGAAGAAAACCGGTGGCCTGTTATAGTAGTACCCAGGTGGTCCCAGGCTTGAGCTTCTCCACCTGCCAACCTGAGCTGTGGCTCGATCGCCCCGGAGGAGGCTGAACCGATGCTGAGCCTATTAACGTGCCAATCAACTGGCGTGGAATGAGGTTAGCGAGAGATGGATCTCATAAAGATCAAATTGTATAGGTAGCCTCTTTAAGAAGTAGAACTCAGGCAGCACAGCTAGCGATTCACAATAGAACGTGCGGGCCCTCAGCAGCAGTTAACAGGTAGTGTTGAGTGCAACTGCTATCGTCCCTAGGCAGACATTCAGCGCCACGCACTGCCCGTGAGAAAAGAATGCCGTGTGCTCCACCCGCAGATGTATCCCCTAAAATTCCAGCTCGATGACTGAACTGGATGAGTATCAGAATAGTGGTAGCAGTATATGCGTAAGGTCGGTGCACTCCCCTCCGGATGCCGAAGAGCCAGGCGGCGTTGAGCAGATTTCGAGATTGCATGTGACTGTGGGCTTGACTCTGAGGCATCTGTGGGAGGAGTAAAAAAGTACTATATCATTATGTAACAAAAGCATCGCGCCTTAGCACTTCCACCATCTTATTGTGGTGAGAATTGATGCGGTTTGACTAGCGCCTTCACAATTTTTGCCCTGAGGGGCCCCGCTTTCCAGATGAGGTTGCATGACGTTGAACCTGCATGCCAGGCAAACAGAGCCTCCTTCTCTTCCAATGAGGAGTCGTCCGTACAAACAGCTACCTCATTTAAGTTTGACACATTGAACAGGCGTGACTGAGCGTTTCTCAACTTCATCTCATCTCCGAACCCACACCACGTCAACCACGCAACTCACCACCATGGCCTCCAACACCGCTATCCCCACATCGACCTCGGTCGTCGAGAGCGCCGTCATCAAGGCCCCTCTCAGCCACGTCTGGCACCACATCAAGCGTGAGTGCTGAGGTTGTCGCTGCTCCCAAAGCATCCAATGGCTGATCCTTAGCTTGCCAGTCCAGAACTTTAGTGACTTCTGGTCTGCTCTGAAGCAGAGCGAGTTCACAAAGTCCCAGGAGGAGACCGACGTCGTCAAGTGGACCTTCAACGACGGCACTGAGCTTGAGGTCAAGCAAGAGGAGCACAGCGTAAGCTCCACCTGGTGGTCTTCGTGCTTGAATTGCTCATTTCTAACTTGCTGTTAGACCCTCAACCACTACATCACCTACAGTGTCATCACCGCCAAGCCGGAGTTGACCTACACCAGCGTGGTCAGCACCATCCGCTGCTACTCCGTCACCTCGGGTGACCTTGAGGGCAGCACTTTTGTCGAATGGACTGGCAACTTCTCCAGCGATGCCGACGCTGGTGAGTCGTCCCTGTTCCCTCCTACCAGAGTTGCCGTGATCGTTACTAACGTGCGGATTCAGGCGTTATCCAAGATGCCAAGTTCAAGCGCCGTGACGCTCTCGCAGACTTGGCCAAGGCTGCTGCCAAGAAATAAGGCGCCCGAAATGGTGACATGGTTTCATTCAGCAGGACCCTTGCTGGTTCTTGCTGTGGACTAACAATCGCCATGAAGAGTCGGTAGCGGTGGCATAATGAAGAACGCCCATGGTGTAGATGTTTCCTACTGAATGCAATCACAGTACAACACCGTGCTTATCCCACCATCAAGCAAGAACAAAAAAGGGTGATGTCGATATGCGGTATCCAGTGTCCTTGTTGGAGCCGTCGTCCGTGTGCCGCTCCTGAGTGTCTGGCCTTGTAGCCACGTAACCGCATGTCCAAGTGCCTTTGCCTCGTTTGAGTTACCTCTTCTCTTTGAGACTTTCGGTCAATCATCGCTCTTTTGCATATTGCTTGGTGTCCAGTGCTTCTCTACTCGGAACGGCTTTGCAACGGCATCCGCATGCGCCGGACTGTACCATTTTCCCGCTCTCGTATGTCGGACTCCCGGCGGGTGATCACCGAGCTGTGGTGAATGGAATTCCCACAGGAGGGATCCATAGCCCAGGACAGTGACAGCGGGAATGGATCGTGCTTTAAAGCTTTTCGCATTGGTGCCACAATCTTGGTGTTATCGAAGTGCTGGTTGGGCCGGCCCGCATGCACGTAACTTTCCGTTCGCTATAGAATCCACTTTGCACGGATAGCCCGGGGGTAGGTCGGGACGTCGATCTCGTGACAGACTGGCATCACGGATCTGGCCGAGCCGCCTGTACCAATGAAGATGACGCACGAGCTCCGCATGGATCTCCTGGAACCAAGTCCCGACCTGACTGCCGCCTTGGCACCAACCACCTTTCCGTGGATTGCTGCAATAATACTGGGTAAGTGAGTCGTAGTAGCACTTCCTCGCACTTTTCGGCCGACCGCTGACATAAGGACCGGAGTCGGGTTGCTACCCTTGTACCAATTCCAGTTTCGACAACCTCCTCTTTGGAATAAGTGAGAGAGCCACACACGTATAAATAAGGGAAGCACCTAGTGCAGCCCGTTATACGATTGAATTGATGGTATTTATTGTCTTGGCTGTTGTTGGTTTTTTTTTTTTTAGCTTCCATTACTAACGACATCACTCAGCGACCGATTACCGTACCTAACTGAGCACAATGGAGCAAAGCTTTGCGAGCCTTAGCTTCTATGGCGGGATAGCTTTGCTGATTGTATACCCGCTGGCTCAAATTTTCTACAACCTATTTCTCCACCCTTTGCGCGATGTTCCAGGTCCTCTGCTGGCGAGAGCGACTGATCTGTGGCTTTTCGCCAACGAGCTGGAAGGACACGTACACGACAAGATACTACAGCTGCACCACAAACTTGGTACTACCCTTCTAAGCCGAAATATCATACAAAATGCTTATACTATGAACTGGCCCGATCGTCAGGATATCTCCCAATGAGGTCTCTTTCAACGATGCAGGCTCGTTTAGCGAGGTATACTGTCAAGGCACAAAGTTTGACAAGGCTAGGTATTTCTACAACGCCTTCGTAGACCAGGCGGACAATCTCTTCACCATGACCGACCGTGATCAGCACTCGCATGATAAACGGCTCATGTCCCATGCCTTCTCCAAAACGACGATCCTCCAGCAGGAGTCGGTCATTTACGACTTTGTGCAGCAGCTGGTCGGCCGAATGATGCCGTTCGCGCAGTCTGGGAAAGAGTTCCCCCTCCTCGCTGGATATCGCTGTATGACGCTCGATCTGATCACCGAATTCGTGTTCGGCGCAACGCCGAAAGCGATAGAATCCGAGGACCTCAACGACCCCATCATTGACCAGATTGGAGACACCGCCACTGGATCGGTCGTTGTACGTGATGATATGCCTCACCACACACAGGAATACCAGGCTGACATATACAGACTCAACATATCCCTTTCGTTCGGAAGGTCCTCCGCTTTCTCTCCAAGAATAAGATCACGATACCGGGGTTTCCAGACCCGGTTCTGAATCTTGGATTGGTAGGCTGCCCCAACCGTCATGCTTTAGCAACGATGAATACTAATATGTCTCAGGCTGCCAAGAGAGGCCTAGAGGCGATGAAAACAACATCGCATGTGGAATGGACAATGTTTAAAGCCATGTCAGCCAACGCCTCCAAGCAGGGCATACAGCTACGCGACGAGCATCTGATTGCAGAGGGGATCTTGATGATCATTGCTGGAACCGATACCACGGCTGTCACACTCAGCACCGCAACATATCATTTGATCAAGAACCCGGAAATCTTTGAAAGGCTCCGCCAGGAGGTCGCTCCGTTCATGCCAAACAAGGACGCCCGGCCGTCCTTCAACGACCTCGACCACCTCCCGTTGTTGGATGCTTGCCTCAAGGAGGGAATGAGATTAAGCTCGCCCGTGAGATCAAGGCTACCCAGAGTGGTGCCCAAGGATGGATGGACTAGCCACGGGCGATTTTATAAACCGGGGGTACGAATATGGACTCTCGCTCTCTTTATTTGCCCTTACCGTGTATTTAAGTCTTACTGACTTCCGATCACAGACCATAGTGAGCTCATCGCCGCTCTATCTTCACCAGGAGCCCAAGATATTCCACGACTGCGAGGCCTTCAACCCCGATCGTTGGCTTGTGTCGCCAGAGAAGAAGAGCGAAATGCTGCATTACTTCCAGCCCTTTTCTAGGGGATCGAGGCAATGCATCGGGCAAAAGTCAGACCACTCCTGAACCCCCACCGGCGAGCAGTGAATGGTACGAATAAAACTAACTTGCACCGCAGCCTCTCTACCATCGAACAGAAGATCACTCTGGCAACCATCGTCGCTCGTTTCGCCCCCGTCTCGGTGGCCAAGGATACGATTGAGTGGGGAGAGTCTTCCACGAATGCCTTACCCGACACTCAGATTTACGCAACCATGGCGGCTCGGGATATGTAAGGCTTATAATCAAGGCGTTGTGGATAGAAAGGGCATACCCTTAGTAATGAAGAGATGTTACCTGGTGGCCTGCAAGAGGCCATCGAAGTCTTGCTCCGCGGCACCACTGTTTTGCGAGAGAACCACTAGATTAATTCATATCTCTGCTCAATCTATAAACGGTACAAGTATCTGCTCCAATAATAATTTTCTTGAAAAAGTTGTCTCAAAATATGAGACGTGATCGCTGACATGGATAATGTGCATAGGTATCGTATAGTTGAAAAATTATGTTTCCGTAATAGTCTTGCCTACACTCATGAACCTTGGAGGATTGAAGAGTCCAACTACAAGTTCAGTCTGCCCCGACCGCGGAGATCCAACGCCTTGGTGGTGGCTCGGCTGGTCTACTGCTGTAGAAAAAGCTGACATCGTATTCTGTTACTTGAAACTCATTAATTAGAGTACGGTAGTTGACCCATGACCAGCGCGAGACCCATTCGGACCTCGGTGTCGCTAAGCCGCACACGGCAGATCGTCCGCTCCGATTTGTCATCAAAAGTCTCCGGGCAGGCCCATTAATATCGGTCCGCCGCCCGGCCCCTGAACTTCCCTGCACATGTATATGTACCGGCGGCACACCAACAAAACTTTACAGCCGAAAATATCCGCAGTCGATCGGGCAGACACAAAGAAGTCATCATGACGCACTTCAAAATCAAAGTCATCTCAGACCCAGTCTGTCCATTTGTAAGTTGTCAAACACTACGTGAAGGGGATGACAAGCAGCTGACATGATACCTAGTGCTATCTCGGCAAGAAGCGTCTAGACAAGGGCATTGAGCTCTACAAGAAGGTGTACCCAGGGGGCAAAGATGACACATTCAGCGTATCGTGGTCGGCGTTTTACCTCGACCCCGAGGCGCCCAAGACTGGCATCCCGTTGACGCAGCGCATGGAGCAGCGGTTCGGAAAGGACCGCCTGCCCATGATGCGGGAGGCGCTCCGGAAGCAGGGGCTCCAGGACGGGATCAAGTTCTGCACGGACAGCAAGATCGGCAACACGCGGAACGCCCACCGCCTGATCCAGCTCGCCAAGGCCAAGGGCAACGAGACCGAGAACAAGGTGGTCATGGAGCTGTTCAAGAGCTACTTTGAGGAGAACGGAGATATCACCAGCTTCGACATGCTGGCGGATGCGGCAGCCAAGGCCGGTGTTGACCGCGGCGAGGCGAAGACCTGGCTGGAGAGCGACAAGGGTGGCAAGGAAGTCGACGGCGAGGTCGCAGAGGCGTACGCAAAAGGGATACACGGCGTGCCCAATTTCACAATCCAGGGGGCGTACGAGGTGGACGGGGCGCAAGACCCCAAGGACTTCTTCGACGTCCTCGTTGCTGCGAAAGAGGGCAAGTCGTCGGCTTCGTTTGACTCGGGGGTCTGTAGTTAGGGAGGTCGTAAAGGGGTATCATTTGTCATTGTCGTTAATAAGATTGTTCACATATGGAGCAGGCCGCCGAGGTCTTTTTCCATGGCGCGCAACCTCGCCTGTAGCTCCCTCTTCTTCTTGTCCAGTTCCCGGACCTCCTCCTCTTCCCTGCGCAGGTCGTCTTCCGTCAGGATCTCGCTCTCGTCGAGCTCCTCGTCTTCGCCTTCGTCTTCCTCGTCCTCGCTCCACATGTCTTTGTTCATGCGGCCCAGCGCCTCGACCTGGTCCGCCACCCTGGCTTCGTAGTATGCCAGTGTGTTGAGGTGCTGCGAGTACTTGGCCCGCTGCATGGGTATGCGCTCGAGGGCGCCGGGCAGGGGGTAGACGCCGCACAGCTTCTCGGCGCCCCTGAGCAAGATCTCGACGTCGACGTGGTCCTTGTTTCGGCCCCTTTCGCTCTTGCGGATCTGGTCGTGCAGATCGCCGCCGAGCACGGCAGCGACAGCCGTGTGGCGCCGCGGCGCACCGGCATTCCTGGCGGCGCTGGGGCCCGAGGTTGTCACCTCTCCCGATGCAACGTTGAAGACGGTCTGGCGTCGTGAGGACTCCTTGGGCGGGTCCGGGTTCTGCGACGTGGCGGGCGGGGGAGGCGGTGGGACGGAGAACAGGGCGCGTTCATGCGCCTCGGTGTCTCGGATCAGCGAGGTGATGTCGTGGTTCGAGAGCAGCGCGTTGGCGAAGATCTTGGGGGGCGGGAACGGGAGACTGTCTATGCCTTGACACGATATGGCGATCTGCTCAAAGTGCGCCGAGAGGAGCGACATGGTGGGCGGATAGATGGGTGGATGGAAACAGCCAAGGTGCCGGACGACGTCGAGCTTTGGCAACCGTGCGGACCGGCGCTGGGCCTGAGAGTGTCAATGGAGAGAGTATCAGACGGTCGGCGCTTCAGCCACCATTATTGCATGGCCGTATTGGATTGGGGCAACGACTTATGATCAATGCTACACAGGGCGGCACCAGACAGTAAACAAACCATGCGATGACATGGCATGGGAAGCTCGTTGAACGCTGGGCGACGCGGGTCGGTCTGCGCGACTTGGCTGCCCCTCTAGTTGTGGCTCGTGTTTGGGGGCTCCATTGTCCACCAGCCTCACCCGTGGACCCGTGGAACCGTGGATGCTAGGGAGTTTCAGGTGGCGTCCAACTCTTATGCTCTGGCTGGTGCTGTGCTGTGCTGTGCTGTGCTGACATCCGTGATCATCCACCCAGAAATCACCACCTGGCACCGGCACAATGGCCTGGAATTTTCTGGCTGGCTCCGGTTGGGATTGGATGGAATTGATGACGGGCAGCAATTCAATCAACCATCAGATGAATCCCACCTAACTAATAATTCCATGCAGCCACTTACAGTCACCAAAGGCCTAGACAGCTCTACATACCACCTAACTAGGAGTGCTCAACTTCAGCCAGTTGGCCCACCGGTCAACTAGCGGTTTCATCCGCCCTTCGGCAGGTTAAGCACGACCTCGGGAGCAGCTCTGGGGGTCGTGGTCAAAGCAGTTACATTGGCAGATCTCCCGACGCTTCCCAGCAGCACATCCTCCTCCCTCCACCATGGACGTCGAGAAGGTGACGGCCGGCAGAGTCAATATCTCACCATCTCACTCACAGACATCAATTGGCACGCGCCCGATCAGTCAGCACGCTGGCGGCACGACATCGCAGATCGGCGGCAGCAAGTTTCTTCTCCGAACTGCCAAAGAGGGCCTATTGCCCATCTCCACCTCACTATTTTTTTCGCTTTTCCTGCCGGCCCTTCCTGCAGCTCGCAGGGACGGGGACATCGTTCATTGGGCACGGTTTTCTACCTGATCCCAATGCCTATTTTGGATCCTCCCACTCATCGACTTGCTTTTTCTGCTGAAGAGCCTCTGATACGCCCTGGCCCGAGTGGCCCCCGGTGCGTGCAGCCAGCACAGCCGGTCCAGCAAGCCAGCGCTCTGCCCGCGAATCGTCTTTGGTCGTCCTTCATCAGGGTGCAAAGTTGCCCCCCCAATTGACAACTCATCCAATGCCTCTCATAATCCGACCTCCTCCCACCGCATCCTCCCGTTGCTGGCGAAGAGTCATTTCCCCCCTTTCAAATGCCTGCTTCCGTCGCCAGCATCCTATCGTCTAGTTGTCGAGTTCTTTCTGGATAGCCGACATGTCACGCCCCGGAAGTCAGACCCTGACTTGACCAGGGATTCCCGGGAGCATTGCTGCCCAAATCGGCCATAGACGACCAAGACACATTGCGACATCCCCCGAACGCGGGCTAACTAGGCGGTTGGCTGCTATCCTATCTGGCTCGTGAAATCATCCCAGCTACCAGCTACCAAATAAACCCCCCGTGATCCCGCAAGCCTATCTTACTCATGCTCTCCACGAGATTATATCTGCTCGGCGTTATAAGTTTGCTCCTCGCCCCGGCCCCAAGGCTGCACCCTGCGCTCTGTTCTTCTGGCACATTGGGCTTCGGGCTACAGCAATACAAAACGGTATCTCTCGTCTCGTCTTGTCTCCATTAAAATTTGCATTTGAAACGCCCGGCCAGCGCATTCTCCCAGTTGCCTCTCTACCCCTTGGATTTCCCAGCACTACACGCACCCGTTTCTGGAAGTCCGAAGGGTAGTTCAAATATTCTCCGACTCTTCCTCGACCTCGCGTCTTTGGCCACGTCGTCGCAATACGACTGAGCAAGCTTCTCCTCTACCTGACTTGTCCAAGTCGACCAAACCCAACCCTATCACCGGCCCAAGTCGGACTCTGCTCGCAACACCGCCATTTATTCCCGCAAAACCTTGTTGGGAATCGGCGGCGTCCTCACACACGATCCCACGAAACCCACTGAACTATCATGACAAGTCACAAGAGTCCACTGTCTTCTCCATACTGGAGTCCTGTCCTTTGGTTCTTGACGCCTTGAGCCCCTCGTCATCCCACTTCACTACCACCCCGCGATTCTGACCCCACATCTCGATTGGGACGGAAGGGGAGAGAAAAAAAATAAAAATAAACCTGATAAGATCTTACCTCGCATTGGGGGAGTTTCTCCGCCAAAAGCTGCAAAGATGCGACCACATACACCAACGATCAACACTTCCCGGGCGGGACTCGATGTTACCTCGCCACCAGAGACGCCGACCACTGGCTCTCCCAAGTTCAACCGCAAGGCCGGCGCTGGCCCGGACGACCGGCCTAGTGCCCGCGGAGGACCGCGCCGGCCTAGCATCCCGCCTTTAGGCGGTGTGGGCTCCCAGTTCGCCTACGTTCAGGGCATTCGCCCAGAAGAACTCTCACCACAGTCGTCGGACTCATCGGATGACGACTCGGAAACTTCTGCCAGTCCTCCGCAGTCGCCCGTGTCCAATGTTTCTGAACCGCGCATCAGCGTTTCGCACATCCCCTCTACACAGGTCATTGTCGAGGCCACATTCGAGATTGAAGAATGTAGCGAGGACGATGAAGACGCCATGGACAGCGACGACGATGAGGACCGAGCGGATGTGTTGCAGCCCTACGATTACGAAGACGCCGAGTCAGAGCGCAGCGCGTCCAGGACCCAGTCTGAAGTTGACCCACAGCTTGTGAACAGCATGGGAGATGTCACCTTTGACTCGGACGACTCAGATCTTGACTCGGAAGATGGCAGTGAGTTCATGAAGAACCTTAAACTCCAGCGCCAGAACCGGAGAATCAGGCGCATGACCTCTGGCAGCATCAGCAAGAGGACTGTCAGCGAGCGCGGAAGTGACTCGGACCGCGAGGACCTCCAGCCTTGGGACAACGGAGAGTCGGTTCAGCGCCGAATCCGCCGAAAAGTAAACCGGCATAGTCTGCTGTCTATCCCTCCTGAGATCATCATTGAGCTTAAGGAGCCCAACAGTGACGGCGAGGTTGTTTGGGATGAGCATGAGATTGATCTTGCTCGCGAGCTGCCTTTCTGGACAATGGAAGTTGACTCAGACTGAGCCAATCTGGCAATATCATACCGTTTTCAAGACGGTGCTTCTGCGCCTACTGGCAATCCCTGCGTCTTGAGGATCTTGGCTCTTGTGTCTCGCGCCGCCTTGGCTGCTGTTAGCGATGGCGAGCCTATCGGCCACATGAGCCGGCACCATCTGAATGAGAACCGTACATCTATGGCCATTGCACAGGCCGGATCTCAACATGGGATTTGTTATAGAACGGCGGCCGGGTACATTATACGCCGGACAAGCCATGAGCAACTGATGCACGCAAGGATCGGACGGGGCAAGCATAGTATCAAATCATTGGGTGATGATGTTGATGATTAATGACGATGATGACGACGATGATGATGGAGCAACGTGGAATTCCATGTCTACGGCTTGCTTCAAACCTGTTCCCTTTACATATTCATATAGACATAGTTTACGCATGTAGTGAAGGACCTTCATTGGTCAGTATAGAGATCAATGATCATGTGGTGAAGGACAGCGATTGAAACGTATCACGTCTTATTTTATCTACGACTTTTATGTGTGACTAGAACGTGGGCTTTTTGATAACCGAGATCGCGTCTCTGGGTTGGCCCTGATAAATGACAGTCTGGTGGAACCTACTTGACCTATAAATGGCTGATGCGGTGCATGTCTTGTCAATCAGTACCGCAACCATTCTGGTCAAATGAGCTCAATTAGAATCCCTAGCTTTGGACACATGTGGTGTTCGGCGGGTAGGCTACGGTGAGGTATATATATTGTATTTTAGGTATACACGGCGTTGGACATACTGCTTGTGTGGCAGACACAGCCTGAGCAAATCTATAGGAAGGGCTTTAAAATCGACCCACACAACACGTAAAGCACCTAGAATCCAACGGCTTCCTGCAAGGGGCAATTCCGCAGCAGCGGGAGGAGCTCCCATCTTGAGACAATCAATTCTGATTTTCAATGGTAGAAGTTGGACATTGAAGGTCTGGAGTCAAAGCTCTAACGAGGATGAACCAGCACCTCTACCAGATTCTCACCTGTACTGGTAGTCATCGCTAGCACCGTTATATAACCTCGCCTTGACATTGAAACCCCATGGGAATACCTCGAGCACGCTGGGGCCCCTAGCAACCTAGCTCCCAGCCTCCAGGGCCCCTGGAGCCAGGGCTGGGTTGGGGGGCCGGCCCACTTGCTGCCCAGGTGGACACCTACCTCCTTGCCAGCCTGCCAGCCTGCCTACCTCAGGCTAAGTTACCTGTGCCGGACGGATTAAGCTCATGGCTTGAATGGCTGCCTGCGCCACAGTTTGGATTCGACCTCACCTCGCGGCTCGACTTCAAGCTTCAGCCTTGCCTAGCACTCCCAAAGTCAAACAACCTCGAGAGAGTTGCCATTTCTCTCAAACGAGACTGCTTCCTCTGCAGCCTTCTCAACTCTCCCCTAGATATCTGGACACATACTACTCTATCCATTTCGTTACACATTACACATTTGCTCGCCATCTACTTGCTCTGGGAGGCGCACCATCTTTGTTTCGACTTGTCGCGCATCTCGCTCGCATCGCATCTGAGGTGCCCGCGCACCGACGCGCCCCTCGCCGCATCTAGACGCCCCGGCATCGCCGCCCCCTCGACATCGACATGAACCAGCCGCCGCCGCAGCAAGCTGGCCCCGCGCAGGGCCAGCAGATGCGCATCCCCATGTACCGGCCGGAGCAGATGAGAACCCTCGAGATCCTCTCCGACACCGACAAGGAGAAGTACGAGAAGGGCCTCCGCGGCCTGTACGATACCATGGAGAAGAACGCCCCGGACACGCCCCAGCACATCGAGGCCAGGAAGAAGATCATAGAGTTCTCCCGCATGGTCTTCAGCAAGGTCACCAACATGCGCCGAGCCCAGGTTCAGGGAGGCCAGCCTGGCCAGCCCCAGAACCCTGCCCTCGCCGCTCAGCGTGCCGCCATGGCTCAAGCCCAGGCCCAGGCGCAACAACAGCAACAGCAGCAACAGCAACAGCAACAGCAACAGAGAGCCGTGAACCCTGGCAATCCCGCTGCGAATGGCGGGACTCCCGCTGCTGGCGGTGCTCCGCGTCCGGCAGGACCTCCAGCCGGCCAGTCGGGCGTGACGCCGCAGCTTCTTCAACATATCAACTCTCTGAAGCTGGTGCCCCCTGCTCAGTTTGCCAACGATCCCGAGAAGGCCCAAGCATGGCGGCAAGGGATCAAAGACAAGTATATTCGTGCTCTTCAAATTATGGAGTCGTCAAGCAAGCGGATAGGACAGCTTCAAGCCATCGCCAAGGACCGCCAGGCGAAGGGCAACCCCTTCTCTCCAGAGGAGCAACAGAAATACCTCACCGAGATCGAAAACTCGAAGAAGGCCCACGGCGAGGCCAAGCGATTCGTAGAGAGCGTGAGGAACTCTTCACAACAGCAAGAGAGTGCTGCCCAACAACCCCGGCCCCAGCAGACTCCCAATGCTGGAAACCCCATGCAGGCGGCGACGGCTTCCGTCAACGCAGCCATGGACGCAGCCAAGAACATGCAGTCGGCAGCAGCTGCTCGTCCGGGCGTTCCTCAGACACCCAGCACATCGGCGACAACAGCACCGGCGACCCAGGCGACGGCGCCTTCCACCCAGGCCCAACCCGCGGCTGCCCCGCAGGCCCATGTTAAGATCGAGCCCGGTACACACCCGCACCCTCCCCCGGTGAATACTGCACTTGCAGCCGCTTCAAATGCACATATGCCGTCGGCGGGTACTCCCACTCAGAATTCGGCGCGTGTCCAGACCCCTCAGGCTGCAACACCAACAACTGCTGGGCCACCAGGCGCTGCCAGACCACTTACCCACCAGGCTGCGATGCAGATCGCAAACCACAGACAATCGACAGGCTCCATTCCGACTCTCAATCAACCCGGAAGTGCAGGAGGTGCACCGGCTACTACGCCTGGATCCGCTGGCATCGCGCCGGGTGCAACACAACAAGGTCACCCACACGCGCACCCCACCCCCGCTGCAGGCGTCGCTGTCCAGAAGATGCCCATCCCAAAGCAGCTGCCCGAAAAATTACAGCAGGTTCCTCAGCCTGTTGCGACTGGCGGCGGAGTTCCACCTGGTCGCCCGACTCTTGGAGGTGGCATCGGTATCAGCGGAGGCACCATGAATCAACCTCAAGTTCCCAAGAACCCGGCGTACTCGTTTGAGACCGAGGGTGAGCATGTGATGAACAAGAAGAAGCTGGATGAGCTCGTCAGACAGGTGTGCGGCGGCGGTCCACCTGGACAAGATGGCAACTACTTGACCCCAGACGTTGAAGAGGTACGTGTTCACCACAGTTCACTGAGCTCTTTGTATTTTCACATCTGATGCTAACAACGCCTCCAGTCCATTCACCAGGTTGCTGATAATTTTATTGACAATGTCTGTCACATGGCTGCCCGACTTGCCAAGGAGCGCGGGTCCAAGGTCCTCGAAACGCGCGACCTGCAGCTAGTGCTTGAGCGCGTCTACAACATCCGCATCCCCGGCCTCACATCTGACGAGTTGCGCACCGTTCGCCGGCCGCAGCCCAACGCGGCTTGGATCAACAAGGTCAGCGCCGTGCATGCAGCAAAGGTCACCCGAGACGAGAAGTAGGAGCCTCGTCCTGGTGCCGGCGCTCCTGGAGCTCGTGGCAATCAGGCCAAAACCGCGGGCCCCGCCGTCGACAAGGCCCACGGCATGGCTTTTCACAGAGTCCTGAAGAATCCCAAAAGCCAGAAGGCAAAGGCACGTGCCGATGCCCCCGTTGTCACTCCTGATACGGCTGGTGATTGCGAGGCGCCTGCCGTTGGGTCCACCGCCATTCAATCCGAGGTCAATCGATTTGGCACCGCTGGACGAGCTGGAGTTGCAGATCCGTCAGCTTTTGGCCTGCGCAGTCCTCTACCGATCACCTCTAGCTACACGACCACCGCCAGACCCCAGGCCCCGCAGCCTGCCCCCTTCTTCAACTCGATTGCACCTGTGAGCCAAGGCCAGACCGCAGTGGAGTCTTCGAACAGCTTCAGCAACGTCTTTGCGCCAGCTGCTGGCTATGAGCCCATGGACACCAGCGGGCCTATGCTTGGTCTTCAGTCTGATTCTGCCCCCTCGGTTGGCCCTCCTGTAGCCTCCGGTCCGGTTGTCAACGTTTTCAACGGTGCATACGCATCATCGGCCAATGACAACACGGCGTACACTAACCTCGCACATGGCGCATGGCACACCGCGGCCGGCGCTACGACTGCTGCTGAGCCGGAAGACTCGGAAGAGGAGTAGTGGCAGCACCCAACTGCTTATTCCTGTCGTGGCAATGACAGCATAATCAAGACGGTCGCGGCCGTTCATAAGGCAGGAGGCAGCAGACACCCACAGTTCTTGTATTCACATCCGCATGGTATCGTTTTCAGGGTGTTCTTGTCTTTCGGGGAGTTATGGACAAAGGCCAGAACATCGTTTGCTTGTTTTCAGGGCGGCAGGCGTTTCGTGGTTTTTGCGGCAAGGGATGGAGGGACTCTGAGATACCACGGTACAAAATCGGAAGGTTTCCTAGATGAATTCATGATGATTACATATATGCCATTCTTTGTGACGCTGTGACACGAGGATCCTTGCATTGACCTGTGCGACTTGGAATGAATTGGGTTGAGCTGTGGTCGACCTTGGTGGAGTGAGTATACGTCTCCCCTAAGTCCAGACCCCACGCATCGCATAGCGTTGTCCTCTGTCAGCCCTTCGATTGCTATTGGCTACAATCCCGTGTGGTACTCGACGGATCAGACAGCCCGGCCATACGTGGCTCGCCGAGCGGGCCGATGGACTCATCCCAACTAGCAAGTGCAGGGCAGATGTTGTAGATTTGACATTCGAGACACTGTATATGTAGGAGAGCACGTTTGGGCTTCCGCCATATCTGCACACCGTGGGCACGCGACAGGTCACGTTACTGACTCGAAAAAAAAATGCTTGGCAGATGCGATAGAGGTGCGGGTGACGTGCAGACGGGATTGGACGGGGTGGATGGGCTAGACGGCCGGAAGCGCCTCCATTCCTTCACATGCAGGCGGCGGCGACGGCGCGGCGCGATACATGTGGTGTGGTGGTCGGAATGCCTGCTTCTGGGGTCCTTTTTTGGGGGGATGGGATGGGGGGGAAAGCGGACGTGTGTCGAGAGATAGCCCTGGAGAAAAGGAGCTCAACCGCTAACCCACACAGGTCTTTGAACTATGTGCGTACAGTGTTTCTTATAGATTTTGAAGTTGTGTATTTAGCTACTCCAGTTTCTTGTGACCAAATTAGTTATTTGCCGATGGTACGCATAAGTAGATAGTGTGCTATACGGCCGTCCGGTGTCTCGGTGTTTAGGCAAGCTCTCGTTCGTACCAAAAAGGCAGTCAGGCAGGCAGCATTTTGCCAACGTCATGCTCAGGGTCCCCCGTTTTTTCTGAGCTGGACTTGCGGCTGTCGACCCACAGGCCGGCAGCTCTGAGGTGTGGTGAGGGTACGAGAGCAGTACCTTGGTTGGGATGTAGCGAGCCCTTGCGCACAAAGTACCTTGCTCGTACTGAGGTCGAGTCTGGGGCCTTGGCGTGCTTCCACGGATGTTTATCTCTGGGCTTCCGTTGCTGGCTGGCTGGCTGCAACTGGGCGCCGTCCGCTGCCCCTTCAGTGACGAGCAAATCGAGCAAATATAGTTGGGCGGACTGGAGCTGGCCTGGCAGAGACACTGGACATCAGGCGGCCTAAGGTAGCGAGCAGGTGTGCACTGAATTCGATAGCGCTGAGCTGGGGCTGGGCTGGGCTGGACCGTTGCATCACATCACTCGGACGAGCACAGCTTGTGACTTTGGATCTGTTTTTCTCTCTCTCTCTTTCTCGCCCTCTCCATACATGCCCTTCCATCTCTCCGTAACGTGATCTCCGTACAATCTGAACACGAGCTGCCCTTTAACAAACCCAGAGAGCCCTCCACGCGGCTGTAGACGGGTTTTTAAGTGTCCTTTGTACTGGTCCTTGTCGCACTCGATTCGTCCCGTCGAGCTCTCTGCCCAGGTGCGCAGGTGGTGGTGGGTCAGGCTCGATCGAAGGCCAGGGAAGGGAAGGGCAGAGAGAGAGCCGCCAGCAGCCCCAGCCGACAAGCCCCAGCGACACCTTAAAACGTGACTACGCAGGACTGGGCCTAGCATCGCATTGCTAGCAGCTTGGAGCAAGCCAGACGGGACAGCCAGCCAGGCCCCAGGGCAGTCAGACAGCTCGCCTCGCCCCAATCTTTGTAGGGCCCGATAGCACTGATAGCTGCAGTACAGGCCGGAGGGCAGCGACCACCACCACAAGCGTAGCGCAACCTTGAACCCGCCCAGCCCGCAGCCCCCAATCGCCGAGCGCCAGCGGCCCAGCACCCCAGCAAAGCCAGCAGCCAGAACCGGCGACCAGCAAACGAGTGAGTGAGCGAGCGAGCGCGTGCGTGCGTGTGTGCGGTGCGTGCCTTGCGTGCCGACCGGAAAGCTGCCACTCCATCATCCACCATCACCATCATCCATCCTCACATCAGTCATCATCGCCCATCCACGGCACCGACCACGTCCGTCCCGCCCCACAACCCAGTCTACCCTCAGTCTCGACAGAGCTGCCTTACATCGATCCGTCCACCCACACACTCTCATCCATCCATCTATCCGTCCATCCACCCATCGACATCGGCCGCGTCGCAGCTTAGCTGACCTCCGGCCCCCCCAGCTGCTGCTGCTCCACAACCTTCCAACACAGCATGCCCGGCAAAACACCCCAACGCAACGGCAAGGAGCCCGTCGAGAACGGCATCCGCAAGAACAAGACCAAGGACGTCGAGATGACGGACGACAAGTCGTCGCTCAAGGGCAAGGGCAAGGGCCAGCCCAAGAAGGGCGCCAAGGAGGGCGAGGACATGACCGTCGTCGTGCCCCCCTCGAAAAACACAAAGCAGTCGTCCGCACCGCCCCCCGCCGACGCCGATGGCGATGTCGCCATGGACGAGTCCGACAAGCCCGACGACCTCGAGGTCAAGGTCGACCCCGTCACCCAAGCCATCACAGGTACGTGAACCCCCCTTGATGATCGCCATGATGACGACAAAGCCCGCCCCGGGTCCATCGCGACGCCATCATCAAAAAGCTCCATCGTCCATCCGCCCTATGGGTCTACCTCTCTCCACCACCATGCCCTGGCCTTGCTGCTGACTGCCCTCGCTACAGATATCAAGAGCAACTTTGCCCTGCTAGACCGGGCTGTCGCTCTGTTCGACGCCAGATTCTCCCTCAGAGCCCTCCGGTCCATCTCGTCGCTGCGTAAGCGCCTCACCCCGGATATCCTCGCACAGGTCGTCTCCGAGTCATGGCCGGCCTCCTCCCCGTCCGCCAACGTGGCCAAGCAGCTGCTGGCTGCCGTCGGCAAGGAGAGCACCCCGCTGGGCCGCCAGCCCGGCCCCGAGATGGAGATCGACAGCGAGCCCAAGGCCCCGGCCAAGAACGGCAAGAAGGAGAAGGAAGCCCGGGACCCCATCCCCGAGATCGATATCTTCCTCGGCATCCTGGCCCAGGTGCATCTGTTCGACTCGAAACAGTACCAGCAGGGCGCCAGGTTCTCCAAGTACCTCACCGACCGCATCCAGTCGCTGAACCGCCGTACTCTCGACTCGCTCTCTGCCAAGGTCTACTTCTACTACTCCTTGTTCTGCGAGCAGCTTGCTCCTCTGCCGCCTTCGCCTCAGTCCCCCATCGTCTCCATCCGCCCTACACTGCTGGCGGCGCTGCGGACTGCTGTCTTGCGCAAGGATGTCGACACCCAGGCGACCGTCATCGTCCTCCTTCTCCGCAGCTATCTCCTGACCTCGCACATCTCCCAGGCCGACCTGCTCGTGTCCCACACCCAGTCCCCCGAGAACGCTGCCAACAACCAGGTCGCCCGTTTCCTGTACTACCTGGGCCGCATCCGAGCTATCCAGCTGCGATACACCGAGGCGCATGAGCATCTGACGGCCGCCACTCGCAAAGCCCCCGCAAGCTCGTGTGCCCTCGGCTTCTCCCAGACCGCCACCAAGCTCCTGCTCGTCGTCGAGTTGCTGATGGGCGACATCCCCGAGAGATCGACCTTCCGCCAGGCCAACATGGAGCAGGCCCTGCACCCTTACTTCCTGCTTGTCCAGGCCGTGCGCGTCGGCAACTTGGAGGACTTTGAGACCAACATTGCCGACCACGCCGAGACCTTCCGCCGCGACGGCACCTACTCCCTGATCCTCCGCCTGCGTCAGAACGTCATCAAGACCGGTATCCGTATGATGAGTCTGAGCTACAGCCGCATTTCCCTCCGCGACATTTGCATCCGTCTGCACCTTGGTAGTGAGGAGAGTGCCGAGTACATCGTCGCCAAGGCTATCCGGGACGGCGTGATCGAGGCCACATTGGACCGCGAGAGGGGTTTCATGAAGAGCAAGGAGGTCGGCGATGTCTACGCCACCAGGGAGCCTGGTGAGGCTTTCCACGACCGTATCCGCGCTTGTCTAGCCCTGCATGACGAGAGCGTCAAGGTAAGTTTTATCTAGGCTTGGCTCATTTAAAACATGTATACATTGCTAACGCTCTACTCTTCACCAGGCCATGCGCTTCCCCATGAACCAACATCGCCTAGAGCTCAAGAATGCCCAGGAGGCTCGGGAACGCGAGCGTGAGATGGCCAAGGAGATACAGGAGGGAGACCTGGACGAGGACGACCTCGGTGGTGACTTCGAAGGCATGTAAATTTAAGCCGCTAGGGGCTTGTGTATTTCTGGAAACCGCAGGGGGGCCTCGCAAACCGGCCAGGCCTTTCTTAATTCGAGCGATGTGATGTCTACCAGGACTCGGCGAGGGACGTTGGGCAAAGTGTCACACCAACCATTTAGACGGGGGAACAACGAGCATCGAGTTGTGAATATGCGATGAGCAGGGGGTTTGAGCAAACCTAAGAACCCGGGGGGCAGCAGGCATATCCGGGAACCCCACCGTGTACTACCTACATATGGCACAGAGATCTTTTTTGTTTTTGGCACCTGGGGCTTGCGGGTTACAGTTCGGAGTCGAGTGGTCTCGGATGGCATGCCTTTCAACACTGCTCGGCACCCCCTTTACTGCCCAGGTAGCGTCGAGGCCCTGTTACATCAATTGAGATTCTGCCGCTGTTGCTACTGTATTCGAGGCCATACTGGACGATGCTGGTGTTTGGCTGTAAATGCATCCATGAGATGAGATCTTCCTTTATCTATAGACAACTCGTTCGTGGTCTTGACTTTAGCGCAAACCCCCTTACCCGGCCACCGCACAAGGGAGAGCTTGGTCTCTCATCCCCTTCCTTTAACACCTCCAGCCAGCGCCCTCAACCCACCCCACCCCCTTTGCCCCTTTTCTCTGCTGTCTGCCCATCTCCGGGTATGAACCGCCGCATCACCGCCTCGACGTACGCGGCATCGAGCCCCCACCGCTCGCCCGCCTCCCGGATGCCGCGGTTCATGCGGCCCACGTACTCGTCGCGCGCGCGCCCGGGCGTCACGTTGGCGCCGTCCACGTACACCAGGGCCCGGACCGGCGCTGCCGCTGTCTCGCTCATGGGGCGGCCGTTTTCTTTTCCCTCCTCCTCCAGCAGCAGCGGCGTCACGTCCACGAACGCCCGCTGGTACGCCCACGGCACGCCCTCGCACACGTCCAGCGTCGCCTCGTCGCGCGGGGCGAGCCGGTACAGCAGCCCGTAGACGAGCGGCTCGTCGGTGGCGTCTTCGCCACCGCTGGGGCTTTTCCCTCGGACTGTTGTTGTCGTTGGTGCCGGTGTTGCTGGTGAAGGGGAAGGTGGAGACGACGATGAAGGTGCAGGAGCGCGCACGATGTTGGCGTAGCCCCGTGCGTTGATCAGCCACGACCACCCGCGCAGCCGAGCCAGGCCCAGCGGGACGGAGCCCGGGCACCGGGACTGCATCTGTGTGGGTGAGAGGTTGGAGCCGTAGGCGAAGTAGAGCGTCGGGGTGGTGGTGGGCTGGGCTTCTCTGTCGCTCGTGAGGCCTTCTGCCGCGGACTTGGGCGAGCTCATTGTGACGTCGTTGGGAGAAATAAAGGGCGTGGTGTTTATGTTCCTCGCTCCGCCAGTAGGTAGTCTATAATGAGATGCGATGGGCCGGCCCTGTTGCCTGGCTTTGCTTCCTTGCTGAGTTATAAGCCTCGGGCTACGTCTTTACCGGGATAACAATTCCTTGTCCTTATGAATGCCTCGGGGGCTATAAAGGAGATATTCCCGGTCGGAATTGAGCTGGTGGTGCACAACAACAAGGCACTGTGTCATATGGTATAGATATGTCGATATAGGAGCGAGAAGTATTCTAAAGCACAAGTAAGTTGAACGAATCTGCTTTCATGTGGGGTCAACTCGTTCAGGTAGGCGTGCTGATTGCCACAGCTTGAACTATTACACTATAGATGTCTCAACGTGATTCCCACCCAGAACAACTCAAGACCACCGAGAATCCAAGCGCCTTGATCATAATTACTGAGCCATTATTTAAACTTTTCATTGGATGAGTATCCAGCCGGCGGAAGACTAAACCTCAAGACTTTGACCAGCTATACTACTTGGCCAACCCACACCAGTGATGCGTGACATCATTAAATCTGGTACGACAGCTTGACCGGCGCACCATCCTTTTCACCACTCGTCAGCATAGCCTCCAGCAGCTCCAGATCCGCCAGCGCCTCCTCAGGACTCTGCTGAGGATCCTGCTTGCCCGAGAGGATGCTCTTGGCCCACGCAAACACCTCGGTCGCCACGCCGCCCTCCTCGTTGACCTTGTCCTCCACCTTGGGCTCCCCACCCACGCGCGTCACGGTGACGCGGTCCCGGACCACGGTCACGGTGCCGTTCTCGCACGCCACGGCGAGCTCGTTGGACTTGAACGTCGAGCCGAACGACATGCTGACGAGCCCCGTGGCGCCGTTGTCCAGGGCCAGCGCGGCGTCGACCGTGTCGACGGGCGGCAGGTGGCGCTGCAGCTGCGCCGTGTGCGCGCTCACGCTGCGCACCTTGACGCCGCCGCCCGCCAGCACCAGCCGCAGCGCCGCGATCTGGTGCACGCCGCCGTCCAGCAGGAACCCGCCCTGGTACTCGGGCGCCTTGCGCCACGGCGTCTCGATGTACTTGCCGCCCAGCAGCACCAGCGCGTGCATGCGCAGCTGGACGCCCAGCACGCGACCCAAGCCCTTGACCTCGGACGCCGCGTGCAGGTACGCGTTGAGGTAGCGGAACTGCTCGGCGACGCCAAAGGTCGGCGTGACGTCCGGCAACCGGCAGAAGTCGATCAGCTCGCGGCCCGCCGCCACGTCCTTGGCCAGCGGCTTCTCGGCCAGCACGTGCTTGCCCGCCCGCAGCGCCTCCTTGATGAAGGTCGGCTGCACGGGGATGGGCAGCGCGATGATGACGGCCCGGATGTCGCTGCGGTGCAGCAGGTCCGTGAAGGACTCGGACCCGCTGTCCTCGCTGTACAGCGCCACATCCGACAGGCCCTCCGAGACGCTCTTGGCGGACTTGAGCGAGCGCGAGTAGATGGCCTTGAGCTCGAGGTCAGGGGACTTTTGCACGGCCGGCAGGTGCTGCTCCTTGACGAAGATGCCTGGGGTGGTTCTGTTAGCAATTCCAGCGGCTTCAACAGGGGGTAGGTGGGTCAACTCCTTACCGCTGCCGATGATGGCAACGCCGATTTTCCCGGACATGTTTATCGGCACGAGTCAGTGGGTGTTGATTGTCGTTGAGAGTATAGCGTTAGATTGTCTGACGACCACTGAGCTTCCATGCTTTCCGTGAGGGGTGGCAGCGTGGTTTTCCCCGCAAGCGGATAGCGTCACGCTGCCGCTCATGCTAGTCGCCACGACTGACGAATCATGACGCTGGACACCCACAGTACCGCTTTGGGAAGAGTATACCCCAGCCATGGATTTCCCCCTGCTACTCAGACTAAAATGTCCGAACGGGGAGGTAAATGAATACCCCAAATGTGGCATTATTAAGGTTGAGAGTATCCCTTTGATTTGTTGAGAATGCGTGGTCACTACGAAGCGCTGAAAACTGGGCCATGTTGTGTTATGAACTGATAATTAACTTGATATCAGACCTCTTTTGACTCGGGTCGCAATCTTTGGCACGTATATACTATGGATGACCAAGCAGTGGGTTCAATCTCAATTCAGGGTGCGGCTATACAGCTTGCAAGCTGACCTTAAGTACTGCGCGCTGGAGTTTTTGTCGGGAGTAACACGAAACTCCAGGTTGCGATATTGACAGACTTAACTGACCGACCCGCTGATACAGCAAAGGAACTCGGCCGTTGGATCATCGCTGCGCTTAGAGTGATGGTCTTTCTACGGAAGCTGGTCGGATAGCCCGTTCGACGCGTCGGACGAATACCGAGCCTCGGCACGGCTTTCGTCCGAACTGAGCGCACGCTCTTTTTGAAAGTCTACCACACAACCCGTGTTGTGTATCCTGCTGCCGGGCGCCTTCGCAACGATGGTAGATGCAAGTCGGAACCATTCCTCACAGCATTCCTTACAGCCTCGCATCGTCTCTCCGACGGCGTGCCGATACGCTACGGAGCAACGTCACTTGCTGTGGATCCAATGGCGGTACGTCGCGGGGTCGCGCCGCTCACGCTGGATCCGGTGCGGTGAGGCGATTTCATGCAGCTTGTGCCAACAACCCGTGATCCCGTTGAATGGGAACTTGATCCTGTGAGGGTGGCGTTGAGTCCCAATTTCGTCTTACCGGAGTCCTCCTCGGTAGACTTGCTGGCAAGTGAGGTGGATATCGTAATCCTGGTAAGCGACCTAACAACAATCAATGCCATCTGGTTATCGGTATAGTCTTTCTCATGCTCGAGTAGGAAGCTCCCGTTGCCTCCGCAAGTATAGTAGAAAATAGCCAAGATAACCTTCGCCAGATTGCAGCTTCGAATCGATACCGACCTTGCACGCAAATTTGTTCTCTGCGTCATCTTCTCCTTGGTGAACCCTCTTGTCCTTTTTGGTGCATATAAGATCAAGTCTCCTTATAGGGCCCGCCCTAGACCCGTAATATGGAACTTCGCTGCCGCATGGGGCACTCCTGAACTTTCGGATTATAGACCAACTTCACAACCATCAGTCCAGTCCGTTACTCTCATGGATCTGGTGCCTGACAGAAACCTTATAAGTTGAGAGACTTGATAAAGTATTTTAATGCAGGCTCTCCTTGGCACGAACCTCACGAGTCACTTAAATTAAAGCACCTGGTGCCTCCATTAAGAACACGAGTAAGCGGAGTAGCTACAGAGGTCTCACAGTTAAGCACGACTTCTAATCTACTCAGAACCTTGTAAAGTTATAACATACAGCATGGTGACTGGGTGAAAAATGTCACATGTGGAATGGCTTAGTGAGATGGAAGACTTGGACTACCAAATGAAGGATTTTAACTCAATTACGCGAAGTACTCTGCAGATAAAACACCATGGGTAGCGGCAGCATTGTACTACATGGGAAATATCAAACTCCCATGAGGAAAACACATGGAAAGCAATGTATATTCCGTTAGGCATCAATATACGTCTCTTAGCTGACTAAACAAAGAATGTAGTAACCTTCTCGACGAGGCGCGCGTGATTGCGTAGGTAGGAGTGCGAGAGAATACCAGGGCGAGTATGCCCGTGTGATCAACAAGCTGTCCCAAGCCTGCATTTCGAACGGCGACATCGCCAGAGGCCGCAAACTGCGCGAAAAAGAGGATACAATCTATGAGGAATTGGTGGGCACGGGCGAGTATACATGGTCTAATGGTGAGGATGCCAAGTGGGATTACCTCATATGTCTGAAGTTCAGGTGATCGGCTATCTTATGCGAGCTGCGGGGGCTTTCTTGTGGGAAAAGTAGCTTCCCAAGCACTCATCACCTTGACCAATAATGCATCCTGCTTCTTCCCCGCGAGTGCTGCAAATCCGAGCGGTCGACCGTTGAACTTCAGATATGAGAGTGGCATTCCGGCCACGGGATAGCCTAAATCACTTAGTTCATGCGTGATCCATAGGCCATGATGGTCTTCTTGTCTATACATACCACTTCCGGCCGCAAGCGAGGTGATGAAGCTGTCAGCTGGGCCAATAATGACGTCGAGGTCATATTCCTGCAAGATCTTGTGAATGCCCTGATCACGCGTCACGTGTCTCAAGTGCTGCAGTGTGTTTTTGTATTCTTCGCTCGATAACTCTTGGTCTTGAGTTTGAAGGAAGAAGTCTTGGTTGGCATGATCTGCGCAAGTCAGTATGAATGATTGAAACAGCATCCATGCAGAACGTACGAGGGGGTAATTCCTGCTCAGCATGTTTCTTGTTGAAGTCGATGACATCCTGGAGACTTCGCACTTTGCTCTCCGGCAGGTCTTCGAGGTACTGATTCAAGAGCTTCTTCATGTCCGTTTCTGAGACTTGTCAGTGGCCGCTTCATGCTTGTCAATCTGAAGACTTCGTACTCAGAACCGTGATCTCGCTATTATTCCCATGAAACCCGAGCGAATCGATGGTGTTTAGAGGGACGTTATCGACAAAATTCTTGGCCTTGGCCTTTATGGTGGCATATGCACCGGTAATGTCGTGAAGCTAGCAACGGAATAAGCATCCAAGTAAATTCTCGAACAAACGATACTAACTATCTGTTCATCCGCTTCAGGAATAGGTTTGATGAAAGTATCAGGAAATTTCCAAAGTGTAGGGTCGAGGACCCCGACTGAGATATCGCTCCACAAGCGCGTGATGCTCGACGTGAAGGACTCAGCAGGGTCCGAAATTGCGTCAAGCAAAATCGCCAAATCATAGACAGATTTTGTCATTGGGCCAGCGGTGTCAAAGAGTAGTGATGCTGGGACGATACCATCCTGTGGGACAAGGCCAATGCTTGGCTTGATGGTGTAAAGGGCAGCTCTCCCAGCAGGACATATCAGTGAGCCATCTGTTTCAGTACCGATGGAGACAGGCGAATATCCTGCAGATACAGCGACGGCAGATCCCGAAGACGACCCTGAGGGGTTCTTTGGCAGTCAGGTCGATGTACCATCCGCTATTCTGGGCTTACTTACACTGTGGCCGTCTTTGCCATCGTTGTATTGCACGCCGCCAAGAACATAAGCCGATTGCGTCTGGCCGCCAACCGCAGACCAGCCACTTGGGAGCATGATGCCGCTATATAGCATGAGTTTGGACCCGAGAGCCATTAAGTATTAACGCTCCTTACCGCCAGTTGGCAAATTCCTGTAGAATGTCAGGCTACTGCGTTTCCGATCGCCCTGGCCATGAAGCTTACGCTGAGATTCGATTTCCCAAGAATTATGGCACCATTTCGAAGCAGCTGATCATCCATGAGCCAGAGCTTCTTTGATAAAGATGGAGAAGAAATATAATCAAATAAATAAAGCAAAATAAAAGAAAATCCCTGGAACACCAACCATGTCCACAATCGTCGCGCTCTGGCGGACCTTGGCACCCTTCAGTGCCATGCTTCCCGCCGTCGTTTCCAAGCCCAAATTCGGGTGCGTGCCGATATTGTCCTTTGGAAGTTTCAGTTCGAGATCGTCCAATGGATGATGTCACTACTCGCCTTAATGATGATTGGAATACCATGCAGCGGGCCTCGTACGTTTCCTGCCTGCCTTGCGTTCAGCGTCAAGTTCGTGAGCCCTTTTAAGGAGAATTTCTCTGGGCGTGATCTGGATCATGGCATGCAGGTAACCATCATGCTTCTCGATCTGTCCAAGGTAGAGCTTGACAAGATGGCTGCTGGTCACCTTGCCTTGGCAAAGTAGCCGCTCCAGCTGTTTGACATCAGCCGTAAGAATGTCAACGTGACTCTTTCCAGAGCCCATGTTGAAGTTGATCCAGTAGCTTTCGTCTGCAATGAATGTGTACAGAGTGATGGCCACGATTCCAACACAAACACGAGGTATGAAGAGGGAGCGTTTGTTCATGGAGGACAACGGGCTGGCAGCGATTCGGGTCTCTCCACACAGGCACCCAAGCAAGCCTGATTCGGTGCACGTAACAGATGAGCCGCCGTGGTGTTACGGGGCTTTCAAGCTGTTGCCAGAGAACGCATTGACGATGACACGCTAGTAGGTGGTTGTTCTATTGTGTGTCGCGCATCTCTGCTACATGCGTAGAAATGCCCGCCAGAGACTGTTTACGGATCTTGCGGCGAGCAAGGAGGTTGTAAGTTAGAATGCTGGTCACCAATTAGTGGTTGGCAAGGTTGGCTTCTAATACTGCGGTGACGCTTGCCTGGCCGGCCTTCACCTTCTCTCGCTCGTTGCAACTTGCGTGGACGGTGGCTTCCATTGTGGCATTCCATCCGTGGGTGTGAATCAATTGCATCGCCCCAACGCGGTATGCTAGTTGGCTGTGACCGTCAACCGCTATGTAGAGCTACATCTGTGGAATGACAACGAAAGTATCTTCCGTGTTGGTCGTGGTATCAATATTGCCTACCGTGGCTGAAAGAAAGCAGGGCATTCCCTGTCTGATAGCACAGGGTCCGTGCCTCTCGGCGCTTGCGAAGTAACGGTGTCGGCGGAGGGATGCATCAAGAGGGATGCGTTAAGAGAGATGCATGGCATGCCAGAATAAAGTTATACATAAAGGCAAGGTTTAACTATTATTATCAAATCTGATTCTCTTTACATGCGTTTCAGTGTGATTATTATTATGAGTAGCTCAAAGGGATAAAATGATTACATGTATAAGTAAGCTTTTATCATCTCCATTTAAGAGCACACCTTTTTCTCCAAAGAAAACACAGCATTACCTTTCTCTCTTGCAAAGCTTTTATACGTGGAGAGAACATGGCCGCTAATGGCCGCTAACATTGCCGGTTATTTCATTGCATTGCTGCCCTAGGCGAATATACTGATCCAAGCGTGCACAGTAAGTGTATGTTGGTTTCTGAAACTTCGGAGCACAACGTGAAGATTGAGCCGGTTTACCAAGCCTCGTAGGAATCGCAGTTGCGTTAGAGTCTGCCGTTGACGAATGGCATGTCATCACCAGTTGCCTTGCGAGCCTCGACTACTTGAGTACGATGATTAAGTGCAGATGCGGATGCCTCGGCTGAGGTGTGACAATTCTCGTGAGCTTATACGATATCATCAGAGATCAGGTGCGGTGATGTACTCGTGTTACAGACAGTTTCCTAGCTCTCATTGATCATAGTCCTTCTGGCGGGCCTCTAGACACTGAAGCGATGGAGTCATCCAACGACCATCCACTGCTAGTGCTGCAATGCCTCCAAACTATCAGTGTCGCATATGATTAGCTACCTGTAAATCACCATCGAGGTTAGTGTAGCCACAAACTGGCACTTAATCTGCGAGATGATAGATGATTTAGGTTTGGCCCTAGGCTTAGGTTCAAGTATTAGTCATGCGGCTTCTATAAAGGCCGAATATAGACCATTGTCGGTGGTTCCTTTGGCGTTTTCTGCTTTACGTCGTCTCCCATCAGCCTTTTCGACTGACCTGGCAGCTCATCCAACCGATTGATTTAGAGAATGGTGTATGGAGCTAAAATTGCAAACCGCGCCAGTTCAGATTAGAGAAGCGTGAAACGTGCCGTAGATGTTTGTCTGTCACTCCATTCATGATCTCTTGGGAAGTGACTGCCGTGCATGCCATAAGTCAAGTGAACCATCCAGATTCAATTCCGGACAATCGACTTGCTTTCTATTGTGCTCAGCCGAGCGAGAAGAATCAGATCACACCGAATATCACGCTGTAGAGCAGGATTCCTGTAACACTCATTGATGCCGTTTGAATACAAGGCTTGTGCGATCCGGTGGAAATGTGCTAAAAGGCTAGAGCGAATAAAAAGTAACGATGAAAATTAATATTCAGAGACAGAACGCATTGTTTGTCTGAATAAGAGCCCTGATTGGAATTTTGGCAAGTGTATATTTTCCACGATGGATTCCTAACAAATCAAGTTTTCCTATCTTATGATTTCAAAACAGGCGAGTTTGATGGCAAGAAGATGTCCAACTTGGGTGATAAATAGTCATTCTTGAGAGAATACATGCGCTAACAACAAGAAAATTACACGACCGGACAAGGAGAAAAACACCTTAGTTACCGTTCAGGCCACAAGCGCTTATAACACCACTGGAACTCGCCGCGACACCCGACGCGGTGTAATACCATGTCTCTAGCCACGCCTTCGCGTATTAGCAAGTCCCGCATCGAACAAAGCCCGTGGGACCTTGCGACCGCCATAGCCCAGCCACCAGTCTCGGGTGTGTCAAGGGTTGCCCCGCGTTCTTGGAGCAGACGGAATAGATCTAAGCGCTCCTTGAACACCGCCAGGACAATAGGGGGCGGATAGCCTTCGTTGACGTCCGCGCCGTGGTCTAGCAGAAGTTGCACCACAGCAGTTGTGCCATGCCAGACTGCTCCCATCAACGCGGAGTCTTGGGGTGCATACCAGTTGGGATCTGCTCCGGCATCGAGAAGAAGTTTGACAATGTCTACGTGGCCTTTGCGAGCCGCTGTCAGCAGAGGCTTGTACTTGTAACTGCGGCGATCCGTCGTGTCTCGATGTGAGTTGACATGGTTTGGCTTCGCGCCCTTCTCGAGAAAGTATCGTACCATTTCCGATCTACCAGAGCCGGCCTTACGAGCAAGCCAGACGGCTGGCTCCCTCAACAGTGAGTCGAACATCTCATCGCGAGGCCCTAGCATAGCTGCTATTCGCTCATAGGCGGCCGGCCATGGCGTAGCAGACAGTGCACTCCTAAGAATGACGACACTCCCTCTACTCATACGTTGTGTTTCTTCCTCGGGTATCTTGAAAGCCCCAGAACCAAGGGCAAAGTCGAGACATTCTCGGTGGTCTTGGTCGGCAGCGCTAAAGAGAATTTCGCGTTGATGCACAAACAGAGGGGTACCAGTCTCTCTGTACTCTGAATTACATGAGAGGAGGAGCTTAATGATGTCGAGGCTCCCCCGGACCGTGGCGACGTGAAAAGAGTCGCCAAAGATACTACTGCGTACGTTACGTCTCCTATCTTCGTTGCAGAACTGAGCGCCGTCCGCAATCAGGCGCTCGATGTAGGCTTTCGGGCCAAGGTATATAGCCGCAACGCAGAGGTCCGCCTGCAGATCGGACTGAGAGCACTCGCATTCAGGCTCTTGAAGGAGCTCACGGGAATGCGTTGTGGCCGCGAGACCGATAAGCGATCCGGTGCACGCTAAAACAGCTTCCATGCTAGTATCTCCGACCTCTTCACAGAGAGCATGCGCGGCATGGCGAATACGCCCAAGCGGAGACGTTACGGAGCGTGCCCGCGATGCCTGGTGTACCAAATACGAGTCGATATAAGCGAGTTTATTGTGGGGAGACGGCCGTCTGGACCTCAGGAAGTATTGGGCCGAAAAGGGAGTGTCAAGGAGCTGGCTGAAGAGGCGTAGACGACGAACGGCATCGTCAATGCCTTCCTTGAATTGGCCTGTAAAGTGGTGAGTGAGACGCTTGCCATACTGGAGGGGTCCGCTTAGGCACATACGACTCACCAGCCGGAGCCGCATAACACGTGGCATCACGCGCGATAGGACAATTTGGCTGAAGATGAGTTCTATGAGCTCTGGTGGACAGGAGAACAGATGCATTGCTGACAGGCGGCAGGACTTTGCGCGCGAGAGGTCTGAGACGTGGCCGTGAAAAGGAAGTGGGTAGTTCAGTCAGAGGAAGCATGGAGAGCAGACCGGCGAGTAGAGTTCCGTTCATCGGTCGCCCGGTGCTCTCGATGATTTCGACAACGCGCAGCGATCGTGGCTGTGATTCGCAGGCAGAAAGGCGCGGGCGGTGCTGCGTCGCTAGGCTAGGTCATGAAAAGGTCGACGACGTTACTACGTGCCCCTCGCACTGAACATGCATGATATGTCAGCCCGTTACCACATATGCCTCCACCACTTTAGCCCTCGTCCAGTCTACAGAGTCATAATCCCATCGCAGAAACGGGTGCGTAGGAGTCCTCATATGACCATGACCGATCAAAGCGCAGGTGTGCCTTCCTTCGGGGCTTGGCGCCTAGCGTGGGGTGTGGTGTGCGGCACAGCACCGCCCAGGATTGATGGCAGACATCTCTTTACTGTGGCTTCAGGCAGCCTGCGCGGAGTCTCGTGTTCCCTTTTCTCGTCCACTTTCAGCATGTGGAACAATTACAAGTAACAAGCCCAACTAGCAGCTCCCGATGAAGCCAGTACTCATTCAAAGCCGTGCTTCGTTCTTTGGAAGACGGTTTCTAAACAGTGTCTTTTACTACGTTCAGGTGTTAATCCGCTTTTCTCGCCTGCAAGTCCTTGGACAATGGCGCCATCCCCGAGAGAAGCCAAAAGTGGCTCTATACCACGACCGCGGAGTAGCTTTGATCCAGTCCATGGCTCACCTGGTTCCCTTGAGCGTAGTCATGGCCTTCATAGTTCTCAATATCAAGTCGTGGTACTGGGGCGACCCGTCCGCTACCGTGCTCACAGCCCTGCAGTTTGCCGCCAAGATCTTGGAAATACTGATGCAGGCTTCCCTGGGAATAATAATGATGAGCATCGTTCGCTATCAGCTGTTCAAGGATAGTGGGCTACCTTTAGGGAGCCTACTGGGACCGTACAGCGTTACTGATGTCACGTATCTCTGGTCGTTGGAGTTCTGGGGAAGCCTTCTTACCAAGCATGCCCGCTTATGGCAAAGGCTTTTTATAGCACTGACTATAGCAGCAATGCTGATCTTGGCATCGCTAGTCGGTCCGTCAATCGCTGTCCTGCTTATTCCACGACCGATAGACTACACCACGGGACACTACCTTCAAATGCTAGATGACCAAGCGACCATATTCCCAGGCCATGTTCAATTGCAAGGCGTGAACCTTACGTATGTTGATATTTCGTGGCCCAGATCAAGTCGAGCTGCCCTTGCTAATACCGCTACAGGAATGAAGATGCTTTCCGAGATGTGCTGTACCAGATTGTCCGAAACAAGAACGACGACCTCCAGTTCACCGATGCAACCAACTTGATTCGAACGATACCGTCTTATGATAACACACCGCTGTTTTTTCCCAATCCTTCGCCCATGTCAGGCGTAGGAACCCTGGCCGCAACTCTCGTGTCACAGGCAATGCGATTTCCGGGCATGACTTTCTTCAGCGGAGGCCAACTTACAAATGCTGAGATGGGGGAGTTCGCCAGAGCGACCACTTTCCAACCCTATGTGCAGTCAGATTGCAAGAGACAGTGGCTGAACAGCACAGACGATCCTAAAAGCGTTTATGTTACGTTTGGTGATATTAGCCCTGAGGCGACGAACCTTACATTTGCAGACCTCGTCGACATCATCAAGTCAGTTACTGCTGATAATGCAACGACCAATACAATCGCGGTAGCTTGGAACGACGCACCAACAGCAGCATCCAACCACTCTATATTGATGGTTAAAGGACTTCTGCTAGAAGGAGGGGAGACAAACCACGAGGACGCCACCGTCAGGTCCGAATCTTGCATCATCGACGCCGTATGGGCAAAGACAAATATGAACGGCACTTTAAGTCTGAGCTCGGACGAGCTAATCAACGCCGAAATGCTTCCTGCAGACAGCCAACAATTCGACTCCCAACTGATCAGGATCCCTAGCGAATGGGCTTCCAGGGTAGTTGACGTCTACGTGGAATACCAGCCGGACATTGCCTCCATGCCACTAGAAAGAATTTTCGCTCTAGCCTTGGCAAACACTGCTCCAGTGCCACGAATCGAGTATGGGCCTATTGGATGGCATGCAGTCCATAATGATCCCATGTACAAAGACCAAGAGGCGGATACGCTCTCCATGTCCCAGGTACAATACGACGCAACCAAGGCCTACTTTCAGGCGAACAAGAACATTCTTTCCAAACACAATGATGTCTTCTTCTATACATCTACCAACTGGAGCGATCCTGGAAACCTTTACCAACTCGAGGTGGAGAGCTTTCGCCAAGGCTACGGTTACAACAGCTCGGGCGTCCCGGTCCTGCTGTCTCTCATCGTCGTGTCCATATACGCCCTTGTCGCGGTCGTTCATCTTCTTTATACCTTCGCCACGGGTCACGTCGGAAGATCGTGGGACACGCTTGCAGAGCTTCTAATGTTGGGTCTTCACTCACAACCTCCTGGGGTGGCGGCCACCACCAACACGACAGTCGGAATAGAGACGGCGGTGCCATTTGAGGAACCTGTCAGTGTCAGGGTCAACGAGAACGGAAGAGCTGAACTGGTCTTTTTAAGGGACGACTTGAATAAGAGGAGGGCGTTGGGACGGGTTAAAGCTAACGAGGCTTACTAGGGTACTGTCTACATTGTTTCTGTCTAAGTGTCCTGCTTAGATGCGGTCTGCATGATGAATCGTGCAGCGAGTATAAAGCGAAAAGCGTCATCGAGAAACGCCGTGAGGAATTCAATATTCCATACTTATAATATATTAGCGTGCAAAAAGCTGCATGGTTTGTATTTTCTACCTTCTGCAATGAGTCGACGTTTTATATCGCTTTAAGACTTTGCGATGTACGACTTAACTAGTTTAATACTTCTAGCCAGTAGAGGAAGGGCGAAGAGAGGAATACCCAAATTTAATCCGCTTCCGAGACGGTCGAATCAGCTTCTTTCAAGCGGTATGACCAGAATTGACAAACATATTAGACTTCTAGGGGTAGCGCTTTATTTACTATCAATTGCGACTGAGCTCCTTAAGGTTCCGGGGCATTCGACAGAGCGGATTCTAGATTGTAATGACCCCTGCATCGTACGTGGTTGAATCGTACTTGGTAGATCAGAATTTACACCCATCTGGATATCTGTTCAAGGTCGTGTTACGTGACTTGTGGTATACTTCACGTTCTTCATTCAGTTCCCTCTACCTATACCAGCTAGATACCCTGTCTCCAACGTGGAGCACACGATATCACTACATTGCTGACTTTAAGCGGCACTTGAACAATCCTGGCTCAGGCGTCGAAGTCCTCCTACAGGATATACTGGTATAGCGGGCTCTTCTCACCCATGGCGTCAAGTTCCGCTTGTGTATGGGCCTGGCGTACGCTGGCCTCTGAAATCCTTGCCTTGACCTTGTTAAGTCTCATGAGCGCCAGCTCCATGACAATAGCGGATACAAGACCCATACAAATGATGCCGAGCGATACGCCATAGCCAGTGGGGTATCGTGGGCCCTCCTTATCTAGGAATATGCTTGTTCCAATGATGCCTGGTTTTGGTTAGCATTGTTCCGTTACTTACCTGCTTTCATCAGGGGCAACTTACTTCCAACATTACCGGCTGCAAGGAGCCAGGCAAGGCCAATTGATCGTTTCCACGACGGTGCTAGATTATTACCCACCCAGGCAATGGTACCGGGTAATAATGGGTAGATGCCAATCTGAGCCAGCATGACGCCGAAATACATGCCAGGCATATTCTGACGCACATTGACCGACAGCGTGAAGAGTATCGCAAAGGCGACGCAGAGAACCGTCAACGGGCCAGCAATGAAGGGCATGCGCCAGGCAAACTTGTCCGAAAGCCTTCCATTCAACCACGCGGAAACGGCACCAAGAAAGTATGGCGGGATAGTAAGCAGTTGGGCGGTCTGGGTTGAGAAGCCAAACTGCTGGATGATCTGTGGCATTGTAAACTTGAAAGCCGCGTTGGGCACAGAGTTCGCAAAGGCAATCAGGATACCGAGGGCAATCTTCCAGTCAGTCATTGTCTGGAGGAGGAGCTTCCAGGAGAACTTGTCACTCTCCTCACTGTTCGTTCGCACACCAGACAAGCGCAGTCTCAAGTCGAGGACTCGCTTTTCCGTGTCGCTCAACCATCCGACGCGCTCCAGACTGTCAGATATCAACAATGGCATGGCCAGACCAAGGAAGACAGTCACGGCGCCTTCGACTATGAAGATCCAGCGCCATCCCTCGATGCCCCGCAAGCCGTCCATGCGAGCGATTGCAAAGGCCAACAGCCCGCTCAATGCGCCGGAGAGTGCAGACGCAGTGTAAAACAGAGCTAGGCGCTGCTGAAGTTCATGTCGTGGATACCACTGTCCCACAAGGAAGGCGGCACCAGGGAAGAAGCCTGCCTAGAATGCTGGTTAGCATTTGTTTAACAGTCAAAACTTGTCAAATATGCGCGTGTGAGTTGAGAACTGACCTCAAAAACTCCAAGAAGAACTCTGCATGCGGCCAACCCGGAAAAGTTCTGGACCACACCCATGCACGTCATAACTACACCCCAGGCCAACATCAAGGCTGAGAGCCAGATGCTAGGGCGGATCTTCTTGATTACAATGTTGGACGGTATTTCTACGAAACATGTTAGTGATGGCACCTACCAGCGAATTGCAACCAAGACCACATACCGAATATGATGTAGGGGACGAAGAAGATAGTGCTGGCAATATTGTATTGATTCCCGATCAACCCCAGGTCTTTGTCCATGCCTTCTATCTTGGCATTGCCAATGTTGCCTCGGTCGATGTGTGCGAATAGGTACAGCAGGGCCATGATAGGAATTAGTCGAACGTCGACCTAAAAGCTGGTTAGTTCACTATGTAGCAATCGCTAGAAAGCCGCTGGGCAAAGAGGGATAAAAGAAATTCGACTTACCTTTCTGGTGATTTTCTTCGACTGGGCCTTGCCACAATTACGCATGAACTCGGCGTCTTCGGGGGCAAGGCTGCTATACTCGTCGCCGGCGTTTTCGATATCCAAGCCCAGTTTCCCATTGTCTTCTACCAATTCTGGTCCAGTATCCCTCTTGGGTTCAGCCATCTCAAGATTGGTTCTTCTGGTATTATTATGAGATTTTGCTTGGCTGTGACACGCACGTAAGCAGACCAGAGGTGTAATGCAACAAGACAGGCCAAGAAGCTAAGCCTTATATCTTGGAAATGATCTCGCCGAAAGAAAATACACGCGAAGCTAGGGGTCGACGGCTTCCCCCATAAATCCAAACAACCGGGTTCACGGTGCCGTTCGGACAAACGCCGAGTGGAGGCACGATCGACTACCCCGTGGGGTCAGTTGCAGTAGCAATTGGAGAACGCCAGCGGACAGGGGTCGTCCTCCACATTTTTACCAGGTTCTTGATCATTGGCCGACAGCTGCTCAAGAATGGTATGAGTCCTGACTCGAGTAACTCTGGCGGATACCGAAGACAGACGAAGTAGTACACCCTTCCGTCTACATCGTCTTCCGACCCGCGCGATTGGTATACATGATGGATAATATAATTTTAGAAAGTATCTACATAAAAAGCGCTATAAAGGCCGAATCCCTCCATTTTCTCCAAGGCGATGTAGAAACAAGTAGACAAACTGATCATAAGTGCCCTTTCAAGGCTTAGAAACATCGGTACCGTTGATCGCACGTTCGTCATCGTCCTCGATGCTCTGGATGAATGTGAACGGGAAGAAGACGTCAAGTCTCAGATGCAATTTTTTCTTCTTCTGCCAAAACCCCCATGAACGTAAAGATCAAGATTCTCGTCACTGGGAGGCCTAAGTTGCCAGTCCCCCTTAGGTTTCTATCGATTATGGCACTTGTCAAGAAATTGTCCTCCACGAGATAGCACGAGATATAATTGAGCATAACATGGCTACATTTCTCCAAACGCAACAGTCTAATAGAGTACTGCTAGGGCCTTCAAGAGTCCTACTACATGGGACAGGTCCGCAAGCCCCACAGCTTCAGCCTTACACACGGGCGTGAAGATTATGTATCTTATTTTTGAATATTGTTGCACCCCAGATATTATCAGGCTCCTTGGACTTGGATCATGTCTGCAACTATGAGCTGCAGGCCTCACTATGGTACGTCCATGCACATACGGGAAAGCTATCTTTCATATTTGAAAACGCTCTGGCATTCTAGAAGAATGCAAGAGCGTTTGGTGGACTTGCGACACCACCTGGTACCTGTACATGGCATTATTAGCTATGCTTGATTTTCCAAAGGGCCTTGAAACTAACATTCATAGGAGAGCTGGAGAGGAAAAAGGTGTATCGGTGCAGCGATGCGCACAGCTTTGCGAGATCTTCGAGGTAGAAGAGTTCACCGATTGGCATTCCCCAACCGGCAAGAAGCCACTCGTGGAGGTGCCATTCGAGTTCTGTGCACGGCCATACTTCCAAGGACCGAGTGTCCCCAGCCACGGCTGCGAGCTTGTTGTTCCAAAGAAACTCGAGCAGTTCCCGACTCGGCTTGATGCCAATGTTATCAGGCTTTTTGGTCTGGTATAACTTGTCGAGTTGATCGCGCTGCTCAGTATCCATGGACTCGTATTGCTCTAAGTAACCGAAACGGATGATAAGTATATCTCCAGGGCGGAACACGTCGAGGCTCAGTCCCTGATCCTGGAGTGCCTCTACAATCTCACTGAACGGCACAGCGTATGATGTGAACGTATCGACCGTGTGGCCGCGCTTCAAAGCCCATGCATACCAATCGACGAATATAGCGCGACCTGCAATGCCTTTCATGGAAACGTCTAGTCTGAGTGGTTATTACTGTTCACGTAAAGAAACAACATATTGTCTGTACATACGTTGGATGCCGTTTGGATGTGGAGAGCTGGCGAAATCCTCTGCCGTTCGACCCATAAAGTAGACCTGGACGCAGAAAAAATATGATCAGTATGGCTTCCTTGCCTTTTTGCCGATGCGATACGCACCTCTTCCTTCTGGAAAGCATAGTGTCGGAAACCATCCCATTGCGAACTACATTGAGAGTTGAATGACCACTATTGGCGTCAGTCTGCAATTGCAGCTAGTGAAGGCTACAGAGCATGGATTCATTCACCTCGTCATCGTGAGCGTGCTTTAATGGTGCCTTGTTGATCAAATTCTGTTGGAGAAGCTTTCGCGGAAACCTGGGTTTAGACGCACCAGTCATTGACCAGCTATTGGCCTGGTATTAGTGCCATGATATTCAAGAGCCCACGTAAATCAAACGAATTGAAAGACTCGTCATGATACGACATAGAAACACACGTACTTTAGGGACACCCTTTGCCCTGTTTGGATGTTTTCCTTGGCGGCCTGGGCGACAACTTCGGGGTTGAGGAGGTTCAAGGTGCCAAGCTGGTCGTCCGGACCCCAAAGCCCCCAAGCATTGCCATGTGGCCCTTTCTTGTCCAGGGGTAGGTCATTAAAGGTAGGGTACATTGTGAAGTACCGGGAATGGGCTTCTCTTTGAACCTTCTTGCGTGACGTAGAACTGGCGAAGTAGGCACCTTTCACGTATGTCAGCTATGGCAGGTAGGGTCACTAAGGGCAGCACCTTTGCGGTGGTATGCAAAAACAGCTCTCACAATCCATCTGGGGGTCAAATACAGGTTCAGAGAGAAAGCTAGCTACCACCAAAACCTCGAGCCCTGAAACCGGTGCTAAGCTTGCTAAGCTTCCCTCTCGCTGACTCCAAGACTTATGGTTAGCGCGCCAGGGAGGCTCTGTTCATCGGGTCTTGGCCGCTCTTCGGACAAAGCCCGAAGTCCCTGACCCACATACCTACCCCGGTGCGAATCGCGGGGTTGGGGTTGTGGTGGTTACATGTCTATCAACACATCATGCAGTGCGCAAGGTTTAGACCCTGAAAACAGATCAGCATTTATACAGAATCTCGGCGCCTGGAGGTGGAGGCTGGTAACACCGGTGTTCTACTACCATGGTCTATGTTACCGACGTGGCTACGAAGCGGTCGCTTTTAAGTGCTGAATTAGGTTTATTCACTGTATAAAAAATGGAAAGAAAAGACATCCTCCCCTTTCCCGTATACATGATATTCCTAAAAGCGCACTTCATGAGCGGGTAATCATCGGATATTGTGGTGCCGGTATCACCGGCACCTAACCTGCGGGCTTGGCCCGTAGGAGTCTATCATTGAACCCCAACGAAGAAGGTTGGACGATGTGGGTATTGCACTCGTACAGTGCGGGCAAAGGTCAAGGATAAAGGAGAATAGTAGGATGTTTCGCTAGTTCGATGGTTGCGACGAGCACCCGGTCCAAGTCCTAAGAGAAAAACCGCAAATATATTTCGCTGATGATTCCTGGCTGCGATTTCAAATCAGCGATGATTATGGTAGAAACAATGGACCTGAAGTAATTGATTAGCTAAAGAAGCTAGTTACTTTTCAAGCGTAGTCATTTGTTACTGAGAATAGTTGTAGTATATATAGTTCATTGAATTGATCGTTTTCATTGCTAGTCTCTAGTGCCTGTATAGTTGTGGACTGTGGGTTCCAAAGTCGAGCCATGAACTATCGGTCAAGAGGGGTGAAAGGTGCCACTAAATGATCGTGTGAACTCCCGAGAGGTTTCAACAATGATGAGGAAGTAATTAGTTCACGAAGCGCCAGCTGTTGAACTCTCCCGTCTCCCGCTGCCGCTCCTCGAGCTGCTTGTTCTTCCTGGCGACCCACCATCTCAATGCCAAACAACTCAGCACTGTCACTCCACAACCAACCATAATAACACCACCACCAGTCTGGTACCGAGGAGCCTGGTTGGTCAAGAAGAAGTATGGCGTAAACCAGTGGGTAACACTGCTTGATGCGTTGGTGATAGCGATCAACGCGGCTCTCTTGACTCGGGGTCTCTGTACGACGGCGGTTTCCCACGAAAGATGAAGGTTCAAAGCGATGAACGGCCCTGCGCATAGCAGAAAGAGGCTGAAGTACCTCGGACCTTGCTCAAGCGTGGCAATCAAAATCACGGTGCCGACCAAAGAAACGATCATAACACCAGCGATGTGCCAACAGTGGTCACGGAACCTGCTGCTAGTCCAGGAGACAGCGAGGCAGGCCATGTACGCAAAGATGTACGGCGGTGCTTGCAGGAGATAGGTACCCGTCTCATCGAATCCGAAGGTGTCCATAATCTATGGCCGCATTAGCGCCATTCCAGCGATGGGAGAAGAAGTGGCTTACCGAAGGAAAGAAGTCCTTGAAAGACTGGGCAATGATGACGAAGAAGTGCAAGCAGGTAAATAGCCAAGTGAAGGGATCCTTGCAGGCCATGATCGTTCCATCCCAGGCGCCACCCTCGTCGTCCTCCGTGACACCACCGGCATTGACCAATTGTCGGTACTGTGCCATCTGCGACTCCTCTGCAGTGAACATATATTCACCAGTGTTGTGGGGCCATTTGGGAATGAACCAGAACGAAACGACGCCTACCACCACGCTGACGATTCCTTCAATGAGGATAAACCACTTCAATACAATTAGCTTCAATGAGTTCAATAGGGTGGGATTGGCTCTTCAAACTTACCTGCCATGAAGTGAGGCCCGCGACGTTTTTCATCCGAGTCAAAATTCCAGCAGCGAGCAGACCTGATATGACGTTTGAGATGATATTTCCGGCATGCCAAATACTCATTCGCATTGGCGACTCTGACTTCGTGTACCATGACGAGGTCATCAGTGACACAGCTGGCACGAATGGCCCTTCCATGACACCAACGAAGAAGCGGCATAGGATGAAACCCACGCTGCTGGTGCAGAGTACCATGGCCAGCGTCACGACAGACCAGCCCAGCATGAAACAAGGAAGAAGGATGCGAGGGTTTCCCTTGGCAAGCATAACGTTCGCGGGGAGTTGGGAGATGATGTAGCCGACGTAAAACATGCTGATACCGGCAGACCACTGCGTATCTGTCATGTGAAGATCCTTTTGCATTCCAGCCAGCCGTGCGTTGGAGACGTTGATGCGGTCCAAATAGCTTTAACCTGTGTTAGTGATTGCTTGCGGTCGGACGGGTGTTCCAATGACCTACTTCATCAACAGCATCATTGTAATGCAAGGCAAGAATTGCCAGTCCAATTTACGGACCAAGCTCTTGTTGATAGCCTTTCGCTGATCCTCAGTCAGGTCCTTGAGTAGGTCGTATCGCTGAAGCATCTCATCCTGCTCATCGGTTTGGTGAACCTCGTCGAAGGAGGCTTTTGCCTCAGCCTTTTCGGGGACATCGTTTGTGGCAGACATTGTGGTTCCTAACGATTCAACTCGTGGGTTCAGTTGATTGCAGAGCTTGCCTTCTCATCGAAATGCATATTCAGCCTGGATGATAGTTTCTTTTATCTATACCCTGCCTGCAAGGCTGCCAAGCATGCATCACGTTGAGTTCGGACGTCGACCGACACCAACAGTTCCATAGGGCCTTCACGAGGTTGGAAATGGAGACAGGACGAGCCTTCTGATTCGAGCCAAGTCCGTGGGGAATGCTGGGTATTCTGGGCATGCTTGGCACTCTGGGGTATGGGGGAGAATTGGGGAAGCAGTATCTTTTATTTTGTGGGGGACAGCCTTATCCCGCTCCCCCAGAATCCCGCTTCGGACTTGGCCCGGACGGTCGAGTGGTCTCGAGCCCGAACAGAAATGCCGGCGTGACGGCAGGTATGGAACCAATGAGAATGCCGCCAGCCAGACTTCTGCGCCCCTGTCGGACGATCCCCGTGATGGTGACGAGCTGATGGTCTCTCCCTAATACTAAGTTAGCTGTTAACTCAAAGAAAGGGGACAGTCCTTGAGCCTTGCCAATCACGACTCAAGTTGTATCCCCAGGAAAGTCTGGCACCACAATGCGGGCAGCTCGCATCATCCTAGTCGTCAACTCCTCCCATCTTACCGCCTCTGCCAAGGGTTTTCAAGAGCGCCCACTGTGCAACGCCACGTGCAAGCTAAACTCCGGCCGATTGGCGACTTAAATTGCCCTGCACCTCCGCGCCCTGATCGTCCCGGGCGGACGTCCTAGAATTCCTAGAATACGCGCTGCCATTTCCTACATTTGGGTCCCCAATGGCTACTTCCTGGCAAAAATCGTGACTCTGCCACTGATGGTCCAGGCGAGTGATCTATTTGGTCGGCGTTGGCTGCTTATCGGCTCAGCTACTCTCTTCACATTAGGGAGTGGCCTCTACGGGGGCTCCACAAGTATGAACATTCTTATTGCATCGCGTGTAATGTGAGCTGTCTCGTATATCCTGGTATATGCCGCGGCGATGAACCCATTGTGTCATCAGGCCAGGGCTCGGCGGCGGTTGGATCCGGCTGATGACAATATCATACTCACCGATCTTGTGCCACTGCGGGAGCGCGGCAAGTACATGGCTATTGCTATGAGTGGACTTTGACCGAGCATCTCTCATTCCTGAACCCGGTCTTCTCGAACCGTACGTCGATCAGTGTTCTCATCATCAACGTTTCTCCACACCGTGGTCACTTACTGGGCTTTCTACTTCCTCCCAACCTACATTCAGTCAGTCCTTAGACAGTCGCCATTGTGGTCTGGTAAGGTCTATATATCTATCATATTTGTCAAAAAGCGTAAGTTGACTGTTCTTATTAGGTGTAAATACCTTGCCAATATTTATTGGACTGTTCCCTTTCGCCGTGCTCGGGGGTTTTATCCTGTCGAGATTGGGCCGATATAAATCGATACATATGTTTGGTTTCGCAATCTTGACAGCGTCCTTTGGCCTCTTCACTCTACTGGGGCTGTTTTCGAGCACTACAGCATGGGCGTGCTTCCGGCTCCTCTGCGCTGTAGGATCCGGTACAGCGATCGCAACGTTCCTCCCAGCTATTCAAGCTCCTCTGGATAAGACCCTCGTTGCCGCTTCTATCGGTGTCTGGACTTTGTCCGCTGCTTCGGCACGGTCTGGGGTGTCACCATTCCAAGTACCGTCTTCTATAACGAGGCTCGGGGGCCTTCAGCAGACCTCGCTGACGAAGCTCTGGCCCAATACCTCAAGGGTGGGCGCGCCTACCAATCTGCCACTGAATCATTCCTGGCCAGTGTGAAGGACCCGGAGTCATTGATTGAACCAAGTAATACATTATTCTACAAAGTAATGCAGATGACACTATCCTCGGTCCGCATAAGCTAACTGATTGGAGAACCCCAGTCTCTGCAGATAGTCTGGAACGTTGGCATTGCATTTACCGCCTTGGAATTCCTTAATTATAATCTTCATTGAGAAGGTGGTGACGCTTCGAACCAAACTCAAAACGGAATACGGGCTTGATGAAAAGAAAAACCAAACGGGTTCTACAGGCGAATTCAGTGTGAAGTATCTGCAAACAAGGCCGAGCAAGGTGATGATGAGCCTCGAGAATCGAAAGCAATTCCATAGGGCGCGGCCAGTCGCAAGCCAGCTTCTGATGGTGCCCCGCCAATCGCGCGCCGCCAAAGTCCGTTGAAGCATTTCCATTTCTCAGGTGTGGCATTTCGGCTCTTGATCAAGGAACGATGACAGCGACAGAATCCAGAAGGCCCATCCCCCACCCCCAGGGATCCTCAGAGTGGTCAGTAATAAGTGGCGGGCAGACAGTAGATTCTCAGCTCAGCTCCAGCCTGCACCCCATTTCCACAATCAGGTAACTGCAGCAGGAGTGGCCAATGAAGTCTGCCGCCCGCAGGTCTGGGCTTGGCTGGCCTTTAGGGGTCGTGTGAGCTTAGATCGATTAGCGACTAGCGCTGTGGCCACAGGGGAACGCTAGAGCCCAAGTAAGGCAACTTAGCAGATGAGCCGAACTTGTGTACGGAATTTCGAGTCAACTAGAGCAGAAAGGCGTACGGGCTTGACCACGCGTCTCCTAGCTATTTTCATCTAGCTGGGCGCGTTCGCATACTAGCTGTATGCCAAGACTCGCTGTACACATGGACCAGGGCTATGGGCCTCACGGCGCGGCTGCAGATCGACAGGTGGGACGGTGGAAGGCGTTCAGGAAAAGGGCTGGCTTGGATAATGATAAATCCGAATTGTTCTCGAGGACATGGCTCGCCTCAGGCTTTCTCGTTTCACAACTCTGCTCTACTGCGCTTGGGATAATCATCCGCCATGAGGATTGCCGCTCTCCGCGTGTTGGCAGCCTCGTCCGCAGCCTTTGCTGTTGTCGAGGGTAGCAAATGCAGTTCTGTGTTCCCTTCGACAACTGGTCTTGCTGCCGCGTCAACTGTTAGTGCCTCCTCAGCCTCAGTCACATCGACTGGCAAGAGCTCCAGGTCCTTGAGCTACGAAGCACAAGGAAGCTCAACAAGTAGTGTGACGGATGGTAGTTCTTCTCTGGCGTCCGCCTCAGCATTCTCATCATCCTCGTCCTCATCGTCTTCGCCTGCCGCTGATAGCTCAATTGCTCCACTATCCTCCTCGGACGAAACATCATCATATGGCGGAAGTGCCACAGCATTAGATGGGACTGCCTCTACAACGATCTCTTTTTCTGTATCCTCGACAGCATCGCCATCCACTAGCGACAGCTTGTCTTCATCATCGTCAACGTCTGATGGCAGCACGGCTTCGTCAATGTCATCGTCGTCTGAAAGCAGCTTGACGTCGACAACTTCATTGTCGTCGTCGTCGTCGTCGTCGTCGTCTCAAAGTAGCACGGCTTCGTCGACGTCGACTCCTGATGACAGCAGCGCGAGTTCATCGTCTTTTTCATCGGCGTCAGTGACCTCGGATGACAGCAATTTGTCTTCGTCGACAGTCTCCTCTGAAAGCATTTCCACATCCCCCTCATCCACGTTCAATGCTGCGGACTACACCTACTATGAAGTCACTCTGCCGGTTACATTCACTGAGACATATGATCCAGTGGTTACGCCGACTAGCACCGAGCCCTACCAAATAACTGAAACACCTACACAGACTTGTTTCATCGACTCGTCGAATATGGATTTGACGTTCAAGATTGCCACGAGCAATACTATTCCCTTGATTCCCAAAAATGGACGGATAGGCATCCTTGAGGCCACTGACTTTCCCGTACAGGGGACCGGGGACCAGACGGAGGAAGACGAAGAACAAGCGGCTCAAAACCAAGATTACTTCAACAATTTGCCCGCGTTCAGCTTTCAGATGACGACTGCGGGATCAAGCGACTATTACGACTTCGTGGCAACCGTAGAAGGGAGCGAGATATATGTTGCTCTAGACGTAGGGACACTGGAGATCCACATTTCCGACACTAGCCAGAACGATCCGAATGGCCTCGTCACGGGCATTTTCACTTTCTCGTGTGATGGCCATATCGAAGTCAACTACTTGGGCACCGAATACACTTGGTCTGTAGGACCGGACAAAGTCAACACTGTTCTAGTTGCCGGGTCCCCAAGCGACGACGAACACATCTTGTTGGTTCCCACGACCATGCCCCCTGGTTATGATGAAAGCTATACCAGTGATGCCACTGGCACCCTATCGCGTCGGCACCCGCGCTATGCCTCCATGCCCGAGCTTCAGCGCCGAAATAGCCCTTGGACGGACGGGCAGCTGCCGAGGGTACCCCCTTCGCCCGCAAATTTATATTCGTACAGGCGTGACGGCGCCCGCGATATGGAGTCTAACGGCTGTGGTTCCGGCTCAACCGCCGGGTGGATCCCTCAATTGAATTTCGGCCATTGCTGTGACCTACACGACTATTGCTTCGATAATTGCTACGGTGGGAACCCCCGCGAGAAATGCACTGACGACTATTGCAAACCGAGCAGCTGGGAAGGGTGCAACTCTGCTTTCTACAATTGTTTGCACAGCAGCATTTGCTCGCAGTACTCCTGGATTTGGTTTACAATCAGGCGAGCTGCTTGCGAATGTGCTGCGTCGTTCTACGCCTGGGTTGTGACGACCCACTTCGGCGCCGACGCTTTCAGGGAGGCCAATTCGGAGAGATGCGATGCCTACTGTCCCGAAGGTTATCCGTTGTGTCACGGGCAGTGCTTGACCTACACCGGAGACGATAACAACAACTGCGGCGGCTGCGACTATAAATGCAACACGGGCTTGCATTACGAATGTCGAAGCGGCCAGTGTGTCTGCACCGCCGATATACAAAATGATAGCAGCAATTGCGGCGGCTGTGGGCGCACATGCCCGTATAAGACTCATTGCAGCGGTGGGACCTGTGTCTGCAACGATGATCGGTGCGGCAACCTCTGCGTCGATCTCCAATCCCACCCACGCAACTGTGGTTCTTGCGGCCACGTGTGCAGCACCGGCTACTGCTTCGAGGGGCAGTGCGTGGATATATCGGGGCTTGCCACCTCCACAGATTCTGCACCTGTGTGCTACCCCACAGACGCCGTCAAGAACGGTGGTTTTGGTAAGACCACAGATTCCTACGTCGTGGATTCCCACGACGATAAAGTCGCTACTAACGGTTTGCCCTGGCAGACATACTCGACAGCAACAACAACGCTTCTCCGTGGGAACTTTCCAATGATGATACAAGCCACCAGGTCACATATGGGCCAAGTTCTCTGGCAACGTCGCAACCTAACAACGCGTAAGTTCTTCTGGGGCAGAAGCCATTCTAGCTTGTCTTGTGCTTTGTATCTGGCATCCGGCTAATAAATCAAAACAGTGCAATCCACAATCTTGACCCCACCGGGTTTTCCGGTGGCGTCTACCTCAGGCAGAATCTGACACTGTGTCCCGGGACAACGTACGAGCTGACTTTCACATTGGCAACCATGGATTTTGATGCGACTTATGTGAACCAATGGGGTATCCTTGTGCGAACTGCCGACAGAGAGCTGGCCACGATTTTCCTATCCTATTCCGACTCCACACCCCAAGGTTATGGCCCATACCCTTTCACAATCCCAACAGCCCCTGCTGAAGGCGGAACCGGATGGGGAGCCAACGACGATTGGCAATCAACTCAGTATGACTCGACAGGCACCTTTGCGTACATTCAGTTGGTGTTTTGGGTGGTCTCTGATATCAATCCTCCAACCACCCCGGATGGGAAGTACAATCTGATGGAGGCCGTCATATTTGACGACGTGTCAGTATATCAAGCTTGAAGTGAAATAGTTCGTCAAGCAGCATAATGAAAATTCCTGAGACAGCTTCACTGCGTCTTCGAGCTAATCATCCCTCCTCGAAGCATTTGTATCATGCATTTCCTTTCCCGCGGACGCTCTATTGCATCCCAAGCTGTAGAGCGGGGGGAAAGCGGTTACAGGCACTGGCTACACTCTTTTGAGGGACTACCCAAGCTCCAGCCATGGCTATTGTCGGAGCTCGAGCTCAAAACAGACCGTCGGAGGCCCTGTTAAAACGGTTGCCTTATGGGGCAACGGAAGACCGGTCGTAAACGGCGTGCAGCGCGGTCGGGGCGGAGACGGAGACGGCCGGGGCGGTAAAAACTATTTGCGGCCTGGATGAGTCAACACGTAAATTCGTACCGCGTTAAAGATATTGCGGGGATATTGCAGGCGATGTGAATGCTATCGCTACGAACTGCCCAGGACTCCAAGGTTATTACCTGCTTCATGGTGCTATGGACCTCGCCAGTCACTTCATCGGATTGGGAAGTGACAACTGTTAAGTGGTCTGCGGTCCCTGACTTACACGCGTTAGTGTATCGTCGTATACTGGAGGGACTTCCGAGTAACCCAACCAGTGAGCTCAGGTGCCATGGCGTCGTGAACCTACGGCGGTTGTGGCTTATACGTTCTCATCTTCTATATAGCTATCCTTCTCTATGTGCAGATTTTGACAATACAAGGCTTCCTCATATGCAAACCCCCTGCATTCTCGCGGCCGACGACTTGCTTCTACGTCCAACGTGAGGCCTTCGTTCTTTGACTGGCTATTTTCTCACTGAACGACCTTTTTTAAAATCGTCACTAATGACAGCAGGAACTGAGATCTCTTGGCACTGATAAATCCTGTGAGAGGCGGAGCTCCTGCGGTTCGAAGAGACATACCGGATAATTGACCATTGAGACATCTCTCAACTTCCAGGTCCATAGCTACCAGTCCTCCATATCTTGGTTGTGTCCAGTTCTGAAGTGTCATTGAATGTTCTAAGCCATCGAAATACTGGGTATTAAGAGGCCCGCGAAAAAACAGCCCAAAATTTACAGGCCGTTCTATAGAGTTTTAGCAATATGTATTAAGCGAGAAACACATTACAATTCCACATGATGAGTTGACAGTCGAGTGCAACTGAAGAGGGCGCTGCCGGCAGACTGAGTGGAATTAATACTAGCAGTTTCTTATTTAGTAACTCATATTGCCTTTTCAGCATTAACATTATATACGGCGTTGGCTACAAGTGAAAAGCCTTGTGATACTTTTAATTGCATTCTCCGTTTGTTCTCCCCCTAGTCCCTGAATACCGTCAAATTAAAAAGTCAAGTAAATTCTGACCTTTTCACAAGAAATCGCATCCCGCAAAAGGGTCGTATTCGCTACCGGTCTTAGCAGAGCCCTGTTCCCCTACATTTCCCCGCCAATACGATCGAGCAGTGCGGCCCCACCCGCTCGGCTCCACTTTACTAGACAAACACTCCGACTGGCTCAGCCGTAACTGCCCAACGACAGCAAGATTCATTGCGGGAAGTTCAGGGAAGGGGCTGGGCTGAAAGCCACGCAATGTCTAGCAGGAGAGGTTTACTAAAGCATTTCAATTCATACTACACTTCGCTTGATATATAGTGTCCGACAAGATGCACCTCCAATTCGAGAATGTGGTCCTATAAGGTAACTCTCAGACTTAGCAGAAAGTGTAACAACTATACTGTGCCTTGGCTGGCGGGAGTCGGGGTTCGATTCTCCTGTCCGTGTCTTAATACTGTCTATATGGTGAGTGGAAGTTTTAATGGCTTAAGGCTGTTCGACGTTTCTCACTCGTATTCAAATACTTCTACCATGAGACTAAAGAACTTAAAGGGTTTCAGAGACTAAGCAGAGGGCAAGCATCTCATGGAACGTTTCCTGGCCAGACACGGCTTGGCTTCAGGCTCGTCATAACATGTTGACCAAAGGGCAACGATAGACATGTCAGGCCATAACGGACGATGAGTCGGGAAACCAAGTGAATATAAAATGGAGCAAGTATGATCCCTCCTCTTAGACTTATCACCATCAGCTTCATCCTCATCTTCGTCATCATCTACTCAACACTCTATTCCACCCTCCACCCTCACACCATCTTTTCCAGCTACCAAAATGAAGACCTTCTTGAGCATCTTCACTCTCTCCCTATTGGGGTAACTCGCATTTTGTGCTTCATTCATGCTAAGACTCTAACTCGGTGAATAGTTCGACTGTCATGGCCAACTGCTACTGCCACGTCCGCAACAAGCGTGACATAAAACTTACAAACACATGCTGCGTTGATAATGGAGGCAGAATGACTGGACCCCCCCTGCATGTCCGTTACTGCACTTGAATATCGATATCTGGAAGCTGACTTATCCGCCAGTGCCACTTCGACGATCCTACCACGATGAACATTCCTTTCAAACAGTGCTGCGATCTAAACCACGAAAGCAGTGTTTGTGATTTCAACAACAGCAATGGCACGGACACAAAGCGGACTTAAGCCATGATATACGGTCCCTCCTTCCCCAAGTGCCATAACGACGAAACGGAGTATGAAAAGAAAAGAATTTGCGGAGGAGTGGGAGCATTACATTTCTTACACTCACTTACTTCCATGAAACCTTTGGGTCATGATTACTACAGTTTGCCTTGGCATAGCCAGTCCTTACCGTTATGGGCATTTTTGATACAGCAAGTACATAGCAATTCAAACTTTCACTGGCGCAATTCGATGACTTCGTTGTTGACTTGCTCTCGTCTTAGCTACGCTGATATATTTACCAACCACGGAAATGATGAGTGCCGAAACTAGCCAAAATTATCAGTGATGTGTCTGCATGTTGCCATCGACCTAGCAGCGACACATTTATCCCTTGCAGTGGTGATCAAATAATCTCAGTGGGGGTGAGTGGACTATGGAATGACGGTCCCTCCATATAATTATTGAGGGAATTATGTCAAGTTCTTTCTACCGAGTTAGCTGAATTATATTTTGCCTAGCCAGTTCTCTCCCTCGAAGACTTTCGAGATTCTGACTAGTTGGCTGGGATTTATTGGTAAGATTTAACATATATCGGAATGTTTCAAACTATTACCAACGCCCAGGGAAGACTGAGACAAGGAGAACTGAAAGACGCAGCTAATGAGGAATTCCTGGCGGGCGTTGCTATAAAGAGCTTTCTGGACATTAGTCAGGAAGAGTTTTGACTTCGCAAATCCTCTGGGAGCCAAATCATTGAGATTTTTCCACTAAAGAGCATTGTATGAAGAATCCGACAAGAATTACGGGAGTATATTCGAAGTGCCCATTCCCTGAACGAAAGCAGCGATCGCCACCGCCATGAACACGAGAAAATACTTCTTCACAGCACCGGACAATGGATTTATGCATGCGAGCTCTGCTTGAAATTGGTTAGCAACGGCTCTGACACCATTGTTCTCTGGCTCAATGGAGACCCTGGACTGCTCGACCAGCGTCATATTGACGGGGAACTGCAGGGGAATATCTCAGACCTTTTAACTTCATTAGCCCCGTGGTACACCTACTTGAATACGATTGAGACGACCTGCAGTTTAAATGCATTCAACAGGGTATTTTACCGATTACCAACACCAATAGCATGTACTATCATGTTTGGTCTACAAAGAAGGGCGTCTAGCTTCAGACAAACTCTGCAAAGCGGTCAGTATCTCTAATACCGACCCAGGCAAAGACCTGTGTCAAGCACCTGAAATTTACAGGCCGCATAATCGTTTGTTGTGCATCTGAAACAGGGTAGATGAGTTGACAGAAAACAAGGAGAACAACCACAAAGCGTGCACTCTGCCGCGCTCTCTAACGCGGAGCGCATTCCCAGGCTTACGCATCCATGTAGTTCTTGACCGCCTGTGTACTGCTGCTGCCGTGCCGCGTACCGTTTTGTGGAGTTCCGTCGCCCCACAGAGCAACCGTTTCAACATGGCTGGAAACTAAGTTACGGACCTGACCTGAATTTGCAGCTAGCGCCACCGGGCGAATCCCGAAGTTTGCAAGTTTAGGCCCGGGTTATCGGAAACCGAATGTGTATGGTTCCACCATTTTCTACTTTCTTTTTAGCAGTGGAACACAAGGCACATGTCGCATGGGACTTTCAACTCGAATTCAGAAAGCCCATCATATCCATCATCAGGAACGCTCACGCCCCAACTCGGGCAATACCCCACGCCTTGCCTTTAGTATTACCACTAAAATGAGTGCCATCAACGCCGGAACATCATGCCATGCCTAATCAATCATGTGCTGAAACCACTCCCATTTCAATGAGAGCCAGGAACTTCGCATGAGTAATAGAAGCCACCTTGAGCATTGTTGACAGACTTTGGATTGCAACACATGAACATCGCATCCTATGAGCCGGTCTTATTGACGAGTACCACGGCAGCATTGATGCTTGTCAAAAGCTCACCAGGAATCCTGCTAAGCTCAGAATTATGAGACTTAGTTTGGGAAAATTAATCTGAGTCGACATGTGCTGGCGGGCAGAGTTCCTCCGGACTCACTGGGAAAGAGGTAGATACGAATGACTGGCAAAAGCCAGAATGCTGTACCGACGCGATAGCGGCAAATGACAAATTTGAAGCCTACGGCGCAGCAGGGTCTAGAGGGGTCCAGTAGAAGAGAAATAATTGTCACCTGAGAATGGGGCCGTGTTGGACTCCGCTTAGTCCGCAAGATTCTTCAAATTTCGGGCCTAAAGTGGGCCACATGCGCCCTGCATTCCTAATAAGCTTAATGGCAAAATACCCAAGTCACATCGGGATCCGTACATTTAGGGATAGCGTCATGTGAGAGTGAAAAAGCTTACCTTCTTGAGGCCATGCCCATGGGGGCTTTTTAGGGGTTCACAGTTGTACTAGACGACCTGACCAATCACCATGCCGCATCTCGCCAACCTGATAGCCACTTATACCTAGCCTCAACCACGCGATGAACTTGAGACATCGCCGAAAGCTCCATTTTGGACTAAATAGTTTGAATGTAAGAGAGAGGCACAGTTGCTCGTAGGTCGGTTGATGACCAATGACCATCAACACTGGGCCGAATTACGATTCTTGGCGATGTTTGTACTTTTGAACTTTCTGTTTGCTAATTCTCAAACCATTTCTCAAATCACTTGTTTGCCATTTTCATTTATGTAGAAGCTCGAGTGGTTATAGCTACGGTTGGATCATGTAACCCCGGTTTTGTTCAAACCTGGAGTCAAATATGGGCTTGGTGCGGCAGATGTCAACTATAGCTGTGGCCTCCACGATGGTTAGGCTGCTCCTCCGTAACTGCATAGCCAAATACCCGATTTGGAAAGAAGCTAAAAAAGTACCCTGTCGGCAGTGCCGCAATACTATGGAGCACGACAGGGTTCCAAGATGAGCTTACTATTGGTAGGTGTAAAGCAATACCACAAGACAAGCCTGAAGAGGGGATACTCGGGGTCATCAATCGTGAGCCAGATGAAGACAGTGGCCTCAACGTCCTAGAACTCTGAGTATAAATAGGCTGATGGAACGCAGTCTTTGGGATTGGAAAGCAGGCGTGCTACATCTTCTCCGGCTTTATCTACTCAGACCAGCTCCTCGCTTAGCCTTCTACCAGCATGAAGTCTCTTGCTTTTGTGGCCCTCGCGCCCTTGATTCTTGCCAGTCCCCTTGGACAAACCGCTCAAGAAATCCAAGTCACTCTGCACTTCAGCAAAGAAACCTCCCAATCTTCGATCACGGCATGGACCAAGGACCGCAGTGCCATTGTTGGCCATTCTTGCTCATCAACTCTTGCGTCGGGCGCTTTTGAGGCTCACCCGATTACCTTCGAGGTCAACGAAAACGGTGTAGGCGACGTTGTCCTCGGTGGCCAGAGCTCCAAGGTTCAAGATAACCCAGAAGGCTCGGCCGAGGTCACTTGCGGCCGTATGCACAGTCCATATGAGACTGTCGTCAACTGCGATATCACTATCCCAGGAACCTTGGAGCTAGCTGCTATCAGCAGACGAGACGTTCCCGAGTGCTTTACTACCCCGACGACCTCTCTTAGTGAGGTTCTCGACGGCTTCCACCAAGCCCCCGCCGTTATCCCGACGGAACAGCCCATCGAGATGGCGGCTGTGAACGCAACCGACAATGAGCTCGAAGAGCGACAAATCTGCGGCGTGCACAGCTCGTTCAGTGTTCGGGTCGGCGATGGCAACCCACACCAGAACCCCATGAACGTCCAATTGAGTGTAAGTGGTCTCGAAAATGGATAATTGAATTTTTTTCTGACATCAATTTGAACAGGAAAACATGGACTGTTCCAGAGATGGCTGCATCATCTCCAGGAGCGAGAGCCGCTCCTTGAGTGTAAGCTGGAGTGCGTCCGGAACGGCTTGGTCGTGGTTGAACGCCGGGTTCGCTGTGGAGGCTTCCATTGAGACAGGCAACGACTACCAATGCCCTGGAAACGCCGGTGATTTCTTCTGCTTGTGGAAGAACCAGGCTCAGACTGCCTACACCGTCAGGAACAGGCAGGTTACCTGTGCCGGAGCCCGGGACGTTGGTGATAACTTTGTTATGTGGTCACCCAACAGCCAGAACCGCGGCGGTTACTACTATTGTGTCTACGGCCGAAACTACTGCCGCGCTCTGGGTGATCGCTGGCTTGATACGAATGGCCGCGCTGGTGGTCCTTAAGCGCGCGTTGGAACAAGAAAGACGCTCGTGTAGGGGTGAGGGAGAGTCGATTTCGAGACTCTCCAGAGATAGTTGAACGGTGATGTAGGGGGGTTCTTGGCGGGGAATTCATTACATGTAAGAGGATCACAGAAAGATAGAATGTTCTGCAAGTTTTATACATCCCTTCATAGACGCGGTTCAGCCAGTCACTCCCAAATTTAATAAAGACGAGGAGTCTCCGACCCATTATGGCAACGATACCCTCGGCCTTCCCTCACTGCCGTCCTGGCATTCTTGATAGCCAACGTAAAACCTCGTCGATTTGATAATAAAAACCAAGTTAATTGCGCAATATCGAATTTGGATTTAACGCGTTTGAAGGCCAATCGTTCAGCAGCCTAAGCTGATGCTAGAGAAGAACAGCCACTTAATCAAACCGTTTCCACGTGGGGTCACCGAAAATTGTGTACTAGGAAATATTCGCGTTACCAACAGAAAATTTCCAACAGTGAATGGGACTACTTCTTTTGACAGGGCATCCACGATGAAAAGCAATTAAGTGTTCTGGTGAGATCGATCGCTGCCTATAAGGAGCCCTGCCCAAATTAGACTTTCTCCACAAAATTCAGTGTTTCAGTATAAGTGCTTTGTTTAGAAAGAAGGAATGCCGAGGGAGTTGGCGGACTATCATCTTGTAATTCGACTATGTGGAACAGGGAGGTTCTTCCCTTTTCTTGTGCTGGGTGTATGAGTTATATGCATTCTGCTCCGCAGTAGAAATCACGTTTACCAATTGACGTAGCAAGTCGTAGAGAGGGCAGCCGTAACTGCTGCACAATGTGGTCTGTCAGCAATAGTCAATGCCCCAAACTAGTCCAGATTGAAAGGATTCCTATTACAATGGAAGCGTTTCGATGCTAGAACGGTGCATTGCGCTATTCATTTGCAGGTCGAGCTGCCGAGTCTCTGTTTCTCAAGGTAGGAAGATTTTCAAATTTGCGAATGGACTTTGAGACCGGCCTAAGAGAGCTGTAAGCCTCTTGAAATTCATTCAATGGGCAACCTTACGTGTAGAAGATATTTTCCTACATAGTTCATTGTCGTTGCAGCCCATTGAAAAATCAAAGAGCGAAGCTGGATAACCCCGTAAATGTTAGAAAGCCAGAGACACTGCGGCGGCCATTCAGCACCAGTAAAAAGCCGCCTTCCAAATGAACCAACATCAGAAACATCGGAACGTGATACTGATAGCGAGAGTGGCAGTGATGGTGATGCGTCCAATGAAGGTATTGACGTCGTGGGAGAACTGCGCGCTCCATTCCAGGATGGCGATAATTCAAATGACATCGACGATCACTTCGACGAAGACTTCAGCTTCAAACAACTACCGGTCCACTCTGGCCTCTGCGGGGTGCCAATCAGCCGAAGAATCTGCTAGCGATGGATCGAAAGCATAGTTCATAACGAAATTGAGAATGGCGGCTTGGGGAATTATTACGCATTTGACGTTGAAGATGCGGGATTTGGGGACACTAAGTTTGATACTGGAGGCATAACTATCAACATCGCCTTCGCTACCACGCCTGATGGAACAACATAAGGTATGAGTGGGGACAACGCATCGAAAATCCCGTCTCTAGACTCGAAAGATCTTACCGATATATTCTTCATGGAGCCACGAATCACCACCAAACTTTGGTTCAGTTATATCAGCGTCCTCATAGTTATACGTTAGTTCGACGAGCCCAGGGCTGGCAGGCGAGGTGGTCGAGCAGTTCATCCAGACAGAGCGCCAGCCGGACCAGATAGTGCAAGTCTGTGGGATGATGGTTTTGAAGGTCAAGCTGCTTACGCAGAAGCAGACGCGGATCTTCCGCCACTGGGACTCGTCTGCTAGCCTCATTGCTTAGACCCCCAGTGGTCTGTCATCTCCAGTATTCCACTCAACCCTGAGCCTGGTGTGGCCGCTTGGTGGGGAGAGTCTTTGTTCGCGTGTTCGCCAACTTCACCAAGAATAGGTTGTTTACGATGTTTTGGGCGATTGCCTGGATGCATTATGCCACGTCTTGGTCCAGTGTCGCTTCCTAGACTGTGCAAAGTTGACTTTGTGCCGAACGATATGGATCATAACAAAAGCTCGGGAGGAGATGTTCATGATGAAGTAATCGCTACAGTGCTGATATCAGCTTGCAACTAGCAGAGCGCGAACTCGCCTGTTGGTAGCATAAAGTCCCATTTCCCTCAAATCGTTCAACCTCGCCTGAATTTGGTCGAGAATAGGATCAGTGGAGATCATGGACGATCAGCTAAAGGTGCCCAAGAAGAACCCGAAGCTCGGAATCGGAGAGTTGCCCGCCAAGTTTGACAAGTCTGATGGGTTGCTGGATTGCCATATTATTCATTTCCTAGCTCAGAGTCATTGTGGCTTACCGCAGTCCATGCCAGGTGCCATTCAATGTAACTGGGCAGCCTCACTAGAGTTTGATGGCAAGATGGCCTCGTGGAACTGGCAGGTACACAGCTGAATGAGTATCATTTGTATACCGCAAGAATGAACATGACACCTGAAAGGCTACCGTCAAAGGTGGTCACCGCCATTGAGAGCATGAGACTCAGTCTCCGACACAGCAGAGCTCCGTTGTGATTCTGCGAGAATCTTTAAAAGCCCCGAGGAAACAGATTGTGTCTACGTGTTGAACGATTAGTCTTCCCGTTTCGCGGAAGAACTGGGCCATGGCATCCACTCAGACGCGAGCTAGCTCTAGCAACAAGGGGGATGTTCGGATCGAAATGACGAAAAGTTGGAATGCTATGTATGCTGAGCACCAGTATTGTCGAGACCATGTACGCCAGGAGGATTTCCGGGCCGTTTCGATGCGCCGGGGTTCAGGTGTTAGCGAGCACCTGGGCACCTGACGAGCTATGGTACCTGCATGTGGCTGCATGACTGCATCCACACTATCTAGGTACATAGTACCTCAATGAAGCTAATTGTCAAGAGCATGGCACGACGAGCGCTGTGTCAGGTATGGGAGGAATGACTGGGAGAGGACAAGGGGTCGCAATCAAGTGCATATTGCACGCGATCGAGAAAGCAGGTTCGGGCAACCTGGGGTTGGCATTGCAGCTACTCTTGCACAGGGAGAGGGAGATTTTGGTGCAACTTCTAAGTGAGTAGTACCGGTAATGGAGGGCAGTGCAGAGCAGATGCGTGATTTCCAATCGGGATCTCAGGAGGAGGGAAGTGCGGCACAGCACTGCGCCATTTCGCCAATCTGCAGGCATGTCGCATTGCGGTGCTAATTAAATCTTCATGGCCGACGCTCACCATCCAACTTGCATCGAGGCAGGCGGGGAAGATTACATATGAGAAAGTGTGATGGACGGTCTAATTGATGATGTGCATTCTCGATTGAAACGAGGTTGACGTGGCCTGTGAAGAGGATGGCAAGATGGGACTTGTTGATCTGATGAATACGAACACAGATCGGGGCGAACCTCGGCGGTGGCTATTGGCTGCATCGTTTGGATCCGCCGCTTCCTGCAGTACAAGCCGATCGATCGGTCGGTCGGCACTCACAGAGAGGCAAAAGAGCATCACAGAAGCCCCAGAGGGTGAATCAGTGGTCCGCACAAGAACTCAAATGGGCCGAATGCCAAGCCGACGTATCCGAGAGAGGCTGTTGTTTCCTGTGCTTCCAGAAGGCCTGGCAGAGTTCAAGACAGCACTACGTTCTGCATCTGCACCTGCATCTGCATTATCCGTCAGCGTCGGCTCCCAACTTACCATGGTACCAGCTTTGGGCCCTGTCGCCCGTTTCGCAACGAGGAACCTGGCGCCACCAAATTAGCAGGCACTGGCCCAGGACAGTTTTGCACTGCCCCCCGCTGACGAGGGCCGCCAAACTTGCCAACCAGCCTCAGCCAACCTGCTGGGGACTTTCGGGTTCAAGGTGAACACAACTTACATAGTACTACGTAAGTTATTGTTGGACGCCAAAGTTCCAGTCAACAGTGATTCTGGACAGCGGGCGATTCGGAAGGGCCAAGCCTGAACAAGCTTGACAAGCAACCGCGGCGCGCATCATCTTGCCGCTTTTCGCCCAGGCGCAGTCCATACCCCATACCTAGTACGAATAATTCGCGAGGCCCCCGGTAAACAGCAGAGCGGCCGAGCTCGCGTCAAAAAAGCTTAACGCAGTTTAGAAGGGGTCTTGGGGGTCCTGGGGGCCGACCAAGACCGCTCCCGGGGTGGGCCAGCGCGCATCATTGGTGAGATCCTTCCAGCGACCCAGGCAGCCTAGCGCCGTCGGTGCCGCTAGGGGTCCCCTGTCCGCGTTTCTCGTACTGGACTTGACACACCCAACTTAGATGCATCTCACCACACACTGGGAGCCAACCAGCCCACCAACTAAACGGGTAAGTTGAGGGCCAGACGACGCCGCCTGCCTGCTTACAGTCCACCCAAGGTGTTCATCCCCCCCGGAGCCCTCGTCGCTGCCTTCTACTTCTGTTCCGTACTTCCAAGGGACGAAAACCATTCCACCGTCATCATCGTCATTACCATCACTCCGTCGGTGGTGCTGCAGTTTCCTTCTTTCTCGTCGTTCGTTCTGGCTGAAGGCACCTCGACTTCGTTCGTCGGCTGCTGCTTGTACTTGCTTACATTTGTTTCATCAGCCTTCACTCGTTCGCTCTCCCGCCATACAGCACTGCACAAGATCTCACACCACATCTCCTCAGATCGCCCGTCTTTCGCACCCACAAACCCGCATTGCACGCGCAGAAATCACCTCCATCACACCGCCAACCGCCAACCATGAAGGCGTTCTCTCTCGCCTCGTGGGCGCCCCTCGGGGTCGCGCTGCTGGCTTCTGGCGCATCCGCCGCCGACGCTGCTTGGTCCACCATCCCGGCCATCCAAGCCTCCGGCCAGCACTTCTTCTACAGCAACAATGGATCCCAGTTGTAAGTCTAGTCGAGCCTGCCCGCTTGAGGGCCAAGATATGAGGCGCACAGCCAAGCTTACACACAACGCTTCATAGCTACCTGAAGGGCGTTGCCTATCAGCAGAACTACGAGCCCAATGGCACGGCCAACAATGACCCCAATGCCCAGTACACTGACCCTCTTGCCGACGCCAGCGCCTGCGCGAGAGATATCCCGTACATGAAGCAGATCTTCACCAACATCATCCGAGTCTATGCTGTTGACCCCACCAAGAACCACGACGACTGCATGCAGCAGCTCGCCGCCGCCGACATCTACGTCGTCGCTGATCTGAGCGAGCCCGGCGTTTCCATCAACAGCAACGACCCCTCGTGGAACGAGCCGCTCTACAAGCGCTACACCAGCGTCATCGACTCCCTGGCCAAATACAACAACGTCATCGGCTTCTTCGCCGGTAACGAGGTCGTCAGCGCCAGCAACCAGACTGCTGCTGCTGCTTTTGTCAAGGCGGCCGTCCGCGACACCAAGGGCTACATCCAGCGCCACTACCGCAAGTCTCTGGGTGTGGGATACGCTACGGCCGATGTCCCCTCGAGAGACGAGCTGGCGGCTTATTTTGCCTGTGAACCCGAGGCCAACTCTCCGTCGGGCATCGACTTCTGGGGCTACAACGTCTACTCGTGGTGTGGAGATAGCAACTATGAGAAGTCGTCGTACGGCGATCGTGTCAACTTCTTCTCCGACTACCCCGTTCCTGTGTTCTTTGCCGAGTATGGCTGTATCGAAGGTGTCGACGGCGGCCCAACACACCGACCTTTCACGGAGGTGCCCGTCCTCTACGGCAACATGACCGAGGTCTTCTCGGGCGGTATTGTCTACCAGTGGTTCATGTCGGAGAACAACTACGGTTTGGTCCAGATCGATGGCAACAACGTCTCGCCCTACCCAGATTTCACGTCGTTGAAGAACCAATTGGCCACTGTCAGCCCCTCCATTACCCAGTCGAGCAACTACAAGCCGGCCAACACGGCTCCTGCCTGCCCTACCGTGGGCTCCTCTTGGGCCGCCGCCCCCTCGCCCCTACCGCCGACCGTCAACCCTGAGCTCTGCGACTGTGAGCAAGCAGCCCTGAGCTGTGCTGTTGGCTCGGACGACGCCACGGCGTACGGCGACGCCTTCAACTTCATCTGTGGCAAGAATGCCAAGTACTGCGTGGGCATCGAACGCAATGCCACCTCGGGCACGTACGGCGCTATCGGCGGATGTGACCCCAAGGTTCAGTTGGGTTTCGTCGCCAACTCGTACTACCTGGACAACAACAAGGCTTCGTCCAACTGCGACTTCAACGGCCTTGCCACGGTACAGAATGCCGCCAGCGCAGACACGTGCACTGCACTCCTCTCGGCTGTCGGTACCGATGGTACGGGTAGTGTCCCTACTGCGACGGGTACCCAGGGCACAGGGGCAGCAGGCTCTTCGACATCCAGCTTCGGAATACCCGGATACAGCACACCGGCCTACTTCGCCGTCGGAAAGACGCTCTTGGCTGTCTACTTTGTTGGCCTGGTGGTGTCTGGCGTTGGCATGCTTGCTTTGTAATTGGATTATGGACCGATCAGGCCTGAGAACGGCTCCACGTTGATATGGGTCATTGTTGGTGGTACATTCCGACGATGATCCCCACAGTTTTGATGTCGCATCGGCATGTCAGTTTGTTTTGAGTATGTAGACTAGGGTCTTTGACAGACAGGGCATAATGGATACACTATGAACTCAGATGAGCCCTCCCAGCTCGACTCTATCCCTCGTGACACATGTTCATCACTTGCTGTCAGGATAAGCGGGCAAGTTCATGTCAAAATCCTGAAATCCATCTAGCACACACATGGCTCGCATGGCCCCCTGGGCATATAAGCATGCCCTGGTTATGCATAACTCGCACCACGGCAGCAAGTCTGTAGGATAGCGAAATGGCCGGCTCCTGAGGCCGAGTTAGTCTCTCTGGGGTTAATTCTACCACTGGAAGTAGCAGATTGGTAGCAAATCACATCGATTTCTCTATCGACCAAGTGGGTAGCAATAGTCTGTTCTCGCAGCGGAGCGCACTATGATGATCGAGGCTAAGACAGACAAGCTTTTCATAACCCATATTAAATGCCCCCCGATTCAGGGCGGATGGGCCCCGGTGGTAGAGGCCCCCACAGGCAATACGACAATCGGTCGTAGGGGCCGTACCCGCGCCGACCGGGCGGTCCAGCGCGTCTCGTGTCTGGGCGCCCGCAATTTGGGACGACTTGTTAGCCCGTGGGGATTTGCGCCAACGTGAACGACGTGATGAAGCCCACGTGGGACCTTTCTCGTATTGCATCATGCGCTCACTTGAACATCTCCGGATGGTTTGCCATTCTAGCCAGATCCCGTTGGGCTAGCGTGGGATCCATGGATGTGACTGACGATCCACCGAAATGCCTCAGATTTCCAACTTGCCGAGTCCCGTAATGTCCATGTTCAAGACGCATAATTAAGTTGCAACGCCTCCCAGATACTGCCCTACGCACCGACTCTATAGTCTCAAATCGTTCGACTACATGCAGGCCAACCACATTGATGATCACCATAGCTCCTCGAGGGGAGTCGCCGGCTGCCGGGATCCGACTAGTGCCCGTGCGTTGTTCATCTCCTCAACCGAGGGCATGTTGACGATCATGAGGTATAATATGCTCTGAAAGGCGGATATTGGTCAGTAACAAGGCGACGGCGGCAAGAACGGACGGGAAGGGGGGGATAATCTCGTACCTCTCGCACTTTGTGCTCTCGCGGCTCCTTCTCTGGGTGCTTGCGCAGTCGCTTTTCGTCCTTGCGGGCCTGTTTCTCCCACTTCTTCTGCTGCTCGGCCTCCTTTTTCTGCTGCTTGCGGAGGTCCTTCTCACTCAGCTCAGCGCTCGGGTCCAGCAGCGGGTTGATCAGGCTGGTGGGGTGCTTCCTTTGCTTCACACCGCGAGAACGGTCGTGTCAGTGAGATAGTCGGGACCCAGGAAACTGTGGCCAACGATAGTGAACGCTGCTTACAAATTTCACTTGCGATTTTAGATCCTCCCGGGCGTCGTAAGCTGCCGCTACTTTGGCCAACTTACCGGCGATGCTTCGCATGCCGCCTTTCGCGCTGCTGCTGGCTGCGCTGTCTTCTGCTCCCTCGCTGTGCTCCTCCGACACAGAGTCCTTGGGTTCACAGTAAATGAGAGCCGCCGAGGCCGGGAAGTTTGCATCCCCCGCAGCGCCATCGGTACTTCTGAAGCGGCGCATTATGTCCTGGACCTGATTGGTCTCCTCCGGGATGAGGTTGTCGGTATTACAGTGGGCATCGCCTCGCACGCCTCCGTGGCGCGAGTTCGTGTCGTACGCCATGATCAGGCAGTAGAGCCCGCGCGGGCGGAAGAGCTCGTCGTTCATCTTCCGAAGGTAGGAATTCTGGCTGTGCGACAACGCGGTGAGCCGCTGACGTGACTCCCCACGAGACTGCTGATGTGCTGCCTGGGCCCAGAAGCTAGACTCACCTTATCCGGGCTTGGGTTTCATTGTATATCTCGGCCGCTATCTGGAGCGACATGCCGGTGATGGGCGCGAAGCTGGCGACCGAGGCCGGGATGATACCTATCACCTGCCCGGCGGCGTTCAGTGATCCCCCGAACGGGTTCGACGAGACCGCCGCGTTGAGGCCGTCGATGAAAGCCAGGAAGGTCGCCTGGTCGATGCCACAAAATATCAGATCTGGTGCGTACGCGCGGACGAACCCACGTTGGCGCTGCTTGGGGCGCCGCTGTGGTAGGATGACAACCTGCGGCAGCCGTGGAGCGGCAGTATTACTACGCATCACACCTCCCACGGAGGTTGCTGGGGCTTCGAATTCTCGGTATGCTGGTGGTAGATCCATAATTTATGTCGAAATATGGTTATAGAATTCAAAAACCAAAAGTCCGGTCTACACCTAGCCCAAGGTTCTATCTGCAGAATATGCGAAGTAGCCATCCTGATATATTCCAAAGGTGGCTTATCTGTTAGTCTTGTCTGTGCCGCTCTTGGCTCTTGGACTCGGACTCGCATTCGTTGATTTGGGGGGGATTGACCAACCAGAGATCGCGTCAAGACTTCAGCTAGGATCTGAGCCACGCGTTTATGAATCCATCGTTCGAATAAGTCCACAAGGTGCTGTTGATCAATCAGTCTTTGTCGCTCTCAAGTGAGGTCAAGTTTTTGCCAATTCAGGCTGTTGTCGATGCTTGGCGGCCTCTGGTCAGCTAGCGTGCACATCATAGCTTTCATGGTCGCGTCTGAATTGTCGTAAACTGAGTAGCATAGTCCAATCAATTGTACCGAATCCACGAGTGTGCGGATGCTAATTGATGCTGTCATGCACCGAGATATTGTCCATTTGACGCAGCCAGATTTGTGTGCATATGCTATGTTCTATGATTAATCAATTCTATGGCCTTTACCAAGTTGCCAAACCCCATCGCGACCAGATGTACTCTCCAGGTATATTCTCGTGAAACAACCTTATTTATCTCGGACTACTACCTCTTTCTCATTCCTAATTTCCGAAAGAGCCCTATTTTACTGCCTTGCGCCGGCAAGTCTGGAGATACTGCACCAACTCTTAGGTCCTTTTTGTACTTTTCGAGTATTCCACGACGGTGATACTTGTCGAACTTCTTTGTCGCGTCTTTTCCGGCAACTCCTGCCATGACTGATTCCCAGGTACGTTAGCACAGTTACAATTTAACTCCATGTCCAATGATACGCACTTTTGTGTCCACCTGGATGCTCGTGCTGAAATCTCGTCACATCATATATATCGTTGTCTATAACAATCCATAAATCATTCGCTGTCTTGTGTCCTGACACCTCAACCAGCGAAAATGACTTTTCTTGGATACTCTCGATGCGTTCCTCGGACGGCTCGTCGTTCGGGCTGGAGATTCTGGACAGTGGAAATTGACTGCCGTCAATCACGACATCGACCAAGGGCGCCTTGACAGAGTCTTGAGCTGGAACAGTCAGTGTCGTTACCGAGATATCCACGGCTGTGACTGATTGGTCTACCGACATAATAGGAAAATAACTGGGAATGTCCCGCAAAAAGTGCAGCTTTGAAAGGTGAGTGCCGAGGATCCAGGGGCTGTCGGTTAATCTATAAAGGCTTCAGTGCTACATAAGTTATCAGAACTCTCGTACTTCCACCTCACACCACATCATGCTTATACATGGCGGTTGCCAACCATAGTCCACATCATGTGGGCCGCAGATCATTGGCGGGGGTTGTTGGACTTGGGCTGGGGGTTTCGGCCAAGGCCTCGGCACACAGATATGGGTGCAACCCCCACGCCCCACACTCCTTGATGCTCCTGCGCACATCGTACAGGATGACGTTTACTCTGAGTTACGGAGATTAACTTTTCACGCATAGCATACCTGTTCACAGGGCTCTTGCAATTACTTTCCCCAGGTAGATGCGGTAAGCCTCCGGCTCTTTAAGGACTTTCACATCATTTTCCACATTGGAATCACCTCAGAGTTGGGTACAGTTCACTCCTTGGGGTCGGCCGAGTCTAGTCACCAGTTGCGACACAGCGAGATCGGATGTTCTACGGTTCCTTGGTGATAGTACACCTCAGTTCAAAATTTACAGGGTATGGAATTTCCAAATTACATTGTTTCTGTCCCAAGCTTCCATGGTCAGCATCCTTATTTGGGGAATACTATTGAGTCCTTGATTAACCCAGCCGCCTCGACATTGCTTAGCTTTCGCTCCTGCACAGTATTTAGCGCCTTTGTCAGATTCAATCCATCCAGGAGACCGCTCAAAGGACCATCACTTCCCAAAAGCTGGCCAATGACGCCTAGAATACCACCCAGATCCAGCGTCGGGTCTTCCCCAGATATGCTGGCCAGCACATCCCCTAAAGCCTGTAGGATAGGGACTTCGGTATCAATCCGTATGTTATTCAGTACATTTTCCAGATAGGTGATGTGCTGGCCGTTGACTATTGTCTTGTTGCCACTGATACCTACTAGAATATTACCACTTGTTATCGCGCTTGCTTGGCTGCTGATCACTTTGCCCAGGTTCTTGATCAGAGTATCGAGGAATATCTGCCCTTTGAATGAACGTGTGCTGTTCCCGGGAGGGAGCTCGACATTCAGGATTGTAGCGTTCCCAATAATGATGTCGCCAGCCCATGCGTTGAAGGTGACGTTTCCCAACCCCATGGTGAGCGGCGACCAATTGGGAAGAGTGAAATTCCCTATCAAGTTCGTGCCGTCGGCCTCTGGGGGCAGCACGATGCGTATTTCGTCCAGTTTCACGCCATCTAGTTTGTTGAGGCCATTGATGGTCACTGTTTTGTCGAGATGAATGGGCGCCTTCAATGCGCCGAGGTGCGCCATTGTGTCTGCACGGACGCTAATGTCCGTGGTCTTATTGTATAGAGTTCTTTCCAGCCACTTGTTGATCTCTGACCTGTTGCCTATATTGACAATCTGATTATCAATGGAAAGAACAGTGTGGCCGCTGACGCTTTGTCTTGGTAATACCACTGACGTATAGGGACTAAACGGATTGGTGTCTGCATTGTAGAGAAAGAGCTTGAAACCATCAAGTGACACTGTGAGGCCAGCGGGGACATCGAGAGCTGTCTGTAGTCCTACTAAGACCTGACTGTCGGAAATGGCTTTGAGAGAGGCGTAGTAGATAGGAAGGTCCGTCCTATTCACGATGGCTTGCGCAAGGGCTGGGACAATCTTGAGGAATCTATAACCAGGTCGATCAGACCAAAATCCCTCGCGTGCTGGGGATAGGCTTATTCGAACGACTCACAGTAGTGGGAGGAATATGGCGAGAAATGCGATTCCAGCGATCAAGTAGCAAAGCCAGAATCGCTTGAAGTGTCGCTTCAGCTTTTCTTTTTTCGTGGGTTTTGACTCGGCAGACTTCACCGTCTCTAGGTGTTCAAAGCCGACATCCTTCTTGCTTCCGTCTGGGAATGTGAACTTTTCGTACTTCTCAGGCATGGTACCTGGCTCTTCTGATCACCCTGGCTTAGGGAAAGTGATGACTCGCTGCGCAACAACGTAGATGTCATGAGTATTCTAAGTCCAAAGCAGTCTACTTTCCCAGAAGAACGATGTCTTGAGAGCCATGGTTGCAACACAAGCAACTATCGAGAAGTTCACCAAGTTTGTGCATATGCACTTATTACTGTATATTACATGTTGCCGCCGAATTGCCTACCTGGGACATCTTGGGCATGCTTCCCCCCTTTGAAGCTCAGGTTGACAGCTTGCCAAGTCCGGGGAAGGTGGCATCGTGGGGTATGGACGATCTACTCTCATTTGAGGATACAGTTCGGAAAAGATGTACCCCAGAATCACGAGACGCACAGTCGAGTTTAGAAAGACGCTGTAGAATTGAGATCTCAACATGCGACTCTCGGCCGAGTGGAGGCGGCAAGTATAAACTTGTAAGACCCCTGTAGCCTTGCCGCCGCGTGGGTAATCCGAGTCGATGGAGTATAGCGCAGATGCTATGACATGGGTGCATACCTACCCCACAGTCAGTTGTCTGACGGGAGCCGAGGGTCGCCCCCGCGTCAGTCCTCTTTCCGAGTCAGGGGCAAGTGAGGGGTATGCTTTGGCTGCGACGTGTTCGCCTTGCGTCATAAGGTTTTGGTGTTGTCTAAGCTGATGGTGTATACTGTACCCATAATTATCCCAAAACTTGCGGTCTGTCCAGTTGCGCTTGCTCCCGATTTGCGTTGTGCAGGTTGTTCACACATGTGATAGCACTTCTTGCATGCATTGGCACTAATCGTATGTCTTGGCCCTTGTCAGCGGATGAATCCGCTATGCAAACCCAGCGATAAGATCAGTACGTTCTCTGATTCGCCGCATAAGACCTTATGGAACATATCGTATTTGATGGTCAACCTCAAAGCCTCGGCAGCTAGGCGGCCGAGGCCAGGACCAGTGCTCTTGTAGGTGTCGCATTTCTCCAGGCAATTCTGTGTGAGAACTTCCGCTGAAATCTGACACGCCAACTCGGGCGCTTCAATGGTGGGCACCGTTCAAGGTCCTCGGCTTGTGGAGTCGCTGTTCACCACGCACTAGTGAGTTTGCACATTCTACTGTGTACTTACTATCTAGGCAATGAATTTCGATCGCGCTAGGTAGAACCATATGATATACTCATGACAAGACTTCCATGAATGGTGAAAACATTCTCTTCAACGCATACCATAGTTCTCTGCATTGTGGATAGAATTCGAGAAACGAGTTTTCTTTCTCACTTCTAGTCATACTCAAACGGTTGTCTCTTGAACGAGTCTTCAGTCGAGACTACCATATACGATGGCCATAATGACTGAACCCAAGCAGCCGGCAACTGCTGGTCCAGACTCGCCCTCTTCGATCTCAATGAACGAGAAATCCGACACATACGCAGCATTTTCCAAGGAAGACTTTCTATCCCCAGACTTTCGCTCTGATCATATCAACATCATCGTGCGTGAAGGCATCATTCTTGGGGCAGGTGCTCAGGCCATTCTACTCCAAGTTGCCAACGCAGGTGTTGGAGCGGGAGTCAACGAGCACAGTAATTTTGCGTACCGTGTCCAAGACAGACTGCGGACCACCATGACATTCGTATATTGCATGAGCTTCGGCACGCCCCAGGAGAAGAAGACCATTGTCGACATGATTACAGCGGTGCACAAGAACGTCACAGGTACACTCAACGAGGGCCGAGACAAGGGCAAGACATACAGTGCCTTGGACCCCAAGCTTCAGTTGTGGGTTGCGGCGACATTATACGCGACCGGATTGCCCATATATGAGCGTGTATTTGGCAAAATCACAAACGAAGACCTGCACGAGAAAATCTACCGCGAGTACTCGATCCTCGCTTGCGCCCTCCAAGTACCACCAGAGATGTGGCCGCGGACAAGGAAGGACTTCTGGGCTTACTGGGACCACGAGATTGCGACGATCGAGGTGACTCAGCATGCAAGGGACATAGCCAAAGACCTGCTCTATCTGAGACAAGCACCCTGGCATATCCGAATGTTGACCCCAGCTGTTCGTCTCTGCACCGCTGAGTGGTTGCCTGAGCGTATCAGAGCAGAATATGGCGTCAAAAGACACCCTAGACGCTACAGGATGTTGGAGCGTCTAGTCAGAGCAACATATCCAGCTCTGCCATTGAGCGTTCGCAGCTACCCTGTTAAGCTATACATGAATGACATGAGGGAAAGACTTGCTAATAAGCGAGCTGTTATCGGGAAGGATGCGTAGCTCCACACCCATAGAAGTTCAACACGTTCTTTTGTTGAGATTGTACAATCGAAGTTTCATATACAGGCATAATTTGACTTTGAGCTATGGATTGAGAGGAAGTGTATGAATTATACTGATTGAAACTAAGGCGATCGGCTTAGGCTTCATGCGCAATTCAGCCTGGGTAAATTCGTGCGCTATGATTTTCAGAAATAAGCTAGTCAATTAATAGACCTTTACTGGCAGAATCACCAGAATCGATTGTGCTAGTGTATCCAACCTTTGAAGACCACTTCTGCAGTTTGAATATCAATCGCCTGAACATTGTTTTGTATAAATGGTGTGGCACTTTATCGCGGATATCAGTTGGGAGGATGAGGAGTACACCCTCGAGATGAGACGAAACGCCTGTCGAAACTGGTTTGCTGGAAAACTGCAGGATACAGGCAACCACGACGACGACATTGCCATCTCAAATTCTTTGAATAATAGATAATCTGAAATAACATAGTCACTTTACTCGCGAATTACTTTGGGCACGTTGTCAAACGACTGAAATGTTGGCGAGGAAGATATATGCCTGTTGCGCCTACTCAGTACATCACAGCCTCATCCACCGCTTGATAACCAACTATTGATCATGCCTCCCACTTGCACTTTCGTTGCAGATCTTGCGCCGCAAGTCATTCGATCTCATAGGACTAAAGCCACACCAGCAGCGCCAGCCAATGCAATAATGCTAGCTGCCATTTCACGACCGACAGATGTTGGTGCAGCCGCCACTGCCGAGCTAGACGACGATGCCACGCTTTCTCCAGTTGCATCTGGCGAACCTGCATTTGTGGGGGTAGATGTGACCGTGAAAACAGCCGAGCCTGTCTTTATTTCCTTGGCCATGCCTTCAAAAAATGTTTTCAGTTCTGGGTTTAACGACTAATTATGCACTGGGTTAGCTGAGTGCTTTGGGTCATGTTATGATCTGGCTCACCTGATACCAAGCTGGCGTTGAACCAGCCGCAAAGCCACTTGCGACGCTTGCACGGTATGACTGGTCCATAAGTTTGATAATCACATCAGGAGGTATTGCCGTCATGATCTCATATTTGAGTTCCTGTGGTATCGATATCCCGAGTGTGACAGTTGGACTGGGAACAAGCTCTGAAATGGTCATGCCCCCAAGCAGTTGTTGCCTACAAGTCGGTTAGTCGTTGTTCTTCGATAACCAGCTTCCACAATTCAACATACAGTTGCGACGAGACTTTGGCCGGATCTAGCCCCTGCGTCGTTGTGGGAGCCGTTGATGAGACATCTGTTCGCTTGGCTGCGTGGTGATGGTCGTGCTGCGATGCCAGAGAGGTAGCTGCTAGAAGCAGGTTCAACATGAAGTTCAAAAACATGTTGATGTTCAATGACTACGCTCCAACCTTGTTGAATATGTGGCGTTGTTACAAAGATCGCTGAAGAGAAGCAAAGTTTTGACACATGGCTATGTGGCCTTCTTCGATCAGAGCGTTGATATTCATGACAACATGTTATGTCCAGCTAATACACGTCCTCGAACGATGATCCTCGGCCGCAAACCTGCGGGATGTACCAGAGGGTCTAGATGCCCTTTCTCCACTGCAACATCCAACGTGGATGCAGCGACAGTTCCCGGGTTCTGGGGTGCGGCGTCGATGGTATCCCAGATTCGACACTGCCGAGGCAGCAACCAAGCACTGAGCTCACGCAGAGCCAAGCCGAGGATGGATCCCTTGAGGCAGTTCGAGGGGCATTTTCATCGTTGCTTGGTCTCGAAGGCATATGTCCGATCACAAAGTCGTCCTCTCGGCCGGTAGATGGCTCAAAGAGGCAATCACGTAGTATTCCCGGCCGTCAGGTGGTTGTGGTATATTCTGACTTGCAGTAGCGTGAGAGCGGCGGCTGTGGTTCCTTGCCCCTGGCATCTACGCGCAGATCCGAATACGTCGAACAGGGAACGCCACTGGAGCACGACGAGCTGCATTCCTGAAGCAAGCTTCCAATCATAGATTGTTCCCCCGCATACCCCAGAAAATGAAGAAATGTGGGGAGGAAGTACGAAGGGCCGTGGCCTCGGCATTGGCCCCGCAGAGTGCTGTACTATGTATGGTATGTATGCAGGCAGCTCAAGTTAGCGTTCCAACCTGTGGGTGCCACTATGCAACCCTAGCTGCAGATGCGGCGACTGCTTGACGAATGTGGCCTAGTCTTCCAAGGAGATCATATCAGCTTCTCAGATGCTATACTCAAACATGGCATATTCTTCGTGTGTCCTAACCTTGTGGACATGTCAGAATCCGCAATACCGAAGCTTGTTGCTGGTCAGGTGCGCAGATTCCGTGCGGTGAGCATATGCGTTTGTCCGCAGCTCACTGTACTCACATTTATCAAGCTCCAGGTGCCACCCCTCTCACTCGAAGGCACTCCGAACTGAGTTTCCGAGGCAGAGAGTCATTGCCAAGGCTGAAGTTGTACGGTCTAGATCTAGCGAGCGTGAAAGGCCAAGACTTTCGACCGTGTGGTGCCCCGCTCGTGTCATTGCCGCAAGCAACGCGACTTGTTCACGTAGCATGCAACTGCTTGGTCTGACAACGGAAGCACTGCAACTTGATCGATGATGAAGTTTGCGGGGAAATAGATGGGAATCTGTCCAAGGATGCTTACTGGCATTTCTGGGTTACAGGGAGAGGACCAAGTACGGGCGCGTACAGGCACCGAGGGCATGCGGAGAAGGGCTCGTACGAACACAAAGCTCACTCAAATAAATGAAGTATATTATATGCTCCTTGATGCAGGACTTCCGAGATTCGAAACACTTTGGCTCCTCATCCCGCTTCCATTCTCACGCCTAATCAGTCCTGTCCTATCATCTACACAGGACGAGATCTCATCATGCGATTCTTCAAGGCCTTTACCACGGCACTAGCTGTGTCTATGCCAGTGGCTGCTGTGGCTAAGCCATCTGCTGAGGCCAGCTTTGATAGCCTCCTGACACGGGATGAGTTTGCGCAATTTGCCAAACTTGCCCTCGCACCACGACAGGACATTCCAGACCTTGGAGATGCCCTGAAAAACCTGCTAGACCTATTGAAGGAACTCCAGTCATTCCTCAATCCGGCGTTCTTCGGTGATGTTCGCACAGTGGTTACGGGCCTGGCAGACCTGCTCGAGGCGCCTTTTGCCAACACCACTCGCGGCATAGTCTTCACCGCAGCTGATGCCCTCGGAAAGGTCGACCTTGTCGGCCTTCTCGACCAAATCTCTCCGCTTCTCGACTCACTAGGAAAACTTGACATTGGAGGTCTCATAGACAAGCTTTCTCCTCTCCTTGATTCACTAGGAAAGATTGACATTGCCGGCCTAGTCGATGCTGCGACTGGTCTACTCACGCCTGATAACATCAAGATCATCGGAAATCTCCTGGGCGGTGCCAACAGCCTCTTAACCAAAGACTTCATTGACCAAACTAAGCAGCTGATAGCAGATGCTCAACCGGTACAAGTCTCCCCCTACCCCAACCACCCAGCGGCTAACAGGTATACCTTCTAGCTCGTCTCGGCGGTGTCGCAATTCATCACTGCTCTCATTACTGCCCTCCTTGGCGGCTAGGGTAGGTCTACTTATTCAAGTCCCTTTGCGCTTCTTACAACCAATGGCCTGCTGACTGGAAGAACAGAAGACGCGAGTCAAGGGTCGGGCTCAGGTGGTAGTGGCTTCGGGTTTGGAATCGGTGGTACAGGGAGCAATGGCGGACAAGGCAGTGACGGAAGCTCAGCTAGTTCTGGAAGCAGCGGTTCTTCAGGCAGCTCAGGGAACAGTGGTACCTCGAGCGGCTCAAGTGGAACAGGCGCATCCGGCTCCTCGAGCGGCAGTGGAGACTCAAGCTCGGGCAGCTCAGGTTCAGAAACAGGCTCGGAATCAGGCTCAGGGTCAGGATCATCGTCTGGCTCGGGATCGGAATCTGGATCAACTACAGGTTCTGGGTCGGGTTCTGGATCTGGAACCTCGGGTTCGGGCTCCAACACTGGCACTAGCATTGGCACTGGCACAGGTTCTGGTACTGGCTCAGGCTCAGGCTCGAGCGAAGGTGCCGGTTCAAGCTCCGGATCAGGTTCCAACTCGGGAGGATCATCGACAGCTACCACATCACCTGGCATTTCTCTTGGCTCACAGCATTCGGCCGCGTTAGTCGCGGCGGTTCATATCGGATGGACCATAATCTCTCAGATTTTTTGAGTAATCAGGATGGAAACCTCGGCAGTCACGATTCTGCCAAGATCTACACTAGCAACAGGTTAATACATAGTGTTATTATGCGTATAAGACCTTTTTGTGTCCCAAAATATCGTCCTGGCAACATCGGCAGAGGTAGCATTGTGGCCTTCCGTGAACATATGCACTACGACATACCAGCCAATCAAAACACTCTCAGGTTCCTGCAATTGCCTTAATGGGGCAATCGACATTTGTCTGATTACTTGCCAGTCCCCTTCTGCCTCAGGACGTCGGCATTAAATTCGCCTTGTCTGTTTGTTTGGCTTATCACCACCTTCATCCCCCACTTTGTGGTGATTGCCATCTGAGAATTGCCTTCACTGTTTGCAAGACTCTCACCTCGCTCTCATCCCCTCACCACTTCAGCAACATTTTTGGAGTTTGACTTCCCACTATTTTCTTCGCCTGACTGGTCTTCATCAGCTAAACAGGCTCCACCGAATTCAGATCACGACGACGAATGACACAGTTTTGCATCATTTTGCACCAAACCTGGTTGCTTGAAGCCTTCAACTGTTCCTTCCGATGCTGAAGCCGAAGTCGATGCTTCAGGCGGTCATGGCTGACGACCCTGACCGTCCTTCTTGCAAGGCGGAAGCCGACGCTCACATTACCTCCATCCGGTCAGAATATTTCGGCAGCGAGCGTCTCAAGGACGTCGTAAAGAAGCTTCAGAAAGTGTGAGTAGTATTTGAGAATTTCATTCTTGCAAAGTGTCCATAATCAAAATTTTCTGTCGATATGGTGTTCTCAAATTCAATTTCGGTTGACATTTGAACATTTTTAGCCATTTCTTTCAGTAAAGCTAACATTGAGCAGACTTTCAGAGCAACTATACCATCATGACGGACATTTCCTTCTGGAGACACTTCAGAATGCGGACGATGCTGAATTTGGGAGCCGTGTGCCCACGCTCACATTTTCCCTCAGTCGCGAAAACGGCTTCACTCTTCTGATTCAGTCCAATGAGAAGGGCTTTACCAAAAATGATGTGGAATCCATCTGTGGGCTTGGAAACAGCACTAAGTCATCTCAGGGGAAAGAGCGAACCAGCATTGGAGAGAAAGGCTTGGGATTCAAGTCCGTTTTCTCAGTGGCCACTGTTGCTGAGATCAGAAGCGGTTATTACCACTTCAAGTTCGACCGAACCCAGGAACTGGGTCTAATCAATCCTATTCTTGGTAATGCTGCTAAGTCCGGAAAGACGACTGGCAGCCAAATTTTGCTTCATCTCAACGATGAAGCTGCCTATCATCGGGTAGAAAGAGAGCTGAAAGCTCTCGACCCACAATCCATGCTGTTTCTTAAGAATCTTCGACGAATCAGCTTCGAAAGTACAAATCACAACATGCATCTAGTCATGACAAGCGCATCGCTACATGGAGTTCCAACGAGAACGATTAGCATCGAAGACAAGGTATCAGGAGAAAGCAGGACCAAGCCGTTCTACTGCATGAAGCATGAAGTCTCAGATATGGCGCCTCACGAATCTCGTCTAGATGTCAATCGAACCATAGTCGAAGTCGCCTTCCCAATCGAAGAGGACGGCACTCCCAGGCAAAGCAATCAGAAAACCTACGCTTTCCTTCCTATCAATGACTATGGATTCAAGGTCAGTCCAGTTGCATAGAATATGGCAGGTTATAGATCGTAATGCCTAACGTCGAGTCCAGTTCGCAATCAATGCTGATCTAATTTTGACATCAAGCCGAGAATCCTTTCAGGAAAGCCTGCCGTGGAACATCTCGCTTCAAAATGGAATAGTCAATGGCATAGTTGGTTCTTTGTCGCGCCTCGCTCAAATTCCCATGTTGCAATACACTTGGTTCCGCTGGCTTCAGGTTGCAAGAGGCACATCCACGTATTGGATCACAGTGGAAGACTTGATCTTTTCACAACTTGGAAATCGCCTGCTTTTCAAGTCTCTAGATCCTTCTCTAGAAAGAGTTCAAGCTGCAAACTTGTACTTCATTCCAGAGAAATACAGGTTTGAGGATGGGCTCTTAGTCGAACACTCTCCGTCATTCCGCAAATACCTGTCGCGGGAGTATGACAATGATTACAAGGAGTTATCGATGCGAAGTATTATTCGCAAGCTTGGTGTCAAAGAAATGGATAATAGTTTCTTCTTGCACGAACTCCGAGACTGGCTGCTTTCAGAGGATGGCGCCAAAACTCACAGAACTCTTAGTTGGCTTGTCTCAGTTGCGGAAGTTTTCAACACGGTATACACGGAGCAGGCAGAATTGAGGAAGTTGCCAATTATCCCTCTTGGCAATGACGAATGGGCCAGTGCTAATACGCCAGGCTTGTACTTGGAATGCAAGATCAGCGGGCATGTCCCCCCGGATACCGAGTTTCAAGTTGCCAATCCAGAAGCGGTTCGAAATTCAACTCTGCGCTCTTTTTTCATTGCACTAGGCCTTGCTACCCTTGACGCCGACAAAGTCTGTAACAAGATTCTCGAGGCCCATGATGCTGCACGCTACAATAGACACAACCTTTGCGGGAAACGTCTTGATGATTGGGTTGCTGATATCAGTTTCTTGTATGAGAACTGGGATGCTGTGATACAATTCTCTTCGGACAGACGTTGGAAATTTCTTCGATTTGTTGTACAGCCACTACCTACAGCGAACCTCAAATACGGCATGATCCTTCGGAGATCACCTGGTCTACATATCGGCGGGACAGAGAAGACATCACATCTTATTACCAAGCATTGGACTAACACTGATAGCTTCATCAATATCATCCACCACAAGTACTTCGAAACCATCTGTAGCAGCGATGGTGAGAAGATGAATCATTTTGGTGATTGGCTGCAAGACCACTGTGGCATGCGCTACTATCCGCGGCTTACTTATAAGCCTCACCAGCAAGAAGTTCGACTCGATCGACAGATGGACTTCTTTGTACAGAAGGACAAGGTTGGCCTTCTGAGGGAATTATGCGATCGATGGGCCGAACACAGCAAACCGTACGATCACGGTTCCAAGGAGGTTCTTCTGAAAGGCATCAAAGCTGTTAAGTTTCTGTGCAGGGACGGTGTGAGAAGGCAGCTTCCTGAAGTCGCATGGAATAATGGCGAATCCGAGGCTTTTAGTCAAATATGTCCAGACATACCCTACCTTGATCTTCCCGAAGGCCCGGGCTGGAAGACGTTTCTTCCAAAACTCGAAGTCACGACCACACTGAGTGTACAGGCCTTGCTGTACCAGCTGGAGTTTCTCACTAGAAACCAAGCAAGGATGGCAGATTATGACATCGAAAAACTATATCTACACCTGCATACAAGTCTCCCGAGAGAAGTTAAACAGATACAGTAAGCCAGCCATACTTGCTTCTTAATTAACTCACAAGTGACCATTGCACACAGGGAATTGGCGGAGAAGAGTAATGTAGTGTACATCCCCACTACTAGGACATGGGTTTCCCACAAGGCATGTGTTTGGAAGTCTGCTTTTGACCTGAAGTCAAAGATTGTCCTGGAAGATCATTATCCAGAATGCTCTAAGCTTTTCGGCCAAATAATTCCGGTATCTAATGCTGGAGCTGCCGATTACATAGAGGATTCAGTCAGCATCATCATGGAGGGCAGTGACGGCACTGCAGCAACACGCGCCATCAGCTTTCTCAAAAGGCTGGACGCCATATCTGGCCCCTCGATGTCCAATGAGATCGTAAAACTGAAGTCGTTGAAGATTTTCCCGGTTCACTGTCCAAACTACGGCATGGAAACACAAGCTCGTTTCCTTGATATTCGGGAAGATTCTACCGACAAGTGGTATATTGCGGACAGGACCAGCCTCCAGGATGCTTTCAGAGGAAGAGTTCCACTGCTAGAAATCGACCAGGCTGATGTACCTGAGATTATTAAAATCATCGAGTACCTCAACCTGAAAACTCGCTTATTATCGCAAGCCGTAAAGGTCGAGGTTCACTCTGGGGGTACCGAAGTTGAACACTTCGAACGAACCTCTGAGCTACGCAAAAAGCTAGGGTATATCCTTGAGTGAGATTTCCCTGTCATCTGGATTTTGACGTCTCATGCTAATATTGTTAGGATCGTCAACATCACTGAGGCGGCGCATACTCAATACATTTCGAACATTCGTGTGTTTATGGTGAATGAGCTTTGCGTCACACGGATTTTGGACAGCGTCACAATCCAGGCACGATCGAAGTATGTGCACGTCATTGAACGCAGTGATCATGTTGATATTTGGATTCCTCACAATGAGGATAAGCGTAAGGTTCCGCAGGAGTTGGCTCGACACTTTTGTGACCACTTCCACATTGAGGACTACAAGCATCACGAACTGGTTGAAGACATTCTGGCTTCCTCCTCGAGCGATATACCTTCTGTGCTCGAAGATAGCGGATTAGACTCGGGGAGCAATGCCCAACTGATATCGAAGATCAGGGCCGAGCGTGAGATTTCTTCACCATCTTCTGCCCCAGTCACACCTCCCCTCCGTATGGAGAGCTCAAATGGGCTCCCTACTATCGCAGAGGCTACTCTGCCCCTTACATTCAGCGTTGTATCGCCGCCAAGTGCTTCTCCCGCAAAAAGAGAATTTCAAAACAACGACCGATCCACCCTCGAAGTATGGGAGCGCGCGGGTGTTGACGGCGAAGAATACGTAAGCCAGAAAATCTCTCTCTGAAACAAATCTATATTAACTGTTAACTGCTCTAGATGAACGGCCTGTTTTCAGAGAGCATTAAAGACTGGTGTACCATCGATAATTGGACCAGCAACTTGAGAAAATATTGCGGCTATCCTCCTTTCTGTGAGACAGGCGGAAATGCAGACTTTACGTACGTGGACAAGGTTGGGGAGATGAAGAAGCTTCTTCAGAATTGGATGAAGAAGGGCACTGAGGCCCTGTCACACATTCCAGAGGCAGTTCGGTATCATATCGAGCTGAAGACCTCAAGTGGTGATCTGGAGGAAGAATTTCACCTCTCAGGCGGCCAGATGCGAACGGCAAGACAGTGCCACCTCAATCGTCTGACGGATGAGGCTGCTGACGTCTACGTTCTGATCCGTCTTTACAATTTCAGACAGGTGGAGAAAGGCATCAAGGTTTGCGTTGACCCTTGGAGCGACAACGACGTTGCGTTCTGGTTTCCCGATGATGTCCAAGGTTGGGTTGTAAAGCGCAACACAATGAAGGCTCAAAGACGACCCCAGAGAGGAGCTTGATCCGTGGACCTCGCGGACTTTTCTTCTTGGTGAGGTCAAGACGCGGCGATAAGGTCGTGCGGCCCCAGGTCTTGAATTCATCTGGCAAGCTAGAAACTCGCTTAGAACTTGTGGAAGGGGGCTTTGCTGTACTGGTTGTCAAGTGATCTAACACGAGGGAAGTGCTGTGGCTGCAACATTGGAGCTACGGCTGGCAGCAATACTGTTCCTCTTGGGCATTTCATGTCACGCCGATCCTGTATTTTCTTGCCATACTAGGACATTGGCCGAACTTACTTCTTAGTGCTGTGGCAACTTAGACTCCCGAATTGATAGAGTCACCATAATGAAAGTCATCCAGTTGCATTGCTGTTCAAGATGTACAAATGACAACGGAAAGCAATGGATGACTTGATTGCTATGATCGTATGCCGTGCTCGCAGTTCTTAGTCTGCATGCAGACAATCGCAGTGACATCCTGCCCATTCGTGACTAGATGAGTCCACCAGTCCTCTAACCAAGTATTATATCACAGTAAGATCGAATCACAACACCCAGAATCCTGTACGGATTCGACAAAGTGACAGCTCGTCCGGAAGTCCCCCATGGTCCACCGACATTCCGCCCCACCTCCCCAACAAAGGTTATCATATATAGTCGATTGAATAACCTGCCAATTAAGCAGACCAGTAGCCTTTGACATCGCCCTTCAACAGAATGGGCTTGATGTCGGTGAACTTGGGAACATCAGCGAAGATCTCGGCTCCGCCGAGAGCAGCCACCGCGGCGTCAAAAGCACCGAGGTTATCCCATTTCAGGGCTGCCGTGATAACATAGGGACCCTCGGCGTGCTCGGTGACAGTCCATGACTTGAGACCGTGCTCGGCCCAGGTCTTCTGGACGAGCGGCATGTGGCTCTCCAAGTAGTACTTGAGGTCGAATTTTACCTCCCCACTTGGGCGGGGGTAGGCGACGGTGACGAATGAAGGCATGCTGAATAGATTGAGCTTGAGTAGGCGGGATCGCGGAATTGAGGGGTATTTTCTTGACGAGAGTGTGATGGAAGAGGAGATATATTGGAACCAGTTAGGTTGGTGCCGAGGTTTGTATAAGTACTAACTTATAATAAGATAAACGCGATTTTCATGCGATGACCCCTCAACGTCACAGACCCCGCTTTACTCCGAGTCTCCGACAGACGGTAAGTTAGATTTCTCAGCATTGGGCAAAAGCAAAGTGCTCCATTAAGACCCACATACTAGAGTCGCGGTGGTTTCATATGCGGCAGTCTTCTACGCAACAAATCTTGCAGGTGCTTGACGCATTCTGTGATGCATAGATGCAAGTAGTGGCTCGTTGACTGGACTTGCATTCACGCACAGGCGGGTTCTTGTGTGGCTCTCGCCAAGCATGACGGTAACCCTAGAGTTGGGTAAACAATTGTCTAATTTTGCTTTCTAATACATGTCCTTGCTTGGCCTCAAACCCAGTACGAGAGCTCACCGGTCATCATACCTGTTGGATTCCTGCCCATCTGGCCGGTGAGCAGCGTTGACTTGGCCCTCTTCAGGAACTGCCCATCGCCCTTCTTAGCCACGACTCCCTCTCCTTCCCGGTCCCAGGCCAGTTCGCCGCGGAGGAACACCCATCGCGGCCAATTGCGGACTTGGATGCCCTCGAAAGGTGTATAATCAATCCGATGGTGCAGCATGCTGTTCGTGATAGTGATCTTCCGTTGACCCCTTCCGTCAGCGTGACTTTGGCTCAGAGGCCCGTCTGCCTCGGATGCAGCAACCAAGGGGCTCTCCTCCGGGTACCAGATTACGATGTCTGCATCGTATCCGGGTTGAATGCTGCCTTTCTTGTCCCCAAGCCCGTACAGCTTCGCCGGATTGGTTGACGTGAGCTCGACGAACCGGGGAAGCGAGATCCGGATTTTGTCATCTTCGAAGCCACCACTGGGGCGTGACGGGTCAAAAGTTCGATCGAACATCAGCGGCAGTCGCGTTTCTATGCCAGGGAGGCCATTGGGCACGACACGAAAGTCCCCATGGTGGTGCCCGTCCTCAGTCATCTTGAGGCCCTTCAACTTCCCGCACTCGTGGTCGAATGTTGCTGGAGCGTGGTCAGATGAGACGACAGTAAATGTGCCATTGGCTAGCCCTAGCCAGATTTCTTCAAGATCTGTGGCATCATGCCGAAGAGGCGGAGCACAGATGTTCTTGGCTCCTTCCAAGTCGGTGTCGCCAGAGCGAAGCCTATTGCTGAGCAGATACAGGTAGTGAGGGCATGTCTCAGCATGGATGGGCAAAAGTCTTCGCTGGGCATCGTTCACATGTTTGACTGCCGTTGGGGCAGACATATGAACTATCAAGATTGGGGTGTCCGTAACCTCGGCGAGGCTGATTGCACGATAGGTGGCTTCTGCTTCGGCAATCTGGGGACGAGCCACTGAGTGGAAGAACGTCCCAGTGTTGTTCTGTTTCGCAAGCCGCCTGGTCACATTAGCTTCTCGTTACATCAATCCGAGAAAAGAGCAGGTACTCACTTCGTGATCTGCTCGATCATATCGTTATTCTCGGCATGGATCATTGTTGTTATCCCTAGGCTGCGTGCCCTCATCATAATGTTGAACAGATCTCCATCACCAAGCTTCATGGGCTCATCTGCATCTGGTAAGAACATGACGAGCAACAGTTTCCACTGTTACAAGGTTGACTCACACGTCATGTATATCTTGACGCTGCTTATACCCTCTTTGTCGACGAGCTGGGGGAGCTCCTCGTTCAAGACGGTCTCAGTAGGGTTGGTCAAGATGACGTGAATTCCGTAGTCACAGAACGAATTCCCGTCCGCTTTCTTATGGTAGGCCTGCAATGCGGGCCAAATACTTTCCTCCTGGCGTTTCTGGCTAGCGAAGGCTATTACAGTTGTGTTACCGCCAGCGATAGCTGAACGGCTGCCGGTCTCCCAGGTGTCGCCCGTGGGGGAGTTGTCTTGTTGTATATGAACGTGCGAATCTACGCCTCTATAACACGAATTAGCCCTGGCAACACGTCATACAGGGGTCAATCGTACCCTGGAGTGACATATGCTCCTTCAGCATCAACTGTCTTTGTGTTCGGTGCTGCAACAAGCGATCTCCCTATGCATTGGATTTTGCCGTTTTTTACCCCTATTTCAACACCAAGAGGTAGCACTTCGGCCGCCGTTACCTTCAAAATTAGCGAGCTGATGTTGGACAGCCACCGTGTGTACTCACGATCCGACCATTCTTGATTATCAGATCGAAATCATCACCGGAAGTTCCTGCAGAGTCCATGGCTAATAGTCTAGTTGTAGGTTGATGAGAAATACTGAGCGCGTCGTTCTGGATTTTCCCAGTGAATGCTGAATGAAATGCGACAAGATTGCGAGAATGATACGGCCGACAACGGTCCCGCTTCTTCGGGGAGCGTTGAATGCTGACAAGAGGTTGCAGATCTCGGGGGTGCCCGACTGCCCCGCCAAACTGCAAGTCAACCGACCGAAATAGTCTGGGTCAGGTATTCAACAATGACAATCAGCTGTCTTCCGCTTCTATGGCATGAGGGGAGAACAAGTCCTATCCCGCAATTGGAGTAATAAGTTAATTCCTTCAGACTGTTTCTAACACGGTTTTGATCTTCTCTGAACACAGGGTTGCCGTCACCTGTATATCCTTCGGCGAGGAGATCCGTCTATCATCCGAAGTGGGGAAGGCTTATCACGGCATCCCTTCCGAACGTCGGCTGGCCTTGGAGCGGGATAGAGCCGGAATCGCATAAACTCAGCACGGCTGTAGCTACGTCGTGATTGTGGTTGAGAGAGTCGTGTAGAAACCATATTTCGGCTTTGGCATTATCATCGCGTTGGTCTTGGTGAATACTCCATAAGCGACATACAACATGGCGACTAAACCAGCTCCGCGGGTCGTGAAGGTCGCCGCAGCTCAACTCGGGCCAAACCAGAAGGCTGCTTCGCGGGCCTCAATTTTGGATCGCATGTTGAAGCTGATGGACGAAGCAGCAGCCCAAGGGGTCAAGATATTGGCATATCCAGAGCTAGCCCTTACAACATTCTTCCCCGTCCACTACTTGGCTGACGAAGATGAGATCGCGAGCTACTTCGAGCCCACATCAGCGGCTGACCCCTACGCAGTCTTGTCATCACCTCATGCCAAGCCTCTGGTCGATAAGGCGAATGCGCTTGGCATCGACTTCTACATAGGCTTCGCAGAGCGGTGGACCGGGGAGGATGGCAAAACAACGGATTACAACACCTGCATATACTACTCTGTCGCAGCGAAGAATGGGGTAGGAAAATACCGGAAGGTTCATCTCCCGGGAACCAAGGAACCCCTGCCTAATCCGAAGGCATTCCAGCAACTGGAGAAGAAGTACTTCACCCCAGGAGATCTTGGGTTCCCGGCTTTTCGAGCCCCAGGCCTCATCGACGGCGCATTGAAAGCCGAGGATGTAGGGCAAGAGGCGAACTCGGTTGCGAAAGGTGATCCTATCATGGGCATGTTAATTTGTAATGACAGAAGGTGGCCCGAGGCGTGGAGGCCGTACGGGTTACAGGTACGTTGAACACCCCCGGATCGCAGCTGGAGCATGAGAAGCAGCACTGACACCGTCATCAACAGGGTGCAGAACTCGTCATCGAAGGCTATAACACAACTGCATGGGCTCCGCAGTACGACGGCACCCCTGAAGAGCAGCAGAAACTTGCCGAGTTCCACCACCGGCTATCTTGCCAGGCCGGCAGCTACCAGAATGCGCTGTGGAGCATCAACGTTGCAAAGTGCGGTATCGAGAACGAGCAAGGGTTGATCGCCGGCAGCATGATCATCGATCCGCTCGGAAGGGTGGTCGCGGAGTCTAAGACTATGGATGATGAGCTCATTGTCGCGACCATCGATCTCTCCATGTGCCAATCCCAGCGAGGGAGGGTGTTCAACTTCGAGAAGCACAGAAGGCTGGAGCATTATGGTATGATCTCAGATCAGGTTGGGTTGCAAGAGATTCCTTTGCTCAGCAGAGCGTCATAAGCCATGGGGCGACCTGGGTAATCCTGTGGATCTGATATCTCTCGCATGTATAGGTTGTAACTTCTTTGGGTACATTGTCACGAGCCACAGGTCGTTTGTCAAGGTTTTCCAAGCCCGGTCGTGCCCTGGTGTTGTGGAAATTGTTTGAGCGCGGTTGCCAGGGAGCAAGGTCACAGCATTAATCAAGACCGACCGAGCTCCGGGAAGAAGAAAACCCCTTGGACTTGTCAAGATGCTAATAACTAGTGCCAATGAAACATGTCTAGGCACACCAATGACAAGCCATGCGTTCCTTTTTTGCCGCTTCTCGTTGTTGCCCAACGGCCCCAACCTCTGCCAATTTCCCGGGAATGTTGCGGCATCTAAGAATTAGTTAAGGGGCTCCGGCAGCGCAGGGCCGTCCCGCCAGACATGACAGGTCCACTATAGGGAATGAACGCCAAACGTTCCTCGTCAAGCCAGTGCTCGCAAGGTGTAACTAAATCCCGGCCTGCTCTATCAGATGGACTTGCCGATCGCCAGGCCCGCTGAATATAAACTTTTTTGGGTGGATATCTGTCACTCGGACGCGGGGCATTTTGTGTCGAAAAAGAAACCCTGGCCTATTTTCAGGCTTCAACGGGATTGTCGCAGGCTGGCAGGATTTTCCACGATCAGGCCAGATCTTCAACACCAAGAGTGTTGAATTTCGCGCAATTTCGCAATTGCGACAGTCACAGACCACCGTCCCTAAACGCCGAGATAGTACGTAGCAGAGATTCCTAATCAGGCAACAGGGGAACCCCCCGGGACTGGATTGGGGCAGATCCCACCCACAACCTATAATTTTCGTTCCCGGCATCCAGTGGGTATGAAGGGGGTGTGCGCGACATGGGTCCTTCCCGGCTGGAAACCTCGTCTTGGTGCCTAACCTAACAAACGCATTCTTTTCTTCCATGCCCCCTTCTCTGCGAATTGAGATTGAATGAGTGCCTAACCTGGGGGGTGTGCATCTAGGAGCGCGATGCGGCATTTCGTTCGGTTGCCCCTTGCGCTGACCGTCCCCTCTGTCCCTCACTGGCTGCCCTCGACAGTTCTCCCATGCGGGCAGGTCTCGCGGGAGACCAGAGACCGGTCGTCGATTACTGGTGGCACGCAGGCAGCAGTTGGGTTAGGTGAGTCGAGGTCAGGGTCCGGAACGGGTGGAGGGCCTCCAGCCCGTCCAATTGAGGGCGGGATTGAGCTTGTGCCCCGCATGACCGCGGGGCACAATGCAGAATGCCAGAGGAACATGTGGGCGACGGTGGGATGGATGTGCGGCCAGTCACACTGGACTGGGGGTGAGGGGCAGAAGCATTCCAGTAGTCCGAATGAGTCAACTTTTATACGATCGGCGACGCTGGACGACAGTCATAGTCGCTACTCCAAAACGTCGTGTCTCAACCGCCGCCTTCCGATGCGATACGAAAAGTGGCATCTGACTTCTACGGCGGAGCTAGCCCGACAATACTCGAGGTTTCCAAGTTCCCTCCGGTCGTAGAGCAGGACAAACATGGCATGTAGTTCTCAAACTAAGTGGTAGTAGCATCTTTCCGAGGCCGTGTCGTGTGCCCACGATTAGCATGTAAGAAACTATACTTTAGTGGAGAAATGGCTTAAGACAATCACTGGGGACCGGCGTTGGGAAAACCATGTTTGACGCATCCAATGGTATAATAATTTATATACTCGGTGCATCAAGAAAAAAAGCCAAGTCGAGCGCAGATTGTGCCCACCTGCTTGTTGTCCCAAGGTATCATCATAAACATTCCAAACGCCTAGCCAACTATATCGTCACATGACTCCTTGCTGCCTCTTACATTCGTGCAGCACTCATATTCTATACTCATATTCTACTGTCGGCGGTCTCCTTGTGCTCGACCGCCCAGTGGTGTTGCTCCTTTGAGGGGTCATGCGATCCTTCAAACGCTGTAGCTGGGCTTCGTCTTCCTTTTGCCTACGTGCCTCTTCTGCGCGCATTTTGCGGCGCCAGCGTTCCTCCTCGGTTTCATGTACTTCGCTCTCGCGGATATGAACCTTCTGGAATGCCTTCGCAAGATTCTCTTCAGGCCGTATGGCAACTGATCCGCGTCGGTACTTCTGGGGCTTGGTTGATGGAGGGCTGCGATTCGCAATGTGCGCGTTCTGTTTTTCAATTTCAGATTGGATCCTTTGTCGGCGCGCAGCTGCCTCCGCGGCCTCTGCAGCCTCTTTCGCCTTCTTCTTCTCCTGAGCCTTCCTCAGTTCGCGTTCGAGTTTCTGAACACGAATGGCTTCGTCAGAGGCGCTGCTCCCGCCGCTGCTGCCATAAGAATAGGAGTCGCGGCGGGATCGTGCCGGAGTAGGCACATGTCTGTAGTAGTGGTTATCGCGACCGGTGCGGTGATCGGTGACCTCGACTCGTACTTCCGGGCGGACAGGCGGTGCATACTGGGGCATGCGAGACTGGTGAATATACGCAGGCGAGCGCGAAGGGCTCCCCACTGGTGTGTCGAAACGTGGTGGTGTGCGTGGCGAGCGTGGTGAGGCAGGAGGTTCGACAATGACAACATGGTTGCTGTTGCGCCTCTCACGACGAGAAGGTTTGCGGGTTACATCTGGAACCTTCTCGCCGTTGATGTAGACACCGGATCGTCGCTTGTGGGCACGCTCACCGTCGCTGCCAGAAGGCGCAAAGGATGCGTCAGACGAGGGGGGTGAAGGTGGTAGGTGGCCATTGTAGACATGGGAACTGCGAGGTCGGCGTTCGTCGTACTCCTTCTCATGCTTGCCGCTTCTCCTGCTGTAGGAGTAGGTGTAATTCTCACTCATGGTTGCGGTTGGTAACGTATTTGGATGGTGGATGCGTGGTGGTTTGGGCTGTATGACCTGAGGTCTAGGCCGTGACCGACGATCGCGGTATGTGTACTCGAGGGCTGCCACTGCCGGTGAGGTGCTGGTGTTCAACGAGCGACCAGTATGGACCGTCGCGTATAAGTCGGTTTTGCGTCTTGTGTTCAAAATGGTGTGGTCTACGAGGACTGTAGGTGAGGCCACAGCTGTGTCGTCAATCGGCCGTGTCGCAGATGGAAGAGTCTTTTGCGCTTTGAACCTTTGGCTTCAAAGACATGACATCGGAGGAAGGTCGTTGAGGAAGGAGGCTCGGGTGAGGGCTAACTTAAGTATACCTCAGTTGGGTATCCGCTTGTTGCCTAGCGGACGCTCGAGTATGTGTAAGTGATAATAGGGCTTGGTGAAGGAGGTCAAGGCCAATTGCAATGAAGTCCGGTCTGGACCTGGAACGAGAAGAAGGAGAGGTTTGTTGCCTTAAGTATGGGTGATGAAGATAATGGAGGTGAGGGACCTTTCCCAGGACTTTTGTAACTTTTGGTGCGCGGGAGGGGTGCAAATGTAATAATTTCCACATAGCCTTGCCAGGACTTACAAGGTTCACTCCCCTCCATTACCCTCCCGGCTAGTCCAGGATGGGTACGCCATGAGGCCCTGAGGCCGGTGATTCATTCTCCAGAGCTGGCCGGGGGGTGCCTAAGGGGGAATGGTGGAGACGGCACCCTTGCTCGCTATTGCCCAATAGCCATCTCACAGCCGAGAGGCTGAGCGGGCGATGTCGACGGGTGACCGTGTCAGGCCTGTCCCAAGCAGAGTGGCCGTAAGTGAACACAGGGAAACAGGCGGGTTGACAAGCAGAGGGATCGCATGGATCATCCTGCAGCCACCCACGACCTCCAGATAGAAACGACACGAAACGCCGCGCTCAGAGGCAGCCGGCCGCGAGACCACCCCGCGTACCCAGAATGCCGGATCAGGAGCAAGGAATCGACTCAGTTAACCAAACGTAAAAATAGCAATGCTGGTAGCTGGCCCGCGCGCGTGTGTGGTAGAGAAGCGCGGCTTGAGACAAGCGCAAGAGCTGGAAACGCGAATCCCTCCGAGCCCACATTCGTGGTCTGTTGTTAATTGAGCTGCCAGTGCTGTCGCAATGCTGGCATTGGCTCTGCGGTACTCCCATGGCGGGATTGCCCATTCAGACAGCGATTGCCTGGAGTCCGCCTGAGTCATTGGCCTCCGCATTCCGCGGTGGGAAACATTTGTGCTGCGAGCCGGCGAGACTTGCAGTAGTTTGCAGCAAGCGGTGTCGTGCAGACACGCCCCCTCTCGAGGTTATTCTGTGGCCAGCGCCGAGCGTTCTGTCTCCACGGAGAGAGGACTGTAGCCTTGACCATTGTCCTCGTGATTCGACCGACGCGGAAACTGATGTCACAGCCTTTCCGTTCGAGAACTGCTGCAAGGGGGCGTTTGGGGAGTGGCCAGCCCGCCAGCCTGCTCGCACTCGGACGGGTGGGACACACACCAGTCTGCGCGGGTGGGATGGCTGTGCAAGCGCCAGTCCTCTCTCACTTATCACCGCAGTCGCAGGTCACAGCCACGATACCTGGATTCTGTGTGGCATTTGTCTCCACGCTGCGGCAGGCTTTGACATGGAATATATCATGGTTTGCGAGGATCTGGTATCCGAAACATGAATCCATTTTCCCGCCGTAGCGACCCGATGCGAGCTCCAAGAGAGTCGGAGAGCCTCATTGTGGAAAAAGTCGCACACGGTGCCATCTGCGCGCCGCCGCGGGTCCATGTCAGGCAGGGACCTTTTGGCTGGCTAAAGCCTGCCCCACCGCCAGTCAGTCGGTTGTCCAAGAACAAGAGCACGTGCAGGCGTGTTTAGGCAAAGCGCAGGCAGCCAAGTGGAAAAATGACTGTTGGACGAAGATTCTCAACACCACCACATCATGCATATCTGTCAACCTGTGTACCAAGCGTCTCTGCACCCTCCTCTCTCAACCAGAGGCATGGCTGAGGATTCAGATCCTAACCTCCCCCGCTTCAAAATAGGCCATTTGCCACAATCGTCGTAAGAGCCGGCCGAGGGCTGGAGCACAGGGCAATGCTACTGTGGGTTTTATCATGCCATCCCCCATTGACCTACATACTACATGGCAACACCTAAGGTATGCAAGGTGGGCTTAGCAAAAACATAGTAAAGAGATTCTTACCACGCTTGAATGTGTCAGCATCCACAGGGAATTCATCTTGGTAGGTATTGTTCCATGTTGACTGCTGTCGCATTTGCGCACGAGGACCAATGGCGCAAGGCAATCATTGTGAAATACTCTCCTGATTACACACCCTTCTGACCTTGCCTACGTGTTCTGTCTTGCCGTCGTCGCTCACCGAAGACGCGCCACCAAAGTCCTACGGCTCAAGTGCCGGCGAATATCGGGGAGCCAGAGGCCCCCAAGGAATGCACTCTGTCGGTTGCCATGTCGAGGGGATTTTGAACAAAACATGCCGCGTCATCCGTCCCATGACTGCCGCAGGTGTAACTGGTGATCTTTCATCCGCCAGATCAAAGTTCTGACGACATTGTGTTACTACTACTGTAGAGAAATGCATGCAAAGCTGACAACCCCAACGCCTTCTCCAACGTGTCAGAGTAGCCTCGAGGGCTCCCTCTGGCCCCCAACCTTCTGGCCGCACAACCATCATCCCCTGCCGCTGGCGGACTTGCGCCACACGCTTACCCCAGAGGCAACCCATATTCTGCATATATGGGGATCGGTTCATTATGGAGAAATGATGTTATATCGAACGTCAAGATCGGTTGTTCTCGGAACAAAACATATTAAGCGACAAGAGTAATGGTTGACACTGCAACATGGATGTGCAAATTCAGCCCTACATGTTTCACCTGATCCACAAGGCAGATTCCAGCAGGCCGGACGTTGACGCTCGGTTGGGTCAATGACGGACGCTAAGTCAACAGCACTTCACCCCCCAGTCAAGCTTTTTAGCGGCTGGGTCGCAAGTTAGCTTTCCACAGTAATCCACCCCCCACTAGAGATTGAAATCAGCACACGAAAGGTGTCCATCCACAGCCCCGAATTCACTGAAGGAGGCTGAGCAGCTCTCCACAAAATCTTGTCTTGACCTTTTGGTCCCATCTCCCAAACTACGGCATGCAGCTATTTGCTGGCCTTGCATACGGCCATCTCCGGGTCGAAAGAATAGGTCGGCGGCAAAGAGAAGCCTATCCGATGCTTCGGGTTTGTGGCTGCGGGATGTTTTGCATAGAGCTTGCCGTTTCCAAGTCGAGAGCCTCATTGGTGATGACGATAATTGATGGTACCGCTCAAATCCCATGACGAACCAAAACATGACGAAAGTCTCCAGGCGCCCCCAGTGACAATTCGCAGAGTCCATTGCTGTGTGCGAACAATTAAACCATGCCTAATCTTGAAGTGTCTCTTGCCGCCACGAAAACCACCTGCCCAAGCTCGCTTTCTCTCCTTCTGGCCCCCAAACAACCGACGTCTTCACTAGTGCCAGTTCGGCGACTGGTCAGGAACCTGTTTTTCCGTCATCAATGCAGTCTGCAGGTCGATTTCAGCCGCAGCATCGCTTACTACGTACAATCTCACAGATCGAGACGAGCTCATGACCCACTGGGAAGTCTCAGCCACAGCTCATCTTACACACTTACCTCACAAACAGACGGCAGATGAAAGGTATCATACTAAACCGCGTCATGTAAGCCAAAACCTGATTGAACCCGTCAATTTTAGCCTTTTCTACCAATATTTGCGAAATGATATTCAAGAATGTCCACATCGTCCATTAGCAAGGGAGTAGTTTGCCGATGTTAGAACAGTAAACCTTGCCATATTCCTTTGTTCCAAAGTGTGGTTAAAACGTCGCCTTCTCCGCCACTTTCGCATTTGTCAAAGCAAGCCATCGCCCCGTTGACATCCATGTTAGGCGTAACGTTATTGGGTTTAGTCAAAGGGGCGGTCATGGTGGGCCGCAATACCCAGGGACATACCTAGGGACCTTCGTGGGCTTAACCGAGGCAGCTCCGATCTTTTATGTCGCGCTACCCTCTATTTTACCTGTGTCCTGAGTGCTATTGTAAGACTTTGCGTTTTGTTCTTCGGTATGAGAAGGATGCTTTGAGGAGCATTTCTTAGTTGATTATCACAAGAAGACAGCAAGCTAGAAGGTCACTCATGAGTAGGTCGTCCATGGTTCATCATTCGCGTTCTCTAGCTTGTACATATAAGCCAAACACGAGGCCTGCCGCACGTACAACAAGATTCCTAGCAATAGAAGGCACATGATCACAGAATCTTTGGGTTGCGCCATCGACGACAGAAGTCCTCAATATCTCGGACTGTGAATTGTCAAGCTTGCAACATGCTATGTTAATGATAATTGGCTTGCGCCTGATCCTCCCCTGAGGCTTCACCCAGGACAGCCCTCCTCCTTCCCCTCCTCATACCAGAGGCCGGCAAGCATAATGAACCGTTCTGGTAGCCACGTCCTTGTCAATATCGATTAAATCCTTCTTGACTTGTGGGATGCGCGCGGCAATGCGAGGGGAAGTCACGAAGCGAGCAGTGGTGTATTAGACTACACCTAAGGCCTGCAGATTGTACGGGTTGAGGTTGCTAGGAATATAAGTTAGCAAGGATTAAGGAAAAGCTGTATCGGAGAATGCATTACCACATGTTGTAGATCCTCATGCGTATCAAATAGACATACAAGTCTCTGTTCCACATGACCACGATCTCTTCTCTGGCGTCATCCGCCGCGAGGTAAGCCATGGTGAGCTCCTCATTGGTGAGGGTCTCGCCGCCGTTATCGAATTTGACGAATCCGGCAGGGACCCATTTGCCTTTTCCGTCAATGTAGTCATGAACTACACAATGCACTCGCTTGTCGAGACGGGCACGGAAGAAAGCGGGCGCGTCCTTCTGGCGGGCCTTATCCTTCTGCTAAGCCTTGGACTGGGAGGGTCATGAAGGATTCCCCTCGGCGCGTCGGGGTTGTGGTCCTTTGCCCAGACTGCCCACCTTGCAGCACTTGCTGGCAAGTCCTGATTGAGAAGAAATGAGTCAGATACGGACAGGCACGATAATAGATGTGAATGAGGAGAATCCCTTGATAAGAAGAGAAGCATGCCTCCATAACTAACCTCACTGAACTTACCGATTCTGATCAAGCCGGTAGTCAGAGGCATCTCTCTCATCTTGGGGATATCGATGCCGGCCGAGCTGATCCAGCCGCCATCAAAGACCAGCCCCAAGATGCGATCAGCCTCTTCATCTGAGACGGTCGTAGCAGTCGGTTCCAGCTGCTGCTTGGCCTTCAGGATCAAGGGTTTTAGAACCTTGCGCATGTCCTCGGTGATGTCCGCGGCGGAATTGATGACATCCATAATGACGATAAAGATAGTGATGGTGGTGGTGTTGAGTTTTCCAAAGATTGGTGACAGAAGGTTGCTACCAAGTAGTCAGTACTCACCACCCTCCCGAAAATGACGGGGCAACCCAGACGTTTTCTAGCAAATCTACTTCAATACGCCACTCAAGAAGAGTACTATGTCGCCTGCTGGCTTGTTCTCATGGATATATAGTACAGTTTTCAGTGCTGTGTCAAAGTAGTCGACACGAGCGGAGAAGCGATCTGCACCAGCAGTAAGCTGGGCATCGGTCAGTGATACGGAGTCTGCGTCAGTGGTGCTAAGATAATTTTGGGTTTCTCCAAGAAAGGACTCTTCCACGTGATACTTTCTACCCGTGATGGTCAGAACGGGTGCTACTTTTCCATCTTTTTTGGCAAAGTAGTTGGAGGACTTGGTGGCATACATTGTAGTCGAACGGCGACATGACCCCCAATCAACGCCCCTGAACTCCATTCAAAGTTACATCTCTGTATCCGTATTTCCCCAGCGTAATGTTTCAGCAAGTTCACCAGGCACTATCCCGCCGAAGTATCATCGATAAAGCCAGTGACGAAGATAAATTGAGGTTGCTCTCATGCTATTCCAGCCTATCCCAAAAATTCCCAATACCGTGTATGCCACCAGTAGCAGCATGTATGAAGAAAAGTTATATGAGGTTGCCTTCAAGCCCCTCTGGGCTTACACCAAGAGGTGTAACGCTCTTGAGCCTTTTGCTTGAAGTCGTATCCTCCGGCGCCTTGCGCTTCTGCAGAGACGTCACGGTAGGAGTTGTCGCCGAGGTGTTTGGGCTGTTCACGGGCAGTGGTGCGAACGCTAAGCGCGACGAGGAAGAAATGTCGACATCATCTACTGGGACTGGGAGTGGTTTACCAATGTCGAAGGAGTACACCTGGCGATCTCCCTGGGTTCTGAAATGTGTTTTGTAGGAACCCGTCCCGAAATCAATCTCGCCATGCCCCAATTCCCGTCGACATCTGGTAAGGCAAGAGATCGCTGTGTTGATTGCCATTTGTTTCTTACGTTTTTTGGGCATGATGTATGGGATGGCAATAACAGGGTGCAAGCCCCCGAGCTTGCCGCAAGTGTCGTCACCCGCACCCGGACACTTGGTGTCGGCGAGAATATAGAACCGAGGATCCATACTCCACTAGAGGAGGCCCTTGTCCTTGCGGGAGTAGCCACGTGTGATTAGGGGACGGAGTAATGGAAGGACCAATATGGTGTGATGATGATCATGATGATCATGATGATGATTATCTTGAGAGACTGGGCCTTTGAATATTGGAAAATCGAGCTGTTGATCAGACTGCGTTTGCAGGAGCCCAGGTCACATGTTGAATTTGTCAACTTTGAAGGAAGGACCATGTGGAGCGCCTTCCCTGGGGGCGCGCGCTCCGTGAGATCAAACGAGCACCGCGCACAGTCAGAGAATAACAAGCCGCCATGGCGTTGGAGAACACAAGTTTTTACTTCCAGAACCCCACTCGGATAGCGGTCTTGTCCAGGGTTTTTGTTGTCGGCTTCTTCGACGTGTTACTGAGTGGCATATTGGTATTCCAGCCGCTGGCGAACGCCTTGTCCACGTATTTGTCGACAATTTGGTCGTCGACAACACAGGCTGTGTCCGGGAGGGCCTTCCTCTGAACTGCTTCGATGATCTTTCTGATATTCTGAACGTCGAAGGACGTGAGGTCTGCTCGCTGACGAACGTCCCTGGCAGTGACCGTCATGGGTATCACAGGCGGAGTAAGCTCCATCACCGGCGGCGTAGAGGACTGGGACAGCAAGTCGCTACCAGTGCTGTCAATCATCAGTGTCTGAAACAAGGATGTATCTGTCTCCCATGAGAGGTATGTATCTTAGTGTGAACTCACCTGTCCATCGCTGATGCTGACGAGTCACTCGAAGAGGTAAATGATCTGGTAGAGATCTCCCGTCACCGATGTGTGAGTTTGAAGGAAGTGGAAATGGTAACACAGAAAGATTTTGGTGATTGGATGAGATATTTTGATCGGACTTGATGCAACTTGGGATTTCACGAAGCGAATGGAAATGTATATTTGGTGGTAGCGTGGTCACCGAGAGTGGTAGGATAGAGTGATGGCCATTGGAGATCGTCACAATCAGGTCATCAATTGAGACGTCAATTGAATGGGACCTATGGGATGGCAAGCAGAGGGATTTTTGATTGTTCTTGACGATTCAATGAGATGATTTAGTGGATCTAAAATTGAAAACTGGTGCGAGGACGAGATCGAGGCGGCTCGAGACGCTCTCTCTCGTGAGTCTAATTCAATCCTGCCTATTCCGGTTCACGGCGCGCTGCCAAAGGATCGCAAGTGCATTTTGACCACCAACATCGTTGAGACCAGCGTCACAATTCCTGACGCAGTGTATATCGTTGATACCGGCTTCGCAAAGGAAATGCTGTGGAACCCTCGAGTTCGTATGAATCAGTTAATCCTGGGGCCAATCTCTAAGGCCTCGGCAAACCAGCGCAAAGGACGGGCTGGCCGTGTTCGGGCAGGGGAATGCTACCGACTGTACACACGGACTGCATTCTTGGAGGACATGCGGCCAAGTACCTGCCCCACCATTAAGAACAGCAATCTCGCTGCTGTCATTCTCTACCTGAAGAATGCGAATGTTACCAATCTTCTCAGTCTCAAATTTGTCGACTCCCCTGCGGTTGAAAGCTTGCTCGAGGCGCTCTGTGAGCTGAAGGACTTGTAAGTCTATCCCATATTCACACATTCATCTATGAGTTTGCTAATTCGTAACCTTTTCCAGGCAATTCCTTGACGGCCCCTCGGGTGATATTACCATTGATGGAAGAAGAGCGGCTAGGCTACCCATTGATCAGATCTGGTACCGTGTCTTGGAAGCTGGCAACTCGCTTGGCTGCCTCGAGGATATTTGCGCCATTGTCGCCATCAGTTGCTCCCAGTACCCAATCTGGACACGACCTATCGCGTTCCAAGATGCTGCCGACATGATGGACCGGTGCCAGTTCGCTCATCCTCTGTTTGACCACATCACAGACCTGAATGCTCTTCATGCATACGGCCGGGTGAAGGCTGAGGGCAAGATCGACCTTCCAGCCTGGTGTCATGATCATTTCCTCAGTCAAAGCACACTCGAGCATATCATGAAATCTCGCAGGGGTTTGGCAGAGAAGTGCCAGAGGGTCTTTCAGGTAGACATGACTCGTGGCCAAGGACACATACCGACGTTCAGCACCAAACAAACATTCGCAAGGCCTTGGCCAAGGGACTGGTCACTCAATCGGCTATGTTGAAGAAAGGACACACGCTTCATGTTACGGTGCAGCACAATCAGCCTGGCCTCATTCATCCAGAGAGCTGCGTCATATATGCTGGCAAGAAAGTCGATGCCCATATCAAGGGTGATGCATTCCCAGCCTACGAGTGGATTGTTTGAGCACTTGTGGAGCAATAACAAAGATACTTCATTCACTTTCGTCTCGGGCGACGACCCGAAGAAAACCCTGGCCATAAACCACAGGCTGAAGTCGGATCACTCCACTCGATACGACCAGGCGCAGACGATGCTGCAACGACTGAACCAGCATGCAGCTTCCGCCCTTTACTGCCCAGAAACCTAAGACTTTCGAAAGTTCAAGTTAACAGCTGTACAGGTTAAGATCCAAGCATCATGATTTGCTTACACGATCAACGGCGCGGGGCTGTGGATGGGTCAATACTTGTATATTTAGACATGCATCTGAAGCACGAAGGTAGTCCAAGCATTTTGCCCATCACGAAGTATGAGATGAACAACGTGATCACTTTCTCGTCTCAGGTTGATATCATGATGACGACATTGCGCACCATGAGTAACATAGAACAAGCAAGGGATACGCAGCCGGGAAGTGTAGCATGTCGAGAAGGCCATGATTATTCCTTTCTATATCCTTGAATACGTCCAACCTGATTTCATCTCGATAGCCCTGAGATGCTTAAGATACTTATAAGATCACAAGTCAGAACAACACTTGTTACCGTGATGCTAAGAGGTGTTTACACAGTCAGGAGTGCCTGGAAATGGCCCGTCAACCCCCAAAGCTTGTACTTAGCGGATAGAAAATGTTGCGGTGGAGTTTGAACATCACTGCTGGCTCGTCCTCCACACTAATTTCTCGCGGCTGATACCATCTCTTAGGGCATTGAGTGCGTTGGTGCCTCTCTCGAGCATCGTTTCACCCTCCACCAGTCTATACCTTTGGGGTAGAACTATCCCTTCAGACAGGAAAGTTGGCATGATCTCAGTAGCAAGCTTCTCCTTGAAGAACTCATTCTTGGTTGAAGTTAGCGAATTCTTTGAGTAATAGAAACTGTAACATACCCTGTAAACAAAATGAGTACGAACGCCGCGAGGTTCAACACCTTCTTTCCATCTGGCAGCAGTCGTGACGTCCATGGAATATTCGGGCACTTGATCATTAGACGCATGCTTGAGAATCACAGGAAGCATAATGGCCACTGTGGTTCCTCTGTCTGCTACCCTAGCAATTGCCTTCAAGCTTCCCTCTTGGGAGCCGATGCAGTCAATGACCATCGGTATAGCTGGTTGCTGAGCCCCCCTTACTCTTGCGGCTGCGTTCAGGATAGCCTCGACCACTTTCTCATCTCTGTAGTCAAAGACTTCCTCCGCTCCCAAACCCTTCAGATAACCGTGATGGGAGGGAGACGCTGTTGCGATCAGGTGTCGATATCCATAGTGCTTGAGGACTTGAATAGCCTGTTGGCCCACGGACGATGCAGCGCCCCAAATCAAAATAGGCTCATCCGCTCGGGGCGGTACATAGTCGGCTGGCTTTGGCCACGGTGTGGGTAGGCCGAGGTCTGTAGCCATGGTGTTAAAGACCGTGATAAAGTTCTCGGGAATAGTTGCAACTTCCTCCATCGTGAAGCCATTGGGTATCTATCGAGTCCATGAGCCATTGCTGTTTTCTGACTAGTTGCTTGATGACATACCCTGGCGAATTTCCAATCGGGGGCTGTGATGCGTTCCTGATGAGCAGCTTGCACGTTCCCCTCGTGTGCCCACCCAAAGACTCTGTCTCCTGGTTTGAAGAGTGTCACATTCGGCCCTATCTCCTCCACGACACCAACAGTAACAGCTCCAAGTACTTGCGGAGGCTCGATGAGAAGGCCACCATCAGCCCTGTGCAGATCGAGAGGCGTCGACGCCGTGAACTTTGAATCAATCAGAATGTCGCTTCCTTCCGGCGTGATTGTGGGTCTCCGATGAATCTCGAAGGGCTCCCGCTGGCCAACAAGGACGAGTGCAGAGTGCGTACGAGCGGACATGATGCCGGATTAGAGGTGTGTTTCTTGTTGGGCTGATAAAAATCTGTATTGCGACTTCCACTGCCAAAATGAAGCAACACACATCCCTCTTATAAGCATCCTCATCCGACATGTGGGGTTTGGTGAGACCTAATAAAGCTTGATTGGTAATGCAGCGGATTAGTCACTCATGCAACCAACACATTACCAAGGCTTCGGGCTCCCATTGGCTGTCCTAGAAACAACCGTGCACCGTAGATCTTATATGTCATGACTCGAAGTGGGAAAAGAGTTGCGCGCATAGATGCCCGTCTGATTCCGAAAACACAGTCTCTGTATAGAGTTCTGACGCTCTTAGAGATCGCCATTCGTGGAGTGTGCAGCTTTGGACCAGCTGGCAAAGATTGACATCTGGCAGACAGTTGCTACTTTAAGCCACTGTCCAATCAGAGTGTCCCCTATAGACATTACAAGTATACAGCTCATGCACCTCAATTGGACACTAATAAACCATTGTTTCATGAGTAATGGGCCTTTGCTCCATGATTTGTAACTATTGTGTTTCCATTTGTTACGATTAGACCACTGTGCTCGTCAGCTGAGTTGTCCTCGAGTGGAAGCATCCCGCACTAAGAGCCAGGCCCCTTGCAGCGCAGCTACGAAACCCCGAGCGCCAGCTCGGGCTAGAAATGCCTAACACTACAGAGACGATCAGATAGCAGGGCATCGCGTTAACCACGTAGCCAAAGTGCCTATGAACCACTCTATGGATCGTTGTCGTCACTCACAGTTAGACACTTGATCTATAGACCAGACTGCCATCACAAATGAGTACCTGATCAACCCGATTTTGACTCGATTAATCTGAACTCTGGCCTCCTTGCACGTCCAACAAAGTGTCTCAAAAGCGGGGAATGCCCTGTAGTACGCATTGGCTCCTAACCCAAATCGCTAAGACCTTGGCATCTCCACAGCCCCCCATCTGCAATACATATTACCACATTGTTTCTCCCATTTCAACAACATCCAATGGAGTGATTCCTAGGCACTTTGGCGGAGTGGTTAACGCGATGCCCTGCTATCTGATCGTCTCAGTAGTGTTAGGCATTTCCTTCGGGAGCGTGTGTTCGAATCACACAGGTGTCGACTTTTGCCAGTATAACTTACAGGCTACATACCTTTCCCTTTTTGTTTGACTTGGAGGTTCAGAAGCAATTCAATTGTTGGACTGCCTTTAGATGTGCTTGTCACGCTGTCGTTCGACTGTGTTCCTGCTCATCCTTTGCTCTGGTGTGGTGTGGTGTCTTGGTGATCAACAGCGCTAGCGCTGGGTGGTGGTACTCACGGTTCCACCCGCACGTGCATCATGGCCGAGAGTCTTCCGCCGGCTGCCTGCAGCTGGGTTATTTTGCAAAGCTGACAATCTGTTCCTGCTTAGGCAATTGCAAGAGCTTCGTGGCGTGAGCGTGATGTGGATTGCCGGAGCTGACGGTATATGCTGATTGAGAATGCGGGTATTTTTTCGATCGACGGATGGCTGAACACTTTAAGGCCACTGTAAACGTTCCCCAACAATTCAGTGAAGACTACCGACCTGCATACGCCCACTTCTATGGCATGGCGAGCATGGGGTGCACTGCAATACAACATCTGCCGAGGGTCCCATGAAAGCACCTTAACACGCCAGAGCATTATTGCTAAGCCAAGGAACGTATAGTGCTATATCGAAGCGCCAGTAAGTGCGACCTGGTAATCCAAGCCCTTGTTGGCCTCGCTGCTGAGGGAAAAGGGGTCAAACAATAGAAGACCATCCGGAGTATTGACAACTACAAGACTAGCCTCCTCACCGCTTCCTACGGTTACTTTCCCAGCACCATTCACCAGCTCGGTATACCTCATGGCGCCGCTCGAAGATCTAACCACAAGTGTTGCTTTGAATGGACTACCGGCTGTCACCACCGTGCTAATCTCTCCGCTTCCCTTCAGTGGCACGATATTCGCACCCATGTACCGCGGCTGCCGCGCAAATTTGACACGGTACTTCCCACTCCCTAAAGAATCAAGATTTGCGTAGTTTATAGTTTTCTTTGTCTGCTGGAAGAGTGCCTGCGCCTTGGTGTGGCCAATATCAACATATGCCATACGAGCCCAGTATCGTCCAACTACGGTCTGGATCTTGGTTGGCGATGCAAGTCTCTCAAGCACATGCAATGGTGTCTCATTGCTGTTTCTCTTGTATTTTCTCCAGACGTCGGGGAAAACTGTACGCCCCAGTCCCGTATAATTGTCCGGGTTGTTGATCAGGTATGTGAAAAAGGGCCAGGCCTGATAGTAGTTTCCCGAGTCCTTCGTCCCATCCACAATGACTTGGAAGGAATCTCCGATGACCTTCTTCAATTCTATGAGGGTATCGCCGGTGGGTTGGTTGTACTTGGATCTAGCATCCGCGCAGAGAGGAGACGTTATGAACGTATCGGCGACATAATTCGCTACTGTCTCCCACCATGCTCCAGTACGTCCTTGGTCGACCCAGTATCGCTCAGCATATGTCATTGCATGGCCGAATTCGTGAACAAAGACAGCTGGTGTACTCATATACTGCGTAACGACATTAAGGAAGCTGAAGCCCTTCGACATGTCAGTTCCGGTGTTGGCAGCGGCGCCGGGCAAGCTGGCCACATCATAAACATTCGTCTTGTAAAACGGCCCGTCATCATTCTCGCTCTTGAACGATAGACCTGGTGATCGCCATCCTTGACTTCCGACGAAACATGAGTAGGCTGACTCTAACGTGTTTAGTAGGACATTGGCGACCGAGTCGTTGACGGCGTTATAGACGCGGAAGTGAGACGAGTCTTTGTACTTGCTTCCCCCACCACCAATGCTTGGATTTGGTGTGAAGTCCGGAGGTGGTGCGGCGGCGACGACGGGTGTAGCGGCCGCGCTGCACGCAATGGCAAGCCAAAGGCTAAGGAGGAGCTCAATTCTTAACATCGGGTGTTGCTATCGTTTGTGCATCAGAAGCACGTCTGCTAGGACCTCGGATTCGGCGAACTATATACTCCCAGGCTGAAACATCAACAGATCGGAGATGTATGCAAGTTTCCTAATTTGGATGTCCCATTTTGAAGAGGTGGTCGCCATTGCGCGGTAGCGTTACCTTAGGGTCAACTTCCATGCATTGAGCCATATAGCCTGTATTGAGCTATATCACAAGCACACAACACCCGTATGCTGCTAACGGCAGACTACCTAGTAACCATCAGATATATGGTTAGAATCATAGATTTAGGCCTTGACTGTTTTGAAGCTCTCTCACTGGCTGGGGGGCGGACTCACTCCAAGTGGGCAGTTTTCCTTATAGCAGAGAGATGGAGAGGTCCCAATAAACAGAACATTGAAGGATCTTTCAATCGTCTTCAGAGTGCGCTAATCCCAGCAATAGTTTGATATGGGTAATCATTAGAGCTAGCTGTCAAATGCCGCGAGGACTGTGATTACGACGGCACGGCGGAGATTGCCTTGCGCCTTCACCACCCATCATTGGTTCGAGTAGAAAATGCACTCGCGATTGTACTGGTGATATATCGAGCCTCCTAAATTAAGCCACAAGGAGAACACATAGACATACTTTACAGCGACATTGCACAGTGACTCTCTCTCAAATAATTACTGCAGTACATCAGAGACATTGCTCAACCAAAGCAACAAAAAACGAATTCGTGGGTCTCCTTTCGTGGATTCCAACGGGCAGGTGGTGTGACAATGCGTACCACAGCTATGCTAGCAAAAAAACTGCCTAGAGTTACTTTTTGACAGAACGAAATACCAAGTTAGGTCCGACATGCGTAGACCCGAAACTGTCATATAACTGGAATTCATCTGCCCGTCCTCTGCCATCAGACCTCCCAGGAATGCCGGCACCAATCTTAACCAACTCTCCAGGAGCCTGCTCGAAATCGAAATGCCAAAGCGTCTTGGCCATCACCAGGCTGGCCTCTAAATACGCCATGGATTTGCCCGCACACCCACGAGGACCGACGGAGAACGGACTGAAAGCGGAGTGCATCAACTTAAGCGCCTCGTCGTCACTATCGAGCCAGCGCTCTGGCCGGAACGTAAAAGGGTTTGCAAAATATTTCTCGTTGTGATGGATCGAATACATGCAAACCCGAACTTGCGTACCTGGGGGAATAACGTGACCGCCGACAATGAAGGGTTCTCTGCCACGCTTTTTTCAAGATGGAACTCGCGCCATAGCAGTCCACTGAGGATTGCCTGATTTTCCGCGCTTGTTTGGGTTTTCAAAGAGTACCCAAAGGCAAGCAGCCCTACAATGTCCATGCCAAGGCGCTTGCTGTGAACAGTCATGTCAACAGGAGTCAAATATCATGAGGCTACGAGAAGCCTGCCAATGAAAATGGTGATTTGTTCTATCATAGTAGGTTCAAAGGTGCGCATAGCCTTGTCATTAATAGCCTGCCCAACAACGTGCCGCTTGACTTTGTGTTGCTGTTTATCGATAGCATTGAATACATTAGGATGACCAGCGATTGCAGTGAGTTCGTAAACGTGCGATTTCGTGACCCGCTCATTATTGTAGATATCTAATGATACGGTTAGATGTGGATGCATAAGTGCTGCTAATTATGGATATTAGGAAATACCGCGCAGAGCTTGAGCTGAGTTGAACACAAGTTTGTTTGGTCCATGTCGCATAAAGGGACCTGCCGACTGGGTTAGTATCGAGATTTCTCAGAGGCTCTCGTGCCCAACTTCCCGTAAACCGCTTGATCCCGAAATGTAGCCCAGTCAAGTCTTCGCGACAGGGCATAAAAGCTGGCATATGAATCCGACGCTTTGGCGGCTGCTGGCCCTGGGAAATTCCGGTGAGGATGAAAGAAGATGCGGTAGCTGATTAGTAGGAGGAACTGCACATGGTTAAGTTAGTAACCATGTCGTACTCTGCTGCGGAACTAGAACCCACGTAAGGTACCAAGAGCAGTGCCGTATATTTGGCAAACAAGGCCACTATTGCGCCAACGACCATGGTCAGAGATTGGCAGCCTCTCTTATAGTTTCGAAGTCGTAACACCTATGAGCATACTGCGTTGGATCAAAATTGACTTATCCCACAAAAGACAACTAAGTGGTGAGTCAGGCAGCCGCGAACCCCCGGGAAAGCCAGCATGCATACCAAAGAAAAACATGTTTGATTTATATACAAGTAACATAATATGACAGTGGCGTGGTAGGATGTGGGTGCCGTATCCTGCGTACAATTCCTGGCCACAAAACGGAGCACAATCATGTGGTAGTAATGCAAGGGATATCTCGAAGTAATTGATGTCCAACATAGCATCTAGCTTCTTGGAGATCCGGGGACTAGACGCGCGCGCAGGATTTAATTGCCGATATAATTGATCACCATGGGTGTGTGTTATGGATATGTACCCTCTATCTCCCACGCCGATGTCGTCTAATGCCGTCTCATGGGATTAGTGAGGCATCGCGGCAAGTCTGTGGTTAACTACAGCATATCTTTGGTCATTGTCGTTTTTGTTGCACTTGAGATCCGTCTCAGTTACGATGAGATCACCTCGTCGCAGATGGAGAAAATATAGCATTAAGCCCAGAAACTGAGGTCGGTGCGGTTGGGCAGCATGAACTTGTGTGACTGTTTCCAATGTGTACAAGCGAAAGGGCAGGGGCAAGGACCCAGACTGCACATAGCCAAGGGTTACTCTGTCATGTGCTAGAGAAACACCTGGCGCCTGTCACCGATGCAAGGTTCGGCTCTGCTAATTAAGACTTTCGATGGATTCGGTTCCATAACACCTTAATGGTGTCGACGTCGTCCTCAACATCTTTGTGGTCGTCTTTAACCTTGTCAACGTCATCATGCTCGCCGATAATATCCATCTTGGACCTGAGCTTCGCGACCATAAGATCCACCGCGATCCTCGGCGAGGCAAGTGATAGCTCCTCGCTCAACTTGGCCTGACTGATTACCCTGCCATCGCACAGTTGTTTGACAAGGCTATCTACCATATCCTGGCAGTTGTTTGAAAGAAGATTATACCGTGGATTGAGCGTCATATGGTGGGTTCCTGTTTGCGGGTAAGCTGATTACCCGAAGAAGTGCATGGTATCTATATCTTACCTAGCTCCTGGATTTCACTATGGCTCTTAGTGGTCTCACCGACATAATAGCATGAACTCCAGGTTTCAATGAACCCAGGTGTGATTTCTTCAGTGCGGAAATAGTTCTTGCCAATCGCATTCAGCGCCATTTGGTCGCTCATCAGCTCATAGTAGAAACAGCTTCCAAAGCCTCGATCGATGACAGCCACGAGCCAATGGCTCACGCTATCCACGCTCATGCCCACATGTCTTGCTAGAAGCTTATACGTGCTCTTGGACAGTTCGAACTTTCCAAATGATATGGGAGTTGTGACCAAAAAGACGGCCTTGTGCGACTCTTCTGGATTGCAAACGAGCGGCGGCATTTCTGCAACCGACGAGCCGGTGCGCTTGGCTGTGATCAAATCGAAGAATCGATTCCTCTCGTCGCGACGCCGAGCTTCCTCTGCCGCCGCTTGCTTGGCCTCTTTCTCAGCCTCTCTCGACTTGTGTTCCTCCCTGCGGCCGAGATTGCCATTAGCATCCCGCGAATCACTCTTCCGAGACAGCTGCGCTGTGTGGTCTTACCATTTCTTCTTCACAAAGTCTTCAGCAGCAAGGCTGGCTTGTGTCAGCTTGGACAGGACATCGAACCCCATCTTCGTGGGTTTGAAGACATGGAGCGTGCGGACAATGGCAGGGCGATTGAGCGCTGTGGTGAAAACAAGAAACCGGAAACCGGCCCATGTTGGGCTGGCAGATGCGTGTCGGAATCACGGCACTGCGTCACTGGCTTTAGCGCATCAGCCTCATCTTAGCGCTCATAGTTCATGCTGAGTGTACTATGGTAGACGTTGCCCATCGATATTGAGAACGGATTGTTGGGTGTGCAATTCTATCATAAGAGCATAGTTTCGCAGTCGCAGACAAGAAGGCTCCTAAGACCCCAGTAATGTTCACCACGGGGGTACGCAGGCTGGTGTTACTTGATCAAGGGGGGCGCCGGCCAACCTTCACGTTCCTCTGTGGCGTCTCTCTTGTGATGTGTGTGGCGGTGCCAGCCGGTCTGCCTTAGAACGGGTACTGTGGTGGCGTCAAGTGAATTAAGCGGCCTTCATTCGCTTTTCCTTCTCCACGTACTTGCTGTCCATCGACCTCTGACATTATCGTGTTCTTTTTTTCCCACACTTTATCTGTACTATGCAAAACCTAAGTCAATGGGCTTAGTCGTCTAGCTGGAAAGGAACGATAACCTGAATAAGTGGAGCGCAGCACAAGTGTTTGAAGTTTGATGATGGCTCAGGCTCCGCAAGGTTTCTCGCTCTCCACAAAGAATAGTGCGATCAAGGCAGTCAATAAAACTATCGATCATGACTTGATCAACTTTGATATTACAAGTAGAAGCATTCTAGTCCGGCAGGGCGAAAGTAGATGTTCTTATCAAGTGTTTATATAGACTTTGCCCAATTCCGATGAGATATGGAGCGAGCGCAAGCATCAGAAAGAGGAAGAAGGTGCCGTGGGCTACGTCCTGGCTGATCGTATCTCATTTGCAAAGGGGAAAAGGGCGAAGACATACACTGGAATCCTCCATCTGCTTTCGAAGACATATACGCCTTGGACACGCTTTGTAGGGGATTATTTGACCTCTACTCGACCTACTGCTTATACATAGAAGATAAAGGTTAGATTTGACCCAATACCTCCCCTATTACTGTTGAAAACTGTCTTTCGACAGGCCCTACAAAAAATAATCACTTGCATTTCCTCTAGGAGGCCGCAAAATTGTAGCAATGTATTTCCCCGATGTTCTAGCTTCTTTGCTGGATCCAATGCCCGTCTGATATTCGTGATAATATGCTACGTGATTAAATACCAGTTCATATATAAGCAACAATCCGTGCCCAATACTTGCTTCCTGTGTTTCAAACCTCCTTATATACGCGAAATAGCTAAATTGAGATCACAGCCAAAAGAACAGTATCGTTTCGATCATTGTCTGTCGAATCCTCTGTTACCCATTTGAGCGTGATCTTGGATGGGTTGTTCGGGCGATCAGCTGTGACTTCCCGGGAGAAAGGGGGCAGACAAGCATCCCTGCTGTCTCCAACCTTGTAAGAGAACTCCACGAAGAAAGAGCGTTTCTCCGTTGACTTCCCCAGGTGAAGCTCCATAAAGTTCAATCCATCAGCTTCACAAATCATGGGTTGTTTCTCGCCCCTGCCGGTGAAGGTAATTGTTCTCCCGCTTGGAAACTCGATCAATTCAGCTCGTTGAAGATTGTCGGCATTGGACTCTGCGGTGACACGCAATTCGCAATTGGCGGGAAGATTGAAGAACCTAGTGTTGGACGTGGTCTGTGTAGCAAGAAAAGAGAGGCTCTCGGCCAGGGAAAGGGGTTCTGCCGCCATTGTACATCTAAAGACGAGCAGGATCGTCACCAAGTTGGGTCGTATCTTCTCTGGCTTTGTGGGAGTTTTCTCTTTCCTAGCATAATAGAAACTCCTAGATCTGTGGGTCATCAAAAGCCAAACAATATCAATACGGTGGAATGGGCAGGCTTTTATGTCGCACAAGATCGGTACTCCTGATGTGTAGAGAAAGATGGACTGCCCTTAAGACGAGCCAGTTAGCCTGTTTCGGCAGCTCCGATTGCACCTAACACATAGACATCGACAGATACAGCTATACCTCGTGAACACAAGAAGGATTTGGTTTGGCGTCTTGAATAAGCGCCGGCACCCATGCGAGCGTGCATTCCCCAGATCTGTGGCTGGCTGAAAACCGCTGCTGCAGGCCCGCAGACAAGGCTTAGCGCACTTGGAGCCTACCGCTTCGGGCCCAGCCGCCTGGGGTCAGTCCGCCACAACTCGACAAAGGAGGCAGACCCGGCAGATACTCGGACCCACACCTTGCAAGGGTTCGAGCAAGTTTACATCCGACAGGAGCATAGTTTGTAGTTGAATCTACAACTGGCATGCAATTATACTAGCGCTGACCATTGTGAAACAGTGCCAGCCTCTGGGCTGGCGCAAACGATTCGCTGTCGTTTTCCTCGAAAAGCCATTCGCTGCGCGTGACAGCATTATCTCCTCTACCATTGAAAAAGCCTCAATTCCTAAGATGCAATGCTCAGCTTTCAGCTTTCTGATTGCTTCTGTACATAGTAGTCCGCATCCAAGCCATAGGAGCCGTAGCTAGCTGGATAGTCCTCCCTCTTACACCCTGACGCTCCAATGCAGTGCAATGCTCCCAATAGTCATGCGGCTTGGCAGCACAAGCGTCGCATGGTTCCCAGAAACAACTTTGCTTTCACAGTTAATAACGCAAACTTACTCAGATAAAGATCATGAGGGGCTAGGCCAACCTCCCTAGTCGGGAACTCCGCACGCAGTTGAAAGATCCCATGGGCTGAGGGATCTTGGCAAGATGTTAGATTGCACGATGTAAAGGTAGTTAGGCACATAAGCCGCTATTCCTGTCTTTATAAATTTTACAATCGCTGTAGAGACCTCTGTGAATAACCCACTTCTATGACATCTCAGTCGAATCTACCTTGTATATCTCAAATTTTCGTATTTTTCTGAGGAAGACTCGTTGAAAATGAGTGGAGAAGCTGTTCCCCAAGTCAATGACGCAGCACCCGCCCCTAATTTACTCGACTTAGTTCTCAATGGTGATGAAAAGCCCAAACCGGCCCCTGAAACTCACGATGGGGATACGAACGACAATGGTCCAAAGCCAAGTCCTGAAAATGGAGAGAGTCATAAGGATGTTCTCAACGGCGATGCGGATAATGACAAGGGCAGTATTCCACAACCTAACCCTGCCCGCAGAGACCCCAGAGAATCCCACAGGGCCACAGACGAGATAGCTGCGCGGAAATTCTGCAAGGATGTCGTCTTCCCACCGCACAAGACCCCAACTGCAGCTGAAGGTATCAAGATCGACGGCGTCAAGGCCGTCCTAACTCGTTCTGATAAACTGTGGGATGGCCTCAAGCCCTCAATCAAGTACGGTTTTGTCCAAGGCCAATGGGGTGGCAGTGATAAACAACGACGAAAGGTTGTCGATGTCATTGAAGAATGGACTTGGTACGCCAATGTGACGTTCGACCAAGTCTCGTCAGGCGCCGCTGTCCGAGTAGCTTTCGATCCATCTCCGTCTGCAGGCTCATGGAGCTTGGTAGGCAAGGATTGCTACAGATCCACCGGAGATGAGGCTACTATGAATCTCGGCTGGATTTCTGATTCCGATGCCATATCGGACGGTGAACGAGCTGTGATCCTTCACGAGGTATGAAGTGCTGAAGACTTCTGGCTGAAGTGTCATGTTCGTGATGCTGACTTTCTGCGCTACAGTTTGGCCACGTGCTTGGTATGCTTCACGAGCACCAGAGTCCTGCCGGCGGAGGCTGGCCAGTCAAACGCATTGAGGCGGCAATCAAGTTTTACGGTATACACGACGATTGGGATAGGGAGACTGTCATGCAGCAAGTGTAAGTCGTATTTGTCCGACCTTTATGACCAGCCGAACGTAATACTGACTTTGCACTAGTGTGGAGAGATACAACAGCAAGGACGTGAGCTCATTCTCACAGGTTGATCGCTTCAGTATCAGTAAGTTATTGCGGTTGTACTTTACTGTGTTTCTTACCGATTGTAATGCCATATGGGTGAAGAGAAAAAATCCTAATACTAGGCCATGTAGTGCAGTATCCTATGCCCGCGTCAGTCACCGGGCTGCCGTATGACATCGACTACAACTATACTATCTCGGATATGGACAAGGCCTATATGTCTATCATGTACCCCCGACCTGCGGGGGAACAGAGTAAGTCCGAGTGGACTCTGGAATATGCCTTGGTCAAAAGCGGCATCAGCCGGGAAGCCCCCGATACAAGCGATGAAATTTTAGCTGTATATGCACTCGGCAAGGACAAGACTCCACCCACCGTGGACACCGAGCGTATCAGGATCCTATTCTCCGAGTGGTGTCTTGAGGCCCATACTGCAAGGAGTGAAGGCCCTGCGAGGGGTGACGACCCTGCACGGAGTGAAGATCCCGGAAGGGGCCTCAAGCCTCCAATCAATGAGGACGGCGAGCAAATGGACGAGTCAGATAATTCCGATGACGTTGACACGGATGAAGATGAAACTGATGACAGTGGCGAGCCTGACGACCGCGTCGTTGATCTGGAGTTGTATCCGATGTGCTCCACGGGTGTCATCGATGACAACGACTTGTCAGTTGGGGGGGAGGATCAAGGCAGGCTTCGTAAGTTTCACCTACTTCATTTGCCCCACCTTTTGTCTTTACCTGCAAGCTTCGTGCTTCACACATCTGCTCCTGTGTTAGGACTGCAAACGGATTTGAGTATTATGTGTGGGGTGTCAGGTCTTGCAGTGGCCACAGAAATGCTTCGAACGCATTGCCTTGGGATTATACCAATGATTTCGGGCATTGCCTTCTACTCTCCATTTAATGCAAAAGTCAAGTTCCAGTTGTCTAAGTACATGACACAGATGGTATACGCGACGGCCAAGCACCAGCACCAGCGCATGCTGTAATTGATCCGAGCTGGCTTGGCCGTGTAAAGATCGACGCCACAAAGGAGACTTCGCCAAAATACAGGAGAACCATCACTTGGAAAATCGTGGGTTGCCCAGAACCACCTTCTGATCCGCAGAACAAGAAACATTGGCCCTCCCGATACCAAAGGCGAAGGCTTCGGTCTGCATTTTCTGATTGGGCCAAATACGCCAGCGTCCTTTTTGAGGAGCTAGATGATAGGTCGAACGAAGCCGCCGACATCCTCATCACTTTCCAGAGAAAGGATAAGAATGGCGACGCTATTCTCAAGACCAGCGACCTTCGAAGTTACACGAGATGGGAAACAGGCGTACCTCCTAATGTAGCAAGCAAACCTCAGATGAAGCATACAATATGTTACCGTGGTGTATCCGAAACGTCGGAAATAGCCGAAAAAAGCGCAGACCCAAAGCTAGCCGTTGGAATGCGCAACAAGGATTTCGATCGTCGCACACTCAGACATGAAGTAGGCAAATTAAATGGGTCTTCCTCTCCAAGAACTATCGATCACTAACTTGGGTCGCAGATTGGCCATTACCTCGGCCTATCCCATGAGGATGACGGCGTTTATGCGCATTGCATATTTGGAGCAGACAAGGATTTCCAAACCAAAGTCGCTGATCTACAAGACGAATACAGGGGGACCAAATTTGACACAGGGTCAGTCATGGATGTGCTCTACGCGTAAGTGCTAGCTTCTTCATATTTGAGAAATGGCATAGCTCATCCATTTACCAACAGCACTGCCGATCTAAAAGCGTTGCTGAAGGAAGCCGACGTTCGAGCCCAAGTTCGAACGGTATGTGGTCTCAGCAGATATGATAAGGCAAATATTGCACTTTTACATCCAGGAGCCCGTCTCACGTCACGTATGTCGAAGAACAGAGATCCAATTCGGAAGTACTGCACTCGTCTTGGGTTGAGCACTACAGTAATCAAGGAACTTCTAGAGCTTGCAGATCCTGACAAGTGCAATTGGTCAAAGTTCCGCCAGACATATCTGGAGGCTCTGAAGAAGCAGACTTTGGAGTGGACCAATGTGAAAGCGAAAGTGGTCGAAACATTGCGAGCATATGCGCGCGACCCAGACAATGCCCTTGGGAAACGAAAACGATCCAATGCTGCAAGGGGTGTGGTGCCAATTGCACGAGAGTCGAAGCCTTCTTCGACCTTGCTGGAGCTCATGTACACCCAACTCAACAAGACTATCGGGCCTACAGGTGCCCAGATTCTGACATTGCAATCCCCCACCCGCTACTTGGCAAAGGAAGAGTTCCAATTTGAACTGAATGGAATTTACTCCAATTTCATCAAGCCGGTCCCTGTCGCAGAGGCCGAGTTTAGGCTCACTGATGCACTCTACGATGCTGCTGCGATCGTTTCAGCTCCGAATGGACGCAGTCTGAGCACTGTATACAATCAGATTCTGAACAACATAGTGCCCAAGTATGAGGATTCCGACCGGAAAGTTCGCCAAGAACGAGAGCGTATTCGCTCGTGGCTACTTACCGAAGTTGGAGATCAAGAACCATACTACAAGTATGAATATGGCACTGCTGGTGGCGGTAAGGGCGATGATGCTGGAACGTTGAAGCAGCTTGACAGCGCCTTGATCGCCAAGAACTCATTTGTTAGAAAGATGTCCAGGATGGAGTTTGCAAACCAGCTGACCCTAGGTGAGTAGACCTCTCCGTTGGCAGACCTATTCTAACTATCTATGCAGACTACTACGATGCGCAAATGAAATGGGAACTGGAGAGAGACCAGATGATCGAAAACGCCATCGTATCCAAAGACCCTGATAAGTTGCGTAGTCTTACGCGAACGCTAGTTCACATAACACAGTCTCAGCAAGGGAAGCTGGGCATGAAGTATGCCAATTCAGTCGTCCGGGGCTACTCCCACATCGTTCGCGAAGCTTTGGGTCACCTGGATGTCGCTACGGCGGCGGAACTTCTTCAAGACGCGAAAGACTCATTCAGAGCGACAGCTTACTCTTCACTATACGGAGCCTCCAAAGTATATCCGGTTCTTATGAGCCCTGTGGATTGGTCGGCAGCACTCGATACGGGTTTCTCGGCTGAGGATCTCAGCGAGAATCCGGAAATGATTATTATGATGATCCAGACCAAGTCGCACGGCTTGGACGTCTTGAAGAGACAGCTGGCTGCTCTGCAGAATGCTTCTGAAGGGGACGCAGCAGCTCTCAAGAAAGATGTCGATCTCAAGGCTGGGGATCTCAGGAGGCTAGAGAGCGACCTTTACAGCAAGTATGCGGACTCGACGGTTCAGCTAGCCAAGATAGCCATTGCCATTGCTACTGACGGAGCTTCGACCTTGGCTGACGTGAAAGACCCTGAGACTCTCGCGTCCATTGAATCCGGGAAGACATCTTCGGCAGAGGTCAACAAAGAGTTGTCACAGAGTGTCACACAACTTGATCTCAATGGCACGGTAGAGGACATCAAGAATCAAGTGCTGGGGGTATGTGAAATGTCTTCCATAAACTAACAGATGTTCAGCTGACAATCCTTTCCCATTAGGTCCAATCAGCTCAGCTCAAGCTTCAAGCAGCAACGAGCGCCTGGGCTTCCCAGAGAACCGCCCTTGCCCGCGCAGAAGCTACATCAACCAAGTCTGAGCAAGCTTTCATATCAAACCAATTGGTCTCCATGGAAAACGAACTGGCTGGCCTCAATGCTAGGCTCACTGTTGCCAAGAAAGCCCGTGATCAGCGCGTCAAGTTGGCTAGCGAGAAGAAGCAAGAGCTGAAAGTGGGCGACCTTGCTACCACGAAGCCAGCCGCTATAGGTGGCGGCTCTAGATGGCAAGAGATCAACATCGTCGGAGAACAAAAGTACACCAGCCAGAGTTCCCTGACCAAAGGGTCGAGCGACGCTGAGATGTGGAGTTGTAACTTTTGGATAGGCAGTGCTGGAGGTTCAAACACGTCGGAAACAGGCTCCTTCACTTCATCAAATGAGGGACACAGCGCAAACATCGAGATATCTATGAAGGTCACTCTTGTGACAGTCGACAGATCAAGCTGGTTTCAGGTAAGCACCCAAGCTCGAAGGCCGGCATGCAGCATCCTCAGTCTAACCCATGGTTTATCTAGCCACACCTGTTCGAGAACTCTGGTTCATACATGAAGAACAACAAAAACACCACTTTTAATACATGGCAGCAACTGGACAAGAAGAAACCTGAGGATGTGGCAAAGGCTTTCCGCACGGGAGTAGAAACCAATACCACTGTTCCATCGACAAAAGAAGGAAGTCTTCTCCCAGCTTACCCTGTTGGGTATATCCTCTGCAAGGATGTCTTCATCAAAGTATCGAACATGAGCATGTCGGCAAAGGAGGAACGAGAGCACATGGTGAAGAGGAGCCAGTCCAGCGGCGGCTTCCTCTTCTTCCACTATAACCGGGCATCCGAGGAGTCTTCAGACTCGTCCCAGGCCACGTTCGAGATGGCGAGCGACGGTATGATAGTTCGCATCCCGGGACCCCAAATCCTCGGCTATGTGCAGCAGATTGTCCCCAACGATGACTCTGAGGCGTATGACCCCCAAAAGTCACTTGGAAAAGAGTTTTACCTGCCTCCGCAGGCGAATCCAGCCCTGAGTGCCAATAAAGATGACGACCAGCAGTCGCCAGCTCATGCATCGGCACCCCCCGGCACAGATCGCCAACCGGCACAATCGCTGGCAATCAACTTCGACGTCAAGCCCACAAGTATGAGTGCTAACAGAGGTGCGCAAGGCGGCGTGAATCAGATTGATAAGGGTCAGACTTCCGTCGATCAGGGGAAGAACGCGGGCGTGGCAACTGCGGCATCTCCAGAGACTTCGAAGCAACAGCAAGGGCCCGACGCCGCGAAAGCGGCATCTCCAGCCCAGCCTGTGGCTCAAGGTAACATGAACATTGACGATGTTATGCGCTTGGTCAAGGAGTACTGGCATGCGGATGATGGCAAAGCCTTTCGAGCGGCTCTCGAGGAGGCTCTGAAGCCCAGTGCTAATTGAGGAGCAGGTTCTATCAACTTTCCTTGAGTGTTTTGCGCGCAAATATACATGAAACTGTTTTCTGCTATCAATTATGAACCGCACCCTCCTGGAATTGGGGCTATCGTGCAACTTCTCTACAATGATGCCTCTGGCTTCTTGCGTCGAAACTTCCTCTGCGCTTCGAGAACCATGACAATCTGGTGTGCGGTGCAAACCAACTCCATTTCCGCATTGCAAATCGTGATGTCCAAATCCATCCTTCCTTCATGAAGCATCTTTGTGGCGGTGCGAGTGAATACCCACTCAAGGCCCTCCTTGGGAACACACCGCTTGAACTCAATGTCTAGCACCACCGTTTGGTTATGAGTCATTGCCTGCATAGCTTCGGCGACCGAGTTGGTCATCGGGGCTGGGACGCCAGGGTGACCCTCCGCCCACTTCTCCATCTCTGCGAAGAGTCTGTGTGCATCGTATAGCCCACCGTTGCGAAGGAGGGTACCGGACATGGACGGAATAATGTCCGTCATCAGAGCCAGATAGGTCGCGTCCATACGCTCGTCTGGGCAGCCGATGCAGCCACTCCACGCATCACAAATGTCGTCGACGCGATGGCTACCACGCGGGTGGAGGAAGAGTAGACGCTTGGTCACATCAAGTATCTCTCCAGAGAGATGCGTGGGCAGCCAATGAGGATCAGATTGACGATTTACAATGCGGCTAAAATCTGGCACAGGTTTTGGAGCCGGCAGAAGGCTCCATGCGGTAGGCACAGTCGGGCCCAGGGGGGCGTCGAAGTTGGTCGCCGTAACTAGGGCAATGACTTGACTTGCTTATCTTGTGAAAGCTGCAAGTGGAGAGTGCTCGTACGGGCGCCAATCTTGAGCATACTGACGACGATGGTACTCTGAATTCGCTCACAAGGCCGAAGGAACTCGAGGTGGAGACTCAGAACATTGGTCTGTTCGAGTGCCGTTATTTTTGGTCGGCAACAAGGTGAGTAGTAGCAGCATGGTGCACAATGGCTGCGATACTGCCCCCAAAAAGAGCTGGAATGGCAGAGAGAAGGTTATGGTCAGCGAGGATTCTGGCTCATCTTCTTGACCGTAGGAATGGGGTGAACCAGACGGGGGCTTCGCGATTGTTATCCACGTCCTATTGCCTAATGTCCATTCAACGTCCCAAGAAGCAGTGTAGGTGTCAAGAGCTACCTGTTGAAGGTCGATCTGCCGTTTAAGAGTACTCGCCATTGTCTCGCGCAATATAAGTGATCCCTCGGCTGTTGATTGATCTGAGAGAATTTAGGGAGAACAAAACACAAAGGTGTCTGTTGAATCGCATCCCCAGAGTGTAAGCGTAAACACACAAGGCGAACGTTGGGCAGACGGAAAGTTTGTTGTCGGGCTGCTTTAAGCGATTGTACTTGGTGGTGGCTAGGAAGGGAGCAATCATGCCTCATGATATGACCCCAGTACCCCTTGCATGGCGCTGTGCAGCATAGTGTTCAGAGTACGGTGATACACAGAGGCACAACTATCTAAGCTCCGGCGTTAGATGAGTGCATGAGGCTGTTACTCATTTTGGTGAGCTCCCTTCTCATGGGCATACTAATCAAGCATTGCCTCTAAATTTTGCCTTCCGATCCAAATCTGTATTCGATAATGAGGAAATAATATTGCAGAAGCCGGGTTCGTATTACCCTGGTCCTATGAAGCATAATCGAGTCTTTCGAATTCTGCATATTCTTTTATTGTACTACGTGCTGAATGACCGATCAATGCGAATTGAAGGGTCTTATGCCCGAGAGCTAATTGCTTTGAACCCTTCTCGTCTTGCTGTCTCATTTGCTATTCACTTGGGCCTTCTTCTGGTGCCAGGCCGACACAAACGCATGCTGCAGAGTCTTGTATTTGACCACAAATTTCTGGACGTGATTCAGCTATATCAGCAATACCTAACATGCTATGTCGATGGCCTGGTTCCTTATCCGCAATGCCGTTGGCCGAGTTCTTGCATCCTGTCCAACGCTATTGCATCGCCCTCAGCAAGGCTTTGCCCGCCAAGTAGGATTGCTGCTGCAGCCTTCCAATAGTAAGGAGGAGCTCACGTCGAACATGCAATCCCGAATTCTCTTCGGCGGGCAATAATTGAGCCTGATTATGAAGCAAACTGCTCGTGCACGATGTTCATCAGAGTCGTTGAATCTAACCCCTGGACGGCAAATCCTCGGGGGTTTTGGCAGTTGCCAAATCTTAGGGAACCCATGCCCGAGAGATCCGCGACTCTGAGCTCATTCATCACGACATTGTGCAGATTACAAAAGTCGCATCGAAAAATGGCTGAGCACCCGTCATTCACACTCGCCGGCCTTTGTGAGCTGTCCCCAACCCCCAATTGATGGATTGGAGTGCTGATGTGAATCGTTAGTGGCCGTCGGCGGCACCATGGGCTACGTCCGCACCCGATCAACGCCGTCCCTCGTAGCGGGACTGGGTCTCGGTGCATCGTATGCAGTCGCAGGTAGACCGCCCTCAGAATCGGGGTATCTTTTGACGTGAGTACCTGACCACTTGCCATAGGCTACCTCCTCAAGGAGAACAAGGACTACGGCACCGAGCTGGCGCTGGGCAACAGTATCGCGCTCCTCGGTTCTGCAGTTCCTCGAATCATCAAGACGGGCGCCCGCGCGCCTGTGCCTCTCGCTCTGGGTGCAACTGGTGCCCTAGCAACGTTCTACTACCAGAAGAAGTTCAGGGAGTTCAGATTCGGTGTATAAAAGCGCCATCTGGTGGGCTTTTCCGACAGCGAAGCCCAACAAGCTTCCCAGCAGCAGGCTGTACGGAAACGTCTGTACGCGCATCCATCAGCGCGGGAAGACCATATTTCGAGGACTCTCGTCAATGGAGGTATTGCTACACGTAGTGTAGCAACAGGCATCTGATGGACAGGGATCTCATTGGGGCATATACCCTGGGGCCGTTCGAGCCGTGTACTCTATAGTTATTCCCCAAGACCATGTATGATAGTGCACAATGGACGAATGCATCAATGGCGAATCTCAACTCACTGTAGTTTTCATGGAAGAGACACATGGGAATATCAAGATCTCGTGCAGAAGTTGCGCCTATCAACGTCCTGGCAATGCCCAGGTGCTTGTTTCCTTCCTAATCAACGCCACGCCGCCTTGGCAGGCTCCTAATGGGACGGCATATGAGCCCTTGGCGAACAATGTCATTGTTTCGGAATTATCAAACGGCACGCTCACCCGCTCTCAGGGCTACAGGGCGGTCGAAGTAGGACGTCGTCATTTATAACATCGAAAAATAGCCACATGCTGCCCCGACTAACCATCAGGCGGTGTCAGTCCTACACCACGATGACTGCTCGTGATGGCACGCAAAGCTCAAGTACCTTTCCGGCAACGAGGTCAGCGCGTGATCAGTTGTTGGCTTTCGTACCCACGAATGGGCAAGCGGTCAGTCCTGATTGTCGGGACTGGCCCTCGTGGTCGAGCATGGATCCTGCCCTGGACAGGCTCCCCGCCGATGCTCCTCCAGCCGTCGACGCGGACCTGCATGCAAGTCATTGGTGGGAATTTGGTAGCATTGGCAGCTCTTCCAGTGCCGATTATGTTATCAGGCTCGCGGTACGGTTCAAGAAGGCACCAGAGGTGCGAGACGATGTTGCAAAAAGCCAAGGTTTCGTGATCTTTATATTCCTGGGTTCGACCAATATGCGCACGGCCATACTGGTGCTCACGTTGGCACCACGCCATCTGCTGGTTTCCGATTGAGGAGCTTACACGCAACCGGCAGCAACACCTCTTCCCCAAAGTAAACAGGGTAACTATTTGCGCGCGCTCCAATGAAGCCGGATCCAGCAGGAATCGCAAGATTGAGATCGTCTGTCGTAACCAGGAATGGCCGGCGGGCTCCGGGACGCCGTGTCGCAATAGAGTTGCCAAGGGTCGAAGCTGGTCCCCTGGCAATCGCGAACCCCCCTCCAAGGGGAAAGGCAGGCTTAGCGACGATAGGCAGGTAGGTTGAACTGCCAGTTTGCAGGGTTGGTGGCAGATCTGCCGTAAGCGAGCGATCAGTAGCGCTGCGACGGGAGCGGCCCAATCAGCGCGCGCAGCGCCATGTCGTGCCGGCGCCCGTACGACGGCCATTCCCACCCGATGCCCCTTTCATCCACCGACCTCATGACCTGGCGGACGGCCGGGGAGGACGAGCTGTGGAGAGCTGCGTTTCGTCTTGTCGCCAGGCGGTCGAGTGTCACGGCCGGATGGGGAAGGTCGCCTCTTCCCCAGGCCCGCCGCGCGTGGGCTGGTGGCCATGGAGCCCACGACTTGCGTCTATGCAGTGGACCCAACGCTAAATCGACTTCAATGACAGTCCTACTCTGCAAGGCCTATGGGCCACTGATTTGGACATTCGCCCGTCGTCGAGATAACATTGGACGGCCTCGCATCTGATAGCCAGCCCGTCTGACAATAGATCGGCACTGCTATAAGAATGGCATATAACTAGCCCATAGCTCACCTATGCCATCCTCTCTCGATCAGTAGTTAGTAGTCTTCCACGCCACTCACCAGCAAAGATCCCTGACTCCCGACTTCCTGGTTCCTGCCGTCAAAATGATTGGTCTCAAGGTGCGCATAGGCCCGTTGCACGTGTGTGAGAATCAACCTTATACTGACCTCGGCCATGGTTGCAGGTCCTCCTCATCTCGGCCCTGTCCGCCATCAGCGTGACTGCCCGTGCCGTCGACCTTGCCGAGCGCGAGACCGTCGACCTGGTCGAGCGTGCGGACTGCGTTTACACCTGCGGCTCGGTATGCTACTGGCAGGAGGACATTGACGAGGCCCTGGCCAAGGGCTACAGCCTCCAGAAGTCGGGGTCTGCCATCAGTATGTTTCACACCTTCGCTCTCCGGCCCCGTAACATTCTTGCAATGATACTTCATACTAACCCGTACATTCAGACAACTACCCTCACCAGTACAACAACTACGAAGGCTTCTCGTTCCCCACCAAGGCCCCGTGGTACGAGTTCCCCATCCTGTCGTCCTACAAGGTCTACACCGGCGGCTCTCCCGGCGCGGACCGTGTCATCTTCGACAGCAAGGGTGCCTTGGACGCTCTGATTACACACACCGGTGCCAGCGGCAACAACTTCGTTGCCTGCAAGAAATAATTGCAAAGTCTGCGTGTGGGACATATGAGGCGTACTGGGGTTGGCTTGGTGAAAATACTTCTACTACTATCATACGTTGCCGATCTGCAGCATTTGCAACGTTTGGAGCTTACAATTCATATTGGAAACCTTTGACTCTGAAGCCTCTGTGCAGTGAAGACCGTGCGTGATGGCTGCCATTGCAGGACGTGGGCTTTGCTGCATTCCACGGCAAAGAAGCCGTTTATTGACCATGAACACAACCCCCCTGTCGTATGGTCGTCGAATTCTGGAGCATCTTGGGCATGTTTTGTCAGCGCTGGACTCTTTCCTAGTCATTTGCAAGTGCAATTCGTGGATACCAATGACTTTCGCCGAGATGATGTGAGATTTCTGTGAAGCAACTACAAAAGCATCAGAGACTCAGGTTTCCAGGGCTTATATGAAAACTAGCTCAGTATACTTGAAGAGCTTGGGAGTTACTGATGTCACATCGCTTACACGCTAAAATGCAGCACATCAATTCGAATTGAGCTCCAACTCTGTCAAGCACTCATTGCTTTCGAGAAATCCAAGACCGCACGCAGATCTTCAATCACAGAATATGTGCAATAAATTATGTATTCGTCGTACTCGTATCTTGTCGTCTGCCCTGTGATGGGCTCAACTCCAACTCTACATGCAAATTTGTTTTCCCAGAACAAACGCCCGGAAATGATGGATCCAAATTGACCATCTAAAACGCCCACACCACGCTTGCCATGCTGTTGAAATCCGACAATCTCCCCAAAAAGAACTTGGTAGGGTGAGACCAGTGACTGGTCCATGCTGTCGTGCGAGAGGTTCTGTTGGTCCTTCTTTGGAACTCGCTTAGATTGGACGGCATTCCAGTTGGCATTCCTAAAAGAATCGCCCGGCCAATTCCAAGGCAGTAAACATGTCGACCCTCCCAATTTACACCCAACCAAGTGTTTCCAATGTGTTGCGTGCCTCGTGGACGGACATGGACTGGACTCCCATTTGCCGGACCTGAGTGCCCCTTCTCAACCGCTGCAACCCGACGGCCACCTTCCAACCTTCTTCTTCACCCAGGACGAACATGAATCGCTTGCCCTCCTGGTCTCTAAGGGTAGCACGCAGTATGTGTAGGCCGCGCTGCTTCCACTCGCCCGACTGCCCACCGGTGTTCGAGTTAGCGTACGAAGATGGGGCATCTCCGTGTGGACAAAGACGACACTCGTTCTTGCAGGTTCGCAGCATGTTCTCGCAAAAGGTATCGGCCTCTTCGCCGGTGAGAACTTTTGGTTGACCGCGATCTACACGCGCGCGTGCGGGTCTGTGAAGCACATTGGGAGACTTGGTAGAGGTGGCCGGCGTTTCGGCAAAATCACGCGAGGAGCACCATACCTCCATAAGCTTGAGCGTCCAAGCTTTGACGTCCCACTCTCGCTGGGGGACGCCGCGAATGTCGTCGTCAATGAAAATACCTTCCGTGGTGATGCGCAGGATCAGGCCCTCGGTGACCGGGCCCTGGCCCGAAATGAGCTGGGAGGCGGGCGTCTTGGCGAATTGGTTCATGAAGCCATAGACAGCCTTGATGACAATCTTGTCGGGGTCCTTGGTGGAATAAGGCCCGCGTACAGACGGCGGTGGCGACGTGCGTGCAGTCGACTGTGAAGGGGCATAGGAAGACTCAGTGAAGATGGTCTCGCCCGATCTTCTTCTCGCATGTCGCTTCGGTTCATCGTAGGGACGGTAGGAGTATGTCTCCTCGTCAACAGTGCCAGTGAAGGTTCTGGCTGTGGGAGCTGGTGGTCGTTTAGCGGAGCTCGGGTTAGGATTGGGTGTTGCGGGCGAAGACGGCTGAGACGGGGGGCGTCCGTTCGGCCAGGGGTTTGTCTTCTCGCCCATAGCAGAGAAAGCATAAGTACTCTTGCGTGTGGCCTCTTCCTTGAGGCGGGAAGCCTCCCTGTCCTTGGCATCCTTCTCGAGCTTCTCTCGGGTCGCCTTCTCCCTCTCAAGTCTCTCTCGCAAGTCCCGTTCCCTCGCCTCTCTCAGTCGGCTTTCCCTTTGCTCCTTGTCGCGCGCCAGTTTCTCCTTCAATTCCTTTTCGCGCTTCTCCTTCTCAGCTTGCTCCTTTGTGCGGGCTTCCTGGTCGGCCTTCTCCTTTTGCTCCTTCTCACGCTGAGCCTTCTCGCCTGCTTCCTTGGCTGCCTTCTCCTTTGCGGCCTGCTCGCGCTTGGCACGCTCAAAGGCTTCCTTTTCACGAAGCTCCTTCAGGCGCTTGGCTATCTCCTCCTTCCTCTTCTGCTCGGCTTCCTTGGCCTTTCGCTCGGCCTCTCTTTTTCGCGTCTCTTCCCGAGCCTTCTCCCACGGATTCGACTGGGGCCCTGACTCCGGCTTCGGGGCCTCCTGGTCTGGACCTGCTGAACGTTGTTGTCCGGCACCCTGTGCTCCGGGTGTTGGGCCAGACTGGGGCGGAGGCGGTGAGGAATGTGGAGGCGGTGGCGGAGGTGGGCCGCCTGCATCAGGTGTAGGCCCGCCAGCCCAACTCTGACCTCCAGCACTCCATCCATGAGTGCCGCCGAAGCCGCCGCCGCTGCTTCCTCCTCCGGGGCCTGGGCCGCCATCTACTTGTGTTCTTCCCAAAGCCCATGCGCCCATGGCCACTGCTATGACCAGAAGCATGATGCCTACGCTGCCCATGCCCTGAAACCCGTTCCACCACGACTTGAAGGCGGGGGCCATGCTCTGGCCCAGGACGACAAGTACCAGGGCTGAGGCAAAGCCTGCGGCGAAGCTGTTGGCATTGGGCTGAAGCGAGGGCAGGTAGAGGAAGCCCGAGCCGGCGGAGTGAGGTGGGATGATGAAGATGTCGTATTTACCGGGCGGGAGGTTCGAGCTGGTCGTCTTTGGGTTCTCGCCGTGAGGTGGCGGCGGCGGAGGTGGGGGACCGCTCATGTTGAGAAAGGCGGCCGACCTGGCCTAGTCGTCGGATCAATGTGTACGACGAAGATATAGAAGCAGGTCGGATCGGATGAGGGCAGTCTATGCTCGAAATCATAAAAGGGAAGGCAAGAAAGGGTATCTGAGAGCCATCAAGGATCGTAACGTCGTGAAAATGCGTGCTGCTGGGAAGAAATCAGCGCCTCGGGTTGTCACAAATGGGTTGATTGGTGTTGAACAGCGACGTGAAGGGGAGAGAAAGAAGTTTCGACGCCAACCGGCAGCGCAAAGGGACTAATGAGCAGACGACCAGGATTTGGGAGCTGGCAAACACACCATGAGCCACGGGGCAGGGGTCGTGATCGTCACTTAATTAGGCATTGGGTGGGAACTGTCCCAGAGGGTTGAAAGCATCCACCTCACTTACCAGGTGGGAAACAGAGCGGAGGCGGAGGCGGAGGCGTTGGCGGAAGCGCTCGAGCAACCAGCGGCTGAGATCGGGTGTCCGGTGCGCGGCGTAACAGGTTCTATACAGAGTTCTTCTCGGCAGACGACGAGGGCGACTTCTTCATAGTGAATTCAGGAGTTGGTTGCACGTTGCACGTGGCGTGGCAGGAATTGTGGTGGTGATGCGGGTAGAGGTCGACTCTTCTTTTTTTTTTCTTGCTCCCCCCTGTCCGGTCACTTCAGGGTTGCCTGGGTTCTGTTTACTTGGGTCGATGTGGGATGTTGACTGACTGACTGACTAACTAGCACACCCGCTGCCCGCACCTCTTCTGTCTCGGGCGGCCTGGGCGGGCTCTAGGGCTGCTGGAGCTGCAGAAAAGCCACCCAATCTCGAAACTGACAGCGGGTCCCCACCCCCTACCACACCCCTCCAGGCCCCCCCTGCCACCTGAGAGCTGCAGCCCGTCAGCCTATCCCAGCGGACCTGCATTCACTTTATCCCCGCTTTAGCCCAACCGAACCAGCGGCCCACCCCACCAGGACGAACAGCAATGGCTGCTCCCGCTCTCGTGATGCTGGTCCGGCTCACTCGGTCGGTCGGTCGCCTTTGACGTGGCCCATTGTAACTAGTCAATTCGATGCTACTGTGGCAGCTGTAGTGGAAAGAGATGAACCTGCAGGTGATACAATGCCACCTCGCGGCCGTGGTGGGTGCTCCCTGCTCTCACGGTTGTCACGGTCCATCGCCGGAAAGAAGGGTCCTACTTGGGTTGGCGGAGGCATCAATGCCATGCTTGCCATGCCTTGATACCGCCCTTGGGCGATCTCGGGGAAAGAAAAAGAACTTTCGACCTGAACCAGAAGCAACGGGTCCAATGTTATCTCTAACATCGTCTAGGCCTTGGCGTCAAACCATTTCTCCCACGTTTCCCGCTGCAAGCCCGCAGATCAGTTGACGAGAGAGCGCTATATCCTGCCTTGTCTGCAGCTGTACGCTCTCCACCGGCACCACGCTCATTCCAATCGTCGCGAACCACCAGATGCACCTCTCATCACGACGCGAACCGCGTGCCCAGAGCCAATTGCTTGACCGGCCTTCGCGTGGGAGCAAACAACACTCTCGTCGCACAATAAACAACCGCCGGCAAGCCCCGTCCAACCCTCGCGAGATTGCCCAATCTTCGCTCCCTGAGAGGTCGCCAGAAGATCCATTTTCTCTGCCATCGGCCAGCGAATCGCGGAAGCGTACCAGAGCTCCCGGCCAGACGGCGCGAGTCGGTGTGGGGGATCGCGCTAAGGACACCAAGGGCAGCTTCCGACGGGTTCATCACAGGACGACTGTGGCTCGCTCAGTTTCCTCCTAGGTAGCCTATTTACGTGCGAAGGGGGGGGTGGCAATCGTGACGTTGGCGATATTGGACTCATTTCATCTCAGGACCGAGCAAGCCAGCATTGTCTGTCCGCAGCTGGACTTGCTGGGTAGGTGGCCCGTTGGCTGGCCTTTGGGCGTCAATTGAACCGAGACGGGTGCTTGTCGAGAAAAATCGGTCAGGGATCCAAGCTCCAATCGCTTACCGCTGGTTGCTGGGCAACGGTCCCACCAGATGGCGAGCTCGCCGCTGGGGTGACGTAGTTAGCTCCCTCGTGCCCCCTGTGTCCCTTTGTGCCCCCTGTAGCCCCTTGGTCGCTGTTGGTTTAGTGGGGCCCACGTGTTTGGCCGTGGCTCACTTGCGTCGCTTTGTCACGTTTGGAATCCAACCGCTTACACAGAACCACGTGGGATGCAGGTTCGGATGGTCAATATTTTCTGTCGTTCTGAGCATCACCACTGTCGATTGTACAATGCACACAGCAATCATCTCGGGCCTCATAGAAGCTATTGAAACCGTGGGAATAACTGTGACTACCATCATCACAGCATCTTCGATGATGGTTATTGCTCGTTGCCCGCAAACAGCTCCCTGAGAGCTGAACGGAGTCTTGACAATGACCAACATGATGGCAATGTTTCGGAGGACAATGAAACTTCCAACGGCCCTACCGCACCGACTTGGTGGTCAAGTTGGCATCCAGTGCCAATGTAGTAGACAGGCACACGGCATCCGTAATGTTGCACTTTCGCACCTGGATACTAAGCCCGAGTCGTGTGCAATGTCTGCGACAGAATCACCCCCTTGGAGAGCTTCTCGAAGCCTTTCGGCGCCACAGAGACGAGTTGCTAGTTCCGATGGACTCCCGCGTAAAGGAAGACGAAATCTACCCGAACGACATACCTCTAGAAGACGAGTTGGCCTCATCAGCAGAGCTCGCTACAGCGCAGACTCTTAGCCCAAGCAGCGACTATGTTGCGATCCCTCCAATAGGCATACTGCTCACTCAACAATATCAGCCGCTGGGCACTACAGTATTTACTACCCAAGCGACATCGACGCTTGGTTCTATCCAAAGCCCTAGACCGCCAGTGCTTAGTCACATGCCCTCGCGAGAGGATTCCGCAACGCCCAGAGAGCAGCCCCTGGCATGGGACGAAATCTTGGGGCATTCAGTAGAACAATCTGGCGCTGAAGCACCGCCGTATGTTGAACCTGTCGTAGCATCTACACGAACGTTGTCCGCAAATGGAGCCAACCGCCAATCCCGTGCACCAACAGTAGGAAAAGCGCCGGCAGGACCATTAGTAGAAGATCCCCTGCCTATCTCGACAGATTATCCCGACAAGGCAGGGCCCAAGCTGGCACGTTTCCGTCCACTAGTCGACCCTCTTGATATCGTCTTCAGAGAAGAGATACACCGCGGGGAGAACGCGCTCATATGGATAGTGACCTGCCGGGGATATACATATGCTTTGAAATTAGTCAGTAATTCGTGCATTGTTCATCGTCTACCAAAGTCGCTTACACAAATCTCAGTTCACACAGTCGTTCGATTCCTGTCCATTCGAAAACGAGTGTCGGGCCTACGGTCGGTTGAAAGAGACAGGTAAGGAACACCTAGCGATCGAATGCCACGGCTACATAGTCTTCACATCATCGTATCTCAACGGGAAGGGAATTCGGTTACCACAACTGGAAGAAACTCCGCAGTTGACAGACAGCGACGAGGAAATGTTCTTCCACGCTCTTCTGAAAGACCTCCCACCAGAGCCCATCGCTACTCTAGATCTGACCCGCACGCAGCTAGTTCAGATGTCCAAAGACCTCCTCGCGGTGCACCGGGTTGGCATTTTCTTAGGGGGCGAGCTTAAGCCATCGTCGTACATCGCAGGCAAGTTGGTGGACTTTGGGCAGTCGAAGACGGTGCCTCATCCGGCTTTGGACAGCCGGGACGGCTTTGAAGTCGGGAAAGACCCACAGTGTGCTGACCAGGTGGCTTTTGATGAGCGGATTGTAGACAGCTGGAATGAGAAGGGTGCTAGTGAGAGGAGAAAGGGAGTCAGGAGGCTGGCTAGGGTGTTCTGCCCGGAGAAGAGGCATTATGCACGCCTGAGGGGCGGAGATGATAGGGGCTTTATCCGAAACTTGAGACTTGGCGAGGGTTGGTTCAATCCTGCTGAATACAAGTGGCAAGTCGAAGACGAAGACGAGGCTCAACGTAATGATGGAAGGAGAGGAAAGAGGGCGCGGTACGACACAGTGGATGACGATGGACGTATTCGAAAGACCGAAGCCAGAGGGAGAAAAAGTAAAAAGCGGCCACGCAGCAGCAACTGCTGAACATGCTATATGACCATGTCATAACTCACACCTGAAGTGCTTCTCCCCACTTTCGTGCTGACCTCATTCTCATATACTAGCAGTGAATAGGTCACACTACGCCATTAGGTTTCGGCTGTAAACACATGATCATCTGACGGCACTCTGGGCCACATTACCATGGCTGCACACTATCACGGAGGATCACTTTTCCAACATCCTCGTCCCTCATGCCCTCGAGCACAGCTTTAACGAAACTGCCAGCAACCGCTGGGTCTCCGGCCCCAAACGCCTTGTTCTGCTCCTGGCTGCCTCCAAGCCCAGTGGCCAGATAGCCAGGCGAGATGCACCACACCTTGACGCCGTCCTCCTTGAGCGTTCGATACCACTCCCTGCCCACGGACAGTCAGCTTATCGCACGGACGAGATGGCGGTCGTGGTCTTCACGTACCTCATCATCATGTTCATTCCAGTCTTGCTGCTGCGGTATGCGGGCACGCCTGTCAGGTGATGCGACGGTTTGGGCCACCCTTTCGGGGCGACCTTGTTAATGGGCAGATCCCTGTTCTCGGACCCAGCCAGGGTCGACGTGCCGCTCGTGATGAACAGCAGGCGGGGGTCACTCGATTTGAGAAGCAGGGGCACAAAGGCCGTCGTGATGATCTGAGTGCCGACCGTGTTCACATTCCAGGAGGCATTCCACATCTCGCGCATGGTCATCTTGCCGGCGTGGAACAGAGGGTCTAGCTGAGCACCTTGAAGCATTACCGTGATCAGCATCAATAAAGCAGAAATTTTGGAACTATACTGACCTGCATTGTTGACCAGAAAGTCAAGTTTGCCGTACGTGCTCTGCACCTTCTGGAAAGCGGCTTCAATCGATGCGTCGTCTTCGATATCGACCTGTATAGCAGTGGCTAAAGTCTTGGACGATGGGAACTCGGCAGTGACATCATTGACGGCCTGTTCAGCTTTCTGAATAGACCTGCCTCCTAGGAGAATTTCATAGGCTTCGTTGGAGCCGAAGAGTGCTCGGACGATTTGATAGCCCAGGCCGGTGTTGGCACCAGTTATGAGGACGACCTTCTTCTCTGCCATTTTATCGGATGTGGTGTTTCTACGACTTGCAGTAACATCTGATACGCCTGGAGAGTCTTCTGTTGGAAGATTCAATGACCCAGAGCAACTTATACACCTCATTGCGGAGAGTTGATGCAAGTCGCCTAGTAGACCGGAGACAAACGGGGTGGGGCTCTCGGCCGACATCTCCGTCAAGTCCCCACGCGATTCCGGCACGCCACGGGGTTAGATTCGCTAGCTCTGCAATTACAGTGCGTTTGACTTCATAGTGATGAATACCTGCATCTTGACGGCAATGAGCTGATTGGAGAAGCAACCTGTTGAATGTTTACCAAGACAAATTTGATGTCATGTCTAGTTCCAGGAACTGCTCAAAGTAGTCCCAGGAAGGGTCCTGAGCCAACCCTGTCAAGGCCTCTTCACCGTTCTCTGTTCCACCCCATAATGCTGCGTACGCAGTAGACTCATCTGCTTCCATAGGCCACGCCGACTGCGCACTAGAGGCCGCTGTTGACAGACCAACAGGAAGGCTGTTCGCAGTCCCAAATCGGTATATCATGGCGTCGACAAGGGAGATCACCCGTCTTGTGTCTTTATGCCTATTGGATTCTTGTTCGATACATAGGTCGCGAGCCCTCGTTAACAAGGCTAAGGTGGTATCGATATCGGTGATCGAGGCGGCGCTCTCATGACTTGTTGTGCAGACAACCAGACACAGTGCCATCATGCCAAAGAGGAAGTCGTGCCATGTAATACTGCTCAAGAACCATCTTTCTGTCTCGGCTTGGCCGCCCGGCTTGAACTCGTAATATGCGTCCACGAAATCTCGGACCAAACTCGATGATGCATCATAACATACCATGATGCTTTCTTTTCGCTGAAGTATGACATAGGGGCGGTGCAGAACACATAGGCATTTATAGTAGAGGAACGACACGCAAAGCCGTGTGACAATGAGATTTGCCGGATCCACGACAGAGTCTGACATAGGGCGCGGACGAAGGAATTCCGGCAAGACAGCATACTCAGCTCGCATTTCAGAGTCCAGTGCGGTGACTTCAGATTCGTTGGGTTGCGTGGATAACGTGTGCCGTAGAATCTTTTCGAAGACCACCATGAACTTATGCTTGGTGTTGTAGAATATCAAGTGAGAGCCCTCTAATTCAGGTCTAGACGGGGGTAGCTCAGTCGAAGTCTCATCAAAGTCGGAGTCTTGTAAAACCCGTGGGATTTTTGTGTCCCACGTTGGGAACTGGACGCCACTTGGAAGCCCTAAATGGAAAGATATCAATAGGTCGAGCTGCATACAAAACGACCACGTACGTCGTCGCATTTCTTTCTCAAAGGGCGAGATGCGCAAGGGTTCCGGGTCTCGGTGGTAGCCCATGCTGGTAGCAAGGCGAACAAGAAGGCCTAGTATTGCACCAATGTCAGATGACAGCGCAGTCGTTGTTAGACACTCTGCTTGGGCGAAGAGCAAGAGTGACTCTATAGCGAATCGCCTTGGGCGGAAATACTGTCCGATGGCAAGGCAATGCGCAGCCGCGACGGAGAATCGAATTTTCTCAACTTCCTCCGTCGTGCTGGGCCGTAATGTGCTGGCTGCGATATGGCAGACTGAGAACAGTATTGATATCCACAAAGGCGGTGCGTGCAATGGATTTTCCCAAAACTGCTGATAGAATCTACGGAATTGAGTTGCATGGATGAAGGGGGCTGCTACAGCCTGAGCTCGGAAGTAGGCAGAGACCATTCGGTCCACCTCGGTCCGTTGGGGCAAGAATCGGGCCAGAACATGTTCCAGAGGTAATGATGGCGTAGATCCGAAGATTATATCGACGCCGGCCCCGTCAAGGCCCTCGGTTGATAAATCGTCTGTGTGGTCATCTTCTATGGGTAGAGTCATTCTCAATTCCTGGATGTCTTCAAGCATGGCTGACCAATGAGTTGAGCCACTGTAGACGAAATCATTGGTCATGTTTGTGCCATCCTGCGGGCTTGGCTGGTAGGTCTGCGGAGGAGCTGGCGGAGAGCCGGCTGATGTTCCAGGTGGACGGCTGGCGTGGCCAAGCGGCTGGGACGCAAGACTTTGCACGAGTTGCTCAAGGTGACGAAGCCGCGCTTGAGTCTCGGCACTCTGTTCCTGCCTTATCCCTGGGCCTCCTGCGAATTTCTGATAATTGCATGATGCCCCTTCTCCTCGGCGAACGCAGCTTGCACATGGTATAGCACGATCACAGCGTAGCTTTCGCCGCCGGCATTCTTGGCATGCCAACCTCTCACGGTTTCTGGTAATGAGACGCGTTGAGTGCGGGCTCATTGTCAAGGTGGAATGCTCGCAAGGAGCCCTGCAACGTCAAACAGGATGGCAGAGGTCCTTCAAACACTAGAGTGGTAGTATATGCTAGCATACAGTAATGAAATGAGTTACTCCACTGGACAGATGCGCAGAGACATACACATGAGAATCCAAGACGTCAGTGTAGTGTCGGGAAGAGCTCGGGTAACTAATTGTTGCAATTACCCCTGGTGTCAAACTAGCGCCATGTCTTTACTATCACCCTAGATTGGTTTCTTATAGTTCGGCGTAATCCAGAACCCGCGCTGCAAGATTGAGCCAAGTCTCCTGGCATTCGCTAGAGTTTGCAATATAGATTGCTCTCGCCAAATTCGTCGCAGCACGAAGTTCATGGTTGCCGCATAGTGGACAACAGGGTTGACACCGACTACTTCCGTATTGAGCAAGCAATGGTATGTATGATAGCGTGGGCTTTCTTCTAACTCTTTCTATGGATTACAGTATGGGTAACATTGGACCCCTAGATTCCGCGACCGACAGTAGTAGTAACACCAAAGTCCCCTTCCCCAGAGGTGTTATCATCCTGAGATCGAGCGCGGGTGGGCGGATGGCCGTTGCCATTCGACGTAAACGAAACTCCGTTGGGGATTATGCCTGGCGGTGTTGATCGCCCCTCTTTCGCGTCCACCTCTTCCGAAGTTACTGTGACCTCGTTTTGCTGATAGATCTTCAACGGTATGCCAAATGGATCATTGATCTGCTCCTGGCTTTCAGATGCGTCCAGATCTCCTAGACCCATCGGTCTGTTTCTCTTCTCTCCTCCCGTGCGGCTCGTGAGGTTGCCGTAGGCAGATCGGAATCGTGAGTTCGCTGCCGGCGTGTTTCCTGTGGACTTGCCATTGAAGGATCGGAGGTTGAATGCACGTTGTAGCAACGTCCAGGTAAAGGGAAGATTTGCGACAATGATCGCTGTAGATGCTTCACGGATATACCAGTAAATCCATTCCGAGCCGTATGGGTCTCCAAAAGTGTAAGCCTTGTTGAGTATAGCCGAAATAATCTGATGTATGAGCGTGATTAGCCCGGCATTCGCGGAGTGAACGATAGTGAGAAGTGGTGCTTTGGCTTACCGTGAAGACACCAAGGGCAAATACGCCGACGAGAACTGCTTTTCTCTTCAGTGGCAATTGGGCTTTCAGGAAGATCGGCATAGGAAGCGCGATGATCATGATGTCGGACGTGATGTTGACGAAGGCATTGGTAATCATATGATTCCTCTCCCATGAACATTGTACTGGGAACTTGTCAGCTAATTGTCTTGAAGAGTGCCTTGGATATAATTGAAGGGGTCATACTGTCATTCGCAGGCACCAACCAGTAATGCCAGAATGGACGACACCAGACTGCAAAGTACAGAATTTCCATGACAACAAAACTGATAACTACGTATCCCGCAACCAGTTTCACTACCAGGTTCTGCCTGAGACTCGTTCTGAGGCAACGTTAGCTTTGCGAGACACTTCAAGGCGCAGTAGCAACACTAACGTGAGCTTGCTGTACATAATGAGCAAGCAAGCCTTCACGGACCAGATCAGAGCCATCTGGAATTGTTCCACAACTACGACCATCTTCGCTCCGAATTCTCGTGTCGCATACTCTTCAGGTGTGAAGGTCATTCCCTCCGGGTGCTCGATGAGGTTCGTCGGCGTGTAAGAGAGGACTCGGACGCCGACTGTCAGGACAGTATGGCAGACCTATACGAAATCAGCGACCGTCCTGGTTACGCGATGCCTCGGATTGGCTTACCACAGTGAATAACATGATGTAGTCGTCCACCTTCAACTTGGTGATGGATCCGTATAGCAGTGTCCTCGACACCCTAACGACACATCAGTTCGGGACCAGAAACTCGTATTGAGGACTAAACTCACAGCCGGGCAACAACCACGACGATGACCAGGGCATACCACGCCCACAGCTCTACCTCGAGAGCCGACATGGCTGTCGTAAAGCAATGCTTCAGGCTATGAGGGAACTAAGGTCATTGGGGTACAACGCACAAACGAGAAAAAAGTACGTCAAGCCAACGGGAGATCTGCACGCGGACGCTGCCAAACCTATATGGATTTCAACGACTTGGGACCGAAAGATCCCAGGTCGGGCCAGTAGGCTAGCCTGCGTACCAGCCGAGACATCCAGCCCTGCATGGTGCTCTGGATTGGCCCATCAAAGTAGTCTATCACGATAGCAAAGCGGAGCGTATAGTGGGTAGTCTGGGGCTTCGCAAGTGTTTCGATGGGACGATCTGCTCGACAGGCAATCCTGCATTGTCGTCACGCCACAGGGCAGTGTGGAGTCAAAGCACATTTCCTCCTTGGTCCTCTTGTTGCGAGATGGGCAGAAGCTTTACTAGTCGGGCATGTCGGCCGTCTGCTTGGCGTACCCCCATCCACAGTCACTAGCGAGTCAATGGCCTTGCGGCAGGCAACAACGGGCCTCTTGCTTGCCTTGAGCGTCTTGTTCCGACGATTCAGCACTAGACATGGGGTCATACGCGCTCCATTCGCTAAGGAGTAACCGAATACCTGCCCCTTTTCTGCTCATCGGTCCGGTGCTTGGTGATATCCATGGCCTAAAAAGGGTGATTAGCCCGCTGGTGGTGTGCTAAGGTGCTAGATCCGAGCCTAATTGGAGCGAACTCCAGTTGACCCTCAGAGGGCCCTCTCTGAGGGTAGCTGGGCAGAGCGATGTTCGGCACCGTAGCCCTCAGCTCTCATAGCGTCTAGTGCAGTAGTTTCTTCGGATGAAAAGCCACAGTGCTGGGTAAGCCAGTCTATCGACGCCTGATCGTGATATTCGATCTCCCTCAGATACCGTCCCAAGCCTCCCCCACATCAATCAGAGACGATAGCTCACATTATTCCTCACTCGGAAACTTGATGCGACAAGCCTTGAATGAGTTGCGAGTGCTGCCGAGTAAACCGAGACAGTGTAGTTTGAGAAGGGCAGTTTCGAAAATAACCTTATCTCGGAACTGAGCCGTGAAACCCAAGGCGCTGGTCCAATGCTACGGTGCACGGGTGCATATCACAGATCGGGTTTCCGAGGGTTGCGTCCGCATAGTCTGTGGGCGCACGCTTTGGCTTGATACTACCCATGAGTCTAGGTCTTTGTTTCCTATAAAGGATATATGCGATATTGATATTGAAATCATGAGACACTTCTTGAGTCTAGAACAGCCTTTCAGGGGTAAGATATATGCTAGAAGTGCGCCACAAAGCTGTTTGCCTCTATCCGACCGGTGGGATAAAGCTTCCAAGGGGCCAGCCAGGTGTCTTGCGATAAGCTGGCGTGGGAATCATGGTGTCCCCGGCTTGACCTGGGGGCCCCTTGTGAGGCTCCAGACTTTTGGAAAGCGACATGGGAGGCCCAATACTGCAAACATGTCATTTAGTCATGAGTATTTCTCATAGCCCTAAAAGTGGCCAACCTCACGAAGAGACCCTTGACAGCTTGGCACCTCCACGACTTAGTGTGCAGTACGGAGTACTGCGGCAGACCCGCACAACCAGACCCCCACCCAATCTAGCTTTGCTCCATATGTCGTGTCTCTTGGACGCAAGTGACAAGCTGAGTCTTGCTCAATGGGAAAAACCGGGCATAATTGGGCCTTCTTGATTACGCGTCGACTACAGTCAATACGTCGGCTTCTGTCCAACAAGGGCCAACGAGGGAGCAGTCTTGGGTCTACGGAGAATCGTCGGTGCGGATAAGAAGATGTATGTGAGGTCGTTCAATCGTTGCCAGGGTCACTAAAGCCTCGGCCAGGTACTGCATGTTGGCTGAAGTCAAAAAGCACGTGGCACAGCTTCTGGAAACATTTTTAGAGTTCGTTGGCGAGGAAAATCCTCCGTGCATGGAAATCTTCGAGAAACGGGGATGACAATTCGCTCACATTCTCAGTCTGAAACGCTCAGGGATGAGTCCCATCGTTGTGATTTAATCCTGCTTTAGTTGCAACTTTTGACAACTACCGGCTGGTCGCTAATTTGACTTTCGGATGGCAGCGCCAATTCGGCCCTTCGCATATGCGTCCCAATGAGTAGCTGTCAACGGGTTTTACGACGAAGATCAACACGCATAATACGCCACAGCGGTGCGATTGAGCCCCAACAGGGATCACTCAATTAAGTTCACTTTCCATCACACAGTCACGGCAAACTTTGCGTTGATAGGTCTGCACAGGTATTTCTATGAGTGAAAAGTGAGATGTCGATGCAAAGCAAAAGATGCCGACCCAACATGATGCTGTGCCACTTCAAACGTCTCCCAGTTTTTCCTCACCTTGGTCCTAAACACCGCGACTCTCTCGTGGAAGTCCAGTCTCGATGGTGTAATTAGTCACGGGCTGGTATCGACGCAGGCAGAATGCCCCGAGACAGTGAAGCGTCGAGTTCCTCCGCTGGTAACCCAAGTCACGTTTGAAGCTCCATTGGACTGCCTTGCCGATGGCATTCCGCAGGTTTCGCGATCACCGTCAAACTGGAATCCAAATGACCTTAGCACAATCGAAGTTAGAAAGGGTATCGAAAACAGACGTGCGTTTTCTAAAGTACAGTTCGTTGGGGACATTAGTGTCATGCACCCACACGGACGTCTGAACTCCGGCTGACACGGCGAACACTGGATAACCCGGCGGCCGTGTGGCACGGTAAGCTGACGCCAGCTCATTGTCTACCACGTACGTGCCTGTCAAAGACAAGACACAATCTTCAGCAAACAGCTGCCCTTGACGAGCAGCGCGCACAATGTAATGAACAGGGTGAATCCTAGGTCGCGCCAGCCTCAGCTCGTGATGGCTCGATGACAAATGCGGTAGAATCAGGTGTCGCTCACCGGGGTACGGAGCCTGCCCCGTGCGCCAAACCTCGGCAGAACTCCAAGCCGTACGGAGCCAGTTTCATCCCGCAATCCCGTGATTCGGTCGCGATGCGTATCGATTAGAAAATGCCAGTGGGTTTGATAGAGAAAAAAGTCTCCGATTGCCATTCCCGTCGCAAACTCGGGGCTTGTTTCAAATAGGGAGCGTGTGAACCGGTGGAAACTCGTGGGCCTGGTATCTGTCTTTACAATAATCTCTAAGTCACTGTATCTTGGGTAACAGAGTGAAATCAAACATGGCAGATTTGCAAGTGGCACAGCCCCTGACCTTGAAATGTGGCCTTACACTGCCGAATCGCCTGGCGAAGGCGGCCATGGCAGAGGGTCTTGCCGATAAGAGAGGCCTTCCTGGTCAAAAGATGCGCGCTGTGTACTCGGCATGGGCCAAGGGCGGCTGGGGCATGGTCCTTACAGGTGAGTGCAGGGTCTAGCTCCTGTGAGGAGACGAGGCAACTAAGAGAGCGCGTTCTAGGAAATGTGCAGGTGAACCAGAAGTACCTTGGTGGTCCGGGCGATCCCGCGCTGAATAAAACCATGGAGTACGCAGAGCTGCTGGAAGTATGGAAGGCATGGGCCAGCGACTGCAACGCCCATGGCACGCCGACTATTGTTCAGATCAACCATCCGGGGCGACAGTCACCCTTAGGTGCCGGGACCCGTGGTTTCTTCGAGAAGAACCTTGCGCCGAGTGCCATCCCCCTCGATTTCGGCAAGGGTCTAATACCTCGTCTCATTAACTCAATCGCCTTTGGCACCCCTAGAGCGATGACCAAGGCCGAGATTGAAGAGGTCGTGCAGAACTTTGCCGAGACGGCACGCCTGTCAGCCGAAGCAGGTTTTGCCGGTGTCGAGATTCATGCTGCCCACGGATATCTTCTGGCCCAGTTCCTGTCGGAGAAGTCCAATCAACGGACCGATGAGTATGGCGGCTCGCCGGCAGCACGCGCCAAGATCATACTTGATATCATCCCGGCTATCCGCGCTGTGGTCCCCAAGAACTTTTGTGTCGGCATCAAACTCAACTCGGTAGATCACCAGTCGCCGCAGGAGTTCAGCGCCTGCAGAGAACAGATCCAACTCATCGCTGCCGCCGGCGTAGACTTCATTGAGGTCAGCGGAGGATCATATGAGGACCCGCTAGTAAGTCTATTCTCAAAGCCTACATACAAACTTACAGACATGAGCCAGCTGACCCGGACCCCTAGATGAGCTCCGGCCTGCAGCAAGATGAGAAGCCGAAGTCTTCGCGCACATTGGCCCGCGAAGCATTCTTCATCGAGTTCGCAGCGACAATCCGCAAGGACCTCCCAGATGTTCCGTTGATGGTCACGGGAGGTTTCCGCACCCGAAAAGGCGCGGAGGCTGCTCTTCAAGACGAAGGTTGCGACCTTATCGGAGTGGGACGGCCGGCTTGCGTGGAGCCCGCCCTGCCGAATAAGCTGATACTGAACCCTAAGATTGCGGACGACGATGCTGTTTTCCAGGTGAAGAAGATCCAGCCACCGTGGCTTCTGACCAAGATTGGCTTCAAGGCGATTGGAGCTGCTGCTGATAGTGTAAGCTCGCCCCTATACTCTCAACTGCTGAACTCGCTTAACTCACGTGATTCTTAGGCATTCTACGCAAAGAAGCTCCAGAGCATTGCCCAGAGCTAAAGCACGATTCTGGATGTAGGATAGAAGGAATAGATTGCCCGCTGCTTATATGCACCATTACCTCTGAGCGGGCGAGGACAAGAGGCAAAACCTGAAGACGCCTCATAGAGTTATATATACCAAACGTCGTACACCAGTGTTATGCTGTGCTACATGTACCTAATACAGATATTATACCTTGAAATGATGGGCTCTCTCGCCTCGTGGTCGCTTATGCCCGATACACGCCGAATCGTATTCTGTTCAGACCTTCAAACTCAAAGTTGACGTCCGCGCTCTTCGTCACCGCATCGCCGGATTCGGGGATGACATCCACTTCCGTCCTCCATCTGGTTCCGGTCTGTTGTCCAACCTCGTTCCACATCTTTTGCCACGACGCCGCGTTGTGGAGATACCTCGTGTAGCCCTTCGGCCCCTGCTGGTAACCCGGGTCTTCGCACCCGACCTGGCGCCCAAAGATGAAGGCATTCTTGTCGCCGGGCTTGAGAAAGCGCACGAGGCGCGTGGCCGCCGCGACCTGGTCGTCCCACGTGAAGAGGTGGAAGAAGCTCGCGGCGTGGATGATGGTCATCTTGCCGTCGAGCAGCCGCAGCGGGTCCTTGGGGTCGTCGTCGTGGTCCAGCACATCGCCGGCGACAAACATGGACCGCAGCCGGCCCTTGTCGCGGAACATCTCGTAGCCCATCTCGAGGAAGCGCGGCTCCAGGTCCGTGCCGAAGAGGCGGCTGGAGTCGACGCCGTCGACCACCATCTTGCGCAGCATCTGCCCGACGCAGCACCCGACGTCGAGCAGCGCGTCCTTGGTGCATCTCCTCGTCAGACGCTTGAGCGCATCCTGATACCTGGGGTCTGCGGCAAAGTCAAGCTGCAGAAACCTGAACTTGCCGATGCAGCCGTAGGGTTTGATGTTCCACAGGTTTTGGCGCTAGGGACACAATCAGCGCCGGCGGTCGAAAACAAAAATTACACGGCATCGGGGCACATGAGCGCCGGTCCACTCACCACGGCCAGAATGTGCTTCTCTACCTCCTCGGGCGGGACGCCGCTGTACCTCTCCAGCAGGCGGCGGATCGGGTCGATGTCGGCGGGTAGGTCCCAGTACAGCTGGGGCCTCAGTTCCGTGATGTCATAACTGAGCTTCTCGGAAGGGCCCATGGTCGCAGCTCTGCCCGGAGCAAGTTGCTTGACGGTGCTTTCCAGCGAACCCTGTGCCCCATGGACCATGAAAACGGCCACCGACACGGTTGACTAATATGGGCGTCGCGGTGCTGCTTGGTGATGTGGTAAGCAACATCCGCCCGACGACAAAGTCATGCCATTCCGGAACACAGCCGGCGGCGGAATTAGCGCCCGCTGGAGCTTAATTGTACGGCGTCCAGGGGGTGAGGGCCTAGGGTCACGAGACCCTGAGCTCGCTTATTCGAGTTGATGCCGCCCGAATGCTCGCGAATTGGATGCGGCCGGGTATATTGCGTTCCCCTGAGCGTTGAATTCTCCAAGTCCAGATATGTATATCTCTATAAGTCGGGAGCAGTGCGCCACGACAGCGATTTCCCGCCCTCAGATCAGCAAGCCACCAACGGCTAGGGCTGATTACCTACCTATAGGTACCACCTGCCTGCGCAGTCTAGCCACGGGTAGCTTGGTGCTAGTGAGCCACCGCCGTCGCCAGCCTGGCCCCCCTGCCCTACCGATTCCTTCCCCGCATGAGCTCAAGTCCGCCTAGTGTCCCGCCCAGACGTGAGACTCGCCGAGCGCCTCTGCGCCCCCCGGATTTTATGTTCAGCTTATTGGCGGAATGGACTGGTAGAAGGACCAATACAGCGGAAGGATCGATATGCCTGTACGTCTATCGGCCCTACCAACCCCGTGGGACGGGAAGCCGGTTCGTTCGTCCATCACGGGCGCTGGAAGTCGCACAAGGGGACTATAGTCCTTGGGGATCCGTGCTTATGAGCACGTTATATAATGGCTGTGGCCATTCCCCTTTAAACTCAACACTCCTCCACAGCCACTGTCTGTGTGATCCTAGTTCTGTATAGAGTTGCAGCGTTGGTATAGACATCATGCGTGGACTCAATCGAAATGTTGTCTACTTCATCCTTCCCTTAGGTCTTGCCCAAGGCCAGGAGAGCTATGACTACATCATAGCCGGCGGGGGCACCAGCGGCCTTGTGGTCGCAAACCGGCTGTCCGCCGACCCGTCTATCCGCGTGCTTGTCATCGAGGCCGGCCGTGACGAGCGAACGAACCCCAACGTGACCTCAGTCTCGGGTTTCTTGTCGGCGTTCAACACCTCAATCGATTGGGCCTGTCGGTACTCCCTACATTTCATATATGCTGTTGTTCTCGCTATACCTCAGATGGTTCTAGTTTGAGCCAAGTGCTATCTCAACTAGACTTTTGATGTATCCACCACAGGCGACGGCGACTGGATTCTGCAAAAGGAGATTGGAACACAGAAGGCTAACTTACCTTCTTCACAGACAATGTCGTGCCGCAGCAAAGCCTCTACGGCCGCGACATGCAGTACCACTCTGGGCGGGCGCTCGGTGGGACCAGCACCATCAACGGCATGACATTCCTACGCGGCGACGCGCCCGAGGTCGATGCCTGGGAGGCGCTGGGGAATCCGGGCTGGAACTGGGACGCCCTCTGGCCGCACTACACGGGCGTGGAGAATTTCACGGTCCCGACGGCGGCCCAGATCGCGGCTGGTGTCTCGTGGACGCCAGAGTTTCACGGGGAGCAGGGCGAGTTAACCACCGGTTGTCCCTATTCGCTGCTGAACGGGAGCTTCCACGAGGCGTGGGGAGCCACCTGGGCGAACTGGGGGCTTCCGCACAACGAGGATATGAATGGGGGTGACATTAGGGGCTACAGCGTCTGGCCGTCTACACTAGACCGTGATGCCAATGTGCGCGAGGATGCGGCGAGGGCATTCCTCCATCCGGTAGAGGCAAGACCCAACCTGAAGGTCATTCAGGGGACCGTGCGACGAGTACTTTGGAAGAAAGGGGCGAGCGGCTGTGAAGCTATAGAAGCCGAAGGTGTCGAATACCTGTCGGCGAGTGGGGAGACTCTCACGTTGAGCGCCAACAAGGAGGTCATCCTCTCAGCAGGGTCATTGCGCTCACCCCTGATACTTGAACTCTCGGGAGTAGGCCATCCGAGGTAAGTGAACCGTCTTCAGGACGCAAACCAAGACGAAAAATAGGAAATTCGAATGGAGAACGAAACTGACTCCAACAGCTACCTCAAAAAGCTAGGGATCGAGACGAAAGTCGACCTGCCGGGGGTCGGCGAGAACATGATTGAACAGCCTCTGGGCGCCATCGGCTACAGCGCCAACCTCACCCTTCCTGCCGGCGCCGCCACTCCATTCGGGGCCTTCATCAACGCACAGGACATGTTTGGCGATGAGACGGCGTCGCTCGCCGCCTCCACCAAGGCGAGCCTAGCCGACTGGGCCGCGCAGATCTCGGCGGCGAACGGCGGCGTCGTCGGTGCGGCGGCGTTGGAAAAGGTGTTTGCCGTGCAGCACGACCTGATCTTCGGCAAGAACGTAACCATCGGAGAGATCCTGACATATCTCAGCGAAGGGGCCATCGGCAACGTCGGATGGCCCCTCCTCCCGTTCTCCAGGGGCAGCGTGCACCTCAAGTCAACAGAGGCCATCGACGACCCGGTCATCGACCCCAAGTACCTGCTGGCCGACTTCGATGTCAAGATGATGACCGGTCTCGGACGCGTGGCCCGGTCCTTCTTCGGCCAGAAGCCTATGAGCGACATTGTGATCGAGTTCATCTCGCCGGGCGACGCGATCCTGCCCCCAGATGCTTCTGATGCCCAGTGGGAGGCGGCACTCCGGGCCTCCGGTAAGTGAATAATAGCATAGACGGCTTTGGCCGATGCGCGCGATAAGTGAGCTGACAAACATTTGCAGCCGGGCCAAACCACCACGCTTTAGGGACGGCGGCCATGATGTCGCGAGAACTCGGTGGCGTGGTCGATCCCAAGTTGAAGGTCTACGGCACGAGCAACGTGCGAGTTGTCGACGCGTCGGTGATTCCCCTGCAGATCAGCGGACATCTGACGGCCACGCTGTACGCGTTGGCGGACAGGGCATCGGGTATCATCCTGGGAACGGTGTGAAGGGGATAGTAGATAGTATTACAGTCAAACGTAATCTTTAATGAATGCTACCCATGCGGTACGCCATAATGTGCTGCCATTCGGTCGGCTTCGTTCTAGTGGTATCACTCGCCCAAACATAACCCTGTCCTGTAACTTACAAATGTACAATCGCATCCAAATGACCTGGCCTTCGCTTGCAAAACCCTTGACTCCAAACAGTCAAGATTCCTTGATACTAGGCACACCATTGGCGCTCACCATGCTTTGGCTGACGCACACCAGAGTCCATATAGACTGGAAACACCATGCAGCCCAAACGACGACTGACTTGGCCAACCACACCGCCCACACAATTAATTCCATCCAGAGCAAAAAGATGCGCATGAGAAGCCCAGCACTGTAGTGCAGTCATCGAAGTCCCTTGATGCGCTTCTTCGCAATGTCGGTCTTGGTCTGGAGCCTGTCGACGTCGTTGTTCACCTGGTCCAGCATCTCTGTCTGCTCCTCGACCTCCCGGTTGATCTCGAGGGCGATTTCCTTCTGGCGCCGGAGGACCTTGGCCAGGCTCTCGACGTCCTCGTCCTGCTCCCGCATCATCTGCTGCTGGAGCTGTGCCACCCCCTGGTTGTCCAGCTCCCTCGTCCGCTCCGTCTCGGGCAGCGGCGCGCCGAGCACCCTGCCGCCCGCGCGGGGCCCGTTCCCTATTAATGCCGCCTTGTCGCTTGCCGAAGCCATGCCACTAGCAGCGCCGGCCCTGGCGACGGCGGCTATTGAGTTGCTCAACTTGTCCAGATCCTCGCGGTCGACCCTAGCGGCTGCGAGGAGGTCTTTCCGCCTTCGAAGTTCGCCGTCTCCGAGCCGCTTTCCTTCCTGCATGCCCCGCAGCCCCTGGGTGAGGGCTATCAGGAGGCCGCCGGCCTTGATGAGTGCCTTCTTGGCCGCCGCGCCAGCTTCCAGCGCCGCCGTGTTGTCGTTTGCCCCGTCTCGCCTTGCTAGGCACCTCCTTGCCTCCTGAAGGTCGCTCTTCATCTCCTTGTGTAGGTCGAGCCATGTGCCGGGGTCGAGGGCGGCCGCCGCATTGGCCGCATCCTTATTGGGGATTCCGAAGCCGGCGCCCGCGCGTACAGAGGCAGCGCTGTTACCGGCGCTGTTGATACCCGGCAGCTGCATGAACTGGCGCCAGGCTGAGGTGTCGCGCCAGCGGCGATCGGGCGACTCGGCTATCGAGCGGAGGTACGACTCCAGGCCTCTGCGTCGGTCCTCGGTGAGCTCGGGCGACTTCACCGTCGACTTGAACCATGACTTGCCCGGTAGCGGCGCGGGCGGCGGGCTGCCGACCAGCGACTGCAGGGTCTGATGTAGGTCTGCAAAGTCGGAGTATCGCTTCTGCACAACGAAGGTGCGTAGGGGTAGGCGCAGGGTGATGTTATAGAGGGTGTAGGGCTTGGAGCCGTCGGGCGGCGTGTGTAGTGACGTGGATGGGATGGATATCTCGGCGGGCGGCGCCATGGTTCAAGGTGGACTGTATATTTCACTGTCTGGTAGGTATGAATACTCTGCGGCGAAACGGCAAACGAGGCACGAAGGAAGGCAGGAGGCAGAGTCAATGGCAAAGGCTACAATCAGAAAATGGAATCCCCGGGCGACGAATGTTGACGGACAATGCTCACGAGAGCCCAACTTGAAGCCGTTGTTGTTGCTATGACGGAAGCAACGGCGGACTAACGTCGCTAGGCCGGTCATGCGACCACTCAGGCACCCGCCTGCGTTGGGGCTGTGGCCCAAGCTTCCAGTGGTCTTTAGGCACCTGAGTTAGGTTAGTTAGTTGACGTCTGATCGGGGGCGTCTACTGTGCATAGTGGAGGATCTCCAGGGCTGTCCATAGAGGCAACCTTGGAAGTGAGCACGTAAGTCCTTGCCCTTACCCAACTCTCCATGGAGGTGGTGGATTTGTATGCTTCCCAGAAGACATCCAATATATGTCAGAGTCGACACCAGTTTGATCCCTTCGAGAACAAAACCGCCGCCCAATGCCTACCCGGTGCGAGCAGCCTTATCCGATCGGAGCGACCCCGCTGGTCCCGTCAATGCTGCCCAGGGGCCCAGCTGTTGTCCAGATCTCAGCCTTGCTCGGCGCTACCTAGTCAGGTCCCCCATACAAACCGAACATGCTGTGAAACGAGGCGCAAAGCTTTTGACCTATTCATGTTATGTTCCTAGTCAAGGACTTTCTCCGTGATTCGTGTTCGCATCACGCTCTTGACGTTGTAACCATCCAAGACACCGCAGCCATGGAACTTGGAGATCACGGGACTACGAGGAGTGCACGGTGACAGCGGTGACAACTCCGAATCCCATGGTTTCCACTGCTGCTCGTGCTCCATTCATATGACCTGCCGTAATCATCAAATAGGCTCTACTTACTAGAGAAGGGAATATTGACATTGGAGGTCGCTCGACTTTCACATTGATCCATGCACCAGAGCAATACTATCCCCCCTCTTTTCTCTTTTATTTGTATAGGGATATTCCTCGGAAAGCTTTCATTGTCGGCCGATCTTGTCGCGTGGCCAAGGACGGGAGAATACAAGCCTCACAGGCCTTCCAAATATTTGCCAGGGCAGATTTATTATACGTGTATAGCCGCATCTCTTTTTATTCGCAGCCGATGAAGCAGGTTACAACATAGAGCTTTGCAGGTCACCTACTGCACACACACATATATATATACCGAGGGCACTGGTTGTATCTAAACCTCACCTCGCGGTGGGCAGAGTACTTGTAGCAATTTGGCCACGGCGAAAATGAGAGGTGGACTGCAGGTCAATACCAAGAGTCCCTCAGTAGTGGTTTGTTCGAAAACAATGGACGATCTAATGTTGCACCTTGGCACCGAAGGGCTGCCTGCATTCACCACTTGGCGCAGCATTGCGAGTGGCGCCTACCCAAACGTTTCTCTCTTGGATCAAGGTAAGCTTTCAATAGCGACTGTCGCTATCAGATTCATGACAATTCACACGCGCACAGCCTTGTGACAGAAACGAAACACCTCTTGGCAATGACGCGCGCGCAATGCCCGCATCAGCGTGCCTGCTGTTTCGCCGTCCCATTGGCAAGGTCGTGAGAGATCCACCGAGCAGCATCAGCTTGGTTGCATGGAACCCATCCATCCGCCACGTTTCTGTTGGCCCGGCTCTCGTCAGGTTGCCTCATAGCTCAATGAGACAAGAGGTCGTGTGCTCAGTCCGGCGCCTCGCCGCCCACCGGCCAGCAGCCGGGCAGGTCGGAGTTGAAACCCTTGGCACCAAACTGCCAGGCCGATTTGTGGGGGCACCCGGGGTATGTGAAACCGTCCAGACTGTGCAGTTCGGCAACGATCAACAACTTTCAGCCGCCGCGACAGCCTGTGACTGGTCTATTCCGAGTCGGGCCAAGACGGTCACGTCGCGCCAGTATGGGGGTTGAAGCTTGGCCACCTGTGCGGCTCCAACAGAGACTGGATGCCCAGCCTCGGGAAACGACTATTCGAAACATCAACTGCCAGAAGTCCAGATGCCACCGGCGCCTTGGATGTGTCATGCCGCAAAGATAGATCAGCTGCAAGAGAATATAGGCTGGGCCATGCAGCCGCTCTTGGCTTCATCCCATTTTCATACTTCCATGGCCTGCGCGACGTTGTGAGGAGGAATTTTGTGGTTTGGTTTCCCTTCGTTTTTGTGTCATTCTTCTGGGCAGGCCCAATTCTTTTGTTCATCTTCTCCAGCTGGACTGCTACCTCCACGGTGGGCTTGCTGCTGGAACTTTGGGTGGTTCGATGAGGCAAAGGGTCGGGCTATAATCGTTACTGGACAACAGGAACAGACTGGGTATCATGAGGTTGGTCATCGGCAAAGGTCCAGAGGAGATGGCGGCGCCCCGGAAACTGACAGAGTAACAGGCGCGGTACTCGTCGAGGACAGTCGATAGCTGACGCACTGCGTATCTATGTGCGCCAGGATGCTCCAGCTAATCCAGCCAGTCCGGAGTCACCAGATTCTCCAGACTCACCGGACAGCGCCGCCTCGACACCGTCACCAACGTCGCAAGCCTTCCCTTCGGGAACCACCAGCGCTGGCTCTCCTCCGGCATCAACGACATCTCTGCCCCCGGCAGTGACCAGCACAGCCAACCCGCCTCCTGCACTCCCTGCAGTGACTACTACAACAAGTGCAGCGCCGCCTCCTCCTGCACTAACTACAACGGCGCCATCACCTCCCCCTGCGGTGACCACTACCGCGCCACCGCCGCCTCCTGCTACGACAAGTACAACCAACCGGGGACCGCCCCCCGTTACCAAGTTTTCTACCTTGTCCCCTTCCACAACGATACCAATTGCCTCAGCCGCTCCCGCACCCGTTCTGAGCAGTCTAACCTCAAACCCTCGACCGATAACCACAGCTGCTCCGGTAACATCATTGGCATCATCTCTGAGTTTTGTAACCTCGCTGTCATCAGCCACTAAGACATCGCAGTCGCTGATTGTGTCCAATGCACCAACTTCGGACTCGCCTGCTCGTCAGGTACAATCCTCAACACCATCAACTACTGCCACCACCGCTGTGTCAGTTGAGACTGCAGTGGATGATGGACTTGGCAGGGCGCAGACTGGCGACAGCGAAGCAGCAGCCAACCGTCGCGGGGTATCAGGCACCGGCATTGCTCTCGGAACGATCGGTAAGTGACGTCTATTAGGAGAGCACGGCGACTCCGTGTCCAGTCACAGGTACTGATTATTGTCTTGTAGCTGGCATAGCCTTCGTGGTAACGGTTTTGTTTTTCCTCTGGAAATGGCGCAAGCGGCGCAATGCTTCCGGCAGCGATTCTGGCAGCTCCAGCAGCTTCGGAACCGGGCAGGTTACGTCAGGCTTCAACATCGCCCGTCGCTTCACGCACAAGTCAGACGACAGGATCATGAATGAACTCATGGTAGCTGCTTACTCGGCAGAGAACGGTCAGCAGGGCGGGTATCAAAACGATATGCAGCCCAGCGGAAATCAGTATCTCGATGAGAAGAGGCGCGGTCCCGAGAATGAGGCACATCCCGCTTTACAACCAGAATTCCGCCAAGATCCTTCGATTTCAAAATGGCTCAACCGACAAAGTCGCCAGATGCTCAATCCCATGTCAGCCCGTGCTAGTGTTGTATCGAGCGCTGCCGGTCTGAGACCGCTTGATCTCAGAAGCATGTCTGGCTGGGGAGACGATGACATGAGCGAACTTGGACGCAATGCAGTGCCGCCGCCCTTGCAGCCGAGGAATGGTCCGTATCAAGGCAACGGTGCTTCCATGCCTCCGATGCCTCCGATGCCTACCTACCTCCCCAGGCAGGCCGAGGCCGATATTCCGGATTCGTACCTCAGAGAGCAGAATGCAGCGCGTCCCCCCTCACCTGGCGAATTGAAACTTCCCCCGCCCCCAGGCCGACCGTCCTCCATGGCTGCGCCAACCGAGATCACCAGTCGAAGCTCGGGGACTTGGAACACCTGGGGTGTCATGCAGCACCGGGATAAGCCAAAGGGGTGGAAGGATAAACTGGGCATCTAAAGACTCGATCGGGTGACTTGGACGGCTTGGTATCGGACGAGACCAATCAGGAGAGATCGTACAGTATATATCCTGCGCGTATGTGCGGAATGCTTTTGCGCCCTGTAGAGTAATGAGTGCGATCCTCTGTAATTATTGTATTTGGCCGCCCAGCTTTGCGAATAGAAACTCATGTTGTGAGACATGCTCTAAGATGATGACACACTCTGCTACACTCTGCAATATGCATCAAGCTTTAATGTAGCATAATTTGCAGTTGATTTAGTGTTGTAGGGGTAGTTCGCGTATTTCCAAATACCCTCCAGGGCTATCCGCACGTTGTGTATATCTTTGCGCTACCGGTCCCTATTTGCCGCGCCAAGTCGATGATTCTCTATGATTAAACTCCTGGATTGTACTCGATGAGTGGAACTCAAAGACGACATCTCCCATAGGACCGTGCTATTAATCTACTGAGTTTCTGTTACCCCGCAAGCGGCACACGTCGCTCTCGAGTAGGTGCGTCCACCGGGCCCGGCAGATTGGAACCGACCTCGTCGGCAGGGGCTCGGCGGTTATGAAAATCCATGAATGGCTACTTTTCCGTGTTCGAGACTTAACGTTAGCATCCCTATGCTATAAGTTGGTGGTTTGTCATTGGAAGACGTCCCACTATCTGCGTCTTGAAACTTTTCTTCCATCGCCCATTCATATTGGTAAAATCGAGCTACAATGTCGCAAAATGCTAGCTTCGCATATACAGAGGATCAGGGAAGGCTCCCCAAATTGCACGTTCGCCGAAGATCCCTCAATTACGACTCAAGCTCCTCCTAGCAATGATCAACCACTATACCCTTACGATGGCGATGGTTCGCGGGATGCCAACTTCGCTAATGTCGCTCGCGACATGATGAGCAAAGCTTGGGCCGAACTCCAGGCGCCAGCTCTATCGTGGAGCCTGACTCGGTTCTTGGAGACTCGGGGAGGTTGTACCATGGATATCGCGAGGGAAAATACTTCTTGCCCAACGATTCCGTATGTATAAGGTGTCCAGTGGTATAAGTGCGGCTGCCAAGCTGACTCTACCCAGGCGGAGCAGGACCGCCTTGATCTGCAGCACAAAGTGTTTAAGATACTATCTGATGGCTGGCTTGCGTTAGCTCCAATGAAAGTTCCGCCGCGAAATGTCATTGATGTGGCTTGTGGCACAGGGCTCTGGGCTATTCAGTTTGGTAAGAATATTCTGCCCTTCAACAAGGCGTTAGAAGCTGGCCGTAACTTAAAGACCATCCGAAGCTGATCCTCGGCCTGGCAGCGGAACAGAATCCCTCGTCTTCGGTAATAGGGACTGATTTTAGCGCTATTCAGCCTCCTCCTAAGGTACTGAACTGCACGTTTGTCAAAGATGATGCAGAAACACCGTTATACTTCGCTGACCCGAATCCCGACCATACACCTTGTAATGAAATATGTGAGCATTTCATCTCATTTGATTATGTCCATCTACGGCTGGTGTTCACCTGCTTTGAGAACACACGAAACGTCAGGAGGAACGTAATGGATTGAGTTTCAAGATTCAGATCTCAACATTTTCCAAGCCAACCCGAGGTTTCAAGGTAGGAATGAGAACCACCCATACACATACATGTAGGTCGGCAACCCTTTTTGCCAACCGGCGCTGACGCCTACAATTATATTTGCAAGCTCGGTTATCTTTGCACGGAAGGCGTTCTCCCACGATGTTCAAAGCACATAGTGCAGAATGTCCGCCACCTCTGGCACAGCACCCAGTATTAAGCATGACAAATGATTGGCGGACCTACAATGATAAGAGGTTCTTGGTCACTCATCGCTTGCGAGTCTTCACAAAATCCGAGCTTGTGAATTTGCGTACGAACCGGTAACTTGCGGTTATATAGCACTCTAGTGTTATTGCACGTCGGTCTCTATGTCACCTCTTAAAGTTCGTTTTGTAGTTCGATTGGGCTTTTCTTAGTGTCACCAAACGCATTGCTAATTCTATTACCGCGGGCAGTATTCAAAGGAACATGAAGTCTCCTAGACGCACGAACGGGTTGGTCTCTGTTACATGTGCTGCTTTATGTAAGGACCAAGACCTGCTTCTCCACCTAAGACTATTTTAGCGGTCTCCGGCCTGCTCATTTTGAGATGCGCTATCGTGTTATGGTGCATTTCTGTACTTCAATATTCGCCAGACTTCGGGCCAAACACCTTGGGGACGAGAGCGCGCGTAGTCAGTCAAATCTCCGAGTTCATTGTCTCTTGTCGCCAATCCCTTCGGGGAAACAGACGAGACAAAGGGTGAAACATGATTCCGGAAGCATCAATCTTATCTTTCATGGAAGGTGAATAAATTATAGATGCAATCAAGGTCTTCTCGCAGTACTGCCTTCTCCAAATCAACCTTTCTTACTTCGATAGCTGATGACAATGTCGCGTGGAAGGAGGTTAGCTCCGATCAGGGTCGAGGCACCCTATTACCCACATTACGAGAGGTGGGATCTTCCAACAACAGGAGCTCTAAATGCAGGCATCGAAGAGGTTGTTAGGACAACCCCTCCGGAGAAAAGTCTTCTGGTCGAGGCAATTTCGAGCGACACTGACCTCTTCCCATTCAACAATGATCCACCCGCGACATGTTATCGAAATGCAGCCCTTGTCGCACTCTTCAACATTTCGCCGTTCGTAAACATCATCAGGGCAATTGACGACAGAAAAGGTGGTAATAATGGCATATTTGCCCATCTTGTCGCCATCTGTAATCCTTTCCTTGAGGGAGACACTCCTGACAATATTCAACCCCATCTGAACACCTTTTGGGACAACTTACTTGACACGGGCTACACGGATCGGAATGGTGTGGGTGTGAGATCATGGAGAGAATATTCCGGGACCCCAGCGGATGAGGACGACTCGGACGGTGCTGCTGAACCCCAAACAATATCCCCTACAGCGAAGACAAGCATAATGCATGACTCAACAGACTTGATGTGGTACTTGCTTGATAGATTGCAGTCGGCAATTGGTTTTGGCTTAACATACAATGGAGTGTAAGTAGTTGCCCCAATACACTAGCTGAAAACTAATCAGCACCTTACTTACACATACTACTAGAAGCCTCGAAGATCAGTTCCACAGATTATTCCGTACTCAGATGGTTCAACGGATTGCATTCAGCTGTGACTGTAAAAAAAAGCAGCGACAACCGGTGACAATTAAGACATATGGGGGTTTTGCCTTCAACATTAATGTAACCGGTGGCAACCGGACACTCTCCCAAACAATTGCGGAGATATTGTACAACTACAATGAGAACCGCTCACCTAGCATATGCCCTGGTTGCATGAAACAAGAGAATGCGCCATCGTATTTTAAATTTCTTTACCTACCAGAGGTTTTGTTCATCGGTACGAACTATCAAGCGATTAACTATACACAGGACGCCACCTCGCGGGTCAACTTTCCAGAGTTACTGGATATGTCGAGACTGAGAGACGATATAAACAACCCAGATATAGTTGCCGAGGACGGCAAGGTAAACTACGGATACAGACTTCAATCCATCATCACGTTTCCAAGAAGGAACTCGCAAACGAATGGCCACTATATCGCTTATCTTCGTCGGAGTGGGGACAACGATTGGCATGAGCTCAACGACGTCTCATTCGATAAAACCGTCATACCCTCAGTAACCCGAGATGATATAATGAACAACAGAACTTACAGACCACGACTCCTGATCTACGTGAGAGATCGCACCTTGAGCCTAGAGGACCTTAGAGGCGACGGAGTGGCCATCAATGTGCCACCAGAAGCTGCATCTGGCACATCTGCACCTCCTGCGACTCTTGCCCCTGTCGTGCCTCCAGGTCCCCAGACCCCCTCGCCAAACACCGGCAATAGTAGTGACTCACTAGGTTACTCTCCTCCAATTCCCACCAACAGGAATGATCCTAGGATTGAGGAATCGAGACATTGGACTTTAAAACAGCTGAATGAGGTGTTGAAGCGGTTGAAGATAACGACAAGCAAAAAGGACACCAGAGATCAAGCGAGGCAGAAATTCTTGCAGCACTTTCAAGAGCCTAGGAATTACAATCTCTATACCTTGGGCAGGCTCAAGGAAGTTGCAACCAATCTGAATTTGGAGTTTAATCAGAATGTCACAAAGGCTGAGATAGCGAGGCTCGTAACACACTATAATCAGAACCAGGCCTGGAGGGCAGCAGGAAATGGCGATTCGCCTCCAGAGAGCCCACAACCGGCTCCGGTGACCAGACCACCCACTCGAGCTAGCGCTCGTTTGGTGGCTATTGCGGCTGCTACCCTCGCAAATACTGACGCAGATGCCGCTGCCGCCGCGGCCACTGCTTCTACTGCAAGTCCTGATACTACAGGAGCTGGGACGCTCTCACAAGATATTGGAAGCGATACCGTCAGCACTCCTACTCCTGGTGGCGTTGGCACTGGCACGGCCACACGTAGACGTGATGACACGGATTCCGACTTTGTGCCTCCGAACAGAAGAGCGAGGACAGATACTACCCTCGGAGCTCCCCCTCGCGGGCGTGGAGGAACAAGGGGGACAAGAGGAACGAGAGGAGCAACAGGGACAAGAGGAAGGGGAGGACGTAGACCGAGACGAGGAGGGAGACGCGGTGGGACGCAGACAACGCGTTCATCTTCTAACTCGGACGATCTTCTGCCGCTCGGTCGCGGCAGCAGAAGAGATCCGGGGAGACCTGGTGGAACTAGAGTTAGAGGAGCAAGAGCAGGACGCGGTGGTACACACACAGCGCATTCATCGTCTGGCTCGGATGACCTTCTGCCGTTCGGTCGCGGTAGAAGAGTAGGTTCGACAAGATCTGGGCGTGGCAGAGGAAGAGATTCAACGAGAGCTCGTAGAGATAGAGCCAGAGGACGTCGTGGACGTGGTGGGTGATCAGAGAGAGATGGTGAAGAATCACGGTTGGACTGCAGCGTGATATGGAGTAGGGGCCTTGAGATCTCATTGGTGTCTTGATGTCTGCGATGGAGGCTACGTTACTACATTTCGTAAGCCGGTGTATAGTGTTGAGATTTGTTCATAAAGGCTAGCTGATGCTTCCTCAAGTAGAAGAAGCTCTTCTCTGCCACCACGGGGTCGTTTTGCAGGCACGTCGTGACCAGGTATTGGCTGAAAAGCGGTGGAGCCGCGCTGACGCCTTTATCCAGAAGTGGAGCCGTCCCGTGTCCCTGCCCTATTGCTATTCATCATTTACTGATAATCTATCCTTCATCGACGGTTGGCACGGTAAATGTGCATGTAGTCTAGAAATGATGACTGCAGAAGGAAACTCATAATTGCGGCCCCAATTGGCGGGTTTCCGCCTGTTTGCGACCGCAGGAAGTGTCCTAGTGTCTTACAAGGAGTATGTGATGAGAGTGGTTAACAAGGTATATATCGCATCGCCACTGATCTGATCCACTGTTCCCTGTGGGCAGCCTAGATTGAATAGTGATCTGATTCCAACTGCTTGACGTCTTTCATCATGGGGATTCTCTTTGGCAAGTTCCTTCTTTCGGCCATCATCGGCTTGGCTGGGTTTCAGGTCAGCGCGTTACCTACGCCTGGTGACACCCCCAAGTGCACGACTCCTACAAAACGCATGTCATGGTGAGTTAGACCGGGATCAACGAGCATATCAAGCGCTAATGGTGCATTTTCTGCAGGCATGATATGACTGACGATGCAAAGAAGTCATACTTGGCCGCAGAACAATGTGTCATGTCAAGTCCGGCAACCGTAAAGCTGCCAGGAGCAAAGACCAAGTGGGATCAACTAGTATCCCTTCACCAGATCCATGCTTTACAGATCCACAGCACCGGAACGTTCCTCCCATATCACCGATATTTCCTGCATACGCATGAGTTTCTCCTCAATGAATGCGGGTATAAAGGAGGCCTTCCGTACGTTCCTTCCTCAAATACACCTTAAGTTTAGACCACCCCATAAAGGCTGACACACGCGTTGAAGTTACTGGGATGAGCCCCGTGATGCTGGGAAATTCTCGTCATCGCCAGTTTTCTCCCCAACATTGGGGTTTGGAGGCGACGGCAAGGGGGCTAAGAATTGCGTGGCGGACGGGCCATTCTCCAATGTCACTGTCAACATTGGGCCTGGATTCACTACCCAGCCGCGCTGCGTGAACCGCAAAATTACCAATTTCCTTAGCTCTCTCTCTGCAAAGGCCCAGGTCACGGCGGCATTGAACTACTCGACCTATGACACTGTCTGGAATGGGATTTACTCGGGCCCGCACTTAGGAGGGCATATGGCTTTGAGTATGATGGTGAGTCAAAATTTGAGGCTATGGCCGAGAAAGGAACCTATTTGAGCTGACCATGGCACGCAGAATGGTGATTCAATCACCTCTCCAGGAGATCCTGTCTTCTTCCTACATCACGGCTTTGTAGACAAGATGTGGTGGGACTGGCAGGCACAGAATCCTAGCAAGCGGCTCACGGAGATCGGTGGTCCAAATGCTCAGGATCCCGCCATTGGCTTCACTGAGTTTCCGGGCGGTATGGAAGTCGAGTCCCAAATGTGGGGGCATCCAACCGCGGAGATGGCAGCGGCTGCCCCAGATCCTCACGCCGGTGACAAAGGAAACGTGACCACTCTAGGGCATGTGCTGACCAGTAAAGGGATCATACCAGATGCAACGATAGCTGATATAATGGATATCAAGGGCGGCTATCTCTGCTACGATTATGTGTAGCTGCCCCAGCAGCCAGAGTCGAGTGTAGTTTCTCTGGGCATCTACAGAGAGCGGTGGCCAATACACAGGCTAGTCATGGATGCTGAAGCTGCATTTGACTTTGCAGAAACAATAGCTTCGTTATGAAATTGAGCCTGCAACACATTACCTTGATCAACATCGATTTGTTAAGCTTTTCTAGATGGCAGGCCATGCTATGAGCATCCATTGTAGTCATTGCCAGTAAAGGATGTCACTCTTGCAAGCACCCATCAGTACGCTCTGTTAATCTTCTAACTTGACGCGTCTTACCTCAAACCAACCAGAAGTGGTATTTCGACCACTTACAGAGGACACATTCGTAATGAAAGCCTAATCCGGACCGGAGCGGGACTGCGTGCCAAACTGCAGTCCCTGCAACAGCCCAATCATGAGGAGAAAGCGCCAAGCACATTTTGAAACATATACAGTACCTACTTTTCCCGAAATTGCAAGCTGATGAGCAGAGGCTAAATCGGCCAAGGCGCAGTCACGGGACCCGTCATTAACATACTGGCATCCTATAGCACTTCCGGCCCCGCGCGGCCCCGCACTTTCGGCACAAGGCCGAATTTATATCGGTCTAGCCGTCGTTCGTGTGGCCGAGCAAGATGCCAAGAGATGTCTTCATATGTTATGCCATAAATCATTGGCTATGCGGAACATGTCACTCTGGGAGAACTGTCCAAAGCCTCCCTGGAGCGGTTATTTCGAGGTCCTCTGAAGGTCGGGATGGGTGAAAAGTGAAAAGACAGGTTGGGCGTGTGCTTGTCTCTCCCTTTTCTTTAGAGAGAAGTCATCATAGAAATGTAATAGTCCATACCCTCGCAACACATTACGCAGTTCTCAGTCTCCTTAAGCCCTGTGGACAGACCTATATGTGAATATCTGACAAGATGCATTTGCTTTTTGCCATTGCTGCCTCTCTCCTAACTGTGCCCGCGCATGGGCATGCTGGTCATGACGTCGAGAGAGAAATGGCCGAGCGTCGTCAATTTCTTGCGACGCATACCAACAACCTGGCCCATTGCGAGTCGGTTCATCGTGCTTCGGGGCTGGAACAGCGCACCGTTGAGCGACGTCTTGAGATGGCTAAAAGACTTTCTGGGGATGAGAATATTATGAGTAATTCAACGCAACTGTGATTCTGTCCCTGCAGTAACTGACAATATTCCCAGAGAGACAGACCTCTTCCGTGAACAAATCCCATAAGTCAGACAAGTCATACAATTCTGCAACTGACCCTGCTGTCGTCTTCGCTGGAAACAGATCGTGCGTGCTCAGCCCCGAAACTACGGAGGGCCCCTTTTGTCAGTGCAAACCCGGAAAAAAACCGAAATGGTCTATCTAATGTGACGATGCAGACGTTACTGGGGAATCAATTCGCACCAAGCTTGTCGATGGAGAAAAGGGTGTTCCGCTTCACCTTGACATCCAGGTGATCGATGTCAACACTTGCAAGCCATTGACCGGCATTTTCCTCGAGATGTGGAGTAAGTTTTCGATCATAGAGCATCGAAATTGTAGCCGTACTGATGACTGCCAGATGCAAACTCTACTGGGGTATACAGCGGGGCCCTGGCAATTCCCAACGGGTCTGGCATGGGTGACAAGGGCAATCTCAACAAGGGTTTTCTCCGAGGCGCGCAGTCCACGGACAAAGACGGAGTGGCCCAGTTCGAAACCATCTTTCCCGGGCATTACACCGGCCGGGCCACCCACGTGCATGTGATCACGCACCATAATGCCGTCGCCGAGGCGAACAACACGATCTGGAACAGCAAAGTTTCGCACATTGGCCAGGCCTTCTTTGACCAGGACCTTATTGACCAGGTCGAGAAGGTTGCGCCATACTCTACAAACCGGCAGTCTCGGATGAGGAATGCTGTAGATTCAATTTTACTGCAAGAGGCTGCTACTGCGGACCCCTTCTTTGAGTATGTGCTGCTGGGCAACACTGTGGCAGATGGTATATTTGCATGGTTCAGGTACGTCCTCACACTTGCAGTCGCCAACATAACCTAATAGAGCATAGCTTCGGTGTCAATACGACATATACGAGAGGAATAATGCCTGTTGCAATGGCCTATAAGGAGGGAGGGAAAATGGCTACGAACAACCCAAAACTGCCTGGCTTTAGCCAGATGTTCCCAGGTGGATTTCCCACTTCGTTTCAACCGGGCTTTGGACCATCACCTACTCCAAAGGTCTGAGCGAGTTTGGAGTTCGTAGCTAAATGTGGACTCGTTATTAGATCAGAGTAATTTGACTCTTCGTTTATGGAGAAGTAAACAGTAGCATACCATTGGCCGCCTACAAAGGCACTCCGGCTCGCGACATGCCCTGCTCTGGCTCTGTGAGACAAAGATAATGTCATCTACAGCTGCTGCCGCCTAAGCTAGATTCTCAGACTCTCAAAGTCAATGCAGGCCCCATGATCATCCCTCCGTGTCTCAAGCTTTCCCATTCGGACCATCTGAACCCAACTCCTGAAGGACTCCTTCGGTTCTTAAAGCGTCCAGTGCATCCTTAACCCATTCTTGGCACCTCCGCAGAGGTTCACGCGGGTACATCCGCCTTGGGCCATCAAACTGCTTCCGCGGGGCCGGCACTCCTTGACAGATAAGCTCAAAGCGCTCGAGGTCCGAGTGTTCAACTGTGCCGAGCAGTCGCCTACCAAGGCTGATATCATCTTCCCTGGCGGGTCTGTGCTCGTAGGCCATGCCGCTCTGGATGTTACCCGTGACCTGGTAAATGTGTCCCAGCGATGCGTCGGGGGAGCTGCCGTCGAGGGTCGGGCTATCGACGAGGATGGCGTGGTGGTCCTGAACGCCCATCCCCAACGAGATTGCTAGGTAGACTTGCAGGGACATGGTTGAGTGAATATATCGGTGTCTGATGATGCTTGAGTGCGCAGCTGGTGAAAAGCGAAATGCTCACTGAGCGCGCGGTTCGTTATAATGCCTGTGCTCGACAGGTTGCGCCGTCCAATGAAGAAGCCTGACGCGACTCCTCCATTAATGTTTCGGATGAGTCAGGCTACAAGTACTCGAGGATTTGGCACGCTCAAGGCGGTAGCCATAGGCAGCCAACCTTTGCACCCTAGTCACACGTTCAGAGATCAGGCAGCCATTGTACGGTGGATCCGACGTTGATCTTTCTTTGATATGATCCTAACCAGGTTATTTGGAATCTCAAACTTGCATGTAGCTATAGTAGCTCACCGGCCGGAATAATAGGAGATTATAAGTTGACATTATGAGTTAATTTTAATTATATACAAGAACTGCTCCACCTCCAAAGGTAATGCGTCCATCTCTGTAGATCTAGCTCAGCGAAGCCGAGAGAGGCAGCTTGCGGCTGCTGGGTCCCACGTAAACGGTCTTTGGGTGGTCGGTGATGACCCAGTTTTGGCTTGCGGTGTCCCAGTTGCTCAGGTCCCGGCGAACCAACGTCGTGTTGAACTGCACCGACTGGCCAGGTTCGATGTGGATGCGGTCAAAGCCGCGCAGAACGACCGGAGGATCATCAGACCCGCCGAGGGATACGTAGAGCTGGACCACCTCGTCTCCAGCGACATCACCGGTGTTGGTGATCTGTGCGGTGACGGTGTAGAGCTCATCCCACAGTCCGTTGTTGCCACCAGACTCGCCGTCGAGAGCCGGGCCAGCAGGGTGAAGAGGCTGAGCAGCAGCGTCGATGGCCTTAGACGGCAAGAATTCATCGGCGGTCTGCCCGTAGTGTGGGTCTTGCGAAGCTTCCGCAGCTGAGGAACTCGTGTTGACGTAAGGATAGATGTATTGCCAGATGTATCGGAACGAATCGCTCGGGAATAGGTAGTCATTCAGATCGGTAGAGAAACCGGCACCAAACGTCGGTGCTTCAGCAGTCTCACCCGCAGTAGGATTGTAGGCAGTCGGGTACTTCTTCTCGACAGCCAGGTCCGAGTATTCGAAAGTAGTATAAGACAGACCAAATCCAAACTCGTATATAGGGGTGATGTTCTTCTTGTCAAAGTGGCGGTAATCGATGAAAACACCTTCGGTAAAATCCTGTTGTGGAGCGCCATCACCGTTGTTGGGCTCGTAGAGCACATCAGTGCCGTAATCCTCACGCTTGGCACCCCAGGTGAACGGAGTCCTAGCAGCTGGGTTGACCTTTCCGTAGAGCACATCAACAATAGAACGGCCGCTCTCCTGGCCAGGCAGACCAGCCCAAATGATGGCAGTCACGTTGGGCGAGTCGTACCAGTCAGTGAGCAGAGTAGGTCCCACAGAGTGGATGATGACGATCGTGTTGTTGCACAGCGAAGAGACGTTCTTGATAATTTCGTCTCCATTGCCCCACAAAGTAAGATTCTTTCGGTCACCTGCATTACCATCGTATTCAATGTAGCCTTCGCCAGAGTCAGCGTTGACGAAAACAAGGGCTGTTGCATCAGCCTGGGAGACCAGATCAGTTATCTGACTAGTGGCTGAGTTGTTGAGAACGGCTTCAATGCGAGTGCCGTCATCAGCTGCTTGGAAGTTAAGGGCATCGATTGGTGCAATCAGGTAAGGGACTAATGTGACTTGTCAGCGTGGAACCTGTGTGGTGGATGAGTTTGGATACCTACAGTTCGCTGTTCCAGATCCCCAACCCATGGCAAGTGTTCCCTCGTCACATCCGCGATCAGCGCATCCGTTCGGGCCCAGTGCACTAGGTCCAGCATCCTCACCCACGACGGCAAGGAACTTGGGCTTCTTGAGGGGCAAGGCCCCTTCGTTCTTTAGCAGTACGGTTGATTTGGCTGCAACTTCCCGGATGAGCGCGCCATGGCCATTCTGTACATCAACATGCCAATTGATCTGTTGAAAGCCCTCGTTGGCAGCATAGTGAATGGGTCCGTAGGTATCCAGGGTCCAGGAATCGAAGTTAATTTCCGGCTGGTCCAGTTCCAGCCCAACCTTGAAGAACGCAGCCATGATTCTCATTGCCATGTCATCGATCCGATATTCTGGAACAGTGCCATTGATGACAGCCAGCGTCAAGTTTGTTCCCCAATAGCTCAAACCAGTGTTGAACTCCGTGTCACCAGGCATCGTCATATCCAAACCGGCAACGGCACTGGCCACACCACTGTGCTGAGCTTGCCAGTCGCTCATGACGAAGCCTTGGAATCCAAGCTCGCTCTTAAGAAGGCCATTGAGCAGTTTCGAGTTCTGGCAGGCATACGAGTTGTTGACCTGGTTGTAGCTGCACATGATCGAGCCGACTCCGGCCTTGACAACGTCTACGAAAGGCCACAGGTAAAGCTCGTGCATGGTCTTGTCGTCAATGTTCGAAGACAGAGTCCCAGAAATATTGAAGCCGCGGCCAACGGACTCGCCAACTTGGCGGAAATGTTCTGAAATGAAAGTCAGTTCATGACTAAAGGAGGTTTATAGACGGATAGACGACTGACCTTGCTCGTTGGCAATGTAGTGCTTCGCACAAGCAATGACACCGGCATCTTGGATGCCCTTGGTCGTCTCGGCAATGCCAATTCCACTCAACCAAGGATCAGGCGAGAATCCTTCCCAGTTTCTGCCACCTTCCGGCGTGCGGCCGATAGGTCCGGCGACTGGTCCCAGTACAACAGTGACCCCTTTTCCTTTGTGTTCTGCGCCGATGGCTTGTCCTCGTCGGTAGAATAGGTCTCTGTCGAACGACGCAGCTACAGTCTGACCGGAGGGGAACGCCGAGGAGTAGTCACCGAAGCGAACACCCAAGGGTGAGTCTTGCATGCACAGACTGCGAAATCCAAGTCGGGGGATAGAGCCAACCTGGCCCACGCATTGCTCGCCTTGCCAACTATGAAGAGGTTAAGAATTGCTCGCAGACCACGTGTAACGGTGGCACATACCCGACACCCGTTGTCAAGTTGACTTTCTCATCCAAGTGGAGTTGCGAAACGAACTCCTTGGCCTTTTGGTATGCTTCCTCCCAGCCAATGGCATTAGGGCTCATCCACGGCGAAGGATACACTGGTGGTGAATGCGCAAGGTCATCCCGGCGATCGAGCTTGAGGTCGTTAGCTACGGCTTGGTTTACAGCGAATAATTGAAGTAAAAGTATGCGATGCCACTCCATTTTGATGACTCGATCATGGACATATGAATTGAATTGGAGTTTGCGAACTCAGGCTACAATCCTAGGCAGATGGATAACCCTCAAAAGCATCATATTCACCAGATGCTATGTCCCAAAACGCACAAAGGACGAGGAGTCACGGAAGCACCCAATTGACGAATGTTTCGCCGCGTGTCTTCCAGTAATAAGCATAAATTGACGTACATGGTAGGTTTCCGGCAGACCGACAGCTGAGCTGTAGGTTGCCGCTAGAGTGACCAGAACGGCGGAACGCATGGTGTTGGTATCGAGCCTGTGGCTTTACGGGAGGCGGCGCCTCGTGTCGCCGTCCGTACGACTTGGAACGAGGTTCTGTATTAGAAACAGGACAAGAGCACCAAGACACTGTGCTCAGAACCAGTTGACCTGGAACATCCGAGAGCGCCAGCAACAGCTGACAGCGGCAGAGCGGCTCGGTATTAATAGGTGCTGCCATGTTTACTGTAGTGGAGCAGTTTCCTGCCGATCATTGTCCCCAGCATCCGGGGCCGTTGCTGACGCGAACGATGAGAGCTCGTCAATGTGCATGTCGTTCCTGCACTTGCAAGGTTCTCCGCTTGGTCACTCCGCACGCTCCAAATCTTGGTTGGTCGATTGCCCCATCTGTGAGGCTACCGTGCTGTCTCATTGTACCCAGCTGACCACCAAGGTCATTATCACGACACTCACGGTGGAAAGAAGATTGCATGAGGCGAAGGAAGTAGTCGGTTGACCCTTTAATGATTCTTGTCGCGAATACGAAATAGCGACTACACTGTGTAGGCGGTCCCGAGTTGATGAAGGATTCCGCCCATTTCAGAACAGGCACAGTAGTCCGATTTCCATAGCTTTGTGAGCTCACGAAGGATGTCTTTAGGTAGTCAGGTAGTGTAAGCAGGGGTTTCCAGTCTTTCTCCATCTTCATCGTTGTGAAAAGGGCCGAAGGGACAGAGTCGAAAAGAGATCCGACTGGCTGAGTGAGGAATTGGCGCGAGTTCCTTGGAAGAAGCGTGCAGAACGCCCCGTCCGTCCTCCAGATGACCGCAAGAATCTTTCGAACCCCATGCGGGCGCCATCGTGCCAAGGGCTCGACCACCCCAGGATTGTGGGGTTGGGCGACAGGGATGATGAGCTGCTCTGTAGCCACTTGGTGAAGGGCTCCCATCGTCATGGCTGAGACATTGTGGTGACATGTAGCGAACATACGCAGCTTCCTAAAGATCGGTACGAAGGGTAATTGCCTGGGGACGACAAGAAGATGGCCTCATGCCTTAACCAACCAAGGGAATGCAATAGCTTACGCGAATCCCAAAAGGCAGCCCCGTGGGAGACACGGTTGTTCCTTGGGTGGGACATGAATAGAGTTCCCTCCTTGTCTTGGGAGGCTCGATGCCGATCGGCATTTAAGCAGCACCCTCATTTGCTCCTTGCAGGTCGCGACTCGGGCCCAGTGCTACCTTGTCTGCCGTTCAAAGTCAAAAGGCGACCTCGATACCAGCTGCTTGGAACCTACAGATCTGACTGGCGTGTGCCACGCTGCTCGTCGCCAACGACGTGAGGTAGCTCAAGGTAACGTCACGCCACGGGTTTCCTGGCTTGTGTTACTCGGCGGTACTCGGCGAATTCTGTGTGAGGCGCTGCGCCTGCACGTACAATGTTATAAGCAGTTCCTTGGGTCATCGCCTGCTCACTAGGGCCGCAAGGGCCGCAAGGGTCGCCGGGGTTGTGAGGTTGGGCGGGCTTGGGAAGCGTCATTCAAACGGTTTGCTTCCGCTCTATGTGGGGATCACGACGGGATGGCGTCCTTCCCCGCACTTCCACACCATCACTTGCCGCGATTTCTCCAAGCCCAGTGGAGCGACAGGCGGGTTGACTTCGGGCCAAGTCTTGAGGCGATGCGATGCAGTCAACATTAGGCATGTCAGACGTGGGTTGGCCCAACGTCTTTACTCAACGCCTACACTGTTTAGGAATATGAGTATGACGTCAATGGCCTGATGGGTTTCTATTCTAATCTGTTGGAAACATGTGAAAACAACCTGTACATCCCCCTAGTTCAATACTAACTATCGTTTCAAGCATGGCCATTCTCTGATTAGCTCTGCGAACGATATCATGCCCATCCCAGCAAGGCCTTATCTCTTCCGCCAGCCTTGTTCTATCTCCTTCTTGACCTCTTCTAGGACCGGCTCGATAAACGTTGGCGTCGGATGCATGGAACGTCCCGTCTCCTTCACAAGCGTACAGCTCTTCCTGAATTGCCCCATAGCTGTTTTCTCGTCGTGCCAGTTCATGACCGTGCTGTAGACTTGTGCCGCGTCAAACGATTGTCCTGTAAGAGAGGTAAACGGACGCCAAGATGACAAGCGTCTCTGCTCCTTTTCGGGTTTCGTCACGTTTCTGCTGATTTTCACGCCGTCGCTGTCCTCAGCATACCGGTAAACCATCCAGATTGCTTTGGAAGGGCTGGTAATATCCATTACCAGGTGATACCCGGTAGATCGTTCCGTCCACTGGTTGGTGATGGCCTCCATTCTACGATTATATATCTCTCCAATCTCCCACACGTACTTTGGGAAGGCTGGTGTTGTAATAGAATCTCTTCGGAAGCCGTGCAGCTCGATGACCGTCGGGAAATTCGCCCATTCCTGCTGGCGCCAAAAGTGTGCTACCCGGTTCTGGTTCTTCCGCTCCCCACAAACAAGGTAGTTTTGAAAGGGCTGGCTTCTTCGAACAGAGTACGCTACAGGGTCGTTGTCCTGCTTCTCCTTACGGTGGAAAATGGCGAGAGAAATCTGATAGTTCTCCATCTCCTTGAGAGCCTTGAGATGCTGAGGGTTGCGAAAATCCATCTTATGCAAAAGTGGAACAAGCATTGTCTCAGTTTCTGGGTTCTCCGTAACGTTCAGTTGTCCACCATCACCAGGCCCTTCCATAGTCTGCGGTGTTGGTTGCGATTGCAAAAGCGATGTACACAAACCCATCAAATGTGCCAGCTTCTGGTTGTCGTTATCTGTTTTCGTCTTGGTCTCTCGCTCCAAACCAAGTTGCTGAGCTCTTAATTCTTGAATGTCGTTTGCTTGGGCCTCGACTTTTCTTTGAAGTTCCAGGTTGCGGTCTTCTATTGCGTTGAGTCGTTCGTCTTGCGCACCAAGAATATTCTTAGTACTGTCTGCGATGCTCGAGATAGCTGATCTGAAATCTTCGCGTTGTCTCGATTGCTCTCTCTTCATGGTGTCGGCTTCGCTTTGCAAGTCTTCCATGGCTTCTGCGGATGGCATCTCTATGGTCGGTCTGGGGCGGTAATTTGGGCGTATCCGAGGCGCCATATCCCCTGTGCCAGGCGATATTGTTGCTGACTCTGATCTGTTGGAACCGTTTGCCCTTTCCGGAGTTGCGCCTACCCCTCGGTCGGCAGGCATCTCCACTCGGCGGCGTTTGTTTTCTCGGCTCGACATCATATTACCTTTCGTTAATATTTTGACGGTTTTCTGGTGATCTCAAGCTGCGAATTACGCACCGAGGTACCAGATGCTGGAGTCGGTGCCCGATATGGTGATGATGTGTCGGGTCGAGGCAGGTGTGGAGCGGGTTGAAATCAATGGGAAAATGGGACGTTGCCCAGCCAGCTGCTCCCAGAAATCTCATGCGTTAGATATCCAGGATTTAACCCTAGTGCTTGATTAAACAATTATGCATGACCAGCTGCCTGGCTTTGTGCCCCAACACCCAAGAGGCAACGTGTTTCGAGGCCCTGTGATGATGATGGAAGGATCAAACGGACGAGAGAAGAAAGTTGACAGGGCGAGAATGCAGACCGCTCAAGCACCCGGCGTGCCTCTCCTTATGGCACAGAATTTAGCTAGTGTAAGGAACAGTTCAAATATCTGGCAGTAGCTAGCAACTGAAAACGAAAATCTGTTGCTAGGAGTGACAGCGTGCAGTCAGTGTGTAGGCTTCTTCTTGACATCCTATCTGGAGCTTAAGGTATGACAACCGGTAACCAAATACATTTCCATTGTAGCGTATGGTATGACGCAATTATATAGATAGAGCATCTCGAGATAGGTCGCGGCCAGGAAACCGCAAAAATACTGTAGAATCAGTTGCTAAGAATACAATATGTGCCTAAGGAGTTATCTCGCCCTCCCAGTTGCCAAGGTCGACCAAGTGCTACCAAGCCCTTTCATCAGGCAGACTCCATGAGTTCCTGCATTTTCTTGATGTTAGCTGCTTTAGCACGAATCTCCACCGGGACGTTGCAAGCGGACTCAAGGACCAAGTTGTCTGCCCTTGTGAATTCGGGGAAGGAATCCTGCGAGTTCTTCTCGCGGGTGAAACAAATATTGCGCACGTTCTTTGATAAGCACGCTATGTAGGAGCGGCTGCTTTGATTGAAGGCGATAGTATGGTCTTTATGGTTCTTAGAGTTCTGGCGCACGTCTAACGGGCAGCCAGGCCTAGCCACAAGCCAAAGTGACTTTTCGGCCTTCGTGACATCCATGACCACATTGTAGCAGCTGGATATCAGAGTGGTTCTGGTACTTCCCTTCTTCCAGTGGCGGAACAAGAACAGCTGACCTAAGTCGTAAACATATCGAGGGGGCTGATACTTTCTTTTCCACTCATCGAGCTGCGCCAGTTCATTGCGGCTAGCCTTGTCATCCGAGATCTCTAATTCGAAGATCCGCAAGGAAGTAAGATTGTGGTTCATCAGATCCGGGTGGTTCTTATAGATAACGCCAGGTGCGTGATCCATAATACTGGCAGCGGACTCGCCTATTCTAATGACGTAGTCTGTATTGGCGTTCGGGCTTGTGAGGTCACAGAAGAGGAAGTAATCTCTCGAGTGACTCCTGTTGTCTATCTTCGACAGATGTTCCAATTTTGCGACGTCTGTAAAATCGAAAGTGTGCAGAAGGTGTTGATACCCCGCCTTGGTAAGTCGGGTGTCTGTGAAGTATCCATTCGAGGAGATGCCCAGTTTCAAGACAGAGCTGGTCGTTGTTTTTGAACCAACGGAAGCGGCTGTCGGCGTGACCTTGTCTGATAGCTTAGAAGTTGGGGGTATGCTCGTGTACGAACTCATACTGCTTTTAGTAGCTTCTGATGAACTTTTGAACGATCCAGTTGAATTTGCGACTGACGGGGTGCTGCAGGCGAAGTCGCCAACACCAAAATGGTTGTTGGCATAGGGGGCCGCGGTGACCTTTTGTGCGAAGAAGGCAGCCATGTGGTCGGTGAACTCTTTGAGGCGGGCATCAGTTCTCTTGTTGATCTCACCAGCAAGTTGCTCGTATTTCTTCCCCAGAGCCTTGGATCCATCAACAACTGCGTTGACACTATCCTCAGTGGACTTCATCCGGGTCTCATAAGACTGCACCACCTTTTGAGATTGTTCAGCAACCCCATCCTTCCAGTCTATGGTCTCCTCCCGAAGCTGAGCCACAAGCTGTTCGCTACTCAATGCGATACTCTTGATATCTTCAATGCTCTCGTTAACAGAGCAACTATAAAGCTTGTAAGTACGTGATCTGTTGCATGGGGCCCGAAAAACGTACACTTTGTTGGGATTGTTAGCCTGCAACCTGTAAACTTGTGAGCATTCGATCTGCCATTCAAATATCAAGTAGACGTACGTGCGGGACGGTTTCATATCAGTTATCGAATCAAGTTCCTGCTTGACAATGATTTGCGTCTCATCGCCGTTGTGACCTGTCTTCCCTTTCTCTGCAGCTCGAGGCACTATCTTGTGATCTTTCTTGGTAGCTCTCACAACCTCAATGGATGACGAGGCTTCAGAGTTGGCACATTGAAACGTCCCAAACTTTCGCTTGCGGGTCTGAGAGGTCATGGTGTCGGAGTGAAATTCTATCAAGTCGAGTAAGTCGAACCTGCCTGGTGTAAGCAGACTCGGGGCTGGTGAAAACGTGCAAGGAATGAGGAGCCCACCGTATCTTGTTCAAACCCCACCTGTTAAGAAGAGTTGTTTCTGATAGCGGGATGAGGCTTTGACTGAGGTCAGCGGAGCGAAAAGGCATCCGGGAGTGCTGGTTGAGTGGCATGTCCAGGACTTGAAGTATTGAGGCAGGTGAAAGACAACCGTGCTCAGTACATGATGAAAGTCATTGGGATGGCGTGGCTGCCTTCGGAAGGGAAACAGTGGATATCGGCGTGTTCACAGAAGGTGCAACGATGTCGGTGTTTTCTTAGGGTTAATTGTGGGCATGAGGGAATTCAAAAGTGTGGCATCGACGTCTCTGCCTCACGAAGGTGGAGTGTTCTTACGTTAGTGGCCCCGGCAAAGGACTTCGGGCTTAAGCTGTCAAGAAGAGGTTTGGTCGGTGGTCTCAAAGAGACAAGTGGCGCAATTCGTCTCGAGTAGAATGTTGTGACTCTGACCAAGGAGATTGAAGCCGAGTTCGGTGTGTTCAGCGGAGACCTAGAAACGTATATGAAAGAGATATCATCACCAGGGAGAGTATGTTTGATATCAACACGTGGTAGAAGGTAGCATCGCTAACTTGCTCATATGGCGGTCCGGCCCCCTATTTATAGTGGGATTGGCTAGTAAGATGACAGTGAATACAAGAGAAACAGTGAATAGGAAGATGAGGTGATGATAACTGGATTCACATACCGAAGTTGGAACAAATCCTTCTCAAAAGGAAGCTACAGATTCGGTTTGGTGGGGCTAAATATCTGACAAGGCAAGTTTGCTGGAGTCTTTATCCGTAGAAATAGTTGGTCGACACTGTGACCAAACTCGGTGCTACGATTTTACTCTTACTAACTGATAATAACTATGCTGGCAGCATGCGTCGAATTTTAAATCTTTATGGGAAGCGGACGCATCTGAATAATCAGGCAGGTCTGGAAGGTCCCCATTTGTGTTGCCGGGTTATGGGGGGCTATTTCATATCCCATATCACATCACTTTAGATTCCATTTGGCAAGCTTGCCAAATTCACGGTTTCAGGTTTGTCTAACCTTGTAAACAGTGCAACGTCAATACAAACAACCCTGTCTACCATGCCCCCATTGTTGTCACCAACTTTTCTCATGCCTTCAGCTTGACCTTTCGGATCACAAAATGGACGAACAAAACGCGCGACGCAGTTTCATGGGCGTAATCGTATCTTATGACGAATTCCAACGTCTCAAATCCACTTTTGAGAATCTCAAGGATGAAATCTCTGCTGATAACAACACATGTGTTGCACCACTTTCCTCGCTTGCAGCGGATCTCAAGGAAATCGAACGCATTTACGTTCCACGCAACTCAGCCAACATCGGCGAAGAACCGAGTTACAAGAGGGTGGACAATCCCCAATCTAAGCCGACCACGCCAAGCCTAGATCAGGAAATTCGAGCCACTGATGAAGAATTCGAGAGTGAGGTCAACGGCAATAATGCATCCAACGCCATTAATCAGAACAAACCACAACTCCAGATCGACGAGGAGGGAGACTCTCAAGTTGACGAGCAGCAAGAGCAGGAGCGCGAGATATCTCATACAGCTGGTCCATACTTGAACGCTATTGCAGACGCCTGTTTCCGAACTGGATCTGTTAGGCTTCTTTCCATCCTCACGCCGCCAGACGAGGATTTGCCCATCATGGAAAACACTATTCGTGATGACAAGGGCAACGTCATTGCTAAGAATGTCTACTACGTCGCTATACGTAGATCTGGACCTCATCTCGGTTCTACTCACCGTATGCTTGCGGGGCAAAACGATCAATCAGAGAAGACCTTCCCCTCGGAAAAGGAGGCTTTTGAAGCTATCGTGTTGCAGATGAAGACCAAGGCGATATCGAAGAGCAGCGCGAAGCGGCGTCGTTCATCACTCTCCCGCTTGCAGACCCCAGATCAGCCTGACGCCATTGAGCTGCCGAACTACATTTTTGAGCTCGGTGAACTCAGAATCACGACCTACGATCATCACGATGGAACCTCCGAGGATCGTTCTACTTACTGCCATGTCGTCGTCGATATTGCCTCGGCCGAGAAAGCACTATGGCTGGTGTACAGGTACAAGGGAGTAGAGAACGGTGACATGATCACGCGCAAGAGAAAGTTCGACCGAGATGAGGATATGTTTAGCTTTGTTGAAAGCGAGCGCGGATTCGATATTGCACAGATTGCCATTAGTTTTCAGGACTGGATTGACAAAGCCGGAAATCCGCGCTTGATTCACAACGCAGAAGGTCTCATCAAGACCACGTGTCGCCGAGCCGACCCTGAGTGCTCACATGTCGTTTACGAAAGCTTCTATGCGAGTTTGAAGCAAGGAGATTAGATTTTGGCGATACACCCCAGGGAAGGAGATGAGAAGTGCGACAGCCTTTCGAAATTTGAGGTTAATGTTCATGTATATAAATTATGCATAGCGCTCTCAGTATTCAAACAGACACAATAAGCGCGCCCATCCGTCTAATTGAACCTTGTCAATGCAAGTTGCTATTGTTGAACTTTAGACGAACCCCCATCATATCACTCAAATCCTCTACGTGCAAGGGCCACAGGCAAGCTCACGACGCTTACCTGCACTGAGGCCAACTTGTGTGGTGATGTTGGTTTGATATGCCCTGACAGGATTCCAATTTCAGGGGAGTAACAAAGATGGCGGTGACAACGAAGCGTGTACATGGGTCGGTATATACCTGTAATAAAAATAATAATTATAATAATAAAAAGTAGTGTTGGGAATTGTAAGGACTTGCAACCTCCAATCCTTGAAAACGCACGCATTGCCTCCCTGGAATTATATGATCATACACAAAAACACCTGCTGTGTTTTGAGGCAGGCATCGCTATTTTGGGACACGCTACTGGGATTGGCAGATGTGGTGGAGACCGCAAAGCTGAAGCCTAAGAGAGGGTCCATCCAGGCATCATTCCGAATCCTCCCCTAGAAATACAGCCACAGCGGAGACAAAAACAAGCTCGGACTGGCCTCGTCGTTCACCACTGGCATGACATTGCGTTGGCTTTCCTTGTGACAAATCACTCGTGAACTTCCTCAGTCTGGAAAAAGGACCGCGGCAAGCGTCCGGATCAAGCATGCCGTCAATACCTGCTGATGTCTATCGTGACATTTTCAGCTACACAGACCAGAAGACACTGATCAGCTGTCGACGGCTGAACAAGTACGCATCATCCATTGCGACGACTTTTGTATTCCGCCATGTACGCCTAGAAGCTGCATATGATATCGGCAACTTCATCAACGTCGTCACCTCGCCTTTGCGGCACTGCGTTCGTGAGCTCACCGTCGACACTTGGGCTGGGCCACATGCTACGGACTCTGTCAACCGAGATATCTATCCGCGACGAGATTTCTACCGAGCTCTATCGTACCTTAGGTTCTTCAGAAACTTGAACCATCTCAACCTGAAGTTCGATGAATGGTGCGGCAAACGTGGAGACGAGCAGGACGCCTGGAGTGCTGCCATCAATGAAAACTACGACTTTCGCTTTTCGGTTCTTGACATCATATTCCGCTGCCTTGCTGGTAACTGGACTCCCGAATTACAGCACGGGCAAGAGGTTTCAGGCTTGGTCTCGTCCGAAATTGACAGTGAAGGCAGCATTCCGGGCGACCCTGTAAACGACAGCTTACCACCGGGCGTTGATGCAGTAGGGCCTATTGATATCGGCACCTTGACAATAAGCAACTTAGCAGACTTCAATGACGAAAGATTGACCCAGTCAGATTCGTTCAAGAAAGTCATATCATTCAGCAGCCTCAAAAGTCTAAAATTGCTTATATCAGATCAATACACGACAGCCCCTGACGATTCTGTTTGGTATCGAGAAAGGTACGACTTCTTCGACAGCATTCCCCAAACTTGGCTTTCGCCCTCCATTGCCCAGAATATTAGGGTTTTGTCATTGTACTTTCGAGAATACTGGGGATGGAACCCGAAGATGGATTTCAGAACTGTCAACCCTGGCACGGGCCCCAACTCTGGTATGCCTAACCTGCGCGTCCTGGCCCTAGGGAATTATGTTTTCAGCCACGATTGGCAAATCGACTGGGTTGCCTCGCTGGGAAAGCGGAATGGGAAGGGAGGACTGGAAGAATTGTATCTGGATGACTGCCCAATCATGTGGCAGGCACGTACCCTTCGACCCCTCGACGAATCCAATACGGTTATTGAGTTGCAAGATGGCGGAGTTCTCGAAGTCTCCAACACTGGCTATCCGTGCAAGGACGGTATGTTTGCAGGACGAAGAGCCTGGAATGTTGACAAATTCAATTACCATCTACGCTGGTGTTATGTCCTCGACCATTGGAGGGAAAAGATGGTTGGCTTGAAGGTATTCAACATGGGCCATGGCTATTGGCATGGCGACCCGTTATATATCACGGTCCCCGGCCCCGATGGGACTCCGGTATTAAAACTCGAGTACAACCCTGGGGACCCTAAATGGAGGGAGCAGAGATCCCAAGTCATGATGCGAAGCGGGCGCCGAGGGCAGTTGATGCCAGATCTGGTCCATCTCAATTATGACTGTCCTAGACTCGCTGAATTTCCCATCGCTTATGCTGCTGAGAATGATGCTCCGTACTGCTACGGAGTTGGGCTGGAGCATGAGCGCCAATATATCCTGCAGTATATCCATTTTGACATTGAACTTGCCCCTATAGAGTGGGTAGAGCGTGATGATGCCAGGACTGTCTTCGAAGAATTGGGGCTGAACGCATACGAGACTGCGAAAAGGAGAGACGAAAAGGCATATCAGCAGCTGCAGGATGCTGTTCTGGAGAGAAGCAAATCAGGCGGTAGAAAGACATAGATCATCAGTATCCCGGCATGGTTATCGTGATTAACATCGCCTTCGGTCACAAAGCCCGATGTTTCCGCGACAGCCGATCAGTGGACACACACTATTTCACGAATACATGACTTTGCATCCAGCTGAGCGGCCGGAAGGCTCATGCTTCGTGGAGCTTTCATATGATGATGATAGTGGAGTGGAGTACAGAGCTCGGTGTAAGTGTCGGCCGAGCGTTGATTCCCACGAATCAACACCACAGCTGGGGTCTTCGGTCCGCCAAACCGGCAGCGCTAAGCTGAAGTGAATCGCATATCAATCTCAAGGCTAGATATAAACCTAGCAGACGCCTTATATTCTTTTACGTCAAAATCAAAGCAATATCGGTATGTCTTTTTCTGAGTTTGATCCTACTATTAAAGGCACGCTCCCAGCCGACTTCCAGTGGGGCTACGCAACAGCTGCCCCGCAAATAGAAGGAGCATGGAATAAGGATGGTAAAGGCCTGTCGATATGGGACACTTTTGGCCACACGCCTGGGAAAGTCAAAGACAGCAGCACCGCTGATGATACAACCCGCTCCTACGACTTCTACAAGCGAGATGTAGCCCGGATGAAAGCCTACGGTGTCACCGGCTATCGTTTCTCTCTGTCGTGGTCCAGAATAATCCCGCTTGGCGGTAAAGACGACCCAGTGAACGAGCAAGGGTTGAAATTCTATAGCGACCTGGTCGATGAACTTCTAGCCAACGGCATCACCCCTTTCGTAACTCTTTTCCATTGGGACACGCCGCAAGAGCTGGAGAACCGGTATGGCGGCATGCTGAATAAAGAAAAGTACATTCCGGACTTCAATCGGTACGCTCGAGTCTGCTTTGAGCGACTAGGAGACCGTGTCAAGAACTGGATCACCTATAATGAGCCCGGAGTCTATACTCTAGCTGGTTACGCAGCCGGCGTGCATGCCCCTGGGCGATCCAGTTTCCGAGACCGGAACGAGGAAGGCGATTCAAGCACGGAACCATTCATTGTGGCACATACGGAGCTGTTGTCGCACGCACATGTGGCCAGAATCTACAAGGAAGAGTTCAAGCCCAGGCAGAAGGGGACGATCATGATCACCCTGCACGGGAACTGGAACGAGCCCTGGGACGCGGACGACCCCAAGCATGTGGAGGCAGCGCAAAGAGCGCAGGAATTCGAGATTGCATGGTTCGCCGACCCTTTATACAAGACGGGCGACTACCCACCATCGATGCGCGCACAGCTTGGGGACAGACTTCCCCGGTTTACCCCAGAAGAGAGCAAGTTGGTCTTGGGCAGCTCTGAAGCGTATGGAATGAACTCTTATACAACGTTCTTCGTAAAAAATAGAGATGCGGAACCGGATATAAACGACCACAAGGGCAACGTTGAGGTCTTTGACACGAATAAGCAAGGCGTGGAGAGAGGTATTGAGAGCGACACGCCATGGCTCCGAACCTCGCCACACGGCTGGGGTAAGCTATTGAGATGGATCTGGGATCGCTACCAGACTCCTATCTTTATCACCGAGAACGGAACGACGGCAAAGGGCGAACATGACTTCAAGCCAAGCGGCCCTGATGACATCCTCGAAGATCCCCACAGGGTTGACTTCTTCAAGAGTTACCTGACAGAGGTTGCAAAGGCGTCGCAGGAGGGCGTGGTCATCAAATCGTACTTTGGGTGGACGTTCACGGACAATTGGGAGTGGGCTGCCGGCTTCACCGATCGCTTTGGTGTCACATGGGTGGATTTCAACGACCCGGAGAAGCCTAGGTATGCGAAGCGGTCGGCCTACTTCCTGAAGGAGTTCTTTGGCCATTTGATCGCGGAAAGCAAGAACTAGCTCAGTGATGGTAGTGCTCTAGAGATGCCTGCAGCCAATTCAATACTTTTAGATAGGTCGGATGCGGCAACATGCTGTCTGGACCTAAATGATTTTTAAGTATCTATCAATAGACTGCAATCAAGTTGTACGATGGACGTTCGCCGCGTGGTATATCTTACTAGCGATAATCATTAAAGAACAGTACAGACAAAAATCACGTCTTAGTCGGGTAGTCACATGCCACGGCCCGTAGCGACTCCTATTCCTACATGTATGCAAAATCACATAACTCCTCTAATCCATACATCGTTTGCCACGTACTAAATAGTTAGCTGTTCTGTTTGCAATAAACGTCGTCAAACCCAGATCTACGAGGAGCTATATCTTCTTTTAAATGTGCGGGGGAGTGTCCAAACAGCTCATAGGTGCTCGGGAGTAGCAAATGAAAATTAGTCACAGAAGAGAAGACAAGTCGCGTTTGCAACACCCGTTAATTTGAAGGTTAAACACTATAATATGCAAAGCTCCAAAATTGGCAAACACCACTTTTTGGTGAGAAGAATGACAACAGTATGTAGAATCGATCAGGTCGGACCTACAGGTGAAATGATAAGAAGGAGAGGCAAAACAGAAAAGAAAAGACACCGGGCAGTCAGTCGTCCCCCTACTCGAACGCCGGTTTCCCAGTGAACAAGATTTCCATACCCTAACATCTGGCCATATGGAGCGAGGCACGGATCCATCAGGCCACTGTGCCATGTGAGTGTTGAAACCCCAGGGCCTTATGCAAACTGAGGACACCGGACTACAGTTGTGGGCAGCACCCTCACTTCATCTTCCCAGCATCTGGACCGGCACACATGCAATAGGAGCTTGGCCTGCACCTCAGTCCGCTTTCAGTATTAAGCAGCACTCCTTTGAAATTCGGGTATCAATTCTACGCCTAGATGGGCTCGGTATCCCGTCCTGTGTTGTAGCATAGTCTCGTGCTCGGCGGGGAGCAGGACCACGGCACGACCCATTTATGCATGTGCGTCTGATTTGGGCAGCCAATGGAACCACGCAGCATGTTTCCGATCTAGGCGGCCTAGGCGAGCAAGAAGGGGCTAGTCACATAACTTGCTTTAAGTTACATCGTTTCTGATCCTATCCATACGCTACTCTGAGGCAGTCGCCCCTATTCCTCGTCACCAAACATCCATATCTGGGGCGGTGCTAAACGGACTTCTACAGTAGGCTTGTGCCAGAACATGGCCTCCCCATTTGTCGAGATGCATGGCACAACAAAGCTGGAAATGACCGAGCAGTGCGCTAGTTTACAGGAAACAATTTTGTGTCTACTTCAAGGGTGAAAGCGTACGGCATATTAGAATGGACCAGCTGGGTCCGTGGATGCATCAGTTTTGTTGTGCCTTCGAGAACAAACCTATCTTGTGAGTGAGGGCCTTGCATTAATCCCCCGACGACATTGTGCATTTGTCGCTGATTTGAAAGAAACTGCGCCTGCCAAGATCCGACAAGCAATGTTATGCTGGTCTGTCTCTCAGTGTCGACGTATAGTAGGCAGGATAATGGGGGGGCTGATCATTTGGCTGGCATATGATTTCGTTGATAGCCGAGGACGGGTTGTATGAAGTGGACGTAATGGTGCTATAGGAGGAGGACTAAGTATGCAACGCCCTGATCATTCCGAGACGCAGACCACCGTTCGGCACACTCTGCTTGGTGTGCTTGTGTGCTTGTGTGCGTCACTCATGGTACGTGCGGGATGGAGATGAGAAGCTGTGCTGCTAGCGCCGATACCATGGCGCACTTATAGGCAAGCATGCGCTGTGACCGTGCTCTGTAAGCGATTGTGAAGAAGAACGCTGCAGGGGTATGTTGTGTAGCAGTGGTCGATCGGATGGCAGGCAACATGGCATTTTGACACCAGTTTCTCCAAAACCGGTGCCCCCCTGGCAAGGTTGCAGCGTGCAGCCTCGAAAGGCGGAGCAAGGGATCGCCAAATCGCGACCGAGACCAGAGTTGGTACTGCAACCCAGCAACCCCCCTCCCTTGCTGGCACCTGGCTTGCGTTTGTGTGTGTGTGTGTGTGTCTATGTGTGTTGTCGGCTTTCCAAATCCTGGGACGTTGCGGAAATTGGTGGCTTTCCTGCCTTGTACACGCTCTCTACATGCCGCTTGTGCCGCAAACGGGAGTGCCAGTGACTGTTGTTTGCAACATCATGCGGACCGCTTTCTGTCTTCAGACGCCTACATGCCTATATCACATCACCATGGGGTTCGCTTGATTGCGCCGCAACTGCTGACAGATACCTAGGCAGGTACAGTGGCTACCCAGTGGCCATGTCGGCAAAAGTGGTCAACCTTACTTTCCCATGCCGCCAGCGCGGAGGGGGAGCACTGCCTACATATGTGCAGAGAGAGACACAGGGCAATTTCCCAGGCGTTACCGATTGAGCGGGCCACACTCGGCTCCAGACCGGGCTCCAAGGCTGAGGAGTTTGCGCGCGGAGGAACTTGTCCGACATTAGAGGAGCTGGATGCGACCTACCCCCGTCGCTGGGACTCGCGGGGTGTGATCGGTGAATTACGCGACTAGCCCTGTGGGGCCCTGGGGCAGCAAGCCCCCCGGCCCCGGCGGGTTCTCCCCTGAGGTCACATCCAATGGTTGACGGGAGGTCTGAGCTCGGCTTGTTCGGCCTTTCCTTAAATTGACGTGGCTCGAAACTCTGGTACGTCGTCGAAGGGGAAGTATTGTGAAGATCCGAGTGGCAGATGCTCTCGGGTTAGCTTGGCACGTATTGGGGTTATTATGGAAGGATTCTCTTCGTGCATCGGATTCCTCGCCCCTATCATGATGTCACTTTTGTTTCAGCGAAAGGAGGAAAGGAGCGTCTCCTGGTGGGACGCTCCCGGTGTGGGTATTGTGGATATCGTGGGTATTAATCTGTTCAACTACAGTCGCGCTGGCCACACGCCTTTCATCGGTCATTGTTCCGCGTCGTCGCTGATGGTGCTTGTTCCACCAGCCTCCGCTTCCGACACGATCTTGGTCTTCACTACATTTCCGGCCGGGGTCATGAAAATGTATGCGTAGATGTCCAGCCCAACATACGGCGTGTACCTGTAGCCGAGCTCGTACTCAGTGACACCGTTCAGAATGGTGGTCCTGTTGTGCCCGGTGTAGGTCATGTCGCGATTGTAGGATCCGACGCTTCTGCGCCCTTGCTCATTGCCGTCGTTATCCAACGAGACATCCCAGATGGTGCCGTTCTGGCCCAGAACCCGGTTGGTGTGCGTGTCTCCCGCGTAGTTGTTGATCGAGTAAAGGATGCCGTGCTGCATGTTATAGTCGAGGGCATCTAGCGACCGCTTTTGGGCAGCGGCCGTTGAGCTTGGGGCCGCCGAAGTGGCGCTGGAGCTAGAAGAGCCGCCCCCTAGGGTATCCGTGACGTTGCCGACCACATCGCCCACCACATTGCCGAGGGTGGCAACGATGGGGTTGAGGTCGATGGACGAAAGTACATCGTCCACCATGGCCACCACGTTCCCTAACCGGGCCTCCAAGTAGACCTTTGCATTGACGTTTTCGATCGTCAGTTTGACGCGATCAATGGAGGCGTCGACGCCGGCGGTGAAATGCAGCAGATTTAACACCTTTGCGTCCAGGTTGACTTTGGCCGTGATGTTGTCCACCTCAACACTGATCAGTCCGACGTGGACTGACGCATTCAGATAGACATCAGGCTCCTCGGGGAGCCTCACGCCGGCGATTGTACCTTCGGTCTCGTAGAGTGTGGCATCTGGATCGCCACGCTGGCTCAACTGATATCCGATGTAGCCATCGTTCTGCGCCACCACGATCGAAAAGAGTGACAAGAGTGTGAAGGCAATTGCCTTTGAAAAGAGTGGACTCATGATGGGCGTCTGGATGAGGTGCTGTAGTAGACCTTACAAGATCACTGGAGGCTGAAGAGGGCGCATGAGGGGAACTCTGCATCTAAAAAGGATGGACCAGGACGTTGCGTCAACCTCGCATCGCAATCGAGGGGGCTCGATCGGCTGCAAATCCTCCACAGCAACTCGACGGCATCCTCACTGCCGGCCGTAGAATTAGCATGAGCTTTCTTGGGTCCTCAAAACAAGGTTTTCGACCGTTGATTCCTGTTGTGAATAGGCTGACTGCGGGTACTAGCCATAGAGCTGGGCCTAGACTCTGGTGGACTTAGGCTCGTTTTGTGACCAGCTCCGCATGAGACAGGGGACTATATAATCCCGAGTGGTTGAATTCGGGTCGACAGGGTTGCCCGAGCTGCAAGCCACGGAGCTACCAGCGCTCTTACATTATGCGCAATCTCCCCATGACGTGGAATCTCTTGCTTGCTGGCCCCAGGGCAGCGTCTTGGCGGTGAAAGCAAGCATATCGATGAACCTGCCGCGGCCAAACGGTACCAAAGCACCGAGAGCACTGCCGCCATCCCATATGCGAATCGCGATTTCTAAATGACGGAGGGGAGCGGGACTTTGCTTGTCAGGGATGTCAGCCAAGTTCTTGCAGACGAGGTCAGTTTATATGTCATCTCCACGCCCGTAGACGGTTGGTGCTGTACGGTCCATCGTGCGCTGTCGCTCCTTCGCCCACACGTTCTTTAGTCAACATGCAGCATCGCTTCCTCCTCTCGTTCCTTTGGGCATGTCTGCTGGCGGCCTTCGTGGTGGCGCAGACAGCATCATCTACAGATGGCAGCACAGCCGTTAGCACGACGGCAGCGGCCACGGATACAGCAACGTCTGCCGTAGCTTCGCCTTCGGATAGCACAACGTCTGCGGCGGGCTCATCTGGCACAGATGCGTCGACTACTGTGGCCACCTCTGTCGGCGGAAGCACCAGCGGAGATGCGTCGTCCCCCACATCCTCGAGCAGCAACCCTCCCGATGTGTTGCTGAGGGTGCCCGAGCTCTCGGTTGAGAAGATCGAGCTCGATGTTGATAATCTCCAAGCCGAGATCAACTTGGCCGCCCAGGTCGCAGGCCTGGTCGAGGTGAATGCTGGTATCCAGGTGGGAATCAAGAAGGTCAACATCACCATTGCGGACGTGGATGCTGAGCTTGAGCTGATCATCCGCCTGGGAAACCTGGTCGACATTGTCAACCGCACTCTGGCTTCCCTGGACCTGAACCCCCTCTTGATCAACATCCTCAACACGGTGGATAACGTGGTGGGCGACGTCATTGGCGCCGTTGATGGACTGCTTGGTTCCATTGTCAACGGCGACAGCAAGATCAACTTCTTGATCGACAACCTGGGCAACATTGTCCAGGAAGTAACGGGCGCTGCCGGAGGTATTCTGAGCTCCATCATTGGTAACTACCAGCAGGTTAGTATTGCCCCTTGCATTACTCTCTCTACGAAAGAGGCCTCGTTGCTAACCCGTGCACCAGAACATGACCTATACCGGAGCGCAAAGCATACTGGATGGCGGACTGATTCAAAAGACGTATCTATATGAGCCACTTAATTCACTGGTCAACATTGTCACCAATTCCCTCGGCCAAGTAGTGCAGGCGGTGGTGGTAGGCAGCGGCGGCGGCGGCAGTGGCGGTGGCACCACGACTTCAGCGACAGCGTCAGCCACAGCAACGGCGACTGCAAGCGCGTAGTAGGGGAACCATCTCCGGCGTGTGACCTGATAGCTAAGAAATACAATAATGTTGAAAGTCCACATTACGTGCTAGCATCTTCATGGAGCGAGCTGTGTGCATGGCAAAGAACCAGCAGTGTGGGCGATCGCGCTTATTGTAGCGCGATTGGGTAGATCCACTAGAAAGCTTAAGTTAGCTGAGCTGTCTACTCGCCTGACTCGATCTGATACGTTTGCGGGTTGTGTGCTTTATATAGCTGATGAGGGGCTCTGATAAAAAGCCATACCCGGAGAATTTTGGGAACCTACCTTTTCTGGAGTCGTTCCCGGGCCAAGATATGTATATGCTTTCGGACGGAGAATTATACGGAGAATTCATCGCGTGTCCGTGAAGCCACCGGCGCTGGCTGCCGGGACTAATGCCAGGGTGTTCGCATCGCACACCAATTACGGCAGGTGTTTTTCGATCGACGTCTTATCTCAACGTCAATCCAAAGAGCCGCATTCAACACTCACAATCCATCCAGAGTCCTCGACTCAGAGTTCGAGAGACCGGAAACTGGAGATTCTATCACCAGGAAATGCGCTGGTTCTCTCGGCTTCAGGCAAGACTCCGCGCCTTCCAGGGTAGGCGTCACTCTGGACCGAGCTACAAGAAGTAATCTGGAGTGAAGGGCTTTGGTATATACTCCAGCAAGCAGCCCCCGACCAACAGTCAGGTTTCGGCAATTTCATACGAAGCCTATCGCCCACAACAGACCCATCAAGCGCCACACACTGTCCGTTACACGACAATTGCAAACCCACCACCCTTACGTTCTATCATCAGATATCTGATACGCAGGGTCCGAAGCATGGCTGACCCGACGCTCTATCTCCCTGCAGTCTTGGAAGAAAGTTCTATTACACAGCTGCTCTCCGGCCTCGGGTTGCCCGAGCCAACGACTATCCAGCTACTCAATACTACTGCAGCATATCATATCATTTACAACATCAAGTTTGCTGAAGACATAGAAGACATCCTGCAGCCTAATGCGCTTGGCGCAGGAGATTCAGCCGCCTCCTTCGCTTGGAAGGTGCGCAACCCACGCTCGCTCGTTCTAAGAATATCAGGAAAGCATCTTCCCAGGATCAAGACTCTCAATGAGGTTGCTACCATGGTTTGGGTGAGGGCATACACGAAGATTCCAATACCAGCTGTTGTCCGCTTTGATGCAACAGAGAATAATGCTATCGGACACGAGTTCACTCTCCTAGAGAAGGTCGACGGGGTCAGTGTTGACAGTATTTACGATGGCCTTGAAGACTGGAAGAAGGAGTCGCTCGTCCGTCAGCTTGCAGGGTACCTGATGGAACTTCGCTGTCGCGAGTGGGACCACTGTGGCGGCCTTCAACTCAACCAGAGAGGTGTGCCTGTACCAGGTCGAGTCGTAGCAGAGACTTTCTGGCAAGGCCCAGAGCTGGCGCGATACTGGCCTGGCAACGAATCCGTGGATTCCCTCAACGTCGGCGGGCCGTACACCTCATATACAGCCTACGTCAGAGGGCATATTGACCAGTATATCCGAAACATGGAAAAACATGACTCTCTTGAGTGGATGCGGGACTTGATCCCTCGACTCTACGCGTTTCTCATTTACCTCGATCAACACGCTGCCACTTTGAACGATACCAGGTACATTCTTACCCAACGAGATCTGCATTTTGGGAATATAATGTGCGATCCCGAAACGGCCACCGTTCAAGCAGTGCTTGACTGGGAATTTTCAGAAGTATTACCGTTGCCGCTGTGGAGCCCTGGCAGCGGATTTCTCTGGAATGCCAAGCAAACACCAGAGTCCATGACGGAGCAGAGTAGGATGTATGGTGTGTTTACTAAGCTCTGCAAGGCCCACTGGCCAGACTTGTTGTCCGACTTTGAGGTCAAGAAAGAGATGCCTCACAAAGCAATCTCGACGATCTTGAATTTCGTTCGGGCTGTTGTTGAGGTTTGCCCAAGGGGCCAAAAGGCTGACGCTGCGCGAGACTGGCGTAAGACTGCCGAGATGGCCTTGACTGAGCTAGGGGTCTGATAACATAGCATGTTTCCCGCGTAATTAATACGAAAGTAGGCAGACAAGCGAGCCGGCATGTGTACATTGCAAGAGACCACTGCATCCTGGATATGGGCTTCTGACATCAATGTGTCACAATTGAACTCAACCATTCTCTGTGGCTAATCGTCGACAGAACATAAGTCAAATTATATTTCTTGCAACTCCTTTAGATGAACAGGTCGTTAGATGTGGGGTTCGATTGCTCAGCGGACCGAGTCAATGGGTGAACTTACCAGTGCGCATAGCTTCTTGCCCTAATACGATAGGTCACGATGCCTATCTAGACCACGTGCATAAAGTACTTGACTCGTTTATGAGCCTTGCTGCGTCAATTGCTCAGAGAAAACAACCGGTGAGCAGCGAGATAAGGTGCTAAGTACGACGAGTATACCGTTGAAATTGAGAAAACTACTATGCGTTGACACGGATCAAGTACCACAAAGCGTCCAATCAAAGGAAGAGAACTTCTCGCTATCTCTCAAAGGGTCTCCATTCCCTCGCTATTACCGGCCTTCCTGTACAAATAAGTACTGGTCAGTGCTTTTGGCTTCTCTGTATGGGAGCTGGTCCGTGTTATTAACCTGTAGTAGCTTGTCTGGGTTTAAAGGTATAACAGGCGACATAAGTCTGTTCTAGAAACCCTGTGGGACTTCCTGCAAGAATTGTGCAGGCCGAAGTAAGCGATTCCCAAGATACGAACCGAGAATCGACGCCTGGTAGGTTACGCTTGATGGTGGCAATGGGTTGATGGGTATGCCTGGGCAATGCGGCTGCTCTATTTCTGTCGGGCTGCTTTTGATCAGCGGCTCTGATCGACAAGTGCTAACGATCAATTGGCTCGCCTGCCGTCAACATGTTCGAGGGTCGTCTGAAGTTGCTTTGAAGCAAATGCTTGGCAACTTGAAACCCGACTGAAAACCCCCAAGTGGGGCTTGTCCCGTATGCGGCTCCGTCTCGTCCTGGAGTGCCGGTAGCATCGTGGCTCGAGGCCGATGTGGACTGCGGATGCACTTGTCTTTCTAGTCTTTCCAAATCCAAATGCCCAGTCTAATAAGGCGAAATGATGCGCAGCATTGTCGATTGAGATATACTCTGGTGAAGTGTTGAGCCCGGACACGTCCGCCAAGCTCACATCAACGATGATCCAGATGCACATCAGCCGCTGAAACATCTCGACCCTGACCCCTGTCAGTTGCACGTTTTGGCTGCACCCCCGCAAAGCGCATCTCGAGCCGCCAAGTCTCAGATCTCGCCTCAGACGCCTGCAGCTGCAACTTCACCATCCTCGAATCGGCAACCTTGCAACAGCGTGCGCGAGATATGGGATGTTTTTACCGTCCCAGCCGCTGCGGCCGCGGAAGCAATAAGATGGGACCGCGGTGCACTCTCTATACAGGCTACGTTCTGTCTTGTCTTTCCGTCTCATACAATCATTTATACCCAAGATAATATTTAGATATCACGCCGTCGCAGGAGTCGACAGCGTTGATATTGACCTCAGCAGTCCTTACCTCCATCACAGAGCCAGCATTTGAAGATGGGGTCGCAACAGCACAAGTATGAGAACATGGCCTTAGACGACCGCGATGACAGATCGAGCACGGAAGTCGAGTCGTTGATGGATGGAGAAGGCAAGGTGTGGCACGATGTAGACCTACAGAGACCGACCAGGAGGTCGAGGACAAGCAGGATATGTGGCGTCCTGAACTCCTTCAGGTGGCTCATCGACACAACCTTACTGCTCATCATACTTGGATTCGTTGTGCGGTCATATTTAAGGGAGAAACCGGTGAACCCGACTGATTACGATTTCCTCGGAGATATGACAGGTGTTGGTCCCAAATGTTAGTGTTCCTCAAGGACGGAAGCAGCCCCCGTCGTCGCTGGTGCTCTGCTAACTCGCCACCAGTTTCCCAGCAGATCACCACGTTCGTCAACGATGAGGATTACGCGCCATACAACACGTCCGAGTTCTTCAAGCCTGAAGTCCTGGACAGGTGGAATAAGCTTATGCCTCGTGAGTAATGCCCTATTGTATCTCGGTCACACGATGCTAACAGAGTCGGCAGTTGGCATGGGCTTTCAGTGGGTGAAGGAGCCGGAGAAGTACCACGACCTTCCCAAGCCGATTGAATGGGGATTTGACGATGAGGGCAAGGAGATGACAGTCTTCACCACTTCCATGACCCACCAGCTGCACTGCCTCTGGGCGATCGTCCAGACCTACTCCGGTCTCTCGTCCGGCCACGAGATTCCCGAAGACCACCACTGGCACATGATCCACTGCTTCAGCTACATGCGCCAAGCCATCTTGTGCGCTGCTGATACCGCCCTCGAGGGCCATGCCACCACATTCCCCAAGGACAACTCGGGCTCGGACGGATGGGATGCTAAGCATGGTAAGCCGAGACGTGGTCCAATTGAACATTTTACCCCGCTGACCAGTGTACAGTGTGCAAGGACCAGAGCCAAGTCCGATCATACCTGGAGAGCGTACGGGCCTACAGCGACCAACAGATCTACTAAGACGCTGATTATAATTGCCTCGCAGACCGCAGCCGCAGTGGTTTTGGGCCTCGATGACTAGACTGCAGCCCTCCCAGCCTATAAGATGGCGAGGCGCGGTCAAACAGCCGCCTTGGGGTAGCTGTGCACACTGAACATGTACCAAGATGCTACATGCTTAGGACAGCCACAATCATTAGTAACTCACTGTGTGCATACACCTGGCGCATGGTGGGATAGAGTCTGTACGCTACAATAACTCCGAAAGGCTTTGTGGGGTTCGACTTGTCAGTTGGAACGTTCAGATGCCAGAGATGTGGTCGACCCATATCTATACAACCGAAATAGAAAAAAATGGAAAAATAGTTGAAATGTGTTTCTCACTGATACAAATAAGGTGGAATGCAAATAGGTGACAAGCTCTAGAGTGTGGCAAATAAAAAATTGAGAGCTCTTAAGGCACTCTCGCGATGTAATGGCAGCGAACCAATTAGCTCTATCATCTCTGCCGCCCAACAAGTATCCACTAGCTCATCAACTGAAGAGTACTACATCCGTGCACCAACAGTAATCAGACAGCAGTAATCAGACACTCTCTCTTAACGAAGATGCCATACCTCGTGCGACTATTTAGGAATGCGCAAGCCAAAGTCCTGAGCTCCCACATAAGCGATACCAGTGTCCAGTGGGGTTGAGCCAGTCGTGACGTATTGCACAACGTCGGACGGGCTGTTGTAGGTTGCCGTGGGCCCGGCCTCTCTCTTGACTTCGAGCTCGATGGCAGCGTTCTCAACCTGGCGGAAGTTGAAGCTGAAATCCTGGTTGCTGCACGTGCCGCCCTGGACGGGTAGTAGGAACGGCGAAGACGAGATGGCCGCTCCGGTTGCGTTGCTGCAGGGGATGGGCGCGTCGATGCCTGGTACGGTGACGGAGAACGTGATACTGGCAAGTTGACACACGTCAGCTTACTGGTAGCTGGTACACTGGCTCTTGTGAGATACCTACTGCTGGACAATGGAATGCGCGGCTACGTATGCGGCGAAGCGCGTGACCTGCCAGTCACCATCCGCCCGTTCCTGCATCGGGGTAGCAGAAACTGCAGCTGCAGCAACGGCGATCAGGATGAAGGCGCGCATCATGATTCAAGCTGGTGAGACTTTTGGTGATTGCAAGAATGGTATCTGCCGTCAGCGGAATGTTTTGCTTAGGAGTCGTTTATGTGCCGGTTTCTTGGTGTTGAAGCGAGCGCATAGTGGTTCTCAGCAGCTAGGGCAAAGACGTGCAAGAAGTCTTATATATTCCATTCACGGGTGGAATGCGATGAACTAAGCACTTGCCGATCATGCAACGTGACGCTGGTATCCTTTGGTTGAAGGATCAATACGGGCAGACTACTGGTATAACACGAGATTTGATCGCGGCCGCATTTGGGGAGTAGACAGGGCCTACAGCCAATCGATGCTTGCGATCGTGCCCGCATTGAATAGGCAGTGTCGCTGACGGGTCATACTGCCGTCTTATGGCATAGCGCAGGAAAACTGGTTGTTGGGTTATGATAGGATAGAATGTAAGCTCTCATTACTCATCTCGGCTTCACTGGAGACTAAGCCACTTTCTAAGATCCAGGTCCGGCTTCCGCAAGATAGCTGTGGTGGTTACATACACCTAGAGTAAGACCTTGAGGCGCTGACTACGAGGAACGACTCTAGGACTGATCTCTAAAGATTGGAAGTGGGCTTCAGCCAGAGGGGTATTGTAGTGATGTGCTAACTCCAAGGCCGCTGGTAGCTTAGAATCAAGGGATGACCCACCCTTAGTTACTGATGGCAGAGTGTAACTAGTGGAAATGTCTCTTTCCATGGCTTTCTTCAATCCTACAGGACACTTGTCTCATCTCACATTTAATTTTGTGAAGATAAAATATCTCACTTGATTCATCTTTCCTTGTAGTACTTTACTAATTTGCAGTTAGAAGAGACCTGGTTCTGAGTATTGTTGTGTATGATTGGACATTTGAGCCCACACAGAGCCAAGGATGCGCGTTGCTGGTCCCTTGCGGCACAGGCGTAAGCACTAAATGTTACCGGTGCAGCGGGCCGCCTAAAGACGTGCATGACCTATACTTTGTATGCATACACAATTGTATACAGTTGAGCTTCAACTTAATTCAGTATGGTTCACGCAGGGCGGTTGGCATCAATGCTTCCAGCAGCGTGTCATGGCATCTTCAAGGGCAGAGGTGACCTCCGGAAACTTGTAGGGTCGGGCATTAGTTGCGCCGACGTGGTCGGACGGGCTTTTGTGATCCCCGACGGCCTGGCGCTGCGATGATGCCAAAGCGCACAGGCATTCCGGCAGATAACTTGGCGCCCAAATCACAAATGCCTCGACGACAGTAATCCTAACTGTAGCCAATAACATTCAGTCTTGAGCCATGTCTCGTGTATCGAAACTCAGTCAGATGTTTCCTCCGGCCCCGGCCTGGACGGACCAGGACATCTCAGATCTCAGCGGCAAGGTGAGCTGAGCGGGCAGTGATTGACGTCATGCAAACGCTCACGGCGACATCGTCTAGGTCTACATCGTAACGGGGTCTAACGCTGGTGTTGGTAAAGAAGTGGCGAGGATTCTGTACTCCAAGAACGCGACAGTCTGGGCCGCCGCGCGGAACGAGGAGAAGAACCTGGCAGCGATAAACTCCATCAAAGAGGCATATCCATCGTCCACTGGGAAGCTGGAACATCTGCATCTCGACCTGGGTGACCTTTCTACGATCAAGAAGTCTGCCGAGACATTCCTCGCAAAGGAAAAGAAGCTCCATGTCCTGATAAACAATGCCGGAGTCATGCTTCCACCCCGCGGCAGCACGACGGCACAGGGGTACGAACTGCAGCTCGGCACGAACTGCGTCGGGCCATTCTTGTTCACAAAGCTTCTGACCCCTGCACTGGTCGAGACGGCGAAGACGGCCCCGAAGAACGCGGTGCGCGTCGTCTGGGTGTCTTCGTCAGCTGCCGAAGGTCTGAGCTATACGAATGGACTTGACATAGACAACTTAGACTACTCAAAGAACGACGGCATTTATATGCAGATTGCCGGAAAGTACGCTGTCAGTAAATCAGGTAACTGGTATCACAGCACAGAGTTCGCCAGAAGACACCGGAAGGATGGTGTGATCAGCGTCGTAAGTCTTCCCTAATCATTCGCAAAGGTTCGGCGGCTCCAGGTGATTAAGTGGTTGCAGGCATTGAACCCAGGCAATCTAGACTCAGATCTCAGCCGCCACCATAGCACGACGGCAGCAATATTCAAACCATTGATCTGTTACGCGCCTGTGTACGGAGCATACACTGAGCTTTTCGCCGGCGTCTCAGATCAGGTCACACTGGACAAGACTGGAAGCTGGAGTGAGTAAAACATGAACCAAAAGTCCATCTCCGTAACTAATGACCTTTCTAGTTGTTCCTTGGGGACGCTTCAGCGACATGCGGTCGGATTTGGACCTTGGATCGCGACCTGAAGGAGAGGGTGGCACAGGTATCGCGCAGAAGTTCTGGGAGTGGTCCGAGGCGCAAGTTCAGCCATACTTGTAAACGCCACTGACGGTGCACCAATATTTAATGTGGAGTCACTAAGTGTTCGTTACGGTGTGGTCAATATCTCTAACTGGGAAGGATCCGATTAAGTCAATCTGATCGGACGGCACAGGACGACCGGGTAAGGTATCCAAAAGGATGCGCTAACTAGGGACGAGTATCCATCCCGTCCGTCAACTGTGGCATGCCTTAGTGGCCAATCGTTACTGAACATAGTTCTAAAAATAGAGGCGGGTACGACTTGACTATGAAGGAGTTATGGTTGAGACAATCAGTTGGTGTGCATAGTAAGACAATAGCCCTGCTCATTAGTTGCTTGGGATACTCGAACCGTGCCACGAATGAGGTTGGCACCCCTGACGGAAATCACCCAAAGACAGCCAGAGTGACAATTACGAGGCAGGCTGTAGTATTCAGTGTAATCACCTAACGTAATGGCCTGTTGATGCCCAGAATCCAGGAGGGCCGGACTCCCAACGCGCAAGACAAATAGTCCGAGGTTCGTTCGGTAGAAAGTGTCAATTTATCATAGACTGCCCCAATACTCCATACGCCTTGTTTATGCATCTGAACCATACCCAAAATGCTTATCCTCCGTCGTCGATAGGTCCCCCAGCATCAATGCCGAACCTCCCATCGGGCCACCACCCGAGCCCGAACACCACACCCGCCCACAAGCCTTGTCTCTTCAGTTCCCGTTCGCTTCGCCACGCTGCTTCGCTTGGCATGAATAGTCCTCTCCTTTGTTCGTCGTCCCCCTTCCATAACTCACCACCAGCCAGAAGCGTCGCGGCTCCAGCGATCGAGCTCGGATTATGCGGTAATATGCCCCTTGTCCGCATGCTCGCCCACGCAACGATGTTGCAAAGCGCCATGAATCCGAGAAGTACCTGTAGAGCCAGCTTCGGAGGGCGGTTCTGTATGATCTTTGTGTTGCTGTATGTCAGACTTAATTGATCGGTCTGCGTCTCGGAGGTGTGAGAGGAGGACTTGATGGTGTAGAGACCGGAGACTATGATTATCAGGAACGGCCCGACCATGGTAGCTGCGCTTGTGAATCCTGCCGCCAGATGTCGTCGACGAAATGACGACAACATTTGTAAGAGAGGCAGGCGGCCGAGGTTATGAGTGAACAGGCCGCGGCTCGAGGATGCTCCGCTGGTAAGAGCGCAATAGGGCGACATGAGTATAGTGTTAAAGTTTATCGAAGAATAAAGCATACTGGTACCCCACATTATGATAGCCGGAATTATTGTCACGCCATAATGTGCCGCATCGGGGAAGAACGCGATTGACATCCCACCGGCATCATCTGAAACGTGCTGTATGCCTTCGAGTGCTCCTATCAGAGCCAGAGGAAACATAATGGCCAGTACTCGGCTCCAGATCCGTAGAGCAAGAGGCTGCCACCAGAGTAATGTATCGATCCCCTCCCTTATCTCCTTGGCAGGTTGGTACGATGGATTCATCCCTTCCCTCACAAGGGCGAACGTGTGACCATTAGATATTGTTGAGAAACGCTCGTGCTGTAAATGATAGCGCAGGTGCTGATAGTTTGATCTGAAGTGGTGACTCAACTCAAGATTACCCTGCAGAATAAACGCTAGGCCACCAATACTCTGGGGATTTCTCGGAACGACGCATTGTGGTCGCTTATACAGTACCGCAACCGAAATACCAAGACATGCGAGTAGAAGTGTGATGAGAGTTGCTGCAGTTCCCAACTTGACTTGCACTCTATCCTCGACATATCTGATTGACGGAAGTTGGTAATCGTGCATCAGCTCCGGCTCTACTTGCAATAGGCTTGTTGACAAGATAACCTTTGTATGAGTCAACACTTAGCTCAGTTGAAATACTTCAGGAGTAGACCCTACCAGAATGTTGAGCAATAGAACACCTGAAATCGTAAGCATCGGTACATAAAAGCCCTTTAGAACGGTGGCTTTGCACGTAATCAGCCATGGTGGCGACACCAAGTCGAGGAATATCGTCCTCTCCGTTGACGAAGGTCCCTCCCGCAGGTTTGCCCAAGGCTGAAGCAGCCTTGCGTTAATATCAACGCAGTTCCATATTGCCAAAAGTGAAGCTAGTACTATAGTAGACATATTAGGGCCAAACTGATGAATGGGCTAGGACAGATGTGTTGATACCTGAAGTTGGAATGAACTTCCAAAGATACACCAAGTCGACGGGATCAATGTAAGATCCGAGGCCTATATTCTTTGACGACACCACGTAAAGTGCCAATATTGCAACAGCTACTACGGCAAAGGCAAGCGCAAGAGCGATGAGAGTGAGCTCGCGGAGCCAAGGAGAGTCCCAATTCTCATGATGAGCAGGGGTTGGTGTCGCACCAGGTGGGGTCGCCGCCGGGTAGTTTCGAGTCTTGCTCTTTTCTCCGCCTTCGTCTGGAGTCGTTTCTTGCAGAGAATCAAGACTTAATCGGCTCTCCTCTTGGGGGCCTTCTGGTGAAGGCGGCTGCGGAGGAAAATGTGGTTGGCCCCCAAAACTGAGCTCCTTGTCCCATACTTGGTGGCCGAAAGCTGGGGTATCCGGGGATTTTGGCGATGCCGATCGTGCGTCCGATTCATCTGCTAGCCATGTCCGGTCTACAAGTTTCGGAGGAGATTCTGGCGATACTGCGAAAGCCTCGTTCGGAATGTGTCGCCACCGCCTGCTGCGACCCCGCCTCGGGGTACGCGGCTCGTCCTCCGTTGCAGGCGATAGCGGTGATACATCGTGAGTTTGCCTATATTCATCAAGCGTCGTCACCATGGGACTCACGTCTCCGGGACGTAGTCTATCCATGGCGGCGAGTGTAAGAACGAAACATGACTGAAAATGTCTTTCCGAGTTTGCTTATGTCGCCTGGTTTTGGGTGAGAATCACTCGTTTCAGCTTAGTAAGTCGAGGGTGACGGCAGTGCAACACTGCTTCTGCGTGCGATCTGCATTCGACAGCCGTAAGCTCCCACGGTCCCGCGAGACACGGAGGTCCCGCACCCCTCACTTACGGATGGTCGATCTGTACGCCGTGGGGGCCGAATTGGCGAATATGGGGAAGGATAAGCACGGAGCCGTGGAAGCTCATCTACAAACAAGGAAATTCAATTTGAAAGTCACCTATGCTCTTGCATCATGATCTTCACCGGGGCCTTGCCTCCCCGGTCTCTGGAAGCATGGATGCCAGTCCCGCAAGTACATATGAGCACGACATTGTTTGAATTTCCCGTGAGGCTGCAATACGCATGTACAGTTTTGTGCCACCGTTTGGCCGCCGTTTGAGCTCCGACTCTTGTCAAATGTTTCGGCAGCTTGCTTGGCAAGCTGACCGGAGGTTCCACTTCAGTCTGACATCCGACCTTCTCACCTGCTTGACCCTGATAGACGGCGAAGCAGGGGTTTTGCAGTAATGCTGGGACCAAACGCCTCGAATAAGTTCCTATACGCACAAGCAATGGAACACATGGAACTAGCCAGGCCATTGTGTGATGAAATGGATACCCGACACTGTTCCCGAGGGCCTTTTCCTCACAGCACTCATCCTTAAAATAGCATCATGAACTGATCACTGCTACGAGGGTTAAATCATAGACACGGTTTTGATTCCCTCTGGTGGGTTCTTGCTCAGAAGCCAAGTGGATTAGACGGGGTTCTGGTCCGAATGGATCAATACTAACCAGAGGCTAGCCAGGAGAGTCTCGTCGTGTTTGGTGACGGCAAACAAGCTCATGGCCTGGTGTGACTTGGACGTTGTCTCGTTGAAGGCTGTGTAGGTACTTGTCCCTTGCAGGAACTCCCACGAGTGCCACAATACTGGCTGTGCTCGAGGAGTTCAATGCACATTGGCCCTGCGGGTGCAGAGTTCATCAGACAGTACTCCTTGGTACCCTTTTCTGAGGATTACCCAACCCAGGGGGCCATCTGCCACGTGTTGTGCTTTGGGGTTGTGGAGATACCGCCGAGCTGGGAAGTGCAGCATGAGGCTGATGCGCAGCCATGGAGTCAAAAGCGGTGGCATATGAGCTTGGCGGCGTGCTATGCGTGAACTTCGAACCCAGAAAAGCGTCAATAGGAACGCAGGATCTCGGGTACGGTACCGAGGAATACGGCGCGTCCTCATGACGAGGTTGCGGCTCCCTAGCGGGACTGACGTACCCTAATTTTAGAATGACAAAAATATTAACTAGACATAGTAAGGAAAAGCTGGCGCCGGGCATCTGGGTTTTCACTTTTTCTCTTCAACCAAGGAATTGATCGACTCGCTTAAATGTCGTAGTCCCTGGATATGGAGTTGCCGCAGGTGCGTATTAGATTGTTCAATTCAACCTTTCGTGAACATTGAATAGGCGCTGCTGGGCTTCGGAGACGGCAGACCAGTTTGAGGAAGAGCCAACAGCGGGGCGACTTGCGCGTGTTGTAGGATTTGACAAGCCACAGGATCGACTGCTCGTAATGACAGGGCTCGAGCACGACAATGAGGAGAACTACCAATTGTCGATAGTATCTCGGTACAGTAGCTATCCGATAGAGGTAGCTACCCGATAAGCTTTGCGGACTCGGGGCTGCGGAAGCCGCACCTACGTTTGCGTCGGTATCACGGCGGTTTTGGCTGGTGACCCCCACATTCTCCGTCCCATTGAGCATCCGGAGCCGGGCCTTACATCGGCGAACCCGTCAGTGCCCCCTAAATAAACGGCCACGGCGGGAATCTTGGCCGTGCTCATGAACTACCACACCATCTGTCTGTGGGAAACGGGCATCGTCTCGACAGCACGAGAAGCGCTCCAGAACGAGGTAGTAGCAATTGACGACGACGGGAGCATCGCTCTGTAGCTTGTGTGGGGATTCGGATGGGAGGACGCGGCCTGAGGGCCTTATGCAGCTAGATACAGACATCCCGTCGCTAGTCGCTTAGTTGTCTCTATACACATTACCCAAGATCGGTTTATCTATCGATTTTATTTGATGCCCGAAAGTTCCACGTGCCTGCTGGAGTCGAGAAGTTTGGGGGACATCCATTGTGGGCTCCATCAGGTGTGACGTCGGCTTGCATTTTTGCGACTGGGGAACAAACCAGCGAGACCCAACCCAAAGCGACTACCATAGTAGCACTACAGCCTGGGCGTTCGTAAGTCTTGAGATTTGTTTATCACGACAAGACAGTTCTCGTCTGATCAACGAGGATTGCAACTTGTTGGAAGCCCGTGTAAAGTGTGCATCCGATCCTAGTGGATGCAATTGGTCGTTGACAGCATTTCCATGCTGGATAGTCGCAGAGAATGAAAGGTCTCATCGGCGAATGCGCGTTCTGGAGAACATGTACCTCGCATGTACCCCGGCTGATCAGACCCCCAGCGGAGTGGCCTAGTTATCTAGCATCCGACGTTGCTTTGCTTGACACTTGCAGGTTGCAACCTTTTGTCAAGTATTCTACACTGCACGTGGACATCTGAGTCGGGATGAGACGACCCTGACTCGGCCTCCTCGTCTCATGCAGAAGTCTCACATGGCCCGCTAGAACGTATCGCTAAAGACCGTCCATAAGGCTGCTTGGCGATTGGCGATTGACGATCTTGGTTGTTTACCGCCAAGTGCAGCCGTTGGGATCGGACACGCGCTGGAAGCGCAAGAGCTAGGAGAGTTTGCGTTGCCTGTGCTACGTACGCATCGGGGCGATGTTGCCACGGACCTCTTGCTTGCCATTGAAAGAGATTTCGTTCGCTTTGTCCGCACTCTGTTCATGGCGTCCTGTGCGCCTCGAATCAAATCTCCCCATCGTGGTAGCTCACGTCCAACTAGGGAAAGTTTTCAAGGTTGCTCGGCGCTCGTCGAATCGGCTTTGAGCCAACGCTCTGGGATTGCCTGCGTGTTAGTGACTGGCTTGACCGGCTGCCAGCGCCCCCCACGCGCTATTCGAAGCTTTCGTCGATGCCGCAGCGTGCACCGGGAGGGGACTCGATTTCCAAGACCTGCCCAGAGTCTTATCCTCGGCATTGAGAGCTTCGCGTGTGCTTGATTCTGCAATTGCCATGCATCTATTTCTCTATCTGTTGGTGTTGGACGCTGATCGGAAAAAGCGGCATCAAATCAGCCTCCTTCCAAGCCTTTTCCAAGATACCTTCGGGGTACACCAGGCGGGAGGGACCTATCAGCGGGCGTCGACAAGGCTCAGCGCCCATGGGGGCCCTAGCATGCCGCCCCAACAGCCCCGCCTGGGTGCGCTAGATCCCTACATCGGCCCCATCTGCACTCCCCCCAACTTTCGCCCGCTCATCATCGATGGGGCTCATGCCAAAAAGTTAGACGGGTCCTGGGTTGCTTTGCGAGTCTTGGCTAAAAAGGTTTGTTGACGCTCTCTTATCTTGGTGACATTGCGGTTTTCTTCCCCGCTGCATCTCTTTGCGCCTCGTCTCGACTCTCTGTGGCGAGCCTGACGATAGTTTCGCGCTCCCTACCGTCGCTGGACAATCCCGCCCAGTTTCCCCCCGCGGAGAGCAATCAACTCTGTCCGCTGCTACAATAGCGGCCTGCTACCTGGATGCGCCTCGAGCTGTGACGAGCTTGGCAACCATCCGTATACGAAAATTATCTGCTCTCGCACTTTTCCAACCCCTTCCCTAGCTGGTAGGCCAGTCATTGGCGCGCAACGGTTCCTCTGGATGCATCGCGGTCACTTGCAGTCTGGGGTCGCTGTCATCGATTGGGGGGTTTCGAGCTCGAGCGCCTGCCGAAGGTCCTCCGTCCTGTCCGGACCGGCTTCGAGATCGCCTTTCACACCCGCGTCTGAACAACGACCGAACTGAACGACCAGAAGCGAAGCTTGCAAAATAGGACTAGGAAGCCATTTGTGGCAAAGGCTTCAAATACCATTTCACCATGGCGTGGGACCACCTTTCGATCACCAAGTCCCATCTGGTGTACATTATCCTGGGAGGCTTCACTTCGCTTTTCATGCTGTGCTCTTCCATCATCAAGGAGCGCATGTACATTGGCGAAGCCACTGTGGCTACCCTGTGCGGTCTCATCTTCGGGCCCCATGCTGCAAATCTCATCGACCCCAATTCGTGGGGCAACGTCGACGAGGTCACGCTCGAGTTTTCTAGGATTGTGCTCGTCGTGCAGTGTTTCGCCGTTGGTGTCGAATTGCCAAAGTTTTACATGGAAAGACACTGGAAGTCTGTGGTGTTTCTCCTACTACCGGTCATGACTTTTGGTTGGCTCATCACCAGCTTGTTCATCTTCTGGTTGGTGCCACCGTTGAACTGGCTGGAGAGCTTGACAGTTGCAGCCTGCGTGACAGCCACAGACCCTGTCCTGGCCTCGTCGGTTGTTGGCAAGGGCAAGTTTGCCAAGCGAGTTCCGAAGCATCTGCGAGATTTGTTGTCTGCCGAGTCAGGTTGCAACGATGGCATGGCTTTCCCCTTCATCTACCTCTCCCTGTATCTCATTCAAGACAAGCTGAATGCCAAGGAGGTGACTTATCACTGGCTTGTGTATACCGTCTTGTACGAGTGTATCTTTGGTGCCGTCTATGGATTCCTGATTGGCTACTTTGCCCGCCATGGCATCAAGTACGCTGAGAGGCACGATTTGATTGATCGGGAGAGTTTCCTGGTCTTCTACTTCACCTTGGCCTTGTTTTGCGCGGGCTCTGGTAGTATCCTCGGTGTCGATGATCTGCTTGTTGGCTTCTCTGCTGGAGTTGGTTTCTCCAACGACGGTTGGTTCTCCTCGAAAACCGAAGAGTCTCACGTTTCCAACGTCATTGATCTGCTTATTAACTTGGCATACTTTGTGTACTTTGGCACGATCATTCCATGGGATCAATTCAACAACGCGGCCTTGCGCCTTTCGGCTTGGAGACTGACTGTCATCGCCATATTCGTCATTCTTTTCAGGCGCATTCCCATCATGATGGCTCTGAAACCTCTTATACCTGATGTCAAAACCTGGCGCGAGGCGCTGTTCGCTGGTCATTTTGGTCCAATCGGTGTCGGTGCCATTTTCATTGCTATCCTGGCACGTGCTGAACTGGAGACCGAACACACGATTCCCCTTTCTGTGGTCCCGTCATTCGAAGACACGACAGTAGAGCATGCGGAGTTGATAGTTCTCGTATGGCCTATCACGACATTCTTGGTCGTGGCGTCTATCTTGGTGCACGGCTCTTCGGTTGCTGTCTTCACTCTGGGCAAGCATATCAACACGCTCAGTCTGACAATGTCGTACACAGCCGCTCCAGACGACGGTCCATCGTGGATGAACCGGCTTCCAAGGATATCCTCCCAATCACGGTCACAAGCACGTACAATGTCTGACACGGAAGGGGATGACCTCAAAATGCCCGAATTTCCGCCGGGTACCCTCCCACCAACTGGTTTGCCAGGCCAATTCCTTCGGCGCCAGAAAGAGGAAGACAATCCTAGCAAGAATGGTAGCCGTGCCTCGTCTTTGATGGGTCGCCGTCGCAGCAGAAAGCGCTGGGATGAGGGGATGGGACCTGGTGGACCTGTTACCCAGTCAGCCATCTTTCCTCAGCGGCGCAGCCAAAGTGGTCTATCCGACGCCATGTCTCCGACTTCTCCCATGTCTCCTTCTGACCGCCAGGATACTTCTGGCACACTAACGGGCGACGAAGATGCGAACCAGCTGCGCGAAAAGGGTTCTCGAGACCCCGAGAAGCTTGAGCAACAGACTTCAGAAGAAGATGTCAGTCCGCACGACGGTGAGCGAAGGGGCCAGCAGGACCCTCCAGAGATTGAAGTCTACGACGAGGGCGACAATATTGTCATTGAGGACGAAGAGGGCCAGGTCTTGGCTGTGGAACCCCGCAAAACACAACATCACAGTGTAGGCGAGGTGGCACATGATCTTGGCAACCTCAAGGAAGCAGCAAAGAACGAGACTCAGAAACCTGGCTGGACGTACGATTCTCTCAAGAAACGACTTGGAGATTGGCGTGACGAGGAAGTCCAGAAGAGGAAGACCAAGACCGATTCGGAGAAGAGGCACGCGCCAGCTCGTGCCTACCAGTTCGGAAATACCGTAAGTTCTAACGCATCTCGAAGGGATGGATGTCCGCTGACCCTTGACAGATCATCGTGGAGGATGAGGACGGTGAGGTGGTCAAAAAGTACGAGCTACCTTCGCAGAAGGCTGAGGGAAGCAACAACGACTTTGTTGCCACTAGCCTCAAGTATATGGGCATAAGTGGCCTCACGAAACAGGGGCACAAGTCTAAGCCGGCTGAAGATGACGCCGCAGAGGCTGCTGGTGAGGAGGCTCCACCACGTCCACCTGTGCGCCAGGGGACTTTCAGTGGTTGGACTGGCTTCGGTAAGTCCGGAGCCGGTGAAGGCAGAAAGAAGAGCGTGGCAGCCGGCGCGGAAGACGACCAGAAGAAGCAGGAGGAGGAGGATCGCAAGATCAGATTCACGATTGCGGGCGAGGGCCGTCGGATGACGAAGGACGATTTCTTAAAGGAAGTCCAGAAGATGGACCCCCGAACCCGAAGACAGGTGCTTGAGCAGTCTGACGCGCCTCCTGCTGTAGTGGCCCTCGCCAAACAACAAGGGACTGGCTCTGGCTCGGCAACACCATCGTCCATTGGTGCCTCCAAGCCTACGGCAGTCAAGACTACCAGCACGGCGGCGGCGGCAAGGAAAGGCGCAGGCCATTCCATGTCCCCTGCGAGAGCGGAACCTGCACGTGGACGAAGCACCACCGTGACGGCAAGATCACCTGCAGGAACATCGCCCGCCGAAAGCTCAGCAGATACTCGTCAAGATGTGGCGGCCTCAGACACGCCCGAGACTGCCGTCGAGCGCCGCCGAAGGCTGGCTGCGCTGTCGGGCATGCGCGACGAGGAGGAGCCGTCCACTGAAACCGAGACGCCAGCGGAGAGGAGACGACGCGAAGCCGCCCTCGGGCTGGGCAGTCCCGGTGCGGTGGACAGCGACAGCGAAGACGACGATACGCCCCGAGTGCCTCCCACCAGGCGCGGGATTAGGTTTGCCGACGCTCCGCGTCCGGGGGCCTAGGCGCGAGTGATAGATTAGACGATGGTAGAGGTGTGTTAGCATAAGTTGGTGCACGAGTCTTTCTGGGAATATAGCATAAACGGGTATGAGTTCCCGTGTAGCGCATTGCATCGATCGGTAGACGTTTATAGGAGCGAATTCATGATATAACTCTCAGCATTCCGGATACCTATATGTGGGCCGGTGTGCATACCAAGCTAGTCCAGGCTCTATACACATCCCACGTTTCTTTGGATGGGGGTAAAACACCAGCGGTGCATAACCATAACTATCAGATGCAAGCCCGTCATGAGGTAGACATTATATACCCCGTACGTTACGTCCAGACAGGCACACAGATAGCGCACTGTGCCAGCCGCTACAACAAGGGGGACACTGTGTGCCCATATAATGGCCTTGAACCCCCAAAAGCACCGTGCTTTTACACTGTCCAAGCACGGTGCGTCTGTCGGCTTCGGCTAAACTGACGGCCGACACCACCCCCCTGTAGCCAGCTCCGTCATCACGGGCTCCGGGGACAGAAATTTTGTAGCGGCTCGAGGTCCACCCAGGAGCTACGATTTCTACCGGCATTGCTGTCTATCAACCAAGGCATTTGAGCACCACCCAGCTTGCCAGCTCTCCACCCTCACTTTCCCAGCAGACGACGACGACATCACCCCAGTCGCGCTTTTTACCACATTTGCAAGCTTCAGTGTCGCATTTTCTCCAGTCGCCACAATGGTTCAGCTCACAGAGGTCGTCGACGAGCACTTCCAGGAGGGCCAGATCGGCCCTGAGGACGACGAGGACTACTCCGACACTGGTAAGTCCACGATCGCCTGCATCGCTAATTCCGCGACGCACGCGCGCCCTTTGTCGCCCAGCTTCTGCGCGAGACGATTCAGGGAGCACCGGCGAAACAGCGAGCGCTAATGAACATGCCTGCCTGCAGACTCCGAGATCTCCAACGAGTCCGACTACGACCCGTCCGACGAGACCCTGGGCGAGCGCCTCTACGCCCTGCGCGACATCATCCCTCCCCAGACCCGCAACTCCATCTACAACGGCGTCAACAACACGACCGGCGCAGTCAAGTCCGTCCTCAGCTTCAGCGGCAAGACCCTGTGGGTCATCGCGACGTCGGCCCTGCTGCTCGGCGTCCCGTGGGCGCTTGCCTTTGCCGAGGAGCAGCAGGTCATGGATATGGAGAAGGAGATGAAGATGCGTGAGATGGGTGGCGATGTGAGTTAACGCGTTACTTCAAGTTCGATGTATTTAACGCATGTGCTGATGTTCCATCTCTTAGATGCTCACTGGTGGCAACGGGGCCCAGCCTGGCGGCCAAGGCTCTTTGACTGCTGAGCAGGTCGGCGCTGCTCTGGGCAAGGCCGAGGCCAAGCCTGCTCTGTAAGGCGCTCCACGCAGCCCGCCTGCAGTGCATCTTTTGGATCAAACACCACCTCCTCGTGCTGGAGTCGTTGTACACTACACCATCTAATCTCAGCCCTGGGTCTCTCGGCATCGAGCCACGCTAAAGAGTGGCTCGGGGTGAGGCCTGATTCAAGGCTTCAGAACGACGCCCTTGGGGCTTCTCGTTCGTTCTTGTGTTAAACATACTAAGGGGAATCACGATTGGAGATGTTCCCCATCTCTCTCACCTCATGAAAAGCTTGCGGCATGCATTGTATGATAGTATTGGCGTTGAAGCCACGGTACATAGGACCAGGGGAGGCAGCATGCGTCTGGAATCGACGAGGAGTCTCGAGAATCAATGAACTGATAACACCACTTATGCTGCTTTGGAGCCGTGAAGTCAAATGTCGGCGTGGCATAACCTCTCAAAGTCCCTGTGTACCTGTTGTCTCAGCGAAGCAGGCAATATGGAGAGTCTTAACCCAGCTCCACCACTACTTGAAAGCGCTTGTGGCTACGAGCACGACGGCGTCGCCTTATGCAAGGCAAGTGGTCATCTGAGCGCTATGGAAGAAATTGTAAGCAGGTTCCAAAGATGAGCTTGAGGCCTGCAACCCATTACCTTATGCCATGATATTGTTTATATATATATAGTGCTTCTAGATTTCTAGCTATATTTCATCGTAACTATACTGGTACGTGATTGATGCTGAGCCAGCGATCTCATAGGACAAACAGACTTTCTGTTTACGGCGTATACCTCCCAATACTGCCGCCCCAGGACCCGGTGAACCCGTTCGCCGTCAAAATCTCTGTGCCATTCGCGAGACGCAGCGGCGCTCGGGTATCCTTGGAGCACAGACCAAAAGCCTGGAAGTTGGAAGGCGTCTCTACGACCCAGTGCAGATAATCTGTTGAGATTTGTGCGGTCAGTATTTCTTCTTATTACTCCTTGCTTCCACAATGGGAAAAGTTGGGTCTAGCATCGGAGCAAAAGGGGGGGGGCTGGCAATGATCACTCACCTTGGCATCCATCCGTGCAGGACTGGTACCCAGGCCCGCTGAAGAAGACCCACGACGCCGACGCGTACGTGTAGATGTTCTCGCCGCCCTGGAACAGGTTGGCCAGGCCCATGCGGCAGCGCGCGTCGGCGGCGTCGCACAGGGCGTTGAAGTCCGGGTCGCCCCAGGCGGCGCCCGTGTCGGGCGTCCAGGGCGCGGGCGGCAGCTGCCGCACGTTGTCGCCCTGGTCGTAGTTGGTCTCGGACTGCAGCTGGCTGACGAAGACGTTGGCGGCGCCGTGCAGGTTGAGCTGGTACAGCCACCAGTGCTCGCTGCCCAGGGCGTGCAGCCACGTGCCGCGCGTCGCCTGCACCAGCGCGCCGCCCTTGGCCGCGATGTTGGACCCGCCCGCAAAGTCCTCCGTGATGTGGTCCGCCACCCAGTTCCACACGTTCTCGACGTACGCCGACGACGTCGCCGCGAAGTGCAGGCCCAGGAACGCCGCCCGGCACTCGGCCGCCGCGTCGTTGCAGCTCGACGTCAGGCCCTCGGCGCCCCGCGTGCCGCCGATGGTCACCAGCGAGTTCCAGAGGCCCACGTCGCCCGCCGCCGCGCCCGCCATGTGGAACTGCAGCACGATGGCGCCCGGGAGCACGTCCGAGACGGTGAAGCGCATGTCCTGGATCTGCGCCGTGCCGACGTCTCCCGGGTTGCCGACCATGACGATGGGCTGCGGGCTGGCTGAGTCCTTGAAGAAGTCGCCCGCGCCCGTGATGGTGGCCCACGCCTCGCCGACGATGCGGGAGCCCACGGGGATGTGGACGGTGGATTCGACGCGGTACTTGCCAAAGGGGAAGTAGGCAATCTTGCCCTTCTCCGCTGCGAACTGCAGGATCTGGTTGAGGACGCCCGCCTCGTCGACGGTATTGTCCCCACGGACGACATGCCCGCCGTTTTGGGACGGATCCTTGATGTTGATGAAGTCGGAGACTGGGTTCGTCGCATAGTTGGGCGCCGGGATCACCGGGTAGCGGCCTCCGGGCGCGAGTGCGGCCGGGCGGGTGTTGGAGGAGTTGACGGCCCCGTAGATCGGGTCGCGGTCCACCGTGTTGGCGTACGAGAACTGGTCCACGTGGCGGGCGGCGCCGAGCAGGGTCCCGTCGAGGTTGACGGCGACGTCAGAGTCCGTGTCCTTGTCCAGGTTCTCGATCAGGAAGGACGGGTACACGCTCGTGTTGAAGGTGACGCCCGAGTTGATGGACTTGGCGTCGACGATGGCCACCCAGGGCGAGCCGCCCGTGCACGAGACCGCGAAGCCGACGCTCTCAAACGTCGGTGCGATGAGGCTGATGGTGTTGCCACCGTCGATCAGCATGCCGACCGTGTTCTCCTTGAAGTAGATGCTCTTGTAGGCGGCCTGCTGGTGCCCGTTGTGGTATATACCGTTCTATACTCGAGTCCACTTTATCAGCATGTCTGTGGCACAGTGTTAGTTGCCTCAGTGGAACGCACCTGTCCGCGCTCGATGTGCACGTCCGAGAGCCCGAGAGTCGAGCCTCGTCCCAGCCGAATTCCGCTGTGGCCAGTACCGTTGACGGAGTATGCCATGGTGATTTTCACATTCTGCAGCTGGCAGGCCTGGGCGACTCCCCACCAGAGCGCGGTGAAAGAAGTTCCTATTGCTCAGTGTCAGACAAGCTGGGACTATAGACTGAAGGCGTGTGGTGCTTACCTCCGTCGATATCAGACGTGTCGAGAATGATGTTCTTCAAGCCAACGGCGAATGATAATTCTCCAGAAATGCCGGTGCCGGGATCCTGGCCGGAGAGCAGCGTTTGGTCCTCAGTGAACCCGCCAGCGGCGGCCTTGAACACAGGAGGCTCCGCGGCATCGCCCATCAGAATGGTGTCCGTGTTCATGTAGATGGTCTGGTTGATCGTATAGGTGCCCGGCGGTATGTACACAACCCTCGGCTCGGACGCGAGCCATTGCGAGTGGCGCTTACCACCGTTGCCATTGTCGTTGATGGCGGCCTGGATCTCGACGGCCGTAGCGCCGGGGCTCACGGATTTGAAGACCGGGTACGTGTGGTTGGTGTCGAGATCCGGGGCGTCTCCCTTGTACGGGCCGGTGTGGTCCAGATTGGCGTACCAGAACGTAGTCGCCGCCGCTGCTGAGTAGTCGGCTCGTTTAATTTGCGCCGCGCAGAGAGGCGCCGCTGCCAGTAAAGCGACAACTGCAGCGTATCCTACCATAGTTTCTATGGTACAAGTCTATAGCAACGATGGCATGTCCGGGGAAGAATCAGACAGCATCAACGACAATGAGAGACGGTGCCGCATCATGAAGCACTAGGGGATCTGCTCAGCACTTTAGGCCAAGGCCATCACGTCAAGATCATCATCACTTCTTCACTTGCAGTTCGTAAACTCCTCACGCCTGTTCCACATGGGAGACTAGAGCCCAACTAGACGGTGCCGCTAAGGTCGACTCAGGGGTGTCACGGACCCGAAGACCGCCTTGGTATGCTATTTTCGGCAACCTGCAATCTTGTTCGCGAAAAGCGGACTGAAACTTCCAATGGGGTTGTGTTAACTGAGGTGGAAGGATTCTAGGGCCGAGCAGTTGTTCCCGCAGTACTCGGTCGCGAAGTTCTTCTTGCTGGCTGCGGTGTTTAGCGCGTTCTATCTTGAGAGTCTCCGTGGCTTGCTGGAGATGTTGCAGCCCTGTGACCTGGGATGCGACGTAGGATCGTGGGATGATGCGGCTCTTCAAGGAGGGGGGACCGAAGGAACGCATAACTGCTGACCCCTACTACAGTAGGTCCAGCAATTGACTATGCTCGCGTCAGCGGCTGAGCCCTGGCCCGAGCCTGCTTGCTTTCTTCGGGATCGCTGTCAGCCGCAATTTACACAGGGTTTCACTGCAGTGAAGCCCACTTTTCCGGCCATTCGTCTTTTACTTAGTAAGCTTGCTGTGGGAGTAATACTCCGTGAAGCTCATCCATTCGATGTCGGCAAGAATCGCGGCAGTGCTGCAAAGAACTAAATACAATCATTTCGGGTTGTTACAGACGGCGCTGGACCAGTGGCGGTCCAAAAGGTTAAATAGTACACTGCAGGCGAACAGATAAGGTCACCACAGACTGATTGAAGTTGCTTAAACTTGCTCCAAGTTTTGCTGGGACCGTCCGCCTGTTTCCTGCACCACATGGCTTGTGACCACGATAGTCGTATCGCGCAGGATATGTTTCTGGCTTGCGTCATCAGAGCAGTTATCCCAGCCATTTTCTCCGGCTCTGCAGGTTGTTTTGACGTCTCCAACCTCATCCATCCTGATCGAGTTTTGGTTATACCTCAGTCCGAAGCGGCTAGTCTTCTTCGACCTAGACTTCGACTTCGACTTCGAATCGCCACTGCTGGAGAGAGTCCGGAGGAATGGGATGTATTTCAGCAGCGGTCTTAGAGTTGCCATTGAGCCCGCAACGATTCCCAGGCCGGATTCCACGATGGACCATATCGCGATATTGGCTATGTTGTATAGATAATCCTCAGATATGCTGTAGTATACGAGGTAGCGAATTCGTACGATCGTTGCAGTGCTGGCACTTTATGGAGCATTGCGAGTTAGACCTACGGCCCTCAACTACGTAGAAGAACCAAACTTACACGAAACCAAGTCCGAGGACAATAGCTACCGAAAGTTTTACACGGTATCGCAATTGGACATTCCATACTTGAACTCAATATTAGCTACACAGTAGCAAGTAATGTAGGCTGCACTTACGTATAAAAGCCGGTAGAATAGCGCATACCCAGTCCGTTAGTATCGATATGACTGAGATAAAGTATGAGACATTAATGATGACAGATTTATCAGCACATGAGCCCGCTGAAGGGTCCCAGGTGGCTGAAATCGGCTGGCACCATGATAATACCGCAATGTCGGTGACTAGACAGCCGACGATGGTGAAGAAGATAATGCCGTATAGAATCCATTTGAAGAGTTTGCGGGTCGTAATGCGTATAAGGGCAACGCAGATCGAGGACTTGATGGGGACCGTGCTGAGGACGTAAAATATCTGGAAGAACATGAACCACTATATGATGTTAGAGTTTCACACTTTGCACCCTTCAGCGACTGACGTACTTTTTTTCCTTCTTGGAGGTCATCATCTGTCAGATACTGATCCCTTGTTCCAACGCCATTCAAGACGGCAAGTATTGTTGATGCTGTGGCAATTGTGTAGAATACCTGTTTCCATTACGCATGAGCAGCTGACCACAGTCGAATGCGTGTTCATACGAACCAGACCTGCCACCATCAACCAGTCATCTGCACCAATTCCCTTGATATTCCGTCTAATGGTTAGCCGCAGAGCCACCGTAATCCACGACAGGATCACGAGCACAACGGAGATAACAAAAAGGGTGAGGCCTGGGCCATCAAGTCTTGTTGTCATGGCGTGCAACGTATCGAAACAGCATTACACAAAGATGAAAAAAAAAAAAAAAAAATTAAAACAAGCTGACCTTCCCGCTGGAAGATGTTCACTCCAGCTTCAAATAAGAAGGCGAATCAGCCCATTTTCAACTCATCAGGCCATGGTTATTAATCATGGCAAAAGAGTCTACCTATGCGACCAGCCATGCACAGTACTTCTAAACTCTTAGCCATAGTACTTAGTCTTGCATTAGCTCGTGCCGGAAAGAAGCCATCAAGCTCGGCAGGGTTCCAATTGCAGATTACTTGGGTACCTACCAAACAAGCGGCCTGAATTGTCGGATCAAAAATGTATCCCTGCGATGTTAGGCCTACACGATAACAGTCCTCCCCACACTGAGAGTCCTGTCAGTCAATGTAGCCCCTTTTAACAGAGCTGATCGGAGCCGCTCATCACGAATTAGCTCGGCGATCTGTCTGTGCGGCACGCTCGGCGGATATGCCATCCAGCTGACAATGCAGGTCCTTGTCAATCAGCCCCCACTCCAATGTCTCGGATACCAGGCGAGAGGTTAAAGACTATAACGGCGGAGAAAAACCTATGCATGCAGACCATAAATATTTCCAGATCTGCCAATACCGGAACCGCCCACCTCGACTGTACGGCAACGTAGACATATACCACAAATAGGCTCTTATGTAATCAGCCCTGGTCCATTCTCTTCTCCAGATTTACTGTGGAGAGATCAAGGTCCGCCCTACTGGAGTCCGATAACCGAGCACTCAGTTCTGGCCCTCGCCGTCTCGCCGCGTCACCGAAGTGGGACGGCGCCTTTGGCTGGCACATAGTTGCGACCGACCAATCCTGATTGTCCCATTTTGTACAAGCACAACTGGCGCTGGCGCTCGGAAGCTCTCCCCATGATTGCCAGCGACCGAATTACGCCGACTTCCACGCCCCTAGTAGACTCACCTGCGGCCTGAGCATCCGCATCGGCGGATGGCATCGGTTGCGGCACCACCTTCGGATTATTTTCGCCTAGCCTGACGCTACTGAAATGGAGGAATGCGGTACCGCGACATCAGAAAGACGAGTGCATACTATGGTCAATTTCGCAAACTCCCTCTCCGTCGGGCGCTAGGCCATGCGCCAAAGACAGGGACAGGCCGCCGAACTTCGGCTCGTGCCACGTTCTGTGCCAGGCTAGAGCAGGACCTTTCAATGGAGGCGCAGACTAATGTTATCCTTGCTGGCCTCATCGCCTGATCTCGGCCGATAGGGAGGTTAGCTAGGCATGGACAGGGTATGTAAGACGACGCAGATCGCAACATAGGCCCCAGACAAAAGCTATCGTTTTGAATTTTTTTTTATAGGGAGAAAGTCATAACTATCACGCCAAACCTGATCCCGCCATCCCGGACGGATGGACTCATGGACCGGCTTCAGGGGCATCAGGCTGACCGGCAGGTCGAGACCATCCCAAGGTGAGATCTCCATTCGGCACCAAAGTTGAGCTTCCCCATGAAATGAACATACAGCTATAGTCGCTACTTGGCGCTCTGCCGGCTTTTTTTAGACCAAGGATTAGTTCTTACCAGAGCAGCCGAGGCAGTCAGACAGGGTTGCTGGGCTTCACTCCATACTACAGCAAGAATCTTGTCTAGCCTGTATGTGGGTAGTATCATCTGCTATGTTACATCGGTGAATTAACTGTGATAATGAATGATAGCCATTGTTTCTATCATACATTGAATTCAATTTTCTTTCATGAGGTATGTGAGGTGTAATAGACTTTCTTAGACCGTGAGAAAGCTTTAGCAACATAAATATTTCAAAACCACGTGGTTCGTAGTCTCTTGGACGCTAGTTTGGTGCACGTTGAAATATGACGTGCTGGGCCTGGAATCTCACAAGGAACTTTGAATCACTGTGTATTGTCCTAGTGCAAGATACCACGGACCTCTGATTTGCAACGTTAATCGCCAGAGCAAATGGTAGCATTAGCGCCTAACAATGTTACTACTATCATATTTTAATCTTCACCATTACTAAGAAAGGAAACCCGAGATCTCTGTTCCCGGACAAATGACTTACATTATCGGCTGTAAACAAACGTAGTAGAAATTCCATGCCTGTTTCTCTGTTGGGAAACGGGCACGAAGAAAACTTCCTGGAGCCCAGTCTAGCAGCTGCTAATGATGAACAATACATATGGAACAACTTAAAGGCTCCCGGTAAAGCAACGCTGTGCTTGAGCTTTTGAGATCTTTTACCAACTCTCACATTGCTCGTTAGGGCATGGATCAAGGAGAATCTTCATGAACGACATCCCGATAATATTGCTGGATGCACGGCCAGGACAATATCGTGATTAGTGATCCATGTAGCAGACACGTGATGACAAAAAGTTTTAGGTAATGAGCAAACGGCGAGACTGTGCCATCGGTAATATTTGATGCCCCTACAACGATATGATAGTATTCAGGTAATTTAGGGGCCAGAATGTCTAATACAAAGGCGCTTGCTGTATCTCCACCCAGAAATGCTACCAGGTAGAGCCAGTCAAATGGCCAGCTCACCCAGCTGAATCTACCTAGTGATGACGAGCAAGTCAATTGTAGCACATGGGGAAAACCCCCCTTATTTGGAGCTCCGGAAGGCGGGTGTATGAATGGATGGCAATGGGAATAGCAATACATGTGAGAAGGCAAGGTAACCACGTAATCTAATTCAAGAGCTGAGTTTTCTAGCCAAACCACTAAGACAAGCTGGAAGAGCGGCCAGTCCCCCATTAGTTAATATGGCGGTCCAGGAACATACTACTGTTGAGTGCATGGCCGGGCAAAATTTCACATTCTCCAGGCTCGGGGTCACCCAGGTTGAACCTCTTCGTGAGTTTGTTTTCCAACATCCCATATAACCTGTGGTTGTGGTAAATCGATGAACCGCCTGTCGACCTTTCGCAGCTTTTACTTCTCGTTTGAGACTTGTTAATGACGTATATCTCCTTTCCCACTCATCTACAATCATATTTAAAAATCTAACACCTTACACAGAACTTCGGCGCGTGCCGGTTCGCCAATTAGCGTGGGTTATCTCACTGCCTTTCTCTGAGCGTTTCGGAATTTTAGATTGCTAAAGGTCACGTCACTTTTACACCTCACCGCGACCCGCGCTTCAATGTGGCAACCCAAAGAGCGTCTGGTTGGTGAAAGGTGTTTCCCCTAGTCGTCGTAATCAGAGCTTACTGTTCTTTTATAACACTCCGCGTCAGCACTATCTCACTCCTAATGTAACGGACTATATCATCTGACGACTCCGATTGCACCCGCCTGGAGTACGATTGCGCTCTTCTCAAGGATGCGGCGCTCCATGCCTATGCCGGACCGCCTTGTGCTGGTGCCTCATTTGTCCGAGCTCCTAGTGCTGGACCTTTACCTACCATAAGCGTCATCCTAACCACGCTTCGCCGCGATGATCGCAGGTCAAAGATCTCACAGCAGATAGCGTGAAAATGGGCCCCAGGCTGAGACATGATATTAGGAGGACGAGAATGGTTCATCGCATTTCTCATTCAAACAGGAATCCAGCTGAACCTGATCTACGCGCAGGTCTACACAATACTCTTTCCCCCCTATGTGATCTCGGTCGTTCATCTGGGCTGGCCTTCGCCAAGCACTTGGTCGCCATAATTGATGGTCTCTTTATTGGATGACCACATGTCCAGGAACTGGTTGAGTAATGACTACGTAGAGGACCACCGGACGTAGACATCATAATACACTGCAAAGACAAAGCGTATCCCATCTGTATGGGATCTGATTCGTGTGTTGTGATTCTTCCGTTGTTCAGGGCTTGAGGCAGCACTAATCAAAAGCCCCTTTTCATGTTTCTATCCTAGCCCCTGAGGCCGGCAGCGGTTACATCGTAACTTTTGACGTGATCATGACCCTCCTCCTTGCAAGGCGTGTTACGGTGATGGAAAATGCACGTTAGTTCGATTGTAGCAATTCAAGACAATGTGTGAATATTCACTTTGAACCTGTCACCGTCATTGTCCGGTTGCCGTCAAGTGGCACCCTTCTGCAATTTGCAGTCTTGCAATCTGCAGTCCCTTTGCTAACTGGGGTCCTCTTGCTAACTGCAGGCCGCTTGCAATTTGCAAACTCGCCGCCGCCGCCGCCGCCGTCGTCGCCGTCACCACTCCCCCACCACCTCACATTCACCTGACAACGACCAGAATGAGTCAAACAAGACAAAGAACGATTCACAATCAGCCCAATCATTAAATAGTATCCTGTGCGGATTTTTCTTATTGGCCTATGGAGTTTCTGAGCCGGCCAATGAGAAAAATCCGCACACGGGTGCGCAATCAGTAAACCCTCCCCCCCCTCCCCCCCCAATATCTATATAAGGAGGAGGTATTTCCCAGATTTGGGATTTTGAAAATTCCTCCCTCCCGCACCATCTTCATTCAACCCATGCCCTCATTGCCTTTGGCTTCACCTGGGACCTCATCACCACCAGCTCCATCCTCACGGCGCGCCCAGCGTCCTCGTTCATCCTCCATCGTCCTCTGCTGGCCTCCGCTGGCCCGTCCATCTCACGATACCTTCGCTGCGGCGCTGAGGTAAGTCATCGCGTCTCTCTGAGCTTCCCTCTCGTCACCTCCGCGGTCTGGATCATCCCAGGCGGCGTCCCGTTTGCAGGAAAATCCTGCACACAAACCCCACGCCGACACCTTCACCTCGATAACGACGCTCAGCTTTGCCGCCACCCCGCCAAAAATTCACCTGACCCGTCCTTTTATTTTTCATATCCGCAGATCGATCAGAGTTTTCATCACCTCCTCCATTCAATCCATCACTCTGCTTCGTCCTCCTACGGCTTGATCATCCCATCGCTAACCCACAACCTCTCGCAGGCATCACCCTCGGCGGACGCCATCGCCATCATCACCTCCATCCGGCAGAGACACCAGCCCGTTCTCTCTCTCTCTCTCGCACCCACAAGGATCATCCTGCCCTAGGTAAGCAATCCCCCACCCCGTCTTCCTTGCCACGCCGTCCCTCTGCCAGCCTTGTCACGCCGTACGTGTCACCGAACAGCAGAAAGCCGAGCCAGCGCCCTTGCGTCGAGGGTTCCCCCATGGCCGAGCTCTGGGCCAGGGCATGCGCCGCGTCGCACCTCCTCCCTCTCCGTCTCCCTCCCCCTCCTTCTCGCGTCTCTTCCCTCCGGAGCCGAGAAAGGAGGAGAGAGAGGCGGGGCGGGCGGAGAACCCTCCCTACTCTGGGTCAGGGGCACGCGGCCCTCTGGTCGCTACCTCCCATGGTTCAGGAAAGCAGGGGCGCGACTCGGCTGCTGGGTTGCGGCAGTTGTCAGGTACACAATCAAGACCAGGCCAGCCCGACCGGCCATCCACTTTCCTTGGGTGTGGCCGGGTGTGGATTGAAAGCGCAGCGGGGATCCTCACTGTAAGTCCGGCCCTCGGGTGCGGTCGGTGAGGCGCGACTTGATCGAATAATTTGCTGCTGCGTGGAGCATTGCTTTGTGGGGTACTGGCTTGGTCTTGCGTGGACGACACAGTGATGCTGGGGGGAGTATCGGCGTGGTGCTGAGGAATCACGGGTTTTGCTTACTCAGTTGTTTTTGGCTGTGCCATTTTTACTGACGGGGTTGTATGTTTACAGATCAGCCGCCGGCTTTGAGGACAGCTGGCCTATGCCACCGATGAGGAGGCTTGAGATGGAGATACTCAGACCGAGAACGACATCGCGAACCGCCAAGAGATCGGGAAGACAAACTCAGCAAAGGCACCAGTGTTGGTTATGATCTCCACGAAGGAAGTGATGCTTTGATACGTCCTTGACGTCTAGTGTAACATGACAAGCTCACTCACTGTGCCACTCTGTTCGATATACCACATGCCTGTGACCTATGTTCATGATTGTAGCATTGGATCTTTCTAGCCTAAGAATCACGCCTATGTGTATGCCATGGACCTCTCTCTCCCTCCCTGTCACTCTGATATATGTACCCCATGCATGCAGTAACGAATCGCGACCTCGTCCCGGGAAGAATCAAAGTCTTTGTCTTTTCGCTGTCCCCTGAGCGCCTGGTAAATGCTCGCCAAGAAGCAAAAAAAAAAAAACAAAACAAAACAAATATCGGGGTATCAATGCTTATTGCCGTCGCCACTATCTATCGTCGTCGCCGTTTCCGTTCCAAAACTTCCAAGAGTCGTCCCTGTTCATGTCGGGGGTGCTGCTCTTGGAACCCTCGTCAGCGTCGGTCTTGTACCCCGCCGAGACTCGAGCGTGCCTCTAGTCGAGCTCGTCGTCCGTCACGGGAGGCTGGTATCGCAGCTCCAGAACCCACTTGTCGTCGAAATCGATGCCACGGCGAAGTTTGGTGGCGGCCTTGCGCCAGATGGTCGTGCTCAGGCCGATGTCTGCCAGGTACAACTTCCACTCGTCCACCGTGATATCGTCGGCCTGCTCGTAGCCCAGCTCCATCGCCTTCAACAGACCTTGCTTGGGTGCGCCGAGAGCGACGACGTAGCGGGGCTGGACGTACAGCTTGGCGCCGTCGATGATGTTGACTTTTCCTACGGCAGGGTCAATGCCGCTAGGGATGTCAATCGCCACGATGAAAGCCTCGTTGCGGTTGGCCCACTCCATCAGCTCGTACGTCGTGGCCTGATCGCTCTTGCGCAGCTCCTCAAACGATATCGAGAGACCCAGGAGCGCATCGATGATCAGTGTGACTGAACTCTGTGGCGACGAGTCGAGTGTTGCAGCTGTCGTCTTGCTGAGGTTTTCGAATAGCTGTGTCTTGGAGGACACCACCCCGCCGAAGCTGCGAAACAGTCGGATCTGTCTCCGTAGTTCGTCTACCAGCTCTCGCTCGCGTTCAATGCCTACTACACATACCAGCACGTTGATACCATGGTTGCGAAGATGTCGTCCGGCGGCAACCGCTCGGGTGCCAGACTTGTTGTTGCCGGCCAAGATGACGATGGTTGCCGAGTTGGGAGGCGAGGCCGCAGCACTTCGAAGCTTGACAGCAGGGTCGGTGAGGGCAGTGAAAACCACCTCGGAGATGCTGCGCCCAGCGTTCTCGGCCATGAGATCCTCGCTAAATCCCAGCTCGTTGTGCGAGATGTTCTCGATATTCAACATCTGCAGATGGGTGACGGTCTCGATACGCCGGTTCGACCCCATCGAATAGAATCCCTCCACGACGCCAGCCATGGCTGTCGCCGGTTGCTGGCTCGTCAGGTGAGTCTGCGACAGGTTTGAACGATCGAGCGTCTTGGCACCTGAATTGACGCGAACAGGGCCGCCGATGACCTGGGTGGCGCTTGCTTTCCGGGACTGCGAGCGCCGAGACGTTGACATTCTGGACTCACCCCGGAGACGCGAGGTCCGGCCGCTTCCCTCCTGCCCGCTCAGACGTTCTCCGCCGTTGACCGTGGCGTCGTCGGCCTCGCTCTTCCAGAAGTCATCTGGCGTCTCCTTGAACTTGGAGGCCGATGACGACGAGGGCAAGTCCAGCACGTTTTCTGTGTAATGCAAGTTCTTGCCTCCGGCGGTCCCTGGCTTCGGCTTGGGGAGGCGGTTGTGGGACACCAATCGATCGGCGTCGTCGACCTGGTCCTGCTTCCGCATCTCGTCGAAGATGGTGCGCTTGTCAAACTTGGCCAGGCTCTGCTCAAAGTCGAAGTCTCCGGCCTCCTGGACGTCCGTAACGTCCTCCGACATCCAGCCGTTCTCGGCATTGGCCGTGGACTTGCGGCCCTTCTGGCCCTTCTTGAGTGACGAGAAGGGCTGGAAGGACTTGGTAGACTGCAACATCGGGGTCTGGCGCCAACCGTCTCCCTGTTCGGTGGGCTTGGCACCAGAGGGAACCGCATTCTCGTCATTTCTTGGGGCAGTACGAGCGTTCTTCGGCTGACGCTGGCGTTGGCGCTGTTTCTTGCCGGCCCTGGAGGATGACGAACCCGGCTGGGTGGCCAGGGTGGGAGTAGCACCGCCGACCTCGTCCTCGGTGGTGTCGAGCTGCGCAGGGTCCGGAGGCGAGATGTGCAGCCCGCCCATGCCCTGCGCAACAGGATTGATAGGGCTCAGTGGGCCCACAGCGTGGTGAGAGGTGGCCGAGGCACCAGGGGTGGGAGCTGGGTCACGCTTCTCTCCAATGTTAGCATCGCTCCTCCTCGGGGGCCGTCCCATGCTGAGAATGGCGGGATCCTGGAAGGTGGCATTGTCCCCAGGCTCGGGCAAGGTGGGGGCAGGCACAGGGCCGGTGGGCGGTGCTGTGAAGGTCGGGGCGGGAGGAGCATCGCGGTTCTCCCGTATGTCGGCGATGTTCTCGGGGTTGAGGTCGATCCTGGGCAGCCGCTCGCCGGTATTCAAGACGTGGACTAGGCAGCGTAGTTTAGCAGGTGTCCAGGGAGACGACAAGTGTACTGATCTTTTTTTTTGGGAGGCTTACCGTGCTCGAGGATCAAGACCTGGCCCGGGACGATGGCAGAGACGACACCGTCCACGGTGAAACCAGCGGGATGCCTCAGGGCAACCGTCATCCGCAGGCCCACGAACTCCATGGTGACAGATGACGCTGAGAGTGGTGTGGCAGATGCTAGAACATAAGGGCGGGGGGGTCGGTCGCTTGCGGGCCCGGACGTGTCTGATCCTCCGATGTTCTAAGGGATGGCTTGATCTCCAGCGTGCGTAAGATGGTCGACGGCGAGGTGGTTGGGCGGCGGCGGTGGTTGTGGTGGATGGGTTCGGGCGAGAAAATGTTCACGGGCGGAAGGTGGGACGGCGGCATGCAATTCGTAGAGGCCCGACTCGGAGTCGGTGGTGGTTAAACATTTGGAGCTTGCGCTAAAGTGCAACTGACGCCCACTAAAAACTGGACGGAAAGCTAGCTCCAGCCCCCCAACCTCCAGCCAGAAGCCAAGCCAGCTAGTCAGTCGTACCTCCAGGGGGGTACCGGTACAGGGGAGTAACGAACCGTCAAGGATTCTTATCGATAGGCCGGCCGGCCGGCCTATACAACGTCACCGGCATGCCGCTCGTGGGATATGGCCAAACTTAGCGTGCCTGTTTTTCCTCCGTCTTGCGCCGGGTGAAGACATGGGATAGACATCCAATCTATTGCCTCATTGAAACCACCTCATGGAAACCGGCAATGATCGGGGCTACATGACAAACGCAGGTGCTGGGTTCACTTCACAGCCTGGAGCGATGGATGCAGAGCAATAATGTCGTGAATGGGTTAGGGTATCTAAACTTTTTATACACAAAGATATTCATAAGCAGGGGACCTACATGAGGTATATACGGCTTTCTGAAAAACAAAATCATCAACACGCATGACACAGGCAGACCTCAATGCACACACATCAGGCCCGAAAACCCCTGCGTCCACCTCAGCCCGCCCATTATGGCAACCATGCACGCGACCGCGACCACGACGCTGGCGGTCCCGTACAGATAGGCATGGCGCCTGCGCAGCGCCGCCAGCTCCGCCACCCACGTCGACACCGTCGTGAGGCACCCGCAGAAGCCGTCCTCGATGCCCTGCAGCACCTGGCAGCCCACGACGCCGCCCGCCGGCACGTGCGCCAGGTCCCAGGCCATGCCCAGGACGACGGTGCCCGCCATGTTGACGGCGAACGTGCCGAGCGGGAACGACGCCATCCGGCCGTTGAGGTGCAGCGACGCGTAGAAGCGGCCCAGGCAGCCGAGCGGCGCGAACACCAGGGCGAACGTCGCGCTGCCACGCCACTTCTCGGCGGGCCCCAGACCGTGGGAGAAGCGGTCCGGCGGGACGATGGACAGGACGATGGCTCCGATCCAGCACCCGAAGGCGAGGAATACTGACAAGCGATCGATCACTTTCCGCGTGAAGATGAACGGCAGGCTGGGCGTAACCGGCTCCAGGGCGATGGCAAGGTGTGCGCCGATGAACAGGCCCGCCAGAGACAACGATACCGTCGTCAGTATGACGGCGAGCAGTGCCATGAACGAGTAACCCCCATTCCTCGGTATAGTCGTGCTGCCGGCTCCAGGAGTCGTCAGGTCGTTGGACAAGGCAAGGAAGATATCCCGAATGAAGGACGAGAACGAGGTGAAGGAGCCGCAGAAGCCCGTCGCCAGCCCGATATAGAGTGGTATCGTCTTCTTGGCCGCCAGATGTGCCTTCTTGGCCGCGGCCAGGTTGACGTCGGCCTCCCCCGAGGCCGACCCGCCGCTCTCCTCGTCGCGCTGCTTGCGCCGCGCCTGCTCGATCTGCTGGTCGTACGCCGGGGTGCCCCACTCGTCGCGGAAGAGCATGCGGTCCTCCGCGAGGAAGCCCATGACCAGGCTCCCTGCAAAGTTGTACCAGACCGAGCTGAACATGACCGGTGCGCCGGGGTAGGAGGTCAGGGCTTGCAGGCCGAGACGGGCAAGCGTGCCGAAGATGGAGAACAGGATGAGATACGAGACGGTGTAGACCTGTGTAGCCGCCCTGGAGACGTTAATCTGGCCAGCATCCCCCTCCCCCTCCCCCTCCCCCTGCTGCGTCTTCTCCTCCTCCGCAGGCGGCGGCTGAAGCGGCGAGGGCGGTGCTCCGCTGATACTGCCGCGCGATGCCCTCCTCCGCTGGCGCTGGTCCTTCAGGTACTCCTGGTCGTGGCTGCGGGACTCCTCGAGGGACTCGTGCCTGTACAGGGCGGCCTCGTCCGGGTTCTGCACGGGGCCGGCGCTGAACAGCTCGCCAACGTTGACGTAGGAGTCGGGGACATCGTAGCCGCCGCCGCCTCCTCCTCCTCCCCCGGCGGACGAGCGGCGGCGACGGCGCGCCGAGGAGCTCGTGCGCCGCTGCGGCTCCCCGTACCGCTCCTCGCGCGAGGCGCGCCGTCGCATGCGGCCCTCCTCCGGGCTCGGGACCGGCGCCTCCTCGAAGACATCGTCGAGGTTCTGGTACGAGTCCGGCACGCCGTAGCTGGACGACGGTCTTCGGCCAGCTGCTGTCGCAGTGCCCGAGGCCCTCCGAGACATGTCATCCGGGCGTGCGTGTGATGCGGCATTTGCGTGAGACTCCTCCACAGGTATATCGGCTTGCGGAGAGCCATGTCCATGCGATGTTGTGCGCGTTTGGTGAGGGCCCTCGCGGCTCATGCTGCCCTGCGTCATTGTGCGCCCACGGGTGCAGCAAAAACCCGGCTTCCAGCGTTGTTGGAATTTTGGAGTCTTGGGCCAGCCAGAACGAACCCCTAGAACGTCTCGGCGCGGCAGAAAACGAGACAGCACCTCAAGTCTCTCCTCTCAGGCCAGAATTGGGGACATGCGGGCGCGGGGGCCTCTGGGGGTTGTGGATGCCGGCAGTATATGTGGCTCGCAACACCGGGTGGTGTCCGTGTCTTGGCAGAGATTTCCCGTCCGTCCCGGCGATCGCGGTGGCATCCGGGCACCATGTGCATGCCCATGGATGTCATACACTCCACTCGCTCGCCCTCTCTGTTTTGGCAGGGAAGCTTCAGTGGATCCCATCCCAGTGGCCTAACTAGTTACTATGTAACTTATCGGCCGCCGCTGGGAATGGAATTGGAGAACCTGGAAGGGGGGAGGGGACCCCCCGAAATAAGCTCGTGATAAGGCGCTACCTGGGCTCTGAGCCTCTGACAAAGAGCCTCTGGGGCGGCGAATCAGGTGGCCCCCCTCCTACAGCGCCGGGCTGTAGCGCTGGGTCGCGCTGTTATCAGCAGCGCAGGGGTGCTTTATCGCGCCCCATGCCCGGCAGCCTGCCCCGCCATTTCTAGGGGTCGGGGGCGCTAGCCTGCTAGGCCCTAGGCAAGTAGGGAGCTGCTGCTGCTGGCCAGTCTGCCAGCTTAGTTCGAGCGTTCGAGCGAGGGCGAGGGAGCAGGAGGGGGAGGGCGGCGGCCGGACCCAATCGCATACTCCGGCTTACACCGCAGGACATGATGGCTTGGGCCTCTGTCTCTCCCAACGATACCGCTTTACATCCGCGTCGTTGGATAACTTAGTAATAGTATCCCCTTCTCGTCCGCCAGCCCGTCCTTTTCTATAAGATTGCCAATTGCACCGCCCGGAACTCGGTCTCTGGTCACTTATACGTATATCTCCTCTCCGATCGTAGCGTGCACCCCTTGGTCCGATCTCGTCCACTACGTCCCTCCCGCCCTCACTCACCACCGCTACCAGCTCCCCCCCGTGACCCTCGCCATGTCTCTCCCGTCCAACGTCCACGTCTCGAAACACCCGTGCCTGCGCGCCAAGCTGAGCCTTCTGCGCTCCAAGAGCACGCCGACCCGCGACACCAAGGCCCTGGTCAACGAGATCGCCACCATCGTCGGCTGCGAGGCCCTGGGCGCGACCCTGACCGCCATCGACGGGCCCAAGGACGAAACCCCGATAGGCTTCGAGTACACCACGACCACCCTCGAGCCGCAGTCGCTATCGCTGGTGCCGATCCTTAGATCCGGACTGGGCATGGTGGAATGTACGTCTATTGCTGCCCTATAAGAACCCGAAGAGAAAGAGAGAGATAGAGCGAGAAACGCATATATATACATATATATATATACAGCGGGGAAGAGCAGGGAAAAGATGTAAAGAGAAGGAGAAGCAAGCAGGCAACCTCTGACCGAATTGTACTGACCCCAAGTCCGTTTTCCAGCGATACAAACCCTCCTCCCGACGCCCGTGCCCGTGCACCACCTGGGCCTGTACCGGGAGCCGTCGACGCTGGAGCCGGTCGAGTACTACAACAACCTGCCGCAGCACCAGGGCGTCGCGTCGGTGGCCATCGTGCTGGACCCGGTCATCGCGACGGGCGGCACCTGCGCGGCGGCCATCCAGACGCTGCGCGAGTGGGGCGTGCGCCGCATCCTCGTGCTGTCCGTCATCGGCGCCGCCGACGGCGTCCGCCGCGCCGCCGCCGAGTGGCCCGAGGGCGTCGACATCTGGACCGCCGGCGTCGACGACGAGCTGACCCCCGACGGCATGCTGAAGCCCGGCGTCGGCGACGTCGGCGACCGCCTGTTCCTGACCATCGGCAAATAGTGGGAAGCGGGGATAACGAGTACGAAGGGGGATGGGATCCGCGGGCTACTCAGAACTTGCCCGCGTCCTCGAGAGAAGGTTGGATCTGACTGGACTTTTATTTTAATGGAAGGCCCAATAGCCTGCAATGCAATGTTTTTGGGAAGCAAAATCATGCCATGAGGTTTCATGAGGAGTCTTGGCTAAAGATATCTTGGGTAGATCTTATACAGCATAGCTCATATCCTATTAGAACAAGACTCATTCAACCACGAAGCGTATCGCACAAAGTCTTGCAAAGAAACTTTCTATTGTGGCAGAGCTAGCGGCTCATGTATCATAGTCTACACTCGAGGCTTTTCAGAGCCTGTCTAATCTAGCATGCCAGTAAAGACCTTTGAGGTTTGGTTTACCCCTGAATCTTCCTGCAATCGCTAACCTCTCCTAGCACATTGACTCAGTGCTTCTTCTCCTGTTCGGACCGTTCCTCCAGACTCCTGACGTGCTTTTCAATCTTGCTGAACTGGTACGGCCACCAAATCTTGTACAAGAAGGGACGCAGATCATGGCGGTTATCGTCCGGGTTGCTAGAACGCATGAGTACGTTTGCGAAAGTTGGGATCTTGCCTGGAAAAGACTACTTACTATGCGGATAAGTGAATCGATGGAGTGATGGTCGTGGCTTTGTGTCTGTTCATGGCATAGAAGCGGAAGAAGCGCTTGGTGAGCTCTGCCGTCTCCCGGGGAGCGAGATCCTTCCAGTCTCCAAGCAGGCGGAGGTAGGCACTCCAGGGTCCCAGTTTCTCAACCTTTCTGAGTTTGCCAAAGGCGGAAAGCTGGTCGTAGCTCAAACCCATTTCTCTGAGACGCGTGGTCAGTTGCGTCACAAGTAGTGATTGCGTATAGTGGAAACGGCTTACTCTTCATCGCTTTGAACGCCGGCACTCAGAGGGAGCAGCTCCGCCGTGGGAATCGCGCCCAAGAACTCCTTGAGAATCGGTAGATCCCACTTTTCGCCTGCCCAGCCGAGGAAAGACTTGGCATCGGATTTCGAGATTGAACCCAAGGGCGCCAGATCTCCTGATGAAGCGTCGTATTTGGTCAGGTAGCCGCGCAGTAACTGCATTTATACTGATTAGTCACTCTGCTTCTTTGCCAGTCGCATTGTATTGAAAGCTTCAAGAAAGCACCAGTCACGCACCTCGCTAGAATGAACAGTCAGTAACAACCCTAAGCTATGATAGCGAGACAGACTCACTCAACATTCCCTGAAGTAAGCACCAGCAGACTGCTGCCAGCTCGCGGCAATCCCCGGCTAGTCGTCGACAGTTGCGCTAAAGAAGCTGGTCAGGGCGCATTGAACCAAAAGTTAGGAAAGGGCTCGATATCGTACCTAGCGCGTACGAGTAGACCATCCGGTTGCGAGCCTGGATATTCTGCTTGGCAAGGTTCTCTGCTACCGAACCGCCTTCGACTTGATACTTGGGCTTGAAATTCAGCGCCTGGTCCACAATCGACTCCATAGCATCCACTGTCTCGTCGATGTTGGTATCAGAGTGATAGGCGCCGATCTTTTGCGCCAATCTCTGAGCGCGCGATCTCGTGTCCGTGGAGCTGTTCTTTGTGCCCATGTAGCATGTGTGTAGCAGTCTACCGAGAATCTCCTGGGGAGTCTTTGGCGTAAATTCGGGCTCTCCAGTGACTCGGCGAAGATCATCCAGAGTTGTCTTCTCGCCGGCGTTGATGGATTCCAAGACTAGCCGTGCCATTCCGAAGACAAAGGTAGCGACACTGCAGCTGTCCAGCCCACCGGAGAGCGCCAGGAAGTAGCCTCCAGCGTTGGCTCGGGTAAGATATTGCCACAAATAGACAGCCTCTGCCATGTACATCTCCTCCATGGGGTCTAGAATCTTCAATTCAATTTGTCTAGAAGGTTTGAGGTCCGAGAAATAGAAGTCGTCCGCGGGGCGAGACAAGCGAATGTCGCATTCGATCCGAGGGAATTCTGGTTGCGCAGCTGCTTGAACATTTCGGGAAATACTCGATCTGAAAGAGCGAACCTCTTCAATGTCAATGGTGGCCGTGATGACATCGACGGGCTTGAGGGTGAACTGTGAGCTCTGTGCCATGACCTTTCCGTTGATGAGCACCATGGAGCTGGCATCATACATCATACGGGCCTCGCCGTCTACTCCACTCGCGTTGCTGTAACAGTAGACACCACCCAACTTCCGCGTCGAGTTGGAGATGAGGTCAAGGCGAGTGCGGAGTTTCCTCAGCTCAGCGCTGATGACAGTTAGAGATAAGAAGTCCAGGCGCTGAACAATCTACTTACTGGGATGCGGAGCTATTCAAGATAATTTCTGCGCCATTGAGGCCCATATATGTGGAAGGGTTTCTGAAAACGGTGAGCTCATGTCTTTCTCACCACCCCTCCAGGTCCGAAATGCACCCGTTGGCGGCAAACTGATGCTTCGTGGCAAGTAGTAGCACGCCGTCCAAGTGGGTTCGGACCCGAGAATAGTGCTAGCTTTCGACACATACCTCCTAAGCAACGTCAGCTGTCTGGATCTATGAGAGGGAGCAGGGGACATACGGAGTGAACAACTCTTCGCAACTGTTACCATAGTCAGCATATACTGTACACAGTTTTCCGAAAATACGGCGCAGAATGGTATAGTATTTCTGGAAGCCACGCAAACCAGATTCAACAGCATCCATAGTATCAGCCTCGACTTACGTTTCGCAGCCAACCGCAGTGTCCTCGGTGGACAGGATGGCGTCGCCGATGGGGACCTTCTTCTGGCCCGTGACGTCCTTGATGATCTGCTCGAGGTAGTAATCTTCGACGGTGCGCGGCTTGGCCCAGGCGGTGAAGTGGCGCATCTCGCGGTACAGCCCGTCGTTGGCCAGGCTCTGCTTGGGGCGGATGAAGAAGATCTGGCGGTAGGTGCACAGGACGCGGCAGTTGTAGCGCACGTTGCGGTGGCGCACCCCCAGCCCCAGGTCGATCAGCATGTCCTTGCACACCGGGTCCGATATGATCTCGGCCAGGACCTCCCAGCTGTGGAGGAAGGTGTCCCTGGAGCGGCGTTAGCATGTGCATATCGGGATGGAATAGGGAGGGCTGAGTGAGGTGCCGCAGTTCCTGTCAAAGACAGCAGAACTCATGTGTACCTACCCCTCAAGGTGATGATCAAGGCAGCCATATCCAGGAATTTCAAGCTCCGCTGAGAAGTTATGATTTAGCAAAAGCCATGAGACTTTGGGCGCAGAGGCCGGGAGCAATAACGTCATGCGCTGAGTATTTTTTCATCTTATACTCTCATGAATAGCGTGACGCTTGGCAGGAGTGACTCACGGCCAGTACGAAGACGTGCGCCTTTCTCTTTGGCAATGCGGATTGACTCCAGAATCCGGTCTCGGTTGCCCTCAAAGTCCAGGGGGACGCTGGGCAGCGATGCTGCCGCAACAGTGACAAAGGACATGGTGAGGTGCTGTGATGCCACGGGTCGGATCAGCGATGCGGTGTTATCCAATGCAGGAATATATTCATGCAGCCAGCCAGTGTACTAAGTACGTAGGTAGTTGACAAACGACGGAGATAAATCGGCGTAGCCGGCCAGAAGCGGGCTGGCAAAGTTTTAGCGCAAGCCTGACCCGGGCCGGCGGTGGGGTTGCCTAGGTATTGCTTCACAGGCTGCGACACAACCAAGTTTACATGGGCGTTCAAGTACAACTGCTAACAACGGCTATCTACGCTCATGTAGGTGCATACGCTTCCTCGGTTAACATTGTGTTCTCCTTCCAGCAGTCCTCTAGCCACCGTTGCGTGACCACCCGCGGTAGGGATCGCTTCTTACTGATGGCCGAACGCACCTCGGCCACGACCTCTCTTCTGGCATCCGTGTCACCGTTGTCCACGACGACCACGTGTGTCACGTCGGTGTTTTCAATACCCTCGACAATTTTCCCGCCGCCAAATCTGATCCAGTTGTTCAGCTTCAGCACTGTGATGAGCGTGACATCCTCCGTAGTCGCAAGATAGATGACCGCCTCCCGGAACAGGTGGCCCTTGAGCCTACCGAAATCATGCCCGTGCTGCTCGAGCTGCTCTAGGAATCGGCTGGCATCTAGCGGGTCGGTCTCGATCTCGTTCTTCGGCATGTCCTCCAATAAGTCTTTGAGCTCCTCCAAGTTGATGTCTCTGGCGAAACTGTCGCCGTAATCATCCACGTTCTGCTCTGCTTGCTCCTTGATGGCGTCGGATACGTGGAACAGATGACCTGGCTCATATGGCAAGAGAAAACCCGCGGCCTCGTTGGTCTGGGCCAGACAGTCCAGAATCCACTTGGGCTTGATGATGTCGACATTGCCAGCCTTGATCAGGCTCGCAACCTTGACAACTTTCTTTTCTCCTATCAGTATCATCTCCGAGTCAGCCACAGCTCTCTGTGAGATCTTCCCGCCATTTTCCTTGATCATGGCTTCAAGTTGCGCTTTGCTCTTCTTCGGGTTGGTCGATTCTGTGAGCACACAGAACTCGAGGCCCTCAAAGACCTTGGTCTTGGGCCCTTCGAACTGGGCGGGTGCAGCCTCCTGCCCAGCAATCACGATCTCCTTCTTCACACGCTTGACCTTGCGTCTGCCAGTATCGAACTCCATCGTCTTTTCCTTCTGTCTCTGGGCTTCATCCTTCCTCAATTTGTCGAATGTCGTCTTGTCAAGAGCAGTGTCCCAATCTCGGTCCTCGCGAATGGACTTGAACCTCGGGAAGCGCATCGTGAGCAGTGTCGCGTAGTCATCAGAAACGACACACTCGGCCGCCTTCACCTCAATGACCAGCGAGTCCTTGGGCCTGATCCACTGGTCAGGCTTCCAGAGCTGCTTGTCGCCACCCGCCAGCTCGATGTACTTGGTCGGCGGCCTTTTCGGGTTCCAGTCCATCCACTTGCCTTCGGTGCGATGCGCAATGGCGCTGTAGTCTTGGGCTCTGAAGCCACCACCAACCCGCAAGAAACTGAGGCATTTCTCTGGATCGGCTCCATTGTCGATGTCGTTCTGGTCCACCCGAAGGCCGCAAAGGAAGGATGAATGCCCTCCGCCGCGGTGGCCAGTACCATAGTATGCGCCGATGACAACCACATCCACCGACTCACCAAACTCCTTGGTGTACTCGGGCTTGACCTTGATCCAATTGTCGTTGCGTTGATTGAGGCTGTATACGGACAGCGGGTTCTTGAGTACCAGACCTTCCGACGAGTTATGGACGATGTCACGAAGCATGGGCTCGATCTCATCAGACGTTGATGCCACCTTGTGCTCGTGGAGCTCCAGACGTCGATGAGCTCCGGGGACGGCCTTTTCCAGCGCATTTCGCCGGTCTTGTAGTGTGTAGCGCGTCAATTCCTGGTCATTCAGGTAAAGAATGTCAAAGACGCGGAAAAGAGGACGCGTGCCCACAATATCATAGGGGTTCTTCTTCCCAGCGAGAGCTGCTGTCTTCAGAGTACCGAAGGCAACGATCTTGTCCAGGGACATGTCCCAGGTAACCATTTCGCCGTCGAGAATGATGTTGCGGACGCCAGGGGCAAAGGCATCCTTGAGGTGTCTCGTCAAGGCCGAATCCTCGTCGAAGAAGCCGTTGCCGTAGAGGTAAGCGTAGTCCTTGGCTTTCCGGGACCAGAAGCCAAACCTCTTGCCGCCCCGGATCCCGTCGTCTTCCATCATGTGAAGCTGCATTCGTTCACCATCCAACTTCTCCTCGATCCAGAAGTCTTTCTCGTCCTCGGGGTTATCCCTGACCAGCTTCTCTACCATTTTCTTAAACGAGATGGAAAACTGGAAATTGGCAAGCTGGGGCTGGAAAATCTGCATCAATTCAACACCGGTATCGTCGTCGTCTAGGAGGACGGATGTATCGTATAGCTCCCAGCACACGCGGCGCAGGCTGGATGAGACAGAGAAAAGAGCCTCAGCATTGGGGTGCCATAGGTCCAGAAATGTTCTCTCGGTAGCACCCACCCTCATCTGCTTGAGGATGATGCGGATGAGCCACATCAGTTCATCGGGGTTCATGCGCTGGTAGAATGTCTCGAACAGAGGCAGCTGTTCGGATTCCCCTGACGCGGCGGACAACTTGTCGAGCATCTCGTTGACATCTCCTATGTGCATGTCTCCTGGTTTCGTACGCATGGGCCGCTTGGACAGGACCTCGTAGCACCGCCCAGCAAAGTCGCCCGCCATGCGGCTCTGCTTGGACTGGCCGGGCAGCTTCCAGTGGATGAGCTTGTAGCCATCCTCGGAGTTCTTGTCGATCTTCATGACCTTGACCAGGATCTTGCCGATGGCGTTCTCCTTCAGCCCGTAGACGCCCCTGTCACGGTCTTGGTTGGGGAGGATCAGACGAAGGGCCGGGTAAAAGTCGTCTCCGACATCAGATCGCCACCTGGAGATGAAGCGCTCGATAATGGCGCGGCGCTGCTCGTTGGGCGAAAGCTTCGTTGACCCCCGAGGGCCGGCCTTGGCTCGCCCTCGAGGCCCAGACGGCTGCTTCTTGTTCTCATTGAGTGGATTGAACAGGTCCTCGAACATGTCCGAGAACATCAGCGTTCTGGCGTGGTTTTTGGGCCTGTTCGGGTAGCTGTCGTGCACGAATTAGTCCATGAGGCGACGGAGAGGCTCAAGCAAGGCTCACTTTTCGTCCAGCTCTTCCAGCGTGTGACCACCGGTGGCATACTGGCGCATCTCCTCGTCCACGGCGCCAGGATCGCGGGTCTTCTTCTGTCGCTGACTCATGGCGATGGTAAACGGCAGGTATGCCAAATTTGCGAGCGTCGTACTAGGATGGACAGAGAGGCTGTGGGGTGTGATGTGGAAGCTGTGTTATATGGTTCATGAGAGAGGGCCTTTTATAAGCCACGTGCAGCCGTACGCACCATTACCCCAGGAATGTAATATGGGAAAGGCACTGAGGCTGCCCGGGGGGTACTGGGCCTAATCAATAACTACTCAGGAATCCAGAATCTTCCCAGCAATTAGACATAGGCTTTTCTCATGATCCTGGGGCTGTGTCCTCTGATCAATAGCCCGGAGGTTCTGAGAGGGAGCTGGAGGTGGAAGTGGTGTGTGGTCTGTGGTCTGTGGAGTAGCCTAGCGATGCTGCCTGTTGGTACGAGACGGTGCTGAAGAAACGGGCCCAAGTTACCCAAGTTACACTGGACAGTACCTAAGTAGCGCCAGTCGACAGTTGTTACCTGTTACCTGCGGCCTGTAACCAAAGTCCATTTGTTGTGACTGATTGGCTGCTAGGTAAACAGACTACCCTCGGGCTGTTCCCACCCCCCATCTCCCGTTCTGGCCGTTCCGCGAATCAATTAACGCGACGCCAACCTGGAACGCGCCTCTCTTTCTCGCCTCGGCCGGCTCCAGCTCCCAGCTCCAGTCGTGCTTGTTTGCTTTTTCGAGCCCTGCCATTCGCCCCCGGTTTGCGCATCGCATCGGATTGGGCCAGGGGCGTCCCCCAAACATTTTGACGACCGTCCGATTCTCGCGACCCCAAGACCAGACCCTTGGGCCTCGTTTTCGCGGCCTTCGACTTGGACTGGGACTTGCACTTGGACTCGGACGGGGCTTGTTTTCCCACTCGGCCCGCCCTTTCGTTCGTTTGGTCGTTCCTCGTGCCCTCACGCCCACGCCGATCGCCACACCAGCACCCCCAAACACCTGTATCTGTATGAGCGCCGCACGACTACGCGCCCTGCCCACAAGACCCTTCCTCGCATCACGGAGCCCGCTATCACCGGCTGTTGCTGTTCGACAGGCACACGTCCATGCCTCATCCAGGCACCATAGCTTCCCTGATCCGCCTGGCAACATGTTGGGCAGGGCCAAGCAGAACTATGCCGCGAGGCCTGCGCCCCCGCCCGTGAAGCCCGACCTCAAGAAGGACCCCTTCCCCTCCAGCAGCCCCTCCTACCGCGATGTCAGCATTGCCGACTTCACCAAGAAGAATCGCCCCACCAATCCGTCGACTGCGAGGTTTGGGTCTTCCAAGGCAGATCTCCATCCCCTCAAGCCCAGGTCCGACAATGCCGCCCCGCGACCCTCCAGCACCAACACCTCGTCGGTAACCAGCTACGTCAAGCCCACCCAGGGCTTCTCGTCTCTGTACAGCCAGTCCGACTCCTTCAAGGAGGAGCCCGTCTCTGTGTCCTCCAGCGCGGCGAACAGCACCACGGCCAAGACGGCTGCTCCTGTCTATATCGCCGAGGACGACTTCAGCGATGACGAGGCCTTGGAGTTGGACTATGAATGCCCGGCCTCCCTCCCCGTGGCCCCGGCGGAGCCAAAAGCAGGGAAAACGCCCTGCATATCCTTACTCGACTCACCACCTGCGCGCAATTTTGATCCCTCTCCAATGTCATCTTCGAGGCCTATACCATGGACTTCGTCTCCTCTGGAACATCACTACCCCCCTCGACCTATGGCGCAGCCACCTCCAAAGCGCGCCTCGACCGATGACGTGAAGCCTGCCGTCGTCACAGCCGCCAAAAAGCGCAAAATGCCCGATGGCTGGAGCAAATCTGTCAAGGACGAAGATGCCTTTCAAAGAGAACCTACCGCCAGGAGGACGAGACCGCCCAAGGATGAGCCCGAGGTGGTGGACTTGTTCGCTACGCACAGTTTCTCTTCTACATCCACTCCCGCGCCAAAATCGAAGAATGTTCCCTGGGACACCACGTACAGTGCAATGAAGGAGAAGAAGAAACAGCTCAAGAACCAAAGCAAGAAGACAGAGGTGCCGACCGAATACTCTATGGAAGATATACGAGCCGCCACTGGAGGTCATGCCAAGGCAACGCATACCGCCATGTCGTTGAGCGCCGAGCAGGAACATGTCAAGAGGCTTGTTGTCGAGGAGGGCCAGAGCGTCTTCTTCACCGGCCCCGCAGGTACCGGTAAATCTGTCTTGATGCGCGCCATCATTGAGGCTCTGAAGAAGAAATGGGCCCGTGACCCCGAGAGGGTCAGTATTACTGCATCTACGGGACTGGCCGCCTGCAATATCGGCGGCATGACTTTGCATAGTTTTGCTGGCATCGGCCTCGGCAAGGAGGAGGTACCAGACCTGGTCCGAAAGATCCGCAGGAATCCAAAGGCGAAGAACAGGTGGCTCAGAACCAAGGTCCTCATCGTCGATGAAGTCTCCATGGTTGACGGTGACCTATTCGACAAGCTAGCAAATATTGCCCGGACGATACGCAACAACGGTCGACCGTGGGGAGGTATCCAGCTCGTCATCACGGGCGATTTCTTTCAGCTTCCTCCCGTCCCGGATAGGAACAAGCGAGACACAAAGTTTGCTTTTGATGCTGCCACCTGGACCACCTCTATCGATCACACCATCGGGTTAACGCAGGTTTTCCGTCAACGTGACCACGGTATGTCCCTGATACCGAATTGATAGGCCTCTAAAGATCTTTGCTTGCTAACTCGAAAATCTAGATTTCGCTAATATTCTGAACGAGATGCGCATGGGCCGGGTCAGCGAACAGACAGTCCAGACGTTCAGGGCTCTTTCTCGGCCACTACACTTCGACGATGGGCTGACTGCGACGGAACTCTTCCCAACGCGCCAAGAAGTTGAGCGCTCAAACGAGATGAGACTCCGCAACCTCCCGGGCAATGGTGTGCATTTCGCGGCTTCGGACTCTGGAGACCCTGCCATCAGAGACAGACTCCTAGAAAACATGATGGCTCCCAAGTCGATCGAGCTCAAGAAGGGTGCCCAAGTCATGTGCATCAAGAACATGGACGAGACACTCGTCAACGGGTCCCTGGGCATAGTCAAGAGCTTCATGTGCGAGGCGGCCTTCGACCGCTACCGGGAGAAGGAGGGAGACGAGGGAGACGACCTCGGCGACGCCGCCCTCGCCAAGAGCAAGATCCGGTCCTTCACCAAGGACCTCAACCTGACCAAGGACCTGACCGAGTGGCCCGTGGTCCAGTTCACCTGCAGCGACGGCAGCCACCGCATCATGCTCATCCAGCAGGAGGAGTGGAAGGTGGAGCTCCCCAACGGCGAGGTGCAGGCCAAGCGCGCGGCGCTGCCCCTCATCCTCGCCTGGGCCCTGTCCATCCACAAGGCCCAGGGCCAGACGCTCGAGCGCGTCAAGGTCGACCTCGGCAAGGTCTTCGAGAAGGGCCAGGCCTACGTCGCCCTCAGCCGCGCCACCACCAAGGAGGGCCTGCAGGTCCTGCGCTTCGACAAGTCCAAAGTCATGGCCCACCCGCGCGTCATCCAGTTCTACAACCAGCTGTACAGCGCCGAGGCCGCCGTCAAGAAGAAGCCCGCGCCCAACACGGTCGCCGACTTCGCCAAGAAGGGCAGGCTCCAGTCCTTTGTCCGCAAGGCCGTCGATGTCATCGACCTCGACGACGACGAGGAGGCCATGGCCGCCTATGGCTGAGGGAGACAGAGGTGGATGAGCGGGGCTTGTTGTATGCATAGAGCGGTGTTCCGGTCCAGGAGTTCAATTATTATTTTTTGGCGGGCAGCGGGGATGAGACCGGTATGCATGTTGCTGTACTGTCACATATAGTAGGTGTTTAACTAGAATTACATGCGTGCATGCGTGCGTGTACGCATTCCGGCCCTAAACGGCGGTCGAACTGAGATGATTCACAAGTGTTTCTCCTGTGCTACTGTTTCATGCATGCATTGGCCAACCTCACTAAGAGGCTGAGAATCGTCTTCTTCCTTACTGCACAATCTTCCTGTGCACCTTTATCAAGTCACTGATTATTTCAGAACACCAACTCAAGGGTGGCGTAGCATTGCAATATGGCGTTTGAATTTGCTTTTCTTTTTCGTGTCTTGTAATCTCGAAGCCGCCGCGAGACCCCTGCTGTTTATCTCTCTTGTGGCATTCAAGCAAGCGTGATACAGCTAGCCAGCTATCTATAGGCAGCGTTGCCAGCCGGTCACGCCTCCCGGGCCCCGGTCATAAGCTCAATACAGGTAGCTTAATCCGAGCACTCGTATGTCACAGTCTCCATTCTTCGTGCCTTCCTAAGGGTATCATGTCCACCATATCTGTCCACCATATCTGTCCACCCGTCCGTACCTGAGACGAACCTAGTAAATAAAGCATTCGAGCACTGAAACCGTTCAGCTACATGACAAGCAAATACGCAATCTCGCAGCCGCATGTAGTCCATCATAACGCCAGTTGAATGAGTCATGTAGTTCTATCGTAGAAACTCGAGGATTTTCTAGAACCCATTCCCGTCCATGTTGCCATATGGAAGATGATCCATGGCCATGAAGTCGAGGAGATCTATGCCTCCCACATTCACACCTTGGTCGGTCATGGTCACGTTGGAATTCTCGCCCATGGTCTGGAACAAGCCAGGGCCGGTCGGAAGGTACATCATCTGGTCGTCTGGGTTTGTCCAGTCTGGAACGGGCTCGAAAATATCGCCGATATCGAGATTTAAGCCAGTTGGAGCAGGCGTGCTGGGTCTAAACACAGAAGACGAGCCAGTCGGGTAAGGGAAGTTGCCGGTGGAGATGTCAAACGGCGTGGCCGAGATTAGGAGAGAAGGTGTTGTTGCCCGATCTGATGGATAATTAGCTATCTTTTCATGCCACACTGACAACGGTGGACGGAGGAAAGTAGGGAAAAGAATTGGGTTCATACCAGGTGCAAGAAGTCCGTCCCTGGTCTTCAGGGCAGAGTCGGTAAATCCATTTTCAGCGCCATTGGAATTACCATTGACGCTTGCGGGCTTGCTGACTTCGCCATGGTTGTTCCGTCCGTTTGGCTGCGCGCCCGCATTGGTGGGAGCCGTCTTGAAGCGAACCCTCAAACGATTCGTAAGGGACTCAAGAAGATCACCAAAACGGGTCCCCAGGTGGACGTCGTCGACAACACAGTTTCGCAGAGCCTCGACTGTACGATCCATGAGCGAGATACTGAGTTCCACATCAGATTTCGGCGCGCCAAGAGCGAATGTTTTCAGCAAAAACATGGCACCGCTAATGATCCTGAAGTATGTGCGGACCGGGGCGTGCTTGAGATAACCTCCGGGAAGAAGGTCATCGACCACAGTCCTGAGCAAGTTGCGGCAACCATCGGCCACCTGAGTGACGAATTCCTGATCCTCGGTTCCGAAGCCGCCCAGAGGACCCAGTGGAAGACCTCCCAGATAATGCTGGGCAGCCTGCGACGATAGCGGAACTTGCTGCCCCCCTTGAACGCTCTGCATGCCCTGTATGGTGTTGTTGCTGTTGCCAGCATTATTGGTACACCTCTCAACAACAGCCTGCAGGGCTAGCGAGTTGACGTAGATCCGTACGTATTCGTATTCAATGGTGAGAATGTGGCGGATGAAAGTAGGCATGCGGACCTGCTCGAAAGTCTTCCACCAGTCCTTCAAGATTGGGTCGAATTTTTTCAGCTGGGTGGTATACTCTCCACTTTGAATGATATGGGTCGTGTGCTTGTGCGACTTGAACAGAGTCTGATTACCGATGTGCATTGCATTGCTGATTCCAACCCAGCAGTGAATGATCTGATCATCCAGCTCCACATCAGGAACGTAGTTGATGGTGGAGATGGTCGAATTGTTGGTACCGGGTGTGTTGCCTTCGTGGGAGGTTGGGCGCCTCTGGCCCGAATGGTAAGGATCGGATTTGCGAATGCTTTCCGGGACCATGTTGGTCCAGCCTAGACGACCTGCCAGCTGCGTGAGGTAGACCAGGATCAGACGCTTGATTCTCATTGCACGTAGGCGGTATGATTCATCCTCGTACTCAGGCCGTGTAATATCGGCTAGCAGAGTATCCATGTTGTCAAAGACTCCCAACTCGTAGGCTAGGCCCATGGCAGTGCTGAGCAACATCCAGCACATCCTATCACTTCTCCAAGCAGGCTCCAGCCAACCTTCGATTCTTCGACCCCCAGGCACACCATTCACCAGGCGGTTGTGAGTATTATCATCATCCGTGCTCAGGTTGGAAGGCCCATCATACGACGGGAGCATCAGCTCGTCAATGGCCTCATCCGGTGGGAAGTGAAGTGCTCGAGGATGCCACTCAGTCAGGATCATCAGCGATTCAATGGTACCCAGTGTTCTCAGGCTGCCTTTCCTCAAGCCCCTAGAGGGAGCTGTGCTGGAAGTCTGATCAGCACCCGAGCCGCAAAAGCCGCCTCCGAATGCCTCCTGCCCCCAGAAACATCTCTCGATCATGCGACGAAGATACCTCCACAGCTCTTCATGGATGGCGTGAGAGCGGCAGTGTCCGCCGGTCGTCTTGATCTGGTAATATCTCGAGGCAATTGTCAAGAGCGTCACCGACAAGACGGGTTCCTCATCCAAAAGGGTGGGATGCAGAGCCGGATTGCGGTATGTGGGCGGAGATATTGGAGTCATTGGCGAGAGGAACTCATAGTAACTACGAGAGTCAGTCAGCATTTGTCAGAAAGACAGGTTGGAGCATCCAAACTCACTATGTGATGTACTTCACTGCCTCTTCCCGCGTGAACCAGCCAGCTCGCACAAATCGGAAGCGTCCCCAAGCCTTGAGCGCATTTTCGTAACCGGGCTCGTGGCGAACATCGAGTCTCTTCTCGATTTCGTCTTGTTCGGCCTCCCGCGGGTGCGTGTTGGGCGAGGGGAGCAAACGAGGATCTATCGGGTCTGCAGACCTGGATGGCACACGCGCCGAGGAGTGGCGGCCGTTCGTAGCAGAGTCTCTCGACGGGCGGTTGCTCGATAGGTGGCTCTGCGCCGGCTCCGTGGCCGGCGCTGAGCTCTCGGGGGGGCGAACAAGACTCTGTGCATGGGAGTTGTCGGTGGCGGCTTTGTAGAGCAGATCCAGGGCATCGTGCGGGCCGTAGACCTCCTTCCTCATGACGGCCTGGGCCTCGAGGTTCTCCAACTGGGCGCTCGAGTCCTCGCCAAAGTCGGAGAATATGGTGCCACGGCTGTCATGTCTCTCGTTGTCCGGGCGCCGACGGGGCTGCTGCTTCCCACCGGTAGCTCCTGGGGTAAGGGGAACAGTGCTATACGAGTTCCTGTGATAGACAGGCGGAGGCGAGGCGTTGTCCGAGGTGTGCCTCCTCCGCCCGTTTCGGGTCACGTAGTCGTCTTCCTCGTCGTCCTCCTCATCGTGCTTGCGCTTGCGGCGGGTGGCGCTGAAGAAGCACTGCTTGCTCTCACGCCGGCAGCGCACGCACGGGGGGTCGCTGGGGTTGTCGACGCTGCCAAGATCGCATCGGACCTTGCGCCGGCGACACGGGATGCAAGCCTGGTAGACGCGCTTATGCTGTGCGGCTTGTTGGGCGGCCGTTAAGGTGCCGCTGGAGGCAGACTGCTGGGTCGCGGATGACTGCTGCTGTGGCGGTTGAGGCGAGGTGCTCGGGGGAGCGGTAGCCGCAGCAGCGTACTGTGACATGGCCACTGACGGGGCTGGGCACCCTGAAGGCCGCTCTCGCTCACGGTTTGCAGTGCGTGAGGCTCTGTATGGCGGTCTCTGGTGGTTCGATGCCACCCCACCCGGGACAGGACGCGAGAGATGCTCGGCTGGATGCGGTTTGAGAGGGCTTATGTTGGGCAGAGTGGTGGAAGTGGGACGCCCGTGGTTTATGAGGGGGGGCTAGGAGCCTAGGGAAACCTTGGAGGAAGTCGGCGACGGTGGGCTGGTGGGCTGGTGGGTTGCGGGGTCCCAGAACAAGCCTCCACCAAAACCCAGGACTCCGCACCGTAGAACGGCCGGTATCCGATAGTGGGACGTAATAGTCGAGCCCGGGATTGGGGATGGCGAATGAGGTCTCTCCTGAGAATCGTCGAATAGGAGGGCCCCGGGAGTGTTACAAGTCGAGCCACATGAGATAAGACCCCTTCGCCGGTGTCGTGTCTCGGAGAGATCTTGGTCTTTAATCAAAGTGGGCTGAGTACTCGGCACACGGCGGAGGAAAATACGGCGACCGTCGAAGGCGCTGCTGCGAACTGCTCTCTCTGCTGGTGTGATATGTATGCTAGCCCGGTGTGAGGGCCAGGATTGACGAGATCGCTGAGGCTCGTTTAAACTTCCCGGGTTGCAATAGCTGGTCGATCTCGATCAAGACAATGCAATTGTTGCGCGCCTCGAACCAGCATGTCGAGACAGGTCAATGCTTTGTAATATGATAGGTCATGCGTGCTCACGGCGACCCGACAATTGGCTGCTCAGGTTCGTGGTTCATACGCGGTGGTCTAGAGGCAGTGGACGAGTGTCCGTGGCTGGCTGGTGGCCTGGTTGGCTGGCTGGTTGGCTGGTTGGACTTTTTTCGTCCGTCTGCGTACGCGTGTGTAAGACGTCGTACAGAGGCGAGTGGGCACGCACACGCACACGAGACGCTAGCTTATAGCACGCACAAGCAAATGCAGTCTGAGAGTCGTACAGGTCCAATTGAGGCAAGGAGCGCATTCATTGCTCCCTGCCTTTCATCGCTCGGAGAATTGGTGCACACAGCAGCAATGTTCTGACTGACAGACCACAGACAGCGCAGATGAGAGCCTCGCCTACCCAAGCGAAGCACTTGGTCCGAACTCCGTAATTGCACGACATCCGTCCATACCTAGGTAGGGGGCTACAGCGAAAACAGCCCCTTCGAGCCACTCTTGCAGTGGGAAAACGAGTGCTCCTGCCCTTTCGCGGCAAGTTGCCAACCCGGGGCTCTGACTAAAACGCGACTTTTTGACTAACGCTCATGTGGCCAAGCGGAGCTGCAGCGAACCCATCGTGCGAATACTAAGCTGGTACGACTCTGGCGACAAAATTTTTCTCTTCTGTTTCTCTGGGTTCGCTGCACTGGCCGCTCCCAATTGGCAGGTACCTATCACACCTATCACCAGATCCAGGTCTCGGCTTGCTCACCGTGGCTGAACCAGGCAGTTGTGGTCACGGGGGCCTCCACTTGACTGGCATTGGTTTCTGGAAGGGCACTCGGCCATTTGTAAACCAGGACCCATTGGAGCGCCGCACTGCTGACCCTCAGGCCAAAGCGCCGAGTTAGCTGGCCACTGGCGTTCGATACCAGGCCCAGCCGCCAAAGGGCCACACTCCAGTGACGTTAGCTGAATCCGGGGAAGCTCTTAGCGGTGAGAGACCCGCTTGCCTCTTCCAGCGCAAACTTGGTCAATTGAGCAGCACTCATTCGTCAGCGGTCCTCCTGAGAGCTTGTCGCATGGAGGAGCCAAGGTCTCGTGATGTTGTTACTAGGCTGACCCTTGCACCATATCGAGCTCGTTTGAGTCACCTTCACATAAGGACACCTTGATCGTCTAGTCTGAGATCTCACACCGATGCCTGTAATTGGCAAGTGGTGTAAATAGAACACCACTCGGCAGACTCGGCATCTGGCCCGCAGGCGTTTTGCATTGCCGTGCCTGCATGGATCGAGTAGATCAGATTGACCGTTGTTACCTTCTAAATAGTGTTCCATACACGCATCGTCTGCAAGGGTCCGATATAGGTGGTGTCCATTCGGTTCTCGGTAACGGCTCCGCTCCGAATGTCAATTCCGAAAGCAGCCCGCCGCACACCGTGATGCTACATCCCCTGCGGGTACCAGAAGCACCCAAACCCACCCCACGGGATGGGCACGATTTGGTCTATAGCCTTGATTTTCAGCTATCTGCAGGGTATCTACCAAACCGAAATGGCACAGCCGCAGAACGAAACTCGACCCTATTGCCGGTTCGTCAACATGACCACCGCTGTCCGCCTCACATGCAATGCCACAGATCCTGTCCAAGCCCTTGGCCGGTGAAGAGTGCGCCAAGACGGACAAACAGCCAGGTAATGGGGATGGCTCGAGGTAGTGAAAATAAAAAACAATTCGATAAATCCCTTCGTTGCGTCGGCTTGCTGAATATGAGGAGCGGTGGCAGCAGCAGGGGACAGCCGGTGATCGTAAAGTCACTCGAGCCTCAACCGTGAAGCCGCCAATCGTGGTCCGCAACTTTTGTGTCCTTTAAAACTCCGATGCAATGCGAAAACATGCGCAACCAACCCCCAGATCGCCCTTGAATCCCAGATGTACAAGTCAAACCCCAGCAGCGCGCCTCCCCTAAGCCTGGACGAGCTTCTGGTCCAGCTGCCATCTTGTTAGCCTGATTCGTCGACGCAAGGCTGGCTTGGCCAGCCATCAGATCCCACTTACAAGGAAATCCCATATCATACGGGCCAGGTTGTCGGGCAGGGTGAACAGGTCAACCGAGAACTCGCCGGCTTCCATGTCATTCTTGGTGTAGGTGTCCTCCGTCTTGTGGTCGTGGATCATCTGGATGACGTGCAGAAGGTCATCCTCGCTCAGCTTGACGAGAGCCTCGGCCATTTTCTCGTAGTCGTGGCCGGCCTTTCTCTTCTTGCCGTCGTTGGCCTTGCGGACCTTGGCGGCCTTGACGTCGTCGTCGGTAGCGACGGGGCCGGTCTCGCGCAGGATCTGTAACAGGGCTTGGGAGGGGTTCTTGATCGAGATGTTCTGGATGACGTCGTACTTGGGCTTCTGGAAGTTCAGGTCGTGGAAGACGGTGGACTTGGTCTTCTCGGTCGTGTACATGTCGATCGACATCTCGAACTCACCCCAACCCTCATTCTTGCAGGTGAAGGGGGGCTCTGTGAAGGCTGTTGCGCTGGCGTCAGCATGCTGCGGAACGGCGACAGAGCGGAGGGGCAATGGGGGCAATTACTCTGGTTGGGGTTCTCGAACGAGGGATGCAGGTTGAAGGTGACCTTGTTGAAGGCCTTGGCCTCGTGCTCGTTGCCATCCTGGTCCAGCATGTAGATCTTGACGGTCCATTCCTTCATGGGGAACTCCGGCATGGGAGATTCCTTGTCACTGGTGGCAAAGCCGTATTAGTACCTCTTTTGACTACGTAGCGATTGGCCTGGAGCCACGGTGTTGCGCGAGAGCTGGGTGCTGCGGTCCAGCTCCACGGGCCCGTCGCCGGCGACTCACATGTTCTTCTGCTCGGTAACGAGCTTGACCTTCCGCTACAGTGCCATCAACGCGTTAGTCAGGAACGGGCGCAAGACGACACAGGCACGCGCGGATATCCGGCGTGGGCGCGGGACTTGGAAAGCATGTGGGCTTACTTCGATCTGCATCCTGGGCGGCGCCTTGCGTTTGAGGCCTACGGTGGGCTTGGGGATGGAGGGTTGGTCGGCTTGGAGGGAATCGAAATGCGCCGGAGTGTGTTTCTCGCGTCGAGGGTTGCGTCGCGAGGGGCCGGTGGGCTCGCAGTCGTGGTCGTCAAGCTCCCCAGTCAGAGCGCCGACGGCCATTGTGTCGCCTGGATCTTAGTTGTTCCGGTACGCGCCGGGCGTTAAGGTTGTGCTCAGGCGGCTGAGCTGCTGGGGCTGCTGGGGTGGGCGGCGTGCAGTGGCTGGGTTAGGGCGGCTTGGGCTGTGGTAGGGATCGCCGTGTTGTGGCGGTGCGGCGCTCTTTGTTCCTGAGGACCAGCCTACCAGGTAGATATCGAGGCAGTCACCAGTGACAACGGGGTAAGCAGTTAAGAAGGGTAGAGTGACAATGTGTCGATGAATTTCAGAGTTTTCGACGAATCTCGTTTGTGATGACGGTGGTCGAGGGCCAACAGAAGGATTGGCGTAGTAAATCGGGATTGGGATGTTGTAAACTGGAAGGCAGAGGGTGCTCTTCTGGTCTTGCAGTTGCTGGCCCGAGCTATGCTGTCCTTCAACGAACAATCGCTCTGGAAAGAATACCTCCGTGGAAGGTTGTACAATCACCTGCCCATCGTTAAATTAAATGCAAACAATCTGTAGCACCATTGAACGGTGCGACGGAAAGAGCGCGAGGGCAGTGTGCCTCACGCGATTGTCTCCGGGCACTTGCCATTAAACTCGATTGTTCGGGATAGGTTGGTATTGAATTCGATTGTCCTGGGTAGGTTGGCACATCTTCTCAGGGTAACAAAGTACGGGTTGCTGGTCAGACAAAAAGTGTCCCTGTGAAGTTCTTCCACAGCAAAGATTCCCCGGCTCCTCCGCCAACTGTGTAGGTTCTGTTCTCAGCATTGGCGCTGTTGGGCTCACATCACTGGGATGTCGCACTTAGAATACTTACCTCTGAAATGGCACAAATATGACGGTCCCCGTGTGAATTAAACGTTGGGTACTAGGTACAGAGGTTCCCGGAAAGATCAAAACCAGGAAGACGTTTCAGCAGTACAAGACCTTCTTTGAGCGCCACATGATGACGACTTCCAGATAACCTGTATGCTCTTATTTTAAACCAATATGGCACAGCAGAACTCCCTTTCTCGCCAGGGACTACTATATCTTCTTATTGCCATTTGTTTACCTCGACCGTGCAGTCCTCTCTCTCGGTGGCCGGATCCATGCATCAAGTTGGACTTAACGAAAGGTTACCAAATCAGGTAATTCCAACTAACCATGGGCATCTAGTCACGTCCGGTTTTGTTTGTCAATCTATTTCCGAATTGATTCTGCTGAAGTTGTCGTGTCGTATCGTCCCGTGAGAAACTAGGAACTCGGAAACATTGCAGCTTAGCCCTTCTCCACGTCATTGGGCAGAGGTTTGGTCAGGGCGGTCCACCACAGGCAGCACCCCCAGAACCGACTTTTGCAACCCAGGTGCCATCGACGCTACAACAGCAACATCACTCGACGATTGACTCATCAACCAAAGTGATGGGATCATCATTTGAAGACCTGTTGGGACGCGCCAATAAGCTGCGAGAGGAGCTTGAACTGTTTACGCAGCATGTCCGACGCACACATCGAAGCACAACTCCGCTTTCTCAGGTTGGCGCCAAGCTATCATCTTTGAAAGGGGATCTCCAGATTGAAGTCGACTTCTTGAAGCGGGAGCAAGGCAAACAAAGGCCAGCTAGCAGTGGCCATGAAGCCCCTCCTCCATCCAAGGGCCCTTCTGGTAGCAACTTGCTGTTTTTTGAGACGTTGTGGGACATCGCAAAGAGATCTACGGATATTTTCGACCTGCGACACAGAGTGTGTGTTGAACAGGTCAAGAAGCAGATACTTGCCCCTGGAAAGCGCATCGTACCTACGCTGGGGACCCAGATGGGATCCAAATTTCGTCACGCCCTTGTCGACTTGATAACAGACGGGGGCAGCACCTGGGTCAAGATCTCTACTATCACCAACCGGAGACTACTGTTTGACCTGGCGAAAGAGGCTGTTTTCTGCGGAGATAGCGAAGACGAAGATGCGCAGGGTTACAGTATAGATGACAACTTGGACATTCCACTCTTGAAATTGGCCAAGGAGTTAGCTCAAGCAGCATCAAATCATCGCATTCGCACCAAGACGCCGACTGTCCAGCTAGTGTTGCCACGCATCAGGCGTAATGAAAACAACGAAGTAGATCGCATCGTTGATATTTGTGGCGGAGCTGGAGTGGTGGTGCTTTGTAGCAACGATCTTGCACCGCCTCCAGATTTGTCCACTAAACTTATGGACATCATGTATCCAGATCCTCAAGCATCTTTTTCTACCACTCTCAATATCGACACTTCAGTAATCGTCGCTTTGACCTCGGATTTCTCACATTTCTCAGTTGAGAAGCAGGATTGGTTCGACCGGCAGCGAATCGCCCATTGCGACCAGGAGACAAAAGAACATTTTCTCACCGAGCAGGTCTACCCGCTTATTGGGAACCATGATCTGGTCTGCGTCAGAGAGGCTGTCGAGACCTACAAGCATATTGTCGATACGATCGGCACCCAGACGGAAAAGGCCCGGGCTAAGCTGATTCTCAATGATGACGCGTCCAAGTCTCCTGATCAGTTGGCCGAGGGACTTCGGGCCTTGTCCGAACATCAGGTGCCTTCGTCCTTACGCCTTCCAATAATAACTGTTGATAGTAACAAGGACGGATGCCAGAAGGATCTTGGTACGGTGGCGAAGCGGGTGTTGGAGACTCAGTTGAATCCCGGCCGGTCCGTTTTTTCCTTCGGCTGGGCCGCTCGACTCACCACCATCACGTGTAATGGCGTTGCCACCAAGCAGCTAGCACACGGGTTAGAGAAGTTCCAGAACCTGGATGATACGGCGTGGCCTTCCATCTGGGCGTGCTCCTCGTCGCGGCCCCTCCTCGGTGTTCCCAAGGCAAGCAAGTCCAAGAAACACATCGGCGATTGCGCTACGAATGGATGCACCTGCGGCGTAGAAAGTTCCTTGCAGAGCAGGAAGGAGCGTACTGAGTAGGTATGTAGGCATGTGGAATATTCGCGGCTATCCCGTGGGAATGCAAGCTAAGCCCTTAGACGGAATAGTCTTGCTTCAGCCTCGCGTCTGTGGGGGACTAAGGAGGCTGTATACGACGATTGTGCTGACGTAAGACCTTCTAAAGCCCCTTGCACACCCCAGCTGCATGGAGATGGATGCCCATCCCTTGGGTACTTTGTGATAATAGCAAAAGTCTCACAAGGGGAGAGAGATATATACAGTCATCCTTTTAACATCCATCCCAAAGGGCTGCAAGATGCCTCACGAACATCATGACACTGTGATGTGAGACTACTAGATCCTTCAGCTTGCCTTCGCCTTTCTGATTTGTAACCGAACCACAATTCCAAAGTATTTAAGTGTACCATGTCCTCTCTCGATTGCGGTTATCTTTCAAAGGCGCTTTGCTTGGCCTGAAAACTTGTTTTTATGCTGTCTCGCAAGGGATTTTCTTCTTCTCCGATGTGTACTATTCATGCGACAGCCTTGAAGGTTGATTTCTCATAGCTCTTCTTCTCGCCAACCCCCAACATATCCATATTCCCACGCACTTACCTTCCATTCTTTAATATGCCGCGGGCTGACACAGGCGTCCGCTACGTCTATCACTGGCACTGCTGCGATTGCGGCAAAAGGGGACTCGGTACAAACGAGACATTTTGTCCACAATGCGAGCACCCGAGGTGCAGCTACTGCGCTTACACGCGAATCAAGATTCATTGATCGCCTGACAGACCGCTCGTCCACGCGAGTTTCTATTTTCCAACTTTGTTACCTACCTGCGTGTATTGCTTTACTTTGGAGGAGGGGCCATAGACTATAGAGATTGATACCAGACCATGGAGACTTCGGACAGCTCGGGGGACGAGATTTGATTATCAATTACATACATACCGCCCTCAATACACCGCTACGCCTGCAAGGCTGAACATAGCAAATATGACCCCGATGCCCGCAAACCAAGTAGCACTTCGGGCCAACGCCCATCTCGGATCATCTTGAAGAATTACATAGATGAGATTGTACAGAACCCTCGTGCCCAGGTAAACTAGTGACAGGACATTCGCCACCCTGGCGTCCACTGCAGCTATGTTTACGGAGGCGACTGCCGCAGCGTAGAAAGCTATGGTCTCGAGACCATTTGCGAAAGCGCTCTCGGCCCGCAATATGCGAGCTTTGATCTTCAGTGTCATTCTGTCAGCATCTCGGTGTCAAAGGTAGTTGTTGAGGGGCAGCTTGCTTTGTATTCCAGATCATCGGCGTCCCGCACGGAAGGCTGGTAAGCCTTTGGGTCCGCGGGATTGAGATATCTGCCACCGAGCGCGAAACTGTAGAGCTTTGGTATGAAAAGAAGAACAAAGGCCGCAGGGACCTGGTGGAGAGTCAATAAACGAAGAGGCGCTTTTGGCCCTGGGTAACCTACGGTGAAGAAGGTGAAGTTTCGGTCAAAAGCTTCCATGATAGTAGCAGCTACGACTTTGTGGACAATCCAAGAGCCTTGTCCGACTGCTGAACTTTGGTAAGGCTGTCTGGTCACTTTGTCAAGAAACATCGGGCTCGGCGCTGATTGCGCTGGTGAGCTTGTCGAGCTGAGGGACTGCCTCTTCCACCCTTGAAACATCGCATGTTTCGGAGCATCGCAGCCGTAACGCGTTGCACTGCAGAGGCACTCCACTTCAAGATAGGATTAGGTGCGATGCCACAATATTATTGTCCATGATACTCACAAATTTGAAAAACCTGCTCTACTGTGAGCTATACAATGATTGTGGAGGTAACTTTGGCCGACGAAGCAGGGGTTGCCGTGAATACGGTCAATTGTTGGTGAGTATTGATTTTGCCAGGACTTTCGGCCAGAAACAACCCATGTTTTAACCGATACATCCTTCTCTCAGTGCTGTCGCCGAAAAGCGTTGAGAGCTACCCAGTAACGGCCTTTTAACACCCCAATACACGAGTCAATCTTGTTACATCGGCATGAACAGCTTCATACACTACAAGTTCATCATCGGCTTAATGGACGGTCCATCATCACCCGGAACCACAGCTACAGGACACTGCCCTCGGTTTCCGGTGCACATGTGCGATATCCTACCATATCGTTGCTCTTTTAAGTACAGGTATGGCTCATCAGCGACCGTAGCCCTGTTCTACTAAAACTCGATCCACAGGACCCCGTAGAGTTGACAAACAGACGTCGAACGGACGAATTTGTTCCGAAGAGCAAAGAACTGATGCTCCGCAGTAAAGCTATTTTTGGCGACAACCTGTACAAAGTCCGTACTAAATGGGGCAACTTTGTGGCTTTGCCCCCGGAGCTAGTTGATGGGCTTCGTAATAATCCTGGTCTGGGACAACGCGAGTTGGTCATAGATGTGAGTCACTGATTACAATGGGATATCCTTTTTATTAGTGTTGGAAGTCGAAGAATTGTTGCGGATGTATCTCCGGCTTGAACTTTTCATTCCTAATCGACTCTGTCAATGCTGGTGACTAGAAGTTTAATCAAGGTGCGGAGTGCAACTACATACTTACAATGAGCATAGACATGATAGAGAGTGCTAATTTGAGTATTGCCTAGCGAAACGCACAAGGCCAATTTGCCAAGTAGGGACTTGAGTCCTTGTGATTTACTCATACCCCGCAAGTAAGCATGAGCAATGTACCTCGGGATAGTAAAAGCTAATCAGTGACCTAGGGCTGGCATATACTTAGTCCTAGAGGAGGAAGTCATCTGAGATGCATCTCCTTTGCCAATAAAACTATCTCGGTGTTCATACCTAACAAGGAGCACCACCACTAACACCCAACAGAAGGTGACTGTTGAGTACAGTACCCGGGCTTGGTAAAGAATACCACCGGCTGGAATTAGCAGTGGAGTCGGGTGAAAGGCAACACCTCGATCCACTATAATGTTGGCGGCGTCCTTTCTACGGCCCGATGAGGGAAATAAAGTCATTCGGCAAAGCTAGCAATAATGCCGGCAAAATGCCCGACTTTCCCAGAGGTGAGGATAAGTTGATATACTAGATTACGGCCACCGGCTCCAACTTGATGTGCGATTTCTATCCTCTCTGCAACCATCAGCTTATCATTTCCGTACTACCACAAATGCCTTCGTTCCCCTGTCCTTTGTTTAGACTAGATAAGACAAGCCACGCCACACGAAAATGGTTTCCCCTTAATGTTTCAAGGCTGCTTTCAAATCCTTGTTCAGGACATCAGGCCATTTGTGCATATCGTATGCCTACTGCCGGTTCAGCAATGCCCCAACCCTTCAGCGCCGACACAAGTCTGTCCAGGGCCATCAACACGTAATGTTTATCCATTGGCCAAAGTTAGGGCACGTGGGTTGCTAGTTACGGAAGAGGACCGATTCATTTCCATTGCTTTGTTAAACAGGCGCTGCGAACATCCAATTTGATTGTTGAGTTTCAACGTGGGAAGTGCACAGCGAAGACAAGGTACGTATGTATCACGCAGACGTAACGCACGGAGCTTAAACGGCTCTTAACGACTCAGACTAACGGTGCAAGAATAAGCTAGGTCCTTTGACCCTTTCCCGGACGCCACATATTCCGGAGTAGTTTGCAATTAAGTTTAAAACGCAAAGTCATAAAGCCAGCCAGCTCTATATTCTAGACACCGCATTCCCACCTCCAACCACGGGCCTAGTTGTGATACATATTCGTTAACATAATTGTTGAGGGAGAGGAGGTGCCCGAGCGTTAACGTCGCTCGACTTCGAATCTAGTTCATGGATCGTCTGTTGAACTTCGTGTTGAGATACTTCGAGTGCGTGGATAAGAAATCCGAGTTGGAAACCCTGGCATGGAATGAATCGTGAACCATCTATGGTCACGGAACAAGACATGTAGGGGGCGGCATCCGTAAGGCATCTGCCGCCGCTTTGCACTTCGCGGAGAGTATTGAGTGCATACGAATAAGCCGAGTCCAGCCTGAGATAGCAACTAAGCACCACCAGGTCCGTGGCCCGATGCTCTCTCTGCGGCTGGTTCTGGTCTTCGCCGCTGCCGATGGCACCTAGAAGGGTCGCCAGCCGTTTGAGCTCAGTGGTCATGTCCAAAAGCTTCCCGAATTCCAGGTTAGCCGGTACTAGGCTGGAATCTTTGCCAGACGTACTGCTGGAATCCATGGTTGCTGAGCCATGCTGTGTCGAGGGCGACGCGTGACCAGTCTGTGACAGATGCTGATGGAGGGCCATCGTAAGGTCACACAGCTGCTTCACCAGTTCGGACTCCTGCGGACCGGCGTAACTTTGGCTGATTTCGTTGTGCCCGGGAACCATACATCCACAGCTTCCTACAGCCCCTGGATGCGTGCAGTCGATAGTTATAGTGCCATGAGTGGTGGGATTGACTGTTCGGGAAGAATCTCCCACCGAGGCTGGTGCTGCATCATAATAGTAGGGGCTCAATTGTGGACTCAAAACGCCATCCTGGCCGATTGGGGGCATGCTTGGGCAACTATCAAGGAATGCCGAGTCAGTCTCAGATTTATTCCGGAAACCGCCTGAGAACGGATCCAGTTTCATGAAACAGCCATACTTATCCAGTAAATCCCAAACGTCATCCTGAGCATCTGTCAATAGCGGATCGATCGATGATGGAGACCTGCCCGAGGATGGGAACGTCATGCTGTCGGCCGGAGGAGAGTTTTGACAGAAATTATGGGTGGACATGGGGTCTGTCATCGGGTTGGAAATCGCCGTGGTACTAGGATTTCCACGCGTCGGCCCAGAAGAATATAAACTCGCATCTTGTCCACGATTTTTACTATCATCACCGCCATCGATCGATTCGTTCGTAGAAGTCAAATCACTGCTGGGTACGAATCCAGCAGGACGGCGCCCCCTGGGACGTGGACGTGGTATCACACACGTTGTTTTGGCCCTGATGCATCGGCGGCATACCCCGGAGTTGTCGTCAAAGAAGCAGCGCGTCTTTTGCCCACGGCAGCGCTGACACGCCGGCCTGCTCATTGCATGTTGTCTTTCAAGATAGTATTTTTTCTTGCCGCTGCGACCTTTGCCTCGACCTTTGCTGTTGATGCCTGTGGCAGGAGTCCGTGGAATAAGTAAGATAAAAGTGGCGATTGCTGGATTAAGAGAATGACCTCAGTGAGAACCACGAGAGGGCTACCGAAAGACTTCCAAGAAATCCACAGCTGCCTCTTCAAAACTCTACTTAAGTATACTGCATGCTCGAACCTACAAAAGTGGGGGCGCCCTGGTTTGTGGCATGTTAACCTGGCGCGAGATTCCTCAGCATAGAGCCGCCCAGGATGCGGCTAACGCATTCAAGAACATTGAAACTTGGGAGGTATATGGAGGCCAAAGTAACTTTGCCATACCTACTATCACGGCAAATGCAGGATGCAACTTCTAGGACCATCCCTGCTGATCTCACCCCTGGTGTAACTACAACAAACGACTTCGAACTCTAAAACCTAGCGCCCTATCCACTTTTGCGGCCGAGCCGTTCCGTCCCGTGCTCTGGTTCCCGCGGTCACCCAGATGTTTGCGCTTTGCTGCAGAAACTCTAAACCAGTAGCATATGGTCGCGAATGGGTTAGCTACGTCGCAGTCGACGCAAATGTATGGAGTCCTCAAGTCCTGGAGTTAAGAAGCGCTTGGCGCGGCTGCGAGAGACGGGAAGCTGTACGCAGTTGAGAAAAGCCTCACGAACGTGGAAGAGTCTGGCCATGTCACGGATCTTTTGCACCGAGTCAGGGGATGGCCAAGTCACAACCCATGTTGTGCATACTAACCCCCGTCAATGGGCGTCATCTGTCTTGCTAACCGAGGTCTCTGTCGGCAGTCTGTCGAAGGCTCTTCATGATAGTTGTATAGTTTCGCAGAAGCACCCCTCAAGCACATCTCGGCCGGTGTGAAAAGAGGTGCGCAAAGACGTGTTTTCAACTCTTTTTACAGCTGATTGGAAGCAGGCGGATCTCCTCTAGACTCAACATTAAAGTTATGCCCAGTATAGGGAATTACGTATGCTGTGGAATCCATATGCATGTTGTTTCTAAACTCCGGATGGCTTTCCCATCGAGCTCCATATAAATATCTAACCAATTTCTGACGCTCCGACCTTGGCTAGAGATTTGTTACTACGTTGCATGCGTTATCTCTTCATCTACACGAAAATCACTGCCTGAATGATGAAATCTCTGACCACACAATACTGAGAAGGGCGAGATACTATTATACCACCGAGGCGATAAGGACAGTTTGTCATTTCGTTCTGTCTGTCTTTTCTTTCTCCTACAGACCAAAGGGATACGTACATCCCGCGAGTGATACCCGTTAGAATTTCCGAATAAACCTCGCCTCATTATCCAACATCTCCGCGCCCAAGGTGAATGCCGGGCTCCCATCGAAGCCGTGGGGTACGCCGGGGTAAAGGTTAAACTGCACGGCCACATTCTGTGCGGCAAGCCTTGCTGCATAGCTAATGCACTCGTCCCGCAATAGGTCTAGACTACCGACACCTATATGTGCCGGCGGCAACCTCTGCATGTCTTCCGCCCTAGCAGGCGCAGCGAGGTACGGCACTTGTCGCTCGGGTGTTAGCCGTCGTTGTCCGGGCGGACGGAGTTCTGCGTACTGCTCACCGGTCTCTCGGGACCCGACTGTTCTGCCCAGGTACCCCTTCCACAGCATTTCGCCGACCCCTGGCGATGACACCAGGTAAGGGCCCCGTGGATCTGCAGGGTCGAGCCTTGTCCGGTCATCCAACATGGGATATCGAAGGACCTGCGCTGCGATGGGTGGATCGAGGCCATCGTCCCTGGCCTTGAGCGCCGCCGCCGCTGCCAAGTTCCCGCCGGCACTAACGCCAAGCAGAACGATCCGCGCGGGATCGACGTTGAACTCTCCGGCGTGGGCCTGCAGCCAAGCGACGGTCGAGTAGACATCCTCCAGCGCCGCGGGGAATGGGTGCTCCGGGATCAGACGATAGCTTGGCGCAAAGACCTGAGTCGCCGACAGGTGGGCGATGTGGGCGATGCTGTTGCGGCTGATCTCCACGCTGCCGGCGACCAGGCCGCCGCCGAAGAGAAAGACGATGGCTCTCTGGGCAGTTCCGCTGCTGCTGCCGCTGCTGTCTTGGGCGGCGAGGGGCACGAAGCGCGTGACGCTAATCTCCGAGCCGTCTGTGGACGTCGCCGTGCGTATACTCTCCGTCACCCCGGCCGGGTAAGGGACAGTGGAGTAGGCAGCCTCCATTGCCCCGTTGAACTGCTCTCGCACCTCGTGCAGGTCCGCCGGCGGGGCCAGCGATTCCCGCGTTGGGGGCGCCTCGCCACCTAGGAGCGCCCAGTAATCCGGGTGGACAAAATTGGGACGTGACATGGCAAGACTAGAAGATTTGTTAGACAGTCAAAATTGATGATAGAAGTGTCGCCTTTTCAAAAGGATAGGACCGTAAGATTCACATTTTATAACTTGCACTCTAGTCCCTCGCTTCCTACAATGCTATGGAGTTGTTGAAGGTTCGGATTGGCTAACTTAGACGCGGTATTATGGCACAGTTGACGAAAGGGCGGACATGGGTAGTTGACAGTAAGGAAATGATAAATGATAGATCTAAATGATAGATCTACATAACCCCTCGATCCGCGGATATAAACTCTACAAATGACCCGGATTTGCTGTAAACAGATCTTGGGATCATGATTAAATCCGTCGATTTACTATGACAATATCAGTGCCTGTTTTTCGAATGTCTCTTCTTGACTTTTGGTGAGATGGGTGCGCATTCTATCTGCCCAGGACTACCCCGCAGCCTCAGCGAACCAATCTTGCCATGGGCATCTGACACAATGATAGTCCCTTTACCACTGGATGATAGCATTGTTGATCTTGGTATTCCAAAGCTGCGCACAGACACACTTACTCACTTGCACGCAGGGAATTACCCTGACAAACCCACGCGCTCAAGCCAGCCGAGTGCCCGTAGAGCGATACGATACTGCTCAGCACACTCTATATCACTGGCACTAAAATAATGATGATCCACCTCGGCCACAGGCCCGCCAAGGATTGTTTGTTCCAACTGACGAATGCGATAGTGGCAGAAGTAGAGATTAGCAGCCTTACCTTTCTAATTGGCGGGATAAGAATATGCAATGCAGGGGTTCTGTTCGCTCACTGCAATATTAGCCCACGCAAAGCCATTCAGACCTAGGCCACGTGTTTATGCAATTGGGCGAATGCGATGGCGGCAGTACCTGCGCAATATGAGACAACAATTTTCACTGCAAATTTAACCCACGCAAAGCCGACCACAGCGCCTCCTTACCAAGTCTTCCACGTCGGTTGTGCGATTGCTAATTACCGCCGCTTTCAAAACACAATCTCTGGATAATAATATGGGCTACGTACGGTGCTTTGATATGTTGCTTAGAGTAGCAAATGCTTAGAAAGCCTCTCGAGATTCCTCGTCACTGATGGATTGGTGGAACCTGCCAGATCTTGACTCGCGTGTATCATTCTCAAGGTATCAAAAGCCGGTCTTGCAATATGCTCCTGTAACTGCACACTGGTATGATGAAGCAGGCAAAGCTGCACCCGACTTGGGCAATGAGTTGGAACAGTCCTTCGACGTCCGGTGCATCGCGTGCTTGGGAGCCTGTTCGTACAATCAAAGGCTTATGCATTCCCAATCAGAGGCGATTCGTTCACACAACAAGCAAAGAAGGCTTTTTAGCAGCTCATTATAACATCATATTCATCGTCGACTCGAACAGCTAAGGTACATTTGAACCATGCAGGCGAGAAAGAACTCAAGTGAGTAGAGGGAGTTGAATTTGTGCTTGTGCTTGTGTCTTGTAAAAGAAGAGAAGCCGATCCATTCAATCAGGCGTCCTTGCCCAGCGATCCGGCCATCCGCACCAGTAGCAGGAAACTTCGTTTGTCTACATTGCTTTTCTCTGTCTCTCTCTTATTCCAAAAGTCGCAAAAGGGCGAAGAATGAAGGGGGTGGGTAGGATGCGTTCGTGCTTCCTTGGGATATAAACAAAAAGTGGTAGGGGGTATGATGGTTGCAAATCAGGTGGATCTCAATCCGTAACGCCGAGCCGATGCAGAGGGAGTATAGTATGTGCCGCGAAGGGGATATATGAATTACTCAGGAGGAGGCATGCACGCCGGCAGCACCCTGCGGGTGTGCGTCCAGATCGACCTCTTCCACCATCCTGCGGTGGGCGGCGCTGTCGCGCACGAGGTTGCCAAAGTACTTGAGGGCGACCTCGCTCTCACCGCGAGTCTTCAGGGTCTCGTCACGACGAGCCCCCAGCTGCTCCACCGAGCGGGTGAGACCAACCCGAAGGTTATCTGCGGGGAAGCGCAGGACCTTGCGGACCGAACTCGAGATTCGGGCGCTGTTGGCATGCACGTAGTCGATGGCTTCAAGCTGCGTGGAGATCTTGGTCGACAGCCTGTGAGGCAGCGACTGCGGGACCTGCTGGAGAACGTAGGCGGCGGCGGAGACAACTAAGACACACGTGTTAAGAGAGCTTGACTAAATCCAAAATGGTATGCATGTTTTACTTACCCGCAACGATGAGGCCAGGCACAATCAGCCGTCGTAGATTGTCGTTGCCCAGGACCTTGGCCGCACTGAGTGCGTGGTCCATCCACCCATACCCTCCGATGAGTCGGCCGCCGAGAGCGGTAGCGACAGTCAAAGCCATACCAGTGCCAGCGACCTTCTCCTGGCGCTGCACCAGGGTCGACCAATCGACAAAGTCCCACAGTTCAGTAGGAATGTCAATCTGCTTGGCAAGAGCATCTCGCCGTCTTCGGAACATGACATCGGATCGGAAGTTGAGGTCGTGATATTCGTCGCCGAGGTGCAGAATTCCCAATTGCTTGATGGCGTTGACGCCGCCAACGGTCTTGGCGCGAGCGTGTTCCTCACAAGTAGTCACAGATGCCTGGATCTCTGACAGCATCGCTTCCTTCAGATCTTCGGCGAACTGGAAGGCGTTAAAGATGCCGTGGTAGGGAACGCCCAGGTTGCTCTCGCCAGCATTGGTGATGGCTGTGTTCAGGGTGTTTCTCGTGTGGTCATAGATCTCCTTGCAGGTCTCCTCGATGGTTTGATCGATCTCATCGCCAACTTCTGCCTTGGCCTTACGGGAGGCATCGAGCAGGGGCTCGATCTCTTGCAGGGCATTTGTTACCCTGTCAAGCTCAGCTTGAGCTACCTGGGCGTTGACGTTGGCGAGCACATTGACGTCGTTCAGGATGTTGGTGAGGTACGTCTTGGCAGGCGCCAGCTTGGACCTTGCACGCTTCTCCAGGACAAATCTTCGAAGTGACTGTTCCAACCTCTCGAAATCCTGGATCTTCTCCTTGTCTTTACCTTTGCCCTTAGGGTCATCACTCGGGTCATCCCCGCCTCCGCCACCGCTCGAACTGCCGCTGCCGCTTCCGTCAGGGCCGCCAGGGGGCGGTGCCGTTGGTACCGCGTTGCTCGACACAAAGTGGACCAGTTCGGAAGACTCCTTGAATGTTCGCGGGCTGAGACCTTGTACTTGGTCGAGAATCATCTTCTCGCACCTCTCCTTGGCACGAATGCCATCAAATCCGTTCACCACGATGAACAGGTAAGCCTTTTCTGCTGCGGCCGCCCAGATAAACTCCTTGGCCGTCATGGTGAAGTGGTTCGCTGCGGACACCACGAAGACGACCACATCGATCTCTTCCTGCCGGGCGAAGACGGCTGTCGTCTTGGTCGTATCCGAGTTCAGGCCTGGAGCGTCGATCAGGGCAATATCAACGACGCCGTTGGTTAGTAGAGACTCGTCGATAGAGCGTACGTCGCGAACGTAGACCTTGCACTGCATATAGTGGGTGTTGTCCAAAACGATATCCTCCAACTTCTGAAGCGGGAAGACATCGTATGTGGTCTCGTCGTGGCGGTTGTAGGTGGCGTCCTTGTGAACGGCGTGGACCTCCTCGACACCACCGTTTTCCCTTGCTGCATCCAAGACCTCGCAAAAGATGCTGGTACAGGGCTGCTGGTCCTCGGGCAGGATCTTCCTGCGCAGGAGCGCATTGCAGAAGGTGGACTTGCCGGCATTCAGATCTCCAGTCACCAGCACCTTGCTCGATGTGTCGTCGATCCTCTCCCTCAGGGACTGTAGATGCTTGATGGAAGAGCTGATCTTGCCGTCCAGCAAGGAAGCGATGGAGCCTTTTTCCAACGAGTGCACCAGCTCGGCCTGGTGCAGGGAACCTAGCTTCAGGTCGAGCTTGAGGATGGAGAATTCCTGGGCGATCTGGGGGGAGACGAGCCTGGGCTCGGGAGCGGTCTTGGTCTCGGCATCCCTGCTGGATTCGGCGGCATTGTAGTCGTCGAAGCTGGTCATGGAACGGCGCAGACCGGGGGCGCGAGCACTCGACGGTTCACCGACCATGGAGTGCGTCTGATGGAAGTTTGGTCTCGACGAGGACGAGGGTCGCCGTTGGCGCTCTTGCTCTCGCTGGCGTTCGGGGGAGGCGGTCTCGGCTCGCTGCACGGAAGGGTAGTGGGCGGGCCAGGTGACGTTCATCTCCTGGAGGTTCTTGAGCAGATCGACGGCCTTGTTGATGGAGCGGGCGAGCTTGAGGCGCTGCTGGTTGTACCACAACTGGTGGATAGCGGCATCCTGAGTCCTGCGCTCGGCGTCGGCGTCGGCATCGGCGTATGCGAGGGACGAGGAACCCAGAGGCATGTCGGCCATGCTCGGGTCAGTCCGCGGTGAGCCGAGAGGCAGCTTGGCGGCGTTGAAGTCGCCGTCGGCCATGCTGCCGCCGTAGCCGGAGTCGTTGTCGAGGAGCGACTGCAGCCTGGCGGCGTGGTGCGAGGTCGAGCCGGTGCCGACGGTGACGAAGCCAGGGCCCGAGGCGCCGGCGGTGTTGGACGGGCTGTCGGGGTTGCCGTTGACGTCGACGTCGTCGCTGTGGTTGTCGATGTCGCGGGAGGCGCTCGGGGCCTTCCCCTTGGGCGGAAAATAGTCTTGGGTCATGGCTAGACGTCGGGATCCATTGGCCTTGTCGGGCGGGACGAGAGAGACAGAATGGAAGGCGATGTGTAGTTGTAGGTGTAGGCTGTTGTTGATGTCGGCCGATGATACGATGATGAGGAATGGATGGGGAGCTCTTTTCTGCGGTGTCCCGGGCGGTCCTCCTGCATTGAGCCTCAAAGAAGGCGAATTTCGGGATGGGGGCGTTGATTGGTCATGGACCGCGACGGCCGTGGAGCGTCGGAAAAACACGTCATGCACTGAGTGGGAATCCCATTCATTCTCATCAGCGCACAGGGTCCCATACCAAGATTCTCACGGGAAATGCCGACGGCGGCTCGCCTGGCGATGGTGAGTGCCAGCTGGCCGAGCTTCCAGTGCAGCCCGGCACCAAATTTCAGGTGCTGTGGCAGCGTGGGCGGACTGCAGCACTGAGTTCCAACGCCGCTACAGGCCTGCAAATCCGGGGGGCGTCCACTGGGTGCCCTCGCTAACCCAGTTACGTAACCGCCCAAGGGTAATGTTCCTTAGGTACCAAGCAGCTAGCTCACTGCCAAACACAGCGCTGCATGGGGGGGATGGGATAGCACTCACTGGATGGACTCCAGCTCTCCCGCCAAGCAAACCGGCCCAGCCAGCGAAACAAGGCGAGACGAGGTGACGATATCCCGAGCTTCTGCGCAACCCGGTCCAGGCACCCGCTTTCTAGATTGACCAAGACAACGGCAGCCATCTACGACAACACTCCCCTCTCCATCTACCCCCGCCAATCCGTCCCTCGCGATCAGATACACGGGCGGCGCATTGTGCTCGGCAGCAGGACACCACGTACCCGTACACCACATTCGGCCTGTGATTCGGGGAGGAGCTTATCTATCAGCAGTCCAAAAACACCATGAATGTACGCCCAACACCCAGCCAGCCAGCTAGCCAGCCAGCCAGTCCGCCGTGGCAAGCTGGCATTCTCGCACACGACATGGGACCATCATCGCTGACACAATCGTGCACAGATCCTCGAATGGGCCTTTGGCAAGCGCATGACGCCCGCCGAGCGTCTGCGCAAGAACCAGCGCATGCTCGACAAGGCCATCCGCGAGCTCGACCAGGTCCGCGTCAAGCTCGAGAAGCAGGAGAAGACCCTCACCACCCAGATCAAGCAGAGCGCCCAGAAGGGCCAGATGGGCGCCGCCAAGATCCAGGCCAAGGACCTCGTGCGCACGAGGCGCTACATTGAGAAGTTCTACGGCATGCGGAGCCAGCTGCAAAAGATATCCCTACGTCTACAGGTACATATATATATATATATACTCGTGTATATGCATTATATCGGCTCTTCCGAATTGCTGCTAACTGTCACCACCCCCCAATTAGACACACCGGACAAACGAGCAGATGATGCAGGCCATGAAGGGCGCCACCACTGCCCTCGGCAGCATGAACCGCTCCATGAACCTGCCCGCTCTGCAGCGCATCGCCATGGAGTTCGAGCGCGAGAACGACGTCATGGAGCAGAGGCAGGAGATGATGGACGACGCCATTGACGACGCCATGGACGTCGGCGTAGAAGAGGAGGGTGACGAGATCGTGGAGCAGGTCCTGGAAGGGTTAGGCGTCGATCTCAACCAGGCCGTGAGTATACCCCTACGAGACTATCTATTTTTTCACAACAACTAACGACGCGGCAGTTTGGCGAAACCCCAACTGGCCTGCAAGCCGAGAAAGCCCCCGAAGGCAGAGTCGCCCAAGCAATCGGAGGTGGCGGCGGCGGCGGCGGTGTTGGCGGCGACCCTGGCGATGATGACCTACAGGCCCGGCTTGATAGTCTGAGGAAATAGTTGGTGCCTCGTCGCCAGTCTTTGGAGGATAGGATATCCGCCTGATATCAGAAGATCAGGGGGTGGTTAGCCACCACCAGACGCCTGTTGTTTTTCTTGGGGAAAGCTCTGCATTACTTGTTAAAGGAGTTCCGGTCCATCATCCTGTGTTTTGGCACACCTTTTTTTTTTTTGCGATACAGCTCATATACTACATTCTGCACCAGACTCGTCGCGTTACTCCATGGCCATCTTCAATATTTCCAAAACCCCGTTCTTGTCCAGGGGCGCAGGGTTCGACTTGACCCAGCGGTCGTGCAGGCTGTGTTCGGCGATGCCATCCAGCTTGTCCTCGCCAATGCCAAACTCCTTCAGCGTCCTCGGCATCCCCAGGGCCCGGATGACCGCATCCATCAGATCGCCGAGCCCGGCCTCCCCCCTTTCCAGGCCCTTCTCCCGGAAGATGCCCGCCGCCTCCGGCTGCTCCCACAGCAGCCCCACCACGGCGTCCTGCCGCTCCCGGTTGGCCCCCTTTTCGTAGTTGTACCTGCACACCGGCGGCAGCAGCACGCAGCTCGTCTCCCCGTGCGACACGCCCACGGGGCCCAGCTGGTGCCCGATGCCGTGGCTGGCCCCGAGCGGCACGCCGCGCGAGCACGCGCTCATGGCATCGACGACGCCGAGCTGGCACTGCAGGCGGGCGTCGTCGAGCCCCGTGGTCCCTTCACCATCACCATCACCACCACCCCTCTCTGGCCCCCGCGCACACCGCAGCAGCCCCGGGATCAGCCGCCGCAGCCCGGCCGCCGCGTCCGCGTCCGCCGCCTCGTCGCTCGCCAGCGAGCACAGCGTCTCGACGCAGTGGTCGACGGCCTTGACCCCCGTCGAGAGCCAGACGTGGCGCGGCGTCGCGGCGCACAGGGCCGGGTCCAGGACCACGAGCGCGGGCGGCGCGACCCCGGGCCCGGCGAACGACCACTTGCGGCCGGTGCCGTCGTGCGTCGCCCCGCCCGTGGCCGAGTACTCGGCGCCCGACAGGCTGGTCGGCACGCAGACCACGGGGACGCGCGGCGGCCGCACCTCCTCCCCGCCGGTGCGGCTGCCCGGGTGCGCCGCCTCGAGCTCCGCCACGGTGCACACGTCGTTGGCCAGGCACAGCGCGATCACCTTGGCCGCGTCCGTCAGGCTGCTCGCGCCCAGCGTCACCAGCAGGTCGGCGCCGGCGCGCCGCGCCGCCGCCGTCATCTCCAGGATCTCGCCCCAGTGCGTGTGCGGGCGCATGCCGACGCGGACGCCGGCGAGCCGGGTGCCCAGGGCCGCCTGCAGGTTCGCCACGTGCGGCGTGTCGCGGGCCAGCGAGGCCGAGGCGATCAGGTACACGCGCGAGGCGCCGAAGGTGGACGCGGCGTGCTGTGCTACCGCCGTGGTGAAGGGCAGGCCGTGGCTGAGCAGGGGTTTGGGCCGGCCCGGGAAGGCGGGGTGGAAGGTCTCGGTCATTTTTCTGGGGGACACAGACACAGGGGGGAGGTGGATGCTTGGTGCTTTGAATTGATCTCCCGGTATGGAGTCTCGGTTCTCTGTTTCGCCAGAAATACAGTGTGGTATTATGGGTGTATCTGGATGGCTTGGTGCAAGACTATAGTGCTCAGTGCGAACTGCGGCACGATGACGACATTTACGATAGGGTCCCACTGAGTATAAGACCTAAGTAGGGTAGGTATACATGCCTACGTACCATCTAATGTGTGACCACGCACGCCTTGGCTGATGCAGTGGATGGAAGACGTGCGGCTTTACGAGCTCACAGTATAGCAGTATACAGTATAGGATGAAGAAGCGAATTAATTCCGCCTTTCTCCACAACTCGCCTACATTACCAAGCAAGCACGCCAACATAGTCCCCACGTTAGGATAGACTGCAACTAAACTCGTAGTTCTCCGCTGCTGCCGGAGGGAGTGCATGATTCAGCGGCCCATCCGACGTGGCCTCCTGACGCCTCCGTCTATCTACGTACGACGACTAGCCCCAGATCCGTGGGTTGGCTTACGAGCCGTCTCGAGTCGAGGGTGATGCTTGGTCGACCTACACAGCATGTATCGATATGCAAAGATGCGACTGGTTTCAAGGGAGTCCAAGTCTTCTCGCAGTGGTAAAGAGAAGCTGGAGAGGGCGTAGCTAGGCACAGTACCTAGGCCATTACCTTATCTACCGGCACAGTAAAGCCTCGAGCTTCCGAGTGCAACGTCAAAACGTTGGGATGTGACCCGGATCGCTGCCTCCCCCGGCAGCCCGCTATCGCGTGTCCCCTAATCTCCGAGGCAGAGACGGACAGCGGTCGAGCGAGCGGGCGAGGGGCCGCTGCTGCGAGATGCAAGTCCACAGGCGTCTGGACGTGCGTGCACGGGCCAGATGTGTTCCCCTCGTCCCGCAGGCCCCGTAGGCCCCGTGGACGATGAGTGGACAGCCCAGGTCCCAGATCGATCACGTACAGCACCTACAGCCAGCAGAGCAGGAGGTTTGATTGATTGATCCCACGACCCAGACGCCCAGGACCCCAAGGCCCCAAGGCCCAAAGGCCCAACCATTGTCACCAACCGCCCGCCGGGCCCCACGCTCAGCCTCTCCCGCATTCCATCACCTTCACGATACCGGGGCGTCACAGCTGCGTTCCCATCCAAGTCCTCAACCACTCCCCCCCCCTTCCACCTTCTCTGCCCACGCGCGCGCCCCTGCAACTCGATATAGATCGCCTGGGAGCAATCTGGACACCAACGCACATCCCGTTTTTCGTCTGAAAGACTCTATAGTCTCCCCCGCAACCCAATTCACGGTACGTAGGACCCCTCCTCGCGTCGCCCAGCTTTTGCCTTTGGCCCTTTGGCCGGTCCCTGCGTCATCCTAGGTGGGCTGCTGCTGCTGTGTTGGCCATTTGCGCCCACTCACGCCCGCCTCAAAAAGTTGCCCCTGTGTGGCCGTTTGTTGTGATTGCGCGCCTCCGTGACGGCTGGAGGTCTGGCGACGAGCCCTCATGAGCCCTCGTGAGTCCGCATGGATACAATCGGGAGTGCTGCTCGTGTCGTCTTTGTTCTGTGCTCGTTTGTTTGGATGCCGTCATCTTTGTTCCACCCCCCCGACTCGCTGCCCCATGACTTGACCCCCCCGTCCCTCTGGACTTGGACCCTGTCGAAACTCCATCGCCTGGTAGCCGCTTCTGACATCAGGGCTTCCAGCTAACTTAGTGCCCAAGGCCATACATAGTACTCCCTACATCCAACCTGAATACACCCAACACCAGACGCAGCTGCACCCCTCACGCGCACCTGCGGCCGACTTGCACCTCGTACAGCGTCTGCGTCCACGAGACCGCTTTTATTTCTTATAACCTGCGGCTTTGCAACGAACCGTTCGCCATATCTCGGTCTTCTATTAACCCCCTGTTGCTACCACAACTACGACTACGACGACGACCACCACCACCCGCCGGAAACCACCCCCTCCACCATCAACGACGTTCAACCCCCGCGGCCTTCCAGCCACAACCCCCAGCAGGAACCCCGGTAGCAGATTCTCCTCGACAGAATCGCTGCTCACGAACTCGTCACCCCACGCTCTTCAACGTCTTAAATCTGGCAGGGAACAAACGCCGCAGTCTCTCCTCTCAGGGAGGTCTGCTGAATAGAATGTTCGGCGGCGGCTCCAACTCTGCCTCTAAATCCGACCCGCCGGCTGAATCTGGCAAGACGGACAAGAAGTCGCCCTCCCCCGACCCCAAGGCCGACGGCGCCGCCTTGACCCCGATCAAATCCACAAACGACGCGGCCAGCGGCGAGAAGCGCAGCGGCAATGGCAGCCCGCCCGGCCGCCAGGATGCCGGCAACGCCGACAAGAAGCGCAGGAGTAGCGGCGTGGGATCCAAGGCGAGCAGTCTCATAGCGAGCGCCAAGCAGTCCCTGAACTTCTCCCAGGTCGGCCGCCAGGGCAGCGACCTCAGCGCCTCGCATACGCCGCTGCAGAAGCTCGGCAAGCAGGACCCGGCCCTGGTCGTGCCCCAGGGCCAACATAACAACTCGGCCGGCGAGTCGCTTCCCGGCCCTCGCTCGACCTTCCGCGTCGGCGTCTGGGAAGACCGGAACAAGAAGTGCCGCCGCACCATGGAGGATACCCACGCCTTCCTCTACAACTTCCTCCACACCCCGGCCCCCGTTCTCACCAACGAGCGCAAGGGGTCCAAGTCGGACAAGTCCAGCGCCGAGAGCGATTCCGCTTCCGAGACTGCACCTCAAGACATGGTTGAGACGGATAACGGCTATTTCGCTATCTTCGATGGCCATGCCGGAACCTTTGCCGCCGACTGGTGCGGGAAGAAGCTGCACATCATCCTGGAGGACACTATACGAAAGAACCCCAACGTTCCCATACCCGAGCTCCTGGACCAGACCTTTACCACGGTGGACTCGCAGCTGGAGAAGCTTCCCCTCAAGAACAGCGGCTGCACCGCCGCCATTGCTGTGCTCCGCTGGGAGGACCGCGTCCCCAGCTCCAGCTCGGCTACGGGCTCGCAGTCGATAGCCCCGGCCGCCGCCGCAGCATCCAAGGAAGCCTCCAAGTCCAAAGACAGTAAGCTTGATGACAACAATAGCACTTCTGAATCTGCTCATGCAAAGCTGAAAGGTTCGGCCCAACGGCAACGAGTTCTCTACACCGCAAACGTGGGAGACGCCAGGATTATTCTGTGCAGATCTGGAAAGGCTCTACGTTTATCCTACGACCACAAGGGCAGCGATGAGAATGAGGGCAAGCGGATCGCCAACGCCGGAGGTCTCATTCTCAACAACCGTGTCAATGGTGTGCTGGCCGTCACCCGTGCGCTGGGGGATGCCTATATGAAGGACCTCGTGACGGGACACCCTTACACCACCGAGACTGTCATTCAGCCCGAGATCGACGAGTTCATCATCATAGCTTGCGATGGAGTAAGTTTCATCCCCCCAAATCCACCGTTCACGTGAATAGGCCGCTTACCTCTGCCAGCTTTGGGACGTCTGTTCGGACCAAGAAGCGGTCGACCTGGTTAGGGAGACGCAAGATCCTAACGCAGCCTCCAAGCTGCTGGTGGACCATGCCCTTGCCCGATTCAGCACCGACAACCTGTCTTGCATGGTCGTGCGATTCGACAAGGTGGCATTGATCGAGAACCAGAAGGATAAAGCCATCGGCGTCGAGGGCGATGCCACCGGTGCCACTGGCAAGATCAGCGAAGCAGAGAGGATCGTTAGCTCGACCAAGCAGAAGATCGCAGAAGGGACGCCCCCGGTCGGTGTCTCGGCGAGCAACAGCGGGCGCGGCCACGACCCTATACCAATCCACGACAGCGAAACCTTCACCCCGACGGCCTTGAAGGGACCTGTTGAGGAGGAGCCTGGGTCCGTAGAGGACAGTGATGCTCCTGAGGTCACGGCAGATGCCATACCGAACCCCGATGCTCTTGCATCCGACTCTCCCGTGAAGTCGAGTCCTGTTCCTCTGACTTCTGAGAAGCCACAGGACTCTTAGTGGACGGAGCCTCTGCTCGTATCATTGTGCGGCCCGCTCCCAGTGCTGTCGTTCTGGGTTGAGACGGCTGGTTCATTTGGTTTGATGACTGGCCGATTGACGATATCATGAGGGGGTTTTGGGATGTGGGCGGTGTAGATATTCGTCCCAGCATTCCATGCAGCTATCAGGTTGCAGGATGAGTGTGGGCATCTGCGCGATGAACGACAAAGACGACTCCTTTGCATCGGATTTAGGAAGCATGAAGGACTTGGAGAGGGGCCCAAGGGGTTTAGCCACATGAACAAAGCTTGCTCTTCCTGCTTTGTTGTACGGAGCTACAATCAGCTAGCTTTAGCAGTATTGTTGTAGGAATATGCGGGAGCGGTGACACGGCGTTCCTTTTTCCCCGGCAACGGGGAAGATGACAAGTTACGCAGAGAAAGAGTTAAACGGAGGCCCCGTGAGATCAGATCAGATCAGACCAGATCCAGAGCAGGTTCACATCAGGTCACGTCGAACAGCTAAAATACATGAAATGATGAATAGGAATACTTTTCTTTACTGCACTCTGGTGGCCGTGTGGCGCTCGTCCCCTACTCACATGGCCCGTACCGTCCATGCTTTTGATGTTCAAGTATAGTATATAAGAATCCTGCTCCCATCTTGCGAACCAATGCAAAGGGCGAGAGTTTCCGGGCGGACTGGGGTTGGCGTGACTTTCACTTTCCTTCCTCCGGAACTTGATACTATAATCTCCTAATCACTACGCTAAACACCGTTGGCCACGAGACCGCCGACGCGATATGCCGACGATCGAGCCGTGACCAAACGGGACCGCTTTCTGCGTTTTAATTCACTCCGTCTAATTCTTTTCCCTACATATGCATGCATAAAGATTATTTTCCTGGCAGGTCGCTCCCTGGTTTGCCTTCTCTCCAAGGCTTGTATTGAACCCCCCTCGGTGCGGGTCGTCCGAACTTTGCGTACCTTGGAACCCCCGTCTTAGATGATCTCCTCGAGGCAGGTTGGACAAGACGGAATATTTCTTTAATATTGTTTTCTTCTTCTTTGAGTTTCCCGGCTCTCTTGAAGAAAGAACGGAATGATAATACATAGGAGATCGGATGGAAAGAGGGACTGAGTCGGAGTGAGAGGCAGGGCAGCTCTGCTGGCCAAGTACATGGGACAAGGGGTGCAGAGGTTGTTCCCGTCCATACATCATAGAGACGACAGAAGCTCCCGCGGGGTCACTCCGTACCCCAGCTCGATTGGGAAGCAGCATCAGTATGGGTATAGAGTCCTCTCTCTCACCAGCGAATATTGCCGTGTATAATGTGGAAGAAGTATGAGAGTGGGGAACTACATGGATGACTATGGTTGTGTCCGGAGACGGAGCAGGTCGAAACGACTATATGCCACATATGATTACGTGCCAAAAAAAAATCCTCCTCTTCGATATTTCCGCTCTACAAGTGATCCCGAGCGTAGAGGGGTAATTTGTACGATTGCGTCTGAATCTGGCGGGCCGTCTGGCATCCAGATGGGACAGGCAGATCACACGCACTTCGGGCCTGGTTGCCGATTCCTGTGTTCATCAATGATCGCCCTGCCGTTTCTGCCTGGGCTGGGGATTTACAATCAAGACCGGCACACTGCACAATGACGGGGAGGTGCTGGACAGTTCGAGAGCCCTGCGAGCATGTGGCACATTGCAGCAAGAAGATCATGTCAGGTTCATGCTCCCGAGCGGGGTCGACTGGCAACTGGTTTCTCTTTGCGCGAGCATCTTATGTCTCTTGTGCCCCCCGGCCGGCGGGCAGGGGTGTTTTGCATCTGATTCTGTCTTCTTGTCGACGTTCTGACTGGACGAACATCAGACAGACCCCTCCCTCGTCCGAAGAGGTTTGTGTGGTGCGTCCTGGGCTGTCCGTCACTTGCAGTTTTGCAAGGGCTTCGTGCTGCATGGCGGGTCAAAGCGTCTGGGACACAACTGCGGCCGCCATCCGGCTGGGGTCTGTGAGTTTGCGATGGCATGGCCCATGCGCAGGGCCGCTTGCCAGATCGAACCTCCAGGGAAGTTGCTTGATGGCCAGCGATGATGATAGGAATCTAAGATCTCGCAACAAAATCGTATCTGCTTGCCAGCGCAGCGTGAGAAAAAGGAACGCTAGTCAAAGTTAACTTGGGAACAAACAGGCCCCAAGTCAAGGTAGGGGGCGCCTCTGCCGCAAATAGGTGTCAGTGGTTTGTCTGTCTGCTCTTTGAGATGCTATATAGTTATCCTGCTTTGGAAGCAGAATACGAGCGCCTGAGACAGGAGAAACACATCTAGTGTCAATATTCAATAAGTTTCATGGTTTTCCATTTTCGCCCCATCGCTCATAGAATTGCCTTCCAAGAGTCAAGCTACGGGAAAGGGAGCCCAGTGACTCCTTTCTCACCGTCATCACTATTCAGTAGTGACAAAACCTGGTGCGTCGAGGACTAGGTTTCGGTCTTCCGCCATAGTTCGTCGTGGTGGTCAACGGTCAAGCTTTCGTAATGCTGGGCATGGATAGCGACCACACGGACTTCTTTGGCAGCCTCCCCCCATGTCAAACTTGCTGCACCCACCTGGTTCGCATAATGAGCCCGGGAGCCGAACAGTCACGGCAAGCCTTCACAATCGTTTCTAGAGTGAAGAAGGCATAGGGATGGGGACGCTTAGGTGATTCAAATCGGTGGTTAGGTACCCCGCGGGTGCTGCTTCGTTTTGACTTTCCACCTTCGCCATGTGCTTTGTACAGCACCCATCTGGCCGGAAGCTCCTGACGGGAAGCGGAATGAACAAGCTCGGAAGATTTGAAAGGAGACACGTTCCTTGAATGCGGCAGGGGTCCATGGATGCTGGATCCGCTGAGCTGAACCCTGCAGCGTTCTCCCAGTACTAGCGGCTGATGGGGGATTGGCCAGCCGGACGGGGAGAATGGAGGCGCCCATGCAGGCGTTTAGTGTAGCGCAGAGTGCGTGCTAGGGCGTGAAAAGGAATTGCTCGACGGGACGCCCAGGTCCCCTGGTCCCCTTCAACTTCTCGGCCAACCTAGCGCCACGAATTGCCTACCCTGGGAAAAGACGCCCGCGGGAGACGTGAGGTGAGAGGAAGAAAAGAGGGGGAGGGGGGAAGTCTCTCTCAGCAACGCATATGAAGTGACGGGTGGGTGAGCTGGGAGGACCGGCACTGGACCCCCCGTGCCCCCGTGGCCCCCCAGTCTGTCCATCAAACAATTTGAGCCTCGTGGAAGTTTGCCAGCCCAAGCCCGAAGGAGAACCTAAATTCTGGCTGTCTCGCAGCTAGAGCGCGGCGCTAACCGGGGAAGCGCTCTCGCCTTTCAAGATCTACGGCCTCATCTCCAGCAGCAAATTCCCAAGCCCAGAGCTAACGGGCAGCCAATGGCGAGTTCGGGGGGTAGTGCCCTGCGTCGTCCCGCGCCTGCGCACCTGCGTGTCCCGTCCAGCTGGTCGTGTTCTTTTTTGCTTCTGGTGGCGGCACGTAGTTTATTCTTTTCCATCCACGACCTGCCCTGCAGCTTTTGCTTCTGAAGCTCGCCCCGAACGGACCCGCCCGTCTGGGAGTGGGAGCTCGTATCCTTCTGTTCCCTCTCCCCTCCAAGCTTGAGAGCTGGGAGTGCGATAATAAATCACCGAGGTAGGGCAGGTAGAATAGTGAAAATGAAATGATGGCACTGGTAACATTATTTTAAACGTAAGAAGGAAAAGGCATCCCAAGACGCCAGGGCCACCGTACAGGCACGGCGCATTTGGATAGCACGATAGTCGCCCGAACCCCATCTTTAATCAACCACTGAGCTCCAGTTGGCCCCCCCTAGTGCTATATCCCTCGAACCCCTATCGATACTCCCCGGCCCAAAATCATTTGGCAGTCCCGCCCTTTCGTTTCGGCCGTCTGCCTCAAATGGTGCTCAGACATACATGCCATATTTCTCCGGATATATACAACTTGCAGTAGCAGTGTGTCACCCATAACTGGACAGAGACATACGGCTTGCCTGGAAAGCCTTCCCGCCTCTACGATCACAGTTCGTGCGTGTGTGTGTGTGCTTCTGTGTGCTTTGCGTGGGTGAGGATTGCTGTGCTGCGGTAGCCCCTGCGGCCCTCTGCGTACCTCGAGTGTCCGGACCTCTCTACCCCCATCGCTCGTCGACTAGATGTCGCGAACAAGCAGCAAAGCGATCGACGGATGCTCGACTTCCTGAATGATTGGCACATCGATACTCACTGGACGGTATCCGACTCCGAAGCACCATCTCACAGCGTGGTGACACGGCATACCATCGCAACCTCGCGCCGGCCCGAAGCCTTTGCTACGAAACGTGCCCTATTTATCCTCATCCCGCGCCTCGGCTCACAATTAAAACGACCAACAGCCACGCCGGCATTCCAAGCGGGCGAGGATGTCGTTGAATGGGCTGGACAATGCGGCGGTCAAGGAAGCGCACGAAGCTGCGACTGCCGAGCCGGGCGGATGGTACGTGATTCACCTCTTCGCTCTACACCACCACAGAGGGCAGCAGCCGGCTAGACATGTCGATGGGCAGGGCATGGGTGCCGCGAGACTTAATATTCCCGGTGCACGGCGCCATCTTCCCTGCTGGCCCTGATCTCAGATCCGTGCATTCATACTTTGGCTAGTCGAGGGCTTGGTTGACGCTTTCCATGATTTAGGTTCCTCCTGAAATACGCAAGCCGCGATGAGGTCGACGTGTACGGCCGCGGCACGGGCGGCATCGTGGAGATGCGAAATGCCATCGCCAACTACGAGGACCCGTCGCCGCTCTACGGCTTCCTGAAATACCGGCGAAGAAACGTCATCCTGAAATACCAGCCCGAGGACTGCTCGCGGCTTGTTCAAGGTACATTGCTGTCGCCCCCCAAAATCTCCTCCCACCTCCCACCGGTCCACTGGGCGTCATGAAGCTAATGCATCCCCCTTTGTCTCACAGCCCGAGCTACTGTTCACTTCAATGCCGTCTGCGAGAGGTTCGCCCCCTACAACACGACCTTCGAAATTATGACGGCCAAGGAGCTCAAAGACACCAAGCTCTCAGCCGCCTGCTCACTCCACACGGCCTCCGGCTCTTCGTCGTCGTCCAACAGCTCGTTGCGCCGACGACGCCTGATTGAAATCACCGAGGAAGAGGAGGAGGAGGAACGCGAAAGAAAGAGGCAGTCCATCGTTCAGGAAGAAAGACCTGGCACCGCCGGAGACACCACCGCTGCTGGCCCGCCGCCTTCATCGCCGCCAGAGCCTGCGGTTGTCCTCGACAAAGAACAGCTCAACCGGCCACAGGAGCCGAACTTTGCTTCCACGGCAGAAGAACCGACCTTCGAAGGAGTGCGCCCGACATCCCCAGCCAAGTCCGATTTCCACGTTCAGGAAAACCGCCGGCTGTCCTCCCAAACGGCGAGACCCGACCTATTCAGCTATTCTACCTACACGTATGGCAAGCCCAAGGTGAAGCTCGCCCCGAGGCCATCTTTGGAAGCCAACAAGAGACCGCACACCGCCGGCACCTTTAGGCCAGTTGCCGCTTTGCCTGCAGGCTTCAAGCTAGCCTCCAAGGGTTCAAAGAGAGGCAGGTCTGGATCGCGGGACAAGACGGACGAAGAGGCCGACCTCGAACAGGACGCATCAGAATTGCCGGCTCTTAATACTTCCATCACCATCCCTGAGGTTCCTGCGGAGTCCGAAAGCACCACCCTCCCACCGCGACCAAACACAAGTTCTGGCGCCTCCGTCCAATCTGTCCCAGCAATGGTATCTGCCAAGGATAACAAGATGACGCCGGAGAAGGCGAGGCTCATGAAGGCGATGAAGATGCGAGAGCAGAGGAAGAAGATGAGCATCATGACCTCGGCACCGGCCCCTATCGCTGAAGTGCCGGTCGCGCCTGTCGTCGAAAAAATCGAGGAATCATCGGAACAGTTGCATGCTGAGGAAACAGCTGAGGCTCACGATGATGACTCTCAGCTGTCCCTTTCCCATGCAGACTCTGCGATCGCCGTGGATCTGCCCACTCCGCTGACAGTAAGCACCGAGGCGACCGCCGACGACACGTTTACAGACTCCCATCCGGCCTCACCTACTGTCGCGTCCTCCGAGATAGGAGAGTCCACTAAAGCCTCTTCGCTATCCGATTCGACCGATGAGACCATCCAGGCTACGAAGGAGGCCGAACTGGACTACAATGACAAGGGACGCGACACGGAAGCCGATCTCGCCACAAACCTGTCCAAGTCGTCTGATTCGGCCGAGCCTGAGACACATGATGGGATTGGTGCACACGAAATTACACCAGTCACTTCGGAGATCGAGCGCGTTCCAGAGGCGCGCGAGGCTGCCAGCAAAACAATCGAGCCCGAGACAATCATGCAGTCCATTGAAGTCGAGGATGCATCCCCCTCAAAGTTGGACGTGCGATCCCAGGAGGTCGGTTCACCACAGGACGGCGAAGAATCGCCAAAATCGCCATATGGGATTCCCGTCTCCAAGTTTTCCAGTAACGACAAATCGCCCACTACACCGAGCTTGAAGTCCAAGTTCTCCACCCAGGACCTCAAGGTTCCGTCCGAACCTGTACCAGCTCTCCCTACGCTTATCACTCCCCCCACCGCCGCGCCGACTCCCGACTTGCCGCACGTTGAGGGCGACCGCTCTGACGCACCTAGCCCTGACCCATCGCATCTCGTCCCGGCGCGATCAGCTAAACACAAGATCTCTCCCATCCGTACCGACCTGGCGAGGGAGACGCCCGAGTCTGAGATATCTGACCCGCTCCTCGACGATGCGCTCATGGATGAGCTCCAAGCCGCCACTGTCCAGGAAGCTGTAATGATCTCCAAGTCTCCAATCACACCGGTCTTCCCATCTACAAGTCCCAAGCGACCACATACCATGGCTGACACAAAGCCACCGCCATCGCGTGCTTTCTCCAATCCCATGCGAGGCCCTCTACTCAGTCCAGGTGACGTATCGTCGAGCTCAGCGCGCAGTGTGTCAGCTGGCGGAGCAGCCTTCCTCCACAGCATCACTCGACAGCCCTCTAACGCTGGGCTCTCGACGAAAAAAGGTACTGGTAACAGCATTGCCCAGCGCATCAAGGCCCTTGAGCAGCTGTCCGGTAAAAGTAGCAGCGAGGACCTCAAAGCCAAATCATCAGCGCCTGCCACAAGCTTCATCAGTGTCCGGAAACAGCAAAGCATCCGAGACTCGTCAAAGTCACCATCACTGACCGAACCCGCTCGGCCTATGAGCCGAAAGTCTCCCACGCCCGATCGGACTAGGGAAGAATCGCCGGAAGTGTCGAGCAATGTAGCATCGCGATCGAGGTCTGGTTCGGTGGCTAGCCGTCTTTCTATGTTCCAACATGGCGCACAGCAACCAAGGGGCCGCCCCGAGTCAATCCAAGTGACTGCACGTATCGTGCGAGACCCCAACCAGTCCTTTCCCCGAAGGCCAGCCAGCAGGGACCCTGAGGAGTATAACTCAGCAGAGCTCAGGCAGTCGCCGCTGGTGGTTGACCATCTGAAGGCGATGCCCGAGGCTATCACTACATCGCAGCCCGAGCCCGCACAACTTCCCGCCGTTGACACACCGAAGGAGACTATCCAAGAGAGGCGTCTATCTCGGGACAGAAAAGCTTCCGTCTCTGAGGATGAAGTTGGACTCAAGCGCCGCACCTCCTTGAGCATTGTTAAGGACTTTATCAAGGAGCGTCGCCAATCCATCACCAGCAAGTCTACTGACAACTTGGCGGCTCTCTCCCCTGCCCCCACTTCCGCGAAATCTCCCTCCCGACCTCCTTCTGTCCACCAGACCAGCGGCAGCAGCTTGGCCCGGCGCTTGTCTATCTCCAGCCGGCGCTCATCCTTTAGCCGGGAGAATGACAATTCTACTCCACTCATGTCACCATCGGCTGTCACAGACGCCAGCTCGGATGATGCTGACAAGGCAAGCCTCGGTGACAAGAAGTCAAAGAGCCGTACTCAACGCTTTATGCGCCGCCTATCCAACTCATTGGGCGGCACCCGAAAGACCCTGACACCAAATACACCCACTACAGTGCGTGAGGAAGACGAGGTTATTGGCGGTCCTTCAGCAGGCATCTCGCGCACCACGGCCCAGCCGGCTCTTGCCGCCTACATGGGCGATGTAAACGTCCAGTTTCCGGACAACCTCCTCTGGAAGCGCCGTAGCTTATGCCTCGATGCGCAAGGTTTCCTCATTCTCAGTGCTGTCCAGGGCGCCGCTTCCAGCGGTACAGAGAAGAGTGGTATCAAGCGCTACCATCTCAGCGACTTCCGCCAACCCTATATCCCCGATGTCGATGTTCAGGAACTTCCCAACAGCATATGTCTTGACTTCGTTGAAGGTTCAAGCCTGCAGCTGGCTTGTGAGGATCGGCCGGGTCAGAAGCACGTGTTAACTGGTAAGCAAATGTCCCTTCGCAGGGTACCGTTCGAGAAAGGTTGCTAACATCCACGCAGCTTTGCAAGACGCCCATCAAACTCATAACTCCTTCGGTCACTAGATGGCTGAGGGCTTTTCTTCTCATACTGAACTAATCTATTCGACCCACCCTACGATTGATACCCAACGTTGCCACTTCACACCAATAATTCTGTGATTATTCACTTCTTGTCAGCAATAATGCATCGCATCGCCAGCATTCTTTCCTTTTGTTATTTACCCCCATTACGCAGTCCGACGACCGTCTACTTTCTTTTCCATTCTGAAGACCGGCTTTCTCTCACCATATGCGAGACACAATCAAGTCGACACCATTTTGATGCGGGCAGATAACGAGTCTAGCCCGCTAGTTTAACGGTTTTCTCCCTGGAGCTGGGACAGACCGAGGTCAACCTTTTCCGTTGCGTTTCGTACTACCCTGCCGCGGCAGTTCAGTTCCACTTTTCGCGTTGGCGAATCTTCTTTGTCCGCTCGGGCGATCTTTTCTTGCATATCTGCGCAAAGCGCTGCTATTAAGAGGGAGCGAAGGAGGAAATTCCTGGGGGTTTTTGAGGCGGAAGTTTTTTAGACCCCGGAAGGCGGGGCGAGTTGTACAAACAGTTGTAAGAGCAGTCGCGAAGAGAGGGGGGGAGAGGAAGAGGGAGAGGGAGGGAGGCAGAAAAGCAATCGCGTCATTGGACGTGCCAGGAGGAGATGTCGACCAAAATCTATGCGCTTGCGCCGAGAAGCCGCGCCGTTCCTGTACATACTGTCAAACTAGGGAGACAAGTCCTCGTGTGTGTAGATGGGTTTAAAGCAATGACAGACAACTTCGACTGTACTTCCCCCCGCCCCCCTTTTATAATGTGTGACTACGAGTTGACCAGGGAGTGAAATGTTAATGTTCGGCCACGGCTGCCTGTGAGGACTAAAATTGCAGTGCCTCGCGGTTCAACACCCCACAAGAAAACACCCGGAAACGGAAATGGACTAGCCACCACACCATATGCTGCAGTGTAGAGTTCGCTGTGCCCGGTTTCTGTGTTGGGGAGATGGCCCTTGAGCGCATACAGTCAATTGATTCCGTGGCTAGTCTAAGTATCTATGTGACGATAGAGAACCCTCTGGCTCCAGAGTATGGTAATCGTAAATGGCTGACAATTCCTGCGTCCCGTCTGTCAGGACTAACATTGCAGTGAAGAAAAAAGTCCCCAAAACCCCATGTACATTCGATTAGTCGGCAATGTCCCTAACCAAGTAAGGACTGCGATTGGTCCCTTTGGCAAAGTTGGACCATAGGGCTCAAAAGTCGACGTGGAAGTGGATTGGTCTCTTATCAAGATGAATTTAACGACGGAACAGTGCCATAGAACGATGTTGGAAGATATGACCCTGCAGGCAACTAAACTGGTTTCAGATGCCAACCGAGACTTCTCTTCACTCCCCTTAGTTATTCTTTGCAATCGGTTGCTTGCAGCGCACAATTCAGTGCCGTTGTCCTGTGCTATCAAAACTTTTGGCAAAAACGTGGAACAATTGGTGTCATATGCGTGTGACTGGAGACACGACACTTGAAGCGGAATTCGTCTCGATCGGAGAACGTGAGTGGAATTGCTACCTTTACTGACGGTGCTATTTTGATCAACTATCCCTGCGTCTCACTCAGCCCTGCCAAACCACCTCGATGATTGACATGGCCGATCCTGGGGGTGTAGTAATTGAAACCACCTTGAACCTTTCGTCGGTTTTAGCGAACAGCGCATACCAGTCCTCTTTGCTACGATCCATAGCATTGAACACCATCTTCATGATAAGATCCGAGGCCCTGTTATTGGTTGTTAGTAAAGACAGTAGTGACAGATTTGTGCAATAAAGCGCTTATTACTCACCATGCAATCCGATTTGTCACGAGTTTTGTGGCATCGGGTTCCGGCAAGCAAGCCTCGTTGACGAAAATCCTCGCACCGCGCTTCAGCGCCGGGATCTGGTTCCGCAGTATCTGCACGGCGTACTTGTCCGGCCAGTTATGGAAGATGTTCCGGAAGAGATACACGTCGGCACCCTTGACCTTCTGCTCCTCGAAGAAGTCATAGCCACCAAAAGTCAGGCGGCCTTCCAGCTCCTTTGGCACGTCGACGTCCGCGACAACCTCCGGCCGATCGAGCGACATTGCCTCCTCAATCGCATTGTATTTCTCCAACAGTGCCTTGCAGAGCTTTCCCTCCGACCCCCCTATATCCACGACCTTCCTGGGGCACGACTCGGCCCAGCCGCAGCCCTCGACGAAATGCTGCACAGAATGGCTAGGTATCTTGGCGGCGATTGACATGGCGCTGGCCGCACGTCGCACCCTCTCCGGGTCGTCCGACATGGAAGCGTAGAAATCCTGTTTCTTGTCCACTTTGCCCTTGGTCGCCGTGGGTAAACCTCCATTCTGTCCAAGGACAGCAGCTGCCTCGCTCGGCTCCTCCGACCCTGGGAACTGCTGCAGCGCATCGGCCAGTGCCAGACCCGCGGGGACCTGCTCCTCGATCAAAGTACCCAGCATGTCGTTTGCCGCAGGCATGGAGGCCAAGAACGCAGATGCGGCACTATGGCTCACCTGTCCCTTCTCGGGCTCTTCAAACAGCCGCAGTGATGTGGCCATGCGAAGGTAGCGCCGCAGGTCAGGTTCTGGAAGCCCGCATCGTGCTGCCAGGACGGAGTGGGAGACCGTTTCGTCTAGAGCGAGGTTCTGTGCGATGCGGAAGCGGTATATCCCGTGCAAGGTTGCGGTAAGGCCGGGCTATGATATTTCCCGGAACTCTCAGTCATTGATATAGATGAACGAGTGAGGCCAGTGCAACTAGAGTTCGCTACTCACCATGGGAAGCATGGTCGTGAAGAGATGCCCTACTGGCCCAAGGACCAGGGCACGGAGCTCTTCGAGGGCCTCCACCAGTTCATCGCGAACTTCCTCAAGTTCTCTGCTCAGCGGTAGTGCGGGTGGTGCTGTGGCGTTGAAAGATGGTTGAGGCAGGTTTGCAGCCTTCAGCCCGGTCTCGATGGATGTCGTCCGGCTGTGTATAAGTTGGGCGAGATCAGATAGGGATCGTGTGGTCGCCATGATGAAAAGGCGAAATATGATGTGGGAGAAAGTGTGATACAGGTAGTATTAAGAGATAAGAGATATTCTTTGTGGACCGCCTTTTATATGTTGTTTATGTTGTTGGCCATCCTTCCACCGAGTGCAGCGCCGCCGGACGTCGGCTTCGGTCCCGCTTTTCGGGGTATTCAGTCGGGGCCGGCCACGGGAAATTGAGGCTCCACTTTGACCAGGGTCGATTCCTGCAACTGTTGCCAAGAGAAAGCTGCGTGTAGTCCAGGTGGCTTTCTTGTTTCTAGCTGGGTCTAATTTCTCGTTGGATTGGTTTGCAGGTGCTTAAAATTAAGCTTGTCTCAAACCCTGCAACCGAACCTAAGCTGTGCTCACGTAGCAGTTGCGGCATGTCAGCGGCCAGACTACCGCATAGTAAATACATCGTTATCGTCAATGCTGCTGTCTGTCGCATTCTTTCCTATGAGATGAGTACGCTAACGAACACACACCACGCTAATCAGTATAGACATCTAATTTCCTGGAGAGCCATCTGAAGCTTATGTTCGCTTGCATATTATCCGCCTCCTCCAGTTGCGATAAGACAACGAGGGAGACGCTCCGGCCTGCATGGACATGCAAATCCCACCACAGATTACTCGGCAGTCTATCAATCAATTCCTTTTTCGTACCCTCTCAGAAATGCATGAGTAAATAGAGAGTAAGCAGGTACTCCATGAAATTCACGTTCGCTAACCTTATACGGGGAGGGCGTACCGCCAATTCAGGCTCCCCTTCCGAGAGACCTATCAGATTACGTTGGGATCTGTCTTTTATGTGACTGAGACCTAATATAATGCTACAAAAATCATCTTATGAGTTTCTCACGAAGCTAGACATATCCTGACCGGAATTTTGAAGCAGGTTGGCGACCAAGTAGGTGCTGCGACTAATACGTCAATATGCTGGCCGAAGCTCGCCGTCGCCACCGCCAACGCCAACAATGTCAAGGATCACATATCCGTTGTATGCATCTTTGATCATGAGACCAGTCCATCCCCAAAGGCGATGGTTCTTAATTTAATCATTAAAGTAGAGAAAGGAGGAAGACTAGGCCTGCAGGTTGCTGAGGAGCAAGATGTTGGGAACGCCAAAGTCGACTCATTGTCAAGAGAAGTCGTGGTCAGGGAGCATCGAACGAGATAATAGCGCTGCAAGAGCAGGGTGATCTTCATGCTTCCTCTCACGTTGCTTCTGTCCGAGTTCAACTTTTGGCTTTTAGGTTGAAAGAGTGGAGTGAATCCAGTATCTATAAAGGATATTCATGAATCCTTAAGTGAGTGCAATGGAAATAGCAAGTATCGGAATAATTCCTCGCTACAACAAAGAAAAGTGCACCAGTTCAGGCGTATCAAGGCGGTGGTCCAAGAGGTAGAAGGCATTATAAAACACCATGAACCATTCTCTTGCCTGCGTGATTTTTAAAATATACTGTCTGCCTTTTGCTAATGAGCTGAAACTGTTGAGCTCGATACTTCGTGAATTTCTTCTATGATATATCCTCAAAGTATGATAGATGTTGAGGAGGATATGCCGGGGGCTAGGTTTATGCATTGGACAAACCTGGGTGTCAGCTCAGCACCGCCAAGAGACTCACGAGGATATTCTCCGCATTAAGCCAGCCTCGGCCGATCGTTTCTGCAAGCTACGATAGAGTTACATTTCCCCAGTTTCTGTCAGGTGGGGAGAGGGGTAGGGCTCCCCACATTTTTAGAGTTCTCTTGCAACTGTGGACTATAAGCATGGTAGAACATATGCATTATAGCCATCGCAGTAGCTCTCAATTGCGTGCGAGGATCCGTGCGTTCCTTGCTTTTGGTTACATCAGCTGCCTCTTCTCACCACGTGCCTGGCACTGTGACTTCCTGTGGAATGTCTGAGTTGGACTTCATGGCCTCCAGATACGGCAAGTGACTCGCCAATCCAGGACCCTTGAGCATCCTCGATGTTCTCTTGGTACTCTATAGACATTTTGAGTGAAGTATGCGCACCAGAAGAGAAAACATGTACCTACTGGTCCCACAACGTATTGCGCTTGGTCTGCATTGGCAATACGACCTCCGCAATCTGTCAGACAGTGGCCTTGAGGCATAATCCACTAAAGTCGCAAGCCGAGGAACTATACTTCTAGATCAGAAAGTTTAGGCTTGAGGAGGCTGTACATGGCTCATCTTCACAGAAGTTGCGATCTGAAAGATTTGCATGCCTCGGCTAGGAACAAAAGAGCTCGGCAACATGGATTGCGAGTCATTTTGTTCACTTCAATCAGAATCATATGGTTGGAATTTCAAGAGTACACTGGCGCCATCTCAAAATAGGAGGGTATAAATAAGGCAAGACTTTCCCCCCTTTTCAGTTTCGACAATCATCACTCTGCTCACTATCCAGTGTTTGAGTCCTAAGCCTGAACATAACTCGAAACGTTCTGCCCCAAATTAGCACAATGAAGTTCTTTAACTATCTCACCGGGTTCGTCTCCCTGGCGAGCGCTGTCGCAGCTCTACCCTCTGGCCTCTCGTCCGCGGCCGCCGATGCCTCTACTTCTGACTTGGCCAAACGCGATGCAATTGCTATCCGCCAGGCGCTTGAAGCAGCCCAAGCCAAGGCAGTCGCGCTTGGGGACCTCTTTGAGGCCGCTACGGACACGAGCGACGTCCCGGGAATTGAAGCCGCTGGTGACGAGCTAGTCGCCAGCATCAACTCGGCCGAGGACGTCGCCGCGGCCAGCAACCCGCTGACCCTGATCGAGGCACTCGGGTTCGTCAACACCGTCACCAGCCTGCAGAACACCATCGACGACCTCACTACCGTGGTCAAGGAGAAGAAGCCGTTCGTTGTGCAGGTTGGCTACGTCGACGAGCTGCTCACGTATCTGGGAGAGCTCCAGACCGCCACCAACGCCTTTGGTACCACCATCCTGACCAAGGTCCCGGCTGCTGCGAGGAGCATTGCCCAGGGGTACATTGATGATCTGAATGCTTCGGTTGCCGACGTTATTACATTTTACACGTCGTAAAGAGTGCGATGGATTAGGCGTCAGGTTAGCGTTGGTCAGAATTGAAGTGATATGATGCGAAGGGGGATGGGTGAAAGGGCGTCATCTACTTGCCATTCGTTAGGCTTGAGAATAAAGCAATCATCGTATCTTGACACGAGGCGCGCCTTTGTTGCGACGAGACAATGATTAGAGAGCGAGAGCTGGCACCGCTTTATTCCTGGGGAGTGACATGCAAATCTACCATAATGGCCCACGATATAGCGAGTAGGCACGAGACAGAGGGTCTGAACATGCCAAATGAGCGTCTTTATAGTCAAGTCAAATGAGCAATATAAGTCAGAGAGCCTGTGATGCAAGCTACATTGCCTTTGTAAACATTTTGGGAGATTATCACCGATCGTTTGTTTACTCAAATGCATAACGAAACGACCCCGAGAATGCTGCCCCAGATCTTGCAGAATGAATGTTCGGGTTTAATGGATATATGGGGACTGAGAAAGGAGGCATAGAAGAGAAGGCATGGGAGGAGTAAACCACGACGTTTAGCTGCCTCGTCTGCACATATCGCCAGTACAACAATACAAAGGGATTGTCTATTGGTAAAGTTACACCGCTGTAGTTACCACTGTTCCAAAAAGTCAACATGTTCAGACAGAGGAATCGGACCTCCAGTCAAGACTCGTCGTCCAGTCAACGTACTGTTCTCCCTTCCATACACAACCGCCTTGCCGTGGGAGCGAAAACAGCCATGCTGTTTCTCCGAAATTGCATCTTGTATGCAAACAAGAGCACGTCGCCGACAATATAAATCCCCTGGTAGCGACCCGACAGTCCAACCGTGTCCAGATCATCAACCACCCTCATCAACACAAAACCACAATCACATCCACATCCACAGCAACAAAACCAAGCAGGTCAACAGAGTAACACTATTTCCACCACATCAGCAAACAGAGCAATCAACAGCAACATGAACACCATGGCTTTTGACAACGTCGCGGTCATCGTCCCCTATGGACGTGGTGCCTACGACACGACGCCCAAGCCCAAGCCCAAGCCCAACCCACCCAAGCCTTAAAAGCAGAGCGCTTTTTGGGGGGCAGTGAAATGCGCTAGAGCGCAGTGATTGAGCTGACAGCTTGGCAAGCTCGGGAGGAGGAACGATCAGGTAGGTATCGATGAATTGTAAAGAGAGGAGATAAAGTGTAGCATATTATAATACAATATCGCTACACACAAATGTTCGAATTCTACATTGCGTTGTGAACTTTCAAGAGTTGAATGAAATCAGGTTTCATCATTTCATTCGTCATTCTGAACTATTATGCGCGTGACTTGAGTGTTGTTACTAATACAAAAAACCAGGACAAAGAACAAAAGAAATTGGTATCTTGTTTCCACGTGCCGCCAGCCGTTCCGTTTGAATAACCATCAATTCCGGGGGGTATCAGGCCTATTACTTCCTTGCTCCGTCCACCCACAGCCCTTTGCTGAAGATACGTCGCAATCCATCGCTACTTTTGTGCCGAATGATTATGGTGACTATACTAGATTGTCACAGTGTTGGCTGCGGCGCCGGGAGCATAAGTAGCGCCGTTGAGCGCGTTGCCGTTGAGGGGCTTCGTGTTCCCGTTCAACTGGCCGTTGCCGTTAGCGAACCCACCGACGTGGCCATTGGTACTGGTAGTATCGTGGGGTTTGCGGGTAACAGCGGGGGCCTTGGGAATATCAGAGCTCTTGGAGGCTCCTCCAATGGAGAAGACCGGGCTCTCCCACTTCTCGCCCTTGCGGGCCAACTCCTTGTATTCGGTAGCCTTTGAACTGATACCGCCAGGAAGCTTGATGTTGGGGAAAATGCTGTCCTCCTGAGTGACAGCGACGTTGACCTTCTTATCAGCTGCAAAGTCCTCGGCCTTCTGCTTGCCCTGGAGGACCTGCTTCTGCAGGGCGTTGGCATAGCGTTGATAGATGTTCGAAGCATTCTCAGGGTGCTCGCGAGCCTCCTCAAGTGCGCGATCAGCCTCGAGCTTAACCTGATACATGAGCTGGTCGAACTGGTTGAACTGCTCCTTCAATTGTTTCTCTGCTGTCTTTTGAATGACTGGGCGAAGCACCTTGAGCATTACAGGCTTGGCAAGACCAAATAGAAGCTTGTGGTTAGACTTGACAAGCTTGATCTTCAGGTTCTTGACGTCAACATCAACCTTATCAATCTTGAAGAAATGTTGCTTGTCAGACTCATCAGCAGTGACTAGCTTCATGCGGAAGCTGAAACCATCGCCTCCGAGGAAGACGTTGGCAACGCCTGTATCAGTAATCGAGGGGAAGCCCTGCTTGCGCTTGACGTAGTAGCTAACGTCTCGCAAATCCATCTGAACGCCGGCAACCTTGATGTCGATGGTGTTCTTGTTCTTGTTGGCAATCTTCTTGCGGCCCCAGCGGAAGAAATTGTCGCTGGCGACCTCCAAGACGTTGGGCATGAAGTTGTCGCTCTCCAGTACGAGATTCTCCACGACAGCATCTATCTGGGAGTCTGAGTATTCAATGCGGGGAATGGGGATGTATGCGACATTCTCGAATGCTGCCGGCAGGATGATGTCGGTAAGGTCTTTGATCAGATGAGGCTTGAAGGTAGGCTTGCCGTTAGAATCGTTGCCAAGGTCGTTGAAAAGCTTCTGAACCGAAGTGGCAAAGCGCTTGTTCATGGGATCCTCATCGAATTGGTGGCCCAGGAACTTGATCTCGTTCACGATGCGGTCGGTGTGGCCGCGGTACTTCTGACGCAGGAGGTAGTTACCACGGTCATACAAGTGGTTCCACTCCTCGTTCGAAGCTTCGTCCAGGATATAGCCCTGCTGCTGCAGACACCTGCGAACGTAGGTGTCCAACGATTTGAACCAGTTCTTCAGCTCCGGATCTCTGTCAGCATCGTCGTAAACTGCGCCAATCGAGGCCCAGAGGTCGTCGCTGGATGTGCCGTTGGCGAAACGCTCAATCAGGACCTTGAGATCGGCCTCAGCCTGAGCCAAGCCAGATCTCGCCTCCTGGACGGTACCAGTACCACCGGCGGTGAGGCGCTTGCCATGACTTCCGTACTGCTCAGCAAGATCGAGTAGTGTAGTGATAGCTTGCTGGTAATCCGGGTGCTGCTGGCACTCGAGGACCATTTTCTGTGACGTGTCAGTGACTGCAATACATCAAAGGGCGGGCATCGGACAGCCGTACCTTGAGGCGCCAGACGAGCTGTTCGCGACGCTCCTGGGGAACCTTGTTCTGAAGATACTGCTTTGTACGCTCGCGGTACTGGGCAGCAGTCTCCTTGACAGCTGCCTTGTTCTCCTTTGCTTGCTGCTGCGTCTCTTCGGGGACGTTCTGCTTGATCTGCTCGGTTGCAGTTCCGCGTGCGGCATTGACACCCGACTGGGGATCCGCACCGGTCTCGCTGGGCTGAGCGGCGTTAATACCGGCATTGGCGGCAGCCTGGGCATCCTTCTTTGCGTCGCCCTTGTATGGGATCGCACTTTGAAGCTGGGCCTTCACGCTCTCCTTGGACAAATTAGGGGCGTCGTGCCAGGTGTTGTCATCGGCAGGCCGGTCGATCTGGGCCAGAGCATCCTCCGAGGGCTTCACCTTGGAGGCTGCATTGGCGGCGGCATCGCCAGCCATATCACGGAACAAGATCACAGCATCGTTGAGAAGCTTTCGGAATTGGCCGTTGGTGATCAGCAGTGTGCCGAGGGTTCGCAGACCCTCCAAAGCCTTGTCGCCATGCTGTTTGGCGGTATCCTTGTCCACAGGTACATTGGGGGTTGGGACAGTGGTGGGGTCGAATTGAGTCGTCTGCCAGATGAAATCCTGGAGCAGATTACCCTCGTTCTTGGACAGAAGAAGGTTCTTCGCCTGGTTCACCACGTCGCGGAAGTCTGCCACGAGCGCCTGGCCCTCGGTGGAGAGCTTGTTCGAGGGCGATGCGATAGCCTTGGAAGCGAGGAAGCTGTTCAGGGCTACATCAATCTGCTCGTTCTGCAGGTCACAATCGGCGTCAGCATCCTGAGCGCCGAATAAACGGGGCAGCCGGTGACTTGTAGCTGGAAAGGAAGGGGAGACATACCGAGGGCACCTTGCCCTGCTGGAATGCGTTGACGATGCCGTAGATCTGAAGCTTGCGGTTGACATCGGCCTCCTTCTGCTTCACGTCGGTGGGCTTGTTTACGCTAGCCATGATGTGTAGGGGATATTGGACACGGTTTCTTTGGTTGGGTTGGAGGAGAGTGAGCAGAGGGCTGAGATTAGGAATCGCAGGATATAACCGACGAGACGTAGTTCTGGGGTATGGGTTATGGGGTATCACAAGAAATTCAAAGGGGTATAATGATTACGTGAACACGAAGACCTCTTCCAGTCTGTCAATGGGAGGGAAAGAAGGAACAGAGGGAGGACAAGGTGGAAGGGCCGGGAGCCGGGCGTGTTTATAGGTTCCAGGTTACGTATGGGCGTGGCCACGGGCAGGGCATGGACATGGACATGGACATGGACATGAAAGGAGCAGAGAGACTTCAGGCGTGCAGTGGCTTTGGCGGCAGCTTGCGAGAGGGCAATGCCGCTAGGAACATGTCATGCAGGTAGCCCGCCGTCTCCAGGTGGGATGAGGATCCTGCTCGCCAATGGGCTGCTGGGCCTGGCCAGATGTCTGATGTCTGGGCCTTGGTCCTCCGGGGCGATGATGCTGATGTGGTTGATGCCAATCTCGTGGAAGCTTGGTTCCCAGGCGCCGTGGTGACGTGAAACACCGTGTTGCGATACGTCATAACAGGTACAACCTGGGAGGCCAGCTTGGCATCCAGCAGTCCAGCAGTCTCGCTCTGCCGGCGCCGCGGAGTCTAGCCTGCCATTGCCAGTGCGACTCTGATCCTGTCTGATCCAGTGCCCGATGCAGCTAGTTGGAATGGATACTCGAATTCGCAATCTCGCTGGCGCCCATCACCACATACGCACGTACGGTACACGCTCGACTTTTTGCGTCCCAACAAAGGTTGCCAAGCCGCGGATATCGACTTGTCGGCGCCCTCAGGACCCAGGGGGGGGGACCGCTACAGGGGGTTGCAGTGGACCTGACATGCCGGAATTGTGGAGCATGGGGTGTGGGCAGGTGGCAGGGAAGACGCAACGAGCCGCGGCGGGACCCCTGCCCCAAAGGTCAAGGCACTCGACTGGGCTTGCCCACTGGTCAGGCTCGGGTCAAGATCGAATCGAGCTTGACGACCTCAAGCATGTACTCGTACTCGTGGGACAACTCCAAGGATTGAACATCATGCCGCAAGGGAGCCCGATCGCGACACTCGCTGTCGCGTTTCACATGCAACGGCATCACCAGCCTGTCTCTGACCCACCAACTGCCTGTCTCGAAGCCATTGGGCCAGACTACCAGCCGGCCAGCCTGCTTGCCTGCAGAGAGACTCGTTTACCAGCCCGTGCCCCTGGTGGCCCCAAGTACACCAAACATATTTGATTTCCTCAATCTACCCAAGTCGCGATGGAGAGGTGACAGAGGCAACATGCATATGGTAGACGCGCCGCGCGCCACGCGCCATTCCCCAAGAGCAAACAAGGTCGCTGTCATTCCGCTTTGCCGGCCCCGTCTTGGAGATGGCACCACAGCCGGACAATCACTGACGATGAATGCCCTGAACAGTCAAGAACGCATCATACAGCGCCTAGATGAGCAGCTAGAGGCCTTAGCTGGCAGAGCTCTAGTCTAGTGCCAATCTCCCATCCAACTTAGCTTTCCCCAGATTCGCCAGTCTATGACGTTGTCGTCTCCGGCCCGCAGACGCCACGAAACCCTCTAGCGTCCTGACTGAAAGGAAACCCTGGCAGCGCATCGCGATCTGCTCAGGTCTGGACACAAAGGTGGCTTTGTTCGGGAAATCCAACGATCCTCGAAAGTCCAGGGTCGGCCTCCAATCTCCAAGTGCGTCTGGCGCTGTCTGCTTTCACTGCTTTCACTGCTTTCAAGGGCTCCATCTGTCATCGGTCTCTCAAGCCTCTGGCGGGGCCAGACCCCTGTTCAAGGTGGTCCGGTGGTGTGGTTACGCCGCTGAGGCGATCGTGCAAAAGAGGAAATGTGCAAAGGCGTCAGTGCCGCAATCGACCAGAAGTGGGCAGCTTGATGCCCACCGTCTGATCGTGCAACACCGATCTACGCATGGGTCAAGAGCTTATCGGGCGCTGCTCTCATTGATGGGCCAAGCGAGGGATAGGCACTCTCACCCTGTGCATCAAGGTCCTGCCTGGCAACCGAGCTCATCTCACCACGTGATGGTTCTGACCGTTGAGTTCAAGTTTGCGGTACCTGCGGTAGCGACAGATGTCTCAGATAGTCACTGCAGATACTTTGGTCTAAATCACAGCTTTCGCAAGCAGGTGACGTGAACGAGCCACGTTACCGGGGTGAGGTTGGTGGGCTACTGTTGCGATGGAGTATTATGAGCGGCCAACCCTGACCCTCTCCCTCGTAGAACTTGGTTATACTACCGAGTAGATGTGAAATGCTGCCGACACATACCGGTAACTAAACACAAAGCGGTTTCTCATTCTTATTTAAACATCCAGTATTGTCCCGGGGTTGCATTTTGTTCGCAATGCCAAAGTGGAATGCGCTTGATTGGTGTCTGCGCCAGAGGCTGGCGGCTGCGGGCAGCTGCGCAAAGGCACACTCCAAGGCTAGACTTCAAGGCAAGACGCAATTCTGGATCAACGGAACATTTCCTCTTGTGTTTTTCCCGCACGATAACTCACAAGTCCGTTTAGACGTTTGCATGAGATATTTGTGTCTCACCAATCATCCTAAAGTGCCTCATGTACTTAGGCACGGGGACCTAGCCGAACACCAATCGCCAAACGTTCATGGAGGCTGATTGGCCCAAGTCGCCCGGATGCGTGCCTCACTCTTTTCTCAGTGGCCCACATTGCAGCGAAACACCAATAACCGACTGCGACGTTTGGGCAATTGGGCATGAAAGGGCCTCGCTCGTCCAGCATAGCCGCGCTCCGTGGCCGGACCCCCGCACCTCCATGCCAGTCCGACTTCTACTTATATAGCTGGCGCGAGACCGAGACATGGACTGAGACAAGTCAATGTGGCTCGAGTCGCCTTAGAAACCACAGAACGCGGCATCTACGAGCGAGAAGGTTCACTGGCGTTTTCAAGCCTCGCCAGAGCCGAAGATAGATGCGTCAAGGGACAGTTGTGAACATCGCGTGTTTCATTGAGGCTGGGGACAGTGATATCAAAGCAATGATAATAACATGAAGCGAGAACCCAGGTATTACTTCAAGCAACAACTCCAGCATGCAGGCCAGCACACTTACCCAGACATAGAACGATGATTTCGGACTTTCGTGTCGTCATACCTCATGAATCGTTTTCAAGGACGACGTTCATACGACCTTCTCCTGCCGAGCCTCGGTGCAAAAGGATTGGCAGTCGCCTCATGCTCGAATTCCATCATATACGGCACCTCCTCCCGCCCATGAACAACCTCTGTCACCCTGCGTCTGGGCCCGAGCGGCCTGCCCAAATGATCCTCATCCTCAAACGTATACTCCCGCCGGCGAGGCACCTCATACCGGCGTCCTCGCCATTCGAGATCAGACTCCGGGTCATCCATAGATAACTCATCAAAGTAGGTGAGTTCATCATCATATCTCCTATCCCTTATTGCATGCCGCCGAACAGGAATGGCATCGACCGTGCGGACCGTGTGCCGTGGCTGTTGAACGATACGTGGCACAGTTCTCGGTCTTGCCTCGACGGCCAAGTCATCGGCCAACTGGTGCACTGCAACCCTCTCATCGATCACTCCAGCCCTGTACGCAGCGTCCGTTATCCTCTCAACGTCGCTTGCCGACGCGGTTTGGAGAAGTAGAGGCGGAGTAGGTCTACCGTACCTCTCATCAGCTCTTCCCGCGTTGTAGGCCCTGTCTCTCATCCTTTTTATTTCGTTCGTTGCACCCACTTGGAGAGCAGGTGGCGACGGCGGAGGAGCAGGAACATGCGGCAGATGAGCACCAGCACCGAGGATGTAGTGGCCTTCATGTCTTGTGTGGTAACGCCTTGGCGACTGCTGACCATGATATCGCCCAGTTCCGCGAGTACGACTCCGACTACGACGCCGGCTGCTAGAACGGCGGCACCTGTGTTTATCGTACCTAGAAGAACGAGATGATCGAGACTCACTCGTGGTGCTGGGCCCGGAGAAGAAGGATTCGTCGTCAGAACTCATAGATGTCTCCGAACCCCCGAAATGACGGTCTTCACGGTAGGGTTTTGAATTCTTCCCGTTCACAACTTTGACACCACTCGACGGCCCGACCTTTGGTGGTCCTCCGGGACCTGGACGGCCCACAGCACCTGGTCCAGGCCCATTAGCAAGATCTCCTTTAGGAGGCGGCCCCGGCTGCTTGTCACCTGGGTGACCCCCAGCCGTATTTTTCGGCAGCCCACCACCCTGAGCTATCGCCATTGCTCCTCTTCTCTTGTTGTCCCACAGAATGCCGACATCGACATTCGGCCGTGGTGCTCTTTTGAAATAGGCTGTCAAGGACACCCGTTCCCAGTATTTCTTTTTGGCAGCTGATGTGGACGAAGACCTCTTACCGCCAGACTTGTGAGCTTTAGGCTTGGGTTTGATCTGCCCAAGTGGGACCCTGTCACGCTTCATAGCGGTGCAGAAATCGACTGGCCTGAGCTGGTGATCGAACTGGACAAGGGTCCAAAGATAGTTTGGGTCGCCATCATTGTGACCGAGCTCGATCATTGTCTTGTCCAACTGGTAGAGTAACGCTGCACCCAGGGTCTTCTTCTTGCTGGAGACATCCAGAGTCGTTTGGTCTAGGCGGTGGATTTCGTGTTCAATGTCTTTTTTAGACATTCCCTGTATCGTGGTACGGATTGCTCTTTCCCAACTAGTTTTATTACGGTCGTCGTTGTCATCATGGTACTGCTGATGGTCGAAGATCTTTTCGAATCGCATGGGATAGTATTCGGTGCAGTCCGCTCGCATATCCGCTTTAGACGCGAATCGATGGCTAATATCCGAGACATCCATGATTTGACGAAAACGCAGGTCTACTGGTATTGCATCCCTTGGAAGAGGAGGAGGAGGGGGAGGATGAATCTGCATTGGGGGGCCCTGATGACCAGGACCTGCTGGTCCGGTTGGGTGCGGCGGCGGCGGAGGCCCTGCTGGTCGCCTTTGTCCCGGCGGTGGCGGCGGCGGCGGCGGAGGAGGATGAGACCCTGGGCGAGGGCCAGTACCAACCCTGGTCTGGATAACTCCATGGTCGGCCATGATGTACAAGACTACCCGATATCACGACCAAAACCTTCGGGGGCTGTTGGTTGACTTCAAACGAGTTAATCGGCAAGACGAATGACACCCGGCGCTTTCAATTCGGGCGAAGAGGGGCGAGCTTATACTTGCTAAGATTCCGGGGAACCGTACCTCTTAGCGACGGATTCCAGCCCAGCAAATCGCTGGTCAGCATTGAAGGCAAGGTGGTGGGTTGGAAAGCAAAACGAGGCGAGCAATCTCCCTACGCTTGTTGGCAAGTTGCGGGGGCTCCTGTTATAACCAAGGGGAGGTGATGACGAGCGGGGTACGAGTTGAGGACAAAATGCTGTGAGCAAGCCAGCGCAGGCCAACGATGAATGATGCACACAGATTTAAAAACACAGTCGGTGTTGCACTGCAGTACTTGTAAGTGAAGAGTCGGCTTGCTTCCAGATTCCTTGACTTTTTATTTTCATCTAGATGGCTACCCAATCTCATGGCATGCGTCGATCGACTGCAGCAGTGCAGCTGCGGTATCACCTTTCGATGGCTGCACCTATCATCCTGCAACGAGGGTCTCGCGGAGCTTTATCAAGACTTGCAGCAGCCATCGGCATGCCACCGCATTCCAATGCACGCCAGTAGACCTCTATAGCGGCGTCACCCGCTGACTTTCCTCAGCCAACCGAAGCGATTGCGAACTGCGACATGACAGAAAACGACACCGAAGGAGCTCTGGTAGGTTCTCGGGAACAAAGCACAGCTCTCTGCTCGATGCCGAGCAAGCGACGCGATCAGTAGGCCTCTGAGAGCTCGGCTGGCTCTGACTTGGCAGCCACCGTTGCGACGTGGCACGAGATAGGTTGGGTGCAACCTGGGTCTTCTGAGGGCTAGGATGGTTCGCACGGCTTGTCTTCTATGATCCAAGGCAACTGGTTGCCTAATTTCCAACGAGCTCCTCCATTCACTTGGGTAAGGTGTGAGCCAGTCTAACCGGGCGCGTTCGGCCCCCGTCGACTCACAGCCTGCATACGCATAGCGCAGGCTCGTATCCTAGCTTCTAGGGAACCAATCAACCGTCACACAGCTGATTGTAGGCCAATGGCTTCCAGATAAGTATGGCTAAAGCACGACGCTCTCGCTAGGCCATTCGATCTGTCATATTCACCTTCATCGGTGCCTCGATGCTGTTTTTGGTGATCATTCTGCATTCGAGAGAGCTTGTCTGTGAATGAAATATCGCACGAAGCAGCTCTACCAAATGGTTGCTTGTTTGTAGAGTATTAGTCCAGGTTATGTTACCGTGATTTCGGCTCGCATTACGCATACACCTCCGCCGGGCGTTCATACACGTCAAGCTACATGCGGGTGTGCTGCCCAATGTGGAAAGGATTGCAGAAGTGGCCATGAGCTTGAGGCTCCGGGTGGGGATGTGGCGAATCTCACAGTATAGCCGGCTGAAGCCCAAAAGAAGCTCCGCTTGATCAGAGCCCCGGACTGGACGTCGCAATGCCGGTTCTCCACCGTTCGCCGTACCATGTGGCCGGGCCATCCATGACCAATTGGCTGCACACCCTTCTCGTGGTGGATGGCGTGGACTCGAAGGGGTTGCATTGGCCAATTGGGCTGTGACTTTGCCTTACCGCTCTTTCATAATTATACTCTGTTGTTGTCGCCGCTCTGTCACTGGTGACTCCTGTCCTCGCCATGACCGCATTCATAGGAGGCCGATAAATACAAGAACGCCCGCGGAGAGTCAATCAGGCCCCAACGCATGCACTGCGAGCGGGCGCATCTGCAAGCCATGCATGCCGCAACTCAGCCCGAGGGCGGCTGGCGTTATCGTACCCGCCTCGATGAGGGTTTGACACCTCACTAGAATGACTGCATGTAAGAGAAGTCGATTCGGGCTTGTTCCAACTGGTTCCTGGCTTTCGGTGACCTATATGCCAGCTGGGATCAACCCTGAGAGGTAGCCATCAGAATAGAAGCCGGCTGGTAAGTCCGCTGCCGTGCCGACCAAGAAACTCCGAAGGCCACATCACACGTGAATCCATTTGAAATACGAAGCTCGGAGACCCCCTGCTTTCTGCGGCATCCATCGGTTACCCTGAGAGATATCGGTGCCACCGGTGCACTGCCGGCAGCAGCCTCGTTGAGGTCCAACGTTACTCAGCTGCGGAGATTTTTTTGTACTCATGCCTCGCCAAGCAAATCGCTGTATTCATGACCCTGGCCGGTGTAATCCATGAGCATAAGACTGTAACACCAACTGCGGGCGGCCGCGATAGCTTTGGCTTCACAGCATCTCACTCTACACAGGTGCGGTGATGCCCTCTTCCGCTGTCACCAGTGGCGTCACAGTCGCGTGCTTCTCTCCTGGTCCAACTGAATTAATTACCTTGGCTGCCTCGCAGATTTCTGCCTGAGATTGTCGACACGCAGTCTGTCGCCGAAGTCGAGGCTTGTTCATCGCCGTATCGTAATACAGCAGCGGCGATGAGATCTTTGGCCGGATAGCAACGTTGTACGCATAAAATGGTGTGGCACGAGGAGTTGGCGGCAGCCAAACTCATTGGAAATGAGAACACCGACTCGGATCCGCCCGAACACGCGTTGACCTCCCCGTCGCCGTTTCCTAACCACCGGATGCTGTTCTCATGCCGTGTACCGAGCGAACCGCTCCCCTTATCCGCCGCCCTGGGGCCGGCGCCACGTTGCCCAGGCCCTGGAGCCGTCGCACCGCCGAGGGCTCATCGGTCGACTATCCTGCCCATGGCCGGATGTCGGAACACCAGATTCTGCGGAGCTGCCCGACCTGAGGCTGTAAGACGTTTGTCTAGCACCTGTTTTGAATCCGTTGGATTTCCAAGTGAAACCTCCGAACCGTCTTGGCTAAAGACGCACACTTGAACAGCCGTCCGCGGCAACGTTAGACGGGCCCCCGAGTCTTCTGCAGGCTATGTAGTAGTGTGAGTCATGGTAACAATGTTGGTCATCAGATCCGGTGTGTGGGTAAAGCCCCACCAGCGTTTTTTGTGATGGTAGATCACATATCGAATTTGAAAAGATTATGTACATTATGCTCACTTTTGAAAGCAGTATGAAAATATGGTAAAGACATCGGTAGACAAGGTATCACCAATCACTTAACTGTGCAGTTATGCTCAGAGAGCGGAACGTATCTTAGAGGTTTAGCTGTTAAGCCGTCAGAATGTTTCCAATGTAGGTCGTTTTGTCGCATGAAGTGCAACGCCTTCTGCCCGATCATTGAAAACTGTCTATGGCGCCCCACGCGAACTCTTTCTGGTTGAGCTCGCCACGGATTTCATGGAATCTCCTTTCAGTCCAGTCAAACACATTATCATAGTGGAATCCCTCAGCTAAAAAGCGATCCCGGAATAGCCGGCGGAAATAGCGATAATCGGGTTTCTCGCCAATTTTCAGAGACCTGGCGCAATCGATCATCAAAGCAAACTCCTGGGGAAGAAAGCCTTCGCAGAGCTCTGCGCCAGAAAGGCTAGCTTTCATGTCCTTGAAAATGCTGTTCTTGTTCATTGTTGTTACTTTGCTTTCCTCCCACGGCAGAGACCCACGCGCAAAGTACAAGAGAACGTAACCCAGAGACTCGAGGTCATCTCTCCAAGATGGTTCTTGATGCCAGTCAGTACACGTACTGTCCCAGCGAGTGAAAGTTGAAAGGCACTTACCGAGTCCCCTGTGGCAGTTAATACTAGCATAGCGATAAGTGCCTTCAAATGCCAGTCCTTCATATCCCCTATACTCTTCTTCGCTATAAACCTTTGTGGCTAGGCCAAAGTCGACCGCGTAGATTGTATTGCCTTGTTTTCCTGTTCCTAATAAGAAATTCTCGGGTTTGATATCTCGATGAAGGAAGTGCCTGTGAATGCGTTCGATCCTAGCGATCGCTTGGTCGGCGATAAGGAGGATGGTCTTCAATGAGAACTTGTACTCGCAATACGCGAAAAGATCGGCCAACGAGGGTCCCAGGAGCTCGAAAACCAGGAATTCGTAGCTACCATCTGATCCAGACCAGTAAAAATCAGGAAATCCGGGTGCTTCCTCGAGCTGTTGGTATACAACTGCTTCTTGCCTCAAAGCGGTGGGACCATTCCGGTTCTCCATTAGCTTAATGGCAACATCTTTGTCACATGTAACGTCGGTACCTGTTAATGTAAGTTCTGCTCTATAATATGAGTCCATGCCAACGCACCAGCATACACCAATCCAGCCCCGCCTTCGGCAATCTTACGATCGACACGATACTTGTCCCGAATTAAAATGGGCTGATGGTCTATTAGTATCCAGTGTCTGTCAAAATTGGTGGAAAGATAAATTTACCTTCATTTCGAGCGCTCCAAGAAGCTGATTGAACTTGGTCGAGTCTTGTTAGGCTTGTGGCAGATGATAGGAGTTCGAGAATCCATTGGAGGTGTAAGGCCGGCCATTGGAATGCTCAAGGAATGCGTTCCCGGTTTACGCCACACATACGGACGGAAATGAGCATGTGTAATCAAGGGATAGAAGTGGATCAAACTCGCGACGTTGGGTTTTATGTGCTATTACCCAACTCGAGCCTTTTTGACAATTGTTATTTGCGTAGGCAAGATCACTGTTTGTTATCAAAGGACAAGGTCTCCGGAGTCTCTCCTTTTGACTCCCCTTGCAACCGCAACCGGCCTGCCGTGGCGCTACCACTACAGACAAAGACTTCGCATCCCGATAAGTTCTGCCAGGTACCCAGAAAGAATAACCAGCTAAAATAATGGGACACTACTCGCCTCAATTTTGGGATAACCTGTCGAAAGTTGGGCTCTGGCCACATGCATTGCAAGAGCTCGATCGACGGAACGACAAATGCCTATCAAGAGCGGCGATACCTGAGATCTATCCCACCAATCTTGCCCGCTTCGCAAGACACGGCGGCCCAGAACTGGGACACCTCAGAGGAGTAACCTCTCTGCTCCTATCATAGATGGTACAAATGGTGATTTTCTAACCGGTTGCAGTTTTCACTCGTGACGTTTTCTGCACAGACCCTGGCTGTCGACTCCTCTTCCCAAGGCCATCGATCAAGGTCCACGAGACCAATAATGATCCCTCGAACGAAGAGGTTCACAGCATCTTCTCGAGGACCGGAATTCGGAGAGCACCTTATCAATCACAGAATATATCCCGATGATGACGAATCCGAACCTCTAAATATAGACGAAATCAGAGACAGGCTAGCGCAACCAAGAAATTCGTTGTCGCTGTCCCAGTTTTCTCAAGGTGCCTTCAAGGAATTTAGGCGGAAAAGCGAAAACGTCATCAATGAAGGAGACGTACTATATGATATCATTCCTATACTATGTGGTGAAACTAGTATTTTATCAAGCCGAAATACCCTATTCACGAACTTAGACCCTATTACCTCCGATAACGCCTCGAGGCCACAGCCTGATCTCTTTGATGGGGCCGACCCCAACCAAGTAGACGAACATGTAAGATATGATGACGAGCTCTATACCCTGATCGTCCCAACCAAACACCCACGTGTTCCAGTGGCCCCCAATTTCTTTTTGGAGGCTAAAAGCCCAGACGGAAGTGCTGCTGTAATGAAACGGCAAATTTGTTACTACGGAGCCTACGGGGCGCGGGCAATACACGCTCTTCATAACTACGGCACGGATGAACCGGTCTATGACGGGAATGCCTACACATTTAGTACAACTTACCACGCTGGAACGGGTACAGCATTATTCTATGCGCATTACGTTACAGCACCGCCCGCAGAAGGTGGGCTTCCGGAGTACCACATGACGCTGATTGATACTGCTGGGATTACAGGGAGCCGCCGGGCTTTCTGCAATGGTGCCAGTGCGCTCAGGAATTCTAGGGACCTGGCGGAGGAATATCGTAACCAGTTTATAGAGGAAGCCAATGTGAGGGCACGAACTCGTGGCATAAGAGCTTGGGCGTGAAATAATACCAGCCAACAATGGCATTCATCGGCAGGTTTTGAATCATCTTCGTAGCCATAATTACCAAGTTCCAAGCGATCTAGGTAATCTCAGACCTCCCCTACAGGCTCGAGCTCATCGCAATAGCAATAGTTTATCTTATATAACTAAGCCACCTGTCACTTTCTGCAGTACATAAATGTGCCTAGCGCCATAATCTCTTAATTATTCACAATATCTGCCTTGCTTGTGTCTTTACAATTGCCGCTTAACGGCATCTTAAAAGTGTCATACAATCCTAGATAGTTACTATACCAACAGGTGCATGTGTTTTTGAGCGGGCTTGAATCACCACCAATGGCGCTCACGTCCGTTTGCTTACACGTAAACTCCCTACCAGGGTTGTAATAAAAAACTAATAGTTTTTAATTTTTTTAATAATTAACTAAATTAATTAAAACTAAACTAAATTAAAAACCCACTTTTAATTAGTTTAATTAATTAAAAGTGGGTCTTTAATTTAGTTTAATTAGTTTTTATTTATTTTTTAATTAATTTAATTAATTTTTATTTATTTTTTAATTAATTTAATAATTAATTAAATAATTAAAAATATAAATTATATAAAAAATCATATAAAATTTTATATAAAACGTTAAATATAATAATATAAATAATATGTTTTTTACATTTTTATTTAATTTTAAATAAATAAAAATATATATTTAAATTATATAAAATATAATTATAAAATATAAATAAATTTTTTAAAAATATTATATTATATTATATATATATAATAAATAATAATATAATTAATAAGATTTTTTTATATTTTTAAAAATTAATTTAACCGGTTTTATTACCGTTTTTATAAATATATAAAATGGGGTTCGTAACTTACCCGCGTTATAAAATAAAACCGGTACTTTATATATTTATTATAAATTAATATAAAAACGATTTATTAAAATCCTCTCGAATCCTCTCGAATCCTTTCGATTTTATTATTTATTTATAATCCTTTATAAATATTATTAATATAAATTAAATATAATAATCGATAAAGAATTTTAAATTTTATCCGAATATATAAACTTTATTTCCCTTTAACCTTTTTTTAAATTATAATTTATTATTATAATAAATAAATTATTAAAATTTATATTTATATTATACTTTTATATTATTACCACCTCGGTTTTATACTTTTTTATAATAAATCTTTCGATTTATTACGATTTTAAATTTAACGCTTTTATTTAACTTATTTTTTAAATTCAATTTATAAATTCTAACTTAAATTCTTTTATTATATCCCGTTATAATAAAAAAGATTATAAATTAAAAAAATCGGATATTTATATTTTTAAAAAAAGGTTATATATTTAAACTTTATTATTTATTAATCCGGTTTAAAAACGGTGAATATTATTTAAGTATATTATATAAATATATTTTTAAAATATTTTATATATAATTATATTAATTATAAAAGGTATAATATTTAAATTTCGGTTAAAATTAAAGGTTTTTAAACTTTAAATTTCGTTCGATATTATTAAATAATATATAAAAAAATTGTATATAATAAAACTTCGGAAATAACGTTAATAAAACGTAAATTATTATATTTATACGATTTTTTAATAATTTTATATTAATATTATAATAGGATTTAAATATAAAAATATATAATTTACGTTATTTAATTTATTTATTCGAAAAGAATAACGAAGTTATATTAAATTAATAAAATTTAACGAAATTAAAATTTATAATAAAATTTTAAATTTTATTATAAAAATAATCTTTCGTTTAATTTAATTAATTTTAATTTATTTTAAAATTTATTATTATATTATAATAAATAAAATTTAAATTTATTATTTAATATATTTTATTAATTTTTTAAAAAACGTTTTAATTAAAAACCGTTAAAAAATTAAAAATATTTATAACGAATATACTTTTTAAGATAAACCGTAAAAAGATATAAGTACGTGGGTTTATATTAATAAGGGACGTTAATTTCGAGGGCGGTTATAATTTATAATTTATATATTAAATAAAGTAGAATAAAAGTTTATAAACGAAGTTATAAATATAATCGTTAAAGTTTAATAAGTTTTATTTATAAGTAAAATAGATATTTAAATTAATTATTAAAATAATAATTATTTATATAATTAAAAAATCCTTTTTATTATATATTTATTTATTTCTTTATTAATATTAATTGGATTATTATAGTTATAGTGATTTTTTATCTTAAATTACTTTAATTTAAAAGTAATCCTTTTTTTAAGTTTATTCGTGGTTCGTTATGATTTTTTATTTTAATTTATTTATTAAAACCGTAATTTATATTACGTAACCTTTTTTACTTTATTAATCCCGTAGTTTTTTTATTTTAACGGTTACGCGTTAACCGTTTAATAGGTTTTAATTATTCCTTTCCGGGGTTAGGGTTCGTAAAGTTATATTCGTAATATTAAACCCCTCCTTTTTTATTTTAACCCTTTAAAATTAAAAGTCGTATAAATAAATCGTTTATCGCCTATTTTTTAGTTTAATAGGTTTTCCTTCTTTTTTATATTTTTTTTATAATATATATTTATTATATTAAATTATATTAAAAAATCGCGATCTCGTAAAATATTTAACCGTTTATTTTTAATTAAAAATATTAAAGTTTTTAAGGTAATTACCGAAATATCGTATATTAAATATTTTAAGTAAAACCTTATTTATTATATAAACGAGAAGTCGTCGCGTTATTTAAAATATATATATATTAAGCGTATTTACGATAAAACGTTCGTAACGTCGTCGCTTTTTTATTTATTATCGTAATAATAGAAATTAAAAACGGAAAAGGCCGATACCGAGGAGGCCCTTTTCGCGTTATAGATTTAATTATTTACTATTATCGGTTATTTTACGTATTTACGTCGAATAAAGAAGGTTATAAAAAAGAAGAGTTTTAAAGCGTTTTAATAAAGGATATAAAAGTTAAATAAAAAGGATAGCGTAATACTTTCGGTTTTTATTTAAAAGCGTTTTATAATAAATAATTTCCGGTTTATAAGCGTTTTTAACGACGTAGATTGGGTTTCTTTAAATTTAAATAATAATTTTATAAATATTAATTTATTAATACCCGTTATCGGTAAAAATCCGTAAGGAGTTTAAGGTAACTTTTTAAATTCTTTTTAAGTTTTTAAATGTTTTCCGATAATAGGTAATCTTTTTATTTAATAAGGTATTTTTATTAATTATTAATTTTTTATAAATTTAGGATTTTTTCGATTTCGTATTTTTAATTTAATTCGGTTTCGAACCGTATTTCGATTTTTATATTAAATAATATTAATTTTAATAATAAAATATAAAATATTAAAT